GGGGGCGGCCCGCTCGGCGGCGGGGGGAGGAGAGGAAGCTTGCTCCGCGCTTGGACAGGTCTCTGTGTTGCCCTGTATCTTGCCCATGTTGCCTACCTGAAGCTCTGGCGCTGGGACTACACGTACAACATGGCGGCCAACGTGGCTTGCGGGGCCGTGTCGAACGTGCTCTGGACTTGGTTTAGTTGGGACCGGTACCGCAAGAGCAGGCGGGCGTGGGCCATCTGGCCCGGCATTGTGGTCGCCTGGGTGCTGGTGGCTATGAGTATGGAGCTGTTGGACTTTGCGCCCATCTGGAGCAGTGTGGATGCCCATAGTCTGTGGCATTTGGGGACCATTGCACCGACCGTGTTGTGGTATAAGTGAGTGATCTCCCTTGCTAGATCGGTAGGACCATAAGAGTGGGACGGATTTGCTGACACCCATGGATCGTCTAGCTTCCTTGTCAAGGACGCCTTGGACGATATCGCTGCTAGTGAACGACTCAAAGCATGAGCTTCCCGGCGGGACCTGCTGGGACAAAGAAGTTGGCTGGGGGTATAATTTAAGAGAGGTGTCATTCCTAGCATCTTGTTCATGCATGGGTAGCTATGAGGCTTGAATTTGATATAAGCATGGAGTTCGGTCATGGCTGTGGTTTGAAAATCAGCAATTGAGTTACCTTCTTCGAGAGCCATTTGTGTCTTGAAGCCCGACAGTTCTATCCGTTGGACATACCGAGCGACTTCCACCAATCCCTCACCGGCACATTGATCCCTTTGTCGTGAAAGCGGCTTCGTAATCACGAGGGGTGGTAAGATACTACACAGCTAACTAGTGCCCTGATACTTGACCTACACTCTATATCCCCTTAAAGTGCCTGCCTATCATTAGAGGAGAAGTGTATCCTAGGGGCATTGACTCCTACCTAGTGCCTTAGTAAGTAGCTTCTTTATATATTCGGACTGCAATGGATATCAGTAGTATACTTGTCATACGGCCCATGATGCTAGCACCGATACCGTGATTTTGCCAACACAGCTTGCCCGATTCATGTTTACACAAGACAAGTTACCAGGACTTCCTCGAGCTTTTCAAATAGCTACCTAGGTACTTCTTCCTTGAGCCAGCAACAACAGCCCCCCAATGCATTCATTCAACAAGCTGTCCAGATTAAGAGCGCTCCGTTTCATTTATCCCGGTCTACTTCCCTTGTGTGATGACATTTCACAGGCTGCCTTCCACTGCAAGCTTGCCGCTTTACCTACATTACTCGGGACTGCCATACCTAGTAAGGTACAATACATTCATTCTCATCGGTAAGTATCCGTAAGGTGTTCTGTTGGCATGGGAGAGGAAGGACGGGATTGTTGCACAGACTCCCGTCCGTCGGGGGAGACGCTATCCTGCACCGGTCAAAGGGTGATCAAGCAATGGTATGTCGGTATTGTAGATATAGCCTCTATTAGGACATGACGAGGGTTGATAGCCAGGACAAGCTGAAGTGGCTCATAGAATCCTGAGACACCAAGTCGTCGGTATTAGGCAAGTTAGGTATCAAGATCATCAACTTCATGTGCTTCGAAAGTCCGAATACTCGGATCCTGGCAGAAGTCCATGTCTCAGTCACGGCTTGGGTACTTGGAATGGGCGCGACATCTGTTAGTGTAGGTCGATAGTATCTTGTATGTAAAAATCATCCTCTCTACTACCGCTCTTAACAGGACTTCCATTGGAAGGTTGTCCTGCGAATTCCATTCAACGCCCGGCAGGTCCATCCGCCCCACGACTCGGACCTCAAGCTTCCAAACGCCAGATACATTCACAAGCAAACGCCGGGTGATTGCTAAGATACCACCGCGCCGACTCGCCGTAGATCACTACCTTAGTTGCTCACGTCCACCAAGAGGAGGCGAGCGTATCGCCCAGGAAGTGTCGCTTGCCTCAGTAGGCTACTAGTAGCTGGGCTGCCCAGGGTTTCATGCATTGGGTTTAAAGTCATCACAACCTCACACACGACACACGCCGACTCGGAGCATGCCTTCGTCAACTGGAAGAAAGCGACGTTCTTCAGTTAGCCACTTGGCGGCGTAGCGTAAGCAGGTGTGGTTAAGTCATTGCATCTGATTGTTGGACTGAAAGGCTTTTCATTCTGGTACGGGTAGTACGGTAGTGAGCTGACGAGCAGGAGCTCGAGGCAGGAATGGGTGGCCGAGCCGAGCGGAAGTAATACACCTCACGACTGGTAGATAGATGATACCTTCCTTACCTGAGTTAGCCACGTAGACAACAAAGAGCCATCTGCAACCGAGCTTCTGAACTAAAATGTTCAATCAGTTCCGTTATCCAAAGGAGAAGCGACAAGAGCTCACGAGGGGTATCCGTAGTCCAGTACGTTACTTGTATTGTACATATTCGTGCATCCACGCGAGCCATGGAGTCGGGAACGGGCTTGGCGGCTGGTCCCTGGCATCCCGCTGTGGATCGAGCGATGGCCTGACCAATCACAGCGTAGCTTGCGCATCTTGGAGCGCAGCTCTGGATGAGGTGGCCTCAACTTTTTGGCTGTGTAATCCCCACTTACGAGCTGATGGTGATGATCGAGGGCTCAGCCTTGAGACTCCCGCCTGCTTCATCCAGTTCTCAATTGGTGTCACTTTGCTCCTGCGTTGGACTTCGTTTATTCGTACACTTGCAACATTATCGATTGATGATCTGGTAGCCCAAATTTGCCCGGCAGACCCAGGCCCGCGACGTGGAACCTTGAAGCGCTTTCGGGGTCAGCGCGCTTACGCAGCTCCCGAGAGGCAAGATGCCTGCGAAGTCGAGGTTTACGAGGCTAGACGCCTTCACAAAGACAGTAGAAGATGCGAGAATCAGGACAACATCCGGTGGCATTGTCACGATAGTGTCGCTGATCGTCGTTCTCTTTCTCTCATGGGGAGAATGGGCCGATTACCGGAGAGTAGTCGTACATCCAGAGCTGGTCGTGGACAAAGCGAGAGGTACCGTTGCACCGGGTGCTTTCAAGTAGTATGGGATGGTGGGCGCTGACTGTTTGGGTGTTTTCACCAGGCGAGCGGATGGAGATCCATCTCAACATAACGTTTCCCCGGGTGCCCTGCGAGCTACTCACCCTCGATGTCATGGATGTCTCGGGAGAGCAGCAACACGGCGTTCAGCACGGTGTGACAAAGACTAGGCTGCGGCCGGTGAGCGAAGGTGGTGGCGACATTGACAGCAAGGCGTTGGCCCTGTGAGTTGAGCTCTCTTACTCGGCTGACCAGGCATCTGTGGGACTAATAGGCTGGAAAGACATGCGGCAGAGGAGGCGGCCTCTCATCTTGACCCATCATACTGCGGGCCTTGCTACGGCGCCAACCCGCCAACTACTGCCCAGAAGCCTGGATGCTGCAACACTTGCGACGAGGTCAGGGATGCATACGCGCAGCAGGCATGGGCCTTCGGTAGGGGTGAAGGCATCGAGCAGTGCGAGCGGGAACACTACGGCCAGCGGCTCGACGAGCAAAGGAAGGAAGGCTGCCGCATCGAGGGAGGACTGCGCGTGAACAAGGTCATTGGCAACTTTCACATTGCCCCTGGCAGAAGCTTCAGCAACGGCAACATGCACGTGCACGACCTGAAGAACTACTGGGACACGCCCGTCAAGCACACCTTTACCCATACGATTCACCATTTACGGTTCGGCCCGCAGCTGCCTGAGAGCCTGCACAGTAAGCTGGGCAACAAGAACTTGCCGTGGACCAACCACCACCTGAACCCGCTGGACGACACACACCAAGAGACGGACGACGTCAATTACAACTACATGTACTTCATCAAGATTGTCCCAACCTCGTATCTCCCCCTTGGCTGGGAGAAGTCGTGGGCCGGTTTTAGGGAGGAGCACCATGCCGAGCTCGGCTCGTTCGGAGCCCTGTCCGACGGCAGCCTCGAGACACACCAGTACTCAGTGACGAGCCACAAGCGGTCTCTCGCCGGTGGAGACGACAGTGCGGAGGGCCACAAGGAGCGCCTGCACTCCAAGGGTGGCATCCCGGGCGTCTTCTTTTCTTATGTAAGCTTCTCCCCGTTCCCATACCCTGCAGCCACTTCTCTGACTCGTGACGCGAAGGATATTTCTCCTATGAGAGTTATCAATAGGGAGGAAAGAGCCAAGTCGTTCCTGGGATTCGTGGCTGGCCTATGTGCCATCATTGGTGGCACCCTGACTGTTGCGGCGGCGGTTGACCGGGCCCTGTTCGAGGGCAGCGCCAGGCTCAAGAAGCTGAGATCAAAGGAGCTCTGAGGGGATGAATATTCACCAGGTGGGGTTTTGGCAGTCACACGAATCCTGTGCTTTCTTCGGTGTTTCTATTATCTGCTATCGCTGTGCGGGTGTCTTGATTTTGGCCAAGTTCTTTCCGGCCACTTGTATATAGTTATAGTGTCTTGGATGCATAGGAGAGGAGTTAACGGCTAGTTGGGAAAATGGACATTGTATCCTTTCTGCTTTCCGTACAGAGTGCAAGGCCGTGGCCAAGGACCGGCCGCTACACCAAGTGTGCTAGCTGTGGACTTGGTACTTCGTATAGACCTCTAAATCTTTCTCTCTCTTCTATAGTATCACGACTTTTTTAGCACCGTTCTAGCCATCGAAGGACTAGAGGCCAACACTACCGGCCTCGGTATGGGCGCTACCATCTTCCAAGCCGTTGCCATACCTTTGATACCTATTCCAAGTCTCGCAATAACCTTTCAGCTCCTGTGTCTCAAAATGGAGGGATCATGAGTGGTCGTTGGCCAATGAAGTAATTACTTCCGAGTCTCTAGACTCTTGTACGTACACCAATGGTGATATTGAAGAAACCAGACAAGCTGGAGGTTAATGCCAGACATGAAAAGCAATCCACGCAATGTTCTATAGGGCCTCCATCATCCCAATTGGACGTTATGCCCGAAGGAGGTAATTTATGATCCATTGCAGTGTACTTAGTACTCCGTACAAGTAGAACTACATACAGTAAATAAGAGAAATGGAAAATTCCAAAGCAGAGATTTTTTTCGCTTGCATCTTCACCTGGGGGTTTACTGGCCCGTAACCCCTGGCCACTCCTGCAGCTTTGAAATAACCTGCACATGCAGGTCCCAGATCGGTGATTCTCCGACGTGGAGAACCCTGCCCTGGATCCTGATGGCTGTTCGTCCCCCATCTCTGATTGCGCCACTGGCTTACTCTGCATTTTGCAATGACCCAAACGGATCACAATGCGCTCAAGTAGCACAAGAGCGGCGTGGATGGAATCAGCAATCAGGGAACAAGAAGCGCGGATTGGAAGCGGGTTAAGATTCAACATGTCCTGTACTGTACCACTCAAAAGCTGAAACCAAGAAGCCGGTGGTAGTCTGTCTAAATGTCTGGCCGACGATTGGCCGGTACTTGTCCCAATCGTTAAATAAGGGCAATAGTGTTGGAGCACCCAGAAATCAGGGTCCTGTGCGTTGACTCCGTTCAAACAACGAAAATCTCTCTGCTTGCTACGCTGAAAGCTGAGATTCTTATAGGATGTACTCCGTAGAGTTTGCGGTGAAGCGCCCGCCTGGAAAGCCAGAACCATCCATACCTACGAAGTAGACATATTGATTTCTTCGTTTTCGTCTTCAGGATCGGTTGAGCACCTGCCCATCACGGCGGCCGATCAAGATGCTAATAACGGAGGCCGGGACATTGGCCGAGGCGATCTGGGCTCGGCCACTTCGGCTCGCTTCGGTTAGGAAAGCTTAACTTGCAATTGCTTCCAGACCGGCCGGCAGGTAAGTATAATCCACATCTCTGCTGTTAGCTAAAGGCACCTATTGTTTCTTGGGGAGTCATGCAGGGGAATCATTGCTGGAGTCAGTGGAGTGCAGTCTCGGCGTAACTAACACCGTACTTACATTGGCACTTCCGTCAACGTGACATCGTCAGTGAAAGGCTTGCACCGCCCAAGGCGGAGCTTGCAGTCGACGAGAACGTGAGCAGACCGAATTAGTGTACCCGTGGCATACAAAGTAACTCCCTAACCCCGTAACTGTATGTACACAGATTACCTATTCAAAGTGTGTTTGGCGTTGTGGCGATGGTCGAGAAGAACTCGTCGATCGATTGGTCAGATAAACGTTCTGGAAAGGCAACAAAGATTGACCTCCTGCACCCCATATTTTCACTGCTAAAATTGTGTCCAAGTGGCTGGAATTACGATGCACCACCGTTATGCCCGTCTGCCGCTGCTTCCATGTTTGGACATCAACGAATTTTGAGGAAACGCTAGCCTATTCGGGCTTAACTTCGACTTTTTAACCATGCAGTCGCTCGGACGTTTAGCCAGTTTGGGTAGTGGATTGAGCGCCATGCATGGGCTGGGAGCGTTTTATTAGTGGATGTATGGGGCCCATGGGCCCTTGGCCCCGTAGTGCCAACCTGACAGTGCCTTACGTTACCCAAGGTTATCCTCTCCCCGTTCGCGGGTTGCTTCAGTGTTTCTCCCCCTTCCTTCCGCGTACTCGGCCCAACGTGACACTCCTCCGGCTTCTTGTCTTTCGTTCTGATGTTTGTCGTTCTTGAACTCGCATCAGTCAATCTGACTCTTGACTGTTCGTCAATGACGCTCGCTCATATTGACAACAAGCCGCTCGCTCCTCCCGTCCACTCGCTGTGCGCCGCGTTTTCTTAGCTGTGGTCTATAAATCAATCAGTTGTCTCTTGAGACGCCGCCCCCGTGACAAACCCGGCTCTGACCTTGAAACTCACTATCTCGCCCGCGGCCCCTCGGAAAATCGATAGCGTTTCGAATCAAATCAGGATCCCTAGAACATTCGCCTATTTCCTCCATCGCTTCGCTGCTTCTACGCGACAGTTATCCCGGCAGTTCGACATTGCCGTTGTACATCCTCGCCTATCGCTTGGTCGATCCGCCTCGTCAAAGCCACATACCACGTCTTTTGCAAGTTTGTGGCCAGAGTTGACCTCATACTTCATGCGCGGACGCCGTTCTCCCTCACCAATTGCCGTTGAAGGTATTGCCTCCACATCACTCCAGACGTCCTTTCACCGGCGTCCAGGGTTCGTATATGTGGAAACCCCTTCGCTCCGGCGCCTCTCGTATACAGGACGGCCTCGTGATATCTAAGCTGCTCTGCGACGCGTGCGCATAGTACCTTGCACTCGACATCACAAACTTCACAATGTCCAATCCAAAGCCGGGGCCCGTCTTTCTGGACCTCAGATCCAAATCGCAAACCTCCGTTTCCCGACCACTGCGATCACCTCGTCTTCATATCGCCGGCGAAGCTCCTCCCGAACTCTCCCCTCTCGATGCATTTGCCCTACAGAGTAGGCTGCTCGCCAAGCAGCTGGAGGAAAGCGCAAAGCAGGGAAGACGAATGAGCCGGCTGCCGCCGTTGAATGACGACAGCCCCTTAATCGTTCAGGCCAGATCTGAGTACTTCCGTTCTCTCTCGCAGGACTCAGTTTCAGACGATGGTGACGCTGGCGCGCACCAAAATATGGGTCTTGGCTTGAAGACCCAGGTGGATGACAACATCGACAACCGGCCCAGGTCGATGCACCCCCGCCTGAGCAACATTCCTCCCACTCCCGACGACTCTATCCCGGTTCCGGCGGTACCAAACATGGATTCGTTCAAGGGAAGGCAGCCGAGTGACGCAGGCGACGGTGAGCTCTTCTTCAGCTTGGGTGCACGCAGGGAACGGTCCCCATCGCCGATGGAGCAGGTCAATGATCCCAGCGACAAGCAGGCATGGGGGAGGTCACCAACCCAGGACAGCCTACCTCAGCAGTCACCGGTGCCCAGCTCTATTATGGCCGGTTCTCCCGAGAGAACCAACAAGAACTCGTTTGATGCTGCGGCACTTGTCCCTCCTCGACCGATCTTTGCCAAACGCTCCTCCAGTCTAATGTCTTCGGATGAGGAGGCTACCAGTGCGTTGAGCATCTCGATGCATTCTCAGGGTTCTCGAAAGTTTTCTGCCAGTAGCGGTGTCCTGTCTCCCAGTTTCGCTCCGTACCAACGATCGCCTTCCGTCGCTTCAGATGCCTCTGGACTGCCTCGGCCGCAGTTCAACTTCTCTAGACCGTTGAGCAGGGCAGGCACCCCGAGTTTTGATTCGCCGGCGCGACAGGCGTCATCCGATAGCCATGGGCCCTTCATGCTCGCTGATGACCCTGCTTGCACGCCTACTAGCATGGGGAGCGAAGGGTTCCAGGAGCAGACAGTCGACGATGGCACGTCCCCTGCTCCGTCATATATCTACTCGAAGTTCTCTTTACCACGCGGCAAGCCCTTACAAAGAAATTCAATCATCCTACTTAATGAATGGCTTAACCCATCTCCCTCGGTGGAAGACGTTCCCCTCGCCCAGACGAGGACGAACCAAACTTATCCCATGGCTGGGCAACCTCCACCGTCCCCACCGACCCGGCCATCTAGCGCCTCTGAGAGCCGTTCATTTGGAGGCCTTATTTCACGGCCATCGCAGGAGCGGAGTAAGCTCAGCACCGAAGTCTTCCGCCCTGCCCAGCAGCCCTCTCCAAACCCGAGCAGACCATCGACGGACGATGCTCGTGTCTCTGAGGATAGAGAAAGGGTGCGATCTCTGGTGTCCCCTCTTCGCGGGACTGCCACTGGCACGTCATCTGCGTCTACGGCAACTAGCGACTCCGCCAGCACGATCAAGGCAGGGCTGCCACAACATTCCTCAGTGCCTGCTATGTCAGACCTCTCGGCAGAGGAGCATGTTAGCAAGGCTATTGCCCTGCACGAGAGCGGCTCTCTCCAGGAATCGACGTGGCACTTACGACACGCTGCCAAGAAGGGGCATCCTACCGGGATGCTGCTCTACGCCCTTGCCTGCCGTCATGGCTGGGGGATGCGCCCGAACCCGCGAGAAGGGGTCGAATGGCTTCGGAAAGCTGCGGATTCCGCCAGTTTGGAGATGGCAGACGATGAAGAACAGGCCAAGGAAGGCAAGGCCGTTGATGTTGCTGAGCGTAAGACGCGTAAGGCGCAGTTCGCACTCAGCATCTACGAGCTCGGCGTGAGCCATATGAATGGCTGGGGCATTGAACAAGACAAGGCTCTCGCATTGCGATGCTTTGAGATTGCTGCATGTAAGCTGAAAATCTCTTGATTCTTCTCAAGCTTATACTGATTCATCTGTGAAGCCTGGGGCGACGTTGATGCCCTCGCTGAGGCGGGTTTTTGCTATGCTCAGGGTATCGGGTGCAAGAAGGACCTCAAAAAGAGCGCCAAATACTATCGCCAAGCCGAGGCTAAAGGCATGAGCATGGTCGGCAACAGCTGGTACGGGCTATATTCCTCCGCCTTGTGATGTTATCGCGGAAAGCTGACTCTTTCCAAGGATTCACAAGTCAAAATATGACGACGATCCGAAGGAATCCGATAAGACTCCCCGTTCCAAGTCCAGGTCGAGAAAAAGCATCTTCAGCCGGAAGACTCATCAATGAAGGGACGGCAGCCCTCTTCATAGACCCTCTTCTGGCACATCCCACGTCTTCACGATTATGACAACTGCATCGACATGATATCATCGTACATACCCCTTTGGCTTTTGTTTTCTTTCTGCTTACTTTTCCCCTTCTACCTTTTCCCTCGAAGGTTTTTGGAGTCGGCGGCTTGGTGATGCGTGGCGTTCTCTCTTGAGTTTGGGAACGGGGGACGGGGTACCAACGTTTGGTCTTCACGCATCACATTCACCGACTTCCATCTCACATTGCGCGTGTCTTTTGGCGCATTATCTCTTCGTTTCTCTTCGCCATATATTCCCAAACCAAACTTTATTCTTCCCTTCCTCTTCTTACTTCGTTTTCTCTTGTGTTACCTTGTTCCGGGGAGATATAGCTGCGGAAGAGGCAATAAGTCCTGTATTTGCACACTAATCTTTCATGCTTCCGGGGATCCTTGGCCAGTAGCTTATTCAAGTATATCATCCACGGCACTTGCTGTAAAGAGCAGGCAAGCCGTTGCTTTGATGGCAGGTTTATTTTTTGTAAACGGAAACCTTCAATGTACATATTCGAGATTTTGAAGCCCAATTGGGTTGAAAATACGGAGCTGCTCCGCAACTTGGAAGTGTTGAGCGGAGGCTGTCTGGCCTGGGTGAGGAAAGGATTAGGAATGAAGATACTTTGTTTCATAAGCGTTGAGACCGCGGCCTACCTGGGAGCGGTAACACGTTGAGATGAATTGAATTTGCGATTTGCAATCGAAGACGGGCCGCCAGCATGTTCTCTGAGACCGTTAATCTGAGGCGTCAAAAGGGCTCAGGACGCCGTTAAGACAAACATCTGGCAAGTAGTCCGCAAGCCCACTTTGCTGAAGCAATCGATCAACAGAATAGCCATGGAGAAATGATATGTCACTTATGGGCTGCCTATGAGCCCGCCGCTTCATGACCCGGCTATTGTACGTGAACTCGTTTGCCCCGACTTATTCCAGCTTCCAGCTATGTGTCCACCTCCATCTTGTCATCGCTCTCTTCCGTGAGCTCCAGCACGCTCACATATTTACCAATCTCTTCCTTGCGAATTATCTTCTCGTTGAGGACAGCAGTAGTGCCCTTAGGGAAAGCGTAACTCCCAAGCTTCTGGGTACGCTCGTTGGGCCTGATGTAGTTGCGCATGAGCGTCGTCTTTTCTGGCGTGATGACAGCCACGTCGACGTTGCTACCAGACCCGAGATCGTTCCAAATGCCCGCCTCGATGGCGTCGGCGCACAGCTTGACCGCGTCGTCGCGCGTCAGCTGCGCCCTCCACTGCGTCTCAAAGACGGACATGGCCGCAAGCGAGCCGGACCCCATCGTCACGTAGGGAAGCTTGTCGGTCGACCCGTGCGCGTGCACCGTGAACAGGTGCGTGCCCGTCGGGTCCACGCCGGCCACCACCAGGTACGCACCCACGTAGCCCTGGTACCGGAACAGGTGCTGCTTGAGCATCGTCATGCACGTCACCACGCGCGGCTTGCGGCCCGTCGAAAGCGAGTGCAGCTCCAGCTGCGAGCTGATGAGGGCGGTGGTGAACTCGGTGTCGGCCGCCGTGCCGGCGCCTGCGCACCAGATGTTGGGCGCAATGTAGTGCAGCTTTTCGCAGTTCTTGTCGGCTACGATGGGGCCTGAGGTTGCTCGTGTGTCCGCGGCGATCTGTTTGAGGGGGGAGAACGGTTAGAATTCAGTCACGGGCCGTGCTCCCGAAGGGCTGCTGCTGCTGTTGCCGTCATGCTTTCGGAATTTACATGGGCTTGGGACTCACCACGACACCGCCATCGTATATGCACCCTACGATCGTTGTTCCTGTGCTCGTTGCCTTGGGCAGCGGCACGCCCCGAGCATGTAGCGCCGCATTGCGGTTGTAATTGGAAAAGTCGAAGCCCGGCATTATGTGTAACCTATCGCGTCTGAGCTGATCTGTCGATGATAGGATTTAGGAACTGGTTAGGGTGCAGTTGCGGTAGGTGTTCAGTCTTGCCCAAGGCCTTGGGCGATGCAAGTGGTGCAGTTCGGTGGTCGTTGCTGGTGGAAGTTGGTAACGTTAGGTCGGCCGGGAGCTGATGACGAGGCTAGAGCTGCCTTCCTGCGCTGCACTCAACGCCTGGCGAACAGGGCGGCCAAGCTTCTTTGGGGAGCCGGTTAAGACACGCTGGGGTGGTGCTGCCTGGCTCCACGCTAACGTTCAACTTTGTAATTTCAATGTACTGTACGGAGTACTGTAATCTGTGTAATTCCAGAGTGCGCGGCGACTCGCGATGGCCCAAGCTCTCTCCACACGTGAAGGAAGCTAGCCAGAAAAGGCAGCAGCGATGCCAGTGAATTGTTGACGGGGATTTCTTTCAAATCGACATCGCAGTCGCGACAAGCAGACAGAAAATTCGAGGGTCGCTACCTATCTGCTCTGTTGAGCTACGTCGGGAAGGCACACCATTACGAGCACTTAAACGAAACACAAGACGAAATTCCACTGCTTCGTGTTCAAAGAACGAAGAGGAAGCCCGACCTAGTTTGTATCGGAAGCTTGCTGGCCAGAATCCATCAACAAATCCTCGAGGCTGCAAGAGTGGAGCGACGCTTGCACGACGGACTTCCTACTGAAACCTTGCACTGCTTCCTTTGCTGTTACCAGCACATGCGCATGGGAGTATCCGACTTCTGAAACCAAGTCCTATCTCAAGGGCGGCGGTGTTTCTGACACCATGGCTTTCAGCTTTGGAAGCGTCAACAACGCCATGATGGGCACTTCCGCTGGCGGCACGGGAGGAGTGACGCAGGGCCCCGACCTTGAAGCTATCCACACAGAGGTTTGATCCTACCTTTATAGAGACTTGCCGACCGTTTTGCGACTTGTTGCTGATACCATGATTAACAGGGTCTCGGGTTCCTCTCTATTGCTGGTGAATCGAAAGTCCAGTTGACCTCAAAATGGTCTCCTCCACCCGCTCCTACCGCGTCGCTTATGAGTATCGCCTCTCGCAAAGGTCTAGTCGCCGCCGCGAGCCCTGATGCGGTTCACATTGCTTCAACTGAGTCGGTACGGAAGGCATTCCAGAACGAGAAAACCGGCGAGAGCGAAGTGCGGCCGTTTGATCCCCAGGTCAAACTTCCACTTCCGATTCGAATCTCACAACTCGCCTTTACGGCCGACGAACAATACCTTGTCCTCTCGGCAGAGACAGGCGGTGGACTCGCGGTATACGATGTCCAAGCCCTTGTCCAAGGGAGTACACAATCTGCTTTTGAGCTCAGCACAAACGGGGAGACTTTGCGGGCCCTGGTTCCCAATCCGATGCCTGAAATGGGTGCATTTTGTGCCATAGTCACGAACAACGGAAACCTCTTCATGGCGAACTTGGCTGAACGGAAGCTTTTTTCGGGTCCCAATGGGCCAGTGCTGCGCTCGCAGGTCAGTTGCGCCGCTTGGAGCACCAAAGGCAAGCAGCTGGTTGCCGGCATGGCGGATGGGTCTGTCTACCAGATGACACCAGACGGGGTAGAAAAGGGCCACATCCCCAAACCGCCGAACCTGGGCGACTATCACGGTAGGCAATGTCTAGACGCTTTTCACTCTCACACTCTATGCTGACATGACGGCAGTCGCCTCGCTGACATGGCTTGAAAACCATGTTTTCCTTACTGCTCATAGCCCAACGAACAGCCAAGATCCGTCCGTCTTCCACATCATCACTCGGCAACAGCCGGCTGGCGGAACACCCACATTCACCTTTCAAAAGCTTAGCGACCCAGTCGAGCCCTTTCTGTCTGACAAGGTTCCCCACCACACAGTCCTCAGGCTCAAGGACTTCCCTCCAAACCTCCAGGATCTCCTTTTAGTCTCGTCGACCGCCACTGAGAATGTTGGCTTGCTGTCGCGGTCGAAGACGCCCTTGGCAAGCGACAAACCAGCAGAAGCAATCACCAACGTCTTTACTACGACAGAGTTGGCCGATGACTCTAGGCGCGCGCAGCTGCCGATGAGCGAGGATTTGACTGATACGTATCCCATTGGAACTGCACTCGACCTGTCCAGTAAAGAAAAGGTGTATAAGCCAATCCCAACTGATGAGATAGAGCTCTCGCCCGGTCCATTGCCGGGCTTGTGGGTGCTGAATAACGAGGGTGTCTTGTCTGCATGGTGGGTGGTCTACAATGAATCGATCCGTTCAGGGACGACTTACCCGGGAATCGCGGCCGGCGATACCGCTGCGCCAGCTTTCTCCGCTGCAGCGCCATCGGCCTCAGGCTCTACCGCCTTTGGCTCTCCCGCTAGTACAGCCCCGACGTTTGGATCACCGTCCACTGTGGCTCCCGCTTTTGGGGGGCCATCAGCCCTTGGAGCAAAGCCGTCCCCTTGGTCAACGTCCGCAGGTGCGTCTACAACCCCAGCTTTCGGCTCAAGCTCTTTTGGCAGCAACTCGCCAGCTGCTGCACCAGCTGCACCGGCGTTCGGAAAGTCTTCATTTGGATCCCCTCAAGCCGCGCCTGCTTTTGGCCAATCTTCGTCCCTAGGGCTAGGCAGTAGGGCGTCCCCTTGGGCCACCGGATCAACAAACACTGCTACGCCGGCATTCGGGCAATCGGGGTTTTCTGCTGCACAGCCAAGCCCTGGTAAGGTGTTTGGCAGCGCCGCCAGCACCGCCCCAACTTCCGGCGGATTCGCGAGCTTCGCCGGCAAAGGAGGTTTCAGTGCCCTCAGCGGTGCTTCGACCGGATCTAGCATCTTCGGGTCGAAGCCCAGTAGTGGCTTTGCATCAAAGGCACCAGAGGTCTCGATGAGTACTGATACCGCCTTTCCTCCTCCAAGTGAGAAGAAGGATAAGCCGACCTTCGGGTCCTCTTCTTTTGTTCTTGGAACAACGTTCAAACCAGACACCTCTACGGTCCAGGCTGATGAAAAGCAGAGAGACGATGGCGGCAAGTCTCTGTTTGGAAGCGGATTTGGCCTTCGTCTTGATGAAGCCGCCGCACAGCCAGCTGTGCCCGAGTCCAAAGAGGAGGACATGGAGAGCACCACACCGCCACCACCAGAGGAAAAGCCCAAGTCGATCTTTGCCGCCGAGTCTACTACACCAACCACTACCCCGGCTCCGCAGAGGTTCGACTTCAAGACCGCAACTCCTGCGGGCGGTTCCAGCATATTCGGTTCTAAACCTGCTGCGTCTGGTGGATTCTCTAACATCTTTGGCACTCCAAAGACTGCCTCAAGTGAAGTTCCCAAAAAGGAGCCGGTATCCTCGATTTTCGGCACTCCAAAGATTAAGCTGGAAGAGGATGAGAATAAGGAAAACATCTCAAGGATCCCTGAGGCGCCTCTCGCGCCCGAGGCCACCAGTAAGGCGGTCTTCCATCTGAGTTCATCATCATCAGGATCAGAATACTCACCAGAGATAGTCTCCAAGGCACCTGTAAAAACAGAGGAACCTTTGCCACCTGCCGTCCCGAACGAACCCGTCCCTCCGAAGAAGGACGAGCCGATATCCCCCGGTGAAGCACCAGGCCCGCTTGCATCCCCGCCCCTGCCCCAGGAAAAGGAGACGAAGGCAGCTGTTAAGGAAGAACCGGAAAGTTTGCCTGCTGTGCCCGATAGCGCTGGTGAAGAAAGTGTCTCTGAGGAGGGTCAAGAGAACGAGGAGGGCGATGAGGGCGATGAGGATGAGGAAGGTGATCAGGGTGAGGAGAGTGAAGGAGCATCGGAAGCCGCCAGTGAAGGGAGCGGCGTTGATGTCGCTAAGGACCTCAACCAAACAACTGGACTTGGAGGAGGCCGCACCCCCTGGTTCACCCCTCACAGCTCTTTTGAAGGCATGGCGGGAAGCACCTTCTCGACTATCTCCCGCTCTGAGGCTGATCAGCCACGCCCGTTGTTCGGTGAAATCAAACAAGCGCCTCCTCTTCTCGCGAAGCCGGTGCCGCAAAGTCCACGTTCGCCTAGTCCGATGCGTCGTGCTCCTCGGCGGAGCAGTGCCCTCAGACCTAGCGAAGCGCCTCGGTCTTTCAGCGCTCCGGGGGTAGCGTCACAGCTCCTAGGTCGGAAGCCATTACCTACACAGTCAAGTTTAGGATTCGCAACCGGACAACGAGCCACGCCTTCGGTTGACCCTAACGTACAAGCGCAACGGAAGCAGGCAGCCAAGATCCAGGCTGAGGAGCATGTACTGGTTGATCCAGAAGACGAAGGAATCCAGCAGATCTTACAATCAGAGATCGAGCCGTCCTTGCGGATACACGAATTTCTTGCCACAGATTCGAAGCTAGAGGTGTTAGAGACGTCCGATCGTGAGGGAGTACCGGCAGCCTGCGAGACGTTATGGAGAGATATCAATCGGATGATCGACAGACTCGGCCTCAACTCACGCTCACTGCAGTCTTTTATCCTTGGGCATACGACGCAATTCGCAGAGGGCGGACGGCAACTTGAGGATCTTGAGGACTCGAGCGATTGGGTGCTGGTAGAGGCGGAGGATCTTGGCACTCTAATAGACGTGGAATTGATGAATCGACTAGAAAAGGGACGCATACAAGACGTTGAGGGAACCATTGCCGCGATCCAGAGTCTATCGAAAGACCTTGCGAAACTCCGCGCCAAGGAAGAAGACATGCGCAAGATAATCAACTTACACGTCGACCCAGATCAGATTTCGGCAGCCAAGCTACTTCCCCTCAGTGCTGAACAGACAGCACAGCAAAACGAGCTACGCAGGTCTTACGCGAGCTTCCTGAGCTTGCTCGGCGAGGCCGAAAATGCCTTGACGGTGCTCAAGGCCAAGATGGCCTCTGTTGCCGGCGCGTCGGGTAAGGCGTCCGTTCCCACCGTCGAAGCCGTCATTCGTACTATCAACAAGATGACGAGCATGGCGGAGAAGCGCAGCGGGGACATTGATGTGCTCGAGAACCAGATGCGTCGCTTGCGGCTGGGATCGGTGGGTCACAACGGTGGCACTCCTGGGCGTGATAGCGTTGGGCCCCGTGAGGGCTCGCCGTTCGCCGGAACGCCTACTCCCCAGAGGAACAGGCGGTCGGTCATTATGACGCCTGACCAGCATAAGAGGGACTCGCTCTCCAGGGGCCAGGGCACCCCTGGCACGTCGCCCAGGAAAAAGATGAGCATGTATACCGAGGAGGAGAAGAGAGCGGTCCGCACTAAGGAGGCTAAGAGGAAGGCGACGCTGCAGATGCTGAGGACGAGTCTGCAGCGCGCGGGACCCAATGTTGCCAGGTTGAGGGATGACGATTGAACGGGGAAAGGGTTAGGAGAGAAGCATGGATTTCGGCAGGGAGTATGGATTATTGCTGGGTAGGATAGCCCAGAATGTATGCCTACATCTTCCAGTGTATGATTGGTACTGAGAATTTCTTGTTCACCGATGAGGGTTCTGGGCCTGCGGAATCAGTAAGCTAAGACGGGTGCAGTAAGTTGCATAAGTAAACTGCTAAATTATCGAGCACACGCTCATAGCATATCCGTATCTGAGACACCATTCACTGCTCGTAGACTTGAACTCCCAATATAACCAAGACTCGCCTATTCAAGTCAAATCTGACACGGTCTTGCAGCCCCTGTTGACATCTTTACGACCTCGTCTCTCTACGCTCATACAGTGCAATCTAACGTACAATCCATGCAGCATGAGATGACTCTTGAACCACAGGGAAAAACCAAACTCTCATTGTCCCATAATCTGAGCGAAAATCTGAGTTCCATTCTCAGTTGAGTGCCAACACCAAAACACCACTCAAATGGACCCATGCTTTCACTACCCCAGCCAAAAACATATAAACAAGCGTACATTCAGATTCAAGCACCAGCCAGATGTTAGCGTGCTTTCCGTTCCATTAATCCTAACGGAGCGCATGCCCTGATTCCTCGCGCTCAATCATCGTCCCACTCGTCCCCGCCTCTCACACCGCTGACGCCGCTCGGCACGCCCCTCGCGTCGCTATAGGACTGCTTCTTGGTCGAATCCGGTGGGGGCGGGGGCGGAGCATCCAGGTCTTCGTCCTCGTCGAGCGCCCTGGCCAGCTCATCCGGATCGCGCATCTTGGCGTCCGGGTCCACTACGGCGTCTGTCACGCCATGCTCCTCGTCGTCGAGGGGCGACTGCCCGTGCCGCCCCACCTCCTCGTCATGGTCAAACATGCCCTCGTCGGCGCTGATTGAGATGCCGCGCGATCCCCACTTGGCGCGCGGCGCGCGGCCGTTGCCATTACCGCCAATTCCACTGCCAGCGCGACGGCCACCTAGTGCTGGCGCGCTCTCCTCGTCCTCGTCAATCCCGGCGTCCTGGGCGAGGTGCTTGCTCCCAAAGATGCGGCTCAGCAGCCAGCCGCGGCGCAAATCGTCTGCGTCGACGACGCCGCCGTTGCGCAGCTTGACGCGCTGGCGGGTCCAGTAGACCCAGGCGAAATCGAGGTAGAGGGCTGTCTGGATGACGCCAAAGATGACGGACACCGGGTTCGGCGGCCTCATGTTGGTGTCGAGCTCGCCCACGATCCAGTTGATCAGGTAAAGCCCGCGGTAGGACCCCAGGAAGACGATGTACAGGGAGGTGATGACGGTCGGGACCGTGGTCTGGCGGAGGAGGAGGAGCTGGGGGAGCACGCAGACTGATTCGAGGATTTTGGAGAAGACTATGAGCCACTGACGGGGCGGGTGGTGTGGTTAGCATTGTGAGTAGAAAGGGGGAGGGGAAAGGCTATGGAGAGCTGTACCTCTTGGAAGCCCCATTCCTCGCTGCTTTCAAAGATGAGCATGACGAAGGGGGAGAGAATCAGCGACCCGGCCAGAAGGGCGGCGCTCATCTTCCATGCCACCTCGCGTTCGCGCGTGCGGGGATAGACGTAGCGCATGATGGCGATTGTGTAGAAGGACGAGAGCAAATAGAAGACCTTAAAGAAGTAATTCCATGGCCATGATTCTTGAAAGAGGTCTGTGTAGCGCGTGATGAAGACGAGGGCGTAGAAGAGCTGCGTTAGAAGGGACACGCCTGTGGGAATATCGAGCGTTAGTAATCCTGGCGATGCTCTCTCATTTTAAAACGAAAATGAAGAGGGAAGCTCTGCTGGAACAAACCTTCAGCGCTTCGATTCCGGTGGATAGAGAAGATGAGGATGCATTTGGCCGTGATATGCGACAGGTCGGCCGCTATCCTGAAGAACTATAGCTGCTATCAGCTGCGCTGCACAATATCAACGATAGCCATGGTCGACAAACAGTCCAACTCATTTTGTCTTTCTCGCAAGCCAAGTGCAGAAGGTAAACTCGAGAGCAGTTGGTCGGTCAGGCCGCACAGGGAGAAGGAATGCTGCTATGATTGCATCACTCGGGGTGCCACCGGCGTCGGACAAAGTTGGCGACTTGAAACACGAATACGTCTGGGTGGAGATGCGAGAGTTCAGCAAGCGTTGGCGCGTGAGGAGGGTGTTTAGGCACCAAGAAGCGGTCCAAAGAAGTCTGGAGGACAACGGGTCTGAATGGTCAGTGTTTCGAGCAGGAGCTGGACAGCGCAGGTCGAGGTCGACCTGGTGGACGGGGAGGCAGGGGCGTTGCGTGTGCATTCAGCCTTCTTGTCAAGCCGAAGGGTTAGGGTACGCTCCCTCCGCAGCTTTTCTGCTTGGCATTGTCCCCACATTGAAACCCAAACAGGCCCCGCGGGCCAAGTAAGTGGGGCACAGTGCCGATCCCTGTCAGCGTGCTGCGAGTAGGTCTGAATGCATTGTCGCGTCCCGCAGCTCCAAAAGTCCAGAAGCGCGTTGAACCTCCAAAGCCGGAAATGTATCCGTAGTGCATGACCCTTGTTGCTGAGGGAATCACTATGCCGCAGCAACATCCAGAGTGTTAGTATCTTATTGACGAGATCATTAGGATAGGGAGTGATGGCGACCAGTATGTCTGCATTCCCAATAGGATTGAATTATTTATTGACCCTTATGCTGATTGACACGATGCAGGACAAGAGCGCATGCGAGACCGCATGCGCGGGGCAGGGTGAGCCGCTTCACAACACCACGTTTTGGAATTCTCTCAAATTGATACCAGATCAGGACACACCATGTAGGGGACGTTGATTTTGGTTTCATCATCCCCGTCGCGGACGAGCCGGCAAATGAACCCGAAGATCCCTCAGCCATCGAGTCATCACTACCATCACTGCCATCACCCCCACCGCCAGCTCCTGTCCCGACGACAACACGACCGACGCCAAACACATCCGCGAAACGAAAACACCTCTATCGCGATGCATCCCGAATGAGCCCTCCTCCAGCACATCCAGTCGCAATGCCCGACACGCGCACCAAACGCGCCTCAGAACAAGCCACCCTCCGAAGACCATCGCCAGAGCAAGCAGAAGACGAGGACGAGCCCATGGAAGAGGCTCCGCCCCTGCCCGTACCAGCCCAAGAGCAGCCGCAATCCCGCCATGCGACCCGCGGCCCGCTATCGAGCGTAATCTCCGCCACAAAGCGCCTCTCGATCGAGCCCACGTCCTCCTCCTCTCCGCCTTCACGCAGGGGAAGATCCAGAAGAGTCCCACCTCCACCACAACACCAGCAGCACCAACATGAGCCGCAACTACAAGAAGAAGAAGTGGCCGAGAGCCCCGCCGATGCCCCCGGCAGCGGCAGGCGCAGGCCAGTAGCCGTGAGCGCCGGCACCCCTGTCGTCGGGTCCAGCGCCCTCCTGCAGAAGGTGTTAGAAGACCTGGACGGCGACAGCACGCAGCAGGCCATGATGGACGGGATGCCCAGTTCGTCGCCCACCGAGAGGAGGGTCGCGACGAGGAGCGCGGCGAGGAGGAGGTCTGCTGAGGTGTCGTCTGCGGGCTTGGCTGGACTGTCGGGAAGAGGGACTAGGAGCAGTGCAAGGTTGTCGGGGGGGAGTGGTAGTAGCGCGGTTGAGGGCGACGGGGAGACGACGTCGCTGGGAGTAGTGGAGGAGGCGGAAGAGGAGGGGGTTGATGGGTTGGTTGCTCAGCTTGGTGGTGGTCAAGCGCCGGTGCAAGAAGAGGAGGCCGACGGGGAGCAAGAGGAGGCGCAAGAGGTGGGCGACAAAGAGGCTGCTCAGCGATTGGGCAGGGGACGCTCTCGTCGAAATCAGCCGGTCGGCTCACCCGAGCTGAACTCGGGGCTCACGGTGGGATCGCCGACTCTCAAACGGCGCCGGAGGAGAGAGCCCGCTAGTCCTGCGCAACAGCAACAGCCCGCGAAGAGACCAAGAAGGAGTAAATCGCCACCTAAACCTCAGCCTCAACCCCAGCCTCAACCCCAGCCTCGGGAGAAGCCAAAGCCAAAGCCAAAGCCAAAGCCAAAGTCAGGAACGAAGAAGCAGGCCAAGGCGAAGCGCAAACCACCCAACGAGGAAGGTGCGGAAGAAGGAGAGTCCTGGTCAGTACCGGTGACTGTCCAGCGTTTTACCAAACAGCCGCGCGGTGGTGATGAGGCCAATGGCGAGGACGGACAAGACGCCGAGATCCCGTTTGCGAACCGTGGCGGAGTGAATGCGGTGGACGTCCTCTCCAAACTGTGTGAGGAGCTTGTAGAAGCCTACATGGCCAAGTTGGAGGAGCGGGCAAGGGCAGCTGAGGACGCGGCAACCCGGAGGGAACAAAAAACGATGTACCGAGCACTAGAGGCTTTTCAGGAAGAGCTGAGGACCCGATTGTTGGAGCATGTAAGTGCCAGCATTTTCCCGGGCTTATTGTTCCGTTTTGAGCACTAACGCAGGTTCTAGACCATTGCCCTGGATACACTGCATGCTCTGCGTAAGAGAGTGCGAGCAGCGCAAAAAGAGAAGCTTGCTTTGCGAGATGAAATACTGCGGGTTCGTGCCGAGAGAGATCAGGTGGCACTACGGATGGACGCCATTCGGATCAGGCATGAAGCTGAGAGTGTGGAAGCTCTGGTGAGTCTTAACTGTTAACTTTTCCTCCTACTTGCTTGCCCGTGCTGACCAGCGGCAGCGTCACATATCACTCTCATCAGCCATGCATGACATTGATCTCGCGGTTGAAAAAGGGCAGGCTGCGCCTGAATTGTCCACACCGGAGCGAAAGAAGGCAGATTTGGCCAACCTGGAGCTGCTGATAAGCCGCGTGGCAGATCAAGCATGCTCCAGGAGTGACGGGGGAGGGGCACTGAGGCAGATCAAAGAGTTCAACGCCTTCTTGGAGCGGGCGGCAGCTGCTCTAGAAGGACGGTAGCCTTACCCAAGTCTTGTGGAGAGCATGAATGAAATGTGCACCCCCAGTGGCAGCCCGGTATCTGTGATGACACCTTGAATCGTATTCTGTACAGTACATATTGGTACAGGATGATGACAACTGCAGCTCCCCGAAATCGCATCATTCCGGCTTCGGCCCAGACCACGGCCCTACCCCAACGGCCGACTTGATCTTGTCAAACAGCGTTTCTTCCCCTTTCTGCTTGCGAGCTTCCCTCTCCTTGGCTCGCTCCTGCCACAGGCCTTGTAACTTCATCGCCATTTCGGCCTTGGCCTTGTAGTCGGCTCTCAGTGCTGCCTCTTCGGCCTCGCGCTCCTCCACCGGCAGCTTCTCCAGCTTCTCCTTCCAGGCGGCCACCGTAGCAGCGCTCGGCTCGAGCGGATCCCTGGCATCCCCAGCAGCAGCAGCAGCCGCACCACCCGGCTTAAGATTACTCGTATTATTATTCTCAAAAAGCGGCTTGAAAACAGGCGGCTCCCTTCCCTCCTCCTTAGCCCTATCAATCTCCCTCTGCTGCGCCAGAACCCGCTGATACAGCTCATCAGCACGCATCTGTATATCCTCATCAACCTCTGGATCCCGGCCCGCAACACTCAAATAGCCCAGGGCCTTGAGCAAACGACTCTGGGCGTTGTAGCAGCGCTCAAAGCGCTGCACCTCGTCGCGGCACATGGTCATGCGCGCCCGCAGCGACCCGGACTTCATGCACTCGCTCCACTCGACCTGCTCCTCAGCGCAGTTCTCGAGCGCCGCCCGCCCGATGGCCGCCCGCCGCTCCTTGTACGCCTCGAGCACGTCCGTCAGCTTCTCGCTGTCCGATTTTGTCTCGGCCTCGACCGACGCCAGCGGGCGGTATGTTTTCCATAGGTGCGCGTACCGCCCGTCTTGGAACAGCGATTCGCGCGGGACGGGGGGTGTTTGTTGTTCTGGTTGTTGTTGCTGCTGTTGTGTCGGTGATTGATGCGGTTGTTGTGATTGTGATGGTTGCTGCGCGTCTGTGGTGCTGGTAGTGGTGTACTTGACCGGAGACTCCCTTTCGAGAAACTCGCGCAGCTTTGGGTCGAGACGGCGGAGCGGGTCTGAGTCGTTGCTGCTCGAGCCAAACCAGCCGTCAAACCACCCCATTGTATCCAATTTGTCTTGCGTCAGCTGCGGTATTCAATTGCGCTCGTCTTTGAACATCAACTTGTCGCGATCGAGGCGGCTCTGGATGCTCGTTGTCGATGGACTGGAAGCTTGATGAGGTTCTAGAATTTAGGCGGGGTCCCGCGGCAGAAACCGGTAGCTAACGCAAGTTGTCTCGTGTTCCCGTGTACAATAGCTAAGGTAACCCAAGTATCGCGACATCTGCGACCTTGACTTCGGGTTCATAGATTCCATGGCAGCATTTCTAAGATCACACCACTCGATCGGCCTCGCAATGTCTTGCCAGCCACGGGGATCACATCACCTGCGCTAAAAACTACCATGGAGACATGGACCATAAATACGTATCTCCCCGTCCATGGGGTGTCCGTCCATGGGGTGTCCGTCCAAGTGCGCAGACATCATAATTGAATCACCATCACAAAGGGCTCACAACACTTCAAAACCATCAGTTAAATTCTGCATCTCGGACACTTAGTTGGTAACCCTGAGGCAGGTGAATAAACTATACACCATAAACTTTCATACTCCCATACCAGATCAGAAGCCAACCATGATCCTCTTTGAAACGACCGAATCAGTGATCGAAGTCCTCTGGGACATCGCGCTGGCCTTCTTTGTCGTCCGCCTCGCCCTTCTCTACGCCGTGCTCACCTTTGGGTCGGTCCTGACCGTGGAGCTCCTCCTGCACCGCCTCCCTCCCACAAGTGCTCTCTCCGTTGCTGCCCCTGACAAGGGCCGCCTGCTGCTGCCGTTCCTCTTACTGACCGTCTCAACCATATGGGCGCGCTTCCTCGTCGCGCACTTCCAGGTGCCGCGCAATGTGCCATTCCGCCTGGCGGTGGGCGTCACGGCCGCCGCGCTGGGCATGATTGGGGAGAGCCTGGTGCGGTTGGTGCTGTATGAGGGCGGGTGGTGGAGTGTAGGGGAATGGATGAGGGTTGGCTGGAAAGTCTGGGCCCCCATGATGATGGCGTTCGCAGTCATGCCAGCGGTGCAGATGGCCTTTGAGAAGGGTTGGGAGGCCGTTGAGGAGGAGGTGGAGGAGCTGAGGCATAGGCATGCGAAGAAGAGTATTAGGGATGCTGTGTAAGTTGTTCCATGTATGAATAGGAGTTGTTCGCGGGCGTGCAAGATGATGCTGATGAACGATACCCTACCCTAGCCCGTCTGTTAGCGTTTCGGAGAAGAAGAGGAGAGAAGCCGAGGCCGAGGCCGAGACTGTAAGCCATGACAGTCGATCCGACCAATACCGAGTGGAATGAGGCCGAGGATCGATATCTATGAAGATACCCTCATGGGATTTCATGGAGAGGGGCGCTCGTTTCCGACTCCAGCTGTCAACTTTCCTAGTACGTTATTCTGATAATCGGATTACAGGAGAACGCGTCGAGGAGCCCGGCGCATCAGAGCCAAAAATGAGATTTCCTTCAGGGAATTCGGAGCTTCAGGTTCTGATCCTGGTTACGCTCGTGATATTGAGGGTCTAGTGACAGGGACAAGTCAGTGTGAGGTTAAAGTTTTGCATCCGAGCGCGGGTATCATATGTCAATTAAGGTTGCATATCCCCAAAGGCGATCTTCACCTTGCCAAGGGAGAGCCACCCCATCTAGATGATTGACGTGGGATCCAAGATTCTGATAGATGGATTGGTTGACGGAGAATTTTCGCCTGATGGACTGTTCCTGCCATCCAACTTCCTGGCCACCTGCCTGAACAGTACCTGGGCTACATTCCACGCGACATAAGGGAAGGTACCGCACTCCCGTGCCTGCCTCGAGCCCTTCATTGACATGCAGCGATGCACGCACTACCGCGTAGTAGTACCGGCAGGCCAAGGACGGGCCTGTCCCCAACTAAAGGTCCGGGTCTAAGGTAGCGTCGATTCTGGATGGAAGCTGCACATCTTTCGAACGTCATTCGACCATCGATTACCGGAGTACGCTCTGACTGCAATCCTGCTCCACCAAAATCATCCAGAAGGGACGGCAATGTCGCTATCATGGCTGTTCAGATACGCTCTGCCGCTGGCGGGAGGGGCAAAATGAATGCAGCCTTTATTACGGAATGCAAGCACAATGGGGGAGGTTATCTTCCAATATCGTGATATTAAGAGGCTGCATATCCGGATGTTCGGCGGCAGCGCGGTTGAACTTCTCCCGCCGAGCTCCATCTATATCACCATCTATATCAAACCAGTGCTATCACGTTTGTGCTTCCTCTCTAGCGACAACCAGCAATGTCCTGGCGCGCGCGTGCTGTTCCGGACACATGGCCGGCTTCTCCTCTCCTTCGAAGCTGCTTCCATTGACATTCCCGGGCCGGCCAACCTGGAAGTGGCAGTCCGGCTAAAGGTCGCGCGATATTGGCTTCCCTTTGCCTCAGGACGATGCGATAACCGTGTACTGCACGTCCTCTGATATCTTGGAGGAGCCGGCACATCCGCCCTCCTGTGATCATGTCGAGTGCTCGCTGGATCTCCCATCCAATGCTCTGCAAAAGGGTCTGAGGCTGGCGTGCCGAGCCTACCGGAAACGGCCGGTTTCTGCATTCTTCGCATTAGTACGCGGTCGAGCCGTGGAAGGGTTTTAAAAGCTTTCGAGCAGGCCTCTCCGTGGTTATCTTCTTTACGGTCCTTACATTCCTACCATTCAGCTGGAAGCCGCAATGCTGTCATTAGCCTGGCTTCTCGTCGCCCCTGTGCTCCTATCGAGAGTCTCGGCCATTCCGAGCCCGGTACTAAGCCCCAGGGCAATCCCGAGCTCGACGCCACATGCCCCTGAATCTGTCGATGACAGTGAGGGGTGGATACCAGCATCGGGATTCCGCAATGCGCTATACTTCACTAACTGGTTGGTCTGCTCTACGTTGACTAGGAGACGATAACGACCTGACTGTTTCAGGGGTATCTATGGCGCCGATTACCAACCTCGTGGGTGATGTCCGAAATATGAGATCAGGAAAGCAACTGACCCATATGTCAGAGGAACTTCCTGCCGAAGAGATTACCCATGTCCTCTACGCATTCGCCGACATTGCTTCAGATGGAGAGGTGTAGGTATCGAGCATGACTGCACTATAGGCTCAGCTAACGAATTCTAGAAAATCCTCAGACAGATACTCTGACCTTGAGAAGCACTACCCCACAGATTCGTGGAACGATCAGGGGAACAACGCATACGGCTGCGTCAAACAGCTGTACATTCTCAAGAAGAAGCATAGGCACTTGAAGATCCTTCTCTCCATAGGCGGTTGGACATATTCACCCAAGTTCGCTCCTGTTGCTGCAACTGAGGCCGGACGGCAACGATTCTGCTCCTCTGCAGTTCAACTTCTACAAGGTATGATCTTTCACGCAATGATCCCGTTAGCCACCGCCACTCACATACCTGACTGTAGACTGGGGCTTCGACGGCCTCGATATTGATTGGGAATACCCCGCCGACGCGGCTCAAGCGCAGAACTATGTCCGCCTTCTCCAAACCTGCCGAGCCGCCCTCGACTCGTACGCGGCGCAGTACGCGCCGGGGTACCACTTCCTTCTCACGATTGCCGCGGCGGCCGGCCCACAGAACTACAACACTATGGACATTGAAGCCATGGATCCCTTGCTCGACGCGTGGCACCTCATGGCTTACGACTATGCGGGCTCGTGGGACTCGACCTCGGGTCACCAGGCCAACCTGTACTCTAGCAGCGCCAACCCGGCCAGCACAAAGTTCAGCACCGAGCGCGCCGTCAGCGACTACCTAGCCCGCGGTGTGTCCTCCCGCAAGCTCGTCCTGGGCCTACCGCTGTACGGCCGCTCCTTTGAGTCCACAGCCGGCCTGGGCCAGCCCTACAACGGTATCGGCCAGGGATCAATCCAAAGCGGCGTGTGGCTCTACAAGGACCTGCCCAGGCCGGGGGCCGTTGAGATGTACGACGATGTTGCCATGGCCAGCTATAGCTTCGACCCGGCCAAAGGGGAGTTGGTGTCTTACGATACACCCCGGAGCGCCATCGAGAAGGTTCGCTATCTCAGGGCAAAGAGGCTTGGGGGTACAGTGTTCTGGGAGGCCAGCGGGGATAAGCAAGGGGAGGGTAGTCTGGTGGGCACGGTTGCGGACGAGCTGGGCGTGTTGGACAGGTCGAGGAATTGGTTGAGTTTCCCGGTGAGCCGGTATGACAACATTCGGGCTGGTATGCCGGAGGTTTGATGGTGAGAGGGGATGAGCGTTCAATTCTTAGCAGCCTGAGCTGTGCTTGGGTTGAGTTGCTCTGCTTCGCTTTGCTTGTTCATCTCCAAGTCCTGTAAGGGTTTCGCTTACTCGCATTTTTTGTTCAGTGTGGTCAGTCAATTTGGCATATGCATTCGGAAACACGATAGGATAGACTCCCCCTGGTTACTCGACATTCACACTTCCATCAGAACGCAGTCTTGCCAGTGTCGTATGTCTCCTATGAGCATATGTGTCCCGTAGCTATATTCATTGTGCCCAAGGATAGCCTGGTTGATGCGTGTTTGATCTCTGGGAACGGAGATTGGGCATTGGGTAAACCCCATCCCAGATTGAAATTGTCCTGGTTTTGGGGGTCATTACCAGAAGTGAACATGTTCAGGTCCATACTCAGCCAAGGCATTGCTTTTATACTGTGAATGGAATGTCATAATGATCCTTCTAGTTTCGCTGTGATTGTGTTGCGAGGTGAGGAGATCCAATAATAACAATCTCCGCCATCGAAACCGATCATGTTTCGGATCCCGAAAAGGCAGAAGGACATCTCCTGCACTGCACAGCAAGCATCATCCAATCCCATGTCAACGAGAACTCTCCTCTGAGTGTCTGTTTTTGAGAAATCTAGAACATTTGGTATCTACAGCGCCGTATATACATGATTCATCTCATCTCTTGACTCCCCCTGATCGCGCGCCCAAATTACCACCAGGCTCCTGGCCGCAAACTGTAAAGACAGGGGATAAACCCCAATAGTGTAGTACGTCTGTATATGGGAAAGAAACCGCCATCACCGATGGCATCAGTAAACTGGCCTATCCCTTGTTACTTTTACTCTTCGGAGGTTACTGCCTCCTTGGGTGCCTGTAGGCAATTACAACCACACCACCACCATGATGCCAGCAAACGCCACGACCAGCCCACCGTGGCTCTTCATCAGCACGGCATCAGCCCCTGCCGTGACGGCGGCTGTCGCGTTCGCGTTCGCCTGGCCTCCGGCCCCCAGCCCCAGCACACCGTTAGTACCGACAGCATCGGTCTGCGCAGTCACCGCAGTAACCAAAGTAGTCGTGACGCCGTCGCTGACCGTGGTGAGGGTCGTTAGTGGCCCCGAGGTAGGGAGCGGCGCGGCAACCCCTGTCACGCCGTTCACGCCGGCGCTCGGGGGGTTCGGCAGCGGCCGCAGGGAGGCGCTGTCGCCGCCCGACGACGTCGAGTTGGTGAAGCCCACCAATCCACCTGGTCCAGTCGAGTTCATGTTGGTGGCGCCGTCCAGCCCCGGCGGGGTAAGCAGCGTGTTGCTGCCGTCGCCGGGAGTGGAAGTGGACAGGGGCGTGGCTGCGCCGGCATCGCTGATGGGCGTCGGGGCGACTAGCCCGCCCGAGGCCTGGGCAACACCCGAGGTAAGCGCGCTGTTGCTGCTGCTGTTGCTGAAGACGAACCCCTGCGTGGGGACGGCCGTGGGCGTAGCGGTACCCGCTGTGTCTTCGACTACTACTACCGCGGACGTTGATGATGATGCTGATGATGATGATGATGCTGATGCGCTGCCTGCGATGGGGGTGAAGGAGCCGATCAGCACAGCGCCGGCATTCGCGGAGCTGGCGGGAGCGGCAAGAGTCTCCGCCGCACTGGTAAGGGCGGTGTCGGAGGCGACCGCCGCGGCGGTGGTGTCGGAGGCGCCGGCTACTATGGTGCTGAAAGAACCGATCCCGCCGACAGCGGGAACGGCGGCTGAGCTGGTTGTTTCCGCGCCAATTATGGAGGTGGCCGCTGCCGCGGATGAATCGACCGCAACCGCGGTAGAAGCGCCGAAGATGGGAGTAAAGGACCCAATTACTTGGCCAGCGCCGTTGGATACAACGGCCTGTGAAGGATGTCAGCGAGAAGTGCAAGACGGTCATACGGTGGTGGGCCAGACGTACCGATGTTGAGCCTCCAGGAGGCGCCACCAGGGACACCGGCGCGGCTGTATCAAGGCCAGGGGGCACTCTCAGGGTTGCAGCCGGAGCGCCTAGCGGGCTGGTTGCTATCAATACCGGCTGTGTTTCCACCGTCGTCGCGACCGGTGGAACTACTGCTGCTGGTGTCTCTACTACTACCGGAGGCGGGGCGGGTGCCCCTGTGTTCAGTGCCGGCAAAGGCTGAAGGGAGCCTGTGTTTGCGCCCCCTTGCAAGCCAGGTGGTTGCCTCAAACCCGACGCAGCAGCAGCGGCATTGGCAGCAGCGGCCGCTGATGCTGCTGCGGCGGCACTTGATTGCTGTGCTGCCAGGACCTCAGGTGGTATTGGGGTCGCAGCCGGGGCGTTTTGGGGGTTGGCGACGGTCTGTATCCGAACATTCCCATTGCCCACTCCTTGATTCGCGTTTTGAGGCGCCGCAGCTGTATCCCGAGCGGCAGTAGCCAGGAGGACTGTTATGAAGGTTCCGGTTGAGAGATGCATCGTGGTCGTCGGGACACTTGTGGCTGGCCAAAGTGGTATGAAGATCAAAGGATATTAGGCCAGGCCAGAGCTGGCGTTTTGAGGAAAGACACAGTCAACTGCGTATAAAGGAGGTAGAGAAACAAATACACTGGCCTGCAGTCACGAAGTGAAGGGCAAAAGGAGAAAGAAACGAGAACCGGAGCGGGCCCAGTACACCGCAAGGGGGACGGGAGACTTGGGAGTGTAGGAGAGGGCAGGAAAGGAGAAGAGGAGGAAGAGATCCAGGTATAGGAGAGGAATATATGGCGGCAGCATGTTCAAGGGGATTTGCGGCAAGTGTTTGAGCATCAAGGCTCGAGATCATCATCCACCATCCTGCTTGTCATCCCGCTCCAGGGATGGGGTGTCCCCTGAGGGAAAGAAACGTCTCATGGTGAAGGCAAACAAAAAGCGACCTGATGTGCCTTGTGCATCCTTGACAACCCTAGGATGCCGGACGCCAAGGATTTTTCCAAGGAGATGCTTCAAGGGATGATGCACACAACGGCATTCATCCGTCCTCCTTCCGTCTTGGAGTCGCGGGTGAACAGGGTCTGAGCTGAGCCTCTGACACGGAGCCTTGCGACGATGAAACCTCACTCGACCCCACAGTGAGTTTCAGTGTTAGTGACAGCAGTGAGCAAGCACCTGACTCCTTAACAGACAGCCGAAGCGATGTCGAGTCGGGTACCTCAAGACAGAGCAACAACCCCTTGGCAACCTAGTCAAAAGCCAAGTTATTCAAGCATGCTGTCAGAGCAGTGAGCCCGAATCCAAAGTTGAGAATAACCTTACATCCAAACATAATAATTGTGGATTGTGGCCGTCCTGTGATGGCCAGGGTCAGTTATGCAAGCAATTCGCCAGATGTCATGCACCTGGGAGTCACTGCCAAGCAAACGACCTTCGACTTCGCAGAAGAGGAGGCATGGCCTGGCTGCCCCGGAGGGACCTCAGCGGATTCGCAGAACCGGGCTGATCCAGACTCCATGTCAATGTCATACATCTTATCTGTTCATAGTTCATACCGTCATTGGACCAGACATTCCCCTTCGCAATGGCGGTTAAAGAGATCCAAGTTTTCAGGTTGGGCGTCGAAACGCAGTTCGAACGCCTAACAGCGAGGGAGAAACGATATGCCCACCACATGGCTCGGTAGGCGAGTGCCTGGGTTGAATGCTTAGCGTGCAGATTTACTGACCGTTTTGGAGCGCTGCTTGGTTCGGCACCAAAATCATTCTGAGACAAGTTTCCCCAGAGTCATTGGCGATATTCGATTTTATCCTCGAGCTCCATCGTGCCTGCCGTGGAGATTGGGATACGCTCGCTAGTTTAGGCATCAGCCGAGATGATATCCGTCGTTTCCAGACTTACGCCGCGACTTTTCTGTCCAATGTTGGCAACTACTTTGTACGGCTAGGCACAGTCCTGGTGCGGCATCATGTGTGCTGATGAAGTTCATGCAAATCCCGTAGGGCTCCGGAGATCAGAAGTTTGTGCCCGACGTTGGCGATGACGTCCTCAAGAAATTTGCCGCTATATCTCCGACACTTTCCAAGCTCTACAACGAGCTAGCCTCGTCAATCAACGCCGTACCCCCGTTCAGCCTTGGTTACCCAAGCGGTACCACGCAGAGCACCTACTATCTCGGTGACGGGATCACGGAGCAGGATATTGCCATCGTGTCAAGGGTCCTTGAGCAAAACTCCATCTTTCCCGAAAACACCAGGGTCCGGAAAAACGAAAATGGCATAGACTTTGACGTTCTCCTTGCTTCCGTTCAGAGCGGCGACGTGTCTCAGACCTTCCCCCTCCCCGATGAAAAAGGGCATATTCGGCTAGTCCGTGGTGACCACTCGGCCGAGTTGGAGCGGGTATGCACAGAACTTGCTGAAGCAATCAAGTATGCCGCAAACAGCGAGCAGAAAGACTTTATTCACGCCTACATCGAGAGCTTCCGCACCGGCAGCTTGGATACATACCGTGAATCTCAGCGGATCTGGGTTCGAGATAGGGCCCCGAGAGTGGAGAACATATTTGGTTTTGTCGAGCCATACCGCGATCCTCACGGGATACGGTCCGAGTTCGAGGCTCTGGTAGCCATCGCTGATGTCGATGAGACGCGAATCCTAGCCAAGCTGGTCGAAAACTCGACCAACTTCATCCGGCGTTTGCCATGGGCAGCGCCGGAAAACGACGGGAAAGGGCCGTTTGAGAAGAATCTATTTGAGCCTCCGGACTTTTCAAGCATCCATGGTACGTGAAAAGAAGCTGCCCATGTCAGGATGTCGTCAGAGGATGAGTAGAATTTCTGACAGCTGTATAGCGCTTGCCTACTGTTCTAGTATCATTTTCCCCGGAATCAATTTGCCAAACGTTCGTCGTCTTAAAATTATTTCCGCAAACTTGGTTTAAAATTAGTGCTGATATTATGGCAGTACAATGATATTCGGCAAGAACATGGCTTCAAGAACGTGATCATCTCCAATCGAATGGCTGTTGAGAGCCAAGCGAAACAGTACCCTTTCATCGATTCCTCTGAGGCAGAGACATTCATGAAACACAAATTCCCAGCATATTACTGGTGGGTTGTGCTTCATGAGCTCCTCGGCCATGGCACGGGGCAAATGATGGTCGAAATCGAGGAGGGAAAGTACAACTTCGACATTGAAAACCCGCCCATAAATCCAATCACCGGGAAGCCTATCACATGCTGGTATAAACCGGGTCAGACGTGGACCGGTCAGTTCGCTGATTTGGCGACCACGGTTGATGAATGCAGAGCGGAACTTGTCGGGGCCTATCTCATGGATGATACCGAGCTTCTGGAGCTGTTCGGGTTTACTGACAGCTCATATATTCGGGCAGAGGACCGTGAGTATCTCACGTCTGAGACTAGAGACTACTAGTCGAGCTGACGTCGTATGGTTTACTTTAGTCACCTACAATGTCTATCAACAGCTAGGCGTCGATGGCTTACGGGGGCTTGCGAATTTCAATGTAGACAGCGGGGTAAGTTTCTGCCCAAAAGTGGACGCTTGAATTCGTCTTTGGTGTTATAAGGGCTAATCAACTTCTCTATAGAGATGGGGGCAGGCTCACAGCCGAGTTAGTCTTGAATTTTCAGTTTTCTTGGAGCAACTGATACGGGTGACCAGTGAGTGAGTGAACTGGGCACTAACGATCTTTCAATAGGCCCACTTTGCCATACTCAAATGTCTGCTTCTCTATGGTGGAGGTGTGGTGACGGTGTCGCACGACAAACCAACGCAGAGCCTCAAAGTACGCGTTGACCGATTCAAGATTGTCACGCACGGAAAGCCCGCGCTCGGTAACATGCTCCTTCGGCTCCATATGTATCGGTGCACAGCGGATGTCGAAGGCTGCCGTGCCTACTACGAGGAACTCTCCGAGGTCAACGGCGAATACCTGGAGTGGCGACAAGCAGTGCTAGCTAACAAGCCTCCGCCGCTTGTCTTTGTGCAGGCCAATACATTTCTCGACGGAGACACGGTTGTGCTCAAGGAATACGAGCCAACAATCAAAGGCGTAATTGAGAGCTGGGCAGAGCGTGAGGTGTGAAGCATCAGTTCTGGAGACTTTCTAGACGGGCCGCCGGGGTGGGTTTTGTCATTGTCCCGAGCATGATCAGAAGTCAGATTGGTATCTATGAACTGTCCCCCCAAGATCCGAACAATAGGACAGATTTGTCCCCTTCACCTGCTGACGGCGCCGAATTTCTTTCTTTCTTTCTTTCTTTCTTTCTTTCTTTCTTGCTTCCTTTTTTATCTCGTTTTTGTTGTTCCCCCCTGGGGCCCCTCCCACGTGTCATCTTCAACCATTACCACCTTGTCGCCTCCCATCAAGGTATTGCAGTATCTGAAATATCGTCTGAAGGAGAGCAAGCAGAATGCTCAGCGAGCCGAAGATGAGAACACTCCACAACGCAAGCCAGGAGGTCGAGTCACGTCTGTCAGTCCACAATTGCCGAACGTTGCGAGGCTTTCTGCTGGCCGCATAACCACTCAGCAACGCTATCCTACCTCTAAGGTGGGGAAAGTCTGCCTCCAAGTCGTATACATCCCGCTCCACCAGCTTTGCCACGGGACACTCGAACCGCTTTCTACCGCACAGATGAGCAAGCAGAGGATCCCGGCCCTGTGGTGGTATGCCTGCGAACGGCTGTATCTTTCGAAAGACGGCCCGTGATCTCCTTTCCTGACCAAAGATCAGACGGTAGGAGAGCAAGATTTCCCAGAGAAGGCCGGTCACGTCCTCCTTGTTTCCCCACGGCATCGGGTTGGCCCTCTCATTAGCACAGTGATGCAATACGCTCCCCCAGCCATCCTGCCCCTTGTGCGGTTTATGTGTTTGTTGGAGATTCGAGACGCAGAACGAAGGATATCGAAAGAGGAACAGTTTCCCGGAATGTCGATCCAGCTCAAGATGGCAGGCGAGGGAGTCGACCCACTCGATCGTCACGTTGCACACGTTGGTTAACAGGTGCGCGTGGAGATCCTTGCGGCTGATGGACTTGGTCTTGTTGACGAGAGCGCGATCATCGGCCTCATCCAGGGCGAAGTAGTTTCTCGGAGGAAGCATCACCCCAAACCCAAGGAGAAAGGTGGGCAAATTCTGATCGCTTGAAGAAGCAAGCTGACAAAGGCTTACTCGCGTCTCGCCACGATACCCGCCCATCTCGTTGAGAATGCGAAACTCTCCATTAGTGCACGAGGTGAAATCGGGCATGTACAGCATCGTCTGCCAGCCTAGGATGGAAAATACAAGCTCCTCCGCTGACTGAGCAGCTTCGTAATTGTTCTTCGTGGAAAGAAGGCCATGGTCGACAAGAGCACGTGTGACGCTCCTGATGCTTTTGAAGCCCGAAACCACAATGAGTGCTTGAACCCGATTCCAGACGGTGAAAAAGGGGCCAAAATCGGGATCCTTATCCGAGTCGAAGTCCGGTAGACTCAACAGCAGCCGTTGTGGTTGATTGCGAAGCTGCTGAACCACCCACCAGCGATACCAAGGGAGTTCGTCCAGGACATTGGACTGGCCTGTACTGCAGGGCATCGGAAACAAAAGCGAGTTCGGGCATTGGGGTTGAGAGAAACGTAGGTGACTTTGTCTATGGCATGGGCATCGACGGATTTCCACTGATTTCAATAGTTAAACGGCTTATAATGGGAGAGCCGCGCGGCTGCGGATGCCCACTGCAGGGTTGGCCGGGAACGATGCAGCTCTACGCGCCGTCCCGTGCGGGGCTCAACCCGATGCGCCGCAGTGAAGCGTCAGTTCTGGGTAGGACACGGAGGTGCTGCAAAGCGTTCCGATTGGACTACATGCATGATACCCCCTCAGGGTCGATAGCGGCAATAGGGCCCTGTCTGGCGCACCAGAGCGCTGCCCTCCCCGGCATCCCAAGCCTTCTCAAGGCCCTCAGGTCCAGGTGAAGATACATACATCCCAGGCTGGATTCCAGCCGGAAGTCAACTATGAAAAAGTGAGTGTCTCGCAGGCGTGTCAGTCTCATATGAGATGGAAAGAACTCTAAGCGACTAACCAACGTTACTGGGCAAAGGGATACTTCCAGCAAGCTCTGGTTCAGGGCTTTAGCCAAATACCGCGATGAACTGCAAGGTGCCGGGGACTTTGAGGCGATTCAGCAAATTCACTCTCTTGATGAGCTCATCGACTCCTTAGCCTCGGTGCAGGTCGCTGTACCCGGCAGTTACGCCAGCGTCAGCTCTCTTAGCAGACTTGCTCCGAGGCTGAAGTTCGTCGATGACTTTGCAGCCATCCTCGCCCTTTACTTTGGCGCCGACACGGCAGTAACGGCGGCAGTTTGGGGCAGTATCAGGCTCATCCTTTCGCATGCTTCGTCGGCTGCAGAGACGCTTCAGGAAGTCCTCGATATGCTCGAGGAACTCAGCCTGACGCTTCCGCGTTTTCAAATCTACGAGCAGACGCTACCCCTGAATCGCCAGCTGCAGGAGGCGTTGGTCGACGTGTACAGCGAGATCATTTGTTTTTACGCCCGAGCTATTACTTTCTCCGCAGCAATCCCAACTCGCTTATGAGGAAGCATTCGTGGCAGGCCTTTCGAAATGATTTCTCCCACACTGTGATGCGCATCAAGCGCTTATCATCAACCGTTGAGAGTGAGGCTGACATAGCACGGATGCAAAAGGACGAAGGCCGCTACAAGGAAGTCCTAGAGCTCCTGAGCTCCATGCAGATGGCCAAGACGGACAGTGACACGAGGATCCGCTACAACAACATTCCATTTCCAGCCAATACGAGATTCAGCGGGCGCGAGGACGTGTTGGATGCAGTCCATAAGGCGCTTAGTCTTCGGGACACTGCTACTAGTACTCAATCTCCGAGATCCATGGCCTTGTTCGGCATGGGCGGTGTCGGAAAGACCCAGATTGCACTTCAATATGCGTACCAGAACCTGGAAGAGTTTCAGGTCATCCTGTGGGTTGCAGCGGATAACGCTATCGCCATCGGCCAGAGTTTTCGTGCTATTGCTGAGGGGCTTGGGCTTTTGGGAACAGAGGACTACACAAAGGATGCCGCTGCAGCTCTTTGGAAGGTCAAGAATTGGCTCACCAAGACTAGTATGTCCGCCAAAGTCGCCACATTTAAGTCCGTATTATATTCAAGTTTTGGTTCTAACCAAAGCAGAAACCTCTTGTCTCATCGTCTTCGACAACGCGGATGACCTGGTTGCTCTAAAAGCGGCTTGGCCTGGCGCAATGGGCGGTTCGGGCCTCTCTGTGCTGCTGACAACTCGGAATTTCACTGTTGCTACGACCATCGCGGCCGGGTACGTGCAAGTCAACGCCCTAGCCGACGAAGATGGTGGCAGAATGCTTCTCAAGGTCATTGACGGCGGCCACGCTACGCCCGCTGACTCCCAGCATGCCCTCGCCATCAGCCGCCGTTTTGGCGGGTTGCCTTTGGCTCTGGCCCAGATCGGCGGATTCGTCACCCAGCGCAAACTATCTCTGCAGGAGGTGTTACCACTGTACGAGCGTTACTCGACCAAGATTGACGCCCGCAAGGCGCCCGGAAGCGATTACGAGCACACTCTGAGCAGCGTGTGGAATGTCTCATTTGAAAAGCTGACCGAGACTCCCACACATCTTCTGTACTTGCTCTCCTTCTTCGACCCGGACGGCATCTCGGAGACAATCTTGTTGCAGGGCTCCCAGAGACTTGAGGATACTAAGTTCTCCTTTCTGTGTGACGAGCTAGAGTCAGTAGCTTGCTTCTCCTCATGTTATGACCATAGATATCGCTTGCTGACTTGTCTCCCTAGCTTTGGTGACGCTGTTGAGGAGCTGATTCGCGGAGCCCTGGTTAACCGGGCAGGAGAATCAGCGACTCTTACCATCCACCGCCTGGTACAGTCCGCTGCAAGAAATAGACTAAACGAAGCAGATATCGTCAACTACTTCGACGCCGTGGTCCACGTGCTCTGTTGGGGCTTTCCTGACCACTCCAGCGTTGACATAGGGCATCAAATCTCTGCCTGGGAGCGATGTGAGAAGTGCCTTCCCCATGTTAGCCACCTCGCCGCACTAGCGGTTCGGCACCAGTATGGCGCCGGCAATCGGCAGAAATATGCAGACCTGCTACTGAGATGTGGTTGGTAAGTGTCTTTGATTTTATCCCTCCAAGGGCATATTGCTCATTCAGTTGTCCTAGGTATTTGTACGAAAGGGAAATGTACTTCATCGCCCGACAAATGGTGGAACAAGCAACCTCATCATTCGACGATACCACAACTCTGGCCTATGCAAGCGCACTCGATCTTGGCGGCCTGATCGATTTGGATCTGGCTCGGGCTGCTCATGCCCTTGAGCCTTTCAAACGCGCTCTGGACATACGCAAAGCACGGCTCGGACCGGAGGATCCGTTCATCGCCTACAGCCTGAATAACATAGCGCTGGTATACACGGAGATGGGTGAGTTGGATCTTGCCTACGCAGCCCATCAGGAAGCAATCCGGATCAGGCTGCAAGCGAACAGCGACAGAATCGGGAATTCTTACAGCAATATGGCGAGCCTCCTTCTTCGTATGGGCAGCCCGGATGAAGCGGAAGAGATGTTGGCAAAATGCCCGTCTCTCAAAGACTTCACCGACGAGACCTTCCTGAACACCGGAAATCCTCGTTTCTCAGGTGATATGGTCTTGCTGTCTCGCATCCGTCTCGCTCAGGGCCGACTGGCCGAGGCCTTGCGATTGGCCTCAAAGGCATTAGCTTTCCGTAGGAAGCTACTCGGAAATAGGCTCAAGACTTGCGACTCGCAATATGACGTTGCCTCGATGCTTCATAAGGACGGCCATACAAGCTCGGCCATGTAAGCACCCCATCTCTGGCCTACCGTTATCCATGTTCTCACCCTTTGGGCTGCTGACAGAGCCGTGTCTAGACAACTTCTTGAAGAAATTATTAGCATTGCCGAGACGTTCGCTGAGGGCGAGGGACAACAAGCCCGAGCTCTGTACAAGCTTTCCGAGCTTCAAGCAAAAAGGGGCATGCAGACTGAGAGCATGGCTTGTAAGGACAGGGCTTTGAAATTGAGGGCAAAATTGAAGCCTGAGCTCGCAGATGCGCCATTTCAGGAAGCTGAGTTTTCAAAGCTCTGTCTGTGGATGTTGTGGTAGGTTGGATCGACGAAGAAACGAATAACGTAGTGATTTGGGAAAATCGGAACTGTTATCGAAAGATTTAAATGATTCAAATCATTCATCAATGGACGGTTCTGGCGTTTATCGCGAGCGGTGAGGCTGGGATTTAGTGGTGTGATCCACTGTAGGTACTGTACTTGGGGCCCGCTCTTCCGGCTTAGCGCTCCGGCCAGGGCTTCCCGCACTGCACTGGGCTGTTTGCCTCTCGCAGCCAACTAGGAATCCGTGATCCTCTTCGAAAACATCGGAATTTATAACTAGTCAAATATCAATGCTAGCGACATACCAATGACCTCAGAAGAGGACGTTGAAGAGGACCCAGCCTCTCCTCCCGACGGATCCTGCTCCGGCGGAAACCGACCAGCCTCGCATGGCGGCTCGTCAGATTCGCATCACCACGACGATGTGGAACACGATGAATACTCGCACAATTCGGCCTCATTTTCGGGCTCTGAGGAGAATGGAGTAGGACCAGGAGATGACGACCGCAATAGCATAATAGAAGACTTTGAAGAGGAGGAGGAGGAGGAGGAAGAAGAAGACGAAGAAGAAGACGACGACGACGATCTCCAACCCCCACCGGGCCCTTTCTCCCAGCACGCCTTTGCACCTCCTTTTTACGGGCGGCCACCAACACCACTGCCTCCGTCACCGTCGCTGACCTCGCTCCTGCGACCGTCGCGGCCCACGACCCCGGACGCGTCCGACGACGAGCACCCGGGCGAGCCGCTCCCGCGCGCGCGGCCCAAGGTGCCTACGTACGAGTACTACGGCTTCGTGCTGTACCTGTTCAGCAGCCTGTCGTTTCTCATCTACCTGCTCTGGAGCTACCTGCCATCCCCCTTTCTGCACGCCCTGGGCATCTATTATTATCCCAACCGCTGGTGGTCGCTGGCCATCCCCAGCTTCCTGGTCATGACGCTCGTCTACATCTACGTCGCGCTCGCGGCGTACAATACCGAGATTTTGACCCTGCCGCTGGAGAGTGTGGAGACTATTGTTGATGAGGCGGCGCAGGTGGCCGTGGTTGATTCGAAGGGACGGATTAAGAGGGAGAGGAGGAGGGGTGGGGTTGAGGGCCCGTCGGCGGGGCAAGCGGGGGGAGGTGGTGGGAAAGGGATGGGGAAGGGGAGGGGCAGAGGCGGTGCCGGCGCCGGCGCCGGCGAAGATGACCACGAATACTACTACTACCCGAGCAAAGACGGTGGTGGGAAAGCTGGGAGGGTAGGGGGTAGAGAGCGGAATTCGAAGGCGGGGGGAGGGCTGAATTGGAAGGAAGTTTGGAATGAGGGTACGGACGCTGTCATGGATGTGCCGCTTGCCGGGGTTTGTGAGGTCTTATATGCTGAGGGGAGGGAGTGGGAAAGCGAGGAAGATGATGAAGTGATGATCACAAGGTTATAGGGAAGGAAGGCTTTTTGATATCCCGGACTTGTCTTCGAGCCATAGTATAAGGAATTTAGGATATAATTGTGATTTCTCACGACAACCATACTGCCTAACTGCCCAACTGACCAGATTCAGGAGCATGTTGGCATCCAGTGACCAAGGCAGCTAACGGAGGTAGGTACGGTAAGGTTACAGGTAAAGTCGGTAACGTAACTACCGTCCGTAACTGCGGTTCCCTCGGGTGGGTAATTAATTACCTTGAATTGCCAAGCCCGCTGCCCCACCAGCTTTTGAGGTGAGCTGCCTGTGCATCTTTCACCTCGAATTGGAGTCGTCGTCTCTCCAACGCGACATGCAAATGAATGCAGATTCGCGATAACCAAAAAAAACAATTGCATCTCTAATGATCATCGCCGAACCTCTGATCTGTACTTCAACCTCCGACAGCCGCCTCTACACCATTTAGTAGACACACGATCATTATGTCACAACAGCCTTTATCCTCATCGGTGCAACCGACAGACATCTACGGCGGAGGTGAGCTTGCCGTTACAAGGCTCCGCAGCGCGCTCGCGCGATCCCGTTTGCTGACGCTGTCGCTTTTCCAGATGAGGTCTCGGCGATCGTGCTTGATCCCGGCTACTGCACCACGCGCGCGGGCTATGCGGGGGAGGAGATACCCAAGCAGCTCCTCCCGTCCTTTTACGGCCACGTAGACGGACGCGATCTGTTCGGCGACGAGGTTATCATCCCGCGCGCCGGCTTCGAAGTGCGCAACTACATGAACCGCGACAGCGTCGTCGAGGACTGGGATGCCGCCACCAAGCTATGGGAGTACATGCTTGTCCAGCGCCTGCAGCCGCCGCGGCCCACTCCTCCCAGCAAGAACCGTCTTAACGATAACGGCGACGGTGACGGCGACGTGGCCATGGAGGATAGCGGCGCCGCCGAAAACGCCGCCGACGCGCTCGAGAGGCCACTCGCCGAGAACCCGCTGCTGGTGACCGAGGCGCCGTGGAACGCGGCCAAGGCCCGCGAAAAAGCGATCGAGGTGTGCATGGAAAGCTGGGGGTGCCCTGCCTTTTGGCTTAGCAAGACGCCCGTTATGGCCGCCTTTGCTGCCGGCAAGGCCACGGCTCTCGTGCTAGATGTGGGCGGCGCCAACACAAGCGTCACGGCGGTTCATGATGGGATGGTTCTTAAGCGCTCCGTCCAGCGATCGCCGGCGGCCGGCTGTTGGCTGAGCAACCAGATCCGGTCGATGTTGAAGAACAGCGACCCCAAGGTTGAGATTGTGCCCACGTTTATGGTGGAAAACAAGAAGCCCGTCGAGGCCGGGGCGCCGGCGGATGCTAGGCTCCGCACCTTCTCGTTCCCCATATCCGACTCATTCCGCGCCTTTGAGGAGGAGCGCGTCCTTACCGAGTTCAAGGAGTCTGTCGTGGAAGTGTGGCGCGGGCCAGGCCGCTATCTCGCCCCCGGCAACGAAGACTATGCCAGGAGTCAGCCTGGCCGCGTCTTTGAGATGCCCGATGGGAGCAACCAGATGTGGCGCGAGCAGCGGTACCGCGTGGTTGAGGGGTTGTGGGACGAATCGGCGGCTTATCCCCCGGTTGCGGGCTCGAGCGACGAGCCGGCTTTGACCAAGGCGCAGACGATCCCTGCTCTGATCAAGGCGGCACTGGACGGAGTTGACGTCGATTTGCGGCCGGCCTTGCTGGGCAATGTTGTCGTCACAGGAAGCACGAGCCTGTTGAACGGGTTCAATGACCGTCTCAACCTCGAGCTTACCGCCATGTACCCCGGCGTCAAGATCAAGATCAATGCCGCTGGTCTCACGAGCGAACGGAGGTTCGGCTCCTGGATCGGAGGGAGCATCCTTGCCAGCCTAGGGACCTTCCACCAGATGTGGATTTCAAGGAAGGAATACGAAGAGAATGGAGCGGGTATCGTTGAAAAGCGCTGCAAGTAGGGAGGCGGCGGATGGTTTATTGAGGAAGCCCGGAAGATTGCAGAGGAAAAGGGATGTGACGGATTCGAGAACAAGTGAGCAGTATGCAGGTGGCCTTTGAGGCGGCAGACTCTACGGAGGTCCTACCTTTGCTCTGATAGGGATGAAAAGGGAAAGGTGTCTGAGTTGGCGTACGGAGTTACAAGACGGCTCCAAAACCCGAACCATGTTTCTACGGTGTATTCGAAAAGCGAGCAAGGGTATCTGCAAATTCGATTTGTGAACCACCACTTCTGAGCAATCGTTATCATCATCTCATAGGGTTCCGTGCCGGACCATGGCCAGCTGGCGTATTCGTCACCAACCTCGCCACCTTGGCCAGACATCTATAACCTCGTCCTTCGGCCCACTGCTATCAATGATCAAATAGTAGTCGAAGCAGGCACCCGCAATGCAGCTATGGTTAGGCCACACGCGGACCCTCTGCCCAAAGTGGAGAGGCACCTCTTCCTCTTTCCTGCCTTTCCAGACCAGGATGCCGTGCTCCTGACTGATGCGGCCGACTTGCCAACCGCCATGCACCCTCGGAAAGTCTGGGCCTGGCTTCGGGTTGTCTAATCCCCAGGGCATCAAGATCCCCCAGCCGGAGTAGTCCTGGTCGGGGTCTTCGCCTCTGTCGGCCACGGGCTCGCGGCCGAGTGCCAGGGTGCCGGCATTGATGAGGGCTTCTGTTGTGCGGTTGCCTCCACGGCCAGGGTAGACTGTTCCGCACGAGGGTGGTCAGCATGTTGTGTGTTGTTCAAGACCGGTCTGATTCGGCCCGCGTAACGTACCCGAGGCCACCTCTGCGACCACACTGATTGCAATGTCGTCCGCCGTCATAAGAGACGAGTCTCTCGCGTGGGTGGCCAGCTGCTGCAGGTCTAGGGTCGGGCTGGTGGTCATATTCCTCACGATTAGCAGCCGTCAAGGGCAGGAGTACCGGTGATGCAACCGCCTTTTCACCACTTACTAAACCCCGGCATGAACTTCCAGTCTATACCCGCCGCCCTTCAACTCCGCAACTATCATCTCCACCTCCCTGGCCATCCCCACCCTCTCCTTAGCGTCACCGCCCGCCGAAAACAAGCAAGGATACTGAACCGCCGTAGTCGTCGGCGTAGCCCCGACGGAGAGCACTAATTCATGGTCAGGGCTTTTCGCCCTAACCCGCCGCGCCACCCTGGCCAACCCGGCAAACTCATCGACCAGGTAATACATCGCATCCAGGTCGTCCCTCGCGCCATAGCTGTGTCCCGCGTGGGAGTAGAGGCCGTGCAAGACGCAGGTTCCTTTGGCCTCCTCGGCCAGGGCCGCGTCAATGAGGGCCTCGCATGCCGCGGACGAAGGGACGACGCCGGCCCGGCCGTAGCCCGTGTCGATCTTGAGGAAGATGAGGGGCAGGTGGCTGGAGGGGACGGTCGCGGAGATGGCTGCTACGCAGCTGAGTTGGGAAATGTTGTCGATCATTAGTGATAGGGATTGAGGGCCGAGACTGGAGGCGATGGCGGCTAGCCGGGAGACGGCGGATGGGAATAGGGGAAAGGAGAAGAGGACCTGGAATAATGTCAGTTGGGTGGGTCGTGAAGAGGTGAGAGGGATGATGATGGGGTGGAGGATAGATACATGCGTTTACGGAGCGGCCTTTGGCTTGATATGCTTTTAGTAAGGGGAGGATGTTCTCGGCTTCGAGTATGGTGGAGACTATTAGGGAGACTGGAGTGGTCCGCTCATCACCGACTTGCAGGCGGGTGAGTTCTGTTGTCTGTGTATGTCAGTACAACCATCTTTTTTTTTGTTTCAATGGAACTTATGGACACACTTTGTGAGACTTGATATGGGCGCGCCATAGCAGGCCCAGCCTCTCGGTTGCGTCAAGCATGCGCTCGCAGTTCACTCGAAGCTTCGCCAAATCCAACACGACAGAGGGCGTCGGCACCTCATTCAACTTCTTGCCTACGAATCTGGCCCGAAGCTGTCGCTTGAGCTCGTCATCTCTTTGAGTCGCCGCCATATTTCATTCGATGTCGCTAAGATCGCCATCCGCCGGGAAGGAAGTACAGCAACAAGTTCACAGGTGACGGAGATCCTGAGAGAATGTCAGTTGCAAAGAGGAGCTGTAAGATGGCTCTTTCACACTACGCTGACTAGGACCACGCAGCAGTCCCGCACCCACTGCACCTTCCATTTGTTTGGCCCACCGGAGTCATACCTTTTCTCCGCAGTCGACCGCGGGCCCATTTGTCGGCTCAGGTTACCTTGCCAAAGATGGCCAAACAGACAGAGTCGACGTCAGGTTGTCGATGCCAAGCTCAACATGGTGCTGCACAATCACTTACTTAAAGTAACCTAGGAGCAGCCTGGAGTAATTAGAGTATTAGACACTGACATTTCGGATAAGGCCTAATGGCCCATGACCGTGTTTGTAGATAGATCTTGTCAAATTTGATATGTTGTCAATGGAATTTGTGCGCCTGGCAACTTAATATCTGGCCTCTGCTATTGACTGACATGGAACTTGTCATCGAATTGTCTGAATTGTGTTGACACCCCCGAGGCCGGATGCTCTCGCCAGTGACAATCTCCAATCTTGCCAATTCCTCAAGTGAGTCAAGTCTCACACGGAGACGAGAGTTTCTCTTGTGACTGTTCGTCAATCGATTGGGGTTTATTAGGTCAGTCCCAAAGTTCAATCTTAAGCAGCACTATGTTAGGAGTCGAGTCTAAACTGGACTCGAATCGGTGCAAATGCTCTTTGAAAGCGCAAAGTTAAAGTTCCTTTTGACTTTGTAAACGTTAAACCCTGAGGCCTGAGTTTTGTTTAATTACCTTACGTTACATACATACAATTGTCCTCTGTAACTTTACTGGTATCTTACATGTGCACGGGTCTCTTTCGGCTCATCCCACGAACCCCACAATCTGCGAGGCCGATGCGGCTTTCAAGGTGCAGGACGTTCCTTTCTTGGCGCTCTGCAACCATCCACAACTTCTAAACCACAGCTCGCCCGACCGACTCACCTTTCTCTCCCTCAACCCAGACTGGAGAAGGAAAGCCAGCTGCAACATTGCGCGTCTCTATCTTTCGGGTGTTGGAAACTACTATGATGATGATTTGACTTGCTACCAGTCGCGCAGTTGTCCACACAGCATCGCGAGTCGCCATCGCTCGACTACTGGAACCCATCCCATCGGTTGTGTAGCGATTCCGCAGCAGCAAACATCATGGCGGGCGACGACAGCGACCAGGATGGGCTCGATTTTTCCAATCTTAACGATGAGGACTGGAGGGAACAAGAAGCTCGCGATGACGAAGCCATTCAGAAACTCTACGGCGGCCCCGGCGATGGTTTCAACGACCTGCTCGGCAGACTCTCAGCTGGTGCTGCCTTCGATCAGTCTGGCAAGGCCGACGATGCCATCGATTACGAGGATATTGATTTGAGCGATGAGGATGACTTGCCCGACGAAGAGCCTCATCCAAGCGGCACCAGCGGCGACGGCCCGGGCTTGACAGACGACAACGATACCGATGATCTTTTCGGCGAAAATATTCCTTCGTCACCTCTCGGTGGAGATGACGATGATCTTTTTGGTTTTGGTGACGATGATCGCATGCATGTCGACGAGCCTCAGCATGAGTCGCTTGAAGACCTGATCGCCCTGAACTTCGACCACGGGCCAAAACCCAGCGATGCCAACCAGGATCCAAACATCCCACCTCCTGCCGAGAGCCTCGTTGAGGCCGTGAAGCAGGCTTATCCAGCCTTCAAGGAGAATGGCATTCTTTACTGGAACGAGCTTTTCCGCCCAAAACAAGCTACGTGGATCTCCAGGAAGGCCCTCAAGCCGCCTAAACCCCTCGTGCCAACAAAGCTCAGCGTGGAGCTCGATGCGGACCAAGAGAAGCTCTTTCGCATCCCCGGCCCTGCCTCGTTGACTGTCTACCAAAGGATTAAAGAAGCTGAAGCACGAGGCCTCGTTTCGCTCGAAGAGCCTGAGCCACTTGAGCAGGCAGACCTCGAAATCTTTAACCTGGACGGCGAATCCGACTCGGAGACCGTAGGAGGGTACACTCTTCGAGATATTGCCTTAGTTTGCGATGACTGGGATGGAATGATCCGCCTTGCGGACCGCCTTGGCGACGCTTCCGGGGTCCGGTCTGATGATAGAGCCACCAATGCCACCGACAACAAGCTCATTAAGACTGAGCTTGATGGGGATGACGAAGATTGGGACAGAATGTTTCTCGACGAACCCCCTCCCAAGAAGCGACGGCTTGAGGCACCCAAGGGCCTTCCCGCCGTTCCACGTTTTAGAGCGCCCAACTTTGACAACTTTGAAGAGGCCACGTCTAAGCTTGGGAAGCGTGTTATTCTCGACATGAATGACCCCTATCTCCTTATCGATGATGTTGAATCGGAACGTGTCAGCAAGAGACGCAAGATCCAGCACAAGACGGTACGAATGGCAAATGGCCAGCTCGGCCGCGAGTTGTCACAGCGGTTCAACTTTTCTTCAGACACCGCCTACGACGCTCTGAAGGAGAACAGCCAGAGCAAGGTCCGGGCTACATTGGCCTCGATTCCGGTTGAGCACAGCATGACAGCGCAGAGGCTCTCGTGGCCCTATTATCGCGTGAAGCTTGCCGCTAGCGACCCTCACAGCTACCATCGACCCCAGTTCCACCCGCGGAAGGATGCCTTCCACCCGGTCAAGTTCAAAGCGCCCAGTGTGAAGAAGAGGAAGCAATTCAAGGGCAAAAGGGTCCCGGAGATCTTCCAAACCTCCTCGGATCTCACCATGAATGACAATTCCAGCGCCATCTTGTTCGAGTACTGCGAGGAGATCCCAATCGTCCTGTCGAATTTCGGCATGGGTCAGAAGATCATCAACTACTATCGACGCTCTAAAGGGACCGACTCGAGACCTGAGAAACGAGAGCTCGGTGAGCCTTACATTCTGATGCCGGAGGATCGTTCTCCGTTCGCTATGGTTGGCGAGGTTCATCCCGGCGAGACCGTACCCACCCTACATAACCAGATGTTCCGGGCGCCCATCTTCAAGCACTCACCGAGGAGTACGGACTTCCTCCTCGGCCGCAGCACCACAGGGAAATCAGGCTCATCCTGGTATCTTCGGAATATAGACCACCTCTTTGTGGTCGGGCAGATTCTACCATCAATGGAGGTGCCTGGGCCGCACTCTCGGCGTGTGACAAACATCGCCAAGAACCGCCTCAAGATGGTGTCTTATCGCCTGCTGCGCCGCAGCGACAACGTCACCTTGAGCGACATCACGAAGCATGTCGCCGAATCCAACGAGTCGCAGAATCGCCAGAAGCTCAAAGAATTCCTCGTGTTTCGCAAGGACCAGCGAAACTGGACGCTCCCAGAAGGAGAGGAGCCCATGAGCGAGGCTGACATCCGGTCGCTCGTCCGGCCAGAGGAGGTTTGCCTTTTGGACGCAATGCAAGTCGGGGCTCATGAGCTTGAAAACGGCGGATACGAGGTCAATGACGCTCTGCTCAAGGACGATGAGATGGAGGCAGGCGATGAGCTTCCACCAGATGCCCTTGCCAACAAAATGGCGCCTTGGAGGCTTACCAAAGCTTTCATTGACGCGAGCCATGGCAAAGCCATGATTGCTGTCCACGGACCTGGTGATCCAACGGGCAAAGGTCTTGGCGTCAGCTATCTCAGGACGTCGATGAAAGGCGGTTTCCTGGAGCAGCTACATGGCCCTCTTGCAACGTCCGCCGATGCCATTGAGCGGCAGCGAAAGGCCAACGGCGGTCACATGTACAACGTCAAGAACCAGGATACCCTCTATACTGAATCTCTCAAAGATATATGGGCCCGCCAACGGCAAAGCTTGGAGGACACTCAGGAGCATGACGACGACGACATTCTTGCCCAGGAGGACGAAGACGACCGGTTCAACGTGCAGAGCCAACCCGCCCAAGCCGCTACCCAGCCAGACGGAGTGAGCCAAGTCAGCCAGAGCCAGGCTAGTGGCCTGAACTCCAGGAAATTGAAGATCATCCGAGAGGTCAGGGGTGAAAACGGCGAGATTCAGACTGTTACCGAGATTGTGCACGACCCGATCGTAATTGCGCAGTACAGCAAGAGGCGGCGCCAGATCGAGTTTGACAACATTGAGTAAGTGAAAGCTTGGCACTCTGACAACGCTTTTCCGATGCTAACTTTGGCTTAGTATCTACAATGCCAAGCTCACCGGTGATCGGGAGAGGGATGAGATAATTCTTTTGAAGTATGAACTTATCCGCCGGCCCCCAATTTGTCTTTGTTGCTAACAAGTCCCACAGAGCGAGTAAAGAGCAGGAGCGCCTAGAAAAGAACAAGGAGCGGCGCAAGAAGCGGGAGAAACAAAAGAAACTCCAGCAAAAGATCAAGGAAGGCGGCGGCGCCGGCGATGAGGGCTCGCCGGAGCCATCGACCGAGAAAGTGACAGGCACGACCCGAAAATGCGCAAATTGTGGTCAGGTTGGGCATATCAAGACCAACAAGAAGTACGTATGCTTTTGCATTCAAGATTCACATGAAGCCTCGGAGATCGACATGCCCAGACAATCTGGTTCTAGCAAGCCTCGAAAGTCAGGCAAGCGTAGTTCATGGAGACCTACCCAGGAACCGCGCGTTGAGGGGGACAAATTCTGTGACCCACGCTGCTGGGAGTCAAGCGCCTTTGAGCCTCAGATGGGAACCGACTCGATTTCCAAGGGTAACCAGACACTGGTCTAGGACGGTGTCGAGAAGACGGGAACCGGCGAGGAGTAACTTGGTCACCTCCTCCGCCACACCCAACATCCTAATCCACAAGCGTGGACTTTTAACTTTTTCTTTTCCCTTATCCAATTTCATTTTTCTTCTTATTCCTTATTCAATTTCAACTCTCTTTTCTACTCTCTGGGCCTTTCACTCGCCAGCCCATCAAAAAACCTACTAACATCCTTATCCTCAAGACTCTGCCCGCTTCTCAATGGCTCCAGGCCCCGCGATCAGAATCCCGACGAATCGGCGAGCCTAGGATCTACCAATGCCCCTGTCGCTGCCGGCTTTTTCAACCTCGGTTGATCGGACCGCGCTGCGTGTCCTTGCACGGGAAGCATAGCAGAGAGAGTGGGGTTGTCTTTCATCCCATCCGCTGCCCATCGCGGCGGCTACGGTAATGCGGCTTGGTAGGCTGCTCCCTTTCCCCCTAGCCCGGATTTCCACCTTACTACGGGCAGTTATGGGCGGGATGTGCGCATGGCGGATTGCTTTGGTAGACGGGATGCTACCCAACCGCAGACTGCAGGGGGGATGACTGAGGAAAGTACAGGTTGGCGTACGCACCTGTCTTACATGTTCCTGCATTATGATGGGAAAAGGGTTTGGAGGGGACGGATGGGCTTCCAGCGACTTGCTTTTCCCGGGTTGGGTTGATGGCGTTTACTGGGCGGGCATGTGTGTGTGATTACTTGAGCTTGGCTCTTCCCGGGTGCAAATAATCGGAAAGGGGACTTGGGAAGCCGGTATTATGGAGTTGTTCTGGTAGCGCACGAACTGGTCTTTGCTTGTATTGTACCCCCTTTTTAAATCAGGAAGGGGTCTTTTAACCTTGGTCAGCGACTGCCGTCTTTCTCCTGCTTACCTTGCCTACCTTGCCGTCGCCATGCTGCAGCGGTATGTATAGAGGGAAGACCGGGAAAGGTTCTTCATGTGTATGTTGTGAGTAAGCAGGTAGGTAGTAATGCAGCAGAGATGTTGGTGAAAGAAACATTTCTCTATTGAATAGCGTTACCTTAGCTACCTAAGGTCTGCTGCCATTTTTGGAATGTGTGTGTGTGGGTGGGAATTGACTGGTTTTGGTTCATCAAGGCCCCGTCTGCCGGTGCGGTGTGGTTACACGGCACACGACATTGGAAGAGCCGCGTTGCTACCTACCTAGGGGTCTTCATGTAGAGTACTGTACATAGAGCACCGTGATCTGACCTGGTTATCTGATGGTTGTGGCCTAAGGTCTTGATCTTATCTGGTATGGGTTCGATTGAGTACAACTTAGGTACCTTACAAGAAGGAAAGGAAGATGGTGTTTAGATCTCGACTGTATGGAGTATGTAGTCGCTGTGATGATGGTCTGATCAAGGACATGAGTCGTCTTTGTTCCATGCCATGCATAGAATGGCTGGCGTCCATCTGCCACGGGATGTATCTGTTACCCAGCACGCCACGACCATCCCGTGCTCTTGGTTGGCCTCTCGGATGAGAATACCTTAGCTTATCTTTTTCAGCTCTTTCTGGGATGAGGTGGGTTGAGGCGGCCTTCTTACCCGAGTCCTGCGCCTTGCGGGACACGGGCCGGCCGAACGGTCCCGGAGCCCCGGAACCCCGGCAAGATTCCGTGAATGGCGCTTATGCTTTGCCATGGAAGGACATTTACTTGTCCGCTTGCCGGACTTGTTCGGACCTCGTTCACTGGTGAATGTCTCCCGTTCCAAAACCAGATACAGTCCGATATAGAGTCTACTGTGGCAGTCGGTCTAAGAAACTTCATGCCTCGTTCATTGGCCATGGTCATGATGCCGATGGCTGATGTTGGCACATGGGCGCGCATTTGGAGTAATAGTGCAAGCGCTTGTGCTGTGGTTCTGGTTCTCGGTACCAGACGATCAAAACGCCATACCATGAACAGACATGCTCAAATCCAGGTTTGGCTTGGAGTTGTTGGAGGGAAGCTAATATGATGGGATGCCGATGGGTGGGTGGCAGCCGGCGGGAATCGACCCAAGATATCGGACAAGACGTCAATGTACAGGTGAGGATACCAAAAAACAGCCCTGAACGCGCGTATGGCTTGCTCGGTCAGTTTCCAGAGTGATCAGGTTGCGCCGGGCAAGCGTCGTCCTCGTGAATGCCAGAGGAGACTATCTCCAAAGAAGATGCTCTGTTTCTATTTAGGTTGTACATATGTGCGTCTGTAGGTAGTATGCTGCCATGCTTAACCGCCGTGCCTATCCCAGAGCTTTGGGTCGATGTGTGTCTGTCTCTCTTCTCTTTGGCTGGAACCGAGCCGTTGCACAACCTGGATCTACACTAGCTTGGCTTACCCGGTAATCAATAACTTGACCAGAATAGGTGAGTGTTGTAGTGAACGATGGGAATAGCCGACTAGCAGCAATGTGGTTGGTTGGCCAGATATGCGCTGCTAGGTTATTGGAGTTGCTTCCATCAGCCATGTGTGCCGGACGTACCAGGACTTTGGTCAAGAGAAAGGGTGTAGTGAGATATCGTCTTGTCCTGGTTTGCCGAGACCACAGTCAGCAACCTGGAATTGGGCAAAGCAGTCAGAGCATTTGAGGAAGGTGCAAGACAATGTTGACTCTGAGAGAGTAAGAACAAAGCCGAGTTTACTCTCCGCTAACGTCGGGTGTGTCGTTGTCTCCACGCTCCCGACGGGCCGCAGGTGATGGTGCTAAAAATAGCTAAAAATAGATCCTTCCCTGCGATGTGTGGAGATCAGAAACGGGCAAATTAATCATTTAGCCCGATAATCTAGCTTTTAGCCCTCCAAGCGCTTGCAGAACCAACTGGGCTAAATGGCCGCTCTTGCGTGGCCAATCAACGACGTTTCTCACTCACCAGGAGCTCACCTCGTCAGCCAATCGCTTTGCACGACGGCCCTCTTTCTGCAGGCAACGGTCGTTGGCCCCATACCCCATCGCATCTCGAACGACTCCACCGAGACCGGGGGCCAGCAGCAACGGGCCTTCTGCAGCAGGGATGCTTGAGGTGATGTTCTCCTTCACACCACCGAAAGCTGGACGCCGGCATGCGAACCGGTGATGATGATGCGTTTCCCTGCGTTCAACAACATAGCGAAGAGCCGTCCTGATTTGAGTCCCTGGCGAACTATGGCCGCCAAGGACGTTGTGCAACCGTAATGAGCGGGAAAAATCACCTCTCTTTGCATGTCAGACTGTTCATCCTAACGTTACTGGATGGATCCAGGTCGGCCACAGCTTCTGGAATTGGCCTATGGAGAAAACCTCAACGTGACAGCGTCGGACGTCGGACGTCTTCACTCGGATCGGCGGGCTGCGTGGCTCAACTGTATGTACAGGGTAGGTATTTGCATGTATCTCGCATGTCTAAAGTGAAACTCGATAATAGCCGCAGATGAAGACTGCCCCTTGCCCTCCGAAGCCCTTGCATCTTGAGAGCACAGAATTCCCGAGCGCAGGTCCGGCTACCGTGTCGCTCTACGCTATCTACACTAGATGATGTCGCCATCAAGAACTCTCATCGAATTGAGTCGTTTCTGAAACATTGCAATAGCATGGAGGAGGAGCGCCGCTGAGGCTCTGCGACGCGAGGCTGGGCAACCCGTGACATTGTCCCAGCCAAAGCCCGTCAGCGGGGGCCGATCGGAACATCACCCTGGCCCCACCAGTCGGATCTGGATCAAGCTAAGGTACGTTTGAGATTTGATAAACGTGTAGCGAGGCGGAAAGGAGGGGTCAATCCTATCATCGGGGAGGACGGTTAGAAGACTGGGGAACAACAGGTTCCGCATCTTCGCTTCATCGGCAGCCTAATGTGTGGCAGAGGTCCTCCCTTGCCGGTGCAACGCGGATGGCTGCTCTGTTCGCGTTTCTCTCGATGCGAGTGCCCATTGTCGCTTCAAAAGTTACTGTTTGGTACGCTAAGCTGCCCGCCTCACTAGGCGTCTTGACCGAGAAGCAGGTGCGATGATGGGATGAGATCTCATAAATCCCCTTCCGGGCTACATTGCAGCCGGACCGTAGGTGGTCTACATGAAGGCCTGTCTTACCCGGGTATATTGCAGCGTCCACTGCTTCGGCAGGGTGTTTCTTTCAGCCGTACAATAAACTAAGTAGGTAATCAACGGTCTTGCAGACATCCTCCTCCGCGACGAGGCTAGACAAAATGTTAATGTGCGGCCATGGTACTCAATCTTCTATCTGCAACGAAATTGCTTTCCAGAAGGCCGTTTGTTCCTCTGAACCCTTTGTCCAATCGAGTCCCTTGTTTCGGCTTCCTTTTGCATGGCCATGCCACCTTTGCGGGGCCTGCCAAGCCTGACTCGTGGCTCCGGCTCTTTCTGCCCCACGCCGCAGCGGATCCCCTTGAACTGGTCGTCCCCCCAGGGCCTTGGTTGCCTTTTCCCTCCACACCTCTCTGTCTCCAGTGTCTCTCATCTTCTGAACTTGACGATCTATTATTAGCATCACCAGATCCAGCCTCATCGCCCTCGAACTGCACGAGCGGCGCCGCAGGTACCAGTGTATCTCCATTGCTACCCTTGTCTTGAGCAAGGGAATTGACGTCGGCCGTTGGAAAAAAAATCCACGGCTGCGTTTCGCCAAAAGGCACAAAAAGACTGCCACGCCCCATCATCGCCATTGTCGCAGTCTGTGAGGGTTTCAAATCCCACGGCCAGCTCCAACTTCTCTAGCCAGCGCGACCACACTGTCGCAAAAGCTCTCCACCAAGAGCTAACTTCCATCCGAAGCTCCTCGACCGCAGCTGTCTCGCATATCTGCTGCATTGCCGCGTGTCGTCGTCGTCGCCGTCGTCGCCGTTCAGAGTGGCTTTCGCGACCGACAGTGGGCCCGGCGTAAAAGCCATCGCCGTAACATTTATCTCGATCCAATCGCATCACCATCTGCTCCAATTTCAGCTGTAGTTCCTGAGCTAGAATCTCGACAGCTCGTCCACTGGCAAAATGGGCCGCAGAAAAATTGAAATAAAGGCCATCAAAGATGACCGAAACCGCTCCGTGTAAGTATCTCTTATATTGCGGCCTTGCACAGGATTGCCACTGACTCTCTACTCCCAAACCAGCACTTTCCTGAAACGAAAGGGAGGGCTGTTCAAGAAGGCTCATGAGCTATCAGTACTGTGCTCGGTGGATGTTGCCGTCTTCATATTTGGCAGTAACAAGAAGCTCTACGAGTATTCATCAAGCGACATGCGCGACCTGATCACGAGGTACACCTATGTAGGTTCTGCCGCCCTTTGTACCTCGACTCTGGGTTTCTTAGCTGACATGGCACGGCAGCACGGTGGTCCGAACGAACACAAAGGCCCCTCCGATTTCAACGGGGGAGCCGAAGATGAGGATGATGACGACGAAAACGGCACCCCGCCCCAGGGAGATGGCTTCGACCCCCAGATGCTTCCTCCTCACTTCCAAACGCAACCTCCGTTCCCCCACCTCAGACACCACACCCCTTCAGCCTCGCCCCCGATCCCGAATGGCGTGTTTGGCCCTCACCCAGGTAATGGCCCGCGTGGTCACACTCCGCAACCCCAGGTCGGCTCCCGGCCGTCATCGCGGAACGACATTCGGAGGATGGGTCCCAACATGGTCGGGCAACCAGTCGGCCCGCAGGGCCCTCCTCAGCCCCCTGCTGTGAATGGCTTTGCCTATATGCCGCAGCCGGCAATTTACAACCCTCAGAACGCTCCAAACTTACCGCCTAATATGCATCCCCACGGTTTGCCACAACCGCACCCTCAAGCTCACCCTCAGTATCCGTATCACCCACCGCAGCCGCACCCCCATCAGATGCAATCCTTTGCCGAAGAGCAACGGAGGTCCTCTGTACCCCCTGCCTTCCCTCCTCAACCTCAAGGCCCGCCAGCCGCGCGTCATTCCGTATCACCACCGCAGCCTCCTGCTCAACAGCTGCCTCCGCAGCCGGTTCCGCACATGTCGCCGCCGCAGGTTCACCCCATGCAGAGCCCGCCGCAGCCTCAACAACATCTGCCACCGCCGCCACCGCAAGAACCTCACCATATTCCACCGCCATCACAAGAGCCACAACCGCCCGCGCCGATGGAATCGAGGCCGAAGCCGGAACCGGTGGAGAGAACACGCCAGCCCCCGCTCCTCGACACGGTCATTAAGAAGGCACCACCCCGTAAAGGAGGGAGCATATTCACCCCTATTGATGAGAATAGATCCATCCTATCGCAACACTTGGCAGCTTTCCACCCCGAGGTGAAGGCAGAGGCGCCGTCCGGCAGGTCCCAATCGATGGACGTTGGCGGTGTCTCGAGAGGTAGCAATGCCGATTCAAACGCACAAAGCCAGACGCAGGTAAAGAGGAACAGTTCGCTCTCCTCGATTCCGGAAACTGTCTTCACCCCGCCTTCGCGGTCCAATAGTCTGCGCGTAGGTGGCAACGTTGCGCGGCCGCGATTGAAGGTGCAGATTCCAGAAGACTCGGACGGTGGTAGCGCTACAGCCGAGTCGGCCTCCCCACGAGGAACAACTGCCACGGATGCAACCTCTCAACCGTCGAGACGTCCTGACTCGCACTCCTCTGGCGTGGTCCTGCCACCTCCGTCGCCCTCGGCTTCAGCGCTGCTCTCTGCAGGTGCCACTGGGCCGCCCAATCCATTTGCACGGCCACCTCCGCATCAAAACAACAGCATGAACATCGACACACCCGTATCAGCTCTACCGTCACGCTTCCTCAACAACGAATTCCTCCCTAGCCCTAGCAGCTTCTACCCGGAGTGGAATTTCCGCGGCACCGATAGCAACACGCTCCCAAGTCCCCTGAACTTCGCGACGCCAGTGGGTGGAACGGGGCCGTCCTTCTTAAGGGACGATCTTGTATCGCATAAGCGGAAGAGCCCCGAAATCAGTGGTAACGGGTCCCACCACGAGCCGCTCGAATTGGGCAATGACACGAAGCGGGTCAAAGTCGATTCGTGAGGCAGTTTCACGTATGATGCTGCTTCGGATCACATTTTGCCTTCTATGTACCATATTTTCCTTTTCCATTCTCTTCGCGGACCCGGTTTGGTATACTCTTTGGGCGGGTCAGCAGATTTGAACTGCTTCTTTGGACTTTTTGGCCCGGTGGGCGGTTATTACTGGATTCTGCTTTTTTTGACGGTTCTGGTCTTATTGGATGGGCATATGTAAAGGCGTTAGCGGGGGCAAAGGGTGGACGGAACAGTTATGAGTGAACGAGATTTGGGATGATTTTCGATTCTGGCTTGCGGGTTCTACCACTACAATCTTGGCGCAGAGGAGTACAGCACCTTGGGGGCGGCTTTCTACGAGACTACTTATTAGATCAGCCAAGTTCTTTCTTGGATGCACACGCACCGAGATAGGTATTTGCGAATCTATTCCGTCTGATTAACAGCAGTGCCGAGACTTCCCGTCATCTTTGCAAAAGGCTACCGGGACTAAGGTATTAGGAGGATGACAACACTACGTAGCAAGTAGTGTTGACCGCGTTCTCGAAACCAGCGAGCACATCCCGCCGACTCGGATACAGCTGCAGTCTTCCCTGTACTGTACATACTATCCCGTACCCACTCGAAGCATGTGCCCAGCTACCGGTGTTGTAGGGCTGATATCGACCAGTACGTATACGTCCGAATATCACCGGAGAGAGCCCAAAAGACGCCCCCAACCCTCGACGTCACCTCCCAAATGAAATCCCGGCAACATGGACACGCTAGATGCAAGGCAAGATGCGTGTTTCAGTAGCAGACCAATGACACAAGGTAGGTACTGTTTCAACCCCTTCTTTGACTGTGGGTTAGGGCCCCCAGGCTCGGGCGGAGGCTCTGCTGTCATGCACGGGTCGCCTTGCCTTGTTGCTATTCTTGGATTGCCCTGTGTAACCCCCCTCCCCAGTCTCACTTCGTTCCTACTCTCGGTCCGATCCCGCGGACGAGCTAACATCATGATATGGCGTATGAGGGAAGCTTGGCTTAGGTTTCTTTGCTTACGTACATGGCTCTTCAAGCCCATGCGATAGCGGGTGTATTGTATTGTACTTGTACAAGGACCCAGGACGATGAATGTACTAACGTAGTCCAGCATTCCCATCAAGTACGCCGTATTATGAGATAGAAGCCTTTTCCTCCTATATGTATACCCGTATGTATACGAGCCGGCCGCTCGACAGTGTTTTGGCTTTCCAAGCCAGGCCGGATGATGTATGGCTCACAAAGTCATCCGCATTGATCAGCACATCTCTCTCAGTAGTGTGAGCGATTGGCCGAGAGAGTCGCGGAGCAGGGCCGCGCCCAAGACCCAAACCGAAATGATAGGTATTCGTCCATGTCGGTTATCCTTAAGTAGCCCTGAGACGGAATAGGCTGGCCATATCAGGTGCAAGCTTGATGTCCCTTGTCCAGCCGCAGGCGGAGGGCAGGACCGCATCGCATAGCATCGCATCCGCATCCCCATCTCTCTCTCTCTCCCCGCTCTCATCCAAACTTGTCATGCTTACTCTTAACCTTGATATCAAGCAACGCCTCATGATAATTCCCCTCCCTCCGGGCGCGCTTCAGCATCTTGACCTCGTCCTCGTCCAGCCTGCGGCCGGCGGCCTCCTCGAGCTCGCGCCGCGTGATGCGCTCCTTGGCCCGCTCCTCCTTGGACGCCTTGATGCGCGGCTTGAAGCGGGCCTGCATGCGCACGCGCAGCGTCGTGTCAAACGTGATCTCGGTCTCGTCGCCGCGCACTTCAAACTGGTGCGGCGGCGGCGCCTTGGATAGGGAGCGGACGGTGAGGAAGGTGTCGCGTAGTGTTTGGATTTGGAATGTGCCCGGTGTGTCGGGTGTGGAGATTAGGTTGAATGATTCGAGCGGGGAGATGGCGTCCGAGGTGGCGGAGAAGACGCCGATTTTGGAGCAGGATAGGTATCTTTGCATGCAACTGTTAGTTTCGCCGCATACAAACTCAAATCTGCGCTGGCGGAACAAAAAACGGAGGGACAGTTATGAACATACTTTCCGTGATGCCCCTTGAACCTAAAGTGCTCTGTCCCCGCGATCCGGTTGGCGACCCAGACCTGGCGCACGTCGTGCGGCTCGGCCGTCGACGGGTTGCCGTCGACAATGTTCTCGACGGGCAGAGTGAAGACCTTGCCGTTGGCATCGCAAGCCAGCGCGCTCGGCGGCTCCGTGGGCAGTACAAACATGACGGGCCCGGAGACATCCGTCACGGCGTCGGCCGAGACCCAGCTGTCATCGTTCTCGGCTTCGTCGGCGTCCGCCGCGGCTTTGGCAGCCTTGACCTGCTTACGTCCGGGGTCGTCATCTTGGCCCGCGCCCTCGGTCGTTTCGGTGCGCTTTCGCTTTTTGGGTTTCTTGTCGCCTTTGAATGTGAGCGGTTTTACCATGTTTAGTCCGGTGCTGCTGGATGCTGAATGTTTCAATCGACGGGTGTCGGAGAGGCTGGGGTTGAATGTTGCGGGAGCAGGAGACCAAGCTACGCTATCGATAGGTACTTGTACCTATTCGCTTCGGCCAGCTCGCCGCCAAGAAATACCGTTATCGTCAATGCAGGCCAAGACATCGCTTGGCGGTTGCCCCACCAGGTCTGAGGGGCAGAGAAGCGCTAAACGTATTTCGTACACATGTACTCCGTATCCGTACCACACAGTGATAAAGACATCACCTCACAGAATGGGGAAGATACAGGTCTCTTCGTCCCCCGTTCCTTCCACAACGTGGCTTGCAATCCTGCAATCATAAGAGAAGCTTTCCACACACCATGGCACCTATCGCGCAAGCTGTAACTGTGTCCTTGCAGGACCTCAAGGACGGTGAGAGAGTCCTATGACGAATGTGGGGAGCTTGGTGTAAGTGGCGTTTTGCTCACTGACGGCACATGCGTGTTTGGGGCGACAGGAACCGTGTCTTTTGAGGCACTCCGCGAAGCCTTCGGACCCGACTCACTGGGGATTCTGGTCGTGAAAGATGTGCCTCCTGAATTTCCCCTGCTTCGACGTCATGTTTTGTCGTACGCATCTTACCTCGGAAATCTGCCCAAGTCGCAGCTCGGTAATCAAGTCGGCCCACGTTTGCTTTCAAGAGGTCAGCGCTGACACAGACCAGACAAACTCGAAAATGAAAAGGCAAAGTATCTAACTGGGTGGTCGCTCGGCAAGGAGACGCTCAAGAACGGCCAGGTTGACACGCTGAAGGGCTCCTTCTACGCAAACTGTGCCTTCTATGTCAACCCAGAACTGTCCTGCGCCGTCCCTACCGAGCAATTCAATGCCGAGAACTTTCCCGAGTATCTCTCGCCAAACATCTGGCCCGAGGAAACCGATCTCCCCGGGTTCAAAGCCTGTTTCGCGCAGCTCTGCCGTCTGATCATCGACGTCGCTGTGCTTGTGGCTCGGGCCTGCGATAGGTATGCCGAGAAGGAGATTGCCGGCTACCCAAAAGGCTACCTGGAGAGGGTTGTGAGCACCTCACCCACCACAAAGGCCCGGCTACTGCACTACTTCCCCGAGGATCCCGCGACCGCGCCTCCCATGTCGGCGCTTCCGATTGAGGTCTCGACGGGCACCGATGAGGAACGGGTTGAGGACGACTGGTGCGCAACCCATCTGGACCACGGCTGCCTGACGGGCTTGACCTCGGCCATGTTCGTCGACGAAGCCAAAGCGGACCCGACGTGCGCCGCCCCCGAGATCGAAGGGGCTGCGAATGGCCAACAGGCTCTGGCGCCGCTACCCGAGCTCGAGGCGTCGCCCGACCCGGCCGCGGGGCTCTACATCAAGTCGCGGACCGGCCAGACGGTGCACGTCAAAATCCCGCGCGACTGCATCGCCTTCCAGACGGGCGAGTCCCTGGAGCGCATCACGGGCGGCAAGTTCAAGGCGGTGCCGCACTTTGTACGCGGCGCCCGCGCCGCCATGAGCGACGGCCGCATCGCACGCAACACGCTGGCCGTCTTCACGCAGCCGAATCTGGGCGAGGAGGTGGATATGGAGCAGCACATCACTTTTGGCGAATTTGCAAGAGGCATTGTTGCTAAGAATACCGTTTCTTGATGGTTTGAGGCCACGGATTCACAAGGAAGTCTTAAATTCATCGTTGAGAAGGCGAGGTATGTACGGAGCAGGATGCTATGTACATACACTCTTCTTTGTAATTACGTACGGAAAAAATTGTATGTAAAAGTTACAGCGCGGCTGGCTCTTGGCTCACCAACCGTCCGGGCAATGACCCACTTTGCCTGTATAGTGTGATTAGCCTGACCCCCCATTTCCGCACTGTCGGTTGCAAGGCGTTCCATGCGATTGGAAAGCGGGAAGCACCAGCATCAAAATTGCCTCCTTGAGGGCCGAGCTTGCCGTCGTCCAGAGTTGACGTACTCGCCCGCCCGTCCATTCTCTCGTCATTCTATAGAGAAATCCCTTGTGTATTAATCGTTCTTCAAATTTTTCTTGCTCCAAACTTCCATTGTCAATTGTATTAGTTGGCCCCTTTACCTTTCCCATTTCCTTGCTCTCGTGACCAAGGGGTCAAACATTCCATCGACATATATATCTAAGTCCTACCCACGGAGGCCATCCGCCACCGATGTTAACCTCCAAATTCCCTCTCTCAGCCGCATGGCTGCTACTGCTGCTGCTGGTAGGCACCACATCAGCGGCGCCGGCGCGCGATCAAGCCCTCGCTGCGAGGCAGGCCGCTCAACCGACCGATCCGTGGGTGACGGTTGACGAGGACGGACATGCCAGGACCATCACGCCGGTCCTGGCCACCGTCAGCGGCGTCCCAACGCTGCTCTCGGCCGCGCCGTACGAGGTCACGGCCACCGTCTTCACCATGAGACCGTGGGGGTACAAGACGACGAGCACAGGCGCCGCCCAGCCCGTCGCAACCAACGACAAGGGCGCCGGCGCCTTCGCCGCATGCCGTAGCAGCAGCATAGGGGACGGGGGCGAGGATTTCAAACCCTTCTGCCTGCCTAAGCACCAGGATACGTATTATACCGGTCCAATGCACTTCAGTAAAACCCCCTTCCCCCAACCCCTACCCCTTCTCAAGTATGTATTTGTATTTGTATGTCAGTACGTTCCAAACTTAAACCTGAAATCACCAACCTATCTAGTAACCTGGGACCCGTCCTACTTCCCCACCCCCAACACCACCATCAAAGTGCTGGGCTTCTACACGCCAAACACCACCAGCACCAGCACCACCGGCAGCGGCAGCACCCCCTTTGAAGGCGAGTCCGAGGCCTTCAGCTCGGGCGAGATGGCCGCCGGGTGGGGGTACTGGCAATGGCGGGCCGACAAGTCACTTCTCTCGTCACAATCACTCACGGCGGCAAACATCACCATCCGGATCGTCTTCCTGTCCCCGGCAACAGCATCAGCACAGGCAGGGGGCAGCAGAAGCAACCAGACCGCTGTAGCGGCGCCAGCGGCAGCGGCGCGGTGGGTGCAAGGCCCAACCATCCTGCTCACCTACCGCCCCGGCCCGCCGGCGGTCAAGTCCAAGAGCCCGGACGCGGGCGGGCTGTACATTGCGCTGCCGGCCGTGTCTGCGTTTGCCATGCTCATGGTGGTGGGTACGTTTTTCTGCAACCGCCAGGCGAGGACGATTGGGATAGGCAACGTCATGAGCCGCCGGGGGAGGCGGGACATGGGGGGCCGCCGGGGTAAGAGGACGTTGTTATTTGGGAAGATGGGGAGCAGGAAGAGCGATAGTGGCGATAGCAGGATCGACAGAGAGCAGTCGATCCGGCTGATGAGTCGGGATGCGAACGCCGATGACGACCATGACCATGACGAGGTGCCATGGGATTACTGGGATGCCGAGGAGGACCAGATGCTTGGGCAGTCGTCCACGAGCGCTGGCGCTCACCGACCTAGGTAGGCCCGGGAAGTGTTGGGTAGGTAGGCTCACTGAATTACTGCAGGTAGATAATAACCATGGCGCTATTCGCTGTTGATAATAGCATAACGGCAATGCGCGAGACCAAAAACCCTGCTCAGTACTAGGTGCCGGCATTTAAGTGACTTTTCGTCCTCTTATCATGGAACGAGAATCCCTTCCTTTCCAACCCGCCAACGGCCCCTCCCCCTTCCCAGGAAACCGCCGGCCGCTATGTATTGTGCCTACTCCCAATGGATCTCCCATTTGTTCGCCCACGCGCCGCCCAAGAACTTGTCATTCAGCCCACTCAAAGACAGGACGCCCGTATTCTCGCAGTAACTCCAATACGACGAACCGAGCGTCACACCATCGAGCCACACCCATGACGGGCGATGCTCAAGCCCCAATATGGTAGCATTGGCAAGCGGAATCTTGTCAACAAAGTTGCCGCGAGGGTCGGCAGAAATTGAACTGTTCGTGGCGGAGAACTATACCATGTCAGACACACAACACTCCACGATACAGGCCTCAGGGAAGAAGGATGTACTCACCTGGACCCACGTGGTCGCACTTGGCTCCAAGCTCTCGCCGTCATCAAGGTACAGACGCCCCTCTGCCTGCCCGCAGTGATCGAGCGCGACGATCAACCCCCAGGGATTTCCCCGGCTCTCGGCGGTAGTCATGCCAGGTTCCTGGATGGGAACCACATTCCCTCCGCGCAGATAAACGGGTATGTGGCCAAGCGGAGCATCAATGGTGACATTCTGCCCCGGCTGGACGCCCTTCACGGCCTTCAATTCGTACCAGTCATACCACACCGTCCCGTCACCAACCCCGGGAAACAGGCCGCCCACTGTCGTCGCACCCTGCTCAAGACACGGCACAATCATGACGGCGCTGCCGAGCATGAACTGTCTGTCGGCATCCGCCAGCCAGGGCTCGTTGGGGAATTCCCATGCCAACGCCCGCATCACGGTGCTCCCGTCTCTACTCGCCTGGACCATGAGGGTGTACAAGTACGGAAGGAGCGCGTAGCGGATACGCATGGCCGCCTTGGTCGCTGTCGCGACGCTCTCCCAACGATAGGGCTCCTGGCTGATGGCGCCGAGGACGTTGTGGTTGCGGTAAAAAGGGAAGAAAGCGCTGAGCTGCATCCAGCGCGAGCACAGCTCGTAGTCGGTGTTGCCGCCGAACCCGCACGCGTCGACACCAAACATGGGGATGCCAAAAATGGAGAAGGACAAGGCCTGCGGGATGCCGAAGTACATGTACGCCCAAAGAGAATAGTTGTCGCCGCCCCAATGGCCTGCCCACTTGCCTGACCCAGCAAACGTGCTTCGCCCGATAATGAAGGGCCGCTTTCCATTATGAACATTCAGAAGGGCTTGGTAGGTTGCGTTGAGGAGCAGATGGCCATAGAGGTTGTGGAAATCGTACTCAAGAGTGCCGCCGTGGTGTGTGGCGTTCGGGCTTACGGCATGAACGGCCAAGTCGCCGCGATTGTTGTTGATGGCGTACGGCGGCCAGTTGACGTTCCTCGATCCGGGTGTCGGCTTGGTATGGAGGTACGACGTCGTGGTGGCGACAGCCCCGGTAGGGGTTGGAAGTGCATTTAGCGCGGATGAGACCACCATCGCCTCTGAGGAGTTGGTGCGTTCGAAACCCTCGGGATATGTCAAAACCAGATTTCCCGGTTCTCCGGGTAACTGGAACGGCGGGTGAGCCGGGTTGAGAGTTAAATTCCCAGTACCGCAGCTCCCGACACAAAATGAGGCGACCTAGGGAAGTCAGCAAAGTGGCTGTCAGGGATAGCAACCGGTGTACTCACCTCGGACATGTCAATCCATATCCCGTCGAACTTTGCAAGTTAGCTATCCGTTCCAATGGCACTCGCTTCCAGCACATCCTCGTGGCAGATTCAAGCAGCAAGTGACAGGGGCTGACTTACTGCCACCTTTTCAGACCAGAGTGATACTTCGTTTATCCACCAGTCAATGCCGCCAGTGCCATTCAGGACTGCGCCGACCAGGTCGGGAAATACTAAATGCATAAGATCAGCCAGATGTCAATAGCAAAGTCGCTCAAGAAGCCGTACCAGTGTAGCCTGGCCACACAGCTCCGATATAGGTGGATCCGTCCGGGTTCAGGAGGAAAGCATCGGCCTCAACTCCGCGATTATAGGGAGGGTAGGCGTCGTTGGGATTGTTAGGGTTGGAAGCGTAAATTGCAGCATCAATTATTGGTACATAGTGCTGATGGTTGGCATGCAGCTTGGACAAGAACTGCGCACCCTCGTCGTAGCTGTACCGTACGGGGTCATTCTCGAAGTTCCGGTAACCCTTCATGTAGTCAATATCGGCTGCCAAGGGTCAGCCACACGACATCCAGCCTGCCATAGCAGATTCATAAGAGGTTCCGACTTACTCCAGATGGTCTCCAGAGGAATCTCAAACTTGGCAAAGTTGTCAACGACATCCTCGACAACAGTCCAGTTCTCATACCCCCAGCGGCATTGATGGAACCCTAAAGTCCAGTACTGCTGCATGGCGGGTAACCCTGTCATGGTCTGTTGATAGGCCTTCATCACATCTTCAGCTTTCGGACCGCTGTAAAAGTACAAATCAATGGTTCCACCTAGCGCCCGCCATGTGATGCCTGACGGCTTCAGGAGAACCTCCTGTGCATGGGCATTCCTGAGAAACACTCCATGCGTGTATGAAACGTATCTCGTAGCCTTGTCTGTGGCATAAGGAGCGTAAGTCAAATTCCCTGAGTCCCCGACGGTGAAATATCTGGTGTCAAGGTAAATGGGGTGGCTGCCATAAATGTTGGCATCAATTACGTCGCCGACGTCGGCGGCATAAATGGTTCCTGCAATGTATCAACAGATGGGCTCGTCATTGACTCGTCAAACGGTCAACTCACTCGTCAGGTTATTCCCTAGGCGAAATCCGTGAATGACCTCACCGAGACCGTACAGGTTGTAGTTCTCGGGAAGCGACGAGACGAACTCGATGAACTGGTCCTGGTAAACGAGCCTGGTGCCTTTGGTCGAAAAAAGGGTATCTCCGGTGTCCATGCGCGCCACAGTGAAGGAGAAAGTCGGGTCATTTGACCATGAGACAGACATTCGGCTCCTATTGCTAGATGTTCGACATTGACCAGCGTTATCTGAGGGCCGTGGAACGAGCACCTCTGGCAGGATGAACCAGGTCTCGTTCTGAGGCCCAATAAAGCGAGGCTGGATTTGAATATGGACCCGGTCATCTGCCTGGATCTCAACGGAGAGGGTTAGATGTTCAATGTCGTTTCCATATACGTTGCAGGCAGGGCCGGCGAGGGTCAACTCTGCAGTCAAGCTGCTCTCGGTGACCTGAACATTGGACGCCATGTATCCTGGACACGTAGCTTGGGGATCGACAGCTTCCGGGTCCTTGATATTTGGCAAGATATTTAAGCCCACATCAGCTGAAGGGGGCAGTGTGAAAGCCGGCGCATTTACAGCTGCAGTGGCTGCTTGGCTCGACATTCCTTGAACATCCGAGCACCCGTTTTGTCCTGATACGCCTCGCCAGTGCAACGCCGCGAGCAGCAAAAGCGAACTAAATGTAAATAGTGCCATGGTCAATGTTGCCAAGATCCGGTTGCCCTTGGAACGGCCCAGGAGACACCATACGAAACCCAGTGAGAGCGGTAATAGCAGGAGGGTAAGCTGAGCGTAGGATATTCGCTGAAAGATGTTGGTGCCTAAAGAACTGGCGATGTGCCACCCAGCAGGTTCCTCGTCCCAAGCAGTGGCCTCGAACGTTGAGCCAAAGAGGACTGCCTCGACTTGGATGATCTGGAACAGGAGGGCATTCCAGAGACCCGCAGTCAACAGGGAAGGGCATGGTAGCTTTAACAAGCCGGGGGCGGCGGAGATGGCCTAGGAATATATGTCAATTTCAAGGGGTTCGACAATCTCTAAGCTTGTAACGTCGCTCATCCTGCCATGGACCGGAAGGGAAGCCCCTCCATCGTCAATGACGGAAGGTGCAGCACGAGTAACTTACTTTGGCGGCGGGGCACGTCGAGTCCAAGGTAATATCTGTGTCAATGTAACCTTTCTTATGCCCGAGACAAACTGCAGTAATTGTATCCGTACCTCCAAGCTCATGAAGTACAGTTTGTGTGACTGTGGTTCCTGTGGGAGGGACTACAAGCTGCAGCCGAATCGACTCCCTGGTCGTTGCCCGACTCGTTGATGACGATGACCCCGCCATGGCTGATTTGCGGGCGGCGATCAGCTGCCGGGACTCTCTATAATAGCCTCCGGCTTTGAATACTAAGTTCCAGATGTGCTAGTCTTGTTGATGGCAGAGTTGGAGCAGCGTTGTAAGCTGCGATGGCCCCTAACTCTCGCACCTACCTACCCTCTCTACCCCGGGCAGGATGGTAGGCACTTGGAACTTACTCTATGCAGCTGATCGCGGGCAAGACTCATTTGCATAGAAACTCGGAAACCGGCAATATTGACTTGCTTCGCTGTGTCGTTCGCCGTCTAACCATCGCACCCTAAGTATCAACGGTGCTCAAGTTGCTTCTAAGGTTGTGCGTCTGTGTTTATGCCCTGTCGTGTGAGAAGCGGTCTCGTGGGCTCAAGAGTCCCCAAAATCAGGCCATCCAACTGCATCTCACAGTGTCGATCCGGGGCCAATTGGACGGAAAGCCCAGCGACTCTAGAGAGCGAAATTTATAGACTTGGACTGGTTGGTATTGAGTCAAATGAAGGGAGCAAACCGCAGCAGGGAATCGCACTGATTCTGGCAAGTCGAAATCACAGGTTAAGTAAAGAGCGATTGCTGTGGGCTCCTGCCCAATTCCACCATTGTAAGTGTCAGAGGTATGTATGTACATACATACAATACAACACATACAGGCCATGTGACGCACCGCATGAAGCACGAAGCGGAGAAACCCGTCAAACCACAACAGTTGCACCCGCGGACTTGATGATCGATCACTAAGGCAGGTAGGTGGGTATCTCCTCAGGTAAGAGGATTGCTCTTCATTCCCTATATGCGCAATGTTTGGCTGTCAACTGCAACCCTGTTCCCACGCCACGCCTGATGCGCCTTACTTCAGCACCTGTCAAACCCAAAGCCTTCATCCCAAGTCATCCCGAGCCCTATGTCCTCAAGCTTTGCTATAATAAGATGTGAATAGAGAACAGGCCCGTGTTTATCCCTAGAAACCCATGAACGAGGGATGAAAGAGACGTTTGGTACCCTAAAATTTGCCCGTAGTAGACGCCCCCTGAACTCCGGCATGTCACAACTCCGTCGCTGATATCCACAACATTACTGAAATGAGGAAAGGAAATAGACACATGAAGCGACCGAAAGGTTGCGGCGCTGGCTGATACAGCATGGAACAGAACAACACAAGAAGAAAAGAAAAAAGAAAAAAAAAACAAAAACATCAATAGCTTAGATCGACATGACCTAATTGTGACAGGGTTTTGGCGTCCTGCGGATTCAGCCCCGTCGAGTTCGTCGTGGAGCTGCCCCCTGTATCCGATTGTGATGTGCTGGTCCTCGAAGGCTGCAGCTCGAGTTGCGGCTCTGTCGGGGGAATTCCGCTCTCTGAGTAGCCAAAGTCCCGCATCTGCTGGAAACTCCAACTCGGTTCGAAACCCCTGCTGTTCCATGCGTAGTCTACCCTCTCGTACATCTCGTCAATCTGTTCCAGGCTGATCTTGCTGGTCTCGTACACCATACACCAGACGAAAGCGATGGAAAGGATGCAAAATGCGCCCCATACGAAGAACACCCGAGAGCCCAGGTCGATTGCACCCGCCGAGCCTTTGGTAGTATCCACCATATATGGTGTGCCGTACGCAATCCCGAAATTCAGGAGCCAGTTGGATGCAGTCGAGACTGACATGGACTTGGCGCGCACTTTGAGGGGGTAAATCTCGGACGTGACGACCCAAACGACGGGGCCCCAGGACGCTGCGAAGAAGAAAATGTATATCGCGACGAATATGATGAGAATTTGGTTTTGAACCGGCTGGTGGTCGTTTCCGGTGGCCGTGGCAAACGATGCTATCAGGAGCTGGCAGATTGCCATCCCAATTGCTCCCACGATAAGCAATCTCCGTCGGCCCCACGACTCAACCACAAATAAGCCGGGGAAGGTCGATACCATATTGATAATCTGCATAATCAAGGAAATGAGGAACGGATTGTTGACGCCTGCCCCGTTGAAGAAGGTTGTTCCGTAGTACATGATGAAATTGACGCCCGTCAATTGCTGGAGCATCTGAAGGACGCAGCCTGTGAGTGTGCGGCGACCGAGGTGAGGTTCGCCAAAGATTATGTCCCTGTATTTATCAGGGCCCAGTGCCAGTTCGTACTCGTGGTTAGCCTGGATTTCCGCCAGCTCCTCGATCAGGGCGGGGTGAGTGATGTCGAGGCGTCGGAGGCGGCTGAGTGATAGTGCGGCGGCATCTTTCAGCCCGCGCTTGATTAGATAACGGGGCGTCTCTGGCAGAATCAAAAGACCCAAGGCAAGGACGACAGCCCAAGTAAGTTGGAGACCGATAGGGATACGATACGCTGCAGCTGTGGGTATCTGGTACGTAAAGATGTTGACGAGGGCAGCGGCAAGGAGACCGACGGTGATAGACAACTGATATGCGCAGACCAGCGTTCCACGGATCCACTTGGGCGCCATCTCCGACTGGTATAACGGAACAAGCACCGAGACGGTCCCTACTCCAACACCAGCCAGCGTCCTAAACTCGAAGTCAGTACGGCTGTCCCGGAAGAGTGAATTGCCCAACATGGGATGTGCAGAGAGCGGGCCAGCACTGTGACGAACCTTCCGACTACCAGAAGCGCTATATTGGTTGCGCACACCTGGAATACGGCACCGACGGAGAACACTCCGACAGCAGCGATGAGCGATAGTCGACGACCCCAGATATCTCCTGCGGGAGCAGCCAGCAGAGCCCCGACAACTGTTCCGGCGCTGAGCATAGAAACAATTAATGACACCTCCTGCGGGGATATTCCTGGCCTATTGTCCGAATCGATGAAGCCCGTCGTGAAGTCCTGCCTGAAGGTATCCATTGCCAAAATCCCGTTGATTGAGCTATAGGGGAGAAAGAGTCAGCCTTTCTCCTGCCGGCAAACGCGTCCGCGATGGGATCCCTTCCAACGGCTTACCCAGTGTCGTAGCCAAATAGGAGTCCGCCGGTGGCGACGAACAGCCCGACCATGATCGCCGGCGCCGACGAGCCAGCGACGTTGTCGGGCTTGTGCCAGCCCATGGCGAAGACCGCCATGGTGCAAGAGTTCGGCCCTTCAATCCAGATTCGATGTCGCTTCCGCCAGGGCTATGGGGATTTGGCGATGCGAGATGAAAATTTGCGGTTCGACCATCTGAAGGGGACGTCTTGTCATGCGTCGAGGTTGTGGGTAATATGGGTCTGTGAGGGAGGAACAGCGGGTGAGAAGGCTTCGAGATCAGCAGTTTTAGCCCGCACCCGGGGGAGCGCGCTGTGATTGGCTAGACTCCTCCACACACCAGCTGCGCCCGTGCTTCGCTAAAAGACCAGGAGCAGCACACCCTCCTGGGGTCCAGAAGGTCACCCCAGCCAAGGCTTGTTGGCACATTCGCTCGCTTTCTCCCCTTTAACGCACACTTTCCCCAATCTGTTCAAGTGCACATGCACTGGCAGAAGCCCCTAGCGGAGAAGCAAGGTTGCCGCCCTGTCATCGCAACTTTGGTGCGGCTGACTAAAGATTGATTCTTCGTAGTCTCGTGCTAGTGTTAGGTTTTGCTAGTCGACCAAAACTGCATCGCCATCTATTTCAAAGATGTTTCTTGCAATGCTTTTCATAGTGCATAGAACTCCTAATTCATTCTAGGATGCTGCAAGGTTTTGTATTATAGTAGGGTAGGTACTGTAGCATTGAGCATCGCAACTCAATCGAACAAGTAGTTACGCGGTAACATAGGTAAGTTGGATTACACTAGCCACTTAGCAGGGGAACCCAGAAATATGGGGTGACAATTGAGATTCCTGGTTCATCCAGTGGCACGGTGTGCTAGCAAAGGTTGGGTAACATAACGTTAACTCCACATTTCTCAACCACCCTCCAACCTCGCTCCAGTGTGGCTCGATGGAAGACACGAGTATAACTAACGCTAACAACGTGACTTGTGTTCAAGTCCTGTCCAGAGGCACAAGCCGACCACAATTGATTGCATAATAGTAACAATCCACAACCGGGATAGCCTTCGTCTGGCTGTGTACACTATGACTGACAGTGCACCGGTCAACCTCGAATCGAGGTGAGTCCTATACTGTATTGTACAGTATATACAAATACAATGCGTACCGAGTATATCCGTACGCTGTAGTAAGGTCCTGAAAAACTTACATGTAACTTACAGGGCTCTGTATCTGTATTGGAATCCACAAGTAAGTTACCGGTATATTAATTGAGTATCAGCAGCACATAGCTTCGTACTGCTCCGTAACTAAGGTACCTAGTATGGGTATCCATATTCGTTTGTGTAATTACATATATCATACACGGTGTGAGCTAGTTTCGCCCTGCGAGGAAAGAGTCACTGACTGCTGGGATCACATTTGCACGCCATATGTGCTAGAGAAGGCAGGATGAGGAAGCGGGCTGGTCTGGTGGATTCACAGAATGCATTGGAAGAGGATTCTCGCGTTGGTTTGAACCTCAACACCATGAGTCGCTGACAGCCCCTGACAGTACGCACGGCACTAGTGTATTGCACATACAATACTTCGTACAGTAGTTACCTTCACTCACCCTATCAACTGTGCTGCTGTCAAACTGAAAGCTTCCGCACCCAAACCAGCTTCAAGAGATTCTCTTCTGTACTTCGTAAGTGAAGTGTTATTTGACGTTCTCATTCTATTGCGTATACCTATACACTTGCCGGCTATCGGCGCGTCAGGCTGGGGATCCTTTGATATCTGTTTTATCGTGATCTTGATTTCTGAATCATCTTGCTCCCCCTTGGTACGTGACAATGCCAGTGAAAAACAGTTGTGCCACTGAAGAATCCAAGCACCTCACCCTTCAATCCTTCAAGCAAGCTTGAACCTCGGTGCAAGTATTCGGATTGTATGTACGACATTCCATGCTGTATACTCCGTACTTGTTTCCCGTTCTATTATCTAAAGATATGCCCGCTTCTTCCTGGCCGTCATGCCATTCACGAATAACGACATCTGGCAGATTGAGTTTTTGAATTCTAGTCCATTACCCACCCTATATTCTCCAGAAATGGAACAAGATCTACTGCACAGATGAAGCAAAGCGACCAATCCCAGCCTTGCACTATGCAATGCGCTTCAAGCTTGCTGACGCGATGTGAGGTCAAACTCAGGGTTTGAGGAGGGTGGAAGGTTCGTTTAGATACTTCGCTTGCCTTAGCCGGTGCAGTAGATCTTGTTCCATTTCTCGAGAATATACGGTATCTGCAGTGGCGTCCCTTCCTTGGCAATCCAGTATGGTAGCCCTCCTTTCTCAGCCCGAAGAGGCACTTGAATATAAAGCAGGAACCTGGAACCTATGCCCTATTGGTGCTGTTTTGGAGAGCTCTTCCAGCGAACTCCCTCGCGGTATACCTCCGTACAAAGGGAGAAGCGGTTTCGGGCGTCCTACCTGCAAGCCACCACTGAAATTAACTGGCCCAGACCTGAGCTGGAATGCCCCGGCTTAGTGTAGTTTTCTGCTGGCTCCCGCCTTTTGAGCTTTCTTGGATGCGGGCATGCGGGCGGCTCGGAGACTGCGGCTGGCATTGGCTGCTTTTCACGCCTGTGCCGCAAAGTCCAGACCCCTCGAGGGACTCGTGGACAGCAAAAACCTTCGAACTGGGGCTGGTCTGTCGCCCTTTTGACATCACTGGTGCATGTGTGTGCGGCGTCCCCCCTCTGACCAAAGAGAGGTGAGGCCGGGTTCACGTCACGTCACGAACGCTGCCTGGGCTGTAAGCCATAGGGGATAAGGGAGGGAAGAAAAGAAAGAAAGAGCTCGTCAAACGTGATTACAGTGGATAAAAGATCGCACAAAGAAACCAAAATATCCCCTGCCGTCACAATTGCACAAGCAGCCGCATTATACTTCCGTATCGCACCCTCGAGCGAGGGGGAGGAAGCCGGACTCGGCATGACGCCCTAGCCCGTCCCTGCTGAGCTCCGGCTGAGATCCTGAAAATCGTGCCCTTGGTGAGTTGGAGAATAGCTCAAGGGAGCTTAATTCTCGCCAGCAGAGAAGCCAACTCCGACCAGTAATGAGAATCCCACTTGTCCCGAATCCCGCCCATGCAAAGAAAAACCAGAGACGGAGGAGGGAGAGAGTGTGTAAGCAGTCTGTAGCAAGACGCCCATAGACGGGCTAACCACTCACCATCCTCCACTCTTTGATATGTAGCTAGGTAAGCGGCCAGCAACATTTTTTCCCACATAGCTTGATTTAAATAGGTAGTTGTACAATACAATACAATACATACAGGACAATGTGGAGGTCAGAAAGAAGCGGTCTGCAGGCAGGAGGCAAGGGAAAACTGTGCGCGATGTGGAGAGAGGTGAGATGGGAGAGCAAGTCACCGAAGCGCTGGGGACACGACACAAGTAAACCCCGAACCTCACTTCTCGATAGGCAGGTGCTCTCAAAGTTGCCGCCATGTGAGGCGCTTGGGAGTTCCGTGATCGCCGACACTATACAGCTTTCTTGTCACGTCGCAAAGACACACTGCATGATATCTAATTGTCAATTTCCATTACTTATGGTGTAAATGGGACCTAAACTAACAAATACAAGGCAGCGATGCGTGTCTGCCAAACCAGCCAGTGATCCAAAATCCGACCGGAAGTGTTCCTCCTGAGTCCGGAAAGCCATGATACACACTGCTCAATTCCAGCTCCCCCAAGACTCAATCAATTCATCCCTGAGGTGCCATTTTCTTGGCCCAGCCGTCCCCTGTCTATGCAGATACGCCTTTGCCAAGCAGTCTCAAACGAGTGCAAGATAATAAAAACCTAAAGATAGCCTTTGGTTGTCTCGCATAATTGCTTAGAACTCCAGCGTGACCTTCTGGCCCTTCACTCTGCCGATGACCTGCTGCGGTGCGTATTTGGGGATGACCTCGTCATCATGAAGCATCTCAAACTCCTCGCTGGCATCACGGCCCATGAAGTTGAGAATGGCCTGGGGCCCACCGGGGTGCTCATCAAGCCAGTTGGTCAGGTCAAGCACGGCGCCCTTGACCACAACCCAAAGGTCGTCCTTCTTGTTATGCTTGGCAACCTCCTCCATGGTAAACTCCTTATCAGGGACGGTGAAAGACTTTGGGTCATTCGGCTTGGACGCCGTCTTCCCTTCCGCATTGGGGACGGCCCCGGTACCGGTGCTGGATGTGGCCTGAGCCTTGGGCGCCTCGGTGTTGCCGGCACCGGAACCCCACTCGACTGATATCTTGCCCGGAGTCGAGGGGTCGATGTGCAGGGCAATTTGGCCAAGACGGGCCGCGCCGGCGGAACCACTGAGGGCCTTCTGGAAGAGGTAGTTGCTGGCGGAGTCGCCGGCAACACGGCCGTAGACGACGCAGCCCAAGAGGGACGAGCCACCAAGGCGGTTGGCGCCATGGACGCCACCGGCAAGCTCGCCACAGGCGAAGAGACCCTCGAAGGGCTTCTTGTCCTTGTTGAGGACTTGTGCCTTGTCGTTAATTTCAATACCACCCATAGTGAAGTGGAGAACAGGCTCCATCAGAGCCACATGGAAGGTATCGCTGATGTCGAGAGGCATGTTGTGGAAGAACCGCTTGCCCCAAGGATCCTTTTGCTTGCCCTCGGCGATGGCATTGTAGGTTTGGAACGTCTTTTGGAGATGCTCTGGGCTACACCCGATCTCCTTGGCAAGTTCCTTACCAGTCATCTTTTTCATAAGACCACGGCCAGAATAGTGGCGGGTATGGAAGTCGAGGGTGTTGGAAGCCTTGGAGTTGAGCACGAGCCGGATGGGGAACTTGCCCTTGTCCTTCTCCTTCCACATCATGCCCGAGACGTAGTCACGGTGGCCAAGCTCGTCGCAGAAACGGTCGCCATCAGCGTTCAGGAGGATACCGCCCTCGCCACGGAGAGCCTCAGCAGCCAGGAACTTCCACTTCGAGCCAGGGTCTTTGGGGTCAACCAGACCAGTGGGGTGGACCTGGACCTTGTCCATGTCGATGCCGTTGCCGCCGATGGCCATGACCATCTTTTGGCCATCACCGGTGGCATGCGAGCCGTTTGTGGTGGCGAGGCCGACTGTATCGGGACGGTGCTGCTTCAGTAGGGAGCCCTCGCCGAAATCAGCGGCATAGCCACCGGTTGCGAGGACTACGGGCCCGTCAAGAGAAAAAGTTTCGCCGTTGTGATCGTACTTGACACCAGTAATGGTGTTGCCCTCCTTGTTGAGGCTGGTAACACGAGCCTTCTTGATGATTTGGACACGGTGCGGCTCTGACTCGGCGAGCTCTTCGAGCCTCTGCATCAGAGCGTAGGTAATGGCCATGCCCGGAAACTTTGCGTCGTGACCACGGTGGGTACGGGGCTGAGAGTGGCCACTAGAAAGAAATTAGCCTCGTATGTTGGATCGTGCTTGGATATCACCTACCCCAACCGGGAAACGAGAGTGAGGTCCAGGTTGAATACATCTTGCAGCCACTCGACAGCGGCGGCGGACTTGTAGGTAAGGACCTTGATGAGATCGGGCCTCGCCTTGTCGCGGGCTGACTTGAGCGTGTCATCGTAAAACTGCTTCACGCTGTCCTGGATGCCGTGCTCAACCTGCGTGCGGGTGAGAGCGCCGTTGATGCCGGAGGTGGCCTTTGTGGAGTTGCCGCCAAAAAAGCCTTGCTTATCCAGAACCACAACATTTCCGCCGGCAAGGTAAATTGTGTGGGCGGCGCTCAACCCGGACACTGTAGAACGAGAGACACGGTCAGCGGCGCGGAAAGAATTGAGCGGCATGTGATGACGACAGCACCGCGCGGGGCCTAGGAAGAACGGTTAAGTCAAGTTGAGCCACTTACAGCCGCCTCCGACGACGATAACTCTCGGTGCCATTGCGATTGGGTATCTGAAGAAACAGGAACAGAGAACGAAAGAGAATGTTGGGCTTGTACGGTTTCAAGAAGAAGAGAGAGAAGCGGCGAGAGGGAGAAATGCACGGGTAGTTATTTGGGTCAGTGGAGGAGCTGGCACCGCTGCGGTCTGTCTGGCGTTTGAATTGCTGGCACGCTGATTCGTGAGCCGAGGTCAAGCGTAGGAAAGTGGACAGGGGTGTAGGCACAAGACTGCCCTGTCGTTAGCGAGGCGATGCGGCAACCGCTAGGGACTAACCCAGGCCACTGAAACTTACAGTACAGATCCTGATCGGGCGTCTAGAAACGGCGCGATGGTCGACCAGGAGAGTGTAATCGTCCAGTCGGTTTACGAGGAAGAAGAACTGAGGGAAAATGTCAAAGCACTGTTGAAGAATGCTATCATTCTTTGTTGAGACGGACGAACTCTGCTCGCGCTGATGTCGGCCGAGGGAAGTCAAAATGTGGGTTTCCGGTCACTCGGCAAATGGGCCGAGGTTTGCCTTTGCCACGGCACGACCCAAATGTCAGCCAGGCCCACAAACGGGATCTCACGAATGTGGGGTATCTACGGGGTACCTGTGGAAGCCACGCGCATGTAATGTCAAGGCCAAGACGCTGCAGGTAGGGACAATGTTGGCCTCTGGATGAAGAAATGGAGACTGCTGTGAAGGATCTTGCTTCCTCTTTAATCGCATATTGAATGCGAGCCATTGCGGGCAATTCCCCAGACCATTTGGTACGTTAGCTCCAGGTTCCCCACACGGGAGTCACAAGCCCCTCCACACTCTCGGTGGCGTCGAGCTGCAGATTCACATCACCTTCACATGTGAAGATGGGAGACAGGCCCACTCCATTTTCCATCCGTCCAAAGTCCAATATTCGCGTGTGGAAGCATCAAAACACCTGCCAGGGCAGTCCGGTTGTGAGCCAAATTTAGGCATTGGAAGACAGTAAACGGTAGAGTACGGTACCTTCAAATCTTCCTGCGGCCCCTAGCATACATACATTCATGCAATTCCGCCAAGACTGGCGTCTCGATGTCACAGCGCGGAGCGGCATGTGATCGGTCTTCAACAGCCAAGTATAAGATCTTCTACGGCGCATCCCAGAAAAGGACACCTCAGTGCCACAGTCTAGAGCGAATGCATAGGAACAATACAAGCATATGACGGCCGAGAACTGGTGAGCATCTGACCAAGGCTGGTAGTACTCGGTGTCCTAAGCAGGGTTGCAAATGTGAAGTCTCACAATTCTCACAGTTCGCTCGGATCGATCATGGAACGGCAACCGTTAGTTAAGCATAAGAGAACCTAAACGGAGTAATGAATTGAAGCAAGTCCTGTATATTTTGGATGCACTTCACTTAGCTGGCGGGACATCTGTCCTGGTCGAGGCTGTTATCAGGTACTGAGCCAGATGATGCACTACGTCACGGCTTGGCTGTCAAGGTTCAGGTACTTGCTACATGCCTGACGGATAGTGGTGGTGCTGTTGCCATCCAATTATTCCGGAGCATATTCAGGCTTTGCGTCACAACCCAAACCCCGGAAACGTGCATTGCGAAAAATCAGCGGAATAGGCACTTTCCTGGAGCGCCAGGTTGTTTCAAGCATACACTAGATAACCATGCGGCCATTTTTCATAACCGTTGGGCTTACTCTGGGTGCAACGGTGTCGTCCCAGCTCGTAGTACCCCTCGTCCGGAGCGCTTCGATCAACCAGTTGTCCGGCCACGGCCAAGTACCCCTAATGGACCCGAATGGGCCGGGGCCAGTGGTGCCTCCTTCCGATGCTGCCCCGGCTGAGTCGCCTTCAGGCGGTGTCGTGCTATCCGATGTGATGGGTCGAGACAGGAGCATCAATCTTTTCGCAGGGTATGCACCGTCACCCAGTTCATCAGTCCTTAGACGATTCGAGGCTTTGCTAACTGATATCTGGTGCCCTAGTTTCGTGAGAGACATAGAGTCCGCATCCCGTCGTCTTGACGACCCATCCCTGAACACCACTGTACTCGCTCCACTCAATTCTGCAATCGAGAAACTGCCTAGGAAGCCCTGGGAGGAGCCTAGTGATTACGATGCCCTGGGGTCCAATGCGTACGAGGGCGGGGATGGTCAGGAGAGAGCGCAGCGCAACCTCCGGAGGTTCGTGGAGGCACATCTAATACCGGCAAACCCCTGGCCCCAGGGTAAGAAATTGAGACCTATCGGGGGCGACCAAGAGATCTGGTGGGAAGAGAAAGATGGGACTCGCATGGTGAGGCACCGCATCGCTGAGCATTCTCTACGCTTCCCAACATACGTGACCGCTGACAGATGAGCGCAGATCCAGCCGGGGGCTGTCGAAGTGGCCAGCGTCGCAAGTACCGTCGCTAATGGTGAAGTGGTATGTCTGCTGTCATATGGCTACGAGGGACAGCTCTCGAAGACAAGGCTAACACTCATCTGCGTTACCAGTGGATCATAAAAGCCGTGCGTAATTATACCTAAGAGAACAAGAACCTAGGTAAGCCGGAAGGAAGTTTGTTTGGATGCATCAAGATCACCTCCTTATGACTTGATGACACAGGAGGCTAAGGGGAACAAACCTGTCTGCGTGGTGACTATCGAGTACCTAGCAGGCCATTCAGATATAGGAATTCGAGAGGGTGCGCAAGTTAGAACGGTGTTGCAGCACCGGAATGGGATCGAAGCTTGCCCATATCATCTTGGATAATTCTGGTCCAAAAGGGTTTCGTGAAATATAGGAAAAAGAGACCGACAGAGCTGCCGGCGGCCGTCTTGCATCGAGGTCGGCCGACTGCTATTCCTGGCACCCTAGCTCACACAAGACTCGGAGATTAAGCAAGACTCGAGCGTTGCTCTATTCCATGGTGATGATGCACCTTACACGCACACCGTGATGAATGAGGTGATTCTCGATGTTTATCCTTGGTACTACGGGCATACTCCACAAGATCGTAGACGTGCAGCTGGTAGGCGCGACCCCGTCACTCCGATGATCGGGCTAGGGGTGATCTCAACAATCCGAGGTTCTGCCGCTTATCGTTATCGCCGCGGGTCGCGACAAGGGGCAGAGATCTGTGCCCTCAGCTCTCAAGAAGCGACAGTTCAACCAGCACACACTCTCGATTATGCCCAGCTCCTTTTCCTGCCGAGAACGTCGTAGCAGGGTGTCGCTCACAGACAGCGCGAAGGCTGGATTTGCCTCGTTTTGAGCTGTACGTCATTTTCGTTACAGAAGTCGGGCAAGCGCCTAATGATACCCATCGCAACTGTAAGTAACAAAGCTCGCCCGATCGGCAATTTCCAACCCCCATTCACTCTCGACTCGCGGTCTTCGACCCCTATTCATCACCATTGTTCAACTGACCCCCTCACTGATCTCTGGCTCTACTCGATCCCCCCTGCAGCCTCTTGCTATCCGTTTCTCGTCTGTTCATCTGGAGATACTAAAATAATCGCAGTCGTTTCGAGTCATCCGAAACAATGAACAGCCAACCGCTCCACAACGGCAGCGGGTTTGACCGCGACCGCGACCTTGACGAGCAACGACATCGCGCCCTACATCAGGACGAGATTGCAAGACGAGAGAGGGAACGAGAGCGAGAGCGAGACCGTGAGCGGGAGCGGGAACGAGACCGTGACCGCGACCGCGAGCGCGACGAGGCAGAGCGGCAACACCGCGAACCCTACCAGCCGACTGCTCCCCACCATAGCAGCGCTGGCTCGCTTCCGATTCACCAGCCTGTTGCATCACGAATTTCGACTTCCATTACTGGCCCTGGTGGCCTCCTCGCTAACCACGGAAGCTCCGCCCCGTCTTTACCCATCGGAGGTCCTTCGGGGCCTGCACCGGGCTTCGGCAGACCCCTCCACGACGAAAGCGGCAGGCCTCCGCAACACGGTGGCCCTGGCGCTGCATCGGCTCCTCAACATCAGGTATTCGCGCCCATGTCTCACGGCCCAAGCGGCCCAAGTAATACTCTGAGTGGGCCGGGTGGGCCTGGTGCAATCTTCGGTGGCCCTCTGCAACAGGAAAACGGTCGAGCAATCTCTCAGGAAGGCGTCAGGGGAATGCAACAATTACCTTTCGCCTCTGGCATGGGCCCGGCACACGCCATGCCTCCTGGGCCTGGCGGTATGCCTCAAGGACAACAGCCTATCTTGAATGTAGGCACCCTGAAGAATCCCTAGCGCCATCTGCTTTGTCGAGCTGACCATGTGGTTCTCAGGATGCTCTCAGTTACCTCGACCAGGTCAAGGTTCAATTCCACGAGCAGCCGGATGTGTACAATCGTTTCTTGGACATTATGAAGGACTTCAAGAGCCAGACGTGAGTGCAACTAACCGGCTTGCCTCGTTTAGACCCGCTAACATTGCTTAGGATCGACACGCCGGGCGTCATCAGTAGGGTATCCGAACTATTTGCCGGCCATCCCAACCTGATTCAAGGCTTCAACACCTTCCTTCCGCCCGGCTATCGCATTGAGTGTGGGCTTGAGAACAATCCTAATAGCATCCGCGTCACCACACCCTCGGGTTCCACGATTCATTCGATTGGGGCCAGCCGAGCACCCCAGCACGAGGCTGCGCAGCCGGCGTCTGGGCCAGCGCAAGGGTTCCTGAACCCGAGACAAAATTGGCAGCCACCAGTAACGCATACCGTGGAGAGCCCAGAGGCGACCTTCAGTGTGCCGGCGCAGAATGGCCCACCGGCATTTCCTGCCTCAAGCCAAAGCGCTCCCTTTGACGGTACGAGCCCCGTTCAACAAAGATCTGTCCCAGCTGTGCAGAACGGCACCGTAAATCACGGCCCCGCTCCACGGAACGCGCACACCCCGACCCCGGCTGCTGGCGGCCCGCCCAGCTCAAACGGAGGAACCGCTCAGCAGGCCAATCTTGAGAAGCGTGGCCCTGTCGAGTTCAACCACGCAATCAGCTATGTCAACAAGATCAAGGTAAGCAATGTTTTGCCCTTATCCTTTTCTGACTCCTAGTTCGGATGATGTTCCTTCATCCGATGCCATGAAGGAAATTAAATACGTGGCAACCAATTTCCAGTGAAGAATTTTTTGTCGACCTCATGCGCAACGGCTAACCGTGGCCCAGAATCGTTTCCAGGATAAACCTGAAATCTACAAGCAGTTCCTGGAAATCCTACAAACCTACCAGCGCGAGCAAAAACCCATTCAAGACGTATATTCTCAAGTTACAAGTCTTTTCCATACGGCACCAGACCTTCTCGAAGATTTTAAACAGTTCCTTCCCGAATCGGCCGCCCAGACGCGATCGGCCGGCCAACGCCCTGAAGACAGCATGCCGGCGGCCGTTACCACCCCTACGCCGCAGCCCGGTCATGCTGCGCGCGACGGCCCCAAGATGCCTCCAGTAGGAAACTTCGCGCCGCCGGCCAGTGCAAGCAAGGAGGGCAAGAAGAGGCGCCCGGAAAAGGCGGTTGCTGCCACCACACCCACTACTGCTTCAGAGCAGATGGCATCGGCATCGTCCTCTATGCGAGCCGCTCTTCCGGCGGGGCCCCCAGCCAACAAGCGGGCTAAATTGTCGCATAAGACCGGTGTTGCCGAGAATGTGATGATCGAGCCCACGTTGACGCCCGTCATGCCAGAGCCTCTGGCACCTGCTCCGCTGGCTGTCTCAGCGCAAGACGACCTCTCCTTCTTCGAAAAGGTCAAGAAGCACATTGGCAACCGAACAGCCACGACCGAGTTCCTGAAGCTCATCAATCTCTGGAACCAAGACCTGATCACCAAGGACGTTCTGATCTACAAGGCGAACCAGTTCATGGGTGGCAATCCCGAACTTCTCACCGCTCTTAGGGCATTGGTCCGGCATGGCAGTGCTGACGAAGTCATTGAGAACCGACCAGAGCCACCGACAGGAAGGGTCTCCCTCAGCAACTGCCGAGGATTCGGCCCGAGTTATCGTCTCCTTCCCAAGCGGGAACGCCTTAAACCTTGCACCGGTCGTGACGAGCTCTGCCAGTCGGTGTTGAATGACGAATGGGCCTCCCACCCAACATGGGCGTCCGAGGACTCAGGTTTCGTCGCCCACCGGAAAAACGGGTACGAAGAAGGCCTCCACCGTATTGAGGAGGAGAGGCACGACTACGATTTCTTCATTGAGGCGAATCAAAAGTGCATCCAGCTTTTAGAGCCCATCGCACAGCAGATGCTTTCGCTACCGCCCGCTGAGCGGGCTGCGTTCAAGATGCCAGTTGGGTTGGGTGGCCAGAGCACATCCATTTACAAACGAGTGCTCAAGAAGATCTACGGCCCCGAGAAGGGCTGTGAGGTTGCTAATGACATGTTCAAGTATCCCTTTACTGTGGTACCCGTCGTCATGGCGCGTCTGAAGCAGAAGGATGAGGAATGGAGATTCACGCAGCGAGAGTGGGAGAAGGTATGGCAAGGCCAAACCGAGACAATGCATCTCAAGAGTCTCGACCACATGGGGATCCAGGTCAAGACCAATGACAAGCGCAACCTGGCCGCGAAACACCTTGTCGACATGATCAAGACGAAGCACGAGGAGCAACGCCGTATCCGGATCGCCAAGGGCAAGACTACCCGCTATCAGTTCATGTACTCGTTCGCGGATCAAGACCTTCTCTTGGATCTTCTCCGTTTCATGGTCATCTATGCCAACGTGGGCGGCCAGCATAATGCGCAGGAGCGGAGACGCATTCTGGAGTTCTTTGAGTCGTTCATTCCTCAGTTCTTTGACCTGCCCGAGGACAGGGTCCACGAAAAGCTAGCAGATATTGATCATGACTCGGCAGAAGAGGACGAGGACGACCCGACTCCGATCGAGCTCACCAACGGCCGCGCTCGCCGCAACGGGAAGAAGTCGGATCTTCTCCGCGGTGTGCTGGACCCTGGCCGCAACGGCAGCCGCAGCCGTGGGCAAAAGGAGGATAGCGCGGCATCTGGAAGCAAGGAGACGACCCCAGACGTCGGGTCGGCGAATGAGGAAGAGATGCCGGACGCGACTGATGATGCTACGGTCCCAGAGGTTTCGAATGGCCGCTGGCTGCCGACGGTTCCCGGCCCCATCATTGTCGAAAAGAGCAAAAGCGGTAACGGATCCGATCTTGTCAACGTAGACGGCGAGCTGAAGGCAGATGCGCCGTTCCCCCGGTCCTGGTACAACTTTTACTGCAACCAAAACATCTACGTCTTCTTTACCATCTTCCAGACCCTGTTCAAGCGGCTTGAAGAAGTCAAGCAGAGCAAGGACAGCGTCCTTGAGGAGATACAGCGCGAGACAGCAGAAAAGCCGGCCAAGATCCTGGGCCTCGTCCACGATGGAATGCATTACTTTGACAGCGAGAACCCCGACACGTTCTGGCCTAGAACGGTAGAGCTCATAGAAGATTTCATCAACGGTGAGATCGACGAGAGCAGGTACCAGGATGTCTTGAGGCACTACTACCTCAAAAAGGGCTGGAAGCTGTACACGATCCAGGACCTGCTTAAGACGCTGTGCCGCATCGCGCTTAGTTGCAACAACCCAGATGCGAAGGGTGAGAAGACCAAGGAGCTTGTCAAGGCGTATCTAGAGAGTCGCCAACAGGAAGAGACCAGCTTCCAGAATGAGATCAGCGCTCGCAAGTTTGCAGAGAAGTGCATCAAAGACGGCGAGATGTTTGTTATCTGCTGGGTAAGTACCCCCTTTTCAACCAATCTGGCTGGTTGAACAATGACAGGCTAACCTCGGATATCCAGTACCCCAAGAATAAAGAAGCGACGGTGCGCTGGCTGCAGAAGGACGAGACGACGTTCTACATGGACGAGATGGAGCGCATCCAGCAATGGCAATACTACATCTCGTCGTATATGCGCATCGAGCACACGGAGGGCATCGTCCGGTCGCGACTGCAAAAGGTGCTCCTCGAGCGCAATCTGCCATCAGATGCCAAAGACTCATCTGAGGAGGGATACACGCCCAAGCCATTAGTGATACATGAGGGTCTGGTAGTTAGAATCTGCCTGAACTCGTCCAAGATGGTGTTCGAGAAGGGCACGTCGGACTACTTCATCTACAACACGGGGCGGCCCAGCGCCGACGAGGAGGACGACTACGCGGCCAAGCAGGCGTTTCGGCGCGAGATCCGGGCCGAGAAGCTCAAGGAGAAGATGGTCACCAACAATGCGTGGATGAAGGGGCTTAGCCATGAAGAGGTGCAAAAGGTGAACAATGACTACCAGAGGTGGAAGGAGGGCGAGTTGCTCGCGCCAATGGAGGCGGCAGACGCCAAGATGGATGGTTGAGATACGGAATGGACAACGGGCTTCCATTTGAACTGGCGCATGGGGCGCAGGGGGAAACTTGGGCATCGGGGCTCGACGGTAATCCTATGGCAGGTCGTTTCGTTTCTGTTTGACTTTTGGCTTTTCTTCCCTCATGGGTATAGCTACCAGGGCTGGCGAAGTCGCTCGTCGCGTTTTATCTTCATCTGGTCGACTTCTGCTGCACAGATTACTGCTTGCCGGCTTATTTACTGGTTTCTCCTGTCCTGTTTCTGGACCGAGTGCAGCAGTTCTTTTCTTGAGGCGGTCAATTCACGCAGGAATCGGTGAGGAGGGGTCTCAGAAGGAAGGAAAGGGGGAAAGGTTGGCTCAAAGGAGTGAGGGAACACGCTGCCTTCTGGAGCCTATAATCCTCCTACTATGTAGTAGTACGTAGTCTTCGATTAGAGACATGGCAATTTTATTTCGACATGTCTGTTGAACTTGCATGCCAAGTGAAGGAGCAACTCAGTAGATTCAGTTGCACGTCGCCCGGAAGCTCAGGCCACTGAGTCTTTGACATGTCTTGGCAATTGATTGGTACTGTACTGTACAGTACAATACTCCGTACTGTACATACAATAGTAACAATACATTCACCATTGCATGGAATACATTGAAATATGGGAAATATTATACAGTACCATACCACAGTACTCTGAGCTCTGGAGCTTGATCGAGTACACCAACACAACCAACACAGAAAGTTTATCTCAACGTTCACAGCTCGCCATGACATGACTGCGCACGAATTCCATCATGACTCGGAAGATCCAATTGAGGCTCATGGGCTTTCTCCCTCCATGTCACAACTCTAACGCAATGGCGCGCGGCGAATTCTGTGTGATGCGACGGGTCACGACACGACCTCAGACAGCAAGAGGCTTCAGTTCTGCGAGGTGTCTAGCAAACTCACCATCACCTTTTGGCCATCTAAGTCGTCCGCAAAGGCTCAAGACAAGCAAATTATTAGGTTGTCGACTCATAGCGAGCACAACCTTCTCGCCGACATCATCGTCAAGGCCGCGCCCGGCAGCAGTAACCGGCGAGGATTCAACAGTTGCTGAAGGCGCAAGCAAGGAGGATGACCAAGGGCCTGCTGGAGGCAAGACTGGTGAGGGACATTCTCACTCGCGCCGTTCACCGTTTTGGCAAAATCAGGGCAGGAGCTGATGATGATTGTGGTGATTTCTTTAAGCCTTTCCCGAGCGCTTGCTTATCTACCATGGCGGCACGGGCAGTGAGTGTGAATTCCAGTCGCTTCCGCAACGAGATATGGCTGCTTGTATTTGTACTGTACCTTACTCACGCGGTGTGCTCCTTTTCGTAGAAACTACCTTCCTCGCCTGTCTAAAAGTCACAACCCTTTTCCTCTTTGGCTTCTTCGACCTCTTCATGACGCCAGCATACCTCGCAGCTGGTCAACCGCTCCTTCAAACCGCCGGTGGTACGTGAAACCTTTTTTCCCTTCTCACCCTCCTTTAACCTTCATTTTCTCCTATCCTCTCGTTCTATCCCTTCCTCATGAAGTGAAGGAGACCCTCTCTCACCTTGTCTCCTGTCTTTCACCCACCAGTCGCCGTCTGCGGCATCGTCCCCGCGTCCTACGTGGCCTGGGTCACCTCGCCGTACGTCGCGTCGGTCCACATGCACCTGCCGCCGTACGCGCGGTGGTCGCAGCAGATCCTGGAGCGCTTTGCGAAATCGCCGCCGCCCAACACGCGCCTCGACGTGACCACCATCAGCCTGATCGGCAAGCCGCGTGTCAGCTCCATGACGATAGCAGACCTTCGCCCGACCAACGAGCGCTTCGGCATGGTCAACTTTGTCCGAGACACGACGCTGCTCAATGCCAAGCGGCAGTGGTGGCGGTGGAGGGCCGTGGCTCACTTCAACGTCCAAGAGAACAATCATGGCACCATCAAGACGGGGTGGGTGTGGAACGAGGTGGCCGGGGCTATCAAGAAGAGAGCGGGCCTGCCGCGGCTGGGGAGCGAGTCAAAGGGGCAGCGAAAGCAAAGTAGTGAATGAGTTTGTAAATGGTAGTCTGCTCCTGTACAGTACATTTATTATGTTTCGTGTAATCATAGCACTGGGAGAAAACAACGGTAGTTCCAGACCGCTACCGTAATTCAGATGTCGATATGCTCGACGAAATAAACACAACATTAGAGCTCAACAGACCCCATATCACTTTGTTCTAGTAGCCTTGGCCCACGACAACCCCGTATCTCACCAACCCCAATACCGCCCCGAGGACGCACGCCACCGGGGGGCTGACGCCGAACCAACAGCCGCCCACGTAGCTCGTAGCCGTCACCACCACCCACCACGGATCGTTAGCCAGACTGGTACCCCTTGAAAAGCCCTCATCAATCCAGCCAATCTGCCAGAGACGATACACCGCCGTGTAAATCAAACCCACAGCAGCAGCATTGATACCCCTCAAACCGCTCTTGACCCACCTCTTGCTCCGCAGCGCGGCCCAGACGCCCATGGTGCCGTGCACCGTCACCAAGCCGGGCAAGAATATACCCAGATACCCCAGCACGGCGCCCGCGGCTCCGGGGTAACCCCCGTTGACGGCGGTCAGGGTGCCGAGGAAGACGGCAAAGTTGAAGTTGGGGCCTGGAAAGCTCTGGATGATGGCGAGGCCGATCAAGAAGTCGCGGGGCGACACCCACCCTTCTGACACGACATACTCGCGCAGCAGCGGGATCACGACGGGACCCCCGCCAAAGATGATGGTACCCGCCAAGTACATGTTGGCGAACAGCCGGTACAGCAGGTGCGGCGAGGCTAGTGTGCCACGTAGTACGAGCACCACGATGAAGGAGGCTAGGAAAAGCCCGATCAGCGCCAGCCCGCCCTTCCAGCTGAGGGGGAGTCGACGGTTTTCCGGGACCGTGCGCGGCTCATCGTCTGCTGGGGGTTGGTCGTGGGTCGGAGAGGGCGGCGGGGAGAGTTGTTGGAGGTTGCGCTGTTTCCCGGGGGAGCCGGTTTCGTCGTCGTGGGTGAGGTCCTGGGTCGACAGGGGGAGGCGCTGGCGGGTGGAGTAGTTGCTCTTGATGGATGGCGGGCGGGCGATGACGGGCTCGGACGGGGCGGCACCGGCTGGGGTTGATGATGCCTGTTGGGACACCGCCGCCAGCTCTTGCTCTTCGCCCCGCTCGGCTGATGCGTCCCGCTGCTTCTCCTTCTTCCCTCGCCCGGTCACCTTTTTCGGGAAACCGAGCAGGGCCTTCACCGGCCCGTGCAGCCAGCGGAAATCATGAACAACGGCAATGATGCCCGCGACGACCATCAGTACCGGGAAATACCACAGCGCATTGTACAGCAAGCCGGCGGCGGCGCCGAAGAACACAAGCAGGCGGGTGAGCTTGTCAGTGATGGCCTTTTCCGCCAGCTGCACGCCGGCAAGCGCGATGATGCCAACCGTGGCGGCGTTTAGGCCCGAGAGCAGCGCGTACACGGGGCGCGGGAGTGTTTCGCCGACGTTGGAGATGCCGATGGCGAGGCCGAACATTCCCAGGGCACCGGGGAGACTGTCAATAGAGAACAAAACCATTAACGCTGGCTGTCCCACTTGAGGAGAATAGATACTGCGATGCGACGACCGGGGCGGACTCACCTCCAGAGAAGAAACGCAAACACCGCGGGCAGGAACCCGTCGTGGATCAGGTTAATGCAGTAGTGCATCTTGGTGCTGCCAGGGCCAGAAAAGGCCTGGCAGACGCTGAAGAGCTCTTGGTACTGGACAAGCCCCGTGTCAACCACCATTCTTGCTCACTACCAGGCCGTGAATAATATCAACTACTCACCACCTGCTCGTCGATCCATTGAATCTTGGTAACAAACTTGTCACGGAACTATGTGTGGGTTGCAGATCGTCAGTCACATCAGATCCGTCCATCCATCAAAAGGTATTTGTGCTGCCCAATCAACGGAATCGATGTCGGGAAGGAGGAGGCATACAATCTTGAAGTGCACCGGCGGCCCGCCAAACGACGTGAAGCCCAGATACCAGTTCTCCCTAAACGCGTTCCAGAACCGCGGACCAAAGTTCCAGTCATAGCCAGACTCAGAGTCCCGGCGCCAATTCTTTGGCGACCAGCGGCTTGCGAGGCCCATGTTGTTCGTTGACGGCGCGTGACCTTCCTGCCGTAAGGATTTGAGGGCGTTGAGATAAACGATCCAAGGACAAAATAGAAGTCAGAACGCGGATGATTCGTTGTGCAGCGAAACGAAACCGGCTGGCTTGCCTGCCTTAGGTCGGGTATCTGGTATCGGGTAGCACCTGTCAAACACAATGGAGAAAAGCCATACGGCGAGTTGTCGTCGCAACTGTTACTTGACCGAGGTCATGATAGTGGTCTGTAACTTTTTATATCAAAGTTCCAAAACTTCAAAGATTGCGCTCGCTCGCTCGCCGACTGACTCCCCTATCCAAGAAGCCAAGACGGCAAGGTCGCCCAGATCTATACGCGCCAAGCATTTCATGCATCTTGGACGAGCGCGCACGTGGATTTGAAATCATTCTTACTGGCAGTTCTCTTACGAAGATGGCTTGGGGCGGAATATTCCGAATCCTGAACAGGCAAAACCAACCTGGAATCGAAATTGTCCGTTTCCCATCTGAAATTTGGTGTCCGCTGGAAAAAGTGATGTATGTACAGTACATACCGAGAAGCCAGGCTCTGTTAGGAGGGGTAGTAGAAAGAGCAACTTTTACACTCAAGATTTGAGCTGCACTAACAGCAGGTACAATGCACAAGATGGAAGATAACGGACGTTGTGTGAACTCGAGACAACATCGCTTCTTTGCTTTCACCTAAAGCCTTCCTTTCCATCAATAGGTAGGTTAATTGTACAAATATAACAAGACCGCATTCCATGGCGCCTAGCCCATCCCATAACAGTCGTCCAAAGGGTATAACAACCCTTTAGTATGTGCCACTGGAAACCCCAAAACGCCGCCTTGGATGTCCCCTAATCAACAGTGTACCCGCCGAGCAAAGAGGTCTTTTAGACAACCGCCGCGTTTAGTTCCGCCTATTTTTTTTCGTATCATGGCCGACCCATCCCATCATGCCCAAATGAACCCCTCGCCGGAAAATGCCCGATGCAGAATCCTTATTACCACAGCATGCCGACCTAGCAAGCACCGAGAAGAAGAGGGCGAAGCACACCCTCTAATCCACTCAGCTTCAGTGGCGCTTCACACCCATATGCCCATCATAATCCGCCCACGTCCGTTTGAGTCCGCCCTCGTAAACGCTTGCTACCGACTCTTGCCACATGGCTGGCGTGACAAAGGACTGCACCGGTGCCGTCGGATAATGCGCTGTCGCCATCGGTTGCTGCCCGGTCCTGAGCTGCGCGTGAGCGGCCTGTAGGTCCTGGAGACTCGTCTGCGTCGCTCCGGGAGCTCCAACACTAAGGGCGCTAGCCTGCGCCGTCACCGGAGATGGCGAGGACTGTACCAGAGGCGCCCCAAATGACGTGTTCCACTGACTATATGCAATCGTCAGCGTCTAGTCCTTGCCTCAATGCAACCCCCAAACCAAAGGGAATGAGAGACAAGGGGAAGGGGGAGGGCAGCTCACTCAAAGATGCGTGAAGGGTTCCAAGCGGGAGCCTCGTTCAAAGGCAACGTCTGTGTTACACCTGTCGCCTGTGGACCGGGCCCCGATGAGACAATGGTTAGTGACTGGCCGATGGGCGACTCGCTCTTGGTGTCCGGAGGGCCGGCCGAGACGGGTGTCAGGGGGTGGTTTGTGTAACTAACATGCGAATGCGGAATCTGTGTGTCAAGGTGCCGTCGGCCAGGAGGACTCGGATGCGACGCCGACTGCGGGCTGCCGTAGGGAAAGCTTGGCTTCAGGACAAATGGCTTCCTCGTATCTGCCGAGAAAGCCTCCCGGACCGAGTCGATTTGTTTCTGCATGTCCGGCATCGGCCATGCACTCATGCATTTCTCCAAGATCCTCATGTGGCGGGTGAAGTATTCCCTAGCCTCTGAGTTGAGGTCCGGATCCGGCGACGTTATCGCGACCTAGCAGGTAGTGAGCCACCCAAGAACAACAGGAAAAGAATGTCGATAAAACGCACCAGGTGCAACACGATGCAGCCAAGCACCGCGTAGATCGTGAAGTTGATACCCCGCTGCATACACTGGAGTCCATTCAGTCCAAACGAACCCATCACGGCCTCCTGTAACCTGCACAGCATCTTCGCCGCATTGTACGATAGCACCATGTGGTGTTTCCATTGCGCTCCGGTTGGCGGCAGAAACGCCAGTTGGGGCCTGTTGAATAGAATGACGCTGAGGTAGTAATAGGAATGGAGATTGCCGACAAAAGCGGAAGAGAGCCAGGGCGGTGACCCATCGGGAGGATAGCTGATGGTTAAGTCGGCCGGAAGCTCCCTTAACCAAGCTTCCAGAGACGGACTGATCCGGACAAACTCGGGGTCGATTCCCCATTCCTTGCTCTTCTTGAGGCGCCCGTAAGCTCTTGCCATTCGCCCTACATTTCGAACGATCCTGGCCAAATAGGTGAAGTTGCGCGAGACATGGTAGTCGGATTGGTCGGTATTCGGTATCGGCCGCGGTATGTTGAAATCTACCGAGTCTTCTTCAATCTGAAAATCGGTCCGGCCTATTCAACGTCAGCCGCCGTATCTCTTTGGTGCAGTTGATTTTTCGGCGTACCTTGCGGCGAGCCGATCATCAACTCGACCACGAATAACGTCTGCCAAATCCTAGTTTTCAATGCACATTCCGAGAGGCTTCCCCCACAGGGTCGGCCGGCCTGGTGATCCGCAAGGTGCTCATCGAGTCCCAGATCCTTGGCCATCTGCACGCACTGCACGATACTCATCCATGACCGATAATAATAGCCTTTCTTGGGAGCTGATTCCCTCGCCTTCAAGAGGATCATTAACGCCTGCAGCGTACTTAACCTAGGCACATCCATGAAGGAGTCCGCATGTCCTGGACAGATGTCAGTTATCCGAGGTCATCTGACAGCTAATAATTGGAGCAATCATACGCATTGCAAGCGCCAGCCATTGCTGACCCTGCGCAGGTTCATCTGCCAAACGGCCAGCGATGGCAAAGATGGCCTCGAGGAGAAGGGGAGATATGGATTGCCTCTGGTCATGCCACTGTTGGTAGAACTGACCCTTGTCCAAAACGGGCACGTACGGATGGGCGTTGACAAAGTAGAGGTCAAGATAATGCAGGACAGTGTCATCGTCGGGCATGAGCTCGGGCGGGATCCGAATTTTCGAGCCTGGTCCGGTTGTCAAGGGTGGCAGTAAACTCTTGAAGTCATCTCCATCTTCAGTAGCGGGTTCTTCATCCCCGGTCGATCGCATCTTACTGTTCAGATAGGGCGCTGTGGACTCGAGTCAGAAAGGTGAACCTGGCAAGCGCGACGGTTCCCCTACCTGTTCCTGCCTCATTGACCTTCAGGGAGCCTAGAAGATCTGCTAGATCCTGTTGGGCGTAGTCGGACGAACTGTATGTGTCGGCCGGAGAATCGGGTTGGGGGGCATTTTGTAGCGGGGGCGTTGGGAAATTGGTTTGTGCAGTATACTGTTGGTCAACAACACCTACAGGTTGATGAACCGAGGCGTACTGCTGAAGACTGTGAGGAATCGCTTGGGATCCTGTGTATTGCACCTGGGGATAGAGACCCGAAGCGTCCTGGTAGGATGATTGTGAGGCATAGAGGGACCCTGGCTTCGGCGCATGTGCGAGAAGCTGTGACTCTTGCAGGGGAAGCTGTTGTCTGAAACTTTCGGTAGCTTGAGGCGCCTCATACTCCTGCTGCAGGGCCTCATACGACTGCGAGTCGGTAGAGCTGTCAAAACCATTCGGACGAACACAGTGCAGCTTGAGACGGATACATGCTGAGCAGGGCCATGTGTTTGTTGTTGCTGCATCGCATTTGATTTTCCTCCTTCGACACCCTTCGCACGCCCTCATCACTACTCGCGGAAGTTAGTGCCGAGGAGAGAGGATACGGCAAGAGGCCAGGCTCATACCCTTCAACCGCTTGTGGCGGTTGTGTTCGTCAACAAATACATAATCTGGGAGTGGGTTAGGACGAGATGCAGAGATGACAACGGGGAGCATTCAAGGCCAGGCGCACTCTTTTGGGTCTCACGAGGCTGCTGCTGGTAAGTTGGCGGCGTGAAGGAGAAGGTGCCCATCTGCGAGCTCTGAGGGAGGAGTCGACGTGCTGTATGATCGTTGGACATTGTCGAGTGTGGCTTGCACGGACGCTCACTGGCGTCGCGCGGTTAAGGGATGAAAGCTCAAGCGACACCACATTCGCAACTCAGGTCATCGGTCGCAATTCAACAAGAAGCGATACACTTCACCATCTGTCTGCCGCCCAGTTGACCGTCTCGAGCGTGTGGGTCGTCAGCGCCGAGTGGTGGGAGATGCTTTGTCGTCGATTCGAGCAGCGATGCGGCGGCGAGCGGTAAGAGAACCAGATCGTAGTTACGCGGGACAGTGTGGACGTAAGAGCGGATTTTAGCCAACGCGTGGACGGTCTGGATCGCCCTTGTCAGCGGGTGCAAGCTAATTAACGTTAGGGCGGTCCAGGCGTGAGCTTATGAACGAAAGGGTAACCCCTGTCCCAGAGCCACCGGCCTCTGGATCACCAGGACCTGCACGAATCTGACAACAGTCGATGGAGAACATGCAGTACTGGAGCTTCCAGGATTCCGCCGAAGGGGAGGGACATCAAAAGCTGCAGGCGGAGAAGCCAGGTCCTGTATGTGCTGTAAATACGTACGTATATATAAGGTACCTAGATGGCCAGCAGATTCAGGTTGATGGAACGGCGATTATCACTAGATCATCTGATATCTCCGACTTGGTTTTCGAGAGATATTGAACAAACACGGGGCTTCCTGGTTAGTGCTGAGAAATGATGGTACTAAAGTGGAGGTTATACACACTAGAGCGAGCAGCCTGTATGGCGCGAAAGACCAAGGGAGTGATCGAGATGGGAGAGGTACGATCGAAGCCTCGATACCCGGGCAATGGACATGCGCGTTTCCAAGCGGCATATGAGTGGTGGAGCTTTTCTCATCAGTTGGTGAGATGCAAATCAACCTGGGAAGCGATCATTGGGGGGTTGTGTTGCGTAAACCACTGCAGAAACTGCAGATGGGGAGACAGGGGAAGGCAGGAGGCGGGGTGAGGTTATTAGCGAGGGGTGTGGAATTCGAGTGCCTCGCCCCTGGATTCACAATCGTCGACATTCGACAAGCGCCAAACTAGCATGTACTGTACCTCCGTACAGATATACCTTACACACCTATGAACAGCAACCACAACTTACTTAGCTTATTTGGCCATATAAGTTATCGTAGTGAGACAGGTTACAGTCGGTAACGTTAGTGTGCTTCGCTGATAGTTAGGTGAGTCTTTTCTTACATGATACAGCAGATACCACTACCGTCAGCCTACTCGAACCTCTGTGGACTTGTTCCGCTACATGTACGGATAAGGTAGGTACGATCGACAAGTGGCCATGTCCAAAAATATGACTTGCTAAACAGAACAGTTTTTTGTTCGCATCAGTCCTCAATTGGTGCTCCTCATTCGTTCCGAGTACCAGAGCTCCCTCCTCGACCCGGCGTTAGGGGTAGGTAATTCATCTTGAGTGCCTCAAGGGAACAGCAGAACCCGGATTTTACACACCTCCTCGGGCTTGGCTATATAGGAACTGTACCCTCGATTCAGTCTGGATCCTAGGCAGTCTGGATGCGCTGGTACGTCGTTACTCCCTTGCACACTGCATTTTAATCAGTTACATCATGTAAGGTAGCTATGTATTACTGTATGTACAGCTGGCTAATGCCGGGTTGCTGGACAGGATGGCACAGATGGCTGGCGAGGGAATGATCATCGCGCGCGGTTAGTCTCCCGCAATGGAGACACATCTACGGCGTGGGATCGCATCCAACACTACAGTGGAAGTGGCCCGCGCCGTGGGGTACGTTTACCGTGCCGCTTTACCTCACCCCTTGTATATGGTATGGAAAATGGGGAAACTTAGTAAGCCAGCAACTCCCGGTCCTCCCGAGGCCAAGGGCAACTTTTCGAAGACAACCCGATTTTCATCCGGCACAAGCGAAACTCACCGAGACGGCAAGTTAACTGAGTGCTTGGTTTGAATGCTGAACGCCTGGCGCCTCGGCGCCACTGCGGCTCACAGTGGACTTCACCGACTCGGTCATGAGACAAGGAAGCTGCTAACTTTATGTATGTGGAATCAATGGATGCCCTGGCGCGACAAATGAGAGGCGCAGGAGCAAGCTGCATCGACGATACCCTGTACTGTACAGTACAATCACACACATACATAATGTACACTACGTGATGTGGGTGGTTGTAACCGAGGGAGGTGACGACTAGGTAAGGTTGGTACAGCATTTGGTTTGCAGTTCTGTGCCGTCTGTTCACTCTCCCTCGAAATCTTGCCATTGTCTTGGCCCCTGATACACTATCCGAATTGTGAAACACATTGGTGAGGAGCAGTTCCTCAAACACCGTCCCGTCATTTGGGGATGATGGATAGTGGTCGGTGCTTTTTTAAACCGGCTCCTCTCTAACAGGGTGCCGAGGATAGTTCTCCATGGCGAAGTATATTTGAGGGCTAGAAACAGCAGACCTGGCATTCCCACTCGGGATGGGGGGATACTGTATGTACAGTACAGTACAGTAGCTCCTAGCAGCCCGAGATGTTTCGGGCCTGATGTCCGAGGAGACTACACTTATGTAGTAGAATTGCTATGGTAGATGCCGACACCTACACTAGATACAATTTGCTCACCTGGTCACTCCGTACGGTACTGACTACTACTGAGTCGCCTTTCGTGCGGCAGATCGTGGTTGGGCGTCCGTCGGCTTAGAAACTCCGGTCTACACTACAAAAAGGAGGCCTACCCTGCCATGGATTTATGGAGTGCCATACAGCACATTCCGCCCACAGCTTCCTGCAGCTCGAGAACCACCTCCTGTCGTGGACTCGTGGTTTGCCAGGAACAAAAGACCGGACAGCATGCGACGTCAGAAGCTCTCCAACTCCAAGAAGCCCTGGCTGTGTCGCTTGGAGCAAGGCGGCCCTTCTTCGATACATACCAAGCCATCGATAACCCTGTCGATCCGGGTCAATCACATGCCCTGGCTCACCTGGATCCACAGGAGACGGAGAGGATCGGTGTAGTGGGGTACCGGTAAGGGCTTTATCAAACCAATTAAGCCGAGGAACAGTAGGAGTGTTGGGAGGTTGGTGCATGGCTCTATCCAAATTCACCACCGACAGATATCCAGGGTGTGGTCGACTTAAAGTAACTGCCGTTTCGGTTGGAGATGCTGCGGGCAGGTGTACACTAATGACAAACGATAGCAGAACCGATTTGAGAGTGGCGATACAACGGAACTGGCCAGAAACTTCATTACTAAGCGGACAGGATTTACCTTCGATCATTGTTAGAACGCGTACGAATACGAAGGACAGAAGAATAGTATATACCCACGGAGGAGAAAAAGAAGTAGGGCTACATACCTACACACTACACCCAACCGACAGGGCCGGCAGCAATGTCGGCTTCCCCTCGGCCGAGGGCAGGTGCTTTTAAGACAAACGATTTCCGGGGCCTCATGCAGTGCGTGCCCAAAGAAGCAAGCCAACGGAAGCCAGCGGAGGGGCAGCAGGGAGTCTGCCGGTTGTATCAGACAGGCAAGCGAGGGCATCAGCGACGGGGGCCCGGCATTGGAATGCAGATTGCGGGCACAAGGCTGATCTCTACAAACACGTGTTCCGAGTATTTGTAGTCATGCACGATGAGATGAATTTAAGGTTGGGGATCACAGATCTGGATCCCTTCATCTGGCGCTTTTGTCGTCCTTTCATCGCAATTCCAGGCCCATTGTAGAAACAAGTCCGAAGGGATGCTGCACTGTGCTGCTTGGGAACCGAGGGAACGTGGGGATGGCGGAAGCTCAGGAAAACTTGGGATGCCAAGGAATGCCGGCGCTCTGGTGTTCTGCGTAGCTTCCAAGCTTCCACGCAGGGGTGAGGAACCCCGCAGTATTACATTATGCACATAAGTTATACGGAGTAACGTACACTACCGAGGAGTAACTTATATACAATGTCCCCCTGGTTTGTTCGCTAGCGCCTGACTTGAAATCAAGCATCAACCTAAGAATTCAGATCTCAACATCAAAACAGCCACTTTTCGCCTGCAAGTAGGCTTTGGATAAAACCAACTTTTTGAGTATTACTAGATGCTCTATTTTTTTACGTTGAGTTGTGGTTTGGGGCTGTTTAGAGGTATCTTTTTGAATTTGGGACCAGGCCCACCTGTCGGGAGTTCTGCGCTAACGAACAAACCAGCATTGAACTGTATCACTCTACACCTACACAGCACTATCCACGCCTCACACTACCCGTGCACGTATTCGGGATTGCCCAACCTGAAGAACTGGCCCTGTCTCGCGCTTCTGTCTCGCTAATATATCGTGATTTAGGAGGAAATGATGGCTGTGCTCATCAACCGGCCTGTTCCTTGAATGGTACATCATCAGATAAAAGCGCAAGCCCAGGATGCCAAAGATGAAGCGCAGGGCAGGGGACTGACGCTATGATTTGACAGATCATGGCGGAACTGCCGCCCATCCGAGGCAATCTGAGAGCTAACGGGTCACGGCCAGCCGGTAACGGAGACAACACTGGATCTGCAAAAATTACAATACCATACCTAGGTGTGTAAGTCTGCCTGCACTAAGGTGAATTTCGTAATTATTACCATAACACTGTACAGTACAAATTTGTTGCAGAACGGGTGCTTCAGGCCTGGCAGTGACGGCTCTCCACTTGCCCGCTGCAAACGTCAGTCTCAACTCTATCATTTGGAGATTATCTGATTATTCAACTTCAACCTGGACTGGTCAGGTGGCAACTACCAGCCATCAACAAGATCGTTGCATTCCTTTTCCTCGCAATCAGCGCATCACTAATTACCGAAGAAGCAGCGGCGCAGGCCAGGCTTTACTACCAAGATGCAGAACTCGGACCTCGAAAATGCCAACCCCACAATCCTCAGTGTTTCACAGCTCCCCAGTAGGGGGCGCAAAGGGCCCGCAACGAGGCAGGGGCCCGACTCCAAGTGCGACAGCATCGTCTACCCCAAGCGGCCTTGGCCATATGGCTCGGGCTCGTCATCAGACGAGGACGTGGATGAGACTGACGGCGTAGAGGAGCCCATGGATGAGCAAGACATTTACGGTATGCTGTTACTTGATGACTACCATCAACCATGCTTCTTGCGCGTCATGTCATGATCTTCTCCGCCTATGCTATATCCCGTCTCATCAGTTGTAGGATCCCACAGCTGACGTATTCCACCAGATCTCATCTCGCCCATATCAGATCCTGAGCATCCCCATACTCTAGGCCAGCTGTCGGTGGTGAGGCTCCCGGACATCCACCTGAGCCCGTCGCCCGCCGAACTGCCCAGTCCGGATTCCCTGGTCACCGTTCAGGTCGATCTGACCCCTACCATCAATCACTGCTCGCTGGCCACAGTCATTGGTCTTGCTGTGCGGTGCAGGCTGGAGCAGACGCTGCCGCCAAACTACCGTGTGGACGTGAGGATGAAGGTCGGCTCCCACGACCAGGACGACCAGGTCAACAAGCAGCTGGGCGACAAGGAGCGAGTGGCTGCTGCCTTGGAAAACGACACGCTCCAGCGCATGCTGGACAAGATGCTCGAAACTTGCTCGTGAGCCGGTTTTGGAGAGCCAGCGTTTCGTGTCGTGGGCTGGTGTCCTTGAGCAGGACCAGCAGGTGGCTCAGTATGCTAAAGAAATGTAATATTTCGTGAGTGGGATGGCGTTGCTTAAAGCGGCCGGTTGTCTAAAGTATGCGATCATCTCCCGGAGCATAGTTCGGAGACTCGGCAACAAGGGCGAAAGGGGTTTGTTTCTGACGGTGTGTGCTGTCAGTCAACACGAAACAGGATCCAGACCCGGCGGCAGGAGTGCTTGGTCAAACGTGCTCGTGGCGATTGGTGTGATAATTGCGGCCTGATGTGAATATAGTTTTGGAATATTCGGCCCTCCACTCGGCACGGATTCCGGGCTTGTCTTGCAGAGGCATTCCTTCCCGCTGGGGGCCGGGAGCGGAATGCGGCTGGCAGGCTAGGGTCAGCCAGCAGTGAACTCGGCCGTCCCTTTATTGACAGGGATGATGTGATATTAATCTCGATGCCGGTGTATAGCATTCACTCTCGGGACCAGCCCGTAGTGCCACACACCCCAAGATGTTGTTTAGCCGCACCTCATGTCAGTGAAACTCCCGCCTCACCGGTGATCCTCTGGCCGCGGCATTGAAGCTAAACAAACAATCTATTTTGGGTGAGACAGTTCCAGTTTCTGGTTGCTGTTAATACCATGGATGGGGTTATTGTTCCCTCGGGCTTGGGTATCCTCCAACTGCCACATACATGTCATGGCATATCGTTTGAAGAGGGTGCCTAATGTTTATCATATAATATCCCAGATGCTTCTGTTCTACTAGGCTCAGGTGTCCCATTCAGAGCACGAAGGCAACAGTCAAAGGGGTGCGCCGAGTGACGTACCCACCAATCCGCAGCAGATCCTGCGTTCTGCGGGCAATGTTGGCATCGCCAGCGAGCCTCGCGCACCCCTCCGACTGCGGAATCACTGGTTGAGTGCAACTCATAGCTTAACGTTGCCTCGGGGTCGGCCTCCAATCACCTTTCTGGTTGCCGTGTATCATTCTTTAAAATTATCTCGCGATGTGGAAGTACAGACATCAGCGATATCTTTACACCGCATGGGTGTTGCCCAATAACGAGGTGATGTGATCAGGGGCCCAATCTGGTTCAAAGTTGAGGGAGTTGGAGTTGCGGGAACACCAGGCAGGGATTCTGCTTCCATCAATCTTCCTTCCAGAATATCAGTCTTGGTTCGATTAGGTATGTCGCCGACAACGGAACTAGGTACAAAAGAGGAGGGCATCTTTTTAGCGCCAGACGGGCCCTGATGGAATATTAGTATGCTCCCCGGGACCTGAGGGACCCTTCTTGGCTTCATGAGGGTAGAGTTTCCTCTCCCTCTAAAGCTATGATGGAGTTCAAGGCATAATTCAGGAGCCGGAGCTGGTTTGGGTCAGTCAGTTCAAGGCCTCTCCCTGTTGTGATATGTATAGCTCTTGGCTTGATACCCCCTGACTGCCAACAGACAATTCCAGGGTTCTCAGCTGCCAATGTGGTGATGGTGACAATGGTCACTTCACCCAGGCTCGGGAGTACCACCAGTCACGCCTCGACATGTTCCAGGATGTCCCACGCCCACAGCAGCTTCTTCCCGTTGTCTTGGTGTATGTACATACCCTCAGTGTAGCGTACCGGACCTGCCATTCCAATACAGCGCAGCCCATGTAGGGAGAGAGCTAGGTATACCATATCCACTGGCGCAACGTTGTATGCCATGCCATGAGTATGCAGTAGAACTCAGATCACCAACCCCCTCCCTTGTCTGGGCATACGACAGCTGGCTTACGTCCCCCTCTCTCCCTTCACCCCCCCCCCCCCCCCAGCAGACCCAGCTCTCAGCGTGGTCACGAGCAACGCCTAGCGCGCACAATACACACCAATTGAAGATATATTGAGATGAGATCACGGTGACCTGTTATGCTAACCGGCCGCAACCAATCGAACAGTCTCCACGGCTTCTGCTGCGGAGGGGGTACTCGTTCGCTCGTTCGCTCTCCTCTTTCGAAGCAGAGACCCCCCATACTTGGCATCACACCGTGACGGGAGCTCTTATTTTTCTTCTTTTGTCCTACCCCAGAGGATTCCAGCTGACCTCACAACCGTTGGGGAAGCGAGAGCGAGAGGGCCATGGCCGAACAGTGTAATAGATCGTTGGCAGAAGGGGGTACTGATGGGCTCAAGAGCACCACGCCTCTCGTCATCTCTCCACGTCATGTTCGCGCAGGCCAAGGCTGAGGGGAAGAAGGTCATAACATCCTCAGCGCGTCGTTGGCCAACTGGGGTATGACTTTCCTAGAAGTGTACAGTCACTGTGAGATACATGTCAGCCGCGGGAGAATAAGAAAGCTTCAGATAGTCACATAGGTAACACAGTGCTAACAACCCCCTAAACTCCCTAACGCCCACCCCCCGTTCCACCCCCTTTTTCGATTAACCAACCGCACATCTCGATCTCACACATCCCCCAAAGTGCCGCTCTCGATCAGGCTCTGGTAGAACTCGGGTTCCAGGAACTTCGCCACCGTCACATCCTCGCTCAGACCTTTTCTCCGCCTAGTCTTGAGCACAAAGTCCCTGGCGGTGGCCTGCGCCGTGGCCATCTGCAGCGGCTTGGTGACCATCTCCTTGTCCAGCGGATCGCCGGGCACGATATTCCACCGGTCAAACACCAAGCTGACCATGGCCTGGCCGGGGGTGTTTATGCGCAGGTCCGTCTCGAACCCGAAGCTGTCAATCACGGGGATGAGCCCGTTGACGCGGTACAGCGGGGTGCCTGCGATGGGCCCATCCGACAGCACATGGCCGCGGCGGCGGGCCAGGATGTTGTAGACCATGCTGACCGAATCTTGGGGGCCCGTCATCGAGACGGAATACAGCGGTTCCATGAGCCGCGGGGAGGCCATGAGGAAGGAGCTATAGCAGGCGCGACGGGCGGTGGGAATGATCTGCCCACCCCCGCGGAAGATTGCCTCTTGTGCGAGCGAGACGTCGATGAGCCGGAACTTGGTATTTCGTATGGCTGAGAGCGATTTGGTAATATGTTAGCGATAGTACAACACGGCATGTGCGAGAGAAGATGGACCATGGCTCGTGAGCATCCAAGAGGCAGCTGGGCTGGGTCGACAGGCGTGAAGAGGGATCGGTTCTCTTCCAATGCTGTACGAGGATACACTTGCTCTCAGACGACCAACCCAGCTGCTCATCACACAATCTCACCGCAAGATGGGAGCTCACTGCCAGAAGCACACACCCCTCCTTTACAGGACTCGCACGCCGTTCACTTTACAGATGTGCTACACACCACTCGACGCGAAAGAATGAAAGGGGTAACAACTTACGCTCTTCACATAGCGGGCCTTCTCGAGTTGCCCAGCTAAAACCTTGACGGATCGACTCCTTCACCGTGTTCAGCCGCTTCTTGTCGACCTGATGCGGCCGTTAGCACTCCAAAGACATAAGACGGGCCGATTTGCCTCGGCAGAGCCGACCTAGACTTACCTCCCCTGGTAGTGTATCGTCCTGTAGAATATTGGGACCCATTTCGTCTGGACCAAACGCCCAAATGCTCCTGGCTGCGAGAAGGTCCCATCCATACTTCTCTTCGAAAAACTTGGCTATTTTGCGCGGCGGGTCACGTATCCTGACGGCGCCCGACTCAATATCTTGCGCGATGCCGTCGTCCAGAGGCTCCGCGGCCATGGTAATGGTGTTCTTTTTGTTGGGTGTGATTGCGTAGCACTTGGTGGCCGACATGTCCTGCACCGTCTCGCAGAACCGGACGACCGGATCAGAAACCCTGACTTCCATGTCCGCGTACAGTCGACGCAGATCGTGTAGTACGCAATCCATGTACAGCTCGCCAGTGCCGAGGATGATGTGCTCGCCCGACTCCTCTACCTTGGTGGTAATGAGGGGGTAACTCTTGTTGATCTTCCTGATGCCGTCAAGCATCTTGGGCAGCTCGGATGGGTTGATGGGTTCGACTGCGACCTTGAGAACAGATTCGGTGAAGTGGGATAGCGGCTTGAATATGTACGCGGCCTCATCATCTTCAAATTGCTTGTCAACAATGGTGGCCGTCTTGACAATCGAGTTGTCAACACCGCCGAGGAGGATCCAACTCCCCGCCGGCACACCGTCCGTTGGGATGTTGTATCGAGTCTCGGCGATGAAGACATCCGAGATTCTAGCCAATGCCATGTCCTCTTCATCGTCGATGGAGTAGCCCTCGCCCAGCACCCGGACCTCTGTGCCTGGGCGCGCGATGCCGCTCATTACACGCCCAAAGGAGTAGAAGCCCTTTGCGTCAACCGTGTTGAACAACTTGGTAATGTAGATGACGAGCGGTCCGTTTTGGTCGCACTTCTTCATTGACTCTGCAATTTTCGTGTCGAGTGGACCGGTATAGTACTGCTCGAGCTTCTTCTCGGCAGCCTCAACTGGTGAGGGGACATGTTGGCAGACCATGTCCACGAACCCGGTTGATGGTCCTGCAACGAGGGTTAATGTCAGTAGCCAACAAAGTCTACAAATGCATGTACATACCGAAGAACTGCTCGCATGCCAATTTCAGAAGGACTTTTGGATCTGCCTTATACTGAGATGGTTTGAGGTAGATCCCAAGCTTTTCCAACGTCTCCTTGAGGTCCTCCGGACTTCGACTGATAGTATGGGAGAAAAGCTTGTATATCGGCTCCAAAATGAAATGGACAAAAGACCTCTTTGCTCCCTCCTCGATCGGTTTCCTTGTGAAGCTCCGTTTCCTGGGGTTGAAGTAGATGTCGCCCCACAGTCTCCGAGCAAACTCGTCAATGTTGACGCCGCCAAAGCTGTCAGAGTACATCTTTGCAAAAGACTGCAAAGTAAAGCACCACCCAATTGATGTGCAGGCAAAGAGCACATTGCCCTTTTCAGGACTGACTCTCCTTGCCTCTCCCCGCCCAGGTATCGTGTTCTCGATGACGGTGTTGACCTCTTCGATGACATGCTTTAGCTTGTAATAAGCGTCATTGGGTGGTAGTTTGAGTTCGAGAATCAAGCGGTCCATCTTGTTGACTATGAGAGTCAGGGGAATATCCTCGAGTACTGCGTGTTTGATGATCTGCTCCGTGTTGACCTGGACACCTTCGACAACGTCGACTACTAGACATACACCATCCACCAGACGGAAGGATGCAGCAACCTCGTCGACAAAATCCACATGACCGGGGGTGTCGATGATGTTGAAGAGATGCGATTTCCCTTTTGTGCTGGGCAGTACCAAACTCATGGGTGAAGCCTTGATCGACACCCCACGGTCCCGCTCAACCACATGGACATCGGTGTACCTGAGTTGCTCGTCTCGCTTCTTTCCCGTCCGCTTCTCCAGCCTGTCAGTAATGGCGTGCGTCTCGAGGACAAGCATGTCCATGAATGCGGTTTTTCCATGGTGCAGATGCCCAGCCAGGGCGATGTTGCGGATTTGCTCGGGGAAGTTCATGAGATCGGTCATGAAACTGCGGTCGAAATAGACAGGCGGGAGATCGGCCTCCTCGATGCTGAACTTCTTTTGTTCGACCGGGGCGATAATCGGCTCGGTCAACGGTTGCGCGTCCTCTTCCTGCACTAACGTCTCGACACCCTCCCCGTACACCTGTGCGGCGGTCGGATAGTACTGTTTGTCCTCATGGAGCACGACGGCGTTCGAAGGACCTTCATCTGCGGCCGGAGTCAATCAAATGTCCTCTTGCGCATTGAATCCTAGCCACTGCATACCGTCGATGTCCATCTGCTCCTGGGCTGGAGCTTCTTCTGGAGCGGCCTCAGGATATTCGTCATAGGCATAGTTGCCCACATCCACGCCATGTTCGGATTCTTCCTCAGAAGCCTCGAGTTCCTCCCCGCTAGAAATGTAGATGTCAGCATGCTATTGCAGCTTCGTCAAGAGTATCGCAAGATTGTTGGAAAGACGAAATTCGGGCAGATCGAGGGCAAGTTTGAAGATGGGCCAAACAGTCAGAATTTCTTCGCATGGACACCTACATAAAGTTTCCAAACTCGTCATATAAATCGTCATCCATGTTTGCTTCAAGATTCTGTATGTGCGAGGCTCAGTTCGTCAATGTGTAGTTGAGGGCCTCTTAGTCGCGTCGTCGCGTGGTAGGTGATGTAAAGGTACGAATTTCTTACAGGTACTCCGTAACTTACCTACCCAAAACTCGACCCTGGTCAATTAAAGATGTGGCTAAGGGTGTAGTTAGCGTATAGCTGAGCCACAGAGGGGCGCTTGGCTGTAGATGATTGGTTTCCTCCACCTACATGTGTGGCGACGAAGGTGTGTCCAGTGCCACTGCCTGCCGGGATCGGACAATTCTTGCTTCGGCGCTTTCCAGAAGCGGCGCCGGGCATCCGGGGGTCTCATAAAGAAACCTTAAGGGTCGGGGATGGGGGAGGGGCAAATATTATCTTATCGGCCGATTGTTGGCTTCCCCTTACATATATTTCCCACCTTCACCGACAATCCCCGACCCCCGGCCAGTTCATCCCAACATTTTGGATAACTGTTTTGCACTACAAGTCGACAAGATGGCCGGTCTTCCCCCTGTGTATATTGTCTCGGCGGCGAGAACTCCCGTCGGTAGCTTTCTAGGAAGCTTGTCCAGCCTCAGCGCGACACAATTGGGGTCGCACGCCATTAAGGGTATGTACGCTGCAGGCCGTTGCCACTCGCTCATAGAAAGAAACAACCCCTAACATGAGACCAATTAAATAGCCGCTGTTGAGCGTGTCCCCCAGATCAAGCCCGAGGATGTCGAGGAGGTGTTTTTTGGAAATGTCCTCTCGGCCAAGTGAGTTGATTCTAATCTACCAAGCAAACAGCTTAATCTGTTTCCAACGTTCTGACAAGAACCCTCCGACAGTCTCGGCCAGGCCCCGGCCCGCCAGTGCGCCCTCGGCGCCGGCCTCTCGGAGGCTGTCGTGTGCACAACGATCAACAAGGTGTGCGCGTCCGGTCTCAAGGCCATTATCCTCGGCGCCCAGACCATCATTACGGGCAATGCCTCCATCGTTGTGGCTGGCGGCACCGAGAGCATGTCTAACACACCCCACTACCTCCCCAACCTGCGAACTGGGACCAAGTACGGCGACTCGTCGCTCATCGACGGCGTGCAGAAGGACGGCCTCCGCGACGCATACGGCAAGCAGGAGCTCATGGGCATGCAGGGCGAGCTCTGCAGCCAGGACCACGGCCTGACACGTGAGATGCAGGACGAGTACGCTATCAAGACATACCAAAAGGCCCAAGCCGCTACCGAGGCCGGCCTCTTCACCGAGATTGCGCCCATCGAGGTGAGCGGCGGTCGGGGCAAACCGCCCGTCAAGGTCGACCGGGACGAGGAGGTCAAGAACCTCAACATTGACAAGCTGAAGACGGTCCGTCCCGTCTTCATTCCCAATGGCGGCACCGTCACGGCTGCCAACGCCGCGCCGATCAACGACGGTGCGGCTGCGGTGGTGCTGGTCTCGGAGGCCAAGCTCAAGGAGCTCGGCATCAAGCCGCTGGCCAAGATCCTCGGCTGGGGTGATGCGGCGCGGGAACCCCCCCGCTTCACTATCGCCCCGGCACTGGCCATCCCCAAGGCCATCAAGCACGCCGGCCTGACGGAGAAGGACGTTGACTACTACGAGATCAACGAGGCTTTCTCGGTTGTGGCGCTGGCCAACATCAAGCTTCTGAACCTGGACCCGGAGAGGGTGAACGTGTTTGGTGGCTCGGTCGCCATTGGCCACCCGCTGGGTGCCTCGGGCGCACGCATCGTCACCACATTGACGTCGGTGCTGCGCGAGAAGAAGGGCAAGATTGGCGTGGCGGGTATCTGCAACGGTGGTGGCGGTGCATCTGCCCTCGTGATTGAGAACCTGCAGTGAGTGTTGCCTTTTTCGGGTGTGATGCCTTCAACGTTCGTCACTAGATGGGAGAAAATGGGATCTCGGCGTTACTTGCGAAGAGGAATTGCATTTCTGATTTGGAGTGATCGCCCTTCATAGGTCGATAGAGGGTCCACAGCCTGCCAGATCCAACCTATAGTATAGGGTCGAGTGCGGCGAGACACGTTGACCAAGGCTATAATATATCTACTGTGACACGTTGTCGCCGATTTGGGGTTCTTTTACACAACGGTGTAGACTACCCTTGGTTTCGAAGTGCTCATATCAGTAACCCCTAATCCGCGGCTTCTTCAAGCCTAGCCACTAACACCCCAAGCCTTGACACACCCGTCCTCTCCAGCAGTAAACACCGTCTGCGCCTCGTCAAAGAAGCAGAAACTCCGCACCAACTCCGACGCATGAGCTCCGGGCAACTGAACAACCGCCGTCCCATCCACCTCCCACCCAGCAGCACCCTTGGCCAAGTGAACCAACTTGAACATCTCCATCCTTGACCCCCGCATCATTCATCAGCACCAAACACCATGTGCGAATCTACATAAAAAAGGTGAACTCACTCAGGCAACCCAACGCCAAGCACAGCCCCAGCACCATCCATCTTAGCCGTCACGCCGGCAAGGTATCGGCAACCAAGACGGTCCCTGATGTCACCGAGATCGAGCGTGGCGGCGCCCGTGACCGCGTCTTCGGCCATGTCGTATAAGGCAAACTTTTCGTCGTGCGAGGCGGCGTACACCTCGGTGGCGTTGAGGAAGCCGGCGCGGTGCACCGAGCCGTGGTTGAAGGTCTGCACCACGACCTCGTCCTCGTCGGCTACGCGCGTGTCTGACACCGACACCAGCCCGTCGGTGGAGCCGGAAAGGAGAAGGGATGGGTTGGTTGGGTTGTATGAGAGCTGTTGGGGAGGGAAAAAGGGGGTGGGTGAGTAAGAGGGTTGGAGGGAAAGGGGGAAGGATAGGGGGCGGGGGGGAAGGGGAGGGATTTAACAAACCTCGGTGATGTCGTCTGAATGGACTTCATTGTATTGTATTCTAGGAGATGACGGGGAGCGCACGTCCCTGGTGTCGATTAGCTCGGTTTTCGAAGGTTCGACTTGGAAAGGGCATGGTTTACCAGATGAGGATGGAAGCTTGATGGTTTGCTAGCTCAGTGCCAGCGGCGATAGTGTTCGTCTCATTTGAACATGCCAGTGATAGTAATGACGGACAGTTTCCTCCTGAAAACTTTCTTTAGTAAAAGGCTCAAACTTTGTAGTAGTAAAGAATGGAAACGCGGCCGCACCCCCTATTTGCATCGCCCGAGCTCTTGCCGGTTCCTGCCGCAAGTCCCAAACTGACACGGTGCCATTCTCGCCCGTTGTGCATATGACGGAGTCAGCCACGCTGTAAGCCTTTGCGGCGGTCAGATTCCCTTGGTCTGTCGTGATCTTGCTGGTCGGTCCCTGGCTTAGTCGAAGGGGGTCGAAGAGATTGAGGGTTTGATCCGAAGCTGTTGTTGCAAGTCCAGCGGCGACGGGAAGGATGTCGACAACATATGTTTCATGGCCAGGGTACTTGTACCCATCTCTACAAGCCAGGTTGTATGCGGCCATCTTGGGGTGAGTCAAGGATCCTAAACTATTCTCTCTAATGCCGGATCCCGTGTGTGCTTTTAAGGGTGTAAGTCGGCACCAAGCTTTGGCACCTTTGAAATTGGCAGTTCGCTAGCTCTGAATAAGTGCTTGTGATTTCGACCAAGAATGACGTTCTTGTTGGATTTTTGCAGATTTCTCTAGATTATTGAGATCCTATTCATGGTGAGTGAAAATCATCTCATCTTCGAATATTTTACATGGAATTTTCCTAGGAGACTGCAACAGGAGCAAAGCAGCCCCTTATCCGTACCTAGTTCTTCTTTCTCTGTTGTCTGGATTCGGCAGCCGTCACCAGCTGGCGAACTAAAGGCAGAGGTTGGATGATGCTAGGCCCGGCCCCTGCCGCGGATCCGTGCAGCACTGGCTTAGGCGCATGTCATTCAGTGGAGGAAGCTGTGTTCAGGACAGCTGGTAAATTACCAACACTACAAGAGCTGTCAACGCACTCGTGGTCTCCCGCCAACTGCTCCCCTTCACAAACTGTTAGCCATGGCATGAAGACGTTGCACCTTGCACACTTATTCAGCACCGGTAGTTGAAGATGAAGCGCCATCTTCTATGGCTGTTCCGTAAGCGGCAATTATCCAGGCAGTCATGTCACGAGCAAGAAAGATGCGCTAACATTCCACCTTCTCTCCAGTGCTCTTGCAGGCCATTGCCTTTTCGTACGCCGAAGCGCAGACCAAGCAGCATGTCCTTGCTGGCGACACGACCGAGGGACGGACCGGCGCCTCCTTTCGCACAGAGGTAGCTGCTGCACAAAGCGGTGGACAAGCGGCCCAGGAGCCTGGTACGGCCTGCTCCGCGCTATCATACCGCATACAGGCCGTGCATCACTAACGCACATCAGGCGCCGACCTTGTTGAATCTGCCCTCGCCGAGTTGCGCAAGCTATATCGGCCTTTCCACCACAGGATACGGAAGCAGCATGGCGTCTTCGGCACCCTATTGCAGTTCGCCTTGAAGGCTCTCCCCAGCCTTCGCCTCAGTGCCCCGCCGCCCGAAACGCCTCATAGGAGTGCGCTGAGCGGGCCGCTTTTGCATGCGACTAGACTCCTGGAAGAATCGGCTCGGCAGAACAACTCGGACGCCCTGTACATCTTGGCTGAGATGAACTTTTACGGCAACTTCTCGTATCCGAGGAACATGCGCGCCGCCTTCGACTACTACCACCAACTGGCATCTCTCAACGGCAACAATTCAGCGTTATACATGGTTGGGCTCATGTACTCGACCGGCATCGGAGACGCTGTTCAGCGAGACCAAGCACGTGCACTCCTGTACTATACCTTCGCCGCTAATAGGGGCCACACGAGGGCTGAAATGACGGTTGCTCACCGGCACCACGTTGGTATCGGCACGCCCAAGAACTGCGACGCCGCCGTCAAATACTACAAGCGGGTTGCCGACAAGGCTATTGCTTGGTATCGGTCCGGACCTCCGGGTGGGATGGCGTGGACGACCGAGGCGTATCGCATCGCTGACGAGACCGGCGGGGTCTATGGCGAAGGCGCCAGCGTCGCTAGTGCCGGAAGCAACGCCATCAAGGCGCACCCCAACTCGGACGCGTACGCTTCGATTGAGGATATCATCGAGTACCTGGACCTCATGTCCCAGAAGGGCGATTTCGAAGCCTCGTTCAACCTCGGCCGGATCTATTACGAAGGTCAAAGAGGCCTTGAGAAGAATATGCAGCTAGCCAGGAAGTACTTCTTCGAAGTCACGCAAAAGTACTGGAGAAAGAGCCGTCCCGTCGACAGCCCGAAACCCAACTTGGACAAGACAGCCGCCAAGGCTGCCGGCTACATCGGACGCATGTACATGCGGGGAGAAGGCGTCGAGCAGAACTTTGATCGGGCCAAGTTCTGGTTCGAGCGCGGTGCCGCCCTAAAGGAAGCGCGGTCTCAGTGGGGCCTGGGCTTGCTGTATCTCAACGGATATGGCGTGAAGACAGATGTCATCCAGGCCACCGAGCTCTTCAAAATGGCCGCTGCCCAAGACTATGCACCTGCCCAGGTACAGCTCGGGAGCCTCTACCTCGACCAGGGGCAGAGCGACGACCTGGCAGCGGCGAATCACTACTTTGAACTGGCCGCTCGCTGGGCCAATATTGAAGCCTACTATTACCTCGCCGAGATGAACTTCTTTGGAGTCGGTCGCGAGCGATCGTGTTCCGCCGCCGTGGTCTACTACAAGACAGTGGCCGAAAAGGTCGAGCCTCTTGTTTCGTCCTGGGCCGAGGCAAACTTGGCCTACGAGGATGGCGATACGGAGCTGGCTTTCCTCGAATATCTTGGCGCGGCAGAGCAGGGATACGAGAAAGCGCAGAACAATGTCGCCTATATTCTGGACCCGGACAAATCTCGATTGCCAATCCCGAAGCTGCTGGATCATCGCAGCCGGGTCCCATCTCTCCTTCAGAACCCCACCCTAGCGCTCATATACTGGACGCGCTCGTCACGCCAGGGGAATATCGACGCTTTAGTCAAGATGGGTGACTACTACTTGTACGGTATTGGTACCGATGTCGACGTTGACAAGGCTGTCCAGTGTTATACGGGAGCGTCCGAGTACCACCAGAGTGCGCAGGCACTGTACAATCTTGGGTGGATGCACGAGCACGGAGTAGGCCTGAATCAGGATTACCACCTGGCCAAGCGATATTATGACTCGGCGCTCGAGACAAACGACGAAGCCTATCTCCCTGTAGCGCTTAGCCTGCTGAAACTGCGTGCGAAGAGTGCCTGGAATACCCTTACGCACGGGAGGATCAACTCGATCAAAGACGAACCAAGTATGGAGCGCAGCCCCCTCATCCTAATCTTATGAAAAAGCAGAGACTGACATGGAACTTCTCGTCTCGCAGAACCGAAGAAGGACTGGTCGCTCAGCGAGTGGATCAACAACTTTTTACAGGATGATGCCCAATACTACGACGACGTCTATGACGACCTCTATGATGATACTATGCCCGGCGGTGATGCGCTGGATTTTGATGACGGCATAATGGAAAGCTTCGTGATCCTTGGCCTGGCCGCTACACTGATATTCTTGGTCATGTACCGCCAGCAGCGTCAGCAGATGGCAAGACGGAGGGATGAGGAGACGGCGAGGCAGCGGCGGCAACAGCAACAGCAACAGCGGCTGCAGCAGCAGCAGCAACATGGCGGCGTCCAAGCAGGGGCCAATGGAGAAGATGAGCAACAACAACCTCAACCACAAGACAGAGGACTCTTCCCACAACCTGGGGACCCCGATTTTGGGCAATGGGTTGCCGGAGGGATTGGACATTGAAAGGAAAAAAGACACGGTGTGATAGCGTCGTTTTTCATGAAAGAGTGCATGTACATATGGCATCGAGCGGCGTCTTGGTCGATGAATTATCGTGGGTTAGATCATTAAGGAACGCATAGGCACCAAACTGTGCCTCATGTGCATGTAACGATATGAAGTCTCGGAGGAGAATGACAATGCTTTGACGCAGCGAACATTGATGCTGTCGCAATCACAGAGATGCTGTTGTTTCCTGGCTGTGCCGCCCCTGCCAATCACCCAAATCAATCTGTGGAGTGACTTCCTTTTTGAGTTGCAAGCATGTGTTCCTCAACTCTGCAAACCCCAAGCGACCTTCAACTCCAAAAAAAGGGTACTTATGCGTTTATACAAGGGATTGCAGCCTCCCAAGATGCGCCATCTCCAAAATGTCTTTTCAAACCCCCGGCGGCCCAGCAGCCAAACGCCGACGCGTTGAAGCCGCCAACGCCACGCTCCGGAAACCATTCCGATCGCCGCTAATAAGCCGGCAGCAACAAAACTCATCTAGAACCTCTCCTTCTACTCCCGGTTTCGAAACTGCTTCTCCTACTACTACTACTACTGCCCCGCGCACCCCAGCTACACCCGCACCCGCAAGGAGCACTGCCATTTCTGCTGTTGGAGCGGCGGCGGCGGCGGCGGCGGCATCGCCCTTGTCCCTGTCCTCGTCCCCGGTTGTCAAGGGGGCTAGCGCTGCGAGCGAGGTGGGAGGTGACGGTACTACTACTACGCCTGGTAGGAATGCAAACACACCCGCCCCGCCCAAGCTTCCAGGTCTAAGGGTAGACAACCCCCTTGGCGCAAGAAGCAGTAGTAGCAGTAGCACCAAACCACCCGGCGAAAACGGAGGCCACGGCGGCGGCGGCGACCTCCTCCAGCGGATTAACGCCTCACAGCGGGAAATTGAGGCGCACACCGTTGCGATGCAGAAGCAACTTGAGATTGTGCGGCAAGCGGCGCGGATTGAGAAGAGGGCGTCTGCTTCTTCTTCTTCGTCTTCTTCTCATTCGCAGGCGAATGGTCTTCGTGGGGGCAAGTGGAGTAATAAACGCGAGATTGATGGGGAGCTGAGGGAGCTGGTAGAAAAATGGAAGGGGGCAAGCAGGCTCGCGGCGGAGGAGTTATTCGGGCTTATCAAAGGGAGGGTGGAACAGATGGGCGGAGGGCAGGCGTGGAGGGAGAGCAGGCGGCGGCAGGTGCTGGGTGGGGGGTTTGGGGATGCGGATGAGGTTGGGATTGGACGGGGAGGCATTGGGAACGGTGATGAGAAGGTAGAGGAGGGTTGGGATGAGAATGGGGAAGTGGGGGGCTCACAGGAAGAAGAAGAGGTGGAGGAAGAAGAGAACGGGGAAGTGGTGAGTTTGATATGAGATGGGATATTAGACAAGTGACATGGCTGACTTTATTTCACAGGGCTTTACGATGCTCATGATGCTCAGGAGTCTGAACATTGACCCAGATGTGCTGGGCTATGATCCTGTTGAGGACAAGTGGAGGGATTGAAGCTATATTAGCATGAGATGGAGACGGTGATACTGGCGATGCAGATGAGAGCAGCCGGTATCACTGCTTTACCTAGCGGGGGCGTGACACGGGCCGATGAGACTAGCATTTTAGCAACTCAAAGTGAGTAAGAGGTCTCGTGTGGTATGTGGTATGTACAGTACAGTACAGAACAATCAGGGTGCAATTGCTGCTAGCTAGGCGCTCTGATATTGAACTTTAGTGCGTTGAAGGCTACTAATAAGAGATGCCATACAGTAGCAAGCTGCTAGATTCAACGACTGACGCCATTCACAGACCTAGCAATGTTCAGACGGACTTTTCAACTTGTGACGTTGTGGACGGGGCGAACTCCACGCTGCTTTTGTGGGCCGGCTCGGGCTTGCACGGCAGCGCGCAACAGCGCGGCATTGGAATTCCCAGCGCAGTGATTGGCCAGAATTTGCCGAGGTGTTCCGGGGAACCGAATGTGAGGATCACGGATCCACTGCAATCCAGCGCCACCAGCAGCGTTCTTGCCTTTCCGAGCCCTTTTCGTACTTGCATTCAGGTTTCTGCCCACGACAGCAACTTCAACGTCGCCAGCGCAAGCGCATCAATTCCCCACGCCGCAATCATGGCAGCTCTCCGCTCTTCCTCATCACTATTGCTCGGCGCTGCCGTGTCCAGGCCGGCCCTGCGCATCGCCGCCGCCTCACCAGTCGCCGTCCGCGGCATGGCCCAGCTCGCCGATGGCGCTACGCACAGCTCAACGGCCGCGGGTAGCCAGACGGGCGCTGAGAAGCAGCCGAACCTCAAGACTTTCCAGGTCTACCGCTGGAACCCTGACACAACGACCGAAAAGCCGCGCATGCAGAGCTACACCCTCGACCTGAACAAGACCGGGCCTATGGTCCTCGATGCCCTTATTCGCATCAAGAATGAGCTCGACCCTACCCTTACTTTCCGCCGGAGTTGCAGAGAGGGCATTTGTGGTAGCTGTGCCATGAACATCAATGGCACCAACACGCTCGCCTGCCTTTGTATGTTCTTACCCTCGAAGGGGCCGAGTGTCATAGAGCAGAACATGGGACTGACATTGTGCGAACTAGGCCGTATCCCCGCCGAGGACAAGGCTGAGATGAAGATCTACCCTCTTCCACACACCTACGTCGTCAAAGACCTGGTGCCCGATCTTACACAGTTCTACAAGCAGTACAAGTCGATCAAGCCTTACCTGCAAAGAGAGACGCCCGCTCCTGATGTGAGTTTCCTTGCCGGACGCGTGCAAATGGCTCGGCTAGCTGACAGATGGTACAGGGCAAGGAGTATAGGCAGAGCAAGGCGGATCGGAGGAAGCTTGATGGCCTTTATGAATGCATTCTGTGCGCTTGCTGCTCGACCTCGTGCCCGTCATACTGGTGGAACTCGGAAGAGTACCTCGGTCCTGCCATCCTTCTCCAGTCTTACCGGTGGCTGGCCGACTCTCGTGATGAGAAGACGGCCGAGCGCAGGGACGCCCTCAATAACTCCATGAGCCTGTACCGCTGCCACACCATCCTGAACTGCACTCGGACATGCCCCAAGGGCCTCAACCCTGGTCTCGCTATTGCACAAATCAAGAAGGAGATGGCATTCTAATTTGGGGGGGTGAGATGGCTGTAGAGTTGGGAATGACTAGGAGGGTGGCGTGGACGGCAAAAAGGGCGATTGGGCGGTGTTAGTCCTGATATTCGGACTTTGGTAGATATGTAACCTTACCCTGGTCTCCTGCATGGTTGGAGTTTACTTTGTCACAGTAACAGCAATAGGATGGCTTGCGTTTTGGCTTTGTTTGGCCACTTCATTCGAGATCGGTGACTTGAGCGGTGTCTGGGATCCCGTCAGAGGCTCAGGTAGAAACCAGGGTCCTTCAATCATATTCTATTCGCTATACCATCATGACAACGACCGAACTGAGGGTATTTGGGGCTTGGATAAGGAAACAATGGGAACCAGGTTTGACGCCAAAAAAACCATGATAATTCTACTTTTCGACGAGTTGACAGCCACCCAGGCACGTCCAGGCACAGGGGCAAACCGCAGACGAAATCCTCCGGCATGAATAAACCATAACACCAACCCCATTTTATCCCGCACTACCGTCTACCATCGATCATGCCCTGGCCGGCTCATAGACAACCTTGACAGGCATGTAGGTGGCAATGGTCAGAGCCGCGGCTACAACACCAGTATCAGCTCAGCACCTCGGAACTTCAAGCGACGACCCTCCACAACAAAGAATACCGACAGAGAAAAAAAACGACTTACCATCCTTCCACTTGACGCTCCACTCGCCCTTGTTATTCCCCCTAGGGAACGCGACCCAGGCGCCCTCACCCTTGACGTACTCGAGCGGCGCGGCGGCGCCGGCTTCCTCCTCGAGCTTGAACGAGGTCCAGTCGATCGTCATGCCGTCGGGCACGTTGACGCTGGCCGGGTCCTCGAGGCTGGCCAGCTCCAGGAGCCCGTTGCGCCCCACGAGCGCCAGCGCCCCGTCCCCCTGCGGGTACGTGCGCAGCTCGGCCAGGCCTGTCTTGCCGTCCACCACGGGCGTGAACAGCGCCGGCTTGGCCGAGGGAGATGAGGACACGCCAAGGAGAGTTCCGTTGGCGGTCAGGTACGCGCCGTCGAGGGACTTGACGCGGCTGAGGTTGGTGTGGGGGGGGTGGGGTTAGCTTGTGGAGGGTTGAGGTTTGGGAGGGAGAGGGAGGTCTTACGAGGAGAGACGCAGGCTGTAAACAGCTGGCTTGCTGTCCTCGGCGACAGGAGCTGCGAGGCCTGTGGAGGCGAAAAGGGCGAGGGCAAGGGCCTGGAACTTCATGGTGCTGATGCTCTGGGTGGTTGATGTTTTGGGATTGGGTTGCAAGTTCAGAACGAGCAGGTGAGAACCGGTTGTTTTCGGCTGGTGAGGTCTGAACTCTGAAGATCTGAGTGCCGATTGAGAGTGGTGTTTAGCAAGACTGGTTATTCTGTTCCTGGAAGGAGAAGGGACCCTTTTATGGTTTGTTGTCTCTTCAATTCTCGCCTCTCTCTCTATATCATCACATGTCCTTGCAAACCTCTTCACATCCGACAGAGTTCTCTTTCATCCTTCCATCCATCAATTGCTCCTTCCTCTCCGATCTCCTGACAGTTCCTGGCGGGCGCACCCCACCTTCAACGTCACACACACATGTGCTGTGCTTGCTCGGTATGCCGACTTATATTGCCCTTTCGCCCCTTTGCCGCAATCAACCCAAATTGTCTTGCAACACAGCAGCGACGTTGAATTCTTCCGCTATCAGTTATTACAACCGACGATCTCGACAACTTGCAGCATCCCACTCGGGCCCTTCAAATTAATTTAACAAAAGGATTTTTTTGCAGAGGATTATTTTTAGCAGCCGAAGAATGTCTCTCCTCCAGACACCTGGTTCATGGCTCTATCGCTTCATTTACCAGCAAGCAGCCAAGCTCAGAGACACGCGCAGCGGCGAACTTACACTATGAGGTCAGGTCTCGCAAGTGCTGGCTGACCAGGTACTTGATATCATTCATTACTGTTGGCCAACAGTGCAGTGGCCATGAAGTACCGGCAGGTTGCGGTTGCCGCATCTACCTTCCTCCACTCTTACACAGCGGCAGTGTGGCTTTCGTCGGTTCTAGAAGTATTCGAGACCACATTGGTATAGGGACCGACTCGGTGTGTATGTTTCCCCCTGGGTTACATCAATCCCCGATCATTAAGAGACCACCATTCCACCAGCTTCGACCTCTTCTACCCGTTGCGTCCTTCCTTTTCAACAACGGACTTGACAGCCGCGCGTCTGCAGTCAATCAACGCGATCCTTGGACATATCATTTTGTCTTGTTTGCTCCTCCGAATGGAGCCGCCCTCGAGCGCAACATTTCCTCCGTGTTGAGTCTATCCGGAGTTTGGGTTGCAGTGATGCCAAGCTCAAGCCACCGGGAGTTCTCACCACTGCTTTCCACAGACGCACCATGAGACAGGTAGGGCCCTGATCGCACGGTCGACGGCGAACCAGTGTCGTACTGGCGCCTGTCTTGGGTGGCGGAGAATTTCATTCCCCAGATCTGCCCATCCAGCGACATCCCGCAGGCTAGTAGCCTCTCTCCCTCCTTACCAGTCCCGACAATCCGCGGGTTTAGGGATCTTAGCCTATTATTTACCTACTTTCCCGTCCTGAGCACGCAACCCTACCTCAACCTTCGGGTCCCTGCAGCTGGCGACAGGACCGGACCCAGCCGTATATCTGTTCTCAATTGCCTCTTTCTGCGATCCTTCGGTTCAACCATCCGCCTTGGCTTCCATTCGAGGTTGGCGCGGATGAATTGGATACGAGATGCGTCCCAGAGACTGAATGGGCATGGACTCCAAATCGGACGCTAGTAAAGCTAGCACATGGGCTTTGTAGTGGCCCAAGCAAGGTGTACAGAATACGAGGAGGTTGTTGTACGTGTCTAACTGCATTCAGTTATGTTGCTGTTATGTTGCGAGCAACTTTCAACAGACTTATACCCTCCGCTCCGTACTATATATCTGGTTCGCTCGCCATCGCTGGACAAAAGCACGATCTTTTTCAAGTCTGGTCATCTCATCTTCCTTTCCTGGGGTCTATCCGTTCTTCTCAGTCTCTGTCATCCCTTGCCATCCACAATGCAGCCAACAACAGCCCTGCCCCTATTTTCGGCCATCATGGTGCTCCTCGGAGGCCTAGGCGCTGCCGCCCCAGTCGCTGACGGGGCTTCCACATGCCAACCGCAGACGATCTGCATTGATGCAATCAACACTTGCGGTGTTAGATATGGAGGGTAATTGGGACATAGTAAGCCAGAAACTGTAAGCAACATTTGCTGAGATAGTGGCAGGTGCTACGACGTCTGCAAAACCGCTTCTAAACCACAACCGCCTCCCTGCCCAAGCACCATCCCGGCGACAACGAAAAGGACGAGCACGAAGAAGCCCACTTCGACCAAGAAAACTTCAAGCAAGAAGCCCACGTCCACCAAGAAATCTTCCAGCACGAAGCCTACCCCCACCAGCACGAAACCAGTCATCACAACCAAGGTAACGCAGCTGCCGCCGGCCACCACCGGCAAGGCGACTGGAACCAGCAGCTGTACCGCTGCGCAGACTGTCTGCTTGGACGGCATCAACGAGTGTGGTCAGTGGTATGGAGGGTATGTTGCTGCCTTGCCCCTGAAGCCTTATCAACCCTTGGGGTGAGTTGTGTTAAATTGATTGCTTGACTGCCATTAGCTGCTTCCCCGACTGCCGCCCATGGCCGACTTTCACGGCGCCGCCGTGCTCCAAGACAGTGACCAAGACCACAATCACCACTCGAGTGGTTACCTCCGTACGGGGCCCTCCGATCTTGACGCTGCCTCAGTGAGGTACTTCCCATAGGGAAGTTGGGAGGGGAAATCTGATTCTCTAAAAGGAGTGAATGCTCCAAGCTCATGAAGTAGGGGTAGGCCTGGGAACAGTTTTTCTTTGGAAGTTCAAAAAGGAGACTGCTGAAAAGGGGCAGGGGCAAGTACACATGAGCTATTGGCCGATCCAGCTCATAAGGGGCTGCTACGTCTTATGTTGCTCCAGGGGGGCGTTTCTCCGTCTTTAGCAGATCGAAAATACGATCTAGGGTGCTGTAGATACAGCATGTGCTGGCACAACCGTGAAGACTGACCGCCATTCGTACATTCGTCCATTAACTGCTATTCTAGCGGCCCTGAGGCAAGGTTAGCTCATCAAGTGTGGATGATACGAAAGCCGAGGTTATCCGTTCCGTCCACGGTGACATCTAATTAACAACACGCTCTGTTATATACCGAAGATGGTTATCATCATATGTACTATATAGTATGCTCTCGACCAGACACCCTGCGGCCACTGTTTCTCCCTGCCCTATCCATTTCTGGAAAGGCTTGACTTAGTAAAAGGCTCCTTCCCGTCCGGTGCAGTTGCCTATCGGTGGATATTCCGAGAACTGAACTCACTTGCTAGTCAATGGAAGTCTTGTGGCTGTAAAAAGTCAGCCGAGCTTTGCGCTGTCACTGTTACTCCTTCATCCTCTTTGTGGCACAATCTGTAGTATAGTACTGTAAGTTGAGTTTCAATGTGTGCACTGCCGGCAGATTCCACCTTACATCCTCCATCTACTCGACCAAACTTATTCGGGCTGTACTGTACATACTTGTACGACACAATCTGTCAAAGTCACCCCTAGGTACGGATCAACTTGCGCCAATGCTGTCTTGCAATGCCGTGGCCGATACTAATACTCCCTTACGAAGCAACGACTTTCAGGCATGTGCTTCCTGATTCCCGTACGAGTCCTTACTCTATATATGCCTTAGCATGTTTCTACCATCCTCGCCCCCCCAAACGTCACTCCCCAGCAACAGAGAGCAACCCAGACCTTGACTGGTGGTTAATGGTACTATATCTATACGGATCTAGGCTCTGGCTTTCCGCCACCGCAGAGGAATCGCACCATGCTACTATCACACCATTCCACTACAACTCCCCCATCTCAAGGCTGGATATGTCCTAACCGGTCGGGTACGGAGTACATACATGACAGAAACACGACAGAGCGCCACGGACCAAATACTACATGGTGTGAACCTGTAATTTTTATCAAGCGTGGTTAAGGTATCTGGCCCCTATTTCCCTTTGCTAGCCATACCCGCAAGGTATGCCACATCCCCTTCCTGGCGCAGCTTATCCCCCTTAACAATGACCTGCTCCTCCATCTCCAGCTGATATTTCCTCATCTTCTCCTGGTACTCTGGGACAAAAGACCCCAGGATCCTCACAGCCAGCAGCGCGGCATTCGTCGAGTTGTTGATGCCCACCGTAGCGGTCGGCACTCCCCTCTGCAGACAAACAAAACAGATCAGCACAATCCACATTTCACAAGACAATTCATTCCGTAGGGAGATTACTCACGGGCATCTGAACGATACTCAACAAACTATCCACCCCGTCCAGGTGTGTCGCTTTCACAGGGACACCAATCACGGGCAGCGGGGTCTCGGACGAGAGCATGCCAGGTAAATGGGCGGCGCCGCCCGCCGCGGCAATGATGACCTTGATGCCTCGGCCGGCAGCCTCGTCGGCGACACGCATCATGCGCTTGGGCGTGCGGTGCGCCGAGGTGATGTCGAGCGCGTAGGGCACCCCGAACTGGCGCAGCACGTCCAGCCCGGGCTTGAGCACGGGCAGGTCCGAGTCGGAGCCCATTGTTACCAGCACGAGGGGTTTCTTTTCTTCATGGTGTTGTTGTTGTTGTTGTTGTTGTTGTTGTTGCTTTTCTGGAGATGCCTGGGGACGGAGGGTTTCAGATGCGGCTGAAGTGCGCTCCAGCCTGATCTCGTCCACGAGGTCGATGAATGGCTTGGCTTTGGCCTGCAGATCCTGGATGGTTGAAGACCCCGTCAGGGTAATGTGGCCGATTTTCCGGCTCGGTTTGGACGCCTTGTTGTACAAGTGGAGGTAGACGTCCATGCTGTCGTCGAGGGTGGACCGGGCTAGTTGGACTAGTTTGTGGTGGGCGGAAGGGGTGGCGCCGCCGAGGATATTGAGCATGATGGCGGAGGACACTCTAGGCGTCAAAGTGGCGGGAACGGGCAGGTCAAGGACGGCATGGAGTTGCGCCTTGAACTGTGACATTTGAGGGACCGCCTCGATGGTGTAGTGGCCGGAGTTGTGCGGGCGGGGTGCGACCTCGTTGACCATCAGCGAGCCTGTATGAAGTGTCAGTACGAGATTGATTCAGAATGAAGCACTTGTCTCGCACCATCTTCCAGAAGAAACATTTCCACGGCAAAAACACCTCTACCCCAAAGGGTGCTGATAACCTGGGTTGCTAAGTTCCGCGCGGATTCGCACACTGCCTCGGGCACATCTCTAGGTGGCATAAAGACCCTGGTGCAGATGCTGTCCTCATGGACAGTCTCGACGGCAGGATATGCGACGCAGTTTCTGAGATTGCCCTTGTCATCCTCGGTCCTGATGACCATGACGGCAAGCTCCTTGACAAATGGGGCCCATTTCTCGGCGTACAAACTGAGCCCCCCAAGTGCCTTGATGGCAGCCTCAAAGTCGGCCTCGCTGTTGACCTTGAAGTTGCCCCTCCCGTCGTAGCTGCCTTTCCGGGCCTTCAGCATGAAAGGAAAGCCGAACTTCTCAGCGACGTCCCTGAGAGACGCAGAGTCGGACGCGACTGGTAGCTGGTCGGCGATGGGGATTCCCTTGCCGCTGGTCCTGAAATGCTCTTTCTGGAGGTACTTGTCCTGGATAAGCCGGATGGTCCTCCAAGAAGGGTGAATCGGCGGCCGATGGATGGCGGTAGACCCGTCAGGGCGTTTGACCTGAACGCCGTTTCTCTCAATGTCCTCAAGCACTTCGGTCTCTACATGCTCGATTTCCACTGACAGATAGTCGGATACAGTAGCGAGCTTCCGGATGCAGTCCGGGTCCTTGAATGAGCCGGTGACATGGCGACCCGTGTCGTGAGCTTGTTTCGCCGGCGCCTTTTCCTCGTCGAGAATGGCGACGTCGATGCCCAGGGGGTTGGCAGCCTCGCAGAGCATGCGCCCGAGCTGCCCTCCGCCCAGCAGGCCAATGACGGGATTCCCACCCTCGGGCATGTTTGTCGTCTTAGGTTCTGGTTTATTGTTTTGCAATAGCAAAGGTTTCTCTCACTTGGCTTGTGAACCTGATATCTTGTACAGTATACTCCGTAGAAACTCCCGAGATCGGTTATGAATTCTGATTGCAGTTTTTTTGCTCATCGGGTGCTAAGGTAGTTGGTTACAGTAGTTACAGGGCATCTTAAGCCAATCAATGCTGTTTGGGACCTGCAGTTAGCGCATTGAATGCCCCCACTTACGGGAAGATATAGTACGCAGTCTCCTGTAAATGAATAAAGGGGTTCTGTAAATGGATGAAGAGGTTGCTGCCCGTCTAGAAACGCATGAGTCAACAATGAGGTCTGGATACTTGGTAAGCTACTTCGATTGAGAACCCCATTCAGAAACCTTTGAGACTGTCATTACTTCTTGAAACCTATTGACCTAGTTTCCGCTACCAGCAAGATGATTGAGGGCTTGCTGTAAACTTTCAGCCCGTGGGGCAATTGACACGCCCAAGACTTTCTGAGTCTCCTCATTCATCACTCATACATTCATCCACATGCCGTCCGATATTGCGTCTCCCGAGATTTCCACGATCTACGCATTTTATCTGGACCAACATGGAAAACACGTTAGATATGGAACACGTACAGTAAGCCTATCTCTGCCTTTCAGTTGGTTTTCGGATTCACTCATTCTGTTTGGAACCAGCCCCTTAAAGCTCTTTGATGTTGCGAGAAAAGAAAGGCGCTTTCTATATGCTTCAGCGCCTATGGTGCGATACAGCAAGGCAAGTATTTTTGTATGGAGTTTACAATTGCGTGTTCACTTCCCAGTTTGCAGTATCTGACCGGCCAAGCAGCTCGCCTTCCGTCAGACCGTCTTTGCCTATGGCACAGATTTGTGTTGGACACCTATGATCCTGGCCAAAGAATTCAACAGGAATCGTTTTGCTAGGGATAGTGGTTGGTGACTTGCAAACTCATTCTCTTGAAGTTTGAACCGTCTCCTAACTCTCCCTAGACTTCACAATATCTACCAATGGCCCTCAACCCCCTACAATAGTACAGTTCGGGGCCAACGTTCCTCAGGAGCTCGCAAGGGCATCATCACTCGTGGCGCCGTTTTGCAGCGGTATCGACCTGAATTGCGGTTGCCCTCAATCATGGGCCTGCGCCGAGAGTCTGGGGGCTGCCCTAATGGAGAAGCGGGAACTGGTACGGGACATGGTAGTCGAGACCCGGGAGCAGCTGCGCCAAGATGGTTGGGCTGTTGAAAAAGAGAAGGACATGGACAGCCCGAGGGGGAGGAGCCTAAGTGTCAAGATTCGGGTGCACAAGGATCTCCGGTAAGATCTAACTGTGAAAAGTGAGGAATACCCTGCTCAGCTGACGATGCTATCTATATACAGCAAAACAATCGACTTTATAACCACAGTCCTCGGCCCCGAGGCAAACCGGCATATCGACTTCCTCACAATTCACCCCCGGACAAGATCAACCCCGTCCAGCACACCAATCAACCTCGAAGCCCTCGAGATCCTGACATCAACCTTCGGCGACCGCGTCCCAATCCTCGTGTCAGGAGACGTCTTTGCGCTCAACGCTCTCCCTTTCACATCCCCTCTCCTTAACACTCCCACTCCTACCAACACCAACTCAAACCCCGTTTCCACCGCCACCGCCGCCAGCACCACCTCCTCCTCCCCTTCAAACCCCCTGGTCAAGCCCAACCTGCCCAAACTCTCCGGCCTAATGTCAGCCCGCGCAATCCTCGCAAACCCAGCCCTCTACGCAGGACACGAAACCTGCCCCTGGGAGGCAGTCGAGACGTTCCTGAACAAGGTGGTGCGCAGCCCGCTGCCCTTCAAGCTGGTGCTGCACCATTTGAGTGAGATGTGCGCGCCGGGCATGAGCCCCTTCAACAAGTCCGCGCTGCTGACCAAGCAGGAGCGGGCTGCCATGCTGGCGTGTAGCAACATGGTTGATTTGATTGATTTTTTGGATGAGAAACGGGGACGGGGGGGGGGGTTAGGTTTAAGGCGGGATCGAGGTTAAGGGGTGGATGGGGGAATGAGGATGGGAAATGTAGGATGTGTTGGTACGTTTCGGAGAGGGGGTATCATCACTGACAATGTTGTGTGGCTGGATCAGGTCCTATGTCCTCTCGACCAGGGAACCTCGGCTTATTTGTGTTCGAAATTCCTCGACGCGGTATGCCACCATGGTAACCCCCGCCTCTCCTTTACCTACCGCGAAGCCAACACGGTCACTGGCATGAAGCAAAGCATCCCACGGAAGCGGGTCAGATCCCTCTGCGGCGAAAAGAGAGCAAAAAGAGACGTGTATGGATACATTCCGAGGTCCCCTCTCACAGAGTGGTTGGGAGATCGAGATTCAAGAAACCCCCGAAAAGGGTCACAGATCAAGTGCACATCATCAGCTTAACGAAACCGTATGATTACATGCACTCCAACCCATTCGCTGACTCCCCTGCGCCGAATAGACAACCCCAGGCCCCATCCCATGACAACCAAGAAACAACGAGAAAGCAAACAGCCGTGGTGAGGTGAAGAGTAAAAACCGAGACTTGAGCCTCTCTCAAGAGCCTTTAATCTCCCCTTCATCCTCATCCTCCAGCTTGGCCTTCTTAGCGTCCCTCTCCTCACTACTTTCCTCCCCCCCTCTCTTTACACGGGGGGAGACTAGTCCTCCGCTGGTTGCAGCATCACCATTTGGACCCCGCTCGTGAGCCGACATATGATTTGCCGCCACCTTGAGCGCGGCGTCGGAATCACCCTTAACCTCCCCATTCCTACCGACCAGCGACGACGACGACTCTTGATCAAGCCCCTCAGTCTTGACCACGACCCTGCCACCAGCAGCAGCACCAATACCAGCAGCAGCATCATACCCCTCCCCAGCCCTTCCATTCGCTCTACTCCTCGTCGGGCTCTGCGTGCCAGCGCGGTCCGTTCCCAGCGGGGTCGGGGTGCCGCCGTACTGGCTGGCCGCCGAATCCAGCTCGAGCTGGCTGAGGCCGAGCTCGCCGCGGCGGCGGGTGCTCTCGAGGTTGAACTCGGGGGAGCCGGGTACTTTGGCGTCCTGCTTGCGGAGCGGGTTCTTTTTGTAAAAATCGGTCATGAGGGCGACGGCCTTGACCGTGTCGGCTTCGCTGGCGCCGAGGAAGCGCCACCAGGCCTGGCCGTCAACGTCGTCAATCTTTTCGCGGGTGACGGCGGTGGCCCAGAAGACGGCGGCGATGGCAACGTCGCGCGCGGGGAGGAGTAGAGGGAGAACGGTCAGGCAGGCGTCGTTGCAGAAGGCCCAGGCCGAGTCGCGCAGCGTTTTGTTGTGCACCAGGTCCAGCTGCCGGAAGTGCTCGTACAGCTGCGCGTACGGGTTGTCGACCAACAGGTCGAATGTCAGTGTTTCCAGCATGAGCTCCTCGTACGTCAGGATGCTGTCGCGCCATCGCCAGTATTCCTTGCTCTGCTCGTCAATGATGAGCTTGGTGTTTTTTTGTGCGACTTTGGCGACGGCGATGATGACGTCTTTGGTCTTGCGGCAATTTTCCTCCGTCTTGTTCGCGAGAAAGAGCGCTGTCGCGGCGATATTCTGCACCGGGGTAAGAAAGGGGGATGTGGTGGTCAGTTTATGGCTTCTCTCAGTTGGTTCTGCTAGGTCCAGAAATTCCCTACGTAGTGATGTATGCCCGACTTCTCCTCCACCATGCTGTATCTCATGTAAAACCGGTGGAAAAATACCCCCGCGACCCATAATGTGATTTGCGGCAGCTCGAGGAGGATGCCGGCCTGGTAGATGAAGTTGACGCCCTTGGCTCTCCGTAATCTTTCTTCGGCCGGTGGTAGACCTTCTATGATGCTGGGCGAGCTCGCGACTTCGTCTGATGTGAAGTACCATTGGTCCTGCCTCGGTTGAGGAGGTTGCCGAGGGCTAGAATGTGAGGGTGACGGCGCGCTGCGGCGCGAGAGAGGTCTGGGTGGCGATGTCCTGGAGCTGAGTGTCGGCGGGGAAGGCACGGCGGGGGGAACGTCGCGTCTCCTGAACGGGGACTTTGACAATCGGTCGTTGATGGCGGGAGGCGGTTTTGGCGGAAGAGAAGGCGGCTGGTAGCCTTCCCTCGGAGGCCGATACCTGTCGATGCTGGACATGATTCTGGTTCTGGGTTTGCGACGCAAGGACGGCGTGAAAAAGTGAGGTTCGATCCCTGTTTTTGGGCCTCTAGATCAAGATATTTGTAGCTGTATGGGTCGCATTGACTTGGTATAGACTGTTGAAGGCGAATCAGGTCGTGGAAGTAGTCGTCAAGAGCAAGAACGTGTTTGGTGGTTGCAACCATTGGATAGACGGCGATCTCTAAACCACTGCACCAGCCTTTATCGCCCTTTATCGCTGTGGAGGGAGGCGCCAGGTGGCCTGTGCACACATTACTTTGGCAGCCTTGGCAGTACTCCGTACCTACTCCGTATTCGTCCTTCCTTTACACAGTAGAAGGCCAACTTATGAGTCGCTTTCGACTTCGAAAGACTGGATATCCTAAGGATACTTGTATTCGTTTGGCATCGCCATCCTCTGTACTTCACGTTGTTTGGTTGTTTCGGAATTGAACGGCTGTGACGTCTCATTTTGGCAAGCTCGGTTTGCCTCGCTCATGCAAGGTCAGCTAAGCTAAGGAACATCACCAACTCATGTCATCCAGATGGCCAGAGTCCCGTGTGCGTGAAGAGAAGTGTGAGATTGTTGGGTATCAGTTAGACTCTACTTGTTACATAAAACGCCCACGATACCAGTCCTGCAACGGTCTAGTCCTCGCCGTACAACCCTGCAGAGTCGTTACGCCCCCAAAGCTTGACTGTCCGGTCGTGGCCGCCGCTGACAATCCATTTCCCGTCTCTGCTGACGTCCACGCTCGCAACGGGGCCTGTGTGGCCTGTGAGCGACTGGACAAGAGCCCAATCGTCAGCTGAGAAGACATTGACCTTGTGGTCAAACCCTGCCGAAACCAGGAACATGCCGGACTTCTTGGGAAGCTGCATGCCCCTTTCGTCTTCGCCCGGCGGGGTTCCCAACAATGGATCATCCAAGCCTTTGAACCACCTCACATCGGACACTGCGCTTGTGTGCGCACCAATACCTCCCGTCCGTTGTACCTTCCGGACATCCCAGCACTTGATCCACCCGTCTGCCGAGGCTGTCAGGACCCGGTGGCCGTCTGATCCCCAGTCAAGGCCGTAGATGGGCTTGATGTGCCCGTCCAGATGGCCGTCTAGTATCATCACGGTGCGGCCTGAACGCAAATCCCAGATACGCCCGATGCTGTCCAACCCTGCGCTGGCCAGCAAGGACCCGTCAGTGCTGAAGCTGACGGCATATACTCCGCGCGAGTGGCCCTCCTGAAGGAGCAGCTCTGTCGCTGTTTCCACGTCCCATAATCTCCACGACGTATCCTCTGAGGCGGATGCCAGATATTTCCCGGATGGATGAAACTCGACGCGGCAGACTCGCTGAGCGTGTCCGGAGAGGGTAGAGAGAGGCGTATCCTGGGTTAAAGACCACAGGTGGATTTGGCCCTCCGCTCCTCCTGAGGCCAGATTCACCGCGTTCTCCGACACGTTGCTTCCGTCCAAGGTAGCGTCGGGCATCCAAGCAATGCCGCTAATCTTGTTTGTATGGCCTCTTAATAGCCGCCTCTGCTCTAGGCTGGGGATATCAATAAGTTTAACCTGGCCGCCCCAGTTACCCGTTGCCACCATCTTCCCGTTCGGCGAAATCCTTGTCATGCTGACATGCCGGTCTCCCGCGGCTTGACTGCCCTGGAGCTCGTAGGTCTGGAGGCGCTCCTTAATTTCCTTCCGGAACTTGACATGGGTGCGTAAAGGTATGCTGGCTTCCTTTTTCTGGAACTCGATGCGCCGTTTCGCCCGAGGGATTGAATAGTGGGCAATGTCTATCCTGGCCTGGAGGAGCTCGTCTGTCCCCTTGGAGTAGAATTCCTCCTCTTGCTCCTCAGCTTCCTCCTCTTCTGACTTTTCAGCGTCTTTCATTTCTACATCGGCGCTCTCCTGGCGGGCGGCTTGTTGTGCCTGCTCTGTGAGGAGCTCCCGCAGCCTGTCACGCCTGTCGGCCGGGCCCTCGCCGAAGAGCGTGACGGGCTCGCCGAGCTCTCGAAGTTTGGCTCGTACCCGTCCATCATCGGTAGGAACAGCGATAGACGCTGCTAGCCTTTTTCGTTCGAATTGGGATAGGAGAGCTGAGGCTTTCTCTGACGCGATGCCGGCGCCGGCGCCGGGAACGTCATAATCGCGATCAATCGCTGGATGACGAGTTAGCAGGCCGTTGAACATGTCCATGTCTCAAGACCAAAACCTACGGATGGAATCCAGGTCAATTCCGCCGCGCTCCTACACGCACCAACGGGTTAGCGGTGCTAGGACAATCCGTGGCAGCAGTTTGCAAGCGTACCTCTGCTTCAGCCTCCTCAACATACGCCCTACGCGATGGGTGCATCATATTTGCAAGTCGGAGGGCAGTCGTTGTCGAGGTATTTACAGAAGGTGCACCCAATTGGAATTCTCAGTCCTATCTCGTTTGTCGGTTATCGAAAAGCTGTGGTGGGACCAGCTTTGCTTCCTAAACGACAGCAAAAGCTGTGATGCCGTAATTCTAACCTTGAGGTTCACTGACGTTATCTTATCGACCAGCTTCATTTGGGGTACCGGTAGACCCCAGGTGCTGCCAGCTGCCAGCATCTAGCGGCCGACCTCGGCCAAGCGGGGTAACGTACCCAGAACTTCCAGCCTTCCAAACATCTGATGACCCGGCAGTCACCTTCGTTGATTGGAACATGCATTTTGGTTTTGAGAGGACATGTACGCCCTGGATATATTGTTGTACATACCGCACAGCAACTTCAAGTCCTATGACACTCCGGCAGGGCAGTAACTGCCCACAAGGCAACCATTCGAGTTCTCGACCTCGACGTCCAATTGTTGAGAATCTGACCGGGCCAAGCCACCTCCTTCCGACCACGGCCCGTTTACAAGTGTACGCCCTGTTGACGAGGAATTGCCAGTAGAGCAATGCATGGTTCTTGTGCCAAGGCACCGGCCATCCGAAGTATCCGAAAGCGGGGGTCACTTAGGACTCGGATACGAGTTGTATTCGGTTCTGTCAGTCGCCAGCCGGAAAATGTAGCCTCTCCGGGAAACTGGAGTCAAAGGCGGCTCTACGGCCCGGGTGGGTCTCCGGATCGGATCCGATAGAGCACCGGACAGGGCGTCATGATTGGTAAGGTGAGGTAGGTACTAGCTGGCGCTAGTAGAGAGCCATGTTTCCGAGAAGTCTCGACCCCCCAAACTTCTAGAAGCTCCAGTCCCTTGACTATTCACACACCGACTTTTTTCTCGACATATCACTCCAGAGTTTTCAACTGGTTTAATACATATGGGTGAACAAGCGTCTCACCATCCCCCGGATATCCCATTCCTTCAACATTCTCGCCGTGCCAGCAGCACTTTGAATCAACAGACACCATGGACCGGCCCAGCAACAGTGAACTCACCAAGGGCAACGAGCCCCCAGTAGTCGGAGGGGACAGCCACGATGCCATTGTTACAAGACTCGCCAACGAGGACAAAGTGCCTTGGTACCGCAAGCCGAATCTGCGCCATCTCTACTTCATGCTTATCCCAACCTGCATGGGCATCCAGATGACTTCGGGCTTCCACTCACAAATGGTCAATGCTATGCAGATTCTGCCCTCGTGGATCAGCTGTAAGGTCAAACCTGTCGTGGCTAGGTACTAGGCGATTTCCCTGTGACTGACAAGCACCCTGCTGCTATGTTGTAGTCTTCGGAAATCCCCAAAGCACCCTCAAGGGAATTATCGCAGCCGCTTACCCTCTCGGTGCCATTTTCTCCCTTCCCCTGATACCCGTCATCAATGATCGGCTTGGACGACGATGGGCAATCTTCCTCGGCTCCTCTGTCTTGGTTGCTGGGTCCTTAATACAGGGTTTCGCCAACAACGGTAGGTACTGGCAGTCTGGCACACACTCATGAAGTCCATGTCGACGACAAGGAACTAACGAAACAAAACAACGCAAAGTCGGTGCATATATTGCCGCTCGTCTAATCCTAGGCTTCGGCATTCCACCCTGCATAGTATCAGGCTCCTCTTTAATTGGTGAACTGGGGTATCCAAACGTATGTACTACTTGTATTGTATTGTGCCTACGAGACGGCGGGCCAAACAGTCATCATGTTGCTTCTCAGGGAGTCAGGGGCTGACATATCAATGAATGTTGAACGTCTATAGGAACGAGCCGTCCTGACATCGCTTTTCAGCGTTTCGTTCTTTATTGGCCAGATCACAGCAGCCGGAATATGCTTTGGTACCAATGGCATACTGACCGACTGGGGCTGGCGAGTCCCCTCGCTGCTACAGATTGTGTGTCCGTTGCTCCAACTCATCTTCGTCTTCTTCCTCCCGGAGAGCCCGCGCTGGCTTGTCGCCAAGGACCGTAGCGACGAAGCTCATCAGATCCTGCGAAAGTACCACGCCGAGGGCAGGGACTCTCAGTTCGTCAGGGCCGAAATGGCCCAGATCCAATCGACACTGCGTATCGAGATGCGAACCTCGAGGACGTCGTGGCTTGACCTTGCAGCAACGGCTGGCATGCGGAAACGCCTGCTCACCACGTGCATGCTGGGTCTGTTTGCGCAGTGGTCTGGCTCCACGCTCCTCTCATACTACCTGGGAGACCTTTTACAGATCATTGGCCGGGATTCGTCTCACTTCAAGCAGACCATCAATGTCACTCTCTCATGCTGGTCCTTGGTTTGCTCCTTCACAGCCTCCATGTTCGTTCGTCGGTTTAAGCGCCGTCACATGTACCTCGCTTGTACGGCGAGTCTGCTCGTCGTTTTCACCGGGTATACCATCAGTATGGAGAGAGCCATCACGGCAAGGGAGTCTGGCCAGATAAACAATGCCGCTGGGACCGCGAGCATCTTTTTTATCTACGCCTACGCTCCCTGCTACTGCTTGGCGCTCAATACCCTCACGTACAGTAGGGATCCCTGACTTTCGGGTCCCAGTCGCCCTGTCTTCACGTTTTGCGCCTATGCAGTGCTAATAGTGGTCTGGTATCTAGCATTCCTCGTCGAGCTTTGGCCATACACCGAGCGCTCCCATGGCATTTCGGTCTTTCAGCTGTTCTCGCGAAGTGCCGAGTTCTTTACTACCTTTGTCAATCCCATCGGCCTCAACAACATCGGTTGGAGATTTCTTATAACATACTGTTGCTTTCTGGCGTTCGAAGTATACTTTGTTTATTTCCACTTCCCAGAGACGTCCGGCAAGACACTTGAAGAGGCAACATTTTGTAAGTCAAAGAAGCGCCCACTTACAAATAGCAAACTCGTGCCTGGGTGGCTGACATTCGGTACTGTAGTATTCGAAGACGAAAAGGCTGCCGAAGTACAGGCGATCATGGCGGTTGAGAATTCAATTGCGCATGAGATGGTACCAGGGGGCTCGCGGGGACCGGGGCCACAGCGTCGAGGCCAAAGGCTGTATGTTTAGTATAGGACCACTTTGGCTGCATAGGGGTAGGGCATTGGTCACATATACTGTTACTGTATATTGGTCTCTAGATGTCTTATCCAACTAGCAACGGGAGCAGGCTACACGACGGGAGGGAGATTTAGTTTGACTGAAGGTGTTCTTCAGCTTCTCAGGGCATGGGCCCGGGCCGCTTGGCTAAGAGTCTGAATCTTTAAGGTATCCAGGCACTCATGGTCTAATGTGAAAGACAAGCACACCTAACGCCGGATAAGCCTTGGCTCGCGATATGAAGGCACTTACTACCTGGGCATTTGTGCTTGGGGCAAGTTCTGAGGGCCTTTGACTGAGTTGAAAGGTCGAGTCTAGGATGTCTTTCTTCCCTTGTCGGGCAGTTCTTCTTCCTTGAAGCAATCAACATCCAAACATCAGCGGCTTCACGCTACTTGCTTTCGAATTCTGTCTTCGGTAGGGAAGTCCGTATTGTCGATAACGCCCGAAGACCAAAATCGTTTCCCATCACTTTGTTTCCACCTTCTAGGGGGGTAACCCTAAACCTATTGTCGAAGATACCTCCAGAATCACGAAACCCCCCAGGTTGTAGAGAACGATAATCCACCCAACATGCTCGAGACATGTCTCGGTGAGATTGTGGATAAGGAGAAGTAAGTCCTCTTTCCGTCTCATTGGGTATATATAGAGTTCCTTCAATCCCTAGGCCGCTTGCTGGCCGCTCAGACGGCGCAGTAACGTTGCAACTGGTGTAACTAAAACAGCATGCAAGTCTGTGCGACCTCGATCTCAGCCCTATTTGAATGGACTTTGAAGTCAAGGTTGGTACCATCAAATGCCTCAGGGTTGCAGGCTGGTAACTGGATATTCCAATTGAAGACTTGTAAGTGCCTCAAATGAACTACCTGAAGCCTTCTCAACGTTAATATGCCTCGATTAGTAACGGTGGACTCCGGCCCGACCCCTAACCATGTTTAGGTTTCCCCGGATCTGAAGCCTGGAACCATTCCAGGCGCCAAAACAATGCTGATTGGGGCTGAGATCGATCCGCTCAAAGGTGATCCCGATGCCCCGTGTCCCGCCTGCAGCCAATGAAGTAGTTACGAATTTTTTTTTTAGGTGTGACAATGGGGAATCTGTGCTGGCCATGTGAACGCACTTTGGAGGAATAAAACCATCTCACGGCCGCCCACTTCACTTTCCCTAGAACCTGTTTCAATACCAAAATAACCTCACCACCGACTTAGACACAACCAAGCACCACTCAATGCAGATCGAGACAAGCAAGCAAGACAACTCCACTTCTTTCTTCAAACACCAGATGCGTGCGATTCCAAGCCATCAGGGACTGAGCAAAAATACCGAAAGGCGCGCCGACGCAGGCCGACGTCGTGGAAAGGCCCGGGCGTGAACGCCAGAACCAGACTGGCGAATGCTTGCACCTTGAACAGACACGAAATCGCACATTGACTGGTTAGGTACTTTGTGCTTTCGGTTCCTCGTTTTCGAATCCCACTGGTACGCAAGTACGCATCTACAAGGATTGCAGCATTAACGCCGCAAAGAGGGAATCATGTTTGCGCCGGCAGACCGCGCACTGAACACGGTGCGCGGTTTCAACGGGACTCCGGTGGCCTCAGGCGACGAGGATTCCGACTGCTGCCCCACGCCGGGCTACAAGAGCCCTGTCAAGCGAGCCAAGAAGCCCCACATCATCAAGGACGTCGTGAGCGAAAACTGCAGTCCCGTTCTGAAGCCCGTCGCCTCTCCACCGGGCGTCGGTGGCATCGCCCGCCTGCGGATGCAGCTGGATGCGCTGAGCCTCACCACTGATCCCAGCGCCACCGCTCCCTCGTCTCGCACCACCTCCTTGACCCGCTCCGAGAGCCTCCGCTCCCCTCCGGCTAGCGACACCACGACCAGCAGCGGACGCAAAGACAGTCGCGAGAGTGGGCGCAACGCCGCTGGTTACAAGAGCGGCAGCGGCAGCGGCAGCGGCAGCAACACCGACGATGAGTCGGCATCCGTCGGGTGCACTCGCTATGAAATCAACTTGGAAAGCGATTTCGCAAGCGAAGCTGATGGCCAGGGCAGAGGCAATCTTATCGGCGCCCTGGAGGACGCTTCTTCTCCGCCCCGCAAGATGACGGCGGCCGATTTTGAGCCCCTCCGGTGCCTGGGCAAGGGCACGTTTGGGACCGTCTTGCTGGTCAAGCAGCGTTCGACCGGCCGGCTGTATGCCCAGAAGCAGTTCAAAAAGGCCTCCCTGATCGTGGGCAAGAAGCTGGTCGAGCAGACCAAGACAGAGCGACAGATCCTCGAGAGCGTGAATAGGCACCCGTTCGTGGTCAAGCTCTACTATGCCTTCCAAGATCAGGAGAAGCTCTACTTGATCCTCGAGTACGGCCAAGGCGGCGAGCTCTTCACGCACCTCAACACTGAGAAAATGTTCCCCGAGCCGACGGCTGCCTTCTACATGGCCGAGATGGTCTTGGCCCTTACCCACCTGCACGACAACCTCGGCGTCGTCTACCGGGATCTCAAGCCCGAAAACTGCCTGCTCGACGCCGAGGGCCACCTCCTCCTAACCGACTTTGGCCTGTCCAAGGTAGCCGTCGACCCGGACGCATGCAACTCGATGCTCGGCACGGTCGAGTACATGGCTCCCGAAGTAATCCAAGGCAAAAAATACGGCAAAGCCGTCGACTGGTGGTCGCTCGGGGCGCTGGGGTTCGATCTCATGACAGGCACGGCGCCGTTCCGGGGCCCCAACCACGCCAAGATCCAGGACAACATTGTGCGGCAGAAGCTCGTGCTGCCCTACTTCCTCAGCGCCGACGCCAAGGACCTGCTCACGCGCCTGCTGCGCAAGGACCCGACCAAGCGGCTCGGCTACAACATGCCCAAGGACCTGGCGGCCATCAAGAAGCATCGCTTTTTTCGCAAGATCGACTGGGCCAAGCTGGCCGCGCGAGAGCTGGAGCCCCCCATCCAGCCGCTCATCACCGACCCGGAGCTGGCAGAGAATTTTGCGCCCGAGTTTACTGAGCTTAGTCTCAGCCCTGTTGTGTCGCGATTTGATGATGTTGACGGGCCGTGGGCCGCTGCCGGCGCCGGCTCGGCTAGAGACGCCTCTGCTACCAACAAGGACGATCCGTTTGGGGGTTTCAGCTTTGTTGCCTCGAGGAGCTTGCTGGAGGGCCACGGATTTGATATGCCGGTTTAGGATGCCGCGTTGCACACGTGGAGGCTCAGAGGTTGAATGGGGAGCTGTGGCAGAGGGTTGTTTAGAGCCGAGGCAGGCTGTTTTGCTTGGAAACAAAAGGATAGCGTTGCTTTTCAAGAATAGGGAGGATGCTATGGGCACTACAGGGACTACTACACTACACTATACTTTTTCGATGGCGTTCAGAAGGGGCTGGTTTGACGGACGGTAGCAAAACGGAACTTTTTTTTCTTATTCGAAGAGAGGCGTCAGTTACAGGCGGCTTCCATTGCTTGCCGCGGCTAACGCACGTAATTCGAGTTTGCAGATTCTAGTTGCCTGACACGACTTCTTGTGATGCTTGGTATACTGTATACCCCTCGGCGGTGAATCATGGGACGGGAGTTTGGGAAGCGGTTCCAAGCTGGGGTGCCGACTAGGTAGGTATATACCTGGTCCTTCGTCTGATAGGGCTGCGTATAGTCGGCAGTTCTTTCGGCTTCTAGCCTCATTCCTGAGCAGCAGGGCAGCAGACGCTGAGTTGTTGTCTCCCTGGGTGGATGGTTTTACGGATGTTTGTGGATAACGCAACTCGCTAGGCTAGGTACCTTAAGACAAGTACTTGATTGCACAGTTGGCCGATCTTACGCCATATGGGAAGATTTTTCCATTGAAGTTTGGGTGCATTCTCATGCCTACCATAGTGTAGAGTCAGAATGCATGTTTCGGTCTTACACAGTAGACACATCCCAGTGGCCAGAGGCTGGAAAGTTCAGCAAAGTGACAAGTTCGTTGGTTTTAGACGGACGACCGAATGACTGAGCGGAACAAGACTCATGGACTAATTATCAACCGGCCGGCTAGACAGCGGTCAGGCACCAACCAACCGGCAATTTGCCGTTGGTCATCAAGCGGTCGCTTCCTGTTTTTTGCAAGGCTTGCTTCTTCTGACGAAGGAATGGGAAAGCAGGCTGCGTGCTGTCCACAGGATACCTATGTGACAGGACCTGACATCGCCCCGGACTTTCTGGGCGGACTTTGATGATGACGCGTACCCGGCCAAGGAGACAGCTTGGCGCTTCCTCAGCACCGCACCACTGACCATAGTTACATGCAGACGGACGGAAGACCCCACCGGTGACAGATACTGTAGGTACAGTACTTGTAAGCGATCCGGGATCTTGTTATCAAATAACCTTCCACAGGAAGGATGGCAGATTTTACTCCGATGTGGATTCCATCACCTTACCATGAAACAGGTTCTACGCCGTCCAGTCGCCAAAAGTACCCGGCAAGGTACTGTATGTGTGCGGCGGGAAGGGACTCTGTGCACTCTGGAAAGGACGGGGTGTGGGGGGATCCCGCAGTTCGTTCAATGGACCTCGATCAGTCATCAGTGTGTTCGAGATGCATGCGGCACCGATTGGACCTCGTCCAAAGCCAAGAGGAATCTACGCCCCGAAATCCTTCCCCGGTGGTGCGGCGCCGAGCCTCTTACTCACGGCTGACACACAGCATCTCCCCAGCAAACCGTTGGGCACAAGGAGGTATATCTGTCGGTACGTATAGCAGTCAGCGACAGCCTCAAGTTACCAACTATCGAGACGAGACGGTCAGATAGCGCCAAGATAGACTCGTCATGGTGGAGGAGTGGGCCGTCTGCAAGGCGACTTTGCCGAGACGGGATCTCTAAGCTAGTGAACTTGGGATTGATAGACTATTGGGATGAACTGTTTCATAATCCACTACCGGTACTGGAACTGGTAGGACACCCATAGCATCACTGCAGATTCATCAGATGGTCGGACATGGTGGATTGGGGAGCAGTTCCTTCGTGGATCCAGATTCCAGAACGGGGGTCTCGGCATTCGATCGTCACGAGAAAAATGCCTTTGCATTAGTGCGCAAAGTCAGCAATGGTTTCTTCACAGTTACGGAACTCGAAATAACCGATTGATGACTCCGTAGTTGAACTGCAGTACAAACATACTTCGCAGTACTCAACAGAGTGCCCATCACGCAGTGATGTATCCGTATCTCCGTACAGATGCTGTGTGTAACGGTCAAAATATCCGTCATGTCCAGGCACGCAAGGCTTGCCGCAACGCAGGGGAGCCACGGCATTCACACGCGCGCTAAGCCTGACCCGGCTTAGGACCCGCCCTGGAGCTGAACCCGAAGGCTTGGGTTTTGGCTAGGCCCACCTTCGGGTGATGCCCTGATTCCCCGCTGGTGTCCGTATCTTGCTCAGCCCGCCCTCTGGGCATCACGTCAGCCTCAACAGCTAACTAGCATTAGGCTCTAGTGTATATGCTCGAGGTGACAAGTGTGTGCAGGGCAAGTAGAGAATAAACGTCAACGTTTGGGATATCACTGTCGGTGGAAAAAGCCCCGACGTCCCGTCATGGATTGATCTCCCGATAAGCGGCTGCACGCCCGACTGGCACTTGATCGAGGGATCAGGGCTGGGCCGCTGGGGGCAACGTGGACTGTGGCTGTGTCAGATGGAATTGATGAAGCCCGATAGGTCCGTACAATGATATGATCGATTTGCCAAGAAACATGGCGCTGTGAAACGCGCCCAAAAAACAATCCCCCGAACTCTGCATGGCGACACAGCCAAGTGCAAGAAGTGACACCGCCGAACAAGCAAGTCTTGCCGGAAAAGATGTGGCCCGTTTTGCCAAGAAGGGACGTCTCATCAGTCGGTGTACTGTAAACTGTGAGATGTGTTGGCATGGCGTCTTGGTCCTGAAAGCTGAAGCCACTCATCCATTTCATCCCCGTCGTCTATCTGCAGGGTACATTTGTTAGCACACCTGTCTTTCGTGAGCCTTGTAGAGGACAGGGCTGAGAAGGGCGAACCGTATAAGGTCCCCGGCGTCCGCGTCCCTCTTCCTGCGCCTATTGCCGTCGGCAGTCTATTTTTTCACCCATACGCTGAAGACTCCCTTTGTTTCTTTGAGCTCCGAGTCATTTCAGCCCCTACACGTATATAATCTTGCCCGCATTCCCCAGTTGTGTCCGGAGGCGGCGTATGTACATCGCTTAGCGGCGTGCCACATAGTCCTGCCAAATCTTGAGGCGGCAGTCCGTGCGGTATAGCTGATAGCTGGAGCTTGTTTAAATATAGCTGAGCCGGACTCATAGCGAGTCTCATGCGAACCTTCGTCCTCAGGTTTGGCTAAGTGGTCTGCCTCCGTGCGCCGCTGTTTCGTTCAACTTTATCAAAGTCTTGCGCAATCGATCGGCAGCCGTTCTAGAGAGACAATGAAGACCGTTACAAGTCGGTCAGTTTTGGCTACCGCCTTGTTTGGTAAGTGTATTCCACATCAAGCTGATCAACCCGCAGTGTCGAGTCGGCCATCAGCATGTGACATGGCCGAAAGGTTAGCTAACGTCTTGCTCCGCAATCGCAGCCGCGGGTCTTGCGTCCAGCGCGGTTATAGGGACTTGCCCAGACGGTGCCGGAGGAGGGGTCTGCTATAATATTGCCGTGCCAACGTCGTCGGCGAATGCAGGGTCCGGGAACATCTACTTCCAGATCATAGCGTCGACAGATTTCCAATGGGTGGCATTGGGTACCGGCTCGGGCATGGCGGGCTCCAACATCTTCCTCATGTACCAGGACGGAAACGGGAACCTGACGCTGTCGCCTCGTGTGGCCACTTCGTACAGAATGCCAACTCTCGACACGAGCAGCACCGCAGCACAGCTGACGCTCCTAGCTGGCAGCGGAGTCTCAGACGGTGTAATGACGGCCAACATCGCATGCTCCAACTGTCAGACATGGAGCGGCGGACAAATGTCTCTGTCAGACACCAACGCGCCTTGGATAGGAGCCTGGAGGCGGGGGTCATCGCTGGCGACAACCAACAGGGCCGCCAACATCGCCCAACATGACGGCCATACGCAGTTCCAGGTCGATCTGACGCGCGCTACCATTGATTCCGACAGCAACCCGTTCGTCGAGGCCGGTAACTCGGGAAGCGGGAACAATAGCGGTGGCGGTAGTAGTGGCGGCGGTGGAGACAGCAACGGCGGCAACAGTAACGGCAGCAATTCCGGTTCCGGCTCTACCATCGGCTCCGGTACGAATTCCGGTTCGGGCAACAGCGGCATCGTCCAAGTCACTCCAGGCAAGGCGACGATCTTGGTGGCGCACGGAGTCATCATGGCGATAGTCATGGCCGTTCTCTATCCCCTGGGCTCGTTGTTGATGCCGCTGCTAGGGAAGTGGTGGCTGCATGCCGCCTGGCAGCTTACTGCTTTCTGTCTCATGTGGGCGGGTTTTGGCCTGGGAATCCAAACGGCCCAAGTCCGGGGCATGGTAGGCGATCCCAAGTCTTTATCGTCCGAGCAGCAACTGACCATCATCCAGCTCTTCAACCAGACGCACACTATCCTCGGGACCGTTGTCATCTGCCTGCTGGCGATTCAACCTGCGCTCGGCTATTTGCACCATCGACACTACCTTAAGACGCACGGCCGAGGCGTTATCAGCTATGCGCATATCTGGTGGGGCCGCATCTTGATGATCCTGGGTGTCATTAACGGCGGTTCTGGCCTGCAACTGTCGAGGGAGCGCGACTCACTGATCATCGCCTACAGCGTGGTTGCTGGTGTCATTTTCCTGGCCTATTTCTTGTTCAAGGGCTGGGCCGTCTTCTTCCGGAACAACAAGGCTGGCGATGCATCGCCCAAAGTGGAAAACCCACCGAGGCGGCCGTACCAGGAGTCGAGGAGACAAGGGGAGCGGTATGTTTAAACTTTGAAGTACAAATGATGGGCTGCAGACGATATCCTTTCAGCATTCTTTTCAGGATAAAAGATAGAGTTGCTTTTGAAACTTGAATGCCATGAATTTGTCACGGTTGTATGATTTTTGATCGTGTTATGGTGAGGAGTTTTGGGAAAGATCCAATGGTGAATGGTCTCATGTATATGTACCTTAGTGTAATGGGTTCCGTGAACCGAATCGAGTTGCGCCTTCCCATGACGACACCAGAGTTCATCTGACAAATAACCGCATCAAGTTTCACGCTGTATGTTAATGGGTATCCGTTTTTGAGCTCTCCGAATAAGCTAATAAGGAAAGCTGTCAGTACCGGTAGCTTCATGTCTGCTTGACAATTGACAGATAAATCACGTGACTCACAGCTACCGATCTCTCCCGAATGTTCGGTGTGCACGGTCCAGCTGAAGCAAACCACCAAAGGTGACCTCTGCACGACATTGAGCCGCGGGCATTTTGAAAACCTCTCAGCACAGGACCTCCACCTTGTCCATCTCGTAGCAGCAGCTGAACCTGCTACTCGTCTTTCTCGGACTTCAGGCGTGATTGAATTGCTCCGCAGCACATCACACCAAAATGTTTTCTCGGGCTTCGGTACGTTGCCATCGACACTCGACAACTTCTTTTCGACGTTCTCTGCCCCATTGATCCGAATGCGATTGGACATCCTCAGAGAGCACAAAGCTAATTGTCTCGATGTCACCAGAGCGCTCGCAAGGCCGTCGCGGCTGTTTCTAGACTAGCGACCCGAAATGCCGTTCCAATGAGGACTTTCATGGCCCCGACCGTCTCGCGGAGAGGTACGTTCAACGGCCCTTTCAGCAGTACACCCTAGTTTGGAACTCCGGTCGCGCGGGAGAATCGAGGGGGGATCACACGGGCCATCACCGGAGTCAATTGCACAAATCCTGGCTCGGCCATGCCATCAACACAAATATCTCCATCCATCCATCACATCTGCACCATCTCCTCTCGCCCAGCGAACGAACACGAACCCACTTCCCTTCCATGTCATGATGACATGACGCGCTCTCACAACCCCCACCCTCACCCTCTCTACCACACTTCCTCCCTCACCCTTCACTACCACCCGAACCTGCTATCCACCAAACCCAGCTCATGCTAACCCCCAACCCCAATGACAGCCGACTTCGTCCAAGAGCTCTACCTCAAGGAGCTAAAAGCATACAAGCCAACACCAATCAAGGACTCGGACGCGGTCGGCCAGGTCGCCACCTTCTCCCTGCCCAAGGCGCCCAAGTCGCCCGAGGAGGCCGACCTGGCCTCGAGCCTGAAGGAGTACGAAAACATGGCGGTCGAGGTCGAGGGCCAGGAAGGGGCCGACGCCGCTGCCGGCGGCAAGCCCGCCGCCGTCCTTGAGGATTGGCTTGAGGAGGAGGAGGAAGAGGAGGCGCACCATTAAATGTTCTGTCTCATTCTTCTGTCGTTTGAGGATGATGGTGAATGGAGAGAAGGAAGATCTGACTGTTAGTGGTTGCGGTGGTCCTGTGGTAGAGGCGGTGATAAAGGGTTGGTGCTGAGCTGAGGGAGTGAGAGGATGGGACGAGTGGCTGGTGGTTGGTAGCTGAGGCCTAAGGGATAGTCATTGCCACTATTGCCCACAGGACTGCTATCAAACTGGCCTTTGGTCTCTCAGGTCAGGAAGCAGAGAGTCCTTAGAGGGGTAGAGAGCGGATTGGGGAGAAAAAAGGTACCATTCCTCTGCAGTGCTGGGTTGAGCACGAGGCATCTCCTACGGATGAGAAAACGTGGAGATTCCTGAGCAGGGAAACCCCGTGTACATTGTTCTTTAGCCTTGTTATAACATCACACCCATCAACCGTCGGATGTGCAGGCTTTGCAGAGTGTGTGACCTCTTGAAGTGCTATCGATGCTCTGTGTGTACCTGGCTTGTTTAGTAGACATGCCATAGTCGTGATCACGAAGATAGCAGACAGGGAGGAGTTTCAGACTATCCTCCAAAAGGCCTGTATTGGACAATGATAGGTACCTAGTCACTGTCGTCAGTCCACATGAACAAATAGATAGGTGCGATATGATTTTCATGCTGGCATTAAGCATCTATGAGGTAGCAGCCCTTCATCGCCCTCCACAGCCTTCTCGTCTAAGGTGATCTTGTCAGGAGATACTACCATAGGTATCTAGTATTTGACCCCGACAAGTTACCAAAGGCTAGGTGCCTGGTAGTTAGCAATGTCTGAATGGCTTCCCCAGACATGAAGGAAAAGGCAAGATTGTTGGCACGACATGGTCGACGTGGGTCAGGCCGACGCCTCATCACCATATATCCTGCAGACTTGCCCCGTGTCTTTCTCTGCAGTCGTCAGGGAAGGTTAGCCCGTTCTTCAAGCGCAATCTCGGGCCCTCATCCAGACAGGCAACATGTCGCAGCAGAAGCCATCATTGTTTACGATGATGCCAAATCATTATTACCCATTGAGTCCATTGCCCAAAACGCCCCGCGAGTGTGCTCCCAGTCAACCAAACATCCCAATGCCAATGTGACCGCCTGAAATGCATTATGCTATGGTGTTTCGTCGAGTCATCAACACTGAGCCCCTTTTACTTGTTATTCTGCACCATCCCAGCCAGGGAAAAATGAGCGAGAAGAGCGCACTCCATCACTCAAACCAGTGGCCTTGCAGACTGGTAGCGTGGGCCAGAGGCCGGTTTTTACATGTCAAAATTAGAGGCGCCGAACATTTGTTCATCGTTGCCGCCCCCCTTGACAATGCCACTCATCCGATTGGCGCTCCGAGAGTCCGGATCGGTGAGGTCATCCCAGTCATCGTCCTTCTTGCGATCGACGTCATCCATTTCTTCGTCCTCGTACTTGCCGTAGCGGTCCTTCATGTGGTCCTCGAGAGCGCTCTCATCGACAAAGGTGAAGCCCTGAAAGTTGGCCTGCACTGAAGGCGAGAGCGGCGTGGATGTCGCATAGCCCTTAGCCAGCGCTGCTGCACGCTCGTTTAGCGACCCATTGGTGTTGAGCGCGTTGGTGAATTCGGGATCAAAGTAGGAGACATCTGTATCGTTCTTCAATTGCGGCTTGAAGGGTGGTGTGATCAGTTTCTTCGAAAGCGCATCCCAGTCAATGTCCGCAAAGAAGGCGTGCCGCTTGAGCTCCTCCGCATCGTCCGTGGCACCAAGGCGATGCTTTGGATTCCTGTTAAGCAACCCTTTCACAAAGTTCCTCCCTTCCAAGGACAATGTGTCCCGAGGAAACCTAACCTTCCCGAAAGCGATATTCTTGTACATCTGCTGTGTATCCTCGGCGTAGAAGGGGCTCCAGCCACAACACATCTCAAAGACCAGAACACCCAAGGACCAGAAGTCAACCATCTTGGTATAACCACTCTCGTCCAGGAGCACCTCAGGTGCCAAGTATTCAGTCGTGCCACAGAATGTGTTGGTGGTATCGTTTTTGGTCAGATTCGCCTTGGATAATCCAAAATCACACAGCGCGATGTGTCCGTTCGCGTCCAGCAGGATATTCTCGGGCTTCAGGTCGCGATAGACAATGTCGTTCTCGTGCAGATGTTGAATGGCAAGGATGAGCTCAGCGATATAGAACTTCGCACGCTTCTCCTCGAACTTGCCATCCTTTTGCAGGTGCCAAAACAGTTCTCCGCCCGACATGTAGTCGGTCACCAGGTAAAGGTCCGAGAGTGTCTGGAAAGAGAACTTGAGACCGACAATAAAGGGGGAATCTGCCATGGCCGTGCGGACCAGAATGTTGCGCTCGCCAACAGTGTGCGCCACCTCTTTCTTCTGCACAATGACTTTCTTTGACAGCACTTTCATGGCGTAGATGCGCCCGGTGTCCTTCTTCCGCACCTGGTACACCTGGCCAAACGTGCCTTTTCCAATGAGTCGCAGAATTTGGAAGTCGTCAGGACCAAAATGCTTCTGCTCGGCACGTTGATAGAATGCCTCGACATAAATTTCGCCCGTAGGTGCGTTCTCAGCCATGGTATCGGCATGTCCCTTTAGGGGGAACCAGCCTCGGATAGGCCCCTCTCTCTCTGAAGGCTTGGCTTGAAAATCGACATGGCCGAGAAACTCCTCTCCAGACTGACCGCGACCGTAAACAGAGATATCCACGAGCATGTCCGAATCAACAACATCGCTGCGAGCACGTCAATACCATATTCGGTAAGAATCCAGGAACAGAGCACTTACAAGAGGGCTTCAGCGTCCCACTTTGGATTAGTAAATGATCGGCGTGAGCTAGAGTTGCGGTTCCGGAATGTGTTGAACTCGGTGACGCTGGTGTTGCTGCTCTGCCGGCTCCGCATTGGAATAGCCATTGGCCTGCCGGAATCGCTCCCTTGGCGCTGAATCGGAATACCACCCGTAGCGACGGTAGGGGCGGCGTCGTCGTCCTCATCCTCCTCAACACGAGGCCCGGCAGAAATGAGCTCGCTCCGTTGGAACACTACAACCACGTAGGGGTCACGACATCTCCTTAGGCCCCTGGCTTCCGAAATCTTGATGGTGAGCTTTCCCTTTGCGGCCGGCGCTCGGGCTCCGGGTGGGGTCGGGGTGTGCGTCGCCGTCCGGTCAATCCTGTCGCCGTTTCCTTGCTTCGCCTCGTCCTGTCCCTCGGGGTGAGATTTCGAAAGCGCCCGAGTCGGGGTAGATGCACCGCTCTTTTTTACCGACAAATCTGTTAGCTTCTTGAGGTGTATCATAGAGGCTGACTGGTATGAAATATCGCCCTCGCCAGCAGGAGAATTGACACAGCTGGACTGTCCACGCCTTGGGGAGCTTGGCACAGTAGAGGCGCGGCCGGCAGGGTTTGAGAGGTGACTGGCAGATACGCTTGATTCATCAAGAGTGGTAGTCAGAGGCGCCAACAGAGACATTCTCCTCGGGTTGCCTTTCGTGAAGTCGGAAACACTCAGATGACGTAAGCTGACTGGTCGGGAGGCCGGAGGAGTGTTGCCCTTCACCTGCTGGCCGCGAGAGTCTGAAGACGAATTTCGCAGCGAAGGCGGTCGGGACAGTGGAGGGCTCGGATACGGGTGAAGTTGACCGGCGTCCCGAGGCAATGTCTCGTTGGCAGGTCCCATCATCTCATGGGCCAGGAGAGGAGGACCTTCATCTGACGAACCAGGATCTGAGTCCGGCTCAACGGGGGTGAGTGGCAGCTCAGCCGGGTGCACCGCCTGTGAGTGGACCTCGGTCCCAGACCCAGAGTGTTTCGGCACAACCGCGGCTTGTTCATTCGCTCTTAAGGAACCAGACAACAGTCTCTGAAAAGAGCTTGCACGAACCTGGTTGAAGTAGCTCATGATGCCAGGGAGCCGTCTGTCATGAAGGTCTGGCTGCGGAGTCGCAACGCCAGAACGAGGCGAATCAAAACCGATTTGATCCACCCCATCATCTTCTGCCGCAGCAGACCTGCTGCGCTGGTTAACACCCTCCATCGCGACGTTGAGCTATTTTTGTGGTGCTCGGAAGAAGCAGGAAGCGGAAAAACGGTGCCGGGTCGGAAGTGAGATGAGGGGGAAGACAGCAAAGGACGGGAAAGAACAGATAATGATACGGTTGTGGCCGTGGAGCAAGGTTTGCTAGCTCATGACGACTTGTTTAAAAATTGCCAGGGAGGCAGGATTTCCAACTTCCAAGGAGCTGAGTTGGTTTGGGAGAGAAAGGGCGGGATGATACTTCTATGACAGAGAGGAAGAAAGTGGAAATTTCTGTCAAATAGGGAATCGCCCCAGAGAATGGTCTCATTCGGCAGACGGGCCCAGATGGAGCGAGGAGGGGCACCCTGGTGCAAGAAAACAATGCTAACTCGTTGACTGCAGGGCAAGGGGAAAAACCACCCTTCTGGCCGAGGGGTGTTTTTTCCTCTCTTTTTCCTCAGGTTCAGGGCGCGCACAGCAATGCATCCTTGATGCTTGCCATGTGGTTGTCGAGGGTCTGTGGGGTGGGGAGAGGGTCAACGCCGACCATTTCCGGCATGCGTTGGCCCAATTCCAAAACCCAAGATCTGGTTGAGCAGAGAGGTGGGGTATTCTGAGAGAACTACTCATTCAGCGAGTCAGACCCTTCAGGTTGATAAGCCGGCACCCTGGCGCAGCCCCATGCAAGTTGCAACCCGCTGCCGCCTCGAATACTGGTGCGGCTTTGGATTTGCATGTGCAAATCAGAGAGGACACGTTATGAAAATACGAAATACTCGCACCCAGAGGCAGCCATGGTATGTGCTCGCAGCACCCTGGACACTATGGGGGCGCATCCGGGAGCCGGAACCGGGCGACCCCGGTAGCGGACAGAAGAGCGTTGAAAGGAGGAGGCGCGGGAGCAACGCGATACTGCGAGGACGGCGCTAGCCTGGCTCGACGTCCCATAGGGCGAGCAAACGTAAAAGGTTGGGGCTGCGAGACTGGGAATGACTACATCAAACCGAAGAGGGACGTGGCTTGGTAGTGGCTTATAGGGGACGCCCATGTTTGCGAAAGGGGCAGAAAGAGCACAGGCAAATGGACGACAGCTGTCACTTCTGTCGTTCGTTCATGTCTCTCTTGCCACTGGCGCTGTTTCAACGAAGACAGGCCACCCGCTCTGAGACTTGAGAGCCCACCCGGCCGTCCGGCTTTGACATGTAGAGGCTTGTGGGAGGGGGTTCGTCGGTTTAGCACCCACGTGGGGCTCAGCCAGAAGACTCGGGAATTGGGGGGGGATGAGACAAGGAACTGTGGCTAAAAAGGAAGGCCCGGGTTCTAGAAGCCCGCAAAGAAAACAAAGCGGCAATCTAGGGATAAAGTGATGGAAGCAATCCAGAAAGAAAGGAACCGTGCTCGAGAAAGGCGGATGCAACGTAGTGTGCTAAGGCAGTGTAGCGTAGCGTACTGTGGTAGAGCATCCCGAATCGGGGAAATGGGAAGTCGGTGGACTCGGTGCAGCATGGAACCTGAATAGAGAGCATACATACTTTGACATCATGGCCTGGGTCGCTCTCCGCAGCAGATCAAACCCTCCACCACCAGCGGCCGAGTGCCCAGCAGCAGCCGGCCCTCCCGTGACGCCCGACATTCTGCTTGGGTGACTGCAGTAAATGCCAGGCGATGATCAACCGCAAATCGGTCCAGTCCTAACCGGTTGGTCCGTAGTACGCGAGGGTGGCTGCGAGTCTTGAATCTTTGGTTGCTTGAGAGTCGATTGCCGACGCGATGATAACCGACAGATCTCCGAGTGCCTGTTTGTTCGCCTGCAGCAGTGTTTCGCAGAAAAGTGAAGTCGGATCGCGGGTTTCCGTGCCTGGATTAGGTTCGGTTTTGCTTTTGGTGAGAATCACTCTCGGCAGCGATCTTCCGAGAGTTGAAGGTGAATCGAATCGAGGTTCGCATACACACAGTGAGGTTTTTGTGAGGCTTCCGACTTCTGCCCAATTCAGTTGCCCCGCGCTTCTTTTAACGCATCCAGTTCCCACGCGGTTTGCCTTGTGGGGCTCTGTCCCAGTTGGTGATGGCTGCCGAGCCCACCCGAACCCTGGACTAACAAACGGGGAGAGCGCACAATCGGAAGCGGATCAAACTCTTCGTCGTCTCTCGGCGAAGGAAAAGTACTCGCAACCTCAGAGAGTCTGCCTGCGAATTCCCCTGTCCTGGTGTTGTTTGATAAAAGAAGCAGACAATTGGTACGCCTTCGCTGAGCTCGCGGTGCTGTCCTCTCGCTCCAACTTCACGTGAACCTATCGTCTCTCCTTGGCGTTCGATTCAGCTGTGCAAGGCAGGGAGTGGTCTTGCACTTCCAAAGCAAGGTCGGACAATGGTGAATCCTCTCTTTGCATTGGCCGGTAGTAACAACGGAGTCGAGTTAATAGCAGGAACCAAGAGCTCGTTGGTTAGCCAGGCGGAGGGTACTAGGCGTGTTTTAAAGCGTTGGCTATTTTGGAGGGATTGAGAAAGATGCAGATAACCGTAAGGTACGATGGATGGAAAATGGCACGCCAAGTGCGTGGTCTTCAGAGGAATGGCTAGACACTGCACAATATTCCACAGCTGGCATGCGTGATAACAACGAAGACAAATACGTGCCTGGGAAGGCAAGTACGGTAGGCAATCTCGAAGTCTTGAAATCTCGTGTCCATTTCAACTGACCCGTCTGGACAGTTACATAATTTACCTATTTTTAAATCTTTTACGGCCGCGACCACCCACAACGCCGGGTCCCAGGCTCGAGGCCCAACTTATGCAGACTACCTTGGGTACAAGGCGTTGGTTATTAGCAACACGCAGTGGGTCTGTCATGAGATCGACATCCATATGTCATCGATGCTTTGTCGTGACACATTCGAATAGCGAGCCGAGTTACGCTGTCCGGGCTGTCTGAAGTTGGCAATTCTTGGTTGTGCGGTACGAAGAACACCATCTCTTGCGGGTCCGGTTGAAAGGTACTGTATTGTACAATACATACAGTACCTTATGTACGGAGTATGAGTAACCTGTACTCCGTAAGTACGTAGTTTCTTTTGAAAGCTGGTTTGTGCTGTAATTACATCCATTCCATCTGATCCATCTTCTCGTACTCTCAAATCTTGAAAGCTTCCTTTTTCTTGAAAGTAAACTCATCAGATTCCCAACAGCCACTAGACGACTGGATGGTAATGTCGAGTTGACGACGGAAAAATGACCACAAAGCTAATAACGCTCTATCCAATCTATTGTACCAACGAGCGGCCTCGGGTGCCGTAGCAATCGAACCCGTCATGTTCCATACATAAGGTGTTCCGTAGCTGGCCTGAAGCTCTCCAACAACCACGATACCTAGTCAAGCCTGGAACACACCTACCAGCGGACACACCAAATGGGCGCTGGCTTCCACAGGACGTGGCATCTGTTGATAAGCGGCCCAACAATTCCCGTGTCTTCATCGGGAGCGTTAGGAGCGGCAGAATATATTGGTGCAGTACCTATCTTCCTCCATCCGTCCTATTGTTGCTGAAATGCAGGTTCCACTCCAAAATCTAAGCTCGCGCTCTGCATCATGATATTGACGGCCTTCTAGGTAATCGGTGGTAAGGCTTTTCGGTTCAGGCGATTCCGATTACCGGCTTTCGACTGCATTGCAAAAGCCCAAACGTCAGTCATGCCAAATCCTGCCATTTTCTCTCTCCTTTTACTTGGTCCTAAAACCTCGTCATTTCTGAGGCCCGGTCGCCACTGGCGAAAGTCTTTTACACGACCGGCCTGTCTGAGGGCTTAGAAATCGCTTCCCGTTTTGCCGCCAACGACCCGTCGACAAACCTTCAGCTTCTGGGGAAAACTAACATGTGCCGATGTCCCTTCTGGCCTGGTCGGTTGTCATACAGCCGGCAAATCCGCATCCCGAGGCTTACTGCTCCGAACCCCCCGTGGCGATGGGACTGTAAATCTAGGTACCTTAGAGGTACGCAGTCAGGTACAGTACATTATACCATTGACCGTCCATATTGGGGTGATGGAATCAGGTGTCTGGGGTTCTTGGCGCCACGGGCATCGATTTCGATAAGGTATTCCTCGGTCCCGTTGGTCATCGACAGCCAGAGGCCGCTCTACATACCCGGCAGGTTGGAATACGGCATAGGCCAGTCTCAGCGCAGTTCCGGGATGCGCCGATGACTTGCCGATGCATTGCTGACGCCGTATGTCCAACATGCTTACCGGCCCAAGAGCATAGCATGCTGTTTCGACGCCTTCCCTACTCGGGAGAGTCCCGCCAAATTTTGGCGCTTCAGGAGTATGTAAAATAGCCCAGTAAGCTCTCGCGAAGGGGTGAAGTATCGGCGCAGACGCCTCAACTTCGCAAGTACAGTACGGTAGAAGACTAGCCGGCGGCTTCCAGACCGCCTTCCCACTTAGCGTATATCGATCTCGAGCGTATGTATGCTCCGGGAGCCAAGAACTCGGCTCTCACCGCGGGAGTGGCGCGTTGCATTGGGGTCGTCCCGAGGTGATCGGTGTTAGCTCAGCTGCAACACACTCTCCATTCTCCAAACTTGAGTGGCATCCTTTACGAAGTGGGAGGCGCCGCTACCATAAAAGGACATAAGAAGCGTTTAGATAGATGACATGCGGGTACAGCTTGTGAAACATGACTGTCTTACGGACTCGATTCTATCCTTCTTACACACTGATTCCTTTCCTTGGCTGTAAAGTGCCTTAAGCCCCGCCTGATACCTGACAGCCAAAGCTTCCAGGAGCGGGAGCTATCTACAATGTCTCACTCGTGACAGGTGAGCAGGTTACAAGAGTCTAACCTGAAAAGAAAGTAGCCTGAGCCTCGAACTGGGTAATGTCCATCATCATTCATCATCCTACTCGCGCTCTGTCTAGAGCTTGAAAAAGGTAGGCACGGTCATTGTGCGCCAGGCCGGATATCAGCAATCAGCTGCTTCAGCTGCCGCTCCAACGCGGGGTCGGTGCCTTTTGGGTACTGCTTGGGATGAGGGGGTCGCGGCGCAAGCGGATCCGGGTACTCGGCTGGATTCAGGTGGAACGCGTGCCTTTGTTCAGTCCTCGATGCCCTGTACAATTACAAATGGCTGTACCACCGAAGCTGGCCAGCTTTTGGGGACGAGCTAGGCTTACTAGAGCTGAACTTCTGGTCCAAAAGGCGGTGTTTGGAAATCTCATACTCGTCCCGGAACTTCTTGGTGTTCCAGGCCGCGACTGCTGGCTTGTTCCCGGGCTGTTGCTGCTGTGCGTTGAGATGGACGTGGCTTGCTCCCTCTTCTGCTGTTTGGGAATCGGCCATGGCGTCGTCTGGGTTCATGATGGTTTTCAAAGGGATGTCGTCGAAGAGCTTGACTCTGTGAGGCTGAGAAGGGGTGATGAGATATCGGACGATGACGTTGAGTGTTAGTGGCCCGAGGGTTGGCGGGGTCAGGAACGGGAGCTCGTTTGTTATGCTTCCGTCCTCCTCAGACCTTGGACTGTCGGCGTTCGGTATAAGATCAGGGACTTCCACAAGTTGAAATAATGCGGAATTCGTCACTTGGGATGAGCATCATCTACATTGGAATCTCATCTGGTTTGTCGGATCGTGTACCAGGCGCGCGTTGGTAATGAGAGATAGGGTCGCTGGAGGCAATAAGTGGGTGGAAAGCACCCTGCCAGCCTGCCAAGCCCCAGGGTAATCAAGTGGAGTCCGTGCAATTGCAGTGGAAAGTGTGGAGGCCCGTCGATCCTCGATGCTGCGAATATTGACAAGCGACCTTGGCTTGGGAAGTTGTGTAAATCCGGACGGATTCTCCTGCATCTTTTCTAGAACACGTACCAGAATTACGCTTGCACCCTCCGATTGTCATATCTATTCCATATCTCACGAACAGCAACAGACATACTTCGTACGGGCTAGAGATTTCGTCAAGCATGGGCACGAACAAGATTCCCGATGCCTGGGACGATGAGGATTGGGAAGCGCAGGCGGACCGCATGGCAAAGGAAAACCCGCCCAAGCCGGAGCCTCAAGCGGCCATGACGCGGGCAGAGCGTTTAGCAAAACACGAAGAAGAACAGCGTAAGCTGTGGAAGTCAGCGTACGACTGATCCCTTGAGCCAATGCCCTTGAGGCCTCTAACCTCAAGCACAGGGAAACGCCCGAAGAACCCCCCATCCTGCCGTCCCTCATCAACCCAGTTCCGCTCACGACACCTTTCAAACCTGCCGTCAAACTCCTCAGCCGCAAGCCAGCGCCACAGATGATCGCCAAGAGAGACCCCGTGACAGGTCTCGAAAAGTTGACACTGCAAGACGACGAGGAGGATGAAGACGCCGGGAAGAAGAAGCAAGAAACAATTGAAGAAATCCGGAAGCGGCAGCAGCGTGAGCTCGAGGAGAAGCAGCGGCGGTACGAGGAGGCGCGAGCTAAGATCTTTGGCGATTCGAACCCGTCGTCGGGACAATCCACTCCAGGAAGTGTCACGCCGCCCCAGGGAAACGAGGTGCGGCAGAATCGCAGGGGGCGAGGCCGAGGGCGTGGAGGCAGCGGCGGTGGCCGTGGGCGCGATCGCGATCATGATAACGGGCGGCAGGACCGGCAACGACAAGCCAGCCCTCAAGCCGGCGGCACAAGGGAACTATACGACCCCGGCTATTCACCGAAACCAGGGTTCAACATCCAGAAGCATGGAGATGCCTCTGCAAACCTAGGAGACCAGCTGACCGCGCCCCGTGAGGAGGATCAGATAATACGGGCACCCAGAGGACCTGACAGCAGCGGGAAAGGTTTTGGTTTCGCCAGACGAGGGGCTAAAGGAGGGTGATTTTCTACGCAGGCTTGGATGTACGGCCGCCGGCGCCATCTGTACTACCAACCGCCGCCTATCTTGCTTGACAGCTGGACAACCCGCTCTGTGTCGCTCTGGCTCTTGCCCACGTCGCTCACGACCTCGCGGTAACTCGTGTACACCAATCTATCCAAACGTATACCCGTTATATCCGCCCAATGCGCCAGGGTATCACGAATGTGCGAAGGAGAAATTCCAGCAACAAGATCTATGGAAAGATTGCCGTCAACTTCGGCATCGACGCCGTTCACAGACTCTGGCTCATCCGCCGAGAAATATGCCTCATCGACTTCTGCCAACCAAGCCTTCTGCTCCTGCGGCCCTGGTTTCTCACCGAACTCTTTGCGGTCGATGATGACCCGGTCATCGACTTTGATCTGACCGCCTCCGTTGGTGCAGCCACCGGGACATGCCATGACCTCGACATAGGCAAAATCCAACCCAGTCGACTTGCCCGTCGGCCTTCTCGCGCTGCCAAAGGGCTTCCCGCCGGGCATGCGAGATGGTTTGGCCGGCTTCAACTTCCGAACAAGGTTCTGGATGTTGCGGAAGCCGTAGTAGCGCGCCGCTTTAAAAACGGCGTCGCCTGAAGGGTTGATAACAGCGTACTCCACGACGTCGGCGTTTCTGCCCCGCGTCGTCCGGATCTGCGAGCCAGGGTGTCTCGACTGGACATCGTGGAGAATGAAGTGGAGGTTCCCACCAGATGTGCCCGCATCCCGATGTTGGTTGCGCCTTTTTGCGGGGAACAGGAAGCGCTGAAGAACGGGATCGGGAAATGGGGGCTGCCGAGGAGCTGACGTAGACAGACCGAAAAAATCTACCCCCCTCAACTCCGCGAGCATAAAAATCTCCTTGCTTGTAATGACACAATCCACATCCCTGACTCCCTTCTTGGGCGTGCCAGTGCCAGCGTCCGCCGCCCAGACGGCGTCGGTCAGCTCCTCCCGACTAGCTTCGAGTTTCTTGTCGAAACACGGCATAACAGCAAGATGCCATATCCTGTCCGGTGAAATGCCCAGGAGCCGGCTGAGCGTTGTCTTGAGGAGCGTGCCCATCAATGCTTGCGGCGACTTTACCCGTGACAGGTGAGGCAGCACGTATGGGTGCGTCTTTTCGGCGTAGCATACCCACCCCGGACAGGACGACGTAAGGATTGGCTGTGTGGGCATGTTATTTACCGGCTGAACCCTCCCCTCACCCAATCCAAGGACTTCGTCCGACCCCAGCACAAGGCAGGCCTGCCTCGCCGTGTTGGTATCCACCACCCATGTGAAGCTGCTGCCGTGCTTTCCGCCTCTCGCCAGCCCCTGCTCGCCCATAAGCAATTGCTCTATCATCCGCCCCGCCTCCTGCTCTGTGAGTCCCCCGCCACACGCAGCGGCTAGACTAGCCCGTGTCTGCGGGGACACGCTCGCGATGAACAGCTTGGACGAGGGGTTTTCTAGCCCTGAAACTGTGCACCTCCCTTGGTCATCGTGTACGAGTTTCAGGGAGGGCGCCGCGTCCAGCATGCTGAGGACCTCGGCGTGGCTTTGTAAGCTGACCAGGACGGCCTCGGCTGAGGTCACGCAGCCCGAGCAAGCAAGACAGTCGGTTAGGGATATCTGTGCCGGGGCCGCGGTGCCCGACGATGTGGATTGCTGCTGGCCATCTAGGATTACTTCAAATTCGAGGGATTGTGGATCGGACGACGCGGGCGGGGCGGTCGGTAGGGTCTCGACGGGCTTGATGCAGGCTACTCCGGGGCTGATGAAGTCGTTGAGTTCGTCGACGGAGAGGATGGCAGACATGGCGGTTTGCTGCGATCGTTCACTCTGGAAGATTCAGAGTATGGTGACGGTCTCGTGTGCTCAGCAAACGCTGGGACTGGTCCCGTCGCCACAGCCCAACGTAGCTCTCGATGACTTGGGTTATTGCGAGATTCTGTGTCCTATTCGGCTAGAGAAGTATGGAGGGGATCGCCGGTCTTCATGCGGAGTTTCTAATACTGAGATGGTTCGGAGAGACTGTCGAGAGGTATTTGATTGGAAATTTTGCCCGGAGATGCATAATCCGATACTATCTGCTTTCAAATGCATTTGTGATGCGACATCGGCTTTCAGCAGTGGCGGCACGGAAATGCCCCTCCATGCAGGGGTGCCACGTTCTGGGCCCGACGATTTCCGGTGCCCTGTGGGAACCCACCCGCAGTTCTCTAATGACGTAAGGCAGCATCGATACATACGGGCAAGGACTTTGTAAGTATTGTACAGTTGACTGCCAGGCTGGGTAAACCTTTGTGAGCTTTGAATGAAAGTGAACTGAAGGCAGTAGGATTTTGTTTCACAACTCCGACTTAAAAAGGGAATACACATGCTTGCTAGTAAACAATTCTATCTTGACAAGTTCCTTCATCCCAACCACAATACCGCATACTCTCCCGTAACCTAGATACTTCAAATCAGCAATGGATGTAAGTCCTACCATGCCCGCCCTCGCTTGACCATGTCCCGTCTAACAACCTCCTGTCCCAGGTTGTCTCGACTTACAGCGTCGCCAGCCTCGCCTGGCTCAGCGCCCAGGCGCTCCCGCTCATCGTCTGGCCCTCTCTCGTCAGCACCCTGTTGCGAGCAGACACCACCAACGCCCCTTACGGCGGGGCACCCGCTGCCTCCCTAGAAGGATACTTTGCCCGCTCCCTCGGTCTTTCACAGCTCGCGCTGGGCCTGCTACTGCTCGTGCTCTCCGGCGCCCTCCCGCTCGATTCCATGGTCGAAGGTACGTAACACCCTTTCCCTTCCCTGATCTTCTCCCCACCAGTAACGGACATGAAACCCTGATAATAACCAAACCCCATTTCCAGACCCACCCACCACCACCCACAACAAATCAAACGGAACGACCCCGCCGTCGCCCTACGCAAACGCGGCCGTGCTCATCTCAGCACTCTACCACGCCGCCTCGGCCTTTTACGCCTACACGCGCTACTACTCGACGGGCGGCCGGGCCGTCGCATACCTTTTTGGCTGTGTGGGCGCGAGCGTGCTGGCCACGTTTGGGCTGTGGGTGCTCCTGTTTGCGGGCGAGAGCCAGAGGCGGGTGCGGGTGAGCCGGCGGACCGGGGCCGACAAGGACACGAGCGGGTGGCCGTTCCGGAACGTGGTGGCTGATAGGAAGAGGAGGTGAGAAAAAGGGGATGGTGGCAGGCTGAGTGGAATTGGGGGCTTTTGTTCGGGATTGGGTGTTGATGTTAGGCTGTAGGTAAGCGGGAATTGTATGTAGAACATATTCCTTTTTGGTTGTCTGGCATGGGGAGATGGTTGGTTGGATTTGGGAGTGTTTCAGTTATGGTGGTTATGCCTGTGAATGGAAGGGTTATTTGGGGCTAGCCAAATTCTGAACGCCGAGTCTCCAGCTTGGAGTCGTTTCGCTGTCATGATTCAGGAGAGCGGGCGAGTATGCACCGTTATGGCGCTTTAATTGGCACTCGCTCAGCTACCGACATGCTATACAAGTACAATGCGCTTCTCCGCGGACGTGCTGGCCTTATCGGCTTTGGGCAATCAGGAGGACCAAGGTCGAAGTCTGAAGCATCGTAAGCTTATAGACGAGGCATTCTCGTCCGTGGCCGTTAAGACGTACTCCTAAGCCGTCGCTTCGCCCGCGCTGGCCGGTTCGCCATTAGCAGTGACAACAACGTCGGCAGCTCCAGAGAGAACGGCTTGCCGCCGGCGATGCCACTCATCCTCACTCCGAATTACTTGCTCGAGCAGCACCTCCTTCTCAAGCCATTGGCGCTTGTACTCCTCCTCCCATTGCTGGCACTCGGCACGCAGAATCTCACCCTCCTCCTCAGCCCACTTCACCTGCAGCCGGCATAACTTCATGAGCCGCTCAAGCGGCATGTTGAGTTCCTTGGCTGTGAATCCTTGATCTTCTGTCAAGGGAGTAAACATGTCCCCGGCCTCAGAGTCCCCGATGCTGGCGTCATCGGTGGCATCGTCCTGCCCTGCAGCATGCGACTGTGGTGTCTTGATGACGATCCTCAGCTTTGAGGACTTGCCGCCGGCGGCACCGGACTGCATGCTCTTTGGGACCGGGTCGGACGGGCGAAGGGCCTCGGTCTCGTGTACAGTGCGCATGTGTTTGGCCAGCGCGTCGGACCGAGTAAACGCGCGATCACATTCTAGGAGCTCGAGCGTTAGTTGATCGCTGAGACCGGAGGCGGTTGAGTGCAACATACCAGGCAGATAGCAGTAGAAGGGTTTCTCCCTCGTATGGCTTCTCATATGAGCCTTGAGTGCGTAGCCGCTGGCGTGTGGTATACCCTTCCTGGCGCAACTAACCCATTCGCACGTGTATCTCTTCTGCCGACTTTCGATATGGTCATTGTGGATATGTTCGACGAGCTTGTCCATGTTGCCCATGTCGGCAGCCTTGCACCCTTCCCATTCGCAGACGGTGATCTGCTCCTGAAAGTCATCCTCGTCTTGTCGCGCATTAAGCGGAGAGCTAGGAACATCGCCATCGGTGTCGGAGGAGACATCGGACATATCTTCGAGCGGATCCGGGTCTGCGTCAGGCTCATTGACAACGGCCGACGGTGTTGTGGATCGCGGTATCGTCTTCTGCCGCTTCGCTGGCGGTTCGTCGTCCATGGCCTCGGTTGCCTCATCAGGATATTCATCCTCGGAGGAGGATATTGATGAAAGCGGCGAATCGTCCATTTTGAGAGTCTGGTCTGGTTATGAATGTGGTGACACTTGATGGGAAATTTGATGCAAGACGCGGCTTGGTCACGCCGGCTGCAGGGAGGTGCTAGATGTATAAGAGCCGCAATACCGTAGCTTCAGAGGCGATAGAGTACGGCCCAAGTTTCGTTGTTGTCTGAAGGTCTTGCCAGGAAAGGAGATACTGCGCTAAGTGGCTGTGTGCATTGGGCCGGCTACGATAAAACTAACTGTCCGGGGAAGCCAAAACGGACTAGGCGACGTGAATAGTCGGAAACTCTTATGAAAATGCATGTTGAGGCCGAGCCAACATCAGCGCCGCGATCAGCAGCGTCTTTGTGCTCCGTCGATAAGAAACAAACCTGGAAGGGGAAAGCTTGGCCTGGGCTTGATTGCAGGCTGGCCGCTTGGTAACAGCTGCTGGCATCTGCTGGAACCCGTCAGGGGGCACCCTCCAAACAGTGTGTCAAGGAGGTTGCCACTTCAGGGCGTTGGGCGCAGGGTCTTTTTCCATTATCGACCCCTCCCCCACCATAATAAATATCGAGTCGCGACCAGGCACCACTCTTTGGTTCTGATCTCGCAGCGATTTCAAATTCTCCTGCAATAAACCGAAGCCTTACTCTTGAGATATATATCTACGGCCAGGTTTGCGTTGTATTTCATATCGACGATGCCTTCTTCCACCAAGGTGTTCTCCCTCGAGGGGAGAGGTCTGAAGCTGGACACTGCTGAGGACTTGGAGCCTCACATTGCTCCACTCCTCGCCATGGACGATGTCGAAGAAGTGCACATGCTTGGCAACACGTTGGGCATCGGCGCTTGTAAGCTACTCGGTGAGGTTCTTGCGACAAAGAAGACATTGCGGGTATGTCCAGCCCGTGTTCAATGTTCAGGTTCCCTACCGTCGCAGACTAACCATGAAGTATAGGTCGCAAACCTCGCCGATATTTTCACCGGACGGCTCCTCAACGAAATCCCGGAGGCCCTTAGTTCCCTTCTCACTTCGATCCTCAACCTTCCGCGTCTCAACACAATCAACCTCAATGATAACGCTTTTGGCCTCAACACGCAAGCGCCGCTGGTCGCCTTCCTCGCCGCGCACGTGCCACTGCAGCACCTCTACCTCAACAACAACGGCCTCGGCCCGCACGCCGGCATCCTGATCGCCGACGCGCTCTCAGAGCTGCACGCCAAGAAGGAGGAGGCGCGCAAGAAGGGGCAGGATGTGCCATACCTCGAGACGGTCATTTGTGGCCGCAACAGGCTGGAGAACGGCAGCATGACGGCGTGGGCCAAGACGTTCAAGCTGCACAACAAGGTCAAAGAGATTAAAATGGTACAAAACGGCATCCGTCAGGAGGGCATTTCGCATCTGCTGAGCGAAGGGTTGCGCCACACATCGGCTCTCGAGGTGCTGGATCTCCAGGACAATACGTTCACCTTGCTGGGCGCCCGCGCGCTGGCTGAGGTTGTGCCTGGCTGGGCCGAGCTGGTAGAGCTGGGCGTTGGCGATTCCCTGCTTGGCGGGAAGGGCGGCGTCCTGCTGGCCAAGTCTCTTGGTCTTGGGAAGAACAAGAAGCTCAAAATTCTGCGCCTGCAGTACAACGAGATTACAGCCCCAGGTATCAAGGGCCTGCTCAAGGCTGTCGATGAGGCACTGCCTGTTCTCAAGAAACTTGAGCTCAATGGTAATAAGTTCTCCGAGACCGACGAGTCAATCATTGCCCTGCAAGAACTTTTCGAAAAGCGCAAGGAGAAGCTTGGCGGCGACATCGTCATTGAGGACGAGTGGGGCCTGGACAGCCTGAGCGATCTTGAGGAAGAGTCGGAGGCCGAAGAAGAGGAGGAGGAGGAGGAAGAGGAGGAACTCGAGCCCGAGGAGAGGGCCGAGAAACTTATCAAAGAGGCCGAGGAGGCGCAAGAAGAGCCGGTTGTCCAGACCAAAGACAAAGATGTTGACGAACTGACGAAACAGTTGGAGAAGACGTCTATCTAAGGGCTGGTGATTGTGGACAGTTAGATAGTTGCAGCGGAAGGGACTCTTGATGACCTATTCGGAGCGGATGTCCAGACGATACCCAGGTGAAGGCTGGCGATGGATTTGGGGGTAGGCAATAGACTATGAAGCGTCGCATTGGATGTCTGGGATGATTGCACTGGTTATTCAGGCCAAAGATCAATGGAGGGTTCATGACATGCAAGTGTTCAAGGCAATACATAGTCTTGTGATGAATATCAGCCCTCTACGGTGGTATCTGTATGCAGCTCTTTTGTCTCTGAACATGTGCTCTCTTTGCTCTAGGCTGTGAACCCCATGGAGTGATTCAGCCCCTTGCTTATGATCTTGTCGCTACAGTAAAACCGGACACTGGACCAATGCATGCATCGGGCGGTAGGTAACCTTATGACCTGGAACCTATAAGCCGTGTAAGCGGCCTTGTTTAGTAGGGCTGCATAGCGAGCTTCAGGCCGAAGACCGGCAATTTTGACTGATTGGCGGGGTTGTATCCGTAGAGCAACAATACAACCCCCTGTTCTTTACCCCCCTGAGCCCCCTAACCAACAACTTGGAACCCCAACCCATCTCCAAGTTGAGCTTCCTGGAATTACAATTCTCATTCACCGCCTGATTTCAGCACTTTGATCATCTCGATGGGAGATAACACAGACAATACATAAATTCCCGCTAAAGATACAACACAATACACCTTCCTCTTCACCTTATCCCAACCTCACCCGTCAACAGGACATCGGTACCCCCTCTCCTTATCCTTATCCTGCCCATCCCTCGCCATGGTCGCTTCCAGACAACTCTGGTGGTAAATATGCCTGCACGCCAGCAGAACCAAAGGTCCCAGCATGGCTTGCTCCTTTTTCCTGGGAGGCTGGCCCGACGACACCCCAGGCTCGTCACCATCATGCTGCTGCTGCCTCTCCCTCGGATCCTGCTTCTGCACCCCCTCATGATCACCCTCATCGTCGTCGTTGTCGTTGTTATCACCATCATCTCTCCCCCCCTCCGTCCTCAGCGTCAGGCTCACATCTTTCCCCTTCCCCGCCCCAGCCCCCATCCCACCCTCTTTACCTCCCTGCTGCTGCTCCTGCACCACCGCCCTCCTCCTCCTCCTCCTACCCTCCTCCTCCTTAACCCTCCTCTGTTTCTCCTCCCACGCCTCAAAGATCCCATTCCCCGCGACACCCGGGCCCCAGACACGCTTTCCGCACGCCTCGCAGGTCGAGCCGCGGGGCCGCCACCCGCGCTGCCGGAGCTCGACAGCCTGGCTGACGCTGACAAACAGGCTGCGCTCGAGCAGCCGGTTCGCCAGGCGCAGGATCGACTCCTCGTAGGCGTACGCCGAAAACAACGACTCAAGCACGGCCCGCAGGTCGGCCAGACTGGGCGAGGCGGCTGCCGCGCGCGTGAGAAACGCGCGCAGGATGCGCAGGAACGAGAGGTTGCGCCCTATTCCAGTCGTCGCGGCGGCGGTGGTGGTGGTTGCGGTTGTGGGGACTAGGGCGGTCGTGGACAAGGAGGTGGAAGAGACGCTCGGAAGGGCCGAGGTGGAGGTGAGAAGGGCCGTGAAGGTGTTTTGTACGTTGCCCCGGAGAACAGCGACAAGTCTCTCCGTATCTTGGGTGGACAGTGTTGGGCTGGGCTCAGCGTCTCCATCTGTTGTTGCTGTTGCTACTGCCGAACCTGAGGCTGCGTGATCTGGCGCCGCTTGTAAGGTAGACGACAGCCGCCGGGTGATTTGCACCGAGGTGTCAATCAGATCGAGCCAAAGATTCTCATCAGCCGAGAGGGTGCCGTCAGGCGGCGACTTCTGCCCTCGCCGGCTGGGCTTGGCCTGGCGAGCAGTTTTAGTCTGCCCCTGACACAGCCAGATTCCCACCAGAGTGAACTTTCTGAGGGCCTGCATCAAATTCTCGGCTGACTCTCGCAAATTGCCCGCGCCGTCCTCGGAAGCCGTTCCTGTAAAGAGGCCCTGCAGAGCAGACTCGAGAGTCTCGAGATGCTTGATCAACCGGCCCATAGCCTCTTGAACCTGACCCTCCTTTGCCATGAGAATGACAGCCGCGTCGACCACCCCCGTCTCTTCCATCGTTGGAAGCAGTGCGTCTAGACTTAGGTTGGTGGACTGGACCAAGCCAACGTATTCAGCTACGTGTGTCGGATCAAACCTGCACATCAATCGCAGATACTGTTCCACCAAAGCTCTGTCTGGTGTGCGGTTAAGCGTGATTTCATTTTCCGGCTCCAAGATCGCTTTCAAGTAAGCATGTTGCAGCTCGGGCTGGGCAGAGGTTGAGTCTAGCATGTGTTGATGCAGCTCCGGGGCCTGACTGGCAATGGTTCTGGCTGCCTGAGTAGGATCGAGATCCACAAGTTCACTGGCATGTTCTTTGATAACCTGATGGACATCTTCAACCTGGCGCCGCGTAAGACCTGTTGACGGCCGCAGACAGGACTCGATGCAGTTGAAAATGGCTTCCCGATCGTCTGGGTCCTCAAAATAGACCTGAACGAGCTTCCCGTAATGCTTATCGATTCGGTAGATGCGTTTCAAGATGCGATAGAAACCCGCTTTCTTGAGCAAGGGTATGAGCTCTGCAATGTCTGGTGGATGGTAGACCGACAGGAGATATTCTGCGCTGAGCTGAGCATCTTCGGCCAGGTCTGGGCCGGGATAGTTGCACAGCCCGATGAGGACTCTGGTGAGGGTTGAGCCGGGGAACAGCAGGTACTGTGGGTACTTTGGCAGGTTCCTAGCAATGAACATATCCAGGTAAATGATGTCTTGGCGAGAAAAATCAGATGGATTCATGATTTCCATCAGAATTGAGACAATATATTGCCGGTCTACTGTCAGACCAAAGATCTGCTCCTCTGGCAAATCTCGACCAGACCTGCCGTTCGTCGATTTCTCGGGGGAATCGTTGAGAACGGAGTCCTCAAATGCTTCGTTGAGTGCACTCAAGAAGCTAGGGGCGTCAAACCCCAAAATCAGCCGCAAATAAGGGAAGGACGGCTCTTGCGATTGGTTAGGTTTTGTAAGGAGCCGCTTGTTGCTGCCTTTCGGCCATATGATGCTCTTCCCCGAGAATAGCAACCAGTAGAGCTCAGCTTTCGCCTTTTGGGCAATACCCTCGGGCAGCGTGTCGCCAGTAGGATAGACGCGTCCAGTCAGGATGTAAGAGAGATATGGGAATATCTTCAGGGCGTTTACCCCGTGGATTTCGGCCTGTATTAGGCTCTCAGAACCGGTGTGCTGGCCATTTTGCGTCATGGGTACCAGGAGGGCAAGCAAGTCGAGAAGCGGAGTGATGAAGTCGTTCAGGGCTTGGTTCCAGACGTAGATCAAAGCATCGTATAACCGATGCTCCTTGCAGAGAAGCGTGATTTGATCAAGATCAAGGGTGGCGGTGTCCATGTGGCAAATCATCTCCTCAAGCCGGCTCTCCATGCCCCTGCTGACGAAGTGGTTGACCATCGCTTTAACAACTACCGGAGGGATAGCGTTGATAGACCCGTCAAGAATATAAGGCTCCAGGTTCTCAAGGAAAATCCCTTCGACTTCGGCATCCTCATACCAACTGTATATCTCGTCGAAGAGAAAATCGGTATCTCCGATGCTATGACAAGCGACAAAACACGTCTTTGCAAGTTCGTGTAAGTGGGCATCGTCAACAGATTCCCTATCTTGTCGCCTCCGGGTAAATGCGTATTTGAGGGATGCTCTCATGATCTCCATGAGCTTGTCCTGGACCATGGAATGCCTAAGCCCGGCGTCCTCTGGCAGTCCAACTGTGAGCTTGTTGGTGTCGCCTGTGTAATACAATGTTGCTAGTTGAATAGCGCCGACATAGTCGCCGTTCTCCATCAAGGCGATGAGCCGGTCTGCCCAGTTGGACAAAGCCCCAATCGATATGTCGTTGAATCCGAGGAGGAAAAGTCGGCCCTTGTAGGTCTTGAAGCTCATGTAAAAAGCATCGGCGACGACACCATGCATTGAAGGATCCTCCTCGTCTAGGGTTTCAACGAGCGCACCGAGTTGCTTTGAGAACCTGTCAACATGATAGATGTGTTTGTGTATAAGATCGAAGGCTTCAGTCATGCGCATGCTTCTATCCTCGAGCACAATCAGCCGCTGAGAAATGGTTAAGATGGCCAAGACAGACCGGCTCAACCATTGCACGGCGACTATTGATTCCTCGCATTTCCACCGACTCCGCGCCCTGAATCTCAGACTTGGGGGTTTGTCCTTATCCTCGGCGGGTATCTCGTCAACGTCGAGGACAGTGAGGACGTTGGACCAACAGTAGACCAGCTTGACCTTGGACATGTGGCTTCCTGTAAGGGGGTCTGGCACTTTTAGCTTGACTCCGGGAAACCAAGCCAGGCATCCAGTCATGGCACTGTGCGCGGCAACCTCCTTGGGCCGCGCGGATTTATGCTGAGTCTGAGCGATAGGGGTAGTGGAGACGATGACTAGTAAATATGGAGTGAGCATTGCTGTGAGTCCCATCGTATCGGTGGCCATCTCGACATTGCCGAGCGGTAAGGAAGCAAACGCTAGGACAGTGCTAGGCTTCAGCGTCTTCCCAGGGGGCGGTTTCGAGTCCGGGTATCGTCCCAATATCCTTGCTGTCCTTACCGTCCTGCCAAGTGCTCCTGTCCCTCGAGTTGCGAGATGGGAAAAGGCCATTCCTCGGTCATCGGCGGAGACAAGAGCAGTGTGGCGGGTGCCCAAAAAGCCCAAGTGGGTGATTGCAACATTCGGCACGTGGCCGTCAGACGTCCTATTCTGCAAATGTGACGGATCCAGATGCAGGATACTGAGGAAGGGTCTTGAAGGCCGAGAAGTGTCCCAAGTAAAAATGTTGCCGTTTGCGTGTCCTCCAGCAATGGTGGTGTGGTCCGCAGATATTGCGATCGCGGTGACAGCGCCCGACTCAACAGCTAGGAAATAATCAGCAACCTGAAATCTTACAACCGTAAAGACAATTCTCCCACCTTTCGTTCCCGGGCCGATGATCATCTTGAGATTCTGGTTGTAGTCGAACACCAAGATAATCCCTTTCGAGGTACCCAGCACTATCGAGGCGGAAACGGCCAAGCAGGTTGGGGAGCCGAAATTCCTCCTCGCAGCCTCGGAAAAAGCCTGGCCATTGAGCTTCCTGAGTTTGGTCCAGCGCACGGCTTCCCATGGTGGCGATGGCGTGTCGGTGTCGCCTTGATCGAGCAGCAGCTGACTGCTCGCGGACAGGTTGCGGCCATGGCCTGCTAGAAAAGCAGGAGAGGAGGGCCGGGGAGAGGAAAGAAGCGGCGAGGAGATGCGAGACTGAAACCTCTGGTCGAAGGGTCTAAAGGAAGGCGTCGGGCTCGCCAGACCGGGTCGTGAGGCGAGCGAAGGCAGCACACTGCTGCCAGGGGATGACACGACGGATCCCTGTACTGGGATGTCAGACGAGGGCAGGGCCAAACAGGGCCATGAGGTCTTTGTACTAACGACGCACCTGAAGCGAAGGCGTATCGTCTGGGATGCAGAGCATAGAGCCTAAGGGACTCTCTCCCAACCGCGGCATCGCCTCCGTTGTTGAGCCATCTTCCGAGGCTGCTTCGTGTTCCGAGTCTACCGGTTCTCGATAGCGGTGGGCGACAATGCTCGGGCCAGAAGCGGGCATTGGGGTCGTAGCGGACTGCGGCTCCTCGTCGAGGGTGTCGGCAATGTGATGCTCGTCTCGATCGCCCTTCACCGTCTCGTCGTCGTCGCTTGAGCTGGAGCGGTGGCCGCTGCTTTCAACCGGAGCCAGTTCTGGTTCGTCGGCCATGGTGTCGCCTAGGCCATCCTGCCCCCGCGGTTCTCGCAAACTCATCGAGTCTTGACACTGAGGCGCATGGCTCCACGCGTACTGTACCAGTCCGTATGGGCGCGACGAAATCCGACGAGACTAAGAAGTAAGAACACCTCAAGATGGTGGCTAGGCCAGGAACATGGATCTTGCCTTGAGAAACCTCGGTCAAGCTTCCAATGCTCTCTTCAGGGCGCGCTACTCGTACAACACCCGCTCTGCTCTGGCGTCTAAGATCTCATCATCCACATTGCAGTTGTCTCCAGGCTAAAGGTTGCTGTATGGCCCTGGTGCGTGCAAGGAGCGATACACCACTGCAGATAGCGCCTGGAGCTGTCCCATCGCAGTGGCACAGCTCTGTTCCCCTAACCACTCACAACGGCCTACCTACAGTAGTGGGGCCTGTTCAGCCACCGAGCCACCTACCAGGATGCTAATCTTATCGATAACACATGCTTTGAGCGAAGGTTTGCGACATTCCACCCCAACACTATCTGCCTCCCAGGCACCAGCAACCTACCGCCTCAAGTGTTGCGCTCCAAGTTTGCTCTCAATCCAGAATTTAGCATTCACAATGGCGTCTATAGGACCTCAACTCCCTCCTCACCTCCAAAAGCGCAAGCGCGCGTCCGAAGACGAGGCCGAAGTAGGATCGCCTCCAGCGAAATCCTCCCGTCGCGAAAACGAAGACGAGATTCCATTGGAAGAAGACGACTCGGACGACGACTTTGGGCCAGCTGCTGCGCCGCGATCCGAAAGCAATCGCGACAGAGTCATGGGCCCCTCGCTACCGTCAACAGCAGGAAACAGCATCACCCCCGCGCCGGGAACCCAAAAACCGTCAATTGGCCCCTCACTCCCACCATCTACAAAGCCAACCAACGACGACGAGATTCCCCTAACCTCAGACGGCGAGGAAGACGGCACAGCAGGCCCAGCTCCTCCCACAAACCCCGCCCCATCGCCCCCTGCACCAAAGCGCGTACTAGGCCCAGCGCCGCCACCAGCCGACCTCTCCGAGAGGCCCACAACCGGTCCCAACTCCGATTCCTCATCCTCCTCCGACGACGATGACGACGGTTGGGGCCCAGCCCTCCCCACCGCCGTCCCCGCCGGGACCAGAAACCTCAACCCAACAACAATAACAACAACAACCTCCTTCCCCCCCGAATCCCAACAAGAACCGTCAGCGCCCAAACGCGACGACTGGATGCTCGCCCCGCCGAGCAGCACGGGGGCGTACCGGGCACCAGACCCGACAAAGCTCAAAGCGCGCAAATTCGCAAGCGGGCCGCGCGCGGCGACCACAGCCGATGGGAAGCCGGGAGGAGGAGGAGGAGGAGGCGGGATGGGTTCTCTCTGGACCGAAACGCCCGAGCAAAAAGCCCGCCGGCTGGCCAACGCCGTGCTGGGAAGGGAAGACCCTTCCACCGCCGGCTCGCAACAACCTTCGCAACGGCCGTCACGTCCAGAGAAACCAGGCGATGGCAGCGGGAGTGATAGTACGAGGGCAGACGAGGCGCGGATCAAATCCTATACAGAGCAGACGCGTGGGCGGAGCCTGGTGGAGGAACACCAGGCTGCGAGGTTGGCTGGGAAGGCGACGGGTAAAGGGGGTAGTAGTAGTAGTAGTAGCGGCAAGGGCAAAGGCGACGAGGAGGAGGATGATCCGAGCAAGCGGGCGTTCGATTGGGAGAAGGATATGAAGGTTGGGGGAAGGATAAGCAACTCGCAGCGGAGGGATCTGCTGAACCGGGCAGCGAATTTCGGGAATAGGTTTCAGACAGGGAGATATCTGTGACCACGCTGCGACGAACGCCTATAGTCATAATGCTCCTTGGGGAAAGAGTAGCCAGTCTTGGTTGGACATGGCCCCGTCCCCTGGTCCAACCATGCTTTCAGTCTCACGAGGAATCAAGAGGTGCGAGCGTGTTGTAGCTAATCACTTGAGCTGTGCCCATTCATTACAGTTGAGCGTTAATTCCAACATAAACAAATACGTCGAGCCTATCAGGCATACCAAGCTTGCCCAAACAGTATCTGCTCATACTCATTTGCCCATCCTCCCGCCCCGAGTAACTCCATGCTCCGAGGGTGGACTTCGCCCTCCATAGGAAACCCATTGTACTGTGCTATGCAATCCAAGAGTTGTAAGATGGTGGGAGGGGAAAAACAAAAATAAAAAATAGAAAAATGAACACAAAACCTAAGATATCCACTGCTAGTACACTTCAGCCTTGTGACTGGCCGGCTGCGAGATTCATATAAACAATCCCACATCCATAACTCTGCCATTGGTGCTAATACTCGGAGGATTTCGCAAGCATCGTCGCCAATAGCGCCCATAGTACGTCGTATACCGTAAAATCTCGACAAATCCGTCCTCTTCTACTGCGCAGTGTAAACCTGGTGACCAATCCTAGGCTTGCATTATGCAATGCGCTTCAACTCTGCTGATGCGTTGAGAAGTGGAAGTCGGGGTTTGAAGTGGGTGGAACACAGGGTTAGAGACGTTGCTTGGCCTAGACTGTGCAGTAGAAGAGGACCGATTTGTCGAGATTTTACGGTATTGTATATAACCGACCAAGCCGAGGTCAAACAAGTTTCGGTGATGATGGCAGCCCCGATAAGGAGGCATATAAATGAGAACAATGGGGGCCGTCCGATCTCTGCTCCAGAGGCCGAAGTCCAGCCATGCCCACAGCAGGAAGATACATATACACATGCGGGAGATATGGGTATCGATGCAGATAACTTCCGGGTCAAAGATTCGTGCCCGTGGATAGGCGCGTGATTGGAGCGTGACTGGCGTTCTGCCGCCGTAGTCATTAATTGGGTGGATTTCGGGCTCCTGCCTCAAGTTGTGAAGGTGTAACAGCCGGATTCGCATCTGACGGCGCCGGCTCCGTCGGAGCCTGGTTGTTCCGACTCCAAGGAGCCCGAAGAGATGGAAGGGCAGTTCTGAGACCGGAAAGTAAACCACCAGATGAGGCCTGGGCGGACGAGCCCGGAGGCGGGCGCGTAGGTTCAGTAGTATCCGTCGCTCTCGGACGGCCGAAGAATGAGAAAGCGACATTCTGCCCAGGCTGTAAACCGCCCGCCCGCTGTCTCCTGCTGGTGGCCGGCTGACTCGCCCTCCGTCCCTCAGGTCGTCCAAAGCCGAAGAAGGCGTGCCGAGGTCTGCTGGGCAAGTTTGCTCGGTTGCCGCGCGAGTCGCCTGGCAGCGTGACGGTGATGACGCCTGTCGTGCCTGAGCCGCCCTCAGGGACTTGTGGGCGTGGTTTAGGTGTGTAGTAGTCGGCTTTGCACAGCGGGCAGCATGCTCTCCTAGTAGTCAACCACGGGTCAAGACAAACGGCATGGAAGGCGTGCCCGCATGCCAAGCCTCGCACGTCGTCGTCCTCCTCCAGGGTATCGATACATATGGCACAAGTATCACCCGTGGTCCCCATGCATTCGGGTGGAAGCGCCGCGTCAATGTGGTCGTCCTCGTCATCCTCGTCATGTGACAACTGGCTCATATGCTTCTGCGCAATTGTGTGTTCTGGTTCGTGGTCGGCATCTATAGAATCCGGCCTGACGACGGCTGCCGTACTCGACGTGCTCTCCTTCGGCACATGGCGATGGTCCTCTGTCTCGGACTTCTCAGCCCTTTCAGCTTCGGCTCCAGTAAGGACAGAAGCAGGTGCTGGCGTGGCTGGAGTTTCCGTTCCTGGCGCAAGCCCTGTTGTGGGACCACTTGTTGTGGGCTGGTCATCCGTTGAGATTCGTTCCTTTGGCGGTAATTCCGGAGCGATGCCGTCTGCATGCCGGATGCTACCCGGTCTGCTAGGGGCCGACACACCACCCCGAGTGGGTAAACCCTCCTGAGCACGGCTGGCTACCCATGTCTTGTACTTCATCATTGGAAACTTCTCATTCACTTCATCGATTGTCATTAGTTTCTTTTCGCGCCGTCGGCGGTGCGGGCGAGGCATGTTCTCCATATTGATGGGCTCGCCATCTTCTGTGCGCATCTGGCGGTTCCGTGCGTTATACCTGAAACAGTATTTCACACCGACGATAATCCTATCGCACGTTAGGGGTCCATCGTGACGGCCTGCATCTCGTCACGAAACTCACCAAAGGTTGGTGAAAACAACGCCGAATCCCAGTGCGACAAAGAAGAGCAGCGACGACGAGTTCCCGCCGCCCCCTCCACCGCCGCCTCCGCCTCCGCCCCCGTTGCTGCCCGGATTTCCGCCGCCTCCATTTCCTCCACCATTGGCAAGGGTGCTGGTGTCGGTCGGCGAAGCGACGGGCGTTGAGGATGTTGTCAAGGTGATGGCGGTCGGCAGAGGAGAGCTCGAGCTCAATGAGGTCGATGGTGTCGCTGTCGGCGAAAGTATCGTCGACAAGGCCGACTCGGTCGCTTGCCTCACCACAAACCGTGCCCCTTCCACCACGGCTGGATTGATAAACGTCATCTTGCCGGAGAGGAGGTAGACCCGGTGGCTACGTAGGCAATTCAAAGCCGCAGAGCGGCCATCAGGCAATCGGATTGTCGTCGAGTCGGCACCCAAGCATCAACAGATATGAATTTGAAAACTACGAATCTCTGTATGGCCGGAAACAAAACGAGCGAGAAAAGAGTCAACGGCCTTATGTAGCAGTGCAAGCTGGCAAGGCCGGAGGTGAATCCCTTGAGAGGCTGGGGCGACACTCGCTGAGTTGGAACCCGGGACAGGCGGATAGGAAGTTGCAGGTGTGCAAGTGAGCTCAGAAGTGGAGAAAAGATGGGGGAACAAAGACATCTTGTGAAGTGGCCTTGGCCAAGGAAATTGTTAAGGGGGCACTCGCTGTCCTGCTCTTTGCGGCACGACCACGAAGGGGCGGGAAGGTGGGGCTATGCTAGGGTGAGAGACGGGCTGCCCGGTGGGTCTTGTGGAGCGGTCCATCCACTCAACGGACTGACTGTGGGCTTCGGAGCCCTTGTGTAACTGACAAGGGGGCTGATTTGGAAGGTTCGGAATCAACGGAATTATGAGACTTGACGAGGTGAGACCGTGGGAAAGCAGGGCAATTGCGAGTTGAGGATTTGGAAGATTGGAGGAAATTTGAAATTCACCACATAAACACGGAACCTCCCGGACAGGCAATCCATCGTGTGAAATCACGCAGCCAATGAGGTTATGAAGGCCAGTTCTGCCGCCAAGGCGATGATATGGCATCCTGGTTTTCATCCCAGGTGGCAGGCGATCGCTCACTCACCTCAGCCCAAGTTGGTTTTCCAAGACGGCGAGCCCGTCAATTATTTACTACCTACAGCGCCAGGCGCCTTGCTTTGCTACACTACCCCCAACTACATGGGTTGCCTACCGTACTTTCCATTGAGATGAACCTGAAACTCTATCCACCCTCGGTTGGTTGAACTGGATCCATCGCTGACATATTACTGATTTCGAAATTTACGGCGCAGCTCCATCTGCTTGCAGTGTGGCCATCAGCCTTCCACGTTGGAGGTTATTGAAAGTCGTCAGCGTGCTATTAATTATCAACGCAAAGCCAGTGCCGATGCTCCCTTGGCCGTCCTTCAACTGCGGCAGAAACCGCCCAGATCCGCCATCTGCATGACGGCTTCAAGATTGCCCGCTTCGACCTCGCCTGAATGCAATATTTGTGTCAACGCACCATAAACGGCTGCTTGCCGAAATGTCATTATACTGCCATATGTCTGAATTCGGACACACAAATACCGGTACACTTGGACTTCCGGCCTTGATCCCGGGCCTCCTCCAAGACAAAACAGAGGTACATGGACAGTGCTTGGCCTTGATGCATGAAGTCCAGATATGGACGCGCGATCGGCGACTGAGCGCCTAGTCGAATGCCACCATACCGGGTGGGTTCACTGGGTTGGGCCAACTTGTTCTGGCCTGCCCTCTCCCCCGGAGTTCGGAGTAGATCACTCTGGCCGCTTTGGCCTGGGCAGGCGGGATTGGATGAACGGCGGCACGTACGAATTCTTAGTTCTTTTCATACTCCGAGCTCCATGCTGATACGGGTGATGTGCGGGAAATCTGGATACATGCGTATCCGTACAGTTTGTCAAAAGTGTCCACGCAGCAAGAGAAGTGTCCTTGTCAAGTGTCAACTTGCTCCCCAACTTGCCAAGCCTGGGGTCCCTGACAGTCCATCAACTTTACGTTCGGACAAAATGCCAAGCCCTGTGTGTTTGGTGGGATCGGTCATCCTGATCTTCGTATACATACCGATAACAACTACTCCGTACATAGGTTGTGTAAGTGTTAGACTTCCAACACACCATATCCGGCAGCTGTTGCAATCGGCCATGAGTTTCTCTCTAACTATAAGATATCCATCCCCACCTTAAGGTTCTGTTCTGCTGCCCTCTGCATGCTTGAGTTCCGTCAACTGCTCGCGAGAGGCCAGAGCAGCTGCTCACGGCTTTCGTGATTTCATCCCTCACGGAATACTGCTATGTCGCAGGTTCGGCGTGGTCTCTGGCGGTAGGAGAGTTGGAGGAGGGGGAGCAACGTCAACATCGAGTCGCCAAGCGTGGCTGGCGCTGGCTCTGCATGGCCAAGCACCCCGCCCCAAAGACCCGACGACGACAAACGAAGTAACTGAGGGGACAAAACAACAGAGGGAGCGGGACGGCCACGGACCTGCGCGCGGGAGTTCAGATCCCCCCGGTATCCGGTAATGCTTCGCCCAATCCACGGCCGTTGTATTCCATGGGACGCCGACGCAGCCGAAGTTATTCCCCCGCCTGCTCCGGCCAGCGCTCCCTTATCTGTCTTGGCCAGCAGACCCAAAGGAAAACGCCTCAGCCCGTATGACAGTGGATTCCGGAGCACGACAGCCATGCCAATGTTTCGAAGGCACTCCGCCCCCGCCGGGACGTCTCGTGAGGAATCAAGATACTCCTGTGAGATCGGCCCAAGCCCGAGGTGACGAGGACAGCAGAATACGATGATACGCCCTCGCGTATAGAAGTTGTATGCATGTCTCATCATCCTATGGGATAGCATAGCACTCTGTCTCAGTCTCTCTACTGCGTAAGCCTAATAATAAGCCCCTCAAACTGCCCTGTCCCGCCTGTCGTGCTCGGTATCCGTGGATCCCTTCGACTTCGATAGACACGAAACCTCCACATTGGTGAAGATCGCTCTCGATATCACGCCACCACCATCACCGGCTACGGTACTACCTCATTATGTCCGAGGTATTACCAGATCCCTAGTGTAGAACAGCCACAGCTCTTTTGCCTTGCAGATTTGCCCGTCACCCGACAGAAAGCACCGTTTACAAGTGGCGTATCCCAAACCCTCTTGTTGCTGTCCGCATGACTCTGCGCCATTAGGTACTTAGTCACCAATCTCGTGTGGTGTGAGACCGACACACTTGCGTCAGTCCATGATCTGCATGCAACTCACTCAGTCTTGTTGCCCTATTACTCACACGTGTAGTGTAGCTCATAACTTTTTGACTGCCGTCTGTGTCTGTGCTTATCGTGTTTCTCATCGGGGGATTACCAAACGTATACATGGCTAAGGTAAGGTACTCGGCCTCATCATCAAGCCTGGTGCGATGTAGAACTGCTGGTTATCACATCGAAATATGTCTTCCAAAAATGTTACGGATACTTGCAGCTCATGACGCTCAAAGCAGCATCATCATGGTTGACATCAAATTGGCCCCTTGAATCTGGAGGGCAAAGCGGCCCTTAAATCAGGAGGGCACACTGACTCTGCGAACGACTGTTCGTTCCGCTCTCTCCTGTTCATCCCTCCTCTCGGCCATCGATGTCTCTCTTTGCCATGGCACTGTCCAATTGTATGTCGACACGAAGGGATAAAGAAGATAGTAAATGCGCCATATAACAGACCAACTGATCTTGAAACTCGATCTTGATGATAACATGAGAATATGCTCAGACCTAGACGCTGCGCTATCAGTCCATCGGGCAGGTAGATCATTGTCATAGATGCAGTCCATGCGCCCGTCATTCCAGCACTTCAACTTGTATGTATGAGTGACGCCGGGAATGCCAGGGACAGTTGAGCCCCCTTCACGCCTCCTGATTTGACCTCTCGACTTCTCGCAGCCAGACACTTCGCGTTCCATGCCATCCAGCCGAGGCCTACACAAAAGAACAGATGGATTGCTCTATGTCTACCCCGGTCCCTTACAGTACATTCATGGGTTGGGTTTGGATGCAACACCGATTATAGTACACGCTGAACCCGAGCGCGGCTCCCATTTCTCCTCTACCAAGCCCCTCATTCCCCCCTCGCCTCCTTTTCTCCCGTAATCTAAAAGTTCCTGCTCATATCGGCCCTGATTCTCGCATAGTCAAAGAGGCCTTCGATGCTGCCGACAGCGCTAATGGCAACGTCCTGGTCCCAGATTTTCCTGTTGGCGAACTCCATAACGTCCTTCTCGGTGATGCCGTCAATGATGCGCTCAATCTCGCCGGGGCTCATCCGACGGCCCGTCGTGACGATCTGCCGGCCAATGTCCTCGGCGACAGCCGTGGTGCCGTCCAGGGACAGGAGGATGGATGCCTTGAGCTGGGCCTTGGCGCGCTCAACCTCTGCCGGGGTAACGCTCCCAGCCAGGCGGGACCACTCGCGCAGGGTGAAGTGTACCAGGTCGTCGATGGTGGAGAGCTTGTCAGTAACCATATAAATACCCCAGAGACTACGGAAACTGGTTAGCAGAGAACTTGCCAAGGCAAGCGGGCGACGGGCCGCTGGCATATGGGGCTTACCCAGTATCGCTATAGCTCGTGGAGAAGCTCATGTAGCTGGTGGCAAGGTCGTTCTTGTGGACGATGCCGCTGAGCTTGCTACCCTGATGCGGGGCGTTGCCGAGGGCCTTGTCGTAGTTGCCGACAATGGCCTGGGTCACCAGGGCGGTGAAGTAGTCGTCGTCGTTCCAGCTAACGCCCTCAACGGCAATGGCAATGTTGGCGGTCGGGATGGTGTCGTCGCGGATCCTGACGTCGGAGCCGATGAAGTCGGGCTTCTTCTTGGAAAGAAGGTAGGCGCTCGTCTCGGGGGCCTTGGACGGAAGGTTCGCAAAATACTTGTCGGCCATCTCGACCAGCTGCTGGTGGGGAACGCCGCCGGCGCCGACGAGGACCATCCGGTCAGCCGTGTAATTGTTCTTGATGTAGTTCACGAGCTCGGTCCGGGTAATGTCGCGGATGTTCTCGCGGGGACCGAGGATGGTTCGGCCAAGAGGCTGGTTCTGGTAGGCTATGGCGTGCAGGTGATCGAAAACAACCTCCTCAAGCTGCTTCTCAACCTCCTCGGCTTCGCGCAGGATGACGTCGCGTTCCCGTTCGATGGCCGACTCCTCGAGCTTTGAATTCTGGAGAATGTCTTGCAAGATGTCAACACACCTAGGCACATCTTCGTTAAGCGCCTTGGCAAAGTACACGGTGTTCTCGCGCTGTGCCCCCCAGTTAGCTGTCGGCAGAGGCTTTGATGTCTTATTTTGGGACGAACCGAGGTGTAGGCGTTGAGGTGAGCGCCCATGTTCTCAATCTCGAGCTCCAATTGCTGCTGTGTCCGGTTTGCGGTGCCCTGTTTGCGGCGCAAATACAGTCAGCCAAACATGAGTCTTTCCACGCGAAGGCACATGTCAGGCGAGACGGATCCGTACCTTGAAGGCGAGATGTTCGAGGAAGTGGGCGGTGCCGTTGGTCTCGTCGGTCTCTGCGCGCGACCCGGCATCAATCCACATGCCGACAGTCGAGGTCTGGGCGTAGGGAGAGTATTGTGTCGCAACCTGAGTTACGGATCGAGTTAGAGACGAGCTCCACGAGGTCAATTGGGCTGACCGAAGCTCACAGTCAAGCCATTCTTGAGTGTTGTCGTCTCGGTCTTGATGGCGGGCGAATTCGTGTGAGGAGTTGCGAGACCTCGCCTGAATGGCACAGAAAGACCTCTGGCGCGGCCTCGAAGGCCTTGCGCGAGGTTCAGAGCGAGTCTCCGGGACGCCATGAAGGTGAATGGGGTGAAGGGGGGGCGTGGAATGAGCGGTTTGAAGGTAAGGTTTGGACAATTGCTCCCTCGAAAATCTATGGGTATGCAGCGTAATTTTGCCTCACTTCCAAGGCAAAGATCGGAAACGCCCGGGCCAAACGCTGGCTCAACGGGAACGAAGCTCTGCGTCACGTGTCAAGGCCGCCTTCGGCCCGCAATCGTTCTTGGCAGTTGGAAATTCAGCCACCAGGATTCGCTGATGCTGGCGCTGCCCCACTATTTCCCTCTTACACCGGAAGCTATGACACGGTTCATGTCGGGTTCATGTTCGTGGACCAGGACTCCTAGAGTCTCACCTTGGATTAGGAGCAGACATTGCGCCTTCCTGGCCCGTTAACCGCAATACCTAAGTGGATAGGCAAGCCTTGCGGCTTCGAGAAGCCACACCATTCGCCATCTCGACATTCAAGGCACGTGGCAGGAACAGCTTCTTTTCAGCGCACAGCAAACGGTAACGTTACTCAGTATCAAGGGGCATATGTATGGACGTGGTGATCGCTGGAAGGAGATGCTGGTAGGTGAACAGGGCAGTAGGAGAAGCCCTCAGAACTCGCAGAACACAACCTTGACTACGGATATTGTGAAGGGTGCAGACTTTAAAGTCCGCAGTTCTGTCGTCTCCGAATGAGTAAGGTACTGTACCTTGGCCAATCTGCGGTCATCCCAAGGGCATCGTGCCTTCCATGGCAGGGTCAACAAAGTCTTGTGAATTGTACTAGGCAGAATGTTCCACCAATTGGCGTCAACGCATGCACAGCGTCGTTCGTTGGTACCTCTACGCTTGACACTGATTCTGCCTCCTTAGATCCGTTCGTCTCTGGCCCGGTCTCACAGATCATGGCGGCCTTGATTGCGACATATCCGCCCCTAGGGCAGGTCACACAGCTGCGAGGATCCGGAGAGATAATATTCCACGCTGTCCTGGAGGTTCCGAACGAATTGCCAGCAGACGCCTGGCAGCTTGCACTCTGGCATTCAAGCGGCAGCCATGGAGACTGGACTGAAACTGAACTGCTTCCCGATGCGCCAGACGTCCACCGGCCAGCACTACACGAGACTCATGGCACCAAGTCGAGCTTTTACTACACGGCAAGATTGGTTCTGGAGGCTCCACTGACTTTTACCGTCAAGTATCGAACAAAGCCCGACCAGGATTGGCATTGGGTCCGTGACGAGCAAGGCCTGGACGATGGCATGGTGCTAGCCGACCACACTCCCGCTGGAGAGCATGATTCTGACGACTTGCCGGACTTGATCCAACATTTGAATCCAGATCTCCCGTGGAGAAGCCACATGAGCCAGAGCCCTGGAACACGGCTTTGGTCCATCGACGCGCGGGTAGATGGAGCAAAGGATGGCGAGTCAGCATATGCCCAAGTACCCCTGGGTATCCCGTGGGGACGCTTCCTGAGGTAGGGCTTCCTTCTCGCTTGAAACGGAAGCTCTAGGCCGTCCCAATAACTGAATGTACTGCAGATGGTTTGCCCTGGTCCGGACTTGGACGCCGTGGCTTGGTCCACGGCATGGGAAATCGACCTTCGAACTAGATAAAGATGCATTGCTCTGCTCATTTCTGTCCCCACAAGGAAAGCACCTCGTCTTCCTAGGGATGAGCGGCGTCGGCGATGTCATTACCCTCTTTCGCAGCGGAGAGTCGGGACGCTTGACACTACATGTAGGTTCTCCACGGGCTCAAGGACGGCTGATGGTTGATCGCCGCTCATGCTACACCAGATTCGGAGCGATAATGCGCATGCGGCGGTCGGCACCGTCCTAGTCGCAGTTGGCAATGATTTTGAGAGCGCGAGCGCAGCTGTCATATACCACGCCCGAACGCTCGTTAGCTCAGGTAATGTCTTGACCGCTGATGGAAAGGCCGAATCAGAGCCTCCGAGCAAGGTCAAACCTGAATGGTATGAGAATTGGTATGATGGCCTAGGATACTGTGAGGGCAAATCATACCCAGATCGTGAAACAGCACACAGTCTAACCGGCCTTCCGTAGGTACATGGAATGCCCTAGGTCAGCGATTGACAGAGGAGAAGGTCCTCAAAGCGGTTGACACACTGGCCGAGAACAACATCAACATTTCAAACCTGATCATAGACGACAATTGGCAAGACATAGACTACAGGGGAAATGGTCAGTGGCAACACGGCTGGAACGATTTCGAGGCCGAACCCAAAACTTTCCCCAGAGGGCTCAAGGCATTAGTATCAGACATCCGCTCGAAACATGAACACATACAATACATTGCCGTCTGGCATGCACTGCTGGGCTACTGGGCTGGACTCGCGCCCGAAGGTCCACTTGCCAAGCGGTACAAGACAGTCGAGATCATCCGTGAGGACGGAGAGCGCCGACACCTCCCCACGGGAGGGAAGATGACGGTAGTAGCTAAAGAAGATACCGAGAAATTCTACGATGACTTTTACCGCTTCCTATCGTCCTGCGGCATCGACGGAGTCAAGACCGACGCACAGTACATGCTCGACACCTGGGTCTCCCCTCGAGCCCGCCGAGAACTCGCTTACGCCTACCTCGATGCCTGGACTCTTGCCTCCCTTCGGCATTTCGGTGGCCGGGTGATCTCGTGCATGTCCCAGGCGCCGCAAATCATCTTCCACTCCCAGCTCCCGCGCAACCGTCCCGCCGTCGTCTGCCGCAACTCGGATGACTTCTACCCGGACGAGCCCGCTTCTCACCCGTGGCACGTCTGGGCGAATGCTCATAATGCCCTGTTCAACCAACATCTTAACATCCTCCCGGACTGGGACATGTTCCAGACAGGATCGCATTACCAGTATGCCGGCTTTCACGCCGCCGCTCGCTGTGTCAGCGGCGGGCCTGTCTACATCACCGACGTCCCTGGCCAGCACGACATTGGCCTGATCAAGCAGATAACGGGCACTACGCCCCGGGGCCGCACTGTCGTTTTCCGTCCCAGCGTGCTGGGCAGGACCCTGGATGTGTACAACGCTTACCAAGACCCGGCATTGCTTAAAGTCGGGGCCTACCATGGACGGGCAGGAGCCGGGGGAACGTCAATTGTGGGCGTCTTCAATGTCTCGATGGCAAAGGCGCTGACGGAGCTCATCCCGCTCACGAGGTTTCCCGGCGTGGTAGGGTCACTCAACTATGTGGTGAGATCGCATGTGAGCGGGAAGGTGACGCCCCCCTTGGAGGTCGGAGCGTCCTTGTCGGTGCTCACCCTCTCGCTCCCTGCCCGGGGCTACGACGTCCTCTGCGCGTTCCCCTTAACAGCGTTTGAGTCGCGGACGAGAGGACAAGAAGTGCTGCTTGCAAACCTGGGGCTTGTGGGTAAGATGACTGGCTGCGCGGCCGTTCTAAACACCGTCTATGACCTTCGTGAGAATGGGCGGATGCTGGTTGACACGACGCTCAAGGCGTTGGGTGTGTTGGGTGAGTTGGCTGACACTCCTTCAGTCCTGAAAGTATCTTGGGCCGTAATGTTGCTAATCTGGCCGGTGACAGGCATCTACATCTCGGTACTCCCCGAGCTGTCTCTTCAGGATGATTTTATGGTGACCACCCAGGGACAGCCTATCCCTCCTCACACGGTATCCGTGAATGAAGGGGACCAGCATGTCCTCGATGTCGATATTGAATCGGCTTGGCAGGAGATGGGCCTTGAGAGTGGATGGGCGAACGAGGTTGAGGTGAAAGTCTATTTTGCGATGGAGAAGTGAGATCCGGTCTACACCATGTGTATTCAGACCCGCGGTTTCTCGCTTGCATGCCGATCTGCTAGCTGGTGACGGCTCACATCGCCAAGCTCAACATCAACACATAACTTCTCTGATTCCCGGCTGAAACTGGCCGCGAGTAGTCCAGTTAAAGTACTTACATCTAGCTAACCGCCCATGACTCCATCGGTAGCCGGAACGGAGGCACACAATTTGTTCATGAGTGCTCGGTTGAGATCAGTTGTTCGCTCGATATGCCGCGGTCTGCTTACCACACGCCCGACTTCTCTGTCCGGCATGACATCATGCATGCTGCTGTGGAGGGAACTTAACCCGTGTTTGCTATGCAGTGTGCAGACACGCTGAAGCATCAGTAAACACCTGCATTGCATAGATCATGTCGGCGCTCCATGCCTCTTATGTTGACCGTGGCGCTAGCTTCTGAGTTGTCACCGTTTCAGTCATTGCTTGAAAGAGATCAGAAACAATTAGCAACTCAACCGACTTCTTCAAGATGAGCCCCAAAGTCCTTGTGTAAGTCCTGAGCCATAACTATTGGGATCAAGATGAGTAGAGTATCTAACACACAACTACCAATTATAACAGAACTGGAGTAACTGGTACGTCTGGATATCCATGGTTGCTGGAACCCCCTATACCTACTCAACTGTATCAGGCTACATTGGGGGCGATGCCTTCCATGCTCTTTATGAGGCCAATCCGGACTTCGATTACACCCTGGTTGTGCGCAACAAGGAGCGCGAGGAGCTGGTGCGCCGAAAGTATCCCAACACAGACATCAAGATTGTCTATCCAGGAGCTGCCAGCCCGGCCATGTCTCTGGCTGACGTCTTGGAGGAGGAAGCCAGAAAGGCGGATATCGTCCTCCGTATGTCCATGATTCTGTACCTACCGGTACTTACGGGCCAACCTCAGGTCATGGACACAAAGCTGACAATTCTACAAGACACGGCTAAATCTGCAGACGACGCTGTCCAAGCCAAAGCCATCCTAAGGGGCCTGCAAGCCGCCGGCCGCTCACCTGAGCACCCGGCATACTGGATCCACGTCAGCGGGACTGGAATTCTACAATGGGTAGGCACAGTACTTCCTAGTATCACTACTAATAGCCCATCCACGGACACAGGGACCGTTCCCCGTTCCTCAACCGTCAACCCCTTACCCCTACCCCTACATGTAACCACGATACTAACCTCACGCTACACTGGCATGTAACCAAAAAAAAGTACGACCAAACCCACAACCGCGTCGGGCAACTCCCCCTCCCCTCCGAAAAATACGACGACATAGCCGACATCGACCGGATCCTCACCCTCCTAGACTAAGCCCTGCACCGTGACGTCGACAAGATAGTCCTCTCCGCCAACGACAACAGCAGCATTAAAACAGCTATTGTCGCGCCCCTAACTATCTACGGCTTTGGCCGCGGCCCAGTTAACAATATCAGCCAGCAGATCCCTTCCCTGACACGCTTCGTTCTGCGCCATGGCTACGCGCCGATTGTTGGGCAGAACGGGGGAGAGGCTGAGTGGGATCATGTTCATGTGAGGGATGTGAGTGAGTTGTTGGTGGGGCTTGTTCGCTATGCCGCGGGGATGGGTGGTGGTGGTGGTGCTGCTGCTGATAACCCTGAAGTGTTCGGGGGGGAGGGCATACTACTTTTGCGAGAGCGGGACACATGTTTGGGGGAAGGTGGCGGTGGAGATTGCGGGTGAGGCGGTGAGAAGGGGGTTTTTGAAGGAGGTTGTGGTATGTATTGTGTTTACTTGCTCCTACTTGGTGCTTACTCACTTATATAATACCTACACCTTTCCACCTTCACAAGGGTGGTGGTGGTGGTGGTGGTGGTGGTGGTGGTTTGTGTTCCGGAGGACTTTGGGGCGGCTCTGCTCTGCTCTGCTCTGCTCTGCAATGCCCTGCTACCCTGCTACCCCCTCCGTGAAATACTTACTGCTCAATGACAGAGGATAAGTATAGCTGACTTGACTTCCCTTAGTCCAAGCACGTGGAGGATGGGCATGCAGCCGGGGACACGTGGGGGAGGAACTCCAAAGGGGTGGCATCAAGGGCAAGGAAGTATCTAGGGTGGAAGCCGACAGGGCACGGGCTTGACGAGGAGATCCCCAAGATCGTCGAGTTTGAAGGTCGGAGGATGGCTGTGGAGGGGGTTCCCTCGGACGAAATCCCCGGTTGAAATGTTGCAAGGTGATAACAGGATGATATCGTACGATGAAGCGATGCAATCAACAACGCGACTTTCTGTTTAGTCAAGGCTTTGACCTAGCTCTGTCGACATCTGTAGGCGATCACCAAGCTTTATTGCTCTGATCACAGAACGCACCGGTTCTTGTGCCATCATCCCCTAACCAGAAACCAAGACAAGCGTGCACTAACCCGACACCTGTCACGTAGAAGTCATCTGCTATTCAAGTCGTGTAGCTGAAAAGTGATGCAGTGCGGGGAAATGATCAACGGCCTACTAGGAGCTTTCTGCTCTCGGCCGTTGTGTTTCTGTCTATCAGTTCTCGCATGACATCAAAGACGCATCATCTGTCAAGCCGTGCCCGCAAGTGACAAGTATCTCGACTAGGCCCATTCACCATCCCCGCTTCTCCCACACTTTATAACTCCCACAACGCCGTTTATTGAAGCTTCCATACCCATAGAGGAGCGAGCAAAAAAGTAAAGAATATGCTGAGCGCTAGGCCTTCTAACCCAAGTGACCAAAAAAGCAATCCGAATCACCCCAGCGCGGGGGTATCGGCCAACCAGCTACATCCCCAACAAGCTCATCTGCCGCCTGAGAGGACTTGCAGCGCTACTGCTCTCCTCACTCGCATAGCAGGCGGAATCGGTATCGATATCCCACCCCTCGTCGTCGTCTTGATTGCCGTATTCGCTGGTCAGCGACGCCGATGAGCCCTTGGTGCTGCCCGTGTCAAACGCCTTTTGCGTGGCGGCGCGAACGTTCCACCTGAGCGTGCGGGAAACGCTGTCGAACCACTCGGTGTCGGTGCGCACGACCGTGGGGAAGGGGTACTGCGACGCTGTGATGGTGACATGGTCGCCCTGTTTGAGCTCGACGCGGCCCTTCCCGTCAAAGGCGCAGTAGGCCGTGGCCCGGCTATTGCGCGGCACCGAGACGCGCAGGAGCATCGTGTCTGAGAGGACCATGGGCCGGAAGGATAGCGTGTGCGGGCAGATTGGGGTGAGAAGGATGGCGGGAATGTCCGGGTGGACAAGGGAGCCGCCGGCCGAGAGGGAGTAGGCAGTGGAACCTGAGGGGCTATGTCAGCATTCAGTTCGAGGACTAAGGGCTGCGAGAGGTACCTACCAGTCGGAGTTGAAAAGATACAGCCATCCGCTTGGACCACAGTCAACAGCTCATTGTCACCGTACAGCTCCAGGTTGGAGACGTACGGCGACGGCCCGCGGTCAATGACGAGCTCGTTGAGAACCTCGAACTGTTCACCTTCCTCCATCTCGTCTCCGGGACCGTTGCGATACACGGTACAAGTGAAGCGCATCCGAAGATTGACACGCATACCCTCGTCGCCCATGACGCGGTTCAGGTGGTCCTTGTACCGCTCAAACTCGAAACTGGTCAGGAAGCCGAGGCTGCCCAGGCTGAAGGACAGCACGGGCGGCACAATTCGCTGGAACAGCCACGACGTGAAGAGAACAGTCCCGTCACCGCCGAGCGTAAGTACTAAATCAAACTTTTCCGGCTGGCTCCAGCACAGGTCCGGCGTCCAGTACCTAAGCATGTCGTGGAATCGGGGATCCTCATCAGTGATTCCCCGAGCATTGAACCGTTTCGAATGGCGCAGCTTGGCATCTACGTAAACATTGACGCCGACGTCGGAGCCATAGCGCGGGGTTTGCAGCAGCCACAGGGCCAGCTCGCGGGTGAGTAGAACCAGCTGATTATCACGAGCCTTGGTGACAATCATGACGTTCTTGACGGCGCGCCGGATGGGCCGGCGCTGGAGCTGCTTGGACACCTCACGGACGCCCGTGGCCGTCTGCACCAGCCGTGAATGCGACATCCACTCGTCGTTCTTGATTTCCTCGAGTACCTTGTCAATGTCGACGGCGTCATCGAAACGGGTATGGTAGAAGCAGGGCGACTGCAGGGAAGGGAAGGCGGCGGTGGGCGTCATGGTGACAGTCGGGCGGGGGTTTTGAGCCTGCGCCAGCCCGTACAGAGCGTCGCAAAGCTGCTGAGAGCAAGCGGACGACGGTCGATTTTCGCCGCTCTTCGGGGCGCTATGTGCGGATAACATGCCGTTGAGTGAAAGGGCTTGGGGCTTGTTGTTGCGCGCCACAGAGGCCAATGCTTTCATAAGCGTCTGTCGCGGGACCGACTCAACGGAGAGAGCGTTCTTGCGATGACCGTGGGGTAGAGTGCTGGGCTGCGGAGGCTCGGGGTCCTGGGCCACCAGGCTATTTACTACTGGGAGAGCGGGTTGAGACTCAACGAGGACATCACCGTGCCGGACTGTCGATGATACCGGCGTCGCCGGCGTTACGTCGGGAAGTGAATGGTCCGCGGAGGTTGGGTCCTCGTTGTCCGTCGGCGAAGGCCTTAGTCCGATCGTGACATTGTAACTGTCGGCGGTGTCGGGATTGGCGGGAGCGTAGGTATTAATTCCTTCCCCGTTGCAGCGCCGTTGAGGCGACGGGAGCGGGAGGTCCGCGGGGTGAGCAAGGGCTGGGTGAATTGAAGACGACATTTTGGGGCCGGTCACGGTTGGTTTGGGGGAGTGGGGTCAGGCTAGCTTAGTTGGGAGGGTTCGATGCTGCCCTGGGCCTCGTGGTTGCTTCTCCAAGGAAGCTAGGGTACGAAGCCGGCAGGTAATCACAGTGGATTGTAGCGAGTCTGCACCTTCCCCGTCACAGGCTTCAGGTTGCGTATTCACCCGCACACTGCGCGAGAATGTTCTGCGAGAAGCAGGCCAGAGCGTCGGAGTTAACGGACCTGCAGTGTCTGTACGAGTGCTGTAACAGAGAGCGCGTGCTGCAGAGAGATGCGCCGTCACCCTGTCTTGCCGACGTCACCGATTAATCCGCGAATGTGGAATGACGGAGAGCGGAATAATTGACAATTGGTGGTGGACAGGCTTTCTCGGCTTACTCGGTTGGCACTTTATGATGGATTTGACGCAGCAACCGCAGGACCTGTAGTCAGAACTGTCAGCGGACATGCCTCGACGGGGCGTTGACCGACCACCTAACGTAGTGGACGGGAATCTAGAACCGGCCCTTGAGGGTCCAACTCCGAGCCACCGGATCCATGGCTTCAAGAGCTTTGATGTTCAGGGGAATTCCACGAAGTGCTCACCTCAGCCGGCGTTTAGCACAAAATCACTCCAAGTTTCTTCAACTGAATCAAGCGGTACCCAGGGGTATAGAGTGTTATTATCAAGGAATCGTTGCCGAGTGAGGGACGATTCTTTGGAGCGGGTTTAAGGGGTTCGGGTGGCGGGTTAGCGGGTCAACAAGCAGAGGCCCACTGCTGCACGGTTTTCTTGGACCCTGATCCTGTGTCGCGGGCGCTGGACTTTGGGGCTTGTGGTGTTGGGTGGCCTTGGCCTACTGTAAGCTCAGGGCCGTGGAGAAGGATGGGCGCTACCAGTGAGGGCTGAAGTGTGACTGCTTTCAGGAGCAGGATGATGGGAGGAATGGCGACCCGATCGGAAATGCACGGGATTTCCAAGTGATCGAAGCAACGATTGGATGACTGCGTCGAGAACGAGTATGTGCCGCCGTAGAGACCGAGTCTAGAGCCGCCGAGAGAGTAACCCAAAAAACCGAAATGCTGAAGAGCAAGACCAAAGTATGAACTAGGTAGACTGGAAGAGGACAAAAAGAATAAATTAACCAAATTGAAGATAAGAAACTAAGGTAATCGCGAGAACTACCAGAGCTCTGCTTCAATGAATGCTCCCAGAGCCGAAGAAGGAATATTAAGACCGTGATGGAAGGAAGGTATGTGGTTGGGTCATCGAGACGAGGACCGAAAGACCAGTGGCAGACTCGATGGCATCCATTCCGGCTGTTTTAATATCTGGTGTACGGATAGTGGGTTAATGTTTAACAGCGGGTTCAGGGGCCAAGCTTAAGCTCTGGGGTAACCACTCCAGGGTTGCAGTCTGAGGGTCTAAGGAGGATACCTGCGATTGCTGTTTGTCAATATACAACATTATGTAGCACAAACGCGCAATGAAGCCGTCGCAGAAACGAGGGCCTTGTACGGAGTACCAGGGGCGTTATGTGTGTACCTGGTCAGCATGAGTCGAAGCACGTTTGTGGAGACCAATCCTGCATGCACGATGTCCGAGATCTTCGCAAATCTTCGCGCCGTGCACACAAGCAGTGGCTTGCACTCACTAGTGTGATGGCGCAGCCGCAGTAAGAGGTTGGCGGCAACCGTAACTCTATGCCGTACCCACTGCGCTTACCCTGAGTATAACGGCACTTGTGGCTTCACAAGATACTGCAAAGCAAAGATACCAAGGAGGTGTGACATGGCAACCCATCCGATTTCTGCAGCAGTGCAGCCACGCTGGTTCGGGAGCCAGGCTGGGGTAGATGGGTAGGTTCGCGACGCCGGGACAGGCGAGTCTCATCTTGTCTCCGCGATGCCAGGGTCTGAAGGCGAGCATGGAGGGGCCCTGATGCGGCATCACTTTCATGACACGCAGATTACCACACTAGAAAATTGATACCGCATGTCGGCGGTAGTTGCGCTGTAGCATACCAGAGCAGCTGCATGAGAAACAGCATCCCAGCTGCCGGCCTCTGTCGGCCTGTGATTGTGCAAGTGTTTGAAAGCTTGGGCGGACCGCATGTTGAATCGTGCTTATGATTTGCCTTGGAAATTGGCTGGCCCCGCAGATGTGACGCATTCAACAGAGACGCCGGCAAAGCCAGTGAGAGGAACAGCCGCTTTCAGTCTTCTGACAGATGCGCTGGGCCTTGGGAAAGCCTCATCAAGAAGCATGAATGAATCGAGGAAGAGGCGAAAGACGTTTCGACGGGTATCCACCTCTCCACCTGCAAGGCTAGGTACGCCGCCAATGCTCTGGAACGCCCCCCACACCGCTGAGTACCCGCCAAGGCGCCCAGGTTTCGCGGTCCCGTTCTCGAATGCCTGTAAAGTACTGTAACATTTTAGCCTCAAGGTTGCAGAAGCCGACAAATGCCCTGGGAAAGTGGCCTCATAGAGCCCTTGTAGGGAGCAAAGCTGAGACGAAACGGGGACCCTCGGCCCGCCAGCGGATAATCCCAAACACGAACCCTTGTAGGCGAGCCCATCAGCGTTCGAGACGGCGAAGCTTGCTCTTTTCACAGGAAACACACAGAGTTCGTGAAGGGGAGGGTAGTAAAGTCGAAAAGATCCCTGAAAGGGGCTGATTCTCGGTCGAACGAAGATCTCAAGCCTCCAATTGCTGCGACCCGTGGCTAACTGCCGATTATTGATTTGTGGATGTGCAGCCTATAGCATTTCAGGCTGTCGCCCAAAGGTGAATGCTTCCATGCTCACCAGTGTCACCACTAGGTCACCACCACTTTGTCTCCCTTGATCCGTCGCAGAGCCTTGTAGTCATTGTGACCGGACTTGACTGGCATCTCGGCAGCGGCAGCGCGGGCGCCTCTCTGAATCGTCTCGCACTTTCGTAGTTCTTGGTCCAACCATGCCGTCTTCAAGCGCCAACGAAATGCTTCGGGCAGACCTCGGCCTCTGATCCTCACGAGACGAGACGGATTAGGCTGCAGGTACTGCTTTACTTCCAATGAAGATCCGCAGCAACTTTGTCTTCCACGGCCGACCGAAGGAAATGGCGCGTATCGGGACCGTCGGCAACCTCGTCGTCCAGCATCATCTCGATGCCTTCCTTGGTCACTGTCGACCGACAGCAGACCCTCTCGGCGATTTCGCAAACCTCATCCCACTCCCGGACCGTGAAGTCTCCTTCGCTCTCTGCGAGAAGTAGCTCGTCTCTTGAGGTGAAGGCCAGTACATGGACTGATTTGGCTGCTTCGATCTCCCTAGGGGAAGGGTCGATTACTTTCTTCCTAGTGCCGTCCTGGAGCACTATCGCGACAGCAGTCGCGGTGGCTGTTGCTCTCATGGGCACTGCGGCCGAAAGAAGCGCTAGAACGGAGGTCTGGAACAAAGCCGGCATAATGCCAAAGTTCTAGCAGAGTTTTAGTACACCCACTCAGATATGACCAGGCAACCTGACCTTACTAGGCTGGCCTGAACGAGCTTGGTGTTGGCATAGTCGTTCTCGGGCGAGTCCTCGATCTGGAGGACTATTTGGATGAGACAGCGCGGGAAGTTTTTGACGAGAATGAGCTGCGAGAGCGAAGACTGCAAGAGAGACTCAAGGTGGCGCTCTCGGGTTCCTATACAGATAGATTGTCACTACCGGCCCATCGCACGTGAGATGTAGTGCCGAAAGCCTCACCTCCTACCCCTGCCGCCGGTCGTACGATGACATCGACATGTGCCTCATATGGATGCTCATCCCTCCGTTGGGCTTCGATGGGCCCGTTCACCGACGCTGTTACTGTGTACCCGGCATGCGAGTACCGAGCAGACCCGTCAGCCCGTGGAAGAACACCAAGTGCAGCTTCGGGTGCTGTTGTCGCCGTCATTTTTGGTTGCTATTCTTTTTTTCTTTTTTTTCTGTGCTGTCAAAGATGGATTTGATGCTCCTGCGTGATGAAGTTTTGGTCTTTTGGAGCTGTCCGGTTTGGGTTGGTCTGTGATTTGGATGGCTACAGGTAGCCACTTGCAGGTGGGCTGATCGCTGGGCTGTGGATCACCCCGCATCCCACTCACAGGCAAAGAAGCAGCCACCTACAGGGGTGCTACAGCCATCAGGCGGGAACATCAGTCGATCTTGTGCCTTGCTTCATCAAATTCCCAAACCATCATCGAAACAGCTCAAAGCACCTGCTTAGGATCAGCTCAAAAATATCAAGCCGAGTATCCCTGTGCTTGCTGCAGTGAGAAAGACCTTTGAAAAGACATCACATATCATGACTTCGACACCGTCAACTGCGGTTCCTGAAGCGGTGATCAATAACCCCAATCCCGTATCTGACCAGGGGCCACCATCCGGGCCAAGCCGGGGGATACCAAACCTCAAAGACCGCATCCCTAAACTCGAACCCCGGCGAAGGAAGCCCGAGCCGGCAAATACAACCCCAGTGCCCGAGACGCCAGCCGCTCCGCCACGCCCCGACCCGACAACTCTCACCTTCAAAATCCCCACCCGGAGGATCGTCTCTCCTAAGGACCACCAACTCTTCCTCGCCTCCCAGACCTACAATCTCATCCTCTCCTTCATCTTCGGCCTCTCAGAATCCGTCGTCGACAGGTCCATCTCCTCAGTCAAAGACGAAGAGCTCAGCGGCCCGGTCAAAGCCATCCTCTCCATCCTCGACGAGGTCGAAGCTCTCTGTCGAGAGTCGCCTCCTTCGGACCAAGGCGGTTCCCGCTTCGGAAACAAAACCTTCCGCGTCTTCCTCGACAAGATCAAGTCCCGCTCGCCGCAATGGCAGACCTCCCTCCTGGAGAACAGCTCTCCCTCCACGGCAGCCACGTCCGCCGCCGAACCCGAGCTGTCCGCCTACCTGATGCAGTCCTTTGGCAACCGCAGGCGGATCGACTACGGGTCTGGCCACGAGCTCAACTTCTTCATGTGGCTGCTGTGCCTGTACCAGCTGGGGGTCCTCTCGCGGGGGGACTTCCCCGCGCTCGCGCTGCGCGTTTTCGCGCGGTACCTGGCGCTGATGCGCACCGGGCAAATGACGTACTACCTGGAGCCCGCGGGCTCCCACGGCGTGTGGGGGCTGGACGACTACCAGTTCCTGCCGTTCCTGTTCGGCGCCAGCCAGCTGGCCCACCACGCCTTCATCACGCCCCGCGCCATCCACCACGAGCTGACGCTCGAGGAGTTTGGGGACGAGTATCTGTATCTTGGTCAGGTGGCGTTTGTCAACAGCACCAAGACGGTCAAGGGCCTCCGCTGGCACAGCCCCATGCTTGACGACATTAGCGGGGCGAGGAATTGGGTCAAGATTGAGGGCGGGATGCGCAGGATGTTTGTGTCTGAGGTCTTGGGCAAGTTGCCGGTTATGCAGCACTTCTTGTTTGGGAGTCTGATTCCCGCCGCCGAGGGGATGAGTGAGCCTGGGGAGAGCGGAGGGAGAGGGGAGGAGGATGACGATGAGGATGATGGTGGGGAGGTGGAGGTGTTTGATGATAAGGAAGGGGTGAGGCATGTGCATCAGGCCAGTGGGTGGGGGGATTGTTGTGGGATTAAGGTGCCGAGCAGCATTGCTGCGGCTGAGGAGATGCGGAAGAGAGGGGGTGGAGAGAGCCTGCGGAGGATACCGTTTGACTGACTTATACACGGTCGAACGAGGGTTACCTGGAATATATATTTCAGCTGTTCGACCGAGAGCATGATCAACCTGTCCAGGATACGCAACCCGGTGTGAGATGACCGCGCTCTCGCGATTCAACTTCCTTCCGCATCACGCCACTCAGGGGCCACTGGATAGCGTAAGGGAGGGGGGGTTCGGAGCCTCGTTACGGTGGGAGGGATAGATGCTAAGGGGCACAGGCAATGACGAACGCTTTCCAGTGAAGATGTCACTTGGGATCTCAACATAAAAGTTGCTACAGACGGAAGGTACGGCAACGAGCCGTGAACCATGATTTCCAGGGGGGCATGTCTTGTTGGTGGCGCTGGGAATCTTGTCGATTGTCTTTGAGGTATGGTATTGAGTACTATGGATATCGTCGGGGGCTAACGGCATTCCACGAGAACGCTTAGCCCCGGTGAACAGCCGGCGTGCTCTACCTGGTACAGTAGTATCGCCGTGCCAGCCTTGACCGGACTGCTTTTCAGAAAATGACAGCCGCCTGTTTACAGGGAAACCTAACTCCTACTCATACTCAGTCATTACACGATGGTATACAAGCAAGTTAGTGACAGGATAGGCCCATAATGTATAGATTGTGCAGACAGACGGCCAAGAAGCGGACTTCAATGAGATCGGAATGAGGATTCGACTTCAGTCCATATTCAATGGCACTTTCCTGTACTCTCCGCGTCACAAGAGGCTCAAAATCGAGCAGAGGAAAGCTGGTTTTGAATTGCTATATGCGCACCCCATGATATGAGGGCACCCTGACCTTGGGACCAGAGCGGATTATACATGTCTGCCGATCAGGGAGCTCACTCCACCAGCCAAGTTCCCCCAGACGAATATCCCTCCTTCCAGAAACCATCGCCGGCCCAATGCAGTACAAGAGATTATTAGCACTCGATTAGAGAATGGAATGGCAACAGACGCATGATGACCCCCCCGAAATCAAAGCTCCCTAATAGTAGTATGTGGCGATTGCCAGGGTGCCCTTATGAATGCAGATGGAGTAGGGTATCCGAATGATGTGGTCACTGAACGCCTCCCAATGTTGACCCTTGCCCATGATGAGAAGAAAGAACCAGATGCTGAAATGCTGCCGAAACTGATGAGAACCGCCCCGATGAAGGATTCCTCCATGCTCCGCCCCAACGCAACTGTTGATAGCCTTGTGGTGCCGGCTTATTTGTGCCAGGCACGATATTCGCTCATGCGAATCAGACGATTCCCTTGGAAGCCTTTAGTCCTCCCATATCGTCTCCAGATCCAGATCCTGTCTCCTCTCGGCACCGCACACACTCCACCGTTTCCGCTTGTCTCGGGAGCTGAAACCGGTCAGTGTCCGGCCACGAACCGGCACATCCAGGCTGCTCCTTGCTTTCACGTCGCCACCCTCAGCGGCTTCTGCGGCGGCCTTGAGTTGCGCCAGTCTCTCGGCCTCGAGTGCTGCCTCTTCGGCGTCTGGGGAATCGGGGATGGTCTCGAGACTGGAGATGCTCGGGCTCCTGGATCTAGCCGAAGTCGGGGTCGAGGGCACAGAGGAGGATGGGTATGCAGCCGAAAAGGCATAAGAGTCGTACGGTCGGTAAGATGGCGAGGTGGCGGCCCCAGAAGGCGTGGTTGGCACCGCGCTGATGTGAGCAACCTGACAAAGTGGGGACGACGGCCGCCGCAGTTTTGGCACGGACGTGGCATACGGCCCGCCCAAGGCTCGATTCGGCGAACTGTTTCGCTCGGACGAGTTTCGTTCGGGATCAATCACCGAAATCCGTGTTGGCGATGTGGGGAATACTTCGTCTACTGGCTTCCGCGGGAGTCTGATCCGACTTGGGGATCCCGAAGGGCTCTGAGGACGGATCTGTGGGGAGTATAAAAGGTGGCCAGTGGCAGTCGTGCCAGGCATGGATTGTGTGCGAACCATGGGCAGCGGCGCCAGACTCGCGGCAGAACGAGACCTAACGTGGCTGCTGGACAGCGGCGAGGATGCGCGGGGTCGGTAGGGCAGTGCCGAGGGGGGAGCCCAAGACGGCGAGGCAAGGGAAGATGTTGGAGAAGGGTCGGTCGATCGGCGGATAGTGGGCGGCTTTTTCAAAACTTCGAACTCTGGGGCCGCGAGCGCTGAGGCTCTCAGACTCGGAAGAGGCGAGGACCGAAACTCTTCCATTCGCTCGGTTTCCGGGACGGGCTCCATGTTGACCGAAGTTCGTGAAGTATATTTGGGAACCCTTGTCTCTCACCGGGCAGAAGATGCATAGAGCAGCAGCGACAGGGCGTAGACAAGAGAGGCACTGCGGATAACCAACGCAAAGCGGGATTGGTTTGCAGTCGTGTCGTGTGGTTGGAAAGGTGTTTGTTGGGTCTCACCTCACGACTGGCGATAATCGCTTTGTTGGAGACGATGGGTTCGTTGGCGCCGTGGTCATGCCCAGCAGAAGATGCAACCTTCCAGGTTGGAAGAGTTGCTCTGCAGAGGTCGACGGTGAGTCAAGAGATTCTTCTGGGTGAAGCAGGCACCTGCTGCCCATCATTTGATCAGAGGGGAAAACACTCACCCGTTTGCTGGGTGGCACGGCGTCAGTCCGGAATGCCAGGGCAAAGGGAAAAGGATCAAGGCGGGGTCTCTGGGGTCTCTAGCCGGCAAAATTCACCAATCGAAGATGCCGGACCCGTGCCGAGCCCACGATGACGGGACGTCTGGGGGCAGCGTCCAGGGGATTGATTGGGACGCTAATCATGCGCCGTTGCGTTTGCATGCCGATCTGTTAGCGGATCACCAGCATCTATGTACAGTACACCACCAACACTGCTTGATGTGAGACCTGGAAAGCCACCACCGCCTGTGCAGCTGCAAGCTTGCATCAAGGTCGGGTGGCTAACACCGATGTTCATATCACGACCACTTTCTGTAGCGACGGCAAACTTTTGCGGTGATCCCATCAACGCCCAGTGTCTAGGCTGAGTGACCTGAAACAATGCCAGTTGGCCGATAGTTGGGTAAGCCCTGCTCAATCGGACCTCCATCCCGTCGTCCGCATTGCTTCAAATTGCTCACCTAATCAACACTAGAGGCTAGAAGCCAAGTCCCTTGGGCACCTCAGCACTTCGATCCAAACTCTCAAACTCTTCAGGAAGCTCAGGCGCAATCAGACCTCAAGACGGTCAAGATACCATCCCAAGCAAATGTCTCACCTCATCCATGGAAACTCACCGCATCCAGGAATGAACTGACTCAAATTCCAGGCGTCGCTGTCGACTTCAGGATCTCCCTTCGCAGCGGTTCAGGCACTGTAAGGTCTTGCCTTATTTGCACGATACTCGAAACCACAACTTGACCTAACATACGGATATTACTAGTGCAGCGGTGTATGTATTTACAGTACAGTACCTCCGTATGGAGTACAGTGCAAAAACAGTAGGTAATTACCGCAAGTAATTACCAAATTCCCGGCTTACTCCGTACATGGCTCCATTTGTTGGTCAGTACGTACAGGATAAGGCTTGTTTGTTTGTTAGCGCGAAACTTACAACAGGGGCCCTAGTCAGGAAGTTCAAAAAGATACATCTCGACACCCAGAAAACCTAAATCAATGAAGATAATTTGAGCTCCTAGCAATACTCAGAAGCCTAGTTTTATCTCTAACTCTTTCTCTGTGAAAAAGGTAGACATTTTGACGTTGAGATTCAGTTCTTGGGGTAGACCCCTGTCTGTAAGTCACACGCTAGCGAAACAAACAAGGGTTGGACTGTAGTTGCGCTGACGGCTTAGAAATCCCAGGAATTTTTGTGACTTCGAATCCCTTACCTGGAATAGGCTTCCCAGTGTCACTTGTCACAGTGTTCAGATGCTTCCGTTTGCTAGCGAGTTCAACACTATCAGCATGGCACATGGTCCCCGACAAGCGCCAGCGAGAGTTCCAGCAACTTCCACGTTCGGCGGGGTAGCCAGCGTCAATTGTCGCATCTCATCGGCATTACTTGCTAGGTACGGGAGATGGACGTTGGCATTTTACCAGTACTCTTTCGAAGCACTTCCATTCTGAGACCGTGAGACCGAACTTGAACCTTGCTACTTCAGGTAAGGTAGCACTACCTGCCTTAGTACTTACCTGCCTTAGGTAATTCAAGGTTGGATGATACATGTTCTAGTCACGGTAAGTACCCTGAAGCACTGATTAAGGTAAATACTGATGTAGACTGTGTAGGATCATGATGGTTTTGGATGCGGTAGGACATGGTAGCGAATACGCACTCGCATGAGACCTACCTTAGCCCCTTTCTGCGTGGTCCCTGTAATGTTGAACGCTACGGTCTACCTATCGTCCTTGCAGACCTTGCTAACACTATACATCCAGCTGACCTAGACTCTCACAACTGCATCTGTCATACTTAAGTCCCCTTTTCAACTACCTATCACAGGCTATCAGCATGTCACTCTAGGTCTGGAAAGGGAAAGTGAACAGCGCGTCAACGAAATTCAAACAAGTACCGGAAGTGGACAATCAATTGCCTGAGTCGCCAGTCGATTCATTAGCTGCCGATGGGATACTACTTGAGCGAAGCTCTTGATTGCTCTTAGTACTAAGTACTAGTAAGACTCGAAGCCCCTACCCCTAAGTTTAGCCCATTGACCAAATCAAATCTCCAGGAGCAATACTAGTACGTTGTGCGCCATGAGGGCGACAGCACTGAGAGGCACCTGTTTCTTAACTCCGAGTCCGAAAGGAGGCGGAGCTCACTAGCCCCCGGCCCGAGCACTTCTCAACACCCGGTGTTTGGCGAACCTGGGCGCAGCACGAGGCTGAGTGAGATTCTGGACCTCTCATCATGATGTCCCTGAGTAAGAGCGGAGTCAAGAAATTCACATGAAGTTCCACGGTCCGGCTTTATATATACAGCTGAGGCCGAGTGGGATTGAGAGAGAGGTTGTATTGAATTAATACGACTTCCTACCTCACCAGTACGTACGACTACTAGGTAATGCCTTCCATACTCCTGAGGTTATAGCCAGCGTCTTACTGATTGTCTACTAGTCCGCCATTACAGCTACCCACATGCAGCTTGCATAGTCGCTACGCACCTGGCCAGGTTACAATCTGCTTCTTCCCTGAATTTCAATTCATACCGCATCATGACGGACGAAATATCAGGCTCCAGAGGTAGTAGATCCGAACATAAGTCACGCCGGCCACACAGGAAGTCTAGGTACGGCTGTACGAAATGCAAGGAGCGCAGAATCAAGGTACGCATCAGGTACTGCCTACCGTTACACTTACCACCTAGAAGTGACGGCTTGAAGAGATTGAAATTTGAATTCATTATGATATGGTCCACAAGTCTGACAGTGGGCATACACCGTTCAGTGCGACGAACTCACGCCACAATGCTCGAGATGCAGCAAGATGAACCTGACTTGCCGATATCCAAAGAGGAGTCCCGGTCTAGTGTTAGCCTCGGAGTCACTAAAGATCGGAGGAATCAAGCCCAACTATGAGAGTTCCAGCTCTGCGTCCCCCTCTGCGACAAGCCTCTTGTCACCGGCATCAACAACTTGCGGCCCCTCCCCCGGTCCGCAACATGTGACCAGACGACCGCGATGCAACAAAAAGGTCGACTCAGCCCTGCGATCGAGAGCAGTGCAGACACTTACACCGGATGAGTTCGAGCTGTTCAAACACTATCTCGAGCATACAAGCAGGGACCCGACGGTTGACAACGGAGACCAGTACGCTTTGCAGGTCGGCATCCCGAATCTGGCCTGTGAGAGCAAGCCGCTCATGAGATCTGTGCTAGCCCTAGCGGCAGTATGTAAATGCTGCGATGTCATCAGCCAGCCATTGTCGGTGCATGATCACGACATGGATGCACCCCTTCAGAGCCGCGGCCAAGTCCTTGAGCTTCTATCACTAGCTCACCGGTATCACATGGGGTCGCTGCAGGAGATTCAGACTGCCCTCCACGATACCAAGTCCTACGACTATATTCTCGCGAACGCCGCTATGATGGGAATGTACGGGTCTGGCAGCTACAGAGCCCGCGTCTGGTTGGCAAAAACGGCAGCCCCTGGGGAGCAAGCCCCGTGCGATTTCATACCCGAACATGCCGAGTGGATGAGCCTCTTCCGTGCCGCTCGGTTGGCTTATGCCGGCATTCTCAACAACCTGAATACGGCCACAGCGGACGATGAAGACGCCACGGCATCGCTCACTACTCCCAAGGAAAGTCCTACCCTTTCCCGGTCGCCCGTTGACACTGCAGCTATCCAGTTGCAGTACGAATACAGAGTGTCACCTCTAGCCGAGCAGCCGAGGGCCCCTACAGACCACGCTCTGGGACCCATCCTAGCCGCCACGGTGGATTCGGCACTAGCAAAGCTCAGCAAGAAGGCCATAGAGATAGTAACTGCTGTCCAAGGGAGCAATGAAGTGGGCGACGGCAATGAAGACGCGGAGGCGCCAACCAGCACTAGTACTCCTCGCGAAAGCCACAGCGGCTTCGACCTTGAAGCGTGTCTCTCCGCCCTGGACATCTTCAGCAGAATTGTCGCCGAGACGTTCCCCTCGGCTTCCAGCAACACGAGGCTGCGGAACACACCAGGCCACGGTCAGCTCTCCTTCGACGTTGATATTGACCCGGTGGGGCGACTCTCGGGGGTTTCCCCCTGGCTGCGGAGATACACGGCCAGCATCACCTCCATGGTGCCCTCGCGGCTCCCCCGGAGAATCATCATGGCCTTCATCCACAAGATCCCCACCCGCTATCTGAATCTTGTTGAAGAGATGGTCAGCTTCATTCCGGCCAAGCCGTACTATGCCGGCGATGAGACGGCTTGGATGACTCCCTCAGTGTCCATGAGCCCGGAGCCTAGTCCGGCGCACCAGCTCGCGCTTGACATATTTGCCCACTGGCTTGTGCTGGTGATTCTGCTAGATAATGTGTGGTGGATTGGGGACATCGGGACCTGGGAGCTGGGGCGCATTGTTTCTTTCAGGAACCATGTGTCGTGGCGTTGGTGTCGGTGGGAGAAGGATGAAGCGTGGTGGCCGGAGAGCATGCTCGAAGTCAGTCGGCAGTTTGATAAGCATAGGTAGATAGGTAGACTCGAGTTTGGGATTGCACAATGAGTACTGTACATAATTGCTTTTGGGAAGTCCCATGGCTAACTCGGAACGCGCGTGATCGGCCGCTACGCTGCGCATTCAGTCGATGCCCAATCTCATTTTCATTGTCTAGTAGTCAGGAGAACAATGTTGTTACTCCAGTCTCAGTTGTTCCCGAAGTTAGGAGTAGTACTGGCATCAAGTCGGGCCAAGTTTGGTCCGTAGCACCTTGCGGGCGAGCCAAGTGTCAATGACTTGATTTCGAGGCATCCAAATAAGTTGATGCAGGACCCTGGTGTTTACCTGCAACAGTGACTGGAGAGAAGAAGTATTATGGGGTCCGGATGACTGGAACAGGAAAGAGGGCCCCGGGGCTACACTGCCTCAACTGCTACCTTACAGTACCTGCCTTTACGAAGTAGTATGCGAGCGCCTAGCGCTGATGCCTAGCCCTACCTTCCCTTACAAATCAGTTGAAAGCCCCTGCGGCCGCGTAATGCCCAGACTTGATGGATTTGATGCCGCGTCAAAGGGCGAGATGAAAAAAAATTGAAACGGAAGATCGCACTGGTTGAGGCAGAAAGATACCTGAACTTCAAGTTGCTAGGAAAATGTGATTCAGGTATGTTTTCGTAAGGATTATACTGCGCTACCATCAAGATCTTGTGTTGATACTCCTTTAGGAATGAGATGCTACGAGACAACCATACAAATCAACTTAAGCGCCTCTTACCTCGAGGGCAAGAGCACTGCGGCCAACTTCCTACCCAGCTACTTTACCCGTTGCACCGGATTCAAGAAAATACCTTCACCGGGAAGCATGATCTAAAGTTTTGGACCTGGCATATTCAAATTCGTCCTTCGAGCGCCGCAAGTGGTGCTTGACGGAGTTGCAAGATGGCAGGAGCTTCGAATCGGATCCTGGAGTTTACTCACCAGGTGAAGGCAATCACTCGCAAGAACCTCGTCCTGCTTGTGACGCGCCATTGGCTCTCAACGATTCTTCAGTCCATCATCGCGCCCATCGTTGTCCTCGCCTTGACGCTCAACATCAGGAATTTCACTCGAGGAAGCTTATATCGATTCGGGGTCGGCTCGCCCATCCCTATTCGAACCATTGAAAATGCCATACCCTCTTCACAACACCTGGTGTTCGTCAAGGACCCTTCTCTCGGCTCGGACATCGACACGGTCATCTCGATCGTTTCACGTCCGCTAGCCCCCGAGAAAATTGCGCGATTCGACAATCCGGAAGAGGCGTCATCTCATTGTAGACCCAACTTCCGGGGGATATCAGACTGCTATGCCGTCGTCGAGTTTCGTGATTCACCCCTGACCCCCTCTAGTGTCAGCCCGAACCAGACATGGTACGTCTTCTCCAGGCTCTTCACTTTGATCAGCAAATTCATCCCCGGACTAACTAACGGCTCCGCCTTTTGTCTCTGCTTCCAGGAGCTATGCCATCCGTTTCGACCCGGCCCGTTACGGCTTTTCCGGCCCGGGTGACGACGTCGGCTCCTCTACCAACAATTACCAGATCTTCTCCTACCCCGTCCAGCTGGCCATTGAAAACGCCATTACCAATTCCTCCGAGATCCCAGAAGAGTACCTGTTCAGCACCACACCGCCACAAGTCGCCCAGTGGGTCGACGATGGGTGGTACAGCAGAATGATCATTTGGAACTACGCCTTTGTCTTCTTTCTGAGTGTGCTCCCCGGAGTTTACCACGTTGTTGGCGTTGTGACTGCGGAGCGGGCCTCGGGCGTGGCAGGCTTGATTGATGTCATGGGCGGCGGCCCGGCGGTGAGGGTGATGGGCTGGACTCTCGCCTTGGCCGTGGTACAGTTGCCCACATGGATTGTGAGCGGATGCTGTGAGTCCCTCTAACCGCTTCTGCTCCTTCCAGATCTCTTTCCAGACATACTCGTAGGGATATGTTTAGGCATCACTGACAGCAGCCTCAGTATACTGGTACCTTGTCTTCCCGGGGTCCAACGCCGCCATAGCCATCTTCTGGCAAATCCTCTCGGGACTGGCATTTCTCAACGCCAGCATCTTTGCGTCGGCTTTCTTCAACCGGCGAATTATCTCAAGCGTGTTTGTCTGCATATGCATGACCTGCCTCGGCGGAGGCGCCGCCATCCTCGTGAACAGGGTTGTTGACAACCCAAGGGTTATTCTGCTGTCATTGCTCTTTCCAACCATGAACTATATATTTGCATTGTGCCATGTAAGTGGTGTGGTGTACAGTGTACCGTGGCGCTTGATTTCGCCGAACTGACCATGTGTTAGATGGTTCGGTTTGCGTTTGCCGTCTGGCCCGTCGACATGACCACAACCTACATTCCGGTGTTGGCCGAAGGACGCGTACCTGAGCAAAGCTACTTTGTTGCGGTTTGGACCTTCTGGGTGTTTTTAGCTATCCAGATCATTGGTTACCCACTGCTAGCCATCCTGGCAGAGCGTCTGCTGCATGGTGTCAACAGCAAAGGTCGAATCTTGTCTGAGACAACGGGAGACGAAGCCAACGTTGCAATCCGGGTTTCCGGGCTAACCAAGGTGTACAAGGCATCATGGTCGAGAAAGATATTCCTCTGCGGCAAAGGTAGAAAGAATCTCAAGGCGCTCGATGGGCTCGACATGGTGGCATACAAGAATCAGATTCTCTGCCTCCTGGGGGCTAACGGAGCCGGGAAATCGACCACCCTCGAGCTTTTGGCAGGCGCCCATACCCCTACTGCTGGGACTATGGCGATCAATGCGCGCGCGGCCAAATTAGGTACGTACTATTCCTCATCAGAGTACTCCAATTATACCTACAGACTGCAGTCTTGGTTCGCTCAGGAATTGACACACTCTCAGGGATATGCCCTCAAAAAAACGTGCTCTTCGATAGGCTCACCGTCCTAGAGCATGTCATATTCTGGAGCCAGCTAAAAGGCGGAAGGGAGGACTCGCAGGCGTTACACGAGCTCATCGCCGCATGCGATCTGACCAAGAAGACACACAGCCGAGCGGGAACATTGAGCGGCGGACAGAAGAGGAAGCTTCAACTTGCGTGCATGTTCGTGGGGGGGACTACGGTTTGCCTAATGGACGAGGTCACTTCCGGCTTGGTGAGAGCTCTGAGCACAGTCTCTGAACATTCAAACGACTGACTCCATGTCTGTAGGACCCCATCTCGCGGCGAACGATCTGGAATATCATTCTGGCCGAGCGCTCCAAGAGATCCATGGTCTTCACCACCCACTTTTTAGACGAAGGTGAGGTGCTTGCGGACCACATCGTCATCCTTTCAAAGGGGAGGATCAAGTGCCAGGGAACCGGCACCGAGCTCAAGAACGAATTCGGCGGGGGCTACCGAGTCAGCCTTCCACTCGACTCAGACACGAACCTTGCGGGTCTCGATGTGCCACGCACGCTTCATCAGGATCGCATCGTCTACCGGATCCCAGACTCCAAATCTGCCGCCAGACTGATCACCACACTCGAAGCCGCCGGCCAGTCCGACGTCCAAGTATCCGGCCCGACAGTAGAAGACGTCTTTCTCAATGTAGCCCAAGGCGATATCTCCGCTTCTTCCAAAACAGCACCGCTCTACGACCCTGAGAAGGGAGACATTACGGAAGCAGCGTCCCTTGCCCCCCTCAGTTCTGCGCAGCGAACCTCGTTCGCCCAGCAACTGCGGGCCCTCCTCCTCAAACGCCTACAAATCCTCCCACGCTACTGGTTCGCCGCCTTTCTTGCCCTCGCTTTGCCAATTGCATGTATGCCGCCTATCAACATGTTTATTTCTTCCGAGTTTAGCCTGCCCGACTGCGAAGGAATAGACCCTCGTTCTTTGTTCGAGTTGCCGCTGGAGCTGTATCCGACAATGAACAGGCCGTTTGGTCCGCCATCGAGGAACCAGACACTGTACGAGGTGTTGGACAGTTTCCCGATTGGGGAGAGCTACCAGATGGAGCTCTTCTCTAGCGACTGGAAGCTTGTGGATGATTATGATAGCTTTCGGGAGATTGTGTCCAGTTTGGACCCGTCAATCACGGGCGGGCTGTACATGGGCGATGCGGAAAACGGAGGGCATCCGCCGACTATGGTGCGCCAGGACAACTATGGTATCGTGGAGGCTATGAAATGGTTGCACCTCTATACCGCCATAAGGAGTGGAGTGAAAATCGAGGGGATAGTGCAGCTGTACGACATGTTCTCGGTGAGTGCTACGAGGACTACTACTTAGTAGTACTAGTAGTAGTAGCAAACTCATATCTGCTGCTACTACTTCATTTTCAGCTTCCAATCTGGGAACTTGGGAGTTGGCTAACATGTGAACAGGGTCGTCTCATGAGAGGTTTTGGGGGCGATAGTTGGCAGTATATTCTGGTGAGTCCTGGCAATCCCCTGTGCTGGCACTACTACACTCGTAGTAGTCGTGCTAGTCTGAGTTGGAGCCCTAATACTTGTGGTGCTGACCGGGAAACCAGTACGCGGCCGCGATCCTCACCATATACCCCAGCTTCTTCGCCCTCTACCCGGCTTTTGAGAGGGTCAGCAAGGTGAGAGCGCTGCAGATTTCCAACGGAGTAAGACCTCTCCCTCTGTGGACAGCTTACTTTCTCTTCGACCTCTGCTTTGTCTTGGCCGTCTCGATCGCCTATACGGTTACCATCTCGCTACAGTACCCGTATTGGTATGAGCCGGGGTACATGTTTCCTGTAGTCGTGCTCCACGGCATCACGGGCATCCTGGTCAGCTACATTGTCTCGACGTGGGCTACTTCGCAGCTCGCGGCATTTTTGTGGGCGTTGGGGTTTAACTTTATATCTTACTTTGCACTAGCGATCTCTTTCACGGTGAGTGCCTCTTGGTCGCTGCAGGTTAATCGTTACGACGCTGATGAAGACTGGCAGCTTCCGGCACTCCTGAGCGATCCGCTCGATGTCCAGTATATCTCGGACACTATATCGTACAGCGTCGGCCTGGTGTTCCCCGTTGGCAACCTCTTCCGCGGCATGGCCATAGGGCTCAACCTTTACCAGCTGGGCTGTCGGGGCTACGATATGGTCAGCGCCGGCTCATGGTGGGGGTATGGCTTCCCCATGACATATCTTTGCATTCAGATCATCGGCTTTTCCGCCCTGCTCGTATGGCTGGATAAGGACCTCTCCTTTTCCGCCTTTCTCGGTCGCCGCCGCTCGCCCCCTCCGGATTTCCCAGAAGAGCCCCCGGCTGCCCCGTACCAGAACCCCCCTGTACCGAAGCCTAACTCGGATATCCTCCGCATCACAAACCTCTCCAAATCTTTTAAATCGACCCAGGCACTCTCTTCAGTCTCCCTGTCCCTCTCATCCAACGAGATCCTCGCTCTGCTCGGCCCCAACGGCGCCGGCAAAACCACCATCGTCAACCTCATCCGCGGCGAGCTCTCCCCAGACTCGGGGGATATCCTCCTGCGGGGTACGTCCCTGCGTGCCAACCCGACCCTGGCGCAAACCAGGATCGGCGTGTGCCCGCAGTTCGACGCGCTGGACCTCCTCACGGCGCGCCAACACCTGCTCTTTTACGCGCGCATCAAGGGCGTGCCCTTGTCCGACGCCGAGGCGGTGATGTTCCGCGTCGGCCTGACCGCCCCTCCCAGCACCAGCGACACGGACACTGATAAATCGTCGTCGGCGGCCATGACCAACATGAACAAGCCCGCCTCGGCGCTGTCGGGCGGCAACAAGCGCAAGCTGAGCCTGGCCATCGCGCTGCTGGGCAACCCGCCCGTGCTGGTGCTGGACGAGCCCAGCAGCGGGATGGACGCGGCGGCCAAGCGCAACATGTGGCGCGTCCTGGCCGACAGCGTGGCGCCCGGCCGCACCATCCTCCTCACCACGCACTCGATGGAGGAGGCCGACGCGCTTGCCACGCGGGCGGCCATCCTCGCCAACGGCAAGATGCTGGCCCTGGGCACCACGCAGGTGCTGAGGAAGGACTACAGCGATTTTGTGTGCGTGCAGCTCGTGCTGCGGGACGGCGCGAGCGAGCGGGTGGTGGAGGACTGGGTTAAGGAGCGGTTCGGCGGGGATGAAAAGGGGGACGGCAAGGCGGTGGTGTTTGAGGGGGAGAGCTTGGGCGGGTTGGTGCGGTTCATGGTGCCTGCTTCTCGGCCCGGTGGGGTTGCGAGTGGGGAGACGAGGAGCAGAGTGGTCGAGTTGATTGAGTTGTTGGAGAAGAATAGGGAGGTGTTGGGATTGCAGGACTACTCGATTGGCGCGCCTACGCTGGAGAGGGTGTTCTTGAGTGTGGTGAAGGATAATTATGTTGAGGAGGAGGGTGAGAGGAAAAGGGGCTGGAGGAGGCTCATAAGCAGGTGATGAGCATGGTGATGAGAGTTGAAACTGATGTTCATTTCATTTTGTTTACTTTTTAGTACTTATGGGATTTCTTACAAGAGATAGAATTAGGTAATTGCCTGGAGAAATTGGATAATGGTTGGAAGTAAAAGTGCAGAATCCATCTCAGAATCAATGGCAATGCCCGATCTCGACGCCACTCGCAAAATGAACAGAAGTTTTGTTCACAGAAGACAGTGTGTTGACATCAAAAGATACGCAAAATGCAGCTAGGGGGCTCAGGCGGTGGCATGTTACAGTACTAGTTGCACTGTATTACTCATGCGGCGGCAAACTGCTGGATGCTTCTTACCTTGACTGCCGCTTCTACATAAGCTTTGCCGTGATACAGTAATTTCGTCTTCAAACTCCAGTCTCTTCCTCTTTCACCGTCCTTCGCTCGAGTTTCGAAGCTGGGTTATTATTTCTCTCCTATCTTCTCCGAAGTCGCTGTATTTTATCAAAGCGCACAATAGAAAGTTTTCACGAAGGAGTTACACCCTCGCCACTCAACGCGATGGCTGAGGCGTCAGCAGTTCCACCACAGAACGCTTTTCACCGGGGCTCACATCACTTTCCACGAGGTCGGCGCGGAGGACGAGGGACGAGGGGTCATCAGCACAGACCCGTGCGGTCTAATGCTGATCATGGGGAGGCTCAAACGGCACAGCAGGTTGCGGCAACCCGTTCTGAAGTACCCCCTACCGCCTCTTCCATTGATGCTAGGGATGTGCAACCTCAGCGGGGTGGCCGATCTGGAGGGGGGCGAGGCGATAGGGGGAGACAAGGCGGCCAACGGCGTGGGAGAGGCGGCAGTTCGCAACGCTCAGTCGTGGTATCGCATCGTGGAGGCCGGGCTCCCCCACCTCACCTTCCTGTAGGTGGTGGTTCGTCCATTGGGCCTGGTTTGCGCGCTAGTGCGCCCGAGTTTGTCCCTGGACAATCCGCGCCGCCCCTGGGGTCTGGGTTGCCCCCCAGTTCTGACAGGGCTCGGGATTTGCAAGATGGGAAGTTCAGGGGGCAAGCAACCGACCCGTCGGCGGCTGCTAAATCCTCAGCAGCCGATCTACCTACCCGTATCCATGAGGATGTCGACAATGGGCAATACGAGTGCGTCATCTGCACCAACGAAGTGCTACGGAATTCTCGTGTTTGGTCCTGCTCAATCTGCTGGACCGTGGCCCATCTCCATTGCGTCAGGAAATGGCACACGAACCAGCTGAAGGAGCGGGATGAGAACCAGGGCTCCAACCGGCCTGAGGGCTGGCGGTGTCCTGGTTGTAATTCTACATTGATCGAGGCGCCCGGTTCCTACCACTGCTGGTGCGGCAAAGACGTCGACCCGAAGCCCATCCCCGGGCTCCCTCCTCACACCTGCGGACAGACGTGCAATAAACCGCGGGCCACATGCCCGCATCCATGCTCGTTGATGTGCCACGCTGGGCCTTGCCCGCCGTGCACATTGATGGGCCCGACGCAGATGTGCTTCTGCGGCAAGAATTCGTCGACGAAGCGGTGTAGCGAGACTGACTATGGGAAAGGGTGGAGTTGTCAAGAACCTTGCGGCGACCTACTTCCCTGCGGCGAGCACACCTGTGCCCAACCTTGTCATCCGGGCCTATGCGGTGCTTGCGAAGTGCCCATACTATCTACTTGCTATTGCGGAAAGGAACAGCGCCAGATGCCCTGTAATCAACGCGAAGATATTGAGGAGTCGTTCAATTATGGCCAACTCAATACACCCCTGACAGCCGTCGACACTGACCTCGATTCAAACAGTTGGTTCGAGGGCTCATTCCGTTGCGGCAACATCTGCGGTCGTGTCTTTGATTGCGGTCACCATGCCTGCCAGAAACAGTGCCATGCGCAAAACGAAGAGGCAGCACATTGCCCCTTGTCTCCAGATGTCGTCACTCACTGCCCGTGTGGCAAAACTACCCTCGACTCCATGGCTGCGAAGGCGAGAGAATCGTGTCAAGATCCCGTCCCGCACTGCGACGAGCCATGTAATAAGGTTCTGGCTTGTGGCCATCTGTGCCCGGACAAATGCCACACCGGTTCCTGCGCATCGTGCACTCAGATTATGGAAATAAGCTGCAGGTGCGGAAGGACAATGGCCAAGTCGGCTTGTCATCAAGGGACCATTGTGTCCCCACACTGCTTCCGGGTGTGCAAGGCCCAGCTAAACTGTGGCCGACACGAGTGCGGCGAGCGGTGTTGCTCTGGTGAAAAGAAAGCCGCCGAAAGGCGGAAACAGAAGCGGAACAATGCCTCTGAGAACTACGAGCCGGAACACATCTGCCTACAAGTGTGCGGCCGCCAGCTCAAATGCGGGAAGCACACCTGTCAGCAACTTTGCCATAAAGGGGCTTGTATGTCCTGCCCGGAGGCCATATTTGACGACATCAGCTGCTCCTGTGGACGGACTGTCCTCCAACCGCCCCAGCCTTGCGGGACAAGGCCGCCCGAGTGTCGGTTCCCGTGCAGAAGACAACGCCCTTGCGGCCATCCATCCGTCGAGCACCAATGTCATCCTGACGAGACACCGTGCCCAAAATGTCCCTTCTTGGTGGAAAGGCCTTGCATTTGCGGCAAGAAGACGCTGAAGAACCAGCCATGTTGGTTCGAGGAAGCGAGGTGTGGTCTACCCTGTGGAAAGAAGCTCAAGTGCGGGTAAGTCATCTTACGGACAGAGTGTCGTCCCAGTCCGTCGTGGCTAACATTCTCAGGGCTCACGAATGCAAGAAACCATGCCACAAGCCAGGCGAGTGCGAAGATGCTGGCATCTCTGGGTCTCATTGCACTCAACTATGCGGCAAGATCCGGACATCGTGCGAGCACACCTGCGTTGAGCAGTGCCACGCACCTTATCGTAAGTGAAGAGTCACTCAGCATGATGGATAACAGCCTGACCCGCTCTTCTGCAGCTTGCAAAGAGGATAAGCCATGCCAGTCCAAGACATTCATCACTTGTCCCTGCCAGCACCGGAAACAGGAGGTCCGGTGTCAAGCTACGAAGCTTAACCCTTGGCCCAACAAGGAAGCGACATTGAAATGCGATGATGAATGTCTCCGTCTACAGCGTAACCGGAAGCTTGCCGAAGCTCTTAGCATCGACCCAGATACGCACAATGACGATCACATCCCCTATTCCGACACGACGCTCAAGTTGTTCCGCGAGAACATCAACTGGGCGCAGGAACGAGAACGCGAGTTCCGTGGCTTCGCAGCGGCACAAGACGAGAAGCGCCTTCGGTTCAAGCCCATGCAATCCCACCAGCGCGCATTCCTACATGCGCTTGCAGCAGACTTCGGCCTTGACTCGGAGAGTCAGGACCCAGAGCCCCATCGGCATGTGTGCGTCTTCAAGACGCCGCGATTCGTATCCGCGCCACGCAAGACGCTCGCCCAGTGCCTCCGCATAGCCAAAACAGCCGCCAACCTCGCCGCCGCTGCCTCATCCCTCAGACCTACGGCGGTTTCTCCGGCACCGCATAAGCCGGAAGGGCAAGCCTTCAATGCCCTTCTCCTCAAGGAACCACGTTTCGGCTTGACCATCGACGAGCTTGACGATGCCATAGCCGCGGATCTGGCATCCGCAGCAGCTCGCCTCCCGCTGACATTCACAACAAGCTTCCTTCCTTCTTCAGAGGAGATAGTCATCAAAGCTACATCAAAAGCCACCGCGGCCGCCATCGCTACCTCTCTTGCGCCCACCCCGCAAGCGATTGAATCAACCCTTTCAATTCTCAAATCCGCCGTAGCACGAACAGTGTCACGGCTGGGACTCGTGAGCGGCGGCGTGTCGCTGTGCCATGCGGATGGGACGGGTAGTATAACCAGACGAGAGGGAGATGGCCCCGGCGCAGGAAATACTGTCGCTGCCGCGAGCACCGATGGCTGGAGCGCGGTTGCCAGCCGCGGGTCCTGGCGGCGCACCGCTGCTGGGACTAACAAAACAGCCACTGCACCTGCGAACTTGGGCGAGCAGCGTGCTCCGAGCGCGTTTGTGGCGCTTAGGCGGTTGGAGTTGAAGAAGAAGAAGGCGGAGAAGGCTTCTCGTGTTGTGGCTAAGGAGGAGCCGGTGGAGGAGGATTGGCTTGTTGCGGCCGAGAAGCTGGTCGGTGGTGAGGAGGAAGAGGAGGGAGGGTTACAGGAGAAAGGTAGCGAGAGTGAAGGTGGAAGCGGTACTGGGAGTGGATCGGAAGATGGACTTGGAGTGGCGGGGGATACACTTAAGGATGGAGTTGGGGATGGGGAGAGGGGAGGGGCAGATCAGGGGGTTAAGCGGGAACATGAGGGGGTGCCGGCAGTGGGCGTTGATGGGCCTGCGGTTGCTCTCAGGCTGGTGTAGATCCTTAAGAGGCACCGTGGTCTGGTCTGCTGCCTTGCCTTTTTACCTAGGTACCTCACCTAGCTACTACGTAGTGCTTACCTACCTAAGGGATTGTGATCGAAGGTTGGACTGCTGTTGCGTTGCGCTTCTGTCCACGCTGCGCGAGAGCGGTGGCCTAAGATGGCATAATCGACCTCCCAAGGGACAGGGTAACTAAGGTACGCAGCAAAATATCTCGGTTGGCCCAAGCCTGATCTGAAAGTTCCCTGCTGCTGTGTTCTGGGCCCGACGAAAGGATGAAGAGACCAGTCAGTCCCACAGCAGCTGAGCTGCGTATGCAAGGCACCGGACATTACCGACGTGCCGCATATGGATTTCCCTTTTCAGAAGTATATTGACAGGAGGTAGGTAGGTCACATTTGCCCTGCCAATTAATACGGCAACGCATGGCATTACTATGTATGTCTGGGGTAAATGGATCTTGGCCCGGCTTACCCTTCCCTCCGGTCGTCCCAGACTATCCCGAGTTATCTACTATACTCCTGACAGCCGGTCTGATCAAACCCAACCCACCCACTCACCTGTCGGCTGGAACGGGGTAAGCATGAATTACTCAATTGACTAGCAGATAATGCATTGACTGGCGGATCGCAATTGCAATCTATTGCCGTGCGTATTCTTGTCCTGTTTATCCTAGTATATAAACCTGTCTTAACACAGGTCGGGTATCAATGTACTGTACATACGTATATACATACCATGGAGGGAGGGAAAGAAAACCAAAACGAGAAAAGCATGATACACCAAGACCGAGCCGCCGCTTCGAGCCTTTTGTCTCATCCTTGGCGCCAATCCCCGTCTCCGTAGTCCCGTCCGGTACAATGCCACCTTCATCCGGTGTCTGTACAATACAGCCCCTTATCTGGGGGCTGCTTAGTTCTTCATTTCTTTAGCCTTGTCGGCCACGATTTTGTTCATAAAATCGGCAATGGCCTCAAAGTAGCCCTCTTCGATCACGCTCGAGTTGTGGTCGCCCCCGGGGAGGGGCTTCCAGATCTTGACCGGGGCTTTGGACAAGTCGTATAGACGTTTCATGTGGACCGGTCTGGGCAGAGTGTTGGTTTTATGCAAACGGGGGCCGGTGGGATAGAGGGGTTCGGGGGAGGGGGGGGGGGAGGGACATGACTCACGGCACGATCTCGTCTTGGAGCCCGCTCAGAAAGAGGATGGGCACCTTGATGCTGGGGATGAGGCTATCGCTGGGCCAGACCTGGTGGCATAGATAGGCCAGGTACTTTGCGGGCGGCATGATGCTGGGTATCAGCTTGCGCATGCTGAGGAAGGTGTTCTCGAGGATCAAGCCAGCAATGTCCCCCGCGCCCTGGTTCTTGGCCACCAGGCGGATGCCGACGGCGCCGCCCAGGCTCTGGCCGTACACGACAATGCTGTGGTCGCGCGTCTCTGCGCGGTCACGGAGGTAGTCGAGGGCCGTCTGTGCATCGATGTTGAGCCCGGACTCGTCAGCCTGGCCTGTCGAGATGCCGTAGCCGCGGTACTCGAGCATGAAGACGTTGCAGCCGGCGGCGGCGATCAGCATGCGCGCGATGGGCAGGCGGTGGCCAATGTTGCCGGCGTTGCCGTGGAACATGAGCACCGTCACCTTGGAGTTGGGCCCGCCGCGCGGACCGCGGATGTAGAAGGCCGACAGCTTCTCGCCGTCATTGGTCGGGATGATGAGCTCCTCGTAGTCTCTGAAATTGAATTGACTCGGGCGGGGAACATCGGTGCGCGCATTTGACGGGATGTGTGACGGATAGATCAAAGCCCTGCAGGTGCCATTGTCAATGGCACTGTTCAGGGACACCGAGGGACAAGACACACACTGGACCGCGAGGAGAGGGGTGCTCAATGCTCACTTTTGCTTGAAGTAGAGAAGGGCCGTCAAGATGGCAGCGACCCCCTAGTTCAAAGGGAAAAAAGAAACATTAGTTTGACCGTTTGCGTAACACAGAAGTTGTGACAGAGATGAAAGCTTTCCCACTTGCCCCCTGAGCCAGTCGACGTGGTTGGCGGTGCAGCCATTCAGGCACGGGGTTAGGGCGGGGGAGACAGAGGCGTCGGGTCATACAGTGGAGGCTATAGCCGGCAGGCGCATGTAGCCCGCGGCGCTGCTCATCAGCGAGACAGTCTGCTCCAGGAAGGAATTCAAGTTGCTGCTCGACGACGACGAAGAGGGCGGCGTCGACATGGTGACGGGACGGAAAAGGCAGTCAAGCACCCGACCGACACCCCTATGCAGAGAAAAGGCGGTATGTTATAGCGGTCGAAGTGGAGGAGTCCAACCAGGGATCGCGCATGGAGAAGCGAGAACCGTCCCAGTTTGGGCTTGTTCTCACAATTACGCTTTTGCACTAGCAGCTACAGTAGCAGCGAAAGGGGGACAAGACAAGCCCGCGAAGCAGGGGGGCCTGTGGTGTCACTGGTTTTGCCGCACTGGGCGCCACTTCCCCCGGGCATTGTGAATCAATGGGATGCGGAGCTGCTGCGGGTCGAACTTTCCAATGATTGTTATCTGGGGCAAACCTTTGGAGCTCTGTGGCCAGATAGCTCCTCGCTCCTTCTGCACGAGTGGCATGAGCTGCATGATAGGTATGGGAGGTGGAAATCTGCGAATAAACTATTATCCAATCCATCCAGGAAGATCTGCGCCGCCTCAACAGATCTTTGGAGGCTCCTGGCCCGGCTGTCTGGTGGACTACGGTGCGCCACATGCTGTGTGCTCGGCGGGCCCCGCTAACGTAACTATTGATTGACCGTCCCGCCAAGGCCGCCAACACCGTCCTCCGGGGACCATCCCCGTCTGCCGGGTCGAGGCAGCGGGCCCGATCTACAATCGTTACCACGATCGACCGATGTCACAGACCAGATGGGACAGATGAATGAGAAGCCCTGCTCCCTGGTCAGCATAGGAGAAGACGTGATGAGTAAGAAAGAATCAAGCAGAGGGTCTACAAAGCATAATGTCTTCAACGACCCGTATGCTTGGAGTCTCCAGCAATGATGTTTGCCGGTGCCCTCTCCCAAGTCAATCCGCATATCCGAAGGACTGTGCCAACTCTCCGAGCAATAGAGGTCTCTAAGGTAAATACAGTACCTTATTGGGCTGCCCCTTTTTGGAACGTACCTTAGGTAGGCGAACCTAGAAACATACCTCTTCCACCGTCCGCTCCCATACTTACTACCCGTCCCCTTTGCCCGATCCGTCCACTTGTACAATGGCTGAAGATTGGTTCGAAGAGTAAAGTACCACTCTTAGGAGACAGCGTCGAACATACGGTCCCAATTCAGCTTGATGTCGTTGGAGCGGCACAGTGCAGTAATAAGCTGCCCGGGGAACCCAATAACTCTCTTTCAACGGATAGTCGCGTGCGATTCGGCCTCCCGGCATTGGATCATTCCATGGTTCATGCATTCTCTCGACAGTTCATCAAGCCGTCCTCTTCACTGGGACCTATGCCAACTCCCGTCAGTTGCGCTATACCTTGGCGACATATCGACCAAACGGACCAGTCGGCTGAGCGCTGTCACGCAAGCTCTGAAACAAGGAGATGAAAGGGGGGAATCCAGAGAGCGCAGCACCCGCGAATAGTATGCGCGGAAACCTGTCGCAGAAGGCCACTTTTGGAAAGGTGCGTGTAAGCGCTGCCGAGCCACTTTACACGTGTAGAAGCACCCAAAGAAAACGGCTTGTCATGCGCCCGCATCTTCTGATGGAGGTGATCGGTGGATACATCCTAGAGGGTAACGTTAGTGCTTGATTGTAAAGACAATTGCGATGGTCAAAAGATAGGAGAGACACTTCCTGCTTAAAACAAGGTTCGTACCTTGTTCACCTTATCTTCGCTCTCTCAAAAGACAGGATGCAGCCACGCCGACCGTCGGCGCAGGATTGGATGCCGGCATTGGCTTCTTTTTTTAAATTGATTGGAACGCGCTATTACATTCTGTCTCCTGACCAACCACTGACGCGCTTCACTGGAGTTTCGTGTCAAGGATTTGGGAGTTTTTGTTGTGCCGCACCTCCCGCTTTCTTGCATCAATGTCGCTCCTCCAAGTCTCCGACTGGCTGCTGATCCTTCACCTGATTCACATATCGGGGCGTCGGGTTGCCCCGCATGTCGTTTCCGCTGTGGTGGGCTGGCTCTAGGGAAATGGAGGGTCCTGGGCTTCTGAACCTGCGGGCCCGGCAACTGGAGCTAGCGATGCATCGGCGCCCAAAATCTCCAACAAAACAATGGATCTTCTAGCTTCATAATTTTTTTTTCCTCTCTTCAGTCGTCGCACACCAAAAAGGTCTACCCGTCATCAAGCTGGCACTCGACCGGGAAGCTTCCGAACTCCGATCTAGCTCCCAGGAGCTAGCAGACCCTCTTTCTCACCGTTAGCTATCCCCGCCGACCTTAGCGCGCACTCTGCTCGTCAGCTCTGGTGAATATCATTCGTGCCCAAAGGCGCAGCAACCCACTTGTTCACACACATCTCAGCCGCCACGCCTGCCCAGCGACGGCACACGCAGCCCCTGTGCTCTGGATCCAACTTAGCCTTTGGTCTCCCCAGTTCGTTCGTCCGTACCTGACAGGACACTCTCTCCGAGTCTTACTCCTTCGGGCTCCTCGCGCCGTACAATACCTTCTACTATTACGCCGGGCAAAAGCCATCTTCAATCAACCTCAGCCGGCTGGAGAGCGATTGGCTAAGGTTGAACAACCGGGCTCATCATAGGCTGCAGCAATCCGCTTCACTTCTAGCAAGCTCCGCGCCAATTGGAAAGACCTGGAATTTTGACGACAGAGAACTCAACCGGCCGACATCATGGTTTCCTTCTCGTGCGAGGTAGGTATTGTTGCAATGCCCCTCGTCCCATTATACTCCCCACGACAATGCCTTTCTTCTAGAATGGCCAATTCTTGGTATCTGGCGCCGATGGCGGCACTCTCAAATCCGTCCTTCAGCTACCCGCGTCTCAATTTTGAACGCCCACCCCCCACCTTCTCTCCCCTTGTCTCCCGGCACCCCTCCCATGACCACCCCGGAGGGAAATCTGAACTGACATCACACACAAACTCCTGGCACACCACCCTTACGGGTCGTAGCCAACAGGTCATGGCCGCAGACACACCACCCCTCCTCTTCGTTCCCGCACACCCCTCCCCCGTATGATCAAGTCGATCCTCCCTTTTCACAGTCTCCTCTCACTCTCCCTGTTTCCCCCATATTTCCACTGGAAGTCGCATGTTTCCATATCAGCTGCCCACTCCCCTAATGGCCAATGGTGTTTTGCATTCGGCAACATCTAACTGTGTTCTATCCGTCTCATCCAGGCGTGCGGCGACGTCTTGACCAAGAAGAAGCTCGACCCCCATCGAAATCGTTGTCGAGGGGCTACCTTCACTTGCATTGATTGCATGGTGTACTTTCCCGGTACCGAATACCGCACGCATACGGTACGAAACCTTGGTCTCGTTGAACAATGAGCGATGAGCCCGCTGACTCAGGTCCAGAGTTGCATCAGCGAGGCACAGAAGTATCAAGGTGCCCTCTATCGAGAGAAGAAAGCAAAGCCGGCGCCCAGCGGAAACAACCAAGCGGCGCAAAACGCCATGGCCCACGCAGCCTATGTCGAGGACGTCGCGGAGGACTACGATTCATGGCGGGAGTATGAGCAGCACAGCGATGACGATGGCCACTCACCGAACCCCCCTCCGGAGGCGCCAACTCCTCCGTCCGCAGCCGAGCCGGTCAACGTCTTCGACTTCCTGGTTAGCAATCCCACGCCAACCGCCTCCAGTCTGTCCCTACCTGCCACTGCTCCCATCCAACACAACGAGGAGACAGCTCTTGTTCGTTTCGATCCGGAGGCCAATGGCTTGGACAGTGCTTTGGACGATGACAGCGCCATGGTTCAGTACGGTAGCGGCCCGGTACCAGTATCCCAGTTTGAGACACCTGCGCCAAAGCCTGCGCGTAGGAAGGTGAAGGATGGGGACAAGGAAGCCAAGAAGGATAAGAAGCGCAAGAGGTTACACATCGAAACGGACCACATCATGACCGACGCGCCGCCGGTTCTACACTCGGGACTGACCGGCGGCATCAATCGCTTGATGTCCAGACCCAATGTCTTTCCGCCATCGCCCGATTACTCGGGTAGCGGCGACGCCGCCGAGACGCCTGCTAGCCCCCTAAAGAAGGCCAAGTCCAAGCACCACAAATCCAGCCGGACAGAATCGCTCGGCAACAGCCTCATGGCCATGATCTCTTCCGGGTCCAAGCCTAAATCATCATCATCCAAGAAGCGAACAAAGACAAAGTCGAGTTCGTCGTCGTCCAAGAAGAAGAAGCGTACCACTACCGCAGGAGCAAAGAGCCTAGAAGGCCCAAAGGAGCAGAAACTCCTCGAGTTCAGGCCCGGTTCCAAGGACGGAGAGACTGCCGCCGCGGCCGGCAGGGAAATGGTTGTTTACAAGCCGCGCGCCGAGCACTTCCTCAGCTTTGTCAACAAGGGCCCCGACAGCGAGCGCGGGTGCAGTGTTAACAAGGCCCTAAAGCGCTACCACCGCGAGAGGAACGCGTCGGGCGTGAGCTTGAGCAAGCTGATGGAGGAGAAGGAACTTTTCCGGTCGTTGAGGATGAAAAAGAATGATAGGGGGGAAATTGTTCTGTTTTGTATCTCAGATTGAGCGTGGACTCTTTGGGAGGAAGGTGTGGTAGGGGCAAAGTCGAGCATGTGTGTGTAATCTGCATTATGGGAATGGAGTGAGTGCAAAGCATGCATAAGCAAGGGGTCAGGCAGCGCATCCATCCGATTCATCGAGGGCAGAATGGGGGTGGGATGCATGGCATGGATTTGAGCGTGGGAATTTTAATGATGGGGCACGTCTCATTTTTATTCTTCTTTCCTCGCTGTTTCTCTTCATTCTTATGATACCTCTCCTGTTGTTGTGTGCTGTGGCTACGGGATGGCGCATACTTACCTGGGCACATGTCTATTTTGTTCTTTATGTTGCCCCTCTTTTGATGAATCTTGAAGGGTGCAAAGTCGAAGACTCATCCTGATATCTCATTTCGAGTTCCTCGAATCGCTCTCACATAGTCCAAGTCTATCTCGGCAACGAATCTGTTTGTTTATGCTTTCTTCGTTCGCTTCTCCTGCGGGTCTAACAACTAACGGTACGGACTTTACATCTTGTTGTTGTAAGTTATCCGGGGCTTGTTGCTGGTATTTTGTACCCTCGGAGTTTTCCAAGCGTGGCTCCTTATCATGTCAAAGTCGGACAAGCGTTGGCGGTGGGATTTTGTGTGCTTTCTTCGTTTGTATCATGTCTTGCTGTGTGGACCGCTGGAGGTCATGCAACGGTGGTACATTTAGTTCTACTCTCCCTTGGGTTGTCATGGTCTTTCGTGTTTCTACCGAGTACTAGGGGTGGATTGGATCTTATCTTTGGAGTGGTAACAGTGGTCAGCTTATCCGTATATACCCTTAACTAATCGAGCTTTGATTCCCACTGCGTGGTCAATACACATCGGGACCCGTCTGTACAATACTATATACAATTCTCAACTGCCATATCCCTTGATAGATAGAGTATGCCTTACATCATAAGCACCATGGACTACACCCCGAGTCCTGTCCATGTACTTGAATCGCACGTACAGTACAGTACAACACACCTCGTCACCACTTCCCACCCCTCCTTCCCCATACTTCCAATCCCTCATGCAACCCGCAGAGGCAGGATATGCTGCGCCAGCGCCGCGCGCCGACAGAGCGGGCACTCGGGCTTCTCGCGGACCCAGTCGCCGATGCACGCCCAGCAAAACACGTGCCCGCACGACGTCGCCGCGGGGTCCTTGAGCCCCTCGAGGCACAGCGTGCACTTGCGCTGCTGTGCGCCCTTGATCCACCCCATGACCTGGGGACTCCCCCCGAGGTCGTACCGCGCCCTGCCTGCTAAGAGCACGGGCGTGTGTGTGGTCTGTCCGATCTCCGCCAGGCTCCGCTGGGATGATGATGATGTTGATGACAGGTTGGTGCCGCTGAGGAGTTCGTTGTTGCTGGTGTAGGCGTGCTCGTCGAGCGAGACGTGTGGTAGTAGGAAATCCGCGCTGGCGCCGCCGCTCGGTCGTTCTTCTCGAGACGTAATGGCAGCGGCGTCGGCGTCGGCGGGCGTCGGCGCAAGCTGTGCGCGGATATGGAGGTACCCGCGCACCAGCATCTGCACGACCAGCAGGACGCCCAGCACCTCGTACCCGGCCCGCCCGCCCTGTCCTTCCTCGATGCGCCGGGTGAAGACGTAGCGCAGGCCGAAGAGCCGTTTGGAGAGGGAGTAGTATGCGCCAGTGAAGTAGAAGATTGCGAGCGTCGCGGCGTGGAAGTGGGCGCCGCTGGTCAGGGCGGATAGGTGCGTGAGGATGTAGCGCAGCGCGCGGTACTCGGTGCTGGGCCGGCCGGTTTTGGTCTCGTCGCGTCCCTGGCGCGTGAGGGTGGTGAGTCGAGACTGGAGTTTCTTGCGTACGAGGGCTCGGAAGCGGGGGAGGATGCGGGAGAAGATGTAGGGCAGGAGGACGCTTGACAGTATGTACCCTGCACGGCGTTCGATGGATGGTAGAACAGGGCCTCCTTCCTCTTCCAATGTTGTTGTTGTTGTTGTTGTTGTTGTTGTTGTCGCAGACTTTGGATCTGATCTCGTTGGCTTGTGAGAAGGGGCTTCTACCTGGACGAGGTCGCAGTATTCTTCGCCTAGGGTGCGGTTGCCGGGGAGGGTGGTAAGGCAGAGATACAGGGCGTCAGCGAGAGTGCGGGTCTCGGTCGCCCAGGCATGGGCAGAACGGGCGCCATAGAGACGGCGGTGAAGGTCGCTGAGCTGGTTCGTAAGAACACCTTGAAAGTATGCGTCTTTCTGGTGGGCGCGGATGATGTCGGGCGCGGCGGCGAAGGGGTACGGAGACGACGTGAGCGGCGGAGGAGGTTTCGATTGCGGGGAGCCCGAAGCGGAAGCCATGCTGTCGGTTTTGTTGAAGGGGCAAGACCCTAACAGGAATCGCGGTTTGATGTATGATTAGTGTATTACATGACGGGACCTTGAACCGCAATGATTCATGAGTCTCATGACGATTATGTTCCGAGTTCGAGTTCGGTTTTCGAAGACTGAGTTGGCAAGCAGATGCAAGTTCGATGGGTCGGACCTCGGCTTGCAATGAATGCACTTAACGATAAGGTAGCCGACAAGGATGCAGCAGGGCTGCAGCCTTGCAGGGGATTCCAAGCAGGGATGGGACAGCGCTTTGGCTACCAAGGCTAGCACGGGCTGCACCCCCATTGGACTGCTGACGTCGTTTCCCTGCCGTTGAAAAAGACGGGCTCCTTTTTCTCATCAAATTTACGACAGGGGTAGCACGCGACGCAGTACGATTCTAAACACAGCGACGTTGCATCTTTTTTTGTTATTCTTTCCCTCCTCGGCTCGTTCCTCCTTAGACGTTGCCGGCGTCAACGTCTTTCTTCTCCCAACTCTTCATCACATTCTAGACTCTCCCTGGACATCTTTCGATGAGGCAGCCAACAGCTACAGCTCAGAGGCAGAAGAACAATGGACGGTGACCCTGCTGTGGAACCGCGGCTCGACTCGTTCAGCCTAACCTTTCCTCTCCCCTACCGGGTCGCCTTCATCGTGATATTGGGTTCGTCATTCATCTACCAGCAAGCTTGAGAAGATTGGATTCATCTGACGCTCGGCAGCCGTCTGGGGATGGGGAGCCAACCTCCACTTCCTGCACATCCGGGGCATCGATGTGCCCTCGTTGATCCGCTATCCCAGCAGGTCGAATTCGCTGCAGCCAACCCATCACCACTCGACCTACCGTCTCGCGTCCTTTCTCTCGCTCGCCTCGGGCCTCTCCATCCTCACCTTCTGGGTCCTCACTCGCCGAGACCCACAGCGCGTCATCGACTATGACTGGCTGCCCATGACGAATCTGCTCGTTCTCGCCCTCTTGTTCGCCGTACCCCTTCGCCGTTTGTCCGTCTCACACACCGGGCGCAGCCGCCTTCTCTGGACGCTCCGTCGTGTCAGCGTCGGCGGGCTGGCAGAGGCCAAGGATGGCAAGTTTGGCGACATCTTGCTCGCCGATGTGCTCACTAGCTATGCTAAAGTCCTAGCCGATCTGTTTGTCTGTCTCTGCATGTTCTTTACGCGCGACGGGTCCGCCACTGCGAGACCCGAGCGCGGATGCGGTGGGGACGTTATTGTCCCCTTGATCATGGCGATTCCGAGCGTGATCCGCTTGCGCCAGTGTCTAATCGAGTTTGTGCGCGTGCGCAGGGCGCCATATAGGGAGTCGACGGGGTGGGGCGGACAGCACCTGGCCAACGCGGCCAAGTACTCGACCGCCTTTCCTGTGATTGTGCTTGCCGCGATGCTGAGGCATCACCAAGGAGAAACTCCGTCTACGAAATTGTACAGGGCGTGGGTGGCTGCCTCTCTGCTCAACTCCCTGTACAGCTTTTACTGGGACGTGGCAAAGGACTGGGACTTGACCCTCTTGTCTGGCGCCAGGGAGCGGAACTCGCCGGACTACCCGTTTGGGTTGAGAAAGAGGTTGCATGTGCACAAGCCGGGAGTGTACTATGCCGTCATTGTGCTGGATCTAGTGCTTCGCTGTACGTGGATGGTCAAACTGAGCCCGCGAATGGACCACATAAGCGACTTCGAAAGCTCGATATTTCTCATCCAGTTCCTCGAAGTGTTCAGGCGGTGGGTGTGGATCTTCTTCCGGGTTGAGACGGAATGGATCAGGAATACTTCGGCCGGATTAGGGGTTGAAGATATCCTATTGGGCGATTTCCAGGGAAATAAGTATGAGGATGAAGACTGAGGCGTTACCGAACCTACGGCGAGTGACGACAGCGGCGACTCGACAGATGCGCAGCCACCCGCCTGACCTGGCATTATCCTCTCATAGCCAGCGTCTTGCCAATCACTATGAAGCAAGGCTGGTGGATGAGGCAAAGCGGTTCAAAATGCCTTTGATTTCAGCCGGTTCCAACAAAGGGCCTACTCGCCTCGTGATGGCGAGGCTGACGGATTGCTCAAAGGGCTGACGATCGCTCAAAGGAGATGCCGGGTTCGAAGCACTTGTCGAATATTCGCCTTTATTTCCACTCGAGCGCAGTCAGACAAAGAGATTCAAACGATTTATTTGGACACCATCCATAATCAATTTACCATGGACAACTGGATAGCTGCCCCCAATCACAATATTAGGAGCAGATCTGGAGTCGACACTGCATCTGGGCAATCAGCATGATTGCTAGTCTTTCTCGGAAACAGAGCACCAGTGCCTCTAGCTCGTCGCTTGGGACGGCGAGGCGGGCGACGCCGCTTTTTCATCCGCTCTCGCCTCCTCCGGTCAGAGAGATAGAGAAGTACGAGAAGAGACTGTTGCCGTTGTTGCCATTCCGAGCACGGAGACAGTCTTTGGTGTCAGCCTTCAGCAAGGAGGTGAACGAGGCACTTGCCACCCCGGATGGCAGCATTTTCGACTACAACCAGTCTGAGTGCAACAACAGCGAGTCGGATCAAGAAGATTCCGAGATGGCCTTTATCCTAGATAATCAAGCAGGTAGCCTTTCAAAAGGGAAGAAGCTTATGGGCGATGCAGCCAATGTCCCAAGAAGAATGCCGGACCAGGCCGGTCACTCTGCGCCAACATTGACGCAAAGGGCACCGCGAGTGCCTGGTCCCGATCACCTCGCAGCGCTCCGAGAAAGACGAAGGACCATGCACAATCATGATGAAAAGGCCCATAGAGTCCTGGGCATTCCCGCAAATGTCCACCTTCACATCGCCCGCCCCCAAACGCCATACCCAACAGCTGTGCTCGACCACCGATACGAGGCTGACGAGCCATCTTCTGTCTCACCTCTCAGCGTTAGCAGCAGTCCCTTTGGTCAGGAGTTCAGGACCGCAGTGTCCGAGTTGGGAGCTGCGGACGCCGAGGCTGAGGACAAGGGTTACTGTTCGGACCCAAGCCCCATTCATTCCAGTCCAAGACGGATCAAGAGAATCAGCACAGCGCGATCTGCTATCCCCCGCCCTCTTCAGATAACAAAGCCCCCAAAGCCCGGCCGGGGTAACGAAGAGGAGACGTCAAAGCGAGCCAGTTATGACTACCCCTATCATGTAGCCCAACTGCAGATTGCACAGCACGATGCCAAATGCAGTCCCACAACAAGCTCCCCAGATACAGGCATATCCATCCCTATCGCCCTTTTCGACAGTAACAAGCCCACGCCTCCTTTTGGAGGCGGCACCGGCGGTAAGCGCTCCTCCACGCCTTCCACGCCGCGCCTCAGCCGGGGCTCCTCCCTCATCGCCCCAGCCAGAGCCTTCCTCCGGCGCAGCGGGATTGGGATGGGGACCGCTACACCCGCCACGCCAGCTCCGACTCCCACATCGGCCGCCTTTGACCACCGCCGCGTCCAACCCGCTTGCCCTCCCCCGATCCGTAAACCGCCGCGCTCGCTTTCGGCATCGCCCCCAAATTCCAAGACCAGGACCAAGACAACAACCCCTTCCCCATGGCAGCCATCATGCGCCTCTGCCCCAGCGTCCTGCTCGGCCCTCCCGGCCGGCACCAACGCCCGAACGCCGCCAACTGCCACTGCCCCTGCCACGGCCAAAGCCAAGACGGGCATGATTTCTGCGCTCGCGGCAAAGACTACCGACCTAGCGCGGCAGCTCAACAAGAGCATTGGCCTCGGCATCACAACCATGAGCATGAGCGGGGACGAAAGGCGCCGACAGAAACTCAAAAGCCGCATCCAAGTGCTCCCGGACGGGAGGCAGGTGTTTTCTTGCTCTCCTACGGCCGTTATCAGCAATGATAGCAACGTATCCCCTCCCGCGCCGGGTTTCGGAAAGGAGAGTTCCAACGCCGGGCAGCCGTGGAAACGAAGCCCTGGTGGGAGCGGGAGTGGGAATGGGAGTGTCAGGGCTAATCCCGCGCCACCTGGGCCTGGGCCTGGGCCTGGATCTGGGTCCGTCAGAGTCAGGATGGAAACCGGGGCTAGGACTACTACTACTAGGTCGAATCTGAGCACGCCGTCGCCGTCGGCCAGGCGCGGGATCAGCCCGCGGCGGCAGGGGACGAGTCGAGGTGGGAGTCCCCCGCTGCTGTCTGGGTCAAGAGTTGCGGTTGCTATTGGCGGCGGTGAGAGTAGTCGGAGGGGTCGGAGGGGGGTGAGTGCTGGGTTGAGGGAGGTCGCCAGGGCACCTCGTAGACCGTCGCCTTTGCCCAGGCCGTCGTCATCCAGGCTGGATCGGGACGGGATAGTGGGGCGGAGCAATCATCATGGCTTGGGACTCGGAATGGGAATGGGAGTGGGTATGAGGGAGGCTGGTTGGGTGAAGCCTGCGATGTGATTGTGAGTGTGAGTGTGTTGTGGTTGTGTTGAGTTATGTGCTTGTAAGATGGGTGTGGTGAACTTGGGTTAGGGTGATAGGTGGGAGTGGGTTGTGTATTCGAGTGAGGTGAGGAGACGTGGTGTGTACATACAAAGAGGGCATGTATCTTTTAGATGTGAAAATGTCAAGTGGGGTGCTTCAGTATTGTACTATCTGCTGTAAGGCAACGTTATTGCTTGGAGGTCGAGTTAACTGCAGTGGCACTAGCACTTCAACTCGTCCTAGTACAGTAAATACTATGTATCGTGATTCGTGCCACAGTTCTAAACACAGCGCAGAGAAGCGCCAATCAGCGTGACGTCACATCCCATCGCCTCGGAGCACCTGCAGCTCCACCTTCCCACCGCGGCGGAGGCGGGGCTCCGGCTGTCAGGTACCGTACTTCGGCTACGGCCCAAGCAGCGTGTCCCGGATACCTGGGCTCTCAATTACAGTCTCCATCCGGTACAGGACCCGGTTGGACTGAGCCACAAGAAACCTCATCAGCGCAAGTTTTGAAAAAGATGAGCGGTTCCCTTAACCTCGATGATCAAGCAATAGTACAGACCGATACCGAAATCGACACGCCAGAGCACGAGGAAGAAGTCCAGACAATCGTCCAGAGCATCCAAGACCCGCCCAGCCTTGAGACCTCCCTTAAGCTATTCGTCGAGTTCGACGACAAGGAAGAACCGCGCGCCGAAGACGAAGAAGGGTCGTATTACTGGGATGCAGCGACAATGGCACCTCTCAATGCAGCCTCGACGGTCAGTAAAAGCAAACCATTAAAGAACTGTTTGTGTGGTGGTTAAGCAACCCCAGCTCATGCGAACCAAGGCCGCCATCGCCCGGCTAAGAGCCTACAAACCCCCACCATTCCCGCTCTGGGACCGCCTCCCGCTCAGCCGCCGCGCCGCCGTGCTGATGCTGCTGTACGCCGACCGCCGGGGCGACCTGCGCGTCGTCATCACGATGCGCGCCGCCAGCCTGCGCAGCTTCTCAGGCCATGCCGCCCTGCCGGGGGGCAAGGCAGATAGCTTGGACGAGACACCCTGTAAATCTTCCTCTTCCCCTCCCCCTGCCCTACCACCCATTCTCGAATATCTCACCTAACCACCACCTGCCGCCGGAAATGTGAAATCAAAAGACCAAATCGCCCGCCGCGAAGCCTGGGAGGAAATCGGCCTCCCGCTCGACGACAGCAAGCTCCCCGCACCCTTCCGCATCGAGCACCTCTGCTACCTGCCCATGAACCTGGCGCGCACCGAGCTGGTCGTGCGGCCGTGCGTTGCCTTGCTGCACACAGACAGCTCCTCCTCTTCGGACAATCACAATCCCTCTTCCTCCTCCTGCCTAGCACGCCCAACCGCCGAAGAAACCCTCATCCCCCGACTCGACGCAAAGGAGGTCGCCGCCGTATTTTCAGCGCCCTTCCACAACTTCCTCAAGGCCTCGGACGAGCTTCCTGTTACCACCACCACCACCAACAACAGTCCCAGTCCCAAAAAGCAGCAGCAGCAGCAGCAGCAACAACCACTACCGCCGGGGAAGTGGTACGAAGGCTACTGGAGCGACTGGCACAGCGAGCCCTGGCGGGTGCATTTCTTTTACGTGCCGGTGACAGACCAGCGCGTGGTCAAGCCCAGGGTAAGGGAGGGCGGGTTGGCGGCGCTGGACGAGGACGGCGGTGGTAGTAGTACTAGTAGTAATGGTGACAGTGATGATGATGATAATACTAAAGGAAGGTACAAGGTGTGGGGAATGACGGCGCGCATCCTGGTCGACGCGGCGACGATTGCCTACGGCGAGACGCCCGAGTTTGAGCACAACAGGCACTTTGGGGATGAGAAGCTTATTGAGACACTCGCGGAGAGGGGGGTGCTTGAGGAGAAGAGGAAGCACCGGGCGCCGGGGAGTGGTTTGGCTGGGGACGGGGGAGGGGAGCGGAAGAAGGTTGATGTGGGGGTGTTTGATGGTGTTCCTGCTGCCGAGGGGGATATTGTCAGGGAGGGAGGTGCCGGGAAGGGTGTAAAGGGAGAGGCGAGTAAGATGTAGCATGTGCTGTGGGTAATTGGAGTTATTTGAGGGTGGTAGAGCGGCAGTACACAAGATACAGTAGACAGGCTGGATCAGGTTTCATGGTCTGGGTACTATCCGATATATACGAACGCCCAATCCCCTCAACCCGTGACATGCCATTTAGTGACAGGCTGTTTCCTTGACGACAGTAGTCCGCGCGCCAAACACCAGATAGCCCAGTCCGGCACCCACAGATACGGCGATCATGACCCACCCGTTGTAGGTCATGAAGATGAGCCTTGGCACGGTCAGAGCCCAGGGTTAACTCGCTTGCGAGGGCTACTATAAGGATGGCTTACATTATCATAAATGCGTAAAAGTTCTGAAATCCATACAGGACGGACTTGACGACATGCGCCCGTCGCGTCACCTCGTCCCGGGTTTGGCCTGCAGGGGTCGCAAGAAAGGGGGTAGTCTCAGTAACAGTGTCTTCAGCAGTAGTAGGTACTGGTGACGATGGGGATGCTCAATTTTCTCTTTAGCGAATATCCTCGCCATGGAATATAAGAGCGGACTGGTGCTAGGCAGGCAGACGGGTAGATAATAAGGGGTGCTTGGGAAGGGAAAGGTAAATGGAAAGAATGCTCACGCGGCGCCGTCTCAGCCCTTCTGGCCACCGAGGCCTCGTACCGCCGGATCCCCTCACGCACAGCCTCGTAGCCAGCCGAGATGGCTACGATGCCGATCAGGGAGATAACAAGACTCAGCGTGGATGTGATGTGCCATTGGCGGAAGACGATGCAGAGGTTGTCGGTCGACCAGGTGAAGAGCATCTAACGTCGGTTAGTTGGCGAGCGAGATGATGGGGGGATGAGGTATATCATGATCGCTACTGACATTCATGCTGCACATATGACTGTTGTCGCCGTGATCCATCCCGCCATGGGACGAGTGGTCCATCATGTGGTGGTGCTCATGTGAGGAGTGATCCATGTTGGGACGAGGATGCAAGGGCGAAAGAGGATTAAAGATAAAGAGGTTTGAATTGACGTTGTTGGGTTGATAGAGCTGAGAGATATATATCGAGTGAGGTGTTGATATGCCTCACTAACACCACTAGGTACACTATCTCGGCGCCATCCGAGACCATAGTTGAAGCCACGCTTCCCGAGCAAGGATGCGCGACATGGGACGCAATGGAGATCTGAGACGCAGCTTATTGACACCGTGTACCGTACCTATCTGGTAATTTCCCACCGTCAGTTCAGTAATGTATTGTATTGAAATTCCCATTACACTTACGGGGTACAGTACATACCAGTGCTTTGAAAAGTTCCTCCAACGGGCAACCGCACGTCATTGTCTAGTAAGCCGAGCATTCAAGCGGGTTCCATCTGCTAGCCGGCGGGGTACGCTCCGGCGATCGAGTTCGCCGGCTGTGTGAGATATGATGGGCATGTCTACCGGTAGTCTGATTTAATCTTGTGGTGTTCAAGGCAATGTCTTGCAAAATATCTTACCTACCTTCGTCTGATAGATCCTTGTCTCAATCCAAAGTCGTTTAAACTCAAGCGCTCAACAAGTCACACCATCCATTGGATCATCTTGGATCCGGCTACATCCGAATTCCACTCTGTGAGCATTGCAACACAATTTCTTGAAATACGGTTATTCGCTCATTCAGAAACTCATTCAAAACCCCCAGGCTACATTATCTGAGCAGCCTTGGACCTGTCAGCGGCCTTGTCAACTATTGCCGTTCGGGAAGCACCTCAGCCGAGGCTTATACACCCCTAAAAGCAAGATGCTCAGTTCACCAGTGAACTTGCCCAAGTGGTACGTACATGACATCAATCACCAGGTTCCCATCTCATGACAATAACTCACCACGCTATATCTTCCCAGGCTGGAAGAGAACTCCCACCTCCTCAAACCACCAATCAACAACTACTGCGTCTACAATGAGGATTTCACCGTCATGGTACTCCCTCACCACCTCCATTTCTTCATCATATCAAGTACTAACACCAAACCCCACACACAGATAGTTGGCGGCCCCAACGCCCGAACCGACTACCACATCAACCAAACTCCGGAATGGTTCTACCAGTACAAGGGTGCCATGCTTCTCAAAGTCGTCGACAAAGACGACACCTTCCGGGACATAGTCATTGGCGAAGGGGACATGTTCCTGCTGCCGCCCAACACGCCGCACAACCCGGTGCGCTTTGCCGACACGGTGGGGGTCGTGCTGGAACAGAAACGCCCCGCGGGCTCGATCGACCGCATGCGCTGGTACTGCCAGAAGGAAACGGGCGGGTGCGGCGCCGTCGTGCACGAGGCCGCTTTCCATTGCACGGATTTGGGTACTCAGATTAAGGAGGCGGTTGAAAAGTTCAAGGCGGATGAGGGGGTGAGGACGTGTAAGAGGTGCGGGACTGTGGCGGATTGGTGTCCTCGGCCTGGGTCGATTAGGGATCCGAATCTGAAGTGATGACACTGTTGAGTGGTGAGGGAGTTGGGTGCTTGTACTACTGAGTCTTGTTCCAGTATGAGGCAATTGAGCAAAATTGATGAACAGAACTGCATGCCCTTCAGGGGTATTATGTGTTTTATTCATAAAAACAAAGACATCATGTCTCGGCATACTCATACGAGCTGGTCGACTCTACAACATGAACCTCCATCTTGGCCTCCTCCAGCTCCTTGCCGTCCACCCTGATGCCGGCGCGCATCACATCCCCCGGCACGACGGGGCCGACACCCTTGGGCGTGCCCGTCAGGACAATGTCGCCGGGCTCGAGCGTCATGACCTTGGAGATATCGCTCAAGATCCGCGGCAGGCGGAACAGCATCAGCTCGGTCGAGTCGTTCTGCTGTACCTTGTCGTTGACGGTCAGGTACAGCTCGATCTTGTGCGGATCCGGGATCTTGTCCTTGCTGATGATGTTGCTCAGCGGCAGGAACGTGTCAAAGCCCTTGCTGATGTCCCACGGCAGACCCTTCTTCTTGGCCTCGTTCTGGATGTTGCGCGCCGTCATGTCAATGCTGAGGGCATAGCCTGGCATGGTGATTTTAGTATCGGGGGGTTTTCAACACGCATCAATCAGCTCGTCCCTGGCAACTCACTGTCAATGGCGTCCAGCGCCGCCGATTCATTCTCAGCGTTCAGGTCCCTGAGACGCTTGCCCACAATGAGAGCGAGCTCGACCTCGTAGTGCAGGTCGACGCCCCGTGGCCGGATCACTGGCCCGTCGCCGGGGAACAGGATGGAGGACGTCGGCTTCTGGAAGAAGAAGGGCTGCTTCGGCCGAGCGCTGTTGAGCTCGGTGATATGGTCCCTAATTCAAAGTCAGCAGGCCATGATAATTCTTTTTAAATTAAGCAGGTACTGGTTACTCACGCATAATTGCGGCCAATGCAGATAATCTTGCCAGCTCTCTTTAGTTGGCGTAGCGACGACATCGTGGGCCGATAACAATTCACTACTCTCCGTACAAACACTATTGTGAACGACTCGCCTCGGGCTGGGCAGCGGCAGATGTAATATATAGCCTTCCGGTTTATGCGACGCTGATTCCGGGATGCGAATGGCCTGCAGATGTCCCAGATACAACCCTGCCCTCGGCGGTAGAAGATGATGCCGCGCGGCGTCCGACTCGGATGCGCAAGAGTGGATCAGTCCGGTCCACGGGGAGAGACGAGGATTAATTATGTTCCCGGATTGTCACATACGCCTATAAAATGCAACAGCGTTTCTGACCTTCTGGGTCAATTGTGTTGAAACGAAAGTGGAGTTGATGGATTCTAGACTCAAAGCCCCTCTAGTTTTCCTGCAGGATATGGATGCTGATCTACAAAGTTAAAGGGGTAACGTCAAATGAATGCCCGACGCAAACTGATGAGAAAAGCACTTCAAATTATCATAGAAAGAATGCTGGTGTTAGCTGTACATAGTCCTCTGGCACTCAGGTACACCTGGATCGCAAACGGTTTCATGCTGATTCAATCAGCGATCGTGAATTCAGCTTAATGCTGCGACTACGTTGCTGCTCCAGTGATATTTCGACATACTAGTACCTAGTATTACAGCATCTCCTCAAGACCTCAACTCCTCGGCAGACTAGCGCATAGCTGAGGGATCGTTATGCTGCACGTAGAGTTAACATACCTATAGATATTGACGTACAGTACGAAGCTACAACCTGAGCGGCGACTACAATATGATTCCCAACTGCCATCGTCAGGCCGCTGGACGAACCCCAACAGCTTTGTATGGAGCGCTTCGCTTGTAGGCCGCTCGAGTATTACGGTGGACCTGTCTTGGTGACGATGATCCTGTGAGAAACGAGCTGCTTGCGCTGTGAGATATGGGGGAAGATCTGCCCTGCATCCGCGAAAAGGGACATCTCGGGTAGCTTAGGGTTAGAGTCGGGAAAGGTCGAAATTCTTCCACCAGTTGAATATGACGGCAGGCTGATGGCGTCGTGAACTGAGCGTGATACCTAAGTGATAGTCAAGCGTGATGCGCATTTTGGACTGTCATGCGGAGTGGATGACGGCTGTGCCGGTATTTCTCTTCAAGAAAGTATAAATCTGACAACACGACAGAAACACGTCAACTAACGCTTAGGTACTCGAAAACATGTGACTGTTAATGAGGCTGATGACCAAGCTCGAGCCAAGGTGACTCTAGCTGTTCCCCGCGAATTCCCGATTCCAGAGCACGACATTCCCAAGGCCCAAACTCTAGAGCTAGGTTACCAGTAAGGTGGTTGCCCGTCATCGTTCGATTGTCTTCGAGGTTCTCGGGCCCGGGAGGCCGAAGAGGCATTTGAAAGGATAGTCTTTCAGCAATGAGGAAGCAGTCGCAAGGGGTTGGCAACGGTCGCCACGCTTTTTCAGGTGGGATGGCCATGGGGGACCCATCTGTGCTTCTATGTAAAGGTGGATGGAGTGAGTCCGTGGTGAATGGTGATTCCGTAGCCCTCTTTAAGGACTGCCACGGGACTTTCCAGTGCCACTTTATCAAGTGCGGGGGTCGCACGCGATCCCGCACAAACCGTTTGACGATCCGACCACTCAGTCCATCGCTAGCGAGGGGCCCCTGTCGGGACCGAACAGGCCCCCAGCGGCCCCCCGCAGTCCCCACGAAACTTCAGTGAACAAAGCCCACTTGCTACACTAGCGGGGCGAGCTGTATTCAGCCGTCGATACACGAGAGCGGTCGCCAACCCGTCCATTGCACTCCCGACAACTTCCTCACATCCGACTCTGCCGCTTTTGAACACGTTCCGATTGGGCTTATGCGCCAGCGACACCAACATAAAGCTGCGGCTGCGTCTTTGCCTCGCCTGGGAAAATCTCTGTCTGTGAAACCCGATGAACCAAGCAGGATTTCTACAGGACACGCAACCCATCATCGATCAACGTCACAGACCGCGTCCTGTCTCTCGACATACTTAGCCACCACCAACAACAACATCAACAACATCAACAACATCAACGTGTTCATTCATCCTCACTTTCTCCGGTCCAGAAATCGTGCCATATCAGCTTTCTACGCACCTCCATGATGGAGAGCATTCAGCTTGCGCAGATGCTTGCTGATCTCAGCGACTTAAATGCGGCGGTACGTCGCAAGGCTGCTTTTACCGCATCACTGCATTTTGTGGTATTCTAAGATTTGCCACAGCAAGAAACACAAGCCGCTATCGCTCTGGTCAACGCCAACAAGACGCTCAACACCACCTCCACCACGTCTGAAGCAAACAAGCCATTAGAACATGTTTTCCAAGTCCAGCCAGGTCCGCGACATCATCGCCGCACCGGGTCTTCGGGGTCTGCCGGCTCAGGCTCGTCCTTCATCTCGAGAACCGCCTCGCCGGCAAAGTTTGATAAATACGGACGGCGCATCCTGACGCCGCCCAACACGCGCTCAAACTCGGCGTACGGCTCCATCCCGGGCACGCCGCGGCGAGAAACAGAGGTTAGCACCGTTACCCTCTTCGCACCCCCCAACTGCACGCTCTCGCCGACGAACTACGTACTAAAGTACGCCTGTTGGCGGGATCAACAGATTGAAGACGACGTCGACCGGGCCAACTCGCTGATGGCTCTGTACGAGATTCGCGCCAAGCTGAAGGATCAGGACAACCGGGCGTTGAACAAGTTGAGGGAGAAGATCGACGCGCTGCATGCAAGACAGCAAGCGGAGAAGAAGGATGGGGATATGGGAAGGATGAGACTAAGCTATCCCAAAGGCTCCTGAGTCACTCCCGAGAGTAGCTATGTTTATCCGCTTCTTTCTTCCGGGGTAGCCCCCTTCTGAACGTTATCATTCTACGGCCCGCTGCAGCAACGAGACACAAGGCGGGCTGACACGCCTTGATATCTCTGAATGGGCGACGGGACCTCATGAGGGAAGGAGCATTGATATTACTACGGCGTTCTGGCTATATGATACAGGACTGGTTGGGCTCCGGGATTGGGGTCTATGTAATGGTTTGGTTGGCGCTGGGGTCACGGAGATGGAAAAGTGTATCAGTTTTTAGGGGACAACGGGCCTGTCGCTGTCATGGCCAAAGGTGTCCTCATAGCAATGGGCCGACTTCCGGTCGTCTTCTCAAAAGATGAGACCGCATGTACACTACGAAAATACCCGCTAATGATCAGTACATAACGTAGTTATGCTCAGCTTGTGAATCAATCTGACATTGAACGTATCAAATAACCACATTTGCCTCCAGGACAGAAAATCTGAAGCTGGGTGGTAGAATCGGTCGCCGGCAAGACTGTTTTCGGTGAGGCATTTAATCGCAAGGATGCCATCCAAAGTTCCCGTCATCTTCATCGCAAACAACCTTCTCATTCCATCCAAGGACGCGCACACTGCAAAACAGCGGGGCACACGACAACCCCCCGCCAACTTTCAACCACTGTGATTTTTACCCCGCGGTCCACACGGCCCGCCCATGTGAATTCAGGTTCCGGAACCCCCATGCCTTTCTCCTGTGGCGGTGCGGCTTAAGCTTGGCGGATCAAATTCTCCACTTCTCACCCAAAAAGGCACAGTGCAAAAGGCCCACCGCGGCAACAACCGGCAGCCCGGGAACCTCGATCTCTTTTCGTCACAACGCGTCCATCTCGTCAGTTCGACATCCGTCATCCCACCTCCAACTCCAGGTCCCGTCATCGTTTCTTAAGCCACAATACCCGACCAAGAGTAAGAGAGAGAAGCGCATCAAGCCGGGCATCATCTAGGACACCGCCCGTGTCGATTAATCGGCTTTCCCGCCCAGAAACTTTCAACAAGAAAAGGAATCCGAGGGCTGCCAATCATGGCGACGGGCGTCGATGCGAAGCTGCTGAAGAGCACCAAATTCCCACCAGAATTCAATCAGAAGGTGGATATGCAAAAGGTGAACTTGCAGGTCATGAAGAAGTGCGTTTCTCCGTCTCCCTCCCTCTCTAGGTTCCCCTCACGGAGCAGGGCAATGTGTGCTAACGAGCTACTTTCACTCTGGGCCAGATGGATCGCCAACCGTGTAACCGAGATTCTGGGGAGCGAGGACGATGTTGTCATTGAGCTGGTTTTCAACTTGATTGAAGGGGCGAGACATGTGAGTTCGCCGCCCTCGGCGATCTAACATATGTAAAAGGAAATTGCGTGCTGACGAGAGGGGACATGGCCCGGCCGCTACAGCCCGATATTAAGTCGCTGCAGATCCAGCTGACGGGGTTTCTCGACAAGGACACGCCGGCATTCTGCAAGGAGCTGTGGAAGCTCATGCTCAGCGCCCAAGCTAGCCCCCAGGGCGTGCCCAAGGAGCTGCTGGAGGCCAAGAAATTGGAGCTTATGCAGGAGAAGGTGGGTGTTTTACTACATCACTGCATTGGATCCGGGTGTGCCAAGGCTTGGGCTGATAATATGACTGAAACAGATGGAGGCGGACAAGGCTGCAGAAGAGGCCCGTCAGCGGCGAGAGGAATTTGAACGCCGAGACCGTGGTAGGGGCGGGAGAGGCGGAGGTCCTAGCCGGGTCGATTCCTGGCGCGGAGGCCGCGATGATAGAGATCGAGGAGAGTTCGGACGTGGTGGCGGCCGGTCTCGTTCCCCGCCACGTTACCGTGACAGGGGTGAGCGCGGTGGCCGTGGAGGTCCCCGAGGTGGTTGGAAAGATACATACGTGCCCCGGGGCGGTTCACCTCCTCGACGCGGGTCATCTCCTCGACGCGGGTCACCTCCTCGACGCGGGGCTGGGGGACGCCGGGGTGACAGACGCCCGAGGTCTCGTTCCCGGTCTGTTTCGATGCGCTCGACTTCGTCTCGGTCATACTCTCGCGGCTCTAGCGTTGACGGATATAGACGGTCCATCTCTCGCTCACCTACCCCGCCGCCGCGGCGACGCCGGGCCAGATCTCGGTCTCGAACCCCACCTCTTCGCGATGCACCCAAGCGGCGCCGGTCCCCGCTTCGGCGAGGCCGTACACGTTCATTGTCGTCCGACCGCAGATCACCATCACCAAAGCGTCGACGCTACTCTCCGTCTAGCAGCCGGAGTCGCAGCCTTAGCCGGAGCCGGTCCAGGAGCCGGTCCCCACGCTACAGCCGATCGGTGTCTACGTCGTCGTCGAGACTTTCCCGCTACTCACGGTCTCCCAGCCGCACGCCACCCAGACGGTCTAGGCGGGACAGCCGCAGTGTCTCTCGAAGCCCCGGCCGGTACTCGAGAAGGGCAAGAGCGCGCAGTGACAGCCGCAGCGATAGCCGTGCGAGCTCACATGACGGGCGACGCCGGTCCCCCCGCTCTCATTCGCGCGAGAGACGAAACTCACGGCAGAGGCGCGACAGCAACGACACAATGAGGGACAGATCTAGGGATCGCAGAGGCTCTCATGCATCTTCATACTCTTCTGCACGGAACAGATCGGCTGATGGTTCAGGCACTGAAGACAGACCTCGATCTTCCCGTGACGGCGCAGCGGCGTCAAGCTCGAAGCAGGTAATGTCCGCTTGAGAATGGGGAAAATCTCAAAGCTGACCAGCTTGGCAGGACGAGAAAACAGCCAACGAGCTCCGAGAACGGGAGCTAAAGGAGAAAATCAAGAAGATGAGATCCTCGAGAAGCGGAGACGAAAATGTCGAGGCTAACGCTGCTTGAAGTTTTCGTGTTCGGTGTCCGGTTCTGCCTACGTACGCATCATGGTTTCTGGCTTTCAAGGCATTTCACACTGGCGGAACCGAGTCTCTGGGATCTGTGAGAACAACCCCCTGATATCGACTTGGTCATCAATAATCGTCTGAATACCTCCAGGTCCACAGACACCTAGGCACAAATGTGCAGATAGATACAGTTAGTTGAAACCCATGCCAGCATGATGACTTGCACTGGAGACCATGTATCGAGCAGTAATTGGATCAGAGCTATGACAACGTGCTTCGAATTAAGCTCAGTGATGCTATTCAGCTTGGTACATCTGAGTCCGTCGAATCGGACTTAGCGAGGTGTCTCTCTCCCTTACATGATCGAGGGAAAGGGTAATAAAGATTAGAGGAGATCTTGATCTTTTATATCCGTATATGTGATGGGCTGAGGTCTGATGAATTACAAGCGTACCGTATAAACTCGGGACATTGGGAAATTTGATTCTGGCAGCCAAGCCCACCATAACCCATAACCCTCTGAACCTATTTGACACCCTTAGGGTTATGGCTGAGATCCAGCTGTGCCCTGGTCTGTCCACTGCAACAGTGGGTTTCCTGCAAAGGCTTCAATTGGTGGGCGTCAAACGGGTTCAGAGGCAATTGGGTACGGAGGTTGGGGCCAAAAGTTATCATCACTCCAAGATAGCCAAGACTGCCAAGGCCCGGATACAGTAAGGCTCGCACAGCCCATGTCTACCACTGGTCCCTAACCACTGTAGGCATAGTACGCATCTCCCTGCGCTGGAGTGCTTCATGGGCGGTGCCCAATCAGCGAAGAGGGAGAGAAACCGCTATGCCCAAATTAAATACAGTGTAAGTATGCTTTTCTCTGTTCGTCGCACGTTGATAGGCTTGGCCCTAACAGAGAGCGATGATAACTTTTGGCCCCAACCTCCGTAATACGTAGTGGGCTTGGCTGCCCAGAATCAAATTTCCCAATGTTCCGAGTTTATACGGTATTCGTACCTTGATACCAGTACTTGTTGCAGGGTACGGAGTACGTACCGCATGTACCGCGAAGGGTGGTTGCACAGTGCGAATGTTACACATGCGCAGTCCTGATTGGCCACTTCAGTAAGTACAGACGCGTCACCGGCAGGCGAGGAAAGCCGGAACCCGAATTCACTTTCCTGGCCTGGTCTTGAAAGACATCAGACCGTGCTCAGTTGAATTCACATTCGCACAGAAAACTCCAACGAGGAGGTAGCCCGACCAGCGACAGCGCCACGGCGAGCATGACTGATAACTCGGCGTCGAGCGCTACCAAGACGGCAGCCGCCGCTCCCAATGGCGTGGACGGGCCCGCTTCGGCCGCGGCGAACGGTGGTGGCATCCCCTATTACGAGAAGCAGCGGGATCACTTGAAGGAGCTGATTGCAAAGAAGAGGATGCTTGACAAGAGGCTGGTGCGTTGATTCTCTTTCCCGTCGCTGCAGCACTCCTCTGTGGCAGGCAGTGGGAAGGGAGGTGGGCTTTCTCGGCTGACGGTTGAACGCGCCCCCATCAAAAGGCTGCGACAGAAGAACTCATTGCACAAAAAGAGGCCGAGTACCTCGAGAACACGCCCGCGGGGAACATCATTATCGGCTTCGACAACTACACCAAGGGCACAAGCACGGCGGCCGCGCAGCGCCGCAAGACGGGCCTGACCGACTCGTACAGAGTGTTTTCCAAGAGCTCCGTGTCGTATAATGCTGCGGCGGCAGCAGTAAGTTACATCACCCTTGATACTTTCTTTCTTTATTGTATATTCCTCAGTCAATACCACGTCCCGGGGAGTTCAGGGACTAAAGGCAAGACACAGGACGCGCAAACACCCGCTTCGACGCCCGCCTCGCACGCACCCACGCCGGTGTCGACCAGCTTTGGGAATAACAGAGACGGCGGCGGCGGCGCCGGAGGGGCAGCGTCTAGCGCGCCAACACCTACAAGTGCCACTGGGGGTGGGAGGCAGACGGGGAAAAAGAGCAAGAAGAGTGCCGCGGCGGCGGCGGCTGCTGCTGCTGCTAGTGGAGTGGAGGATAGTGAGACGGACTCGAGAGAGACGAAGAAGATTAGGACTAGTTTTGGGGCGGTGAGGAGGTAGAAACGGTTGGGGATTGCCAGGACACTAGCTACAATACCTACACTACACTACAGGGGAAGGGATGGCGTGATTGGCGTTTTTTGGGACCTGGGCTTGGGATCTGGGATCTGTGTACGGCGGGCTGGCTGTGTTCATATACCCTGTGGTTTTGTTTGGAGGTTGAGGGGAGCATTGGAATGGCGTTGTATGCTCATGGCGTTGGAAAGCTAGGTATAGAAGGTGCTGAAAATAACTGATTGCCTCTTTGGAAGCTTTGGCCGGCTTGATCGGGGGAGAGTTGTGTCCGGTTTGTCCTAATACACCGTGGTTTGATTCCAAGCGGGGAATCACAATCCCACCATATCGACTCACCGGAGATGCCGGGCATGATCTGGTGGGATCTTCTCGCACAGATATGCAACCTATAGTCCTTACAGATCGAACGAGATCTCCTGCCTACCTTACCTAGGAAGCGATGAAAGGTAAGAAAGATGATGGCGGCTATTCGTGGGTGCTTTGAACTTTCCTAGTGCGGGGTCAGCCATCTTATTCAATACCCCTCCCGCTATGAATGGCATTGGATGTACTGTGTAGGGAGCCCGCTGATATCCGTAACAAGAAGCTTAGCAGTGTCTTTCGCGAAAGCTAGTTTCACGCTTGCAAGTTTGGGCTCTTTTTTGTCCTTTCTAGGCGTCCAACTTCGTTTCCAGTTTCATCTTTCCTTCTCGTCACATCCCACATCTTACATATAGAGATATATATCACCTCACACCAAGACAGCATGACCGTCACGGCAACCAAGTTCACCCCCAAGGTGATGCTCTCGGCGCCGCGTCGGTCGCCGGGAGTCCCCAATGCGTCGGGCACCCTAGCTTTATATACGGTTCATCTCTCCTAGATGTTTTGAGAACTTAACAGTGCATTCATTGACTGGGCCCCCAGGTGTCGACATATTCCTTCGACGACCACAGAAAGACGTTCCAAATCAGAGTGCTCCGCATTCAGTCTGGACTGTCGGAGGTTCTGGTCCACGATGCCAAATCCAGCGAGCCTGTGTGGCTCAGTGAAGACGAGTTCCTCCACCTGAAGAGCTGGGACGATGGCACCACAAGCATCATGGTGCGTCGAGCACTATCCCCGAATGACCCGTAAGTCTTCTCGGTCCGTGATCGTTTGTGATATGATACTGAGACTCAGCCGCGTGCCAGGGGCTATGAGGTAGCCTCCATAAAGGCGCCCATATCCAATGTCAAGGTCAAGAAGCTCCCTAATGGCACAATTGCATTTGCCTGCTCCGCCCTGGCGACCCCCGATGGCCACCTGTACAATTCCGAGACGGCCAAGAAACCATATTCCAGTGCCAAGGTCTATACGAGTCTCTTTGTCCGTCACTGGGACACATGGACGACCAAAAACCGCAATTCCATCTTCTTCGGGGTACTCGAGCAGCACGATGGCAAGTACTCACTGCGAAATGGTGCCCTCACAAATGCCCTAGCGGGGACTGATCTTTCCTCGCCCGTCGAGCCCTTTGGAGGCACCGGTGACTTCGACATTGGCCCGGCAGGGTTGGTATTCGTGGCTAAGAACCCGGAGCTCGACCCTGCCATCTACACCAAGACAGATCTTTACTTTATCCCCTTGGAAACCTTCACCGAGTCCAAGGTCCCCTCCCCACAGCTCATCGAGACTCCCGGCCTCGAGGGCTACTCAAACAGCCCCGTGTTCTCCCACTGCGGTCGCAAGGTAGCCTTTACGCGCATGCGCAGCAAGCAATACGAAAGCGACAAGCCGCGGCTGCTCCTCATACCCGACATCACCGACCTTTCCCAGTCAGTACAAGAATTCTACGCCACAAAAGACGGCGAAGGCGGTTGGGACGCCCGGCCAGAGTCCATAATTTGGTCGCACGACGACTCCAAGCTCTACGTCACCGCCGAACGCTGGGCGCGGACGCTCCTCTGGCAACTGCCCTCGGACCCGGCCAAGACCGCCGCCGCCAACCTGCCCACGCCGCTCAAAACCCCCGACGGCAGCGTCACCAGCTTCCACCTCCTCCACCGCAACTCCCAAGTCCTCTTCGTCACCACCACCTCGCTCGTCGACAACAGCTGCTACTCCCTCGTGAACCCAACCGCCACCCCACCCTCCTTCTCAATCCTCTCATCCAACTCACGCCAGGGTAAGACCCTGGGCCTGTCGCGCGACAGCGTGAGCTCCATCACCTTCCCTGGCGCAGGCGGGGAATATGACGTGCACGCGCTGGTGGTGACGCCGAGCAATTTCGACCGCAGCAAGAAGTATCCGCTGTGCATGCTGATCCACGGCGGGCCGCAGGGCGCCTGGCTCGACGCCTGGAGTACACGCTGGAACCCGGCTGTTTTCGCCGAGCAAGGGTATGTCGTGGTCTGTCCCAACCCCACGGGGAGTACGGGCTATGGCATGGCGTTGCAGAATGGAATTAGGGGACAGTGGGGTGGCAGGCCGTATGAGGATTTGGTTTGTTGTTTGGAGTATGTTTTGAAGGAAATGGAGTTTGTGGATGGGGAGAGGGCGGTGGCGTTGGGCGCTAGTTACGGGGGTTATATGATCAGTTCGTATCCTTTTTCTTTCTTTTTTTTCCCCTTCCATTTGCTTTTGCTGACTGCTGCCCGCAGATTGGATCCAGGGGCATCCCCTCGGCCGCCGGTTCAAGGCGCTGGTCTGCCACGACGGCGTCTTCAGCACGCTGAATCAGTGGTGCAGCGAGGAGCTGTTCTTCCCGATCCATGACTTTGAGGGGACCATCTATGACAACCGCGAGGCCTACGAGAAGTGGGATCCGGCGAAGTTTGTGAATGAGTGGGTGACGCCTCAGTTGGTGGGTATTTGGTCTTTCTTTCTGCTTCATTCTTGGCCTGCGTTGTAGCTGACTCGGTGGTGGCCGCGGCAGATCATCCACAGCGAACTGGACTACCGGCTGCCCATTACCGAGGGCCTGGCCCCGTTCAATATCCTGCAGGCGAAGAAGATCCCCAGCAAACTGCTGATGTTCCCAGATGAAAACCATGTAAGACTGCTGTTCCCTCCCGTGTCTGGCGCTCTCGCTTCTATCAAGAATGGCTGCTAATTGATGCGGTAGTGGGTTTTGAAACCCGAGAACTCGCTTGTTTGGCATCGTGAGGTGCTAGGCTGGATTAACAAGTATGCCGGGGTGGGGGACGAACAGGAACTCGCTGACCAAGTGGATGGGTTGAGGGTGGAATAGAGATGGCCATCTTTGGAGGACTCACTTGAGCGAGTCTGGAGAAAGCAAGGGAATTGGTTGTGAGCTTATAGCACCAAGTTCTCTGAACCAGGTGGCATCCTAAAGATATGTTAGGGATATCATGTGCAGTGATAAAATGCACACAGTAAGGTGCAGAAGATTGGAAATGCACCGATGGTTGATATGTGTGCTCTTTACTGAGATGGTAGGACTTCTGATTCTCACATATACACGACAAGATCTGTATCTAAATAGATTCAATTTGTGCAGACTTTCTCCTTTCCACAAGCCCAATCCCGCAAACATGCAGGAAGGAGCCGCACATCACCATCCCGATAACACCATGACAACCTGTATATACAGGGCAAACGACACGATAATAATCTTGTACTCAGTCAATATACTAAGCTAAGTAGGCAGTGTACTTACTACAGCAGCATAGGTAAGGTAAGGTAAGGTATCCTACAGAAAACACAGCCATTTCCACGGCAGGGCCAAGACTGAGCCTACTCACCACGATCAACAATACCGCCTTTCCCTCCCATCTTCTTCTGATACTCCGTTTGCCGCCCGGCCAATACCTTCGATACAAAGCCACAGAGGAACAACAATGAATCCCCCAGTTTTCCGCTCCATTGAGCCAACCAACCAACCCATATTTTCTCTTTTGTTTGTTGTTTTCAAGACTAAACAAGACAATGATGACAATGACCAAAGCCTTCCAACATCCATTGGTATCTTCCAGTCTTCCCCCCGGAGCGCCAAAACGCCACTCGGTCGTGTTGACGACCGGACCGCCGAAAGAACGAAGGGAAGAAAAATGACAAACCCCCCCAATCCACCCCCCCCGCCAACCAGACAAGACTAAAAGAGGTGCCAGTAAATGCTGTACAATGAAACAGAATTAGACCCAAACCAGGCCAAGTATTAGTCGCAAGCCTGTGCATGAAGGAGCATCCAACAAGAGCAGAGCACTGTTACGCCTCGACAGCTACCGCCGCGGCAGTCTGCACAGCCGGTTCGGGCTCATCGCCCCGCTGCTGCTGCTGCTGCTGTTGCTGCTCCTCGTTGTCACGGGCAATCTCGCCACCGGCTTCACGCTCAGCCCAGTCACCCCACAGACCGCGCTTCCCACGGACGCGGATAGGGCCTCCGAGGGTGCCTTCGGGCTGCTCAACCTTGATGGCATCCTTGGTCGCAAGGACAAGGCACTCAAAGAACATCTTGGTGGCGTCTGCTTTTGTCGTCTTCTTCTCCGGCAAAAGGTCCTGGAACACAACGGCAGTCTTCTTGCGCTTGTCGGCGTTGGTGGCGGCCTCGGCGCCAAAGAGGTCCCGGAGGATGTGAACGGCGTGCTTGGTGCCGATGGATACGGGGCCACTGTCGGCAGGGTGCACAATGGGCATCGTTGTCTCATCGAAGGCAGGCATCGGGCTCGTCGGCTCGCCTCCTCTTGACCCGGGTCTTTCGTTGGACTCATCTCCGTGGAAGACAACCGTGTCGTCTGCGGGAATCTCCAGGATCGTGCCATCCGCCGCGAGGCTCTGGTTACCGCCGACAGTCCGGTCCAGGCCAAGCACAGTCTCGTCTTCGGGGAGCTCGAGACGGGGAGACTTGGACCTTCCTTGTTCCTCTTCGCTGTCCATGTCCGCCACGCCGCTGTCGCGCTTCCTCTTGAGCTCGTTCGGACGGATGGAACCAAGAGACAGAAGCCCCTTGAGCTCGGGAGCCCACCCATCACTGCGGCCCTCAAAGAGGATGTTGTTGACAAACCCGCCGTTCTTGTGGAGATCCATCAAGCCGGCAATGTAAGGATCGTGAGCGAGAAAAGACTGAGGCTTGATGATATTGTCGCGCTTCGACTGTTGCTCCTTGATCTGGGAGTTGGATAGCATGGTTTGCTCATCTGGTTGGAGAAGCCTTCTCTTCTTGTGCCGCTGAGGGGCGTGGATGGTGGACGCCGTCGGGTCATCGCCTGGCTCGTACATATCTGTGTTCGTATGACGGCTGTACTCCATTTCAACCTCCTTTGCGAACTCCTCATCGATATCCGATAGCGGCGACTCGGAGATGCGTGCACGGCTCATATCCTGGACAGGGGGCTGCGGCATGGCTGATTGGTCCCCAAGGTTGAACTGCAGGTCATCATCGCCCATCTGAATATCTCCTTCGCCATCGGCAATTTGAATACCATCACCGAAGTCCAGGTCAAGGCCCAGAGATGGCTCGCGCTCTCGGCGACCCTTGCTGGGACCGGCAACATCCAATTCGCTAAATAAGTCCTCCTCGATCGGCCTGGCATCGGGCGCATCTCTGCCCATTTCCACACTCTTGTCCATGAGTTTCGTCGGTCTCTCGTCAATATCCATACCAAAGTCAAGTTCCAAATCGAGGTCATCCATGTTTGCAAGAGCCAGCTCGTCATCGTCCCCAGTTGTATCTTGAAGAAATTGACTGTTGTTGAAGTCCTCCTGGAGGTTGATGTCGCGGTTGCTGGGGCGACCTTTTCGACTACTGCTCGCCGGGGTCGCAGTCACTTCTTCGAGTTGCGAAGCGAGGAAGTCTGAGCTGGGAGGAGGTAGCAAATCGAGATTATCATATGGTGTAATTTTATCAGGGAGCATGAGAGCCTCCTTATTTTGAACGTGCAGGTTCGTAGGTATGTCGTGGTTCCCGGTGGACCGGAATGCCTGGTTACGGTCAGCAAGCGGTCGCGACTGCCAAGGGAGCGACAGGGGCAGGTACCATTTTGATTTTCATCAATGCTTCGTTGCAATCATCTAGTAGATAGCGGGCCTTGCGGCTATATATGCGGACGACACCGAGCAGCAGCTGGCCGCTGAGGCGCAGGGCAAGAGGAGCTTCATTGGGCGCAATGATTGCATCGACACTGTCCTGCAGGTTGTGCTGCAAGATCTGAACCTTGGAAACCTTGCGCTCTTGGTTTGCTGAAAGCCAGGCCTTGGCCAAGGGGCCGGTGGCGCTGAGCAGCGTGCCCGACCAGAACATGGCGGCGAGGACAGCAGATCAGCAATGGGAGCAGTCAGCGACGAGTAGCTGGTACTATAGCAATTGCTCGATTGATTGTCGGATTGTTGAAGGCGTATTCGCGCGCCGAAAGGGACGCGACGGGTGGGTTGGTGGTGACTATGGGGGGCGGGTGGTCGGAATGACAAAGAGGTAAACAAGTTCGAGCGCGTTGCGTTGTTTGGGCAATGGCGCGTGTCGAAAGCTAAAGGGGGTCCTCGGCCGTCATCGACCAGCGCAATCGACACAAAAACGCGCAGTCGCTGATGATGTTGGTCAGGGGCAATACGGCAGGCTGCAACCCAGATGCAACAAGCAAGCGAAAGGCGATGGTTGAGATACAGCACGGGGTTGAGTGGTTCGGAAGAGAGTGAGGGAGGGGAGGTTCGGAAGGTGGGAGATCTGGAAATGTGCACTGTCCGGTCGCCCGCTAGAAAATCCAAGCCCCAGTGAAATTTGAGAGGCTGGTATGGCTCCACCAGCCACCGTGAATTTATTAGCGCGTGAGTTACCGGCGCTCTGTCCATTACATCAGCCAAAACCAGAAAACGGCTCTTGGCAGAGAGTCACGTGGGCCCCATGGCACCAGGCAAGACTTGCAACAGGATCCCACTTGAACGGAATACCTAACGGACGAACATGTGTATCCAAGACCCTTCTGTCCGTTATTAGGAGATTTGAAGTCTTTGCAAGTTGTTAGTCCCATGCTAACTTTAGATTACACCAGGTATTGTACACAGTGCTATAAGATTAAAATATTGACCTCCGTACGTCATGTTGCAATCTCTGTATCCAGGCCGAGCGAGGTATTCCCCTTGGTTGTTACCTTTCCAACTAAAACTACATGATTGTGTTCCCGGGGCATTCACGTCCCCGCTCAAGGATTTGACGGACTAGCAACGGCTAGTGCATGTGCAATTGCTTGATAGACTCGATAACTAATTGCCTAGCTGCCATATCCAATGCGACCAAATTGTAGCCAGCCCGAGATGGTAGAATTGGCCACTTACAAACAAAAGAATCGGGCTTGCATGTCGTTGCTGGTTGCTGCCATGCCAGGTCCAGTGTCACTTCTTTCAGCCTCATGCTAACCCCCTGTCACAACGCTGAACGCCCAGAGTCGAGGGCCTTGGCACCTAGAACGTAACACGTCCCACCGACTCGTTCCAGCAGGTTTCCGCCAACGTGCATGCTGACTGAAACAAAAAAACGAGAGAAAAACATCCAGTTTCCAACAGCAGCAATGGTGTTGTTTCCCTTTTTTCTGTGTATTGATTGTATTCCAAATCCTTCTTTTTCCATCTGAGAGATTTGCACTGGCAGGATTTTACTGCCTGCTGCCGCTGCCGCTGCAGCCATTCATGACGATCTGCTTGGCCAACGACTCCGGTTTGGGGTCCTCTACGCCCAGACCCTTCGATCACATTCATTTCTCCGTCTCACCCTAATATGGATCGATTCATCCGGAAAGACGAAGACGATGCCCTGCCGCTATATTCCAGATCGCAAGAAGGTGGGATGCTGGCAAGCCCAAGGGACTTGGAACCGTCGCGATCCAGTTCGAGGGCGAGCCATCGCACAACGTCTGCCCAGTCCAGAGTAGGCTCCATTCGTCGCCCCTGTCGATGGGCGCATCCAGACTAACGAGGGTACTACAGAGTGTTGCCGACGAATACTCGTTCCTGACGCCGACCGAAGTCGCCGCACGACTGAAAACATCACTAACACATGGCCTCACCCCTGGCGAAGCTCTATCGAGGCTACGCGACCATGGCCCCAACGAGATCCCCCACGACGAGCCCGAGCCTGTATGGCTGCGCTTTCTCAAACAATTCCAGGAGCCCCTAATAGTATTACTCTTGGTCTCTGCTGGCGCATCGATTGTGGTGGGGAACATGGACGACGCCGTAAGCATCACGGTAGCCGTGACCATTGTGGTGAGCGTGGGGTTTATACAAGAGTACCGCTCCGAGAAGTCGATCGAGGCGCTCAATCACCTGGTTCCTAATCACGCCCATCTTGTGCGAAAGCAGGCACCCAAGGGGTCGTCCGGATCTCGCTCGCCAAACTGGCCAGGGGCCGGCGACAAGACCCCTGACCTGACTGACGGCTCCATTACCCCCGAAGAAGAGGTCCTCGAGGCAACCTCATCCAAGGTCATGGCTGCGCAATTGGTCCCTGGGGATCTGGTGGTCTTTACCACTGGCGACCGCATTCCCGCCGATATTCGGGTAACCAAGGCCACCGACTTGACCATCGACGCCTCAAATCTTACGGGAGAGAACGAGCCTGTCAGAGTTACGGCCGGGGCACGCCGCCGAAGCGGACCCGGACTACCCAGCTACAACAGCACAACCCTGCAACTGCCCAGTCCTTCGTCTGCCACACCTGCCAATGGCGCGGCGGGTGATGCCAAGAGAGATGATGGAGCGCAAAATATTGCCTACATGGGAACTCTGGTGAAATCTGGCCATGGGCAAGGTATCGTGTTCGCGACAGGTGGGAACACACATTTTGGAACAATTGCAACGAGCGTCTCGGGCACTGAGAGCCCACGGTCGCCATTGCAGGTGTCGATGGACGGACTAGGGACCCAGTTGAGCAAGATGTCCTTTGTCATCATTGGGCTCATTTCCCTCATCGGCTGGTTTCAGGGGAAGAAGTTGCTTGAGATATTTACCATTTCGATCTCTTTGGCTGTGGCCGCGATCCCCGAAGGTCTCCCCATCATTGTCACTGTGACCCTTGCCCTGGGTGTTCACCGGATGGCTAGGCATAATGCTATCGTTCGCAAAATGCCCAAGGTTGAGACTCTAGGATCCGTCAATGTAGTCTGCACAGACAAGACGGGTAAGCCGAATTCATTTATCGGCAATAGCTTGATGCGTTAACATAAAAATAGGAACCTTAACAATGAACCATATGACGACCGCAAAGATGTGGTTCTTTGGTGTGGACGACGCCTTTGACGTTGATTCCGATGATGAGGCGACTGAGACGAAGCCCGATCCTGCTACGCTTAGAATCTTGCGCATTGGCAACATCGCCAACAACGCACGCCTCGCGCGCAAGTACACTGAAAACGGTGCCGCCGCCAGAGCCGTGCTGTCCTCCACGCAGGGTCGAGATCATGCCTCGACATACACACGCTGGGTCGGCCAACCGACCGATGTCGCTATGCTTGACCTCCTGGATCGGTTCAAGGAGCACGATATACGAGATTCGATCGGGCCCCGAGTCAGTGAGACGCCCTTCAGTTCCGAACGCAAATGGATGGGAGTCACAATTGGCACCGAAGGGGGGAAGAGTGACAAGGAGTTTGCCTACATCAAAGGTGCAATCGACAAGGTTCTCGAAGCCTGCGACTCTTATGTCACGAAGGACGGAAGAGAAATAGTCATGGACTCGACCCGGCGGCAAGAAGCCTTAGACGCGGCAGAGAGAATGGCAGCCCAGGGTCTCCGAGTCCTGGCTTTTGCGAGCGGGCCTGTGACAAGGTCCGCAAGAAGCAGATCTGCTGTGGCTAGTGGTGGGAGCAACAGGCCAGAAAGCCCAGCCCCTCACGGCGTAGAGGAGCATTACAGGGGTCTCACTTTTGCAGGTCTGGTAGGCATGAGTGATCCTCCCCGGCCAGGTGTCGCACGCTCGATCAGAAAACTGCTGCGTGGCCGTGTCAAGGTCATCATGATCACTGGCGATGCCGAGACAACGGCTGCCGCGATCGGCAAGCAACTTGGTATGCCGATCGCTATCCCAACCGAGCACGCAGCGAACCAAATCACTGTCAAGCCAGTATTGCGCGGCGACGAAATCGACAACATGTCTGAGGAGGACCTGGCGAGGGCGATGGACCATACGACCATCTTCGCCCGGACCAACCCCGACCACAAGATGAAAATCATCAGGGCGCTTCAGTCCCGTGGCGATATTGTCGCCATGACGGGTGACGGGGTCAACGATGCGCCGGCGCTGAAAAAGGCCGACATTGGCATCGCGATGGGCATGCACGGCACCGACGTTGCCAAGGAGGCGGCCGACATGATCCTGACCGACGACGACTTTTCCACCATCCTCCACGCCATCGAAGAAGGAAAGGGCATCTTCAACAACATCCAAAACTTCCTAACCTTCCAGCTCAGCACCAGCGCCGCCGGCCTCTCTCTTGTCCTGATCTGCACCGCTCTGGGGTTCAAGTCGCCTCTGAATGCGATGCAGATCCTTTGGATCAGTAAGCCTACCATTCCCAACCCCCCCCCCTCCCCCCCTTCCCTTGTTAATTGGAAACCATTCCATATCTAACCACGCCACAATCCAGACATCATCATGGACGGACCCCCAGCCCAATCCCTCGGCGTCGAGGCCGTAGACAAGGACGTCATGAACCGCCCCCCTCGCCGCCGCAACGACGCCGTGCTGACGCGGCCCCTCGTCGTCCGCGTTTTCACCCAAGCCGCCATCATCATGGCCGGCACCATGCTGGTCTACACGCGCGAGATGCTTGAGGACGGCCAGGTGACGCGCCGCGACACCACCATGACGTTTACCTGCTTTGTGCTCTTTGACATGTTCAACGCGCTGACGTGCCGGTCCGAGTCAAAGTCGGTCCTGCGCGGCGAGGTTGGGTTGTTCGCGAACGTCCTCTTCAACTGGGCCGTTTCTCTCAGCCTGATGGGTCAGTTGCTGGTTGTCTATTTGCCTTGGTTGCAGGAAGTGTTCCAGACTGAGGCGCTTGGTTGGAGGGATTTGCTGGGCTTGGTTGTGCTCTGCAGCAGTGTTTTTTGGGTTGATGAGGGCAGGAAGTGGTGGCGTTATGGTAGGAATGGTGGTGGGTGGGGGGTTACGGGATCGGGAACGGGAAGGGGCGGCAGGAGGGGAGGAGGAGGCGCGTTGGCTGCTGCTGGGTATAGTCAGGCTGTTTGATTGTTGGACTGTTTACATAACTGGCAAGCAAGCAAGCAAGCAAGAGGTATGTACCCGTATGGGTTGGGATGAGCGGTTTATATATACATTAAATGAATGATAATAGACGTATGATCCTGTGGGTTTCGAGTGGTTTGTATGATTGAGATATGGAACAGGGTTGGCTGCGGAGCGTGGATGGAGTCCGTTAGAACTTTGTCAAGGTTTGCTGGCCTGTACTTACGCATCATACCCAGACGGAGATGGACTCTCGAACACGCAGCGAATTGTTGTATTGTATACGTTAGGAAGTACGAAGGTATGCGCGTTCAGTATGGAAGAGGGTGTTGATCGCATGCAGTCAATCGAAATGAACCATCCCTCACTAGTAAACCTCCTTAGATCACATTTGTATAGGGCTGTGAAGTGCATGCTATGGTGAGGGGCATACCTAGGTACTTGCACTCTGCTTTCCCAGAGCATGGTTCTCGGGTCAAGGCTGATCCTGTGAGAGCAGGTTGCCTTGTTGGTTCCTGTCCGTTGTCTTACCGAGGGAGTTGGTTGTAGCCTTGCAGGTCGGCGCTTGAAAGTTGAAACACTACCCCTCGTTACCCTGGTGCATACTCTAGCAGTCATTATTGACTTATACGCGCCGGCCTCAAAAAGCGACCTCTTTTCTGATCGCAACCTCCCTTCCGCTGCAACGATGGACCTAAGGTTGAGCGTCTCGGATCTTAAAGTGCCCGGCAAGGCTTGTGCAAGCGCCCGCCTACCTCCCTGGCCTCGATCGGGGGGACGGTTGGGCCATGTGTGACCTACAACGAACGGCCATACGCGCGGATTCAGCGTCAGTCTGCCTTGCATCCGTGACGCAACGAGGCCTACCGTGTGCTTCTCCATCAGCGAATCACCGTCGTATCCGCAAATGGACTGCCTGTTTCCTTCTGGACATCCCGTCTGCCTCGTCCATGTTGCCATACTTGCCATGGACACAAGGCAACTTATGGCTATAACATGGGGATGGGCGCCAGCCGTTCGATTGACCGACGTGTCCACGGGCTCAGCGGCCACGCTTGTCTGTCCCATCTCTTGCCCCTACCTGAATCCATTACCTGAGCGCAAAGTGGAAAGTCAGCATTTCCTGCTAGATGCTTTACCATGGCGGACAGCCCTCAAACTACCCCTGACCGAAACTCCCTTTTGAGCGACTCGCTTTTGAAGAAGATCGACGAGCTCCGGGAGAAAAACATTGGGAAACACGTTCCACTGCCCCAGGTACATAGAATGCCACCGGTTGCACTCCTGGGGAGATCGTAGGCTGACTTGCAACAAGCTTGTTGTCGTGGGCGACCAGAGTTCCGGCAAATCATCCTTGCTGGAAAGCCTGACGGGAATACGCTTCCCGAGCGACATTGGACTTTGCACTCGCTATGCAACGCAGTTCACTCAGCGTCGCGATGATGTGCCTCGTGTCGAGGTCACTATCATCCCGGGCCCAAGGGCGTCCAAACATCAAAAGAAGCGTCTGAGAAACTTTCGCAGCAAGCCTATACGCCCAGAGAATTTCCGTGCCGAGTTTCCCGCTATCCTGCGAGAGGTTTGTAGAGTCAACGATATTGGGGCAGAGTGGGATGATGCTGATATGTATTCCCTCCAGGTTAACGCTGCAATGGGAATCCGGGCCAACCTCTCCTCCAAGGATGGCATTGACTCGGGCTACTCATCCGATAAACCTAGCGATTCCCAAGAAGGGACAGTATTCAGCGAGGACGTGCTGAAAATTGAGATCTGCGGCCCAACAGAGGATTACTTGACCGTAATTGATGTGCCAGGAATTTTCCGAACCCCGGAGGAAGGGTGCACAACGAAAGAAGATATCGCCTTAGTCAGGAACATGGTGGAGGGCTACATCAAAGACAGCCGCACCGTGATCCTGGCCGTGCTCGACAGTAACATTGATATCTCGAATCAGGAAATTTTGACCCTTGCGAAGGAGTATGACGAAAAGGGCGAGCGGACTTTGGGAATCTTGACGAAGCCGGACAGAGTTAAGGAGGCGAAACTCCAGACCGAAGTGTGCAACATCGTCCTTGGGAAGAAGAAGCCGCTGACGCTGGGGTACTATGTCGTTAGGAACCGCGGCCCAGATCAGGACGATGCACATTTCAATCGCCGAGAGAAGCTCTTTGAGAAAGAGCCATGGAATACCCTGCCGAAAGAAAGAGTAGGAGTTAGTGCTCTGAAAAAGCGTCTCGCTGAGCTCTTGGGGCATATTGCTCGGCGAGAGTTTCCCCGAATGCGGAAAGACATCGATAGGTTGCTCGATGACGCAAAATTGGAGCTAAATAGGCTTGGTGCTGCTCGGGAGAACGAGCACCAGCAGCGAATGTTTCTGAGCGACATGGCAAGAAAGTTTCAGAACCTCGTGAGAGCGGGCCTCGAAGCCGAGTACGCTAGTCATGCTGCCTTCGACAAGTCGACCGATCTTTGCCTGATTACTCATGTGGTCAATCTCGCCGAGGCCTTCAGTTTGGAATTCATGAACAAGGGGCATCTCCGCCGTTTCGATGACGAGGACGAGGACGAGGACGAGAACGTGGATGAGAGGGATAGTGAAGCTTCTGATATCTCTAAGGTCATGGAACGAGTTCCACGCCTCGACTCAGAAGCGTTCCCGGAGCTTGAAAATATCGTCCTCCCTCAGGACGACGTCGAGGACCCGGAAGATGGTATCATGGATTGGATCAGAGATCTGCATTTGCGATCTCGTGGAATGAACCTTGCCACTTTTAGCAACGGGGAATGGGCGAGCGCCTTCAAGGAGCAATCGAACAAGTGGCCCAGCATGAGCAAGTCGTTCGTAAGCAGGGTCATTGTTGCGATACACAGATTTCTCGATTGCGCACTTCGTCATGTCTGTTCGGATGAGAGCGTCCGTGATACGCTATGGTCCGCTCTGCTTAAGCAGGTTCTGCAGCGATACAAGATGGGAATGGACGCTGCTGAGTTTCTCGTGTCGGTTGAGCGAGAGGGCAAACCGTACACGCTTGACAACTGCTTCAACCAAAACCGCCAGGAAGCCCAGGCTGAGAAAATAGCTGAGCTTTTGAGGAGGAAGTACGCGGGCAGGCTGGGTACTCACCCCACTATCTCGATTCGGCAAGTCCGAGATGCAGTCGAAAACAAGTCGAACCTTGACGACACGGTGGAAAAGCTGCACGACAATCTCGAGGCGTACTATACGCTGGCCCAAAAGCGGTTCGTTGACAACATCCTCAATCAGGCAGTCAACTACCACCTTCTCTTCGGCCCATCCACGCCACTTGGAGTATTCAGCCAAGAATGGGTTCTGAGGTTGGGCGCCGAGCAACTGGGTGCCATTGCAGGCGAATCCCCAAGCGTTAGCGAGCGTCGTGCGAGTCTCACGAGAAAGATCCAGGATCTGAACGACGCAAAGAGGATCCTATGCTTTTGAATGCTTGCATAGTCGGGAAGATGCTGGACTGGGGTCTCATGTATTGCAAGTGATTGCTGCTTGAGCTGCCGTTTGTAGTTCATGTCTTGATGCTTATCTTAGAATCAGACGTTTTTTGTGGTCGTAAGGTGGTTCGCGCTAGGCATCTAGGATTCTATCCTGTTATAACAGTAATCTAGCCTGTATGTATATTGGCTAGGACAGTTCCTAACCCATTTTGGGTAGGCATCTGTCTAGTATATAACGACCTATATTTCTTCCTAGATGTTTAAAAAGAACGTCTAAAAAATTAGATGCCTAGTGGAAAGACTTTAACAAGCCCTATATAAATTTAGTAGACCCTACTTATTAAAATGTATTGTGCAAGCTACTACTACTACTTATAGTAATGAAAAATAAATATAGAAGATCCCTAAAAGTAGGAGATTCTAATGATATGAATTTAAGTGTAGGTTGTCTATGAAGGTTATAGTGTAGTTACTGTAAATGTAAATCGCTAAAGGCCTTAACAAGCCTCCTAGGAGAATAACCCTCTTTAACTTTCTACCTAGTTAGCGAATAACTATGAAATTTCACTACAATGTTAATTCACTATTGCTCTTTTTAGGCAACTATTGTATAGTAAGGATTTGTACTTATATAAGAGCAATATAGCCTGGTGCAAAAAGGGTTATAAAGAGGCTTTGGTGTGATAATGTAACTGCTAAGTCTCTCCCTAGGGTTCTATGTAGCTAGGTACCTTGGTGAAGTTAAATAGTACAAGACTTTGCCTAGGAAATAGTTATCCTTTAGGTGTTAACCTCCTTATATACTGTCTATTATATAGTCTTGAATTACCTATAAGTTGTTAGTTATTTTTGATATATTGTAATAGGAAATCAAAACTAGAAAAGTTACTAAAAGAATGCTGTTCATTATATACTATTGTAACGAAGGATCAATTGAATATAGGGAATAGCCAACTGTATATAGTTGTATTGTCTAAAATCTATAGTTGAGGAAGATGAAGGTAGGTTACAGTGTGACGAATCTCGGTCCCCTAACCACTGAGAGGGACTTCTCTGAGACTGAAGGTCGGACTTATCGGCGGGGTGAGGTTCGGTAGAGCCAAAAGGTCTACAACAATTGACACAAGCAAGTGTTCACACAGTAGTAAAGACAACTGCTTGCATTGCTTACTGAGGAAGCTATCGTGATGCCCGTAGGCCTGTAGAGATGGTGAACTATATACAGCTTCCTCCAACTGGCTCGCCCTTGCTCGCCAGCTACCACGACTACCTCATCGCTCTAGGTAGTCGTCTACCTTAGTCTATCGTGATCGCCTGTGTCCGCTGGCTACCGCTGACTACCGGACGTTGGCCCCGCCTGCAGCAGCCCACAGTCCCCGCTGTCCATTGATTAGTGGTAATGCCTCGTGCTTGCCCCACCGGGTCTTGTTATACGGTTGGTTTGTAACATACAGGCACGCATTAGAGCGTAGGAGATATAGGAGGCGTAGGTAGGGCTTGCGGCCCTACCTCGCTATAACCTTTACTATACTATATAACCTTCACTATACTAACAGCATATAGTATATAGTTATATAACTAACTATGTAACTACCGTTACAACCCCCCCTTTAGAAAGACTCGACTATAAGCCTTTAGTATACTAGGCCTAGCTCAATTCCCTTTAAAACGAGGTCTTTGCAAAGGAATCCTAAATTATATACGTTTTTTCGTTGGCGCCTTGTTTTCCTAGTTCAGTCGCCTATATTAGTATATCAATCTTTATAAAGACCTTTGCCTTGGAAATCTTAGCGAGGGTTTCATTAATCAGTAGTAGTAGGTATTAGTCTTTCTTAGTTAATACATTTAACTTTTAGTAGTTAATATAAAAGCGGAGGCTTCTATTATCTTTTAAAGCAAATAGAATAGGTATAGCCTAGGGCACGTTACTGTCACGAACAGACCTTACTGGTGGCCAGCGCATGGTCACAGCTGCAGCGCAGGGAGCCGCGGCAGCCAATCGCTCAACTAACCAATCAGAATGGGTTACTAGAGAAGGAGAGTGAGCCAACATAAGGATCACTGGGATCACGAAGTGAGCCAGGTGAGCCAGCACAAAGATCACTAGGAGCAAGGAGTAATCCTCAAAGACAATCATTAGTATATTAGATAGCTAGCTATTCCCTTGGAGGACCTGCCAGAGGTTCTCTAGTAATGTGACGAATCTCGGTCCCCTACCACTGAAAGGGACTTCTCTGAGACTGAAGGTCTAACTAAAGACGGGGTGAGGTTCGGTAGAGCCAAAGGGTCTACAACAATTGACACAAGCAAGTGTTCACACAGTAGCATAGACAACTGCTTGCATTGCTTACTGGAGAACCTCCTGAAGGTCCTCCAAACGAGTGACTATCTAGCTGTATATATAATACTCTGTTCACCCTGCTCCTGTGATTATCACGAGTGACTGTCCTGTCTTCACTTTTGACAATCCATTGTCAACAGTGATCCTTTATTGTCACGCCTGACATTCTTCCCTTGGCAGTGATAAACCCTGATTGGTTCCCTAAGCGATTGGCTGTCAATCCGTCCCACGGGTCCGGCTGCAGCCTCCCTGGGTGACCAACAATGGTTATTTCGTGACAAGTAAGCAATGCAAGCAGTTGTCTTTACTACTGTGTAGACACTTGCTTGGGCACTTGTTGTAGACCCTTTGGCTCTACCGAACCTCACCCCGTTCAAGTCAACCTTCAGTCTGAGGAGTCCCTTTCAGTGGTAGGGGACCGAGATTCGTCACGATGTGGTTACATGACCAACCACGTGACCGCCGTTATAACTATAGAATAGTTGTCGGGTTGCGAATAGCTTTAAAAATGGTAGGTTGGTAGTTCTAAGGGTGTTGTATTGTTAAGGTCTTCTACTAGGCACCTCGATTATTTCCTTAGACCAGTGTATGCGGTTGGGTGGTAGGGGGTTGTGGGTGGTTTGATTAGCTGGAATTGGCTAGTGGTATGTATTCAAGTCAGTTACAACGCTGCTGGCTACTAGTACTAGGATATGTACCGCACACACTAGTCTGAATTCTGAGATAACTTGATGCTATGGTTGGGGCGAGGAGACGGAAAGAGTAACTGAACTGTCTTTTCCTTTACTCAACGTTACGTATTTCAATTCAGTTTACGCTAGTACGAAGTACTAGTATGTATTTGTACAGTACAGTAATATACGAGGCCGAGGATGAGCAACCCCAGCGGGATTTAATTACGCGGTATTTTGAAGTTCGTATGTAGCTGCCGTGGCAGTGCCTTTACGGTAGCCATTGTAATGTAATGTTACAAAGCACTGTGCCAAATTGTTCACAAGCCACTCGAACCCAACGGCAGGGGCCAAACATCGCGAGTCTTTGGAAACACTTAGCGGGGCCCTCGTCCCGAGCATCCTGGCGAACACAAGCAGCAATGCCCCGCCATTGTCTCGACGGCAAAGGCAATTCCGATGTCTGCCCTCTCCAATGGCGCCGCTACCATCTCGTCGACGACCAAGACGCCCGCTGCCAGCAGCAGCGCACCTCCTAATCCCGCCATGACATCCCAAGATTTCGACAGCAGCAACATCAAACCTATAAAACCAACCGCAACCACCACCGCCCCAACAGACAGCCGATCCCCATCATCATCAAAACCCAAAGGCGACCCCACCTCCGCCCTCCGCCATGCCACCACCCCGGCCGAAATCCGCACCGCCCTCGCAGCCCTGCATGCGCGCGAATCCGCCCTCGCTACACGCCTCACGACCCTCATGTCCTCCCACCAGGACGTATCCCGCCCCCTCGCCCGGCTCGACAACCTCCGAGCGGGACTCGGGGCGCAGGTGATCGCGGCGCGAGGGATCAGCAACGGGATGCTTTCAGGGGCAGCCGAGACGGCAGCACGACTGTCCGGTCGGGTGCGCGCGCTGGACCTGGAGAAGCGGCGGGTCGAGGAGACGCTGTCGGTGGTTGAGCAGGTGGCCGAGCTGAAGGCGTGCGTGGCGGGGGTTGTGGGGAGCATGGGCGCGCCCCAGGACTGGGAGGCAGCCGCGGGCTACATTGCCCGCGCCGCGCGCGTGCCCGACGACATTGTGCGCGGCGGGTTTGCGGCTGCTGTGGTCCCCACCGTTGAGGTGCCTGACCCGCCTTGGGTTACACTTGAGTCGGCTAGGGAGAGTCTGTGTAGTCTGTTCTTGAGGGAGTTCAAGAAGGCGGCTGCGGAGGGCGACGAGGCGAGGGTCACGAGGTTCTTCAAGCTGTTTCCGCTCATTGGGAGGGGCGATGTCGGCCTGGATGTGTACGGCCAGCATGTGTGTCAGGGTGTGGCGGGCGAGGCACGGGCGGTGCTGAAAGAGTCGGCTGTTACAGTTGGTGGCCAGGGGAGGAAGGATGGGTTGTTCTATGCAAACGCTCTGGCCAGGCTTTTTGATCATATCGCGCGGATTGTCGAGTCGCATAGCAGCCTTGTAGAGAGACATTATGGGACGGGCAAGATGGTCAAGGTCATTGAGAGGCTCCAGATGGAGGCTGACGTCCAGGGCGGCATCATATTGGACTCGTGGAGCGACGAGCGGACTGTGGATCGGAGGTTAACCGACGTCAGGAGTTACCCGTTTTCGTTCCTGGTTCAGAGCTTCCTGCCCCAGCAGAATCGCGGCTTTGGAGGGACACCGCGCGTGAACTCGCCTGCTGTGGGGGGCGGTACCACTAATACCCGAAACAGCGAGGACGAGGGCGTCAACATGAAGGAGGTCGCCGCGTTGCTGGGGGAAATTTCTGTGATTCTGGGGCGGTGGTCACTGTACTCGCGATTCCTTGCTGGAAAGTGCAAGGTAGGTTGACCCCTCAAACGTAGCCTTCCGCAACAGCTGACAGCTCCAGGATCCTGATTCTCCTGATGGGGCGCCGCTCTCCATGCCTGACGTGCTCGTCAAGTCCAACCTCAGCAGAAAGATCTCGGCCAAGCTCGTGGGCCCATACAACGAGTTAACCTTGTTCTACTTCCGTCGATCAGTCGAGAAGGCATTCCAGCTGGACGAGTCTCCAAGCGGACTGTCGTTGAACATGAATAAGCCAATAGAGAGCAACCCGCCGTTCATCGTCTCGGCCGTGGACGACGTCATGTACATTGTCAGCACGGTCATTCTACGGCAATCCATCTCGACATCCCAAAGAGTCGTTATAGACTCGGTCATTTCTACCGTTTCAAGCGTTCTTGGCGCCGATTTTGTGGGCATGATCCAGCGCAAAATGCGCTACGAGTCGTTTCCAAAAGCCGCCGTCCAAGGCAACCTCCCACCGGAGGATAAGATTATCTCATTTATCGTCCTGATCAACAGTCTGGACGTGGCCAACGATTATCTTGCCCGAATTGTCTCCAATCTCCTAGCATCCCCCGAACACCACACAAACGGCGCCGCTTCCTCTCATGCTCCGTCCCTCAAAGACTCCTTCCCCTTCAGAAACGACGCCGCCGAAGTGACGACCCGTCTCAGGAACCTCAACACCTCCTTCACCTCCAAGACCAGCGAGCTCCTCAACGAGGGCATCAAAGCCCTCTTCAACCAGGTGGTCAAGCCCCGCCTGCGGCCCGTGCTGACCGACACGTTCCGCGACGCCGACTACACGCTGACCGAGGAGGAGCTGGCCGAGCTGGTGGAGCTGGCGGCGCAGAACGACCAGACCGAGGACGACGTGCTGGAGCAGGTGCCGCGCCGCTTCGAGCAGGGGTGGGATCTGCTCATGAAGCCCATCGCCCGGCTCATGACGCCGCGCACCTTCACGACCCTGCTCGACATGACGGCCGACTACCTCTCCCGCGTGCTTGAGAAGCGCGTCTGGAGCTATGCCGGCGGCAGGACCAGCCCGTACGGCGCCATCCGCATGGAGAGGGACTTTAGCGGCATCATTGGGACGATTAGCAGAGGGAACTATGCTGTCAGGGAGATGTTTGGGAGGACGGCGCAGATACTGATGGTGGCGAATATGGAGGACGAGGAGTGGGAGGAGTTGGCTGGCGAGGGGGGTGATGGAAGTGACGGCGGGATGCAGTGGTTGCTGACTGAGGATGAGAGGCGGAGGGCGAGAAGCATTGTCAGGACATGAGGGGTGCCACGGAGTTGTAGGCGCTGATATATCTGACGCCCAATGTTGTCGGATCCTACCTAGATACCTAGGCTTTCATGTTTAGAGCTGGAACGATTGCATGCTTAGAGGGCGCGTCGTCAACTAAAAATGTTTCATTTGGGTACTATGATCAGTGGTTGTCTTGTCACTGGGAATTTGAGTAATGTGAAGATGCGACGCCCTGACATGTGTCTCAGCCCCGCGCCAACTCCCATTATCTAAGGGATCTTATCTCAAGCATCCCTTCCATCTTGCACAGCTGACCCGGACCAACTCTACCCGTATCCAACCCGCAAATGCATTGCCAGAAGACATAACCACATACAAAATGACAGTCAGCTCCTCCCACGAGACCGAAAATGAAAATGATAACCTCCTCCAACGCTGCTGGCGGCAACAGTCCTGTCCCAATTGTCTCGACACATCCCGCTGCAGCTGGTGTCCCTTTGTATGTATGCCCCCTCCCCCTATCTTCTCAGCACTGCCCACTCCTCTTTGGTCCCTCAACTCCCAACCTGATACCCAAACCCAATCTAATACAATTTACTTACCAACCCCCCAAAACGGCACATTCAAACCCAACAAAGACACAGTCCTGCACCCCAAACACATATCCCTTCCCACTCCTCGCGCCGGCACACGACGAGCACATCTGCCCGCTGTGGAGCGAGCGCTGGGAGCTGCGCACCCGGCCCTTTGGGTGCGCCGTGTCAACCGTGACGAGTCTGAGTGTGCTTGTCGCTGTTGTCTCGACATTACTGCTTGTGGGCCTCATATTGGGCGGTGTGACACTCTCTCGGTGGGGTAGGAGGCGCCTGCGGGACAGGGGCTGGTGGTGGGAGCGGACGTGGTGGTGGTGGAAGGGGGCTGGGGGGTTTGGTTTTGCGAGGTGGAGGTGGAGGTTCTGGGGGGGAGAGGGCGTGGCACCGCGTGAGGAGGAGGGGGAGGAACAAGAGCAAGAAGTGCCGTTGCTGGCGGGTGGAGAGCAGACCGGGTCATAGATAGCTTGGATAAACGGATTGTAGCTGGTAAAGTCTTTTGTAGGCTGAAAATATGGATTGTATTGGATTGTATTCTGGCCAATTGGCGGGTTGTGGCTGTCTAACCCGAGCTAACCGGGGGAATGATGGCGACCTCGTCGCCTTCTTGGATGATGATTTCCTGCTCTGCCGCTTCACCGTCCTGTTGCTCGCCGTCCGGCACGTCCACATACGCCAGGTTTATTGTCACCAGGCTGTGGTTGAGCACGCTCGCCCGGATCCCCTTGTACCGCTCTTCTAACGTGTCGAAGAGCTTCCGCAGGGGCAGCGGCGCGGGCAGTGCCTCGACATTCTTGGTCGTGTACGAGCCGGCACTGGCAAAGTACAAGACGTTGAAGTGGCCTTTGGGCGGCTTTGGGGTCATGGTTGCCTAGCTTTCAGCGGAGCGATCGTTAGTGCCATGAGCTGAGATGAATTGCGGAAGACTCGGGGTGGAACGGTGTTGGTTGTCAGAGATCTTGGTGATTAATGAGACATCAAATTTGTTTTCAGGTAATACATGCTGATTGATGCATCATCCAACTGAGAGGATCAAGTAGAGGCTGTCGACTTACATTGTGTTTGATGGGGGGTGTTGCGGTGTTCGTGACAACAAGCCCCCGTGGGCGGGATTTTTCAGGCTCAACTCCTCGAAGTTGCCATCACGTGCGTTACCTTCTTGAGAGTGGCTTACAATATCTCGTTGATTTCAGTTCCCCTGTTGCCCAGCTATGCAGTGCCGACGACCGTCGATGAGAAGGCACGCAACAATGGATTAATCACATGCGGCCTCCTTAGCAAGCGGGCGGCATTGCGATGAAGGAAAAGAGTTCAGGTCGAGTCGTTGGATTTTTTGAGAGAATTTATCTTGCGAGCAAGGGCGATCTGATTGGATGGAGAGCAGTCGGTGCTCCACCTGGAGCAGCATCAACAAATTCAACATGGGAGAGAATCAAAGAATGCATATCTAGCATTTGGGTATCGTTGCAGCAGCCTGATCGCTCAAGATAATTTCGCCATTTTACTCTCAAGATCCTTTACCCATTCCGACAGTACGTCCATGTTCTTTGTCATGGCCGCATCTCCGTTCCGGATAGCAGTTTCCACTTTCTCCAACCCCTCCCTCCATTGCTGAATGTCTGTCGCCATCTCGGCCTGCGTCTTTTCTATGCGCGCCAATGTCTCTGCTGCAGTTGCAGCGTCGGCATGAATCATGCGCAATGACCGCAGTCTGTCGAGTAGAGGCGGCAAGAGGGGCGTCAGGTTCTCGATGGTTGGTAGAGTTCCGTAGAGCGCATTGATCTTCGCCGCTTGTTCTGTGTCCTCGCGGCCAGCGCCATCCGGTATTGGCGCTGCTCCCGCCGCAACAAGGGCATCATGGGCTGCCTTAGCATTCTTCCTCGCCTTTTCCAGGCTTTCAGCCTCCTGGGTCAGAGTCCGCACTCTGCGGCTGATGCTGTCGAGGGAGGGGACAGAAGCATCAGCCAAAGTAGAGATTTGCTTGTGTAGATGATCCAAAAGCGGTATGATGGCACGCGGTAAGCCACTTGAGTCGAATTCAGGCATAGGGACCGAACCAACCCCCAGTGCCTTCTCCAGCATGAGGAGGCGGTGGTCAAAATCGGCTGCCTTGGCGAGTGCATGGGTTTGTTGATAGCTTGGCGCGTATGTGATAGTGTAACTGGTGCCGTCCCCCTGGCCAGCGGAAGGTTCTTCCTCAGCACTGGGGACATGGGGAGAAGTTGTATGAACCTTCTGAGTCGTTTGAAACTTGCCGACCTGCGATATCTCGTCCAAGGCCTTGCTGAGGGACTCAATTTCTCCTTCCTCTGCAGTCGTCTCGGCCTTGGACTCATCGGCAAGGGCCTTCTGTTTCCTGTATTCCTCCTTGGCCTCCTCAATCTCCCGCTTCAGCCGTGCAATCTTGCGTGCCAGATTCCCACCGTCATCCTCATCACTCAAATCACCCAGCTCTTCGGTTCCATCCTCCAAAATCCGGTGTCGTCGACTTGACGTCTTATAGGATTTCCGTTTTGCACTCAGCCGATCTGAAAAGTCCACGTCACTCGCATCCACTGTCGCCGGCATGAACCGTGACCGGGCCTGATCTACGCGGAGACGCGACCGCGAGATGCCAGCAGCATCATCTTCCTCCTCGTCGTACTCGTTATCTGAAGGGGACCGCGCGGTTGTGGGCTCCAAAGGGTCAGTCCATTTCTGATACGGTGCCAGTGGGACTCACCGGAATCGTCGAAGCGTCATCGGTGAGTTCTGGTGTTTCGTATATGTCTGGTGCCGAGTCCTATGTACGGGAATGTTTACATTAGTGCCGATAGCGATACAGCGTACTTTGGGCCGCAGACACACCAGATCTGGAAGAGCAGCGTATTTTCTGTTTGCCGCCATACTGTTGTTATGGCGACAGTTCCCGCCGCAATTCGAACATAAGGGGTTGGGTTCGAGTTGTTTGATAGTGAGAGGGACGTGCTTCCAATCAGTGAGCAGCACCCTGGCCTGCAGCTTATGGTAGCTTCCCAGTTCCCAGGCGAGCCAGATTAGTGCTTGCCAAGCTTGGGGACAGGGGATGGGGACCCCACTTCAAACGCGTCCTTTCAGTCGCGGTTTCCATCCGGATTACATCCAGAAATCATTCTGCCTCACTCATGTTCAGAACACCTTTTTAACTCGGGATTCATTACATGTTCCGCAGCTGTTTACAAGTATCCGGGGACCTTCATTCAACTCATTTCAACACACTCATTTTGTAGCCGGCTCCTCTTGTGCTCGCTGTCAATTGCTCCCTAGAAGTGGATCGATGTGTTAGTCTTCAATTGAACCTCGAACGATAGACTCGCTCGCTTCCCTTCCGCCGATGCATGGAAGTCAGAGGATGCCCGTCATTTCATAGGATACTGGCAGCTTATGCCTTTGGCTCTCACCCGGGCCTCACAGCCATAGCCTTTCCGTCTCAAACCTCATCTCCATTCTTGTGGCTCACATGCCTAGCAAACACCGCGTCGGTCTGAGCAAATACCAGGAAGTCCCTCCTCTCCTGAGGAAGGTTGGTAAACCGGCAGTGCCGGCCAACGAAGAGCTTATGGCAGATACCCCCCCCGACGCTCCTCCCCGGAGCTCCTCTGACTCTGAGAGTGACGATGGGCTACCCAACAGAGGAGACATCAAGCCCACTCGGTTTCCCGAGACGCAGCCTGAGAGGTCCCGGCCGGTCCAAGACCTCCATGGTGAGGAGTCTAGTAAGAATGCACCCTCGGTGGTTTCGCGCTCTAAAGCTACCCGGGCATCGACACGACGACGTCGTATGAATGAGCCCTCCTCGAGCCCCAAGGAGACAGATCGTCAAACAGAAGCGGAAAAAGGCGACGATGTACCAAGTAGCCCTACGGCGAAGAACCTTAAGAGAAGCTCGCCAAATGAGAACGTATCGGGTGATCAGCTGTTCGACGACCAAATTTTTCCCCAACAGAAGAAACCCCCCCTGAGCAAATACAAATATACCTCCAAAAAAGCCTTTGTTGGCAGGTCGGGGAAAAATAACCTCTCAAGGAGGGACTTCAAACCGCCGCCAGATGATCTGAAAAGGGAAGCGGATAGCCCCGAAAGGAAGGAATTCCAAATGCCCTCCTCTCCGTTAAGGGCTGGGCAAGGTCCCGTGTCCCCAGGAAAAACATTCAAAGCCATCCCAGACAGCGACATCTCGGTTAAATCATCTCCAGTACGGAAGAAGCGATTAAAGATGCCGAAGGAGAAGTCGAGACTACTTGAAGATCGTGACAGCCCTGAATTCTCTCAGATGCCTGTCTTCAAGATGCCCGAGGAGGAGGAGCCAGGGCTCTTCGACATCGATGAGGGAAGGGACCTGGATCAGGCCATGTCCCCTCCAACAGGCAACGCGTCCAACGCATCGAACTTTTTGGAGACCTCGTCCTCACCGCTGAGCGAGCCATTATCATCGCCCCGCGAGCCCGCACCAGTATGCCCGCTTTGCAATACAGAGATCGAAATGAAGGACCTCGAAGCATTCAGACTCAAATTCCCGCGAATGACGGTCTCCAACATGCAACGATTTTGCCAGATACACAAAAAGAAGTCTGCGCGAGAACAATGGCTCAGCAGGGGCTACCCAGATATTCTCTGGTCCCAGCTCGAAGGGCGTATAGCCAAGCGTTACGGGCTTTTACGCAAGATCCTCGAGGGTGAGCGCCACTCGCACTTTGCCGACAGGTTCAGGGAGCAAATAGAATCTGGGAAGAACAGGACGCTGCTCCGATCGGATGCAAACCTCACCCCCGGGTACTACGGCATCCGCGGCCTCCGTGCCATGTCGGAGAACCTAATCGGCGAGTTCTCGGCGCTGCTACGCAAGAGATCCGTGCAAGACCGGTTAGTCTCAGCAAGGGGCCATACGGCGTACCTGCAGGCTGTCCTAGTGCCGGAGCTGGCGGTGCAGCTCATCATGGAAGATATGAATGTGGGTGAGGAGGAGGCGAGGAGGATCCTGGCGGAAAGTGGTTCTATCGGGGAGCTGCTTAATGATGAGATTGCTGATGTTGTTGAGGAGGACTCGGATGGTGGTTTAGCTGCTGGCCGGATGGAATGAGGTCGGAGAGCTTCGATGTTGCCCTCCACCATAGATGATCTTGCTAGGCGTTTCTACAGATACACGTCTGTTGACATATGGTCGTTGCACAACTCCCTGGCCTCTGCTTCGTCATTTTGGGGCTTGATGACAGTCGCACTGGGGTAATAAAGACCATAGACATGACTGTTTGAGATGTCACTTGGCAGCTGTGCAAGAAACACAGCTGCACTAACGCTACTTTCGCCTGAGGAGTCTGTCCCGCTGACGGATGTGATGCTAACACAGATTGGGAGAAAGGGGGTTTCGCCAGCATGGAGGCTTGTTGCAAAGAGCTATATAACTGTTACTCCGATCTGCCCACAAGTACCGGTAGTGTGTTGTTTAAGGGGTTTGAGGAAGAGCGATGACATGCCCATAGGCACTGCGCAACGAAACTTGCCCGACGATAACGCAACACTGTGTTGGACCGAAAGGGCCGAAATCAAGCAATGTCCGCTAGATCCAACTGCCATTCTGCCCATCGTACTCCGTCCAATTATCAATGTCTTTCCTCCCTACGGTTCATGTTACACAGCTGCGGGAAATCGAGGCTGTGGGCAAAAAAAGAAGCCAACAACAGCCTTGTGTAGTGTTCCGGTAACCGGGAGCCGAGTCCCAAATGTGCGATACTCTTCACCAATCAAAGAACGTTTTAAATGAAGGCTCTTGCGTTGCGATGCACCCGAACTAGTCACCGAGGGAGAGATATCGGGGGGTTAGATCCGGGCCAATGCCCAACGCCGGACATCCCACGTTGATTGGCAAGGCTGGTATCTTATTTATATAGCGGCTTCCTGTTGTTGAAGACCAGCCGCGCTATCCCGAACGACTACTCGCTCGCGTGTGTACATACTGTACACCTCTGCCAGGCTTGTTTCCGCGGCAAATGTTCCTATCTCAAGTAGGCGCGCTGACTCGAAAGGCATCTCAAATCGCTGGTCAAGGAATTACGAAGATAACCTCCTAAGCGAACCACGCACAGTTCACCTAACTTAGGATATTACGGAGATCGCATACCTATACATATCAGATGCATCACGCATGGGGGACGTTGTACTACGTTGTGTTGTACGACGGACGATTGTTCACGAATATAGGAAGTAGGTAGATGCGAAGTAAATGGAGAGCCATTTCAAGGAAGTCGCATGCGTCAACAGGAAGTCCATCAGCTCGGGATAGCGCCTCCTTGCGTAAGTACGTAGGGGTATGTACATTACAACACAGTAAAATACACGAAATAATACCTACCCGAGCTACCTCCCTACTGCACTGATGGTAGCGCGGGAATCTCCTACTCCGCATTCCATCAGGCCGTTGTGACCCTATAAGTGGCGACGGGAACCCTGACACATGGCTCGGGCCCGAGCTCTCGCCGTAGCGGCATCCGGGACCCGCCAGCAGACGGCCCAGAACACGTCTCATAAGGACAGCTTTTGTAGACACTGGGAACATGGTTCAGGAGTTCTTTGACTGTTTGGTCTTAGGCATGGTCACAAGAACGTATGACAAGTCTCAAGTCATTCCACTGACGAGAGTCGCCAATCACAATTCCATCACGGAGGTCCTGCTATGCAACTTGGGGTAGGTATGTACTGTAACGGTCATGACGTTACAATACACGTTAATCTTTCGAGAGTGCGTATTGTAATCATTACAGTACGGGTACGGGTTTGTAACGTTCGTCAATCACCATAACTCCCGGCGGAGTTGTCAATAGGAGAATCAATTCGAGTAATGATGATATTGACAGACAAGTCTCTTTACAGTACTGTAGTGTATGAGCTATGATAGAGTACGCTGCACAACGTTCGGACTGTGTGTTGGTAACTCAGGTTTATTGTACTGTTTCGTATGTACAGTGGTGTAAGTCGGTGGTTGGTGCTCCGTCATGGAAGCCCTGTCAACGAGCCACGCATTCTGCCACTCTCCGCACTCAATCCGCCCGCCTAGACCTGCATGGGTAACTGTGTCCCACACCAACATCCCACAGGCCCAACCCCAAGGCCCACCACCAACCTGGAAGCCCGGGGACCATCCGTCGCCCGCTGTGTGCTAATTAGCGAGCACCTCACACTTTTCGCCTGATCTCATCGCCGATGCCATCGCATCATCCCAGGTGCATTCCGGCCAACGACCCGGACAGCAAATACCGACAACGGCACATACACAGAAAGATACAAGCAATGACTTGATTACATTGCCAACGCTCGAGACGTGGAATGGCACCCGCCCATTAGACGGTAGACGGTAGACGGTTTCTTTGTTCCCGCGCGGCTCGCTGCCTCTCCGACAATGCCCCGGGCCGACGACAGCTCCCGCTTTAGCTCCATGACGGGCTCCAGCACCGACAGCGGGAGATCCAGCATCACGGCGAAACCACTGCCCTTGACACCCACGACTCCATCCCTACCACCTCTGCCGGGCGCCGCCGCCGCGAGCAGCAGCAATGGCAAATCCACCCCGCATGGGTCGCGACGAGCGGCCCCCTCACGCCTCAAGACGGATGAAAGCGGCAATCTCGTGAGGTGAGTACGAAGTCTAGCTGCCTGAGCTTCCTTTTTTCTGCCATTGGTTGCCACTGCCATCGTCGACGGCACTCACCCTAGCCTGATGAGTGGTCTGCTTGTCGTTGCCCAACCCTTCCCTGTTCTTAGCTCATGGCGTCTTATGGAACAACACGAACTGACGGGTGCCTGCGTCTTGCTGCCAACCCAGGTCCTTGAAAGAAGCATCCGAACCCCAACAGGTTTCCCCGACCTCCAACGGGTCACGCCTTGCGCTGTCCCCGGCCTCCTTGAATTCCAACACCTCGATGCGGGACCGCGACATGAGCGAGCTGTTCGATTACCGCCGCGACTTGGCCATCCTAGACCCGGGTGGCGGCCGGCCTCCGCGCAACCAACAAAACAACCCGTCCACTGGCTCTCTCAGCCAAATTGCGCCTTGGACATCAGCTACCATCACCTCCTCGGCTCCCGCCAGTACCGATAATATTCACACGACTTTCTACAACGACTCAACCGACAACCTCTCGTTGGCCTCCCAGCTATCCCCCGGCATCCGGCATACCATAACGCGTCCATCACAAACACCTGCGGGCAGCACTGACTCTCCCGATGCTGCTTACTTTACGGACGAGAGACGCCCGTCCCTCGCGAGTATTACAACGACTGCAAGCAGCCAAGGCTCGAGAACTAGTGGCACAAGAGGAGGCTATCGTAAGCTGCAAGGGTTCTTTGGCGAGGAGTTTCCGGGGCGAGATTCATCTGAGATTAGTCTCGGACATCCCACAGGAGTCAAAGAACACCGTTCGCATTCATACAGCTACAACCGGCCGCACAGGGACCGCAATTACTCCAATGCCACCGACCACGGCAGGGATGCCTCCCCGGCTTCTCGCCCCCGAACCCCGGTGCCCGCTCCGGAAGTCGTGCCGTTTCTGTATCAGGATTCCGATGTATGTGTCATTCATTATCCACTTTTTGACCTCGCAACCACATTTTCCCACCCGTTTCGTTTGCGTTTTCAAAGAACCAATGCTTTCCCACATGTAGAGACATATTGCAGTATTTCCTCTATTTTCGCATCCTCGATCTGACGCGGCAACGTAGGACATTGCGCGATACGGCGAAGCGCCAGTGCGCGACAAACTCAGTGGGCCGGATCGTGATCGCTACGCAACCGAAAGCTCGGCGCCGAACCCACCGAAAACCTCTTCCTCTGGAAGGTCCGGCCACTCAATCGTGCACTTACCGGGACACCATCACAGACACAACAAGAGCAACGAAGATCCAAGATCCCTTAGGCCATCCATCAGCAGGGAGGACTCTGCAGTGACGACCGCCAAGGAACGGAGTGGCTCTACTGCCATGTATGGCCCCAGGTCTCGTGCCCAGAGCCCGGCTCCGAGCGGAAGCGGCAGCTACTGGGGCCCAAAGACGGGCAGTGTCGACGGACATACCTCACCGCCGGGACAACAGAGAACGGGAAAGGGCATCTTCAGTCGCTTGCGCGGGAGACACAAGGACAAGGACGACTCCGATCTTCGAAAACTCCCCAGCTCATCGCAGTCACTCCTGTCCCGGCGGGAGTTCCCTTTTGCTGATGGACAGTCCACGCCAGGCTCGGAATGGCCAACATCGCCCGAAATCCGTGAGGTCTCCGGGTCGCGCCCTGCATATTCGCGGAATGGAACGTTCAACAATAAGTTTCCCTTTTCCTCAAAGAAATCTCGCACAGCCAGGCACCGGGACGACGTTGATGAGAACATTGGCCCCACGGACACGGAAAATGGCGGTACCATATTTCACCTTGACACGAACCTCAATAACATGGAGGGTATCATCACCCAAAAGCCGCCGTTGACCCCGTTGCCCGATTTCATGAACGACCTTGACTATGAAAAACTACCCATCCGTCCCACCGACCCTAATGGCGCGTGGAACGCCCCGGACAGCTGGGGTGTACGCGGAAAACGGGACGACAGCTCGGCCCACGTTCCGGAAGCTGACGACATAGGGAGCCCGCCCCGGCCAGAGGAGAAGTTGAGCCCATACTGCATTCGCGTATTCAGGGCAGATGGTACCTTCGCGACACTTCAGATGCCATTGGACGCTACGGTTGCCGACCTAGTCGCCCAAATTGTCAGGAAGTCGTATGTGATAGACGGCGTTGAGAACTATCACATTGTCCTGAAAAAGCACGAGCTTACTAGGGTGCTAAGCCCTGTCGAACGCCCGCTGCTGATACAGAAGCGGTTGCTCCAGCAGGTCGGATATGTGGACCGGGACAGGATAGAGGACATTGGCCGTGAGGACAACAGCTACCTGTGCCGGTTCCTCTTCCTGTCGGTCAGGGAAAACGACTTCCACACGGTCTCGCACGAGGTGGGATTTGGCCGCATACAAAAGTATAGCCACGTCGACATGTCCGGCCGTAATCTCATCACAATCCCGGTTCCACTCTACTCAAGGGCTTCGGAGATCATATCCCTCAATTTGTCAAGGAACCTTTCTTTGGATGTACCGCGCGACTTCATCCAAGCCTGCACTAACCTACGTGATATCAAATACAACAACAACGAGGCCCGCAAGCTGCCACAAAGCTTGAGCCGAGCAAGCAAATTGACGTACCTGGACGTGTCGAACAATCGCCTAGACAACCTGGAGCACGCAGATCTGGGCAGCCTCACCGGACTTCTCAAGCTCAATCTGGCCAACAACCGGCTTAAAGATTTGCCCGCCTATTTCGGTGCTTATTCCGTTTTGCGAACGCTGAATATCTCTTCGAACTTCTTGGAGAAGTTCCCTGCCTTCCTCTGCAACTTGGAGAGTCTCGTCGATCTGGACCTCAGCTTCAACCTCATCAGTTCTCTGCCAGACACTATCGGGAAGCTGAGGAATCTGGAGAAGTTTGTCATCACTAACAACCGGCTGTCCGGCACCTTTCCGAGCTCTTTCGTGAATTTGAGCAGCCTTCGTGAGCTGGACATCAAATATAACACTATATCCAACATTGACGTGATCTCTCGGCTTCCCAAGCTGGAAATACTCACTGCCGACCACAATGGCATCTCTCAGTTTGTCGGCACCTTCGAAAGGATACGAAGTTTGAAGCTTAATTCGAACCCTATTACAAAGTTCGAGATCAAAGCACCCGTCCCGACGCTCAAGGTCCTCAATCTATCCAACGCACAGTTGGCAAGCATCGACGAGTCGTTTAACAACATGCTGAACCTTGAGAGGCTAGTCCTCGACCGAAACTACTTCGTGTCGTTGCCCAACCAAATAGGAAACCTCAGAAAGCTCGAGCATTTCAGCATAGCGCACAACTCTGTAGGCGAGCTGCCTCCTGAGATTGGCTGCCTCACCGAATTGCGGGTGCTGGACGTCCACGCGAACAACATCCGGAAGCTTCCCATGGAGTTATGGTGGGCCAACAAGCTGGAAACTCTCAACGTATCCTCCAATGTCATGGATAATTTTCCAAAACCTGCGTCCCGGCCACCGCAGGCTCCCGGAGAGGCGGGCAGCTCAACAAGTTCCCTATCCAGTAAGGTATCTGGGACACAGCGTGCGCTTTCCCCAATGCCGAGCGCCGAAGAGCTCAACGGAGATGCTTCCAGACGCCCCAGTCAGGCTTCCAGTACACTCCTTAGCGTCGGCCCATCGCCTGTTCCTGGCGGGGCTGACAGAAAAGGATCAATGGTGTCGTTATACGGCAAGGGTGGCCGCAAGACGTCTGTGGTGTCTAGAAGCACGACCCAGAGCAGCACCAGTACACCGACTACCGCGGGTTATAGAAAAGACTCTGGTCTCTCGGCTCTGATGACCAACACTTTTGCTGGCTCTCTCCGGAATTTGTACCTTGCGGACAATCAGCTGGATGACGACGTCTTTGAGCAAATAACCCTCCTCCCGGAGATTCGCGTCCTGAACCTCTCATACAACGCGTTGAGCGACATGCCACAACGTTCCATCAAGAGCTGGCCGCAGCTCGTAGAGCTATACCTTTCAGGCAATGACCTGACGACCCTCCCGGCCGATGACCTGGAAGACTATAGCCCGTTGCAAACGCTACACATCAACAACAACAAGTTCACGAACCTCCCTGCCGACATTTCCAGGGCACGGAGGCTGGCGGTGCTGGACTGTGGGAGCAACTCACTAAAGTATAACATTGCCAATGTCCCCTATGACTGGAACTGGAACCTCAACCCCAACCTGAAGTACCTGAATCTTTCCGGTAATAGACGGCTAGAGATCAAGCAGTCCTTTCCCAGCGTTGTCGCACAGAACCGCGAACAGTACACCGATTTCAGCCGCCTCGCGAATCTCCGTGTTTTGGGCCTGATGGACGTGACTCTTACGCAGCCTAGCATACCCGATCAAAGCGAAGACCGCCGTGTCAGAACATCGGGCTCGCTGGCGGGCTATATGCCCTACGGCATGGCCGACACGCTCGGCAAGAACGAGCACCTATCAACGGTCGATCTGGTGGTTCCTCGCTTCAACTCAGCCGACTCCGAAACACTCTTGGGCTTGTTCGATGGTCAAGCGTTGAGCACCGGAGGTTCAAGGATCGCCAAGTATCTGCACGAGAATTTTGGTCGCATTTTTGCCCATGAGCTGCGCGAACTGAAATCCAACCTGGGAGAGACGCCTGAGGACGCCTTGAGGCGTGCCTTCTTGGCGCTCAACAAGGACCTCATCACTGTGGCCTGCACGAATTCTTTGGAGGAGAGGTCGCTTCTCACTACTCACCGCGGATCGACAGCTTCGGTTGTCCTGACTAAGGAAGATCTCAACTCGGGTGGCGTTGCGACCATCGTGTACATACAAGAGCAAGAGCTGTACGTCGCGAACGTCGGCGACGTGCAAGCCATGCTCATCCAAGGCGATGCCAAGTACACGATGCTGACTAAGAAACACGACCCTGCGGATCCTCATGAACGTTCGCGTATCCGAGATGCTGGGGGCTGGGTTTCGCGCAACGGGCGGCTTAATGACCTCCTGGAGATCTCTAGGGCTTTTGGCTACGCGGAGCTCCTGCCTTCTGTGCAAGCAGCGCCGCATATCAAGCACCATACGATCGGGGATACCGACGACATTATTGTGATGGCGACTAGGGAGGTGTGGGAATATCTATCGCCGGGACTTGTCGTCGATGTGGCCCGCTCGGAGCGGGGCGACCTGATGCGGGCCGCACAAAAGATTCGGGATCTCGCTATGGCCTATGGCTCTTCGAACAAGATCATGGTGATGATGCTGAGTGTTGCAGATCTCAAGCGGCGGCGTGAGCGCTCACGAATGCACAGAGGGCAGAGTATGTCGTGGTTCAATATACCGCAAGACGAGTCCAGCATCCTGGTTCCGGCGCGGAAGGGCAGAAAGGGAAGGTCAGACGGCCCACTAGACTCGACCTTGCAACGGCTCGAGGCTGAGGTCCCCGCCCCGACTGGTCTGATCTCGATCGTCTTTACGGACATCAAGAACTCGACTCAGCTGTGGGAGACTTACCCCGAGGCCATGAGATCTGCCATCAAGCTACACAACGAGGTCATGCGCCGCCAGCTCAGACGCATCGGCGGCTTTGAGGTCAAGACGGAAGGAGATGCATTTATGGTCTCGTTCCCCACTGCCACTTCGGCACTCCTGTGGTGCTTTGCTGTCCAGACTCAGCTTCTAACGGTCAACTGGCCTCCCGAGATGCTCAACTCGGTCAGCTGCCAGCCGACGTTCGACAGGGATGAGAGGCTCATTTTCCGAGGCTTGTCGGTCCGCATGGGGATTCACTGGGGCGAGCCGCTAGCCGAGCCGGACCCGGTGACCCGGCGCATGGACTACTACGGCCCAATGGTGAACAAGGCGAGCCGGATTTCGTCGTGCGCCGATGGCGGACAGATTACAGTGTCATCTGATTTCATCATGGAAATCCAACGGTGTCTCGAGACTTATCATGAATCGGCAAGCTCGAACGAGGATACCTTTGACGACAACGGTTTCGCGAAGGCCATCCGCAACGAGCTGCGTTCTTTGTGCAGCCAAGGATTCGAAGTGAAGGACATGGGCGAGAAGAAGCTAAAGGGGCTCGAGAACCCAGAGTATATCTACTCGCTCTATCCCCACTCGCTCATTGGCCGAATCGACCTGCACAATCTGCACGAGAGGGCGCAGCAGGCTGAGGAGAAACCGGCTATGCTCAGCCCAGATAGTCAGCTGGCAGTCAATCCCGAGGAGGTTTTTGCCCTCTGGAAGGTGGCTTTGCGGCTCGAGATGCTGTGCAGCACGCTGGAAGAGGTTGGCGGACGAGGGCTGCAGCCGCCAGAGACTGAGCTCCTGGAACGAATGAAGCAGCGGGGCGGCGAGGTAACGGAGCGGTTCTTGATCAACTTCATGGAGCATCAGGTCAGCAGGATTGAGGTATGTTGTTCACCCAAACACACACGATCAGCGGACAAGGACTAACTCCCATCCAGACTTGCGTCTCTACCCTTGCCGTTCGGCACCTTGTCAGGAAACACGACGCTATCAAGCAACTAAACGATTTGCGCGCGCCAATGTCGGAGGTGCTGGGTACCCTTGCAGAGAAGCTCGCGCTGCTCCAGCGATATGAGGCTCGGTATGGCCCGCTCCCTGACGAGCCGGTCAACTCCCAGAATCTGCCCAAGCAGCTGCCACCTGCCGGGCCAGCGCCAGATGAAACGAGTACAACGTAGCTCGATGATCTTCTTGGACTGTGTTTTTCCCGTCAATAACGCCATCGTCATCATCCTCCTCATCATCACCGCTCAGCAAGGCTTGTTGAGTAAGGGCAGAACTACCTAATTCGGATACCCACGGACACGCACGCAGATATGGATAGGATAGATACCCACGCTTCGTTTCGCTTGGTTTTTTCTCGTTTCATGCGCCACTATTGCTTTCCCTCTTCGCCTTCAAAAACATTATAGTATATTCCCCCCCAATACCATGGGCCGGCGGGCATGGCAACTTTTGGATTGGCGGGTTGATGGGTTCATATGACGGCCTCATTCTTTTCCTGCTCTGAGCTTATGAGACTCTGGTTTGCGTTTTGGTTTCAGTCAGTTTACACGTTTATTACTTGATCGTTTTGGTCGGCTGGGAGATAGGGAGACTCCCCTGGTTACATGTGCAAGCTGTGTGGCGTTTTCTAGTTCTTGGGTTGGGTTTGTAAACGTGGGTTTCTTGTTCTGGGTGGTGATTGTTGTTGGTCCGGAAGGGATGGATGGGTTTGGATTTGACTGACTGGATCGGATTGGATTGGATTGAAGGCTAGAGTCTATTCTTCTGCTGGCCTGGATTTAGTTAGATTTGGATGATACTCATTCATGGATGAGACGTCCTTCGAAAAGACGCATATGGGATACTACACACGTACAGATTTGCCCTGCTCAGGGGATTGTTTGGTTCGCCTCGCTTTGTGTGTCCTTGCCTACTGGCTTGCTGCATGGCTTTGCATGCTTGCTTTGGGAAGACGATACTTTGCAGGCGTCGTTGATGAGCATGTGTCTGTTTTTTGCAGCACTACGAAGTACTTGGTAGTTCCTACCATCTTGCCTAGCGGTGGTGAGTTGAAACAATTACATTGGGCTGGACTGCTCTGATGTTATGCTTGGGATACTGGTGACGTGATAACTTTAGAGTGTGTTTGAGACCATAGTTGAGTTCATGGCATGTTCTCAGTGAGAAAAGGAGGACAGAAAAGGGGGACAGACAGAAAAGGGGAACGGAAAAGGGGAACAATATTGAAGGGTACCACGGGTACCTAGTCTTGACTCTTGAGCGCTGCCTGCCGGAAGTTCAATTGGTCCGTGCTCTCCAACAGCATCCACAATTCCACATGCGCCATGCATTCGTACTCCGTAAGCTCTGGCCACCTTTAAGCACAGCAGCTTGCGATTCTGGACGCCGACTTGCTCGACATTTGGCGCGGGAGAACGACAGAACGACTCGGGAAGCGCAGCGCGAGCGAACTTCTGGAAGAGAAAACCGCACAAAAGAGAGATCACACGTGCCAGGAAAGCCAGGTGTGAGCGATAACCCGAAACTATCACGGAAACGGCGGCCCTTAGCTCCAACTCAACCCGGAGGAACCTTTAACGAGAGAAGAGAGACTACAGCGGCTCGCGACTTTGCTCGACGGTTTAAACCGCCCTCGAGCCGGGACTACTTAGTCAAGATGTCCATCCTAGGAAAACTGCTCTACAGTACGCCATACTAAGACAACCAGCACCCACCGCGCGCATAATGACTGACCCCTGCGTCAGTCACTGTCCTCCTTCTCAACGCCATCTGCATCCCCTCAGAAGACCGATTCCTCGCGCGCGGTACGTTTGCTTGCCCACCCTCCGCTGGCTGCTGCTCGACTGCCAGTCAGATGTCCCTCCCCATCATCGCCGTTGCCCTTGCCCTCGTCATAGATAGCGGAATGGCATTGCTTTCCGAGGAGTGCCAGCCAGCGAACCGCTGGTCCCCCTCCCCTCCAACTCACCATCACTTTCACCCAGTTAACTACCTGACCCGTCCTCCAACTTCACCAGAACGGAAACCCCCGGATCATAAATAAATCTAGTCTGGATCTCGAGCGAGCGCTTACATTTGCCTTGCCGCAATACTTTGCAAACAAACAGTCTCCCTCACCCCGTCGACATACCACCGCGCCTTTGGCCAAGAACCAGACACCGGCGTGAAATACAAAATCATACAGCTGATTGCCAGCGTGCGGACTGTCATGAGGAGTATGCAAACCAAACCCCCCTTAGACCTATAACAACAAGCAATCTGCTGTCACTAAACACTGACTGTTTTGTGCTTGCTTGGAAGTACCCCTGATCATAATCAACACGTTGATTATAGTATACGAGCTTGTTCTTGGTTGAAGACCCACGCACGCCAAGTGTTATACTCGGTAGTGTGATTTCTCTGAAGCTGCTCTCGGGTCTGTCGAGGACGGATAGGAAACGTGGCGTGCGAGGGCGCTGAAAAGGAAAGGAAAGGGGGTATGGACGAGATTAGGGTATAATAGGGTAGTCAGCCCCAGCTGGCATGCATGCTGAGCGGTTGTTGAGGGATATCCTATCCCGCTCTTGCCTACCTGATGTTGCGCTGTATTCACACGAGTGGTTTCTCTTCTTCTAGGTATGGCTGGCGTTGGGAAGGGGATAACGAAAGATAAAATGAAAGTACAACAGAAAACAAAAGGACACTATATTAAGAGCCTCCTGGGCGCTCACTACCTACCTTCGCGCATGGTTACCGTCTTACAGTCACCGAGGAGCTTCAACAGAAGGCTGCGTTCTGACCGACAAGTACACCAAATGTGCTTGGTGCGCGTGCCCTGCTTACCTACTCGCATGCCACAATAACTGGCCAATTTCGGGCCCTCACTCTTCATCTCGTTGATAGCAACCACAATACAACAACAAATCCCCCTACTACGCTCTGCACATCCTAATCTTTCTTTGGTTTAGAGCAAACAACTCTCCAGGTTGGTTCTTCTCCAACTGGAGATAGGCCGGTATCCATTTCAAGACCACTAGCGAGGCACAGTAGAGATGCTGGTACCAATCATCGTGGGAATGAATGACAACGACGTCAGCCGCTCCAACAGAAATATTCAATTACAAGAATGCTATCCGCCAAGCTTTTTATAGCCAAGAGAGACCACCCAAACGTAACAAGACCCCTCGCATAAAGGGAGAGAGGGGGGGGGGGGGGGGGGGGGGGGGGGGGGGGGGGGGGTGGGGTTTGGCAGTGTGTCGGGGTATATGCCATACCCAGAAATCCCCAAGTCTAAGTTTGGTCCGCTTGATCGTACAATCCAAGACAGCGCCATAGTTTCAAACACAACGCATCCATCCACTTCAAGAGCAAGACTTGTTCGTGCGCTGAGCCATACCCTTCAAGGGGAGAACTGGGGAGAGAGCAACGTGATGGCGCCAGCATCGTCAACATCCGCCTCTGTTGTGCGAGTGTTTATTCCGCAACAGAGAACCCGCCAGCCGCCGCCTCCGGCTCTGCTGCCCGCCTAGGACGTAGACAAAAACTTGCTGCTCTTCTTCCTGCCCAGTCCAAAACTGAACCGTTCCATGAGCGGCGGTTTGTCCTTGTGGGTTGGAAGTAGCCGATCGACGGCCGCCGGCGCCGTGTCGGACCGCGGGGGCGGTCCTAGCCGCGCCGGCAAGGGGCTGGCTGTACGGGCGCCGGTCCCGTTCTGGGCGTGCAGGTTGTGCGAGGCACTCTCCCCCGCTCCTGTGGTCGTCGTCGTGCTGCTATCGGCCAGGTCGCTCCTGTTATCGCTGCTCCCCTCGCTGCGGTCCGTCCTGTCGCCCTTGTCGGCCTTGGCCTTGTCTTTGTCCCTCTCCTTGTCGACCTTGAGGAACGCGAAGCTTTTCCGCGCCATCATTGACTTCCTACTCCTGTCGGCAAGGCTAAGGAACCCCGAGCTGGAGTTTTTGTGATTGTCAGAACCCCGTTCCGGACCGGCTGCATCCGACGTTTCCGTCTTGTGCCGCTTTTCCTCGTCAGCCGCTGTCTGCTTGCTCTCCCGAATAGCCTTTTGAAGCTGGTCTTGCTCGCTTCTTAATGCTTCGCGTAGTAGTTTGTTTTGCTCCTGTCGCTCTTGTGCTGCAAGGCGCGCCCGCTCCTTCTCTGCCGCTTTCCGTGTTTTCTCCTGGGCTTTCTCTTGGGCCCTGAGCTCTCTCTTCTCTCGTGCTTTTTCCTCTTTGGTCTTCGGCGGTACTGTGGCTGCCTCGTCTGCCTTTGTCATGACGGCTGGTGCAGGAGGCGGGGCGGCGATCAAGGGGTGTGCTTCGGATTCAGAAAGCGGCGGCGGAGGTTGAGCTGGGCTGGTAATGTCATTGGGAGTCGACCTTGGACGTTCCACAGTGGCCAGGATTTCATTCTCGCTCGCCGGCGGTAAGGTTTGCGTGTTGACTTTGAGGATTGGAACTGATGTTGCGCCGTTGACCTGCTCAGCGTTCGCAGCAAGCTCTGCTGCCTGGCTGGCCAGCTTCACTTGCTCCAGGCCCTCGGCATCCATCTCTTCCCGCACCTTCTCAAATGTCGTCTCTTGGTAGAACAATACATAGGCACATGCCATCCCAGGCTTGTCTCCGAAAAAGTTCAGGACGAAGTTCTTGTCGACCGGCTCTACCATCTCATCATCAAACAACAGCCAGCCGCGGTCTTTTGTCTTGATAACGACGACGTAGTGCCCATGGACTGCTTGACCCCCTATGTGCACGACAACTGCGTAAAGCTCATACATCCTGTCAGGATCCTCCACATCGTCAGTCGTATTAAACATGCGAAGGTGGTAAGGATAGACAACGCGGTGGAAGAGTTTCTGCAGTCGGGTGAAATCCTCGGTGTACTTGAACCGTTTTAGATGCAGCGCCAGGACCTTGGGTAGCTTCTTGATCTTCATCCGCTTTTCGGCCTCTTGCAAACCGCCACAGCGATCGCAGTGGAACTTGTTCCTTTCGCACAACATTTCCTCGGCAGAGAAGCTCTGCAAGCATGCCGTAACCGAAGAATGCTGTTCGAGATCGATTGACAAGTCCAAAAACGTTTCGTCCCGCTGTGATGCCGTCTCGCAGGCTAAGCACCTCGTTTCTGAGGTTAACACGCCTTCAAATATATCATGCACCCAGCCTGTTCCTGGTGTTCCAGTCCCAAATGTTGTGTTTATATGCGATGGCGCTGTCTCGTTTGACACGGCATGCCCGTTTCCGCTCGTGCTCTCGGTTAGCTCTTGCATGCGCTTAGCATTGGCTTCCACATTGGCAATAACGTCGTTGAGAACTATTCCATAGAACTCGTGAGCGTCCTGGTGCATTGAATTGCGGAAACCCTCGTTGTCACGCTTGAAAATCTCGAGGAATCTCTGGGGGCTTAGCACGCCTGTCCTGGATTGGCTCTCGATGAGTGCCATAAAGATGTCTTTGAGGCAGGTGAAAGTGCACTCTTGCATCCCGTAGGCTTCGCTAGACTCCTGCGCAAGCTCCAGTATTGGGCCCCTTATCATGGCCTGCTTCTTCTTGTATTCGGGTGAGTCTGGCTTGTCCTCTGGCCGTAAAGGTGGTACTGGAGGAGCTAGCTGGCCGCCACTAAAGGATTGTCGGGGCTTCGTGGCCGGCTGCCCCTTCGCAGGGCCGGCGGCAGTTCCGTTTGCCTGCGGAGGAGGCCGTATGGTGACGTTGACCTTTCTCTCTGTCCAGCTGGGGGAGACTGGTGGATATTTGACTACATTTTCTCGAAAATGTTCCGAGTGATATAGCACCTGTACAATCGAGTTGCAATAACTTGAAACATACGACAGTCAGCGCGTCGCCTCGCTTGGCGGAGGTGGGTAGTTCTACACCTACCAGGTGCTCCCAAACTAGACGAGGAATAGTCATTAGTCTCTTCATGCGTGTAGGCCGGGGCTTCTCGGGCGTGGCCCCTTACATTCTCTAAACCAAAGAACTTGTCGCTACCATCCTCCCGGATCGGACCGGCATTGTACAAGAGTTTCTCTACCGGCGTTAGGTCTTGAGGGGGCTCGTCCTTCTTGCCTTTGACCGAGGCACTGTTATCTGGTTTCGAGACAGCCTAGGACACCAATTGTTAGCCGTGGATCATGTTCACGCAGCGGGAAGGCGAGGAAAGGCCGGCGTCGGGTGTGCATCCTTCAGGCTCGGTGCCCCCCAGACACGGAGGGCTACTTCGACTTACATTGCCACCACCTATGAGCTTCTGGAAGAACCCCGCCATTGTGAGCGCCGCGGAAATTAGACCGTCGGCGCGTCACTCGGCAGGCGGGGGAAGTGTTGCGGAAAAGCTGCAGGGCGAGCGATGTTGGTATAATCTGGAGAAGAGAGCAAGCTAAGTCTGGAGGACGTGGACAAGTGATCGAGCGAGATGGGATGAAGCATTCGGCAGAGTCGGCTGTCGTTGACAATTCTGGCACTTCGAGATGGACAGGTATGCGCAAGACTGGCCGTGGAGACAGGATTCAAGTCGCGCAATCCACTCAGTTCTCGGCGCCGTCAGGTTGCAGCCTCCGCCCGGACCGCTGCTTGGCTGGGGAAGTCTGGGGCAGGCCCGCTACAAATGTCAACCATCCGAATAACGAATAACGAACTTCGCAGAAAGCTAAGTGAATGCGATGCGTAAACAGGATCGGACGGCAGATTGGCAGCTGTGGTGGCGGCGAAGGAGCGACGAAAATACGCGAGCGAAGGACGTTGGAGGGTATGCAGGCCGACCTCCAGAGCAGTGGTTCCTGTACTTTAGGTACATGGGTGCTGTACGAAGTAATCGTTGCAAGCACAGTACGCTAATCATGCTCAGTGCTGCAAGTGTAACCCCAAAGGAACCAGCCCGTTTCCAGAAGAGTTACTGGGTGGGGTCTGGTCCCACCTGGGGAGAGCTCCACCAATCTCAGATTGCTCGAAAACTGTTGGATCCAAGAAATCCCAAGAAATCGCCAGTTTCCACCGTCTGGTAACTGTGGTAAGGCCCAGGGTGGAATAATTCCACACATGTGGCGCGGCAAGGGTCCACTGTTAAGCTTTACCAGAAAAAGGAGACGTGTGGTGAACCGCTGGCCCCGGCCACGGTCGGATTACGTTCCCCAGGAGCGGCGTGAATTAGCTCGCCTGCCCCGCTCCGGGGCAGATGGATATCGGCAAAATTGCTGGGTAGGTCGACAACACCCATGGCCAACGAGGTTGCCAGCAAAGGCGATCGCATTTCCATGCTGAATCCTCTCTCAAAAGAACCATGTGCAGGCTGGGAAGGACCAAGCTTAACGGCCAGACTGTCAAAATACCGTATCGTAATATTCCATACGTACGTCACTGTAATGTACCTATTCAAATGCTCTCATTCCACCCCCGCATTTCCGCCCGCCGTTGATCCTCGTGGTATGACTGGCATGGCTGGCAGGACTTTGCGCCTCAGCCAACCAGATTCTGCACACCACAGAGGACCTAAGGACATCGCCGTGCACCACAACAGCTGTTGGTGTAGCCAATGATAGTTATGGGGGAAATGGTCACCCAGTTGTTGAGGTAAACCCCAGGGTGCGATACATACATGATCACATCTCGATCGATCAAGAAAAAAAACAGCCAAGTGCTGTTTTTCAACTTCCCTAGTGCCCGAGCGGTCCCTGGAACCGCTTCCCGTCAAGCTGTTCCACAATCTTGAAGTGGGGAGTTTCCGGGTCCCAGAGATCCTGATCTGGGGCACTCCGGAATCTTAGAGCGGCAATTTCTGCCTGTGGCGTATGCCTTCAGTATCATGCTGAATGTGGTTGTGCTTGACATTACAGGTGCTAGTACTGGAAGAAGGACGAGAGCTCAGGTAAGCTTAGAAGGAAAGGATAAAATCGCCACCTCATGATAAGTCATGCTGTTTGCTGAAAGCTTCCAAGCAGGGTTTTCAGTTTTACCATACCCAAGCATACGTAGTCAGCTTGCTTTCACCTCGTTGACCAGGTAGTCACTAGACACCCACTAGAGTGAGCTGGCTCGAGGCTGGCAAACAGTACAGAACTACAGATCGCGATGATGAGTGTATTGGCAGGATAGCAGAACATACGTGTGCCAGACAGGTAAATACCAGGTTCGAATCCTGTCACAGACAAGCTTGACCTATTATACGTGACTCGCTAGCTGAGCCCCTGCTTCAACAAGCACGGCTGTTGGAGTATCGACTCAGCTCAGTTGAACTCGAAAACCGGTAGTGGCACAAGCTATGAGCTGGAGAAGATAACGTATCAGCTAAGTCATGACAGCCTTTCAGTAGCTCTGGAACGGACGTTCACAGCACTCCTGACCCTAAGCTTGTCAGCGACCTGGAAAGCTGGGCATTTTCTTTGTTGAGGCAGAGTACGGGTATAAGTTATAACGTAGGCCCCCCCTGCCCAAGAATTGATTGAGACTGCAAAACCGAGTTGTACCTCTGTACGCCAAGAAGACGATCAACAAACTGGTTAATTCAATTTCCCATATCTTAAAAAACGCTTCGATTTAGATAGGGGATTGATGACAGCAGAATTCTAACATTAATATCAGTTTTGCAGCTATTTTTTATGGGTTGTTGATGGTTGAACGTGCTAGGTGAGCATTTGCAGTCTCAATTAAATCTTGGTCGAGGAGGTAGGCAACCTCTGTTAAAAAGTGTGAGCCGAGAGCCGAGTTGCTCCCACCAAGATTTTGGGTCAGAAACAGGAACACTGTAATTGATGGGTTACAATACAAGTGATGCCGAACTTCTATTTCCTCCGTGAACCCCTCCCGTCAACGTCAGTCTACCAACCCTGACGAGGGCCAGACTAATCATGTCTTTGCCGTTGCAATATCGTATATATCGTCGGGCCACAACACCAGCGAGAGTGTTGCCATCGTACTGCGATTCATCAAGCCAGATGCAGCCGAGTCCGTGGACCGTATTGTATTGTACTGTATGTCCTCGTAGGTACAATACCATAAATACCATACCATACCATGCGGTACAGTGTACGTTACTGGACGGGAACTGTAACGATCATGATCCTGGGCACGCAGCTCAGATCCTCTGCCTGCCATCTGGGGAATGGTCTCGTGGCACCCCGGACCGGTGAGACATGCATCTCTTTACGACGGACGTTAAGCGAGGGCATACATTACACTACATGTAAGCTACCCGTAAGAATATCTAGAATGACCAACTACTGGCGCTCAATGGTCAACAAGAAGACGGAGCAGGTGTATTCAGAGCCGACACATACTGTATGTACGGAGTACTATAAGTGTAATTACATAGGTATGTATGAAGCGCCCATAATACTGCGCAGGTAGCACTACATATGTGCATATGCATACATGTTATTGTTGGCTGCTCGGTGTGCCAATTCAGCGCACCATATCCGCTGTCTGGTGACGAAACCTGTCTAGCCCTACGTACTGTGCAGGACGCCCGTGACCTGGCGATGGCGAGGAGGCTTGTTTAGGCTCGGATACACGAACTGCTGTGGCACTTACCTTTCCGAGACATTAAAAGCCTCACTCGCTGCACTCAACCTCGGGCGAAGTTGGAGCAAACCTACACTGAGCAGCAGAGAACACAGCATGCCTAACCACATGGCAGGGCCGTAGGTTTATACCGTCCGCGAAAGGCCACATTCTAGCAAACCGGTAACGCAGCCAAGAACCGGCACAGATATCCGGATAATTGATGGATGCATGGGTTTCACAAGATGCGGGCTTCCCATCAACCCGGGCCGCTTCTTGGAACAGGTTGGGGAGAACGCCGAGAGATTCGCCGAGCTTAACTGGCAGCCTTTGGAAATCTGTATTGTAGGGTTGGGGACTTGGGGTGTGTTTAAGAGTAGATCAGTAGCACAGGCACCAATGTGTATTGTACTGTACATAGGTAGGTATTGTATGTACAACATCGTTACAGTCAGCTCAGGGCAACCTGAAACCTAGCCACCTGACGGCTTGGGGGTGGCATCTAGCATGGCAGTCTGGTGAGATGATCAGATGACCTGGGCTTGTATGAAGCGCCTAGGAGTACACATCCAAACCGATATATCCCACTCATCCTGCTTGACGATTTTCCACCGTGATCTCACCCCATAGCGAAGCTAGACCCAAGGCTACCATCGAGTGTAGAGAGGCACGCATCCTCATGGGATCCGACGCACTGCGATTTCTCTGTATAGGATTCCCGAGTTTCCGTTTTTAGGCAGCTTGAGTACTCCTAAGCACGATCTTGCAGACAGCTCAAGGCACTGCCTCCTCTGTTTGCACTCCCGCAGATACAGTACTAGTAGCAAGGTCACGATAGATCCCACCGCATCGCGCTGGCGGTTACGGTGGACGCGATATCCGACCCGGACACTCTCCGGCCGTCGATGGAGATCTTGCTCAAGGCGGGAAGAGGAAAGCCGTTGAAACTGGGGCAAAAGAAAACGGCATAAAGCTCGGGCGGGAAAGCCATCATTCTTAGAACTGTTCAAGGGGCGCGCCTTCCTTCCAAGATTCTTCAAGTTGCAGCTTGAAGAATTCAACTGTAGAAAGAACCTCGAAACAGAACTCGAACCGATGACCTCCCGCCCTACGAAACCGCAGAACGATTTCATAGTTAGCTGGATATCCACTCGGCCACAGGACCACGCCCTGTGGTGAGTCTAACTTGCTTTACCTTGCGCAAGACCTTAACTATATACCCTTTCCTGTTTCACTCCCTCGCTGGCCTGGACTCCACAATCCAAGTGCGGTCTTCGCGTAGTCTTTGACAGCCGTCACAATGGGGTCTAGCTTCAATATGTCTGAGAGCTTGCGGGAGAAGCTCCTTTGATTCTCCCAACTGGTGCCCCATTAAGATATATCGTACAAAATATCGAATGGACTTTCGGCCGCCGGGCACTATCAGGTCCAAATCACTGACGGCATGAGACAGCGCCAGACAGCGCTCCCCTCAACGGTTTGCTTTTGTTGTATCCCCAGCTGATCGTCCCCCCGTACCAACAGCCCAAAACACCATAAATGCTCCGCCCTTCTACCACCGGAAGCAGGCTGGCCTCATTTGCCTCCCCGAAACGTCTTGCTCCGCGTAATAGATCCCAATATCTCAGCCCGGCTCGCCCAGGGCCAATTCGAGTCGTGAAAAGTACCGCAACACCCGAGATACCGAGGTATAGACACCCAGTCGGTCAACCTCCCGCCTTAACTCGAGAAGCGGCGTGTAATCTTGGCAATAACTGCGCACGAAGACACCAAGTCAGCCAGCTGAACCTTCATATTCGCAGCCCGCAGATTCCCCAAGTTGGCAAAACCTGTGGTCCCCAAAGCCACCTCCAACACCGAGCCCCTAGTTCAAGCCCCGACTCCGAGTAACAGAGGGAGAGAGCGAAAGGTCGCGGAGGGACACAGCGAAGAACAAAGCAAGCGAGTAAAAAAAAAAAAAAAAAAAAAAAAAATCAACCTACTATGCAGCGCAACAACGCTAAAGATAAACACCAGCGACAGCACAAGCACCACAACCGGATCGACCTTGAGCCCCGGCGACTCGTCCGTGTACAAGCGGAGCATGGTGCTGCTCGAGCCGCCGGCGCCCGCGGCGCGCGTGCTGTTGGGGCGTGCATTGGCAATCTTCTCCTTCTGGTCGGCGGCGGCCCGGCGGCGGATGGCTGTGCGCGCGCCACCCGGCGGGGGCGGCGACGAGGGCCGCCCAGCGGCGACGCCAGGGGACAGAGCTGTGCCGGCACCGCTGCTGCTGCTGCCGCCGGCGCCACCACCACCGCCTGCCGCGGGGCTGGTTGGGGATGCGGCGCGTGGGGAGGACTGGGTTGGTTTCATTGTGGGTTAGTTACGTGGTCTGAGACAGTTGATTGTTTGTTTGTGTTGGGGATCGTGGTTGGATATGTAGGATAGGAAGGAGCGGCAATGTAGGTTGTGGGTGTGGGTGTGTGCGGTTGGGGAATTGGAGGATGGGCATTACCATGGCTGTTGGGTATCAGATAAGTAGTGGTTGAAGGAAGAAAAGAATCAAGTATTGTCGAAGAGAATGAATGAATGGCTAGTGGGTATCCGTAAGGCGTTGGCTGACGGTCGCGTGGTGGTTTGGGATGGTAAAGCTGGTGATAGTTCCACGTCGTCCCCAAAATTGTCGACAAGCTGATCCGTGCGCCCAATTGAGGCCACGGTGGAAAGCCGCAGCTGCAGCTTCAAGGTTGGCGCTAACAATTTTGTTGGAGAGAGTGGGTCCGCTTGTTCTAGGCCCTGTCTCCAGCAGGAGCAGGCACGCCAGGGACAAATCAAGTTTCACTGTCAGCCCCGTCAGCATATCCAGTGTTCACATGTTTCCCTCAGGATTTCCAACTTTCTTGCGGTGGTTTCAATTTGCAGAGCAATTGATAAATGATTGTGTTAGCTGAGTACATGGGCATATCAGGAGGCATGGGCAATATGAGCACCCTCTTTGATTATTCCTGAAAGTTATTATTATTACTCTGTAGAGCATTACAACATCATCAATGCATCCATTTCCGTGCTTGGCCCAAGCAACATGCCCAACCATCGACTTTATCCTGACTCGAAGTCGAGGAGGATATTGCCAGATCTCCCTGCCAACAAAAAAACTGAGACTGCAAATGGCCTACCACCACATTGAATTCCCAACAACACATACAAAATAGCTGCAATTCTGATCCTAGAATATGCACTCAACTGCTAGCTACTCCCATATTTAATTTCAAGTGGTCTTTGAAGATCTCGGGGATTGAATCTCCCTATTTGTTGATACTTTTCTAGGGAATAGAGGCCCAAAGTGGTTTTGCAGTCTCAGTTTTTTTGTTGGCAGGGAGCAGATCTAATGGTGTAGGTAGATATTTTTCCCTCTGGTTACGTTTATACCTGGGCTCTTGACCTCTCCATACATCATCAGCACATCACGAGTGGCAAGATTGGAGCACAACACTCCTGAGAAACATTCGTCATCAATTCACACTCCTAGATCTAGCCAGACCAGGGGTAAAGATACCCGACCAGCCGTCCATCCATCCCCCACAACCCATCACCTCGCCCTTCAATCAGAAGCCCCCTCGCTCAACCCATCACTTCCACCCTCCTCCATCCTTAACTACCGTTTGCTTGCCGCTTCCCTCAACCAGCAGTAACAGCGTAGAGTAAGCAAACCGTTCGCTGTGTGCTGCTGTGATGTCGTAGGAATAAACCCAAGGCGGCAACAAGACGAAACTAAAGTCAAGACCACGCAGAAGAAAAAGAAAAAAGAAAACCTCTCTTATGGGTTCTTTGAGATCCTGCCTGCCCGCGAAAGAAAGCCGAGGTGACGAAAGCAAATGGAAGAACTCAGTATACAAGTATATATGGTATGATATGGTATGATCAAACAGACATATCTCAAGGTTGGAACCTTGCAAGCGACAAACAAAATCCGGCCAAAAAATAGGTGGTGTAAAACAGAAAATAAAATTAATAAAATGGGGGTAACGGGGAATCAACAAAAGGAAAACGGGTAAAACGAGGGCGAAATGTCGATGACACCCTTCAAGGGGGGTTCTAGTACATGGAGGCAATGTATGTAAACAGATGGGCAAGGCCGACGGGTATTTGGTGAATGTGCGGGGAAAAGGACAACAGAAAATAACACAGAGGGAGGAACAGCATCTGAGAGCAGTCAAAGATGAGAAACATGCAACAGCTGAGATTTGCCAGATGCTGTCTGCTTTCCTGCCCGCCCGCCTTCATGCCCGCTGTTCTCGCTCCGCTAAGATGACAAGGAAATGTGGAAGGGGAAAAGGAAAAAGGGGAACCCGTCGCCCGAACATATACCAAACTCCCCAAAACGGAATTTCCCAAATAATTTTCTGTTTGAAACCGAGCCCAAGCCTTGCTTTCTACTCCTCCGCCTTTTTTCCCTCGTAGGGTTCCAAAAGAAAGAATTGGAGAGCGCAACTGGCCCCAGGGCCAAAAACCTCCCTCACCCCTATTCCGAGGCTTGTAGCTTTTACTTAGCCCAAGGACCAAGGGCTCCTTTCTCAGGTTGGATGACAGGTTTGAATGTCTGCCAGCCCGCTACCCTGTAATAGAGTGTTACAAAGCTTGGAGCATCTCCGCAGTGTGCTGAGCAGCAGCATCTGCTGGGTCTGCCGAAATGAACCTCGCTGTTTGGCGGGCCTCAGCAATCCGTGGGGTTGTTGCCCATGGTTAAAAGGGAAAGCCGAATAGGATAACAAAAACAAAGAGAAGGTAACTGTTCAGAGAGTGACATCCAGGACCATGCTGACGTCCCTCACGTTGGGGCCAGCGAGGTCTTCAAGAACGGGAATGAGGTCTAGTAGCTCGTTGTCGTGAGCATCTGAGAACCAGCTGCTGATTGGAACCGCGTGTTGCGGGTGGAAGATGTATGATGTTGGCGAATTGTCGATGATGATTGTGTCCTTCAAGTCGCGCCCGACTTGCGACAGATCCTTCACATAGTTGCCCTGATGGTTGTAGCAACTCTCCCTGAATAGTCGGTGGTGAACGACCTTGTGGATGTCCAGCTGATCAAGGAGCGGGTCGCCGTACTAGTGTCACAGTTAGCATCGCGGCAATTTGCTCAGGTTTTGGTGTGCCGTACCTTAGAAACCGAGGCGGTAAACACAACAACCTCGTAGAGCTCGCCAACCCTTTTCATGAATTGATCGACGCCCGGCCGTTTGATGACATAGACATTATGATAATTGCCCTCAATCTCGACGGGTATTGTGAAGTCGGCCTGGTGAAGGATCTGGAAACGGTCAGCGAGGGTCTCACTAGACTCAGATGGCGTTTGAGGCTTACCTTGAAAGAGCTGTGAACGAGCGTTTCGTCCAGGTCGAGGACTAGGCATTTTCGACCCTTGAGCTCCGGGGCCTGAGGGGGTAAGAGAAATCTTTGAGGTTGGTCAGGGGCAAAGACAGGAGGACTTTCGATTAATGTGCTTGACGGCGCGTTAGGAACAGCGGGTACTGGCCCAGGAGGCGGAGGAGGAACTCTTCGAAGGGATTCGTCATCCGTTGCCGTGGCTCCTTGCGTTCCTTGCTGCCTGTCGCCAACATCCATCATAGGTACATCGCCCTCGGCATCCTTGTCGTCCGCCTCTTCCGCCTTCTCCGCATCCGCATTCGACGCGCGTGGCGGCTCCACCGAGATCAGCGGGTTGCTTGAGCCTTGGCTCACAAGCGTCGTCTGCTTGGACTCGGTATCCCGCTCTCCGCCGACAGTGGATTGGTCTTGAGTGCTAGTGGCGGAGATCCGCTTCCCGTTCTTTGACGGCCCCGGAGGCGGCGATACCTGCTGGCTTGGCCCCTTCTCGGAGAGATGGGTCTTGCTCGCAGAGGCTTGTTCAGACGGCGTTGCTGTTCTCCGGCTGGCGGTTGTGGGCCGGGCTGGAATCTTGTCGAGTTTGTGGCTTGGGACGTCAGGTTCGGCATCGAGACCGTTGGCGGTATCCGGGACACCACAGCAGCCAAACAAAGCGAGCAACCCGCCTTTTTTCTTCCTGTGCGACCCAGGTGCAGGTGAACTAGGTTCTGAAACGCCGGGAGTCGCTGTTGGTCCTGTTCCAACACCTAAATGGTTACTAGACGCGCTACCATTGCGATTTCGTTGAAACATACTTCCTCTGGATTCCTTAGAGTGTCCGCCAATACTGTCTCTCGGATCGTTGGCAGTGGCACCGCTCAGCCCTGTCGCTGTGGAGGACTGAATTCTTTGGGACGACGACCTTGACGGGACCGACAGGAGACCGCGGCCCTTCTTTGCGGACGCCCCGTCTTCGGATATGAGGACGTCCTTCTCCTTCGAACTTTCAGCAGCCGCTTGCGGCTTGTCTTCGCCCCGTGCCATCCTGTGTCACGATGTTGGCACCGGTAGAGTCGCTGAACTCGAAACCTTGCGGCGAAAGCATTAGCATGGGGTGCTTGGATGAATGGATGCAAGCATCGCGAGATTAGTCTAATTTCGGCGTCACTGCGCGGCGACAGGCAGTTGGGTATGCTTGGGCACCTTGCGGATCGCCAGTTCAACACGATACCGCGCAAAACCAGAATCTTTGAGAACACCAACGCCGTCGCCGCGATTGTGCTATTATCACGGTGCGAAACGCAGCCGCGTGCTTGAAGTCAACCGACCTACCCACTTTTGATTCTAAAAGAGCGGACCCTGGAGCTCTCCAGCGTAGCCCAGCCCCTGTCTTCAGGTATCTGGCCACCAGTTCCTTGACGCTGGGCCACCTTCTTCTCGCAGCCTCAATCTGTCGGGCCGCAATTATCGAAGACGCGTCTTCGAAGAGAAATGAAAATCGTCGTCGCGAAAGAAGCTGAGCGTAGCCGTGACGGGCGGTCGGGTGCACGGCGGGAAATTGGCGCGCAAAGGCCGATTGGGGGGAGGACCGAGCACACACACGACCAACGATGCGTTGGCCTGTCTCGAGCGACGGGCTGCAGAATGGTATCAGAACTAATTGGGCCCAAAAAGCAGCCAGCCGATTGAATCGGCGAAGAAAAACCTGCCGATGGCTAGCTAAGTGGACGGAGAAGAAGAAGGACGTCTCTGCGGCCCAGGAAGTCGTTGAGGGCGCAAGCGAGATGATTGACTTAAAAGGTGATGGCCCGGGTTGGTTGTACTGTACAGTACCTCTGTGGGATGGGCTCTAGGCGCGACCGACGACTGGGGGCAGAAGGCCCAGGGGAGGACTAACGTTAGTGAATTGCCCTGCTGAGATTAGCTAACCAACTGAACACCTGGTGCACGAGCCATTCTGATGGTTCACGATATGAATGAGACGGTAGCACAGCGGCTTAACTAACGCATCTTATTGTGCCAAGCACCATGTGTGTAACTATTACCTTCAAGTCACCTAACCGGACGAAGAATTGTCGACCAACGTTGATCCGACTTCGCCGCCTCCCAGCGGGCCTGATGGAGGGTCAATGGGCGTCGTGATAACGGCAAGTAAGGTCAGTAGTATTTCTATGTACTGTAGATTGATGACCTAGCCTATACTGAGTCCAAATACAAGCCAGAAAGCTTCCATGGAAAGCAAGGTACCTTTATGTACTGTAGTTATGTACTTTGGCCCGACGGGATCGCAACAAGCTTGGAAGCTCCTGCTGCCTGAGTCAAGGCAAGCCATCTATCCCCTTAGGTATAAATCAGCACTACGTCGTTTACCGTACCTGTTGCTTCCAGCCGAACATTATCAACCTCGAAGCTATCCTTCACTAGAAACCTCTCAGCTGTGACGCAAAAGAGTCTAACGAAGAACTACACTACCGGTAAGTTTCCAAATACGGATAGGTACTTGTTTGAAAGACCTAGGGCCGGCCAACAACGCTGACATCTGGCACAGACTGGCAGCGGACCAGTGTTGGTCTCAGCAACCGCCACCGAGCAGAGGGAGCCATCTTACAAGGAGACGCCCTTGATGTTAGGACCGATTGGACACCCAATTGCCCCCTGAGAACTGGAACTCCAGCACTTGCTGCGTGATACCGGTCCAATGAATCTCAAATAGTTTTCTCCCCGCAGTTTACAGCCTCCACCACTCCACAGGAGACAAGTTGACTGGCAGCCTCGGGGCAGCCTAGTAATGCACTGATGCCAAGCAGAGAGCAGGCCTGGAGCTTGACACGGAATTTCACAATTCAGAGTCCAGAGCTGGTCTACGGACATGGCTGCGGGAAAGCTGCAGTTGGACTGCCTGATTGGCCGCGTTACCGCCCGGTACTGTGATGGTTTGCCCCAAGATACTGCCATGCAACCAGTCACTGCCGTCGCCTTGTCGCCCCAATGCTCACCTAATAACCTATCTACAGTGCTTTTAGTGTGCTGTGAGTGAGATGCCGGCATGCACCAGGTCCCATATACATAGTTGCCCGGTCACAGCGAGTCTCAGCTTCCGAAACGCCGAACCCTCTGAGGCGGCTCTCCGGATTGCTTCCGCTGTTCCGGTCTGCATCAACGAATTGCGCGCTCTCCCCAGTTCCGGAGGCCCGCACATTGCCTGCCGCGCATTTGCTCCATCCCTTCCGCAACTCATCGCAGCGCGTTATCGGACGCAAGTTCAAAGCCCAATGCCGGCCGTGTCCTGGACAGTCTAAACTACTTACTCAGCTTCTCACGCGGAATACTCTCAACGTTACAGAGTAGTTAGTACGGAGTACTATGTACAGGTGTAAAGTTGAGGACAGTACTACACGTAGTATTAATGCCAGGTAATTCCCTACGTACCGTTACCAGTAATATGTAAAGTACGGTAGCTCTTCGTAGTGTAATTAATAACAAAAACGATAGTTTTCGAGAGCCACACTGTGCGAGATGTCATGTGTAGACGCCGGCCAGGCCGAAAAGCCCTGATTTGGCAGCTGCTGGGAGATGTGGCTTGGTGCAGCCGTTGTGGCCGATGACGTTTCATGGTTCGACGATGTGGCTGTGGCCAAGGACCTCGGGACATTCACATGCCATCCACCAAGAACTTCGGACTTGGGAGGCCGGCAACAAACCTAAACAAGTTTACATCTGCCGTTTCCGTTTCCATGTAATTGACTTGTGAACAATTGTCTCCTGGGAGGCACTAATCGGCTTCGGAACGTCGAGCTATCATTGACAACTTCTTTCCACGACAGTTTCATCCTTTGGAACCCCCATGCTGCGGTTACTCTGAGTTGGAGGTCTATCGTTAACAACTGTCGAACCCGGTGGGGATCGAGTCCGGCACCGCGGCATTGGAAGACGGAGAGTGACACCAGAGAGAAACAAATCGGACAACATCGAGTTGCAATCATCAACCGTTCCGAGGAAAGCTGCCGCTGATGGAGTGGGACATCTGATTCGCGGAATTAGACGTTGTTACCTGTCTCGGTCATGGCGGCGCAATCGACGCTGCGGCACTCGGCCGCCGAGGAGGCCATCGCCGCCTTCATCGACAAGTACACCGACCTCATCCGCACCAAGCTGCGCAGCACCTCCAGGACGACGCGCCTTCTCGCTACGCTGGCCCTCGCAACCTCCATCATCCTCGCCGCCGAGGGCACCCGTCGGCGGTGGAAGCGCAAGCGCGCCGAGAGGGAACAGGGTCTGAAGCTGGTGCGCACCAACTCGTGGCTGCACAACAAGGATGGCTCCCGTACCATCTACGTGCCTTACAAGGACGGCACCTCCAAGGTGGTCATAAACTCGACGAAGCCGCTCACGTTTGAGGCGCATCGGCGTCTATTCCTGAACCCCCCACGCGTGTCTGGCTTGAGCGACGGACACGTCCCTTCGGCCCAGACTAAGCCCGGGCTCAACCTCGCCTTCCTTCACCAGTTCCTGAGCCTCATGAGCATCATGATTCCTAGGTGGACTAGCAAAGAGGCCGGTCTTCTGGTGAGCCACGGCGCCTTCCTGATGCTGCGCACCTATCTATCCCTGGTTGTTGCGCGGCTTGACGGAGAGATTGTGCGAGATCTCGTGGCCGGGAACGGTAAGCTGTTCATCTGGGGGCTTATCAAGTGGTGCGGCCTGGGTGGCTTCGCTTCCTACACCAACGCCATGATCAAGTTTTTGGAGTCCAAGGTGTCAATCGCCTTCCGCACTCGCCTTACCCGCTACATCCACGACCTGTACCTAAACGAAAACCTCAACTATTACAAACTTCACAACCTGGACGGCGGGGTTGGGCAGGGCGCCGACCAGTATATCACCCAGGACCTGACCCAGTTCTGCGCAGCAGCCGCAAACCTCTACTCATCTCTCGGAAAGCCCTTTGTTGACATTTGCGTCTTCAACTACCAACTGTATCGCTCCCTTGGTCCGCTAGCTCTCACTGGCCTTCTAAGCAACTACTTCCTCACCGCCAGTATCCTTCGGCGGCTATCGCCGCCATTTGGCAAACTAAAAGCCGTCGAGGGACGGAAAGAGGGCGACTTCCGCAGCTTGCACGCGCGCCTCATTGCGAATGCCGAGGAAGTTGCCTTTTACGGTGGTGCTGAGATGGAAAAGACCTTCCTGAACAAAGAGTTCAAGTCTCTCAAGAACTGGATGGAGGGGATCTACATGCTCAAGATCCGGTACAACATTCTCGAGGACTTTATTCTCAAGTATAGTTGGAGTGCCTACGGCTACCTTCTTTCGTCGCTTCCCGTCTTCCTCCCTGCCTGGGGTGGTCTCGGCGGTATGACGGAGGTTGCGCAACACGTCGAGAAGGGCGGCAGGGAGCGGGCGCGCATGAAGGACTTTATCACTAACAAGCGGCTTATGCTTTCGCTGGCTGACGCAGGCGGGCGGATGATGTACTCGCTGAAGGATCTCTCAGAGCTGGCAGGCTACACTTCACGCGTATATACACTCATCTCGACGCTGCATAGGGTGCATGCGAATGCATACTACGTCCGCGGGCGGGAAAATGAGCTGTACTCCTTGTCGGATGTCCAGGGCACGATCCAGAAGGGCTTTGACGGCGTCCGGTTGGAGAACGTGCCTATTGTGGCGCCTGCGCTGTGGCCGCAGGGGGGTGAAGAGCTGATTGAGTCGCTCTCGATGATCATCCGTCGGGGCGATCACCTCTTGGTAAGTGTTACCACAATCGTCGTGGCTTGCAAGCAAAGAATACTAACGTGTTGCGTTTACCGTCTAGATATCCGGTCCCAACGGGGTGGGCAAGAGCGCCATCGCGCGCGTCATTGCGGGTCTCTGGCCCGTCTACCGCGGGCTCGTCAGCCGGCCGAAACACAACGGCGAGGACGGAATCATGTTCCTGCCGCAGCGACCCTACCTCAGCATCGGCACCCTCCGCGACCAGGTCATCTACCCGGACGGCGAAGCCGACATGCGCGAGAAGCGCAAGAATGAGTACGACCTGAAGCGCGCTCTCGACCAGGCCCGTCTGGGATACCTCCCCGAGCGCGAGGGTGGCTGGGACACGCGCAAGGAGTGGAAGGACGTGCTGAGTGGTGGTGAGAAGCAGCGCTTGGCCATTGCCAGGCTGCTGTACCACGAGCCGCAGTACGCGTTTATTGACGAGGGGACGAGTGCTGTATCTAGCGATGTTGAGGGGTTGCTGTATGAAACGTGCAAGGAGAAGGGGATCAGTAAGTCGGGGGCGTTAGTTGTTGTCTTTCCTTAGGCTAACGCGCAGATCAGCCCTCATCACCATCTCGACGCGGGCGTCGCTCAAGAAGTACCACACCTACAACCTCGTGCTCGGCGGCGGCGAGAGCGGCGACCAGTGGGAGTTTCAGCGCATCGGCACCGAGCGCGAAAAGATGCATGTCGAGCGGGAGCTGCAGGAACTCAGGGAGCGCCTGTCACAAGTGGAGAAGTGGAAGGCCAGGCACGAAGAAATTGAGAAGGAGCTTGCCAAGGTGTGGGTTGAGGGCGGCGACGAAATTGCTCCCCCGCCGTATGTTGAGAGGACGGAGGCGAGGGAAGAAAAGGATGTCGATCCCAGGCCGGAGAGCGCAGAGGAGACGCAGGACGAGGCAGAATACCAGGAGGCCCAGGAGGAGGTCGGTGAAACGGATGTCGAGACAGAGGTCGGTGATGCGGAGGGTGATGCAGCGGGTGTTGAGTCGTCGACGGTTGTTGTTTAGGCGTGGCACAGTCCTAGGGAGTTTGGGATGATGGTGAGGTATTTGTATGGTATGAGAGGCTTCTGTGATAGTGATAATGTACATATGGGTGATGGTTATTCGTATGGGATGCGCTTGCCATGTATGACTGGATGCTATATCCGTTCACCTCACCTACGTTTCCGGTGATTGATTGGTTTTGAAAAACAGCGGTTGGATGTTGTATTTTCTGGTCGTTGGAAGTGGCCTGAGAGTTCAAGTTCCAGATGCCCCGCGAACCACAATGAATACAGGAAAACAATGCAGTGGCTCCTGCCACTTTACAGTTTCAAACAGCAGCATCCGTCAATCGACGGCAACTACGATTAACATATGCACGCGCCACTGTTTACCCAACAAGGTACCAGGCAGTTGCCATTCTCATCATGATTTTTACCTCACAACTTCCTCAGTTCAGTTCTGTCGGTCTTTCTCCTCAAGATATGAAAGCCATCAGCTGCAGAAAAGACTGCCGGACGGAGCAACCGACTCAGCACTTCAACTCATCCGGAGAGTTGTGCCTAAACTTACTCGCTGTCATCTGATCATCGCCCCAGGCAACACCCTACAACTAACCGCTCACCTTCGGTCAGCGTCCGAGGTGTGGGTTGGAATTATTAGGCGGCTGCCCCCAAACAAAGTGGATGTCCACGGTGGGTATACCTCTGCTTGGATTTTCTTCTCGGCTTCCATTTAACCGGCGCCTCTGGCTTGCTTGGGGGGTAGAACAGGCTAAATGGCTCGAATCGGTCGGGAACCGGGTCAACTGCTCCCAGGCTCCAGTGGCGCTGCTGCTTCGCGGGAAACACACAGTCGGTCCGGGCGTGGTTCCCGCTATCTTCACCACCGGCATCGGATCGCCTGCGTTTCTCGCCCCGGTTCTGACTGACCAGCCGCCCTCCAGGAGCAGTTGCAACAGCCGTCTACTACCGGAATGCTGGACGCGTGAAACCAAGAGGGGAGCTCTGTGTACCGTTGCGGTTTGTGGAAGGCTGATGGGCAGAGCGACTCATGAGTGACGCTATCCGGGCCCAGCGATCCACATTTTCTCCGACCGTCTGTGGGATGCGCGAAGGTCCATTTCACCCGCACAAATGGGCGCTGTCCGGGAGGCCCAGTGGTCCCACTGCCTTGGCTCTGTGTCGATGGACCCCAGCCTGCAACATTACCCTTGGTATACCTATTCGGCGGGCGGGCTTGAGGGGCAGCTGGTCCAGCTATCTCAGCCCTCACCTTTGACCAGTTAGAACCACGCGCCTATTCTACGGCTACCGAAGCTGTGAGGTGTGGTCAATGGTCATGCAACCGTGGTTTGCCGCTGGCCCATAGAGACCTTGGCGTCCAGCCTACTGCTCTTACTGCTGGGTACATATCATGACGATGTAAGCGGGGCTGGAAGGGAGGAGGGGCTGTCGGTCCCTGAGCTTGCTCGAGATAGGCGGGACGGCTTGACCGTCCTCGGCGGCATTCTTCTAGATGAAGAGCAACGTGGGAGGAGCTGCCGTGTGGGCGGGTGGCACCCTTCCCCTCTAGCCCCTCGAGACTTATGGAGAGGTGAGACAATATAAATACCACCAGAGCTGCTCGGCGCTCCCAACGCTACTGGGCAACCTGTCTTGAACACTCGTACGCCGCTCTGCAACCTGACCGAGTCCTCGAGTGTGAGTCTCCCAGTCACTTTGACTCTCCAGAAATGGGGATCGCCTCGAGACACTGCCGTGGAGCTCTGCCTGACCAACTCATAGAACCAGCAGACATTTAGCAGGAGACCGAACAACCAACGCAATGGCTCCCGTCATCAAGCTTAACAGTGGCTATGACATGCCCCAGGTGGGCTTCGGTCTCTGGAAGGTCGACAATGCTGTTTGCGCCGATGTTGTCTACAAGGCCATCAAGGCGGGCTATCGCCTCTTCGACGGTGCTTGCGGTAAGTGACCTCCGCATCTCTTCCCTTCTTTTTCTGTTCCACGAATCGAAGGTCGTGTTCGCCGGCCCACGGAATCTTGGTCCGGCGCATTTTGCCCATTTCCCATCTTAGGAGCAATAGGACTGGGCGGCTTGACAGTCGAGAATCTACCCCGCCCCCGCCGCTCTCATATTCCCCACTCGCACACAGCACAGGAGGGCCAGATATCTGCAAAGATCCCTGTCAGGACCGCGGTTCAAAGTGTCAGCAGACACGGGACGGGATGCACGTCATTGTGGTGCTGCTCGGTGTGTCTCATTAATGGCTATGGTTGCTAACAGGAGCTATGACTAGACTACGGCAACGAAGTCGAGTGCGGCAAGGGCGTCGCCCGCGCCATCCAGGAGGGCCTTGTGAAGCGTGAGGAGCTCTTCATCGTGTCCAAGCTTTGGAACACCTTCCACGACGGCGACCGCGTTGAGCCTATCGTCAGGAAGCAACTGGCCGACTGGGGCCTTGACTACTTCGACCTCTACCTCATCCATTTCCCCGTCGCCCTTGAGTATGTCGACCCATCGGTCCGCTACCCGCCCGGCTGGCACTACGACGGCAAGAGCGAGATCCGCCCCAGCAAGGCCACCATCCAGGAGACCTGGACTGCCATGGAGTCCCTCGTTGACAAGGGCCTTTCCAAGAGCATTGGTATCTCCAACTTCCAGGGCCAGCTGATCTACGATATGCTGCGGTACGCCAGGATCCGGCCCGCCACGCTCCAGATCGAGCACCACCCTTACCTCGTCCAAGAGGAGCTCATCAAGCTCGCCAAGCGCGAGGGCATCGCCGTGACGGCCTACAGCTCGTTCGGCCCAGCCAGCTTCCTTGAGTTCAACATGAAGCACGCTACTGCCATGACCCCTCTCATCGAGGATGAAAAGATCAAGGCCATCGCCGCCAAGTACAACCGCCCGCCTTCGGAAATCCTCCTCCGCTGGGCTACCCAGCGCGGCCTGGCCATCATCCCCAAGACCACTAGGGAAGAGATCATGAAGTCCAACCTGCGCAGCGTCGAGTTCGATCTCTCTCAGGAGGACATTGACGCCATCAGCGCCTTTGACCGGGGTATCCGCTTCAACCAGCCTTCAAACGTGCGTCTTTCTTCCTCTTTTCTCACATACTCCGTTATATATACTGACCTTGGGATGAACCACAGTACTTCGAGACTGACCAGCTTTGGATCTTTGGCTAAATGCCCATCCGGAACCACACGTGAGTGGGGACTGGTTCAAGACATGAACCCGCCCCGACAAACCAGGCCAGACCGGAGCAGGGCCAAGCACGAACGGAGCGTTGCAACTTGGCTCCTTCTGGCCAGGTTTCTCTACCAAACTGCCCTTTTGCTACCTACTGAGAGGGCGGCCGGCGGGATTGGGCTTTCTTTTGCCCCACCCCGCGGCCTTGTCATGGGAATGGAATGATCGACTACGGGTAGTGTCTCTTGCCTAGCCTAGATGAATGGGGTATAGGCGAAAAGCGTTGGGCCGGTCATTTTGCTTTGGAAGTATATTTATATCCAAGGGGTTGACGAAGGTCATTGATGCTTGCATAGCATGTCTGGAATCTGTTATAGAGTATAGTGAAACTATTTCATCCCCCTATTTGCTCTCTCCCAACTGTGCTGCTGTCCTTTATTACCCATCACCCCAACTCAGCAATCACTGAGGGTATCAAGTGGTTCATCTCTTGGTTCGCTCTTGAGGCTTCATCGCCCTTTTTGATACATACCGAAGAACCTGGTAGGTAAAGGATATCCTAACAACATATCCTAACCTTTTACAGAATCCGGTATTTCAATCATTCGATTTTCGGAACCCGTAGCCACCCCTATAGCCGCAGAGTTTGAATTGTGTGCCACCCACCCAAACCGAGCAACGCCCATGAATTTTCCCTAGTAAACAAACAGAAGGACTAATAGGGCGGGCAGGAGGTCAGGCTCGTCTCGCATCCCCCCCCGATGACACGTCCGTCCCTCTCGCTCTCGCCGCTCAACGCCGGTGCATGCTAAATGTAACGTGAAAATCTAAATAACCGCAGGTAGCTTATGTACCTGACTGTGCTGTGTGTTGTGCGCGCGTACATTCATATCCTCATATCCCCGACACATGTTGTTGACATAAACACATGTAGAAGAGATGATTGGTGACCTATGATGCTCGTACAAACGCTGTCAAGCACAATTCCACGTCAGCACTCTACGCCAACGAACGCAGCAGGAGAAACACTGGGGTAAGTGAGGAGGCCACAAAGGGATATACGGATACGTACTAGCATCAATCTGCTGGACCTGGGGCAGCGCCAAGCGGACCTTGTTCCTATACAGCGCCGGCGCTCTCAGCTGGAGGGGGTTTCCCTCGAAGTAGACCGTCGTGAGCGACTGCTTGTCCCTCAGGTGTGTCTCGACGTCGGCAAAGTCCGCCAGGAGGTTGTAGCTCGCCCAGAGCTCCTCCAGGTCGCGCAGCGGGCCCAGGCCCTTGAGCGAGGCGATCTTGTTGTTGGACACCTCGAGGACGCGCAGCTTGGTGTTGTGCTCGAGCCCTTCGAGCGACTCGAGCGCGTTGTGCGAGATGTACAGCTCCTCGAGCTGCGGCACGTCCCGCAGCGGGGACAGGTCCCGGATGCGGTTCGACTGGATCGACAGCAGGCGCAGGTTCGGCAGCCCCGCGAGGCCGGTCATGGATGTGATCTTGTTCTTGGCTACCCAGAGGTCTTCGAGCGATGTGAGCGACTCGAGGTTCTCGAGGACGCGGACCCGGTTTGAGCCCAGCTCGAGGTTGCGCAGCTTGGTGAGGCCGGACAGACCTTCGATTTTGGATATTTTGTTGGACACGAGGTAGAGGTCGGTTAAGTTGGACAGGTGCGATACGTGCTTGATGTGTTTGATCTTGTTGAAGGATAGGTCCAGCGTTGTTAGATTGACCAGGTCGTCGAGGCCGCGCACGTGTGAGATTAGGTTGTCATAGAGGTCGAGTTCTTTGAGGGAACCTGCGACGCCCGAAAGGCCTTCGATGTCCTGGATAAGGTTCTGCCGCAGGCAGATGCGTGCTACTTGCTGAAAGCGCTCAAGGCGGAGGGCGGACATTGACTGAACTCGTGACTGAGTGCAGACGATCTCGTCTGTCTCTGGATCCTCGCCGTCCAACAAGTCTGTCTAATCGTTAGTACTTTGCTCTTTGCAGATTCACCACTAGGGAGCTTTTGCCTTCATCTGCATCGAGTTCCTCGCCAGGAATGACATTCTCTTCGTCTGAATATTCTGGATCTGAGAGCGCCTCGGGGTTCGCAAGCACAGCATTCTTGGATACTCGCAGTTTTCCGTCCCAGCCCTTGCTACTCCTTAGCCCAGGACTACTTTCGCCATCGTGCCTCGGGGAAGGATTGTCGTCCACAAGCTCGATGCGATGTCCCCGGGACCGGGGAGACTCGTCAAGAGGAGCGGGCATTGTTATCACCGTGCTTGAGAGTCGTAAGGCCGGGGAAATCAACTTCTCGGTCTTGCGGGCACAAAAAGGGTTGAGCAGTGTGCGAAGCTTTCTCGGTAAAAGTCGGTTGATTTCTGCTTGATTTTCGACTTAACAGCAGGTTTGTTGGAACGGAAATTTTGAGATGTGACAGGTCGATTGCCATCTTGGGAGAGGCTTGTGTCTTATCGCACTGGGCCGCCTGCTGGAAGCCGGCGATCTAGGAGGGGCATTCCCCAGCTTTCGTTAGCTACAGGGTCCACTCGGCTTTAGCGTCAGTTGTCTACTGTGGTAGGCGGTGTATAATTGGCCCCGCAGGTTTCTTGGGCAACAATCGTCATCTTTCCATGTCAACTTCTTCGATCCGTTTCAGACATGCATTCTGTACTTTCATGTCCCTTCAATCCCATGGGTCGATTTTCAACACTTCTTAACCGGCTCGGGGAATACCGGCTCGCTGCGCTGGGCCCTGCGTTGCAGCTTGCCAAATCAAGTTTGCATCTTCGACGGATTGCATCAACGACTCGAACCGTCGGTTCTTTTATCGGATTTCGGCCCAAGCGATTCAACCCAATTCGACCGAACCAAACCTCCCCTAAGCTTGGAGTGGGAGAGTGGATCTCATGCAGCGAATCTGTGAGCGGGTTGACGAGTGGCAGAAGGACACATGATTAGGCAATGGCAAGGGCGCACGCGAAGTAACCTGCGCTGAGCGAAATCCTTACGTCTCAAACACACCACCATCCCGCGCCGCCTGCCATGGTCGCTTGCACTCGGACAGTCAGCCCAGCGATCCGGTGGCGCCGGCTGCAACTGAGTTCCCTACGGCACACAGCCCGCAGTAGTTCGACTGCTCTTGCATCGGCACGGTTTTGGGCGGCTGTCAAGCGCGGCTCATCATCGAGAGCCCCGCCGCAGATCTTGCCAACTGGGCCAACCCGTCGCACTATCCACATCCCGCCTGCGCTCCTACCACCAGTGATTTTTTGTGGGTTGTTAGTTGCGCTATGGGTCTGGAAGTGCGTGATGTTGGTGGTATTCCAGAACAAGATCATATACATGCCCGGACTACCGCCGAACGCTCGCAGAGAACGGATCGCGGATTGGGCAAGCTTATGCGGGGGCGTCCAGTGGACCGATGAGAGGACGGTAGCTGCGGACGGGACCGATCTTGCCATGGCTGTCACGACCGTTCCCATGGCGCGTGGGAGACAGTCAGCTGCTGAATCGCTAGAAAAGCCAGCAGCCACTCATGTTTATGTTCTCTACTTCCAGGGTCGGCTATCATCTGGATTCCCGCGTATACACCCGCTGACTCGGAGCTGACACGGTCCCAGGCAACGCCTCGTCGATCCCTCCCCGACTCCCAGACCTGTCCTGGGTTTTGCGGGCTGTCGGTGAAAGCAAATGGCCTTCCCTGCAGTCCGTGCAGTTAACTTTTGTATGCTTGAGCTACAGAGGATACTGGACCTCACGCGGTCGACCCTCGGAGGGAGGACTCCGGCTTGACGCTGAGGCCGGTGTGCGGTGGGTTGCGGAACGTCACGCACGTCTGTCCGCGGGCATCGATGGGAAACCCCCAATACTGCTTGTCTGGGGACAGAGTATTGGTTCAGGTGTGGCAACGAACCTTGCAGCGACTGGCAACATTCCATTCAACATTCGGATCAATGGCCTGCTGTTAGAAACGCCGTTTGTGTCGATCAGAGCCATGCTGGAAACGCTGTACCCGCAAAAGTGGTTGCCGTACAAGTATCTCTGGCCATTTCTTCGGAATCACCTGGACAGTTGGGAAAACTTGGGTTTGGTGGCTCAAGCTGAGAGAGAGAGGGGTTTGAAAGCACCCGCCATCTACATCCTCGAGGCCGAGAGGGATGAGCTGGTCCCCAAGGAGCAGAGCGAGCGGCTGTTTCAAAGATGCCGAGACCTCGGCCTGCCCGTCGAAAAAGGGGTCGCTCCTGTCGCATATCACCAACAAGCAATCGCCAGGGGAGAAGGGAAGCAGTTGGCCGCACAAGCCATCTTGAAATTGACACAGCGATCTCTGGAAGAATGAAATTACTTTGAAAAATTTTTGAAAAAATTTGATCGATCTTGGCGCCCTTCTGAATTATCTAGGGGTGCCGGCCGTTGCGGTTTTGCCCGGTGCACACAAGGTGCCCCTGTATCTCCGGAACATCACCCCGGCAGCGATCCGCCGAGCCGAACACTGGAAAAAGGGGTCAGGCAGAAAAAGGACACTTTTTGCCTACCAAAAAGCAAGCCAAGGTCATCTCAAGAAAGCGTGTAATTCATGACACTGGATGCTACACCAGGTGATTGGACCTGATGTTTGACTTGAGTTGAATTTGGCTCTTGTGCTTTCTTTTGCATCATCGGATGCAGTCGGGTCTAGCTAGTGACGGGCCGGCGCTCCCCTTCCATTCACGAAGCTCGTTCCGTGGTGGAGTGCGTGCTCAGGTTGCTCCACTAAGTTAGCGCACTCCACTCCTGAACCAGGGAGTTAATTAAGGTACCAAAGCTGTGGTTCCAGGTCAGAGTTCAAGGTCAGAGCCTCTCCTTCGTGTTCAGGTCAGTAGGGAGCAATGGACACAATTGATATCATGGAGCATCAAGAGTGCCGTCGATGAAGCGCAGATAGCGAGCATTCTCAATCATAATCCGATCTCATTGCTGTCATCGCATTTGCTTCAGGCACTTGCTGCCTCGGGACGACCGGGCTAGCAAACTTTCACAACCATCTGACTGGGGCGCACGGCTGCACGGGTGCGGGCTGCCTCGGTAGCCTTGCAGCGTTACCTCGAATGTCCACACCCTCGCTCCGTTTTTCATATGGGCCGGCGTTTTACGGCACTGGCCGCCGCGACGTCTCACAAAATTTTCACCAAGTGATCCGAGCAATCCTAGTATTTTGCACAGGCCCATGGAATTCATGGAATTCTCGGGTTTCCGTTTTGCTTGCTTCTTCCGACCCCGGCTGAGGCGCTATGCAAGGATCAAACCCCTGACAGTGCCTTTCACTTGAGGAAACCCCATTAAATTGCTGGCTCTTTTAGGCATAGTGGTCATGTGAGGACCTGTGTCTTTGGCGTTTTTGATCCGGCCGCGACGCGTCAAGTCACGCTGGATCGCTTAATTCCCCCTACGGAACCGCCAAGAAAAGCTTCGTCCACCATGGTAGAAAATCCCAGGCATCTACGCAGGCGTGTCCGCCTCACCACAAGTGGTAGGTATATAATAAGCTCTGCCTCCACCCGCCCATGTCGCAAATTTTCACCCTCATTTCGGCCGTCGCCTCGCTTGGATAGGTAGGTCCATCGGTTTTGTTTTTTGAAGTAAAAAGGTTCGTCGCACCGAGCCTTGGATTGTCGGGTTAATTAGCAACTCCCATCCTCTTCATCACCCGCAATAAGATCTCTCGCCAAGGTCATCGCCTCGTTTGTCCTGTGTGGTGATAAACCAGTACTACAACTACGGGTCCGCACATCGAGCCGAGTCATCGAGCCTGAGGGTCCTGTGAAGTGGAGCAACCGAGCTGGAAGTAAGAAGGGACGGGCGTCGCCGCTTGCAGACAAAGACAAGATGTTTTCCCGACGCTTCGAGCCGCCTCAGACGACAAAGAGCTTCTCCAAGCCGAGTCGAAGCGGGAGGAGTTCATCCTTCAGCAAGGAAGCTGGCGTATCCAAGAAACGTCTTGAGTCCCGTCGCCGCGCTGGCACGGTGTCAAATGCAGGCTCATCTGATATCAACTTTGAGTAAGCCACCAGCAGCATTTGTTCGTCTGATGTAACACCCTAAAGAGCTAACATGTTGCTACTTTAGCAATACCGTTTCGCCCATCGTCACCCTTGTCGTCGGTCAGGAGCAACGCATCTTCGCTGCCCACGAGCATATCCTATGCGCCTCGCCGTTCTTCAAAGCTGTGCTACAGAACCAGATGATGGATTCGCAAACCAAGAAGATCTCGCTCCCCGACGAAGAGCCCGAGGTCTTCTCATCCATTCTCGAGTATCTCTACAAAGGCGACTATACACCACGTCTGATCCACAACAAGAAGCGGAACACCTGGGAGCTTGAGCAGAGTGACGAGTCTGGTCGCTCCGAGGCAACCATCTTTCACCATAGTGTTGAAGGAGAGCTGCTCAAGGACACGGCCATTTACTGCTCCGCCGACAAATATGGGATTGAGGAACTGAAGCGGGTTGCTTTGCGGAAGCAGGGACTTCGTAAGTCATCCCGGCGATACGCCCCGACCATTGACCCGCTTGCTAACAACAGTCAGAGTCTGGGATTCAAGCCAGCACCATCCTCGCCTCTGCCCGCTATGCCTATGCCAACACTCCCGACACCGACTCCAAGCTGCGCGCCCACTATCTCGCTCTCATCATTCGCAGCCGCAACACCTTCAAGCGGAGCGGGACGATGCAACTCGAGATGTTCAACGGCGGCACCCAGCTCTTCTTCGACTTGTTTGTAGCCCTGTGCAACCATGTCGATGACATCTCAAGCGCTGTGTAAGTTCCTGTCTCTGATTCAATTGTTGTTTCTTGCTCTAACGGCTTATCGCACCTCAGCTCCTCGCCTCGGACACCTCGCAGCGGTCGTCCCTTCTAAGCCACTGCTTCACGTTTCGCCAGCCACTCCCATCAATCCAACGCTTCACTGATACCCACGCCTCTCAACAAAACATTGCAATACCCCCTTGGCACCTTTCCGATCTCACATGAATGACGTCTCTGGTCTCGTCTATTCATTTCTCCTCTTCTTTTCGTTTCTTCTTACCTAATACCGGGTACTAGGGTTCAGGATTGGTCATAGACGGTTTTAATTTTCTCATCGTTCCGGCGCAAGGTTCGGTCTGTCAGGTCTGTTTCGCTGTCTGCATGGGGTGGGCTTGGTCGTCGCTGCTTTGCTTTTTGCACACAATACCCAAAACTGTACATTACTATCTCATGATCTGGGCTCGTTGGGATGGAGGATTGTCTGCTTATTTGCATTTCCATTTACCATGGGTTATCATTTCAGCAGGCAGGCCGGAGACTGTTTCTTTATGCTTTCAAATGAAAGCCAGGTGCTGGAGGAAGACAGCTTCAAACTCCAGCGCCTTTTCTTTTTTCTTTTGTCTATCTCATTTGTCTATTTTTCTTTGTTAGGGTTTCCTTTACCCTGTCCTGTGCAAGACGACGAGAGACGCAGGCCGAGCATATGATGGAGCAAAAAGGAGAAATGAGTCCGAGATGGAGACAGAGACGGAACGAAGAGTGTACCCATTACCCTTCTTTCTCTCGTTCATGGACATTTTCAATCATGGGTTGGTAAGGTCATGTCCATGGAGAACGACAAGGCCAAGAGGAGGGAGATTATTGCAGATCTAACAATGCTGGTGCTCATTCACTCGCTATTTTCTGCAAAGAATACAACCCAGCATCCAGCAAAATGGCTCCATATGGTAGACTTGGAAATGTGACGACTGCTCTGTAGATGGTATACGCACATTATGTGCTCCGGGAAGCCCATGACCTCGAGGTGCATTTGAACCTCAAACTCCACCAATTCCGTAGTAACAGACAGTTGCGCAATTCGTGTTCATCTGGCGAATTCACAGCCCACCAATAATGGTAAGTAAACGATCCGATGCAATGCCTGCTGGTGCGCGGATCACACACCCTCCTCCTTCTGTTTCCTTTCCCAGATCTGAAAATGCAAACCTCAAAAGCGAGGCATGGTGTAACCAAATCTACCGTAATGGGAAGTTTGGAAGCGTGGGGGCGAAAGATAAAGGCAGGATAGGATCTTTGCAGAAAGGGGAATCCAAGTTGTAAACGCATCCGCAGTAGTGTAGGAGTGTGAATCTTTCAATGACTCACTCACGCAATCCATTCACGGAATCGTCACACAAACACACACATAACCGAGCCTGCTCTCGGGATACACAGGACTTCACCGATTGGGCCGCGAACTTGTTGTGTGGGTGGCCAATCCTTTCTTCGGCTGGATAATAGTCAAAGTGCGGGGAACAGATGCAATTGTTTCTGGGATCTGGGATCTGGGATGTGGTGTGGTGTGATGGATGCAAGGGGAAAGTGTGAACCAGAAAGCGACTTGAGGAGGAAAAGGGGCTGTGTTTGGCCGCTGTTGCTTGATTGGGCCGTTTCCCAAGCAACCCTGGCTCGCCTGGCAAGGGGAGCTCCGTACTACAAAACGGTGAGATGGTCCCCTGCCTCTGCTTGACAGACAGTCCGAGAGGTACTCCGTAGTCAAGGGGATGTCACAGATCTCCTTTCAAATATGGATTGAGCTTAGTAGAATTTACACGATGGTGGTTTGGTTTTATTTATTCTCTAGATTTATTATTTTTTCCACCGTCACTTTGACTGTTTGGCATACGAGTCGATCAGTCTCCTCTAGAGCTTTACCGGTAACTAGTTGAACGCAATCGCAAACCCACACGGCTAAAGCGGCAATGAAGCATCGAGGACGGGCGATAAGGGATGCAACTCATCGGGATCATTAGGATGCTTCTCCCCATTCACGAAACCTGGCTATTCAGACCCATGCTGGTCCGGCAAACACAACTTTGCCGCAAAGTGCGACATAGGCAAAGCACACCTTCAGTTCCGGCAAACTCTGAGCGCAGCTCTGCACTGTGCAACAGAATTCTTCCAGTGGCGTCCTCGGTGAGTAATTGATTCGTAATGTTGACAATCCGCAAGATATCAACTTGCGGGTAACTATGCGACCAGCCGCAGTTCCTTTCCCGTCACACTCCGGTGCCCGGAAACGCCCCAGTTTTGCTCAGCACCACCATTTGGTGTTGGCGTGAGATATAGCCCTTCATAAGCCCCTAAACGGCAAGGTGAATTAGCTGAATGAGTCATTGCTGGGGCAACAGTCCGGGCCAATGAGTATTTGGATGAACAGCCGAAGTGCTTGCTGCCTTGATACCCCAGGCAGACGGGCAGCAGTCAGGCAGGATGCGGGACTCAGGCATCAACAAATGACAAGTCTCCTGATTGATAGACTCCATCGTCTATTGGGGGAATGGTGAAATGGCGATGCTACCGAATCGTGAACGGGAAAATGTGACGGAGGCCTGACTCACTTTGTAAATCATGTTAGCCAAATGACACTCGACTTCGTCGTTGTCGACCTTCTCCTGGCTGCCTAGGCTGATCGCCGCCGCAAACTCGGCGATCGGTACGCGGCTGCGGCGAACCGGCTTTTCGCCTTCCTTTGCGTCCTCGAATCCACGGGCAATGAACACCTTGCGTAAGAGGTTACGCAGGGCAATATCGCGGCCTCGCTCCAATGTCAGGTAAATGCGACGCCTCACGAACTCCTCCTCGCCTTCCTGAAGCGCAAGGTCAAACAGATGCAGCTCTCCCTTCTTGATACATCGGCATAGCGGCAGGAAGAGCTTCTGCAGTCTCGGATATGGCTCCAACAGCTTCTCAGTCGGCAGGGTGTGAGTGGTGATGAGGTGGCAGGGGATAAGGTACGTCAGGATCAGCCTGTTGTATGTCAGCGCATTACTGAAGCCAGGTAAAGCTTGAGAGTCTCACTCCTTGTTCCTTATAGCATCCTTGTGGCAGAGGTTCCAAGCATGTGTCAGGTGCTTTTCGGCCTGGTAAAATCTTTAGTGTCTTAGCCCGATGACGGGAGCCCTCGCTCTCCTACCTCGACATAGTTCTCCTCCCAAAAGTATAGGACGCCCTCATGGTATTTGAACGTAACCTGTTGAGACTTCGGGAAGGCGGAGAAAGCAGGCATGTCTTGCTGGCCTGCCGCCAACATTCTCAAGACGTTTTTCGACAGGGACACCGAGTTCAGCTTGAAGTAGGTTTTGAGCAGGAGGTTGACAATGTAGTAAATCCCCCACTTCCTTGACTCTTCGATTGGTGCTCTGAGATGAGGTCAGTTCAGAGTGTCCATGAATAGACGCGGGACATGTTTACCTGTCAGTTGCGCAGAGCATGAACATTCTGTTCAGGACCCGCGCGCACTCCTCCAATTTCTCGTGCTTCCCTGTCTCGGGATCTACGTCATCCTGGAAGTTCGTTGCTGTATTGTCGTCAAAGGAGTTGTTGATGCTGCGCTCATCGTCTGCCTTGATGGAAAACAAGCGCAGGTGCCTGCCCACCACATAAAGGCATGGTATTGTCCATGCCTCGAAGCCATGGTTTTGGTAGCCCCGTATCAGGACAATTAACAGATCTCTCCATGCATCACAGGCTTTGTCCCATACCACCTGGGACGACTGTAAAACAGTTAGCATCGACTTGATATCATACCATCTCCCTTCGGGCATTCCATCCCCATGCCAAGACAACTGGGACGGCTCGAGGTAGACGAGAGACCAACCTTGCTGTTGTCACTGCTCGATTCCCGAGCGGCAAGAATGTCACCAACGGCCTTCCAGTACGCAATGTATACTTCTATCCAGCCCTGTGTCTCGTTGTTAACGAGTCCTTCCAGGGCTGCCCCACTGTTCTGGAGGCCGCGTCTGAGGGCTCCCTTGATATCATGCTCGTTTTGGCTTCTCCATATCTTCCTTAGTTTCTCAGTCGGAAGGTCTGGATATAATGTGCGTGACAGCCGATAGCCGTCTTTTTCTGACCACGCAGCGGCAAACTCTTTGAAAAAGGGGCCGCCAAACTCCATTTTGGGACTGATGGGCTAGGTGTGTGAAGCCCAGCGGCAGAATGGGAAGCCCCGCGGGATTACGTTCAAGCAGTTGATCAGGTCAATCGTTAACGTTACGTTGATCTGTGGCTTGATTGACTCGACATATATTCTTGTTTCCTGCAGTTAGTGGTCAAAATGCGACAATGTATCTTGAACATCTGTAAATCAGAATCAGAAGCCTGACGGATTGAGAAAGGAAAGCAGAGCTCAGTCGGGAAAGCATTCAAGGTGAACAGTAATACCTACGCCTGTGATTGGCTCCGTAGTTGCGCCCAGCTTCCTCAAAGGGAACCCCTCAATTTGTGGCGTTCCCTAGCTGCACCGCCACAAATGGCTAATCTAGCTGGTCCAAGCTTTTGAGCCCTAAGCCAACACACCTAATTTTTTCCTGCTTTCGCGACCGCTAATTCAGGACTGCGATAGCACACCCATCGACTCCGCGATCCAAAGGGACAAACCATCACAGTGAGTTCCCTGCTTGTTGTGCAGTCAAGGAGGGCCAAAATTTTGCTAACATCCTACTAGATGGGTAAGAAACATTCATTTCCTTGATTCCCGTGGCTGCAATGCTGGCGACATTGAGGCCATCCCGACGAACAATCAATGCGGACCATGAAAGATCCGAGACGGTGAACGAACCCGACTCAACCGATGACGGATGGCAAGTTTCTTGAGGCGGGGACAGCGAGGTTTTGTGCCCTCACGACATTATCTGTGAAGATGTGGATTGGGATTGGGGTACGAGGAAGGAATCTTCGCCTTTTTATCCCGAGCGACCGTATCAGTTCGATCAGACCCTCTAGGAGCTCTTCGCCGGCGATGCTGCACTCGACAATGCCGATTCATCGCAAACGCTTAAACGTCGATCAGAGCCTGGGATATGCTGACAACAACGCCAGGTCGTCTTCAGGAATACCAGGTGATTGGGCGCCATCTGCCCACGGAGTCCAACCCGACTCCTGCCCTGTACCGCATGCGCATCTTTGCGCCGAACGAGGTTGTTGCCAAGTCCCGCTTCTGGTACTTCCTTCGCGGTCTCCGCAAGGTCAAGAAGGCCACCGGCGAGATCGTCAGCGTCAATGTGGTATGCGCGGCTGCACTTGCGAGGAGGTTTGATACGGGAAGCTTACAATCTCCTAGATCTCTGAGAAGCACCCTCTCAAGGTCAAGAACTTCGGCATCTGGATCCGGTATGACTCGCGGTCAGGCACCCACAACATGTACAAGGAGTACCGGGAAATGTCCAGGACCGCTGCCGTTGAGGCGCTCTACTCGGACATGGCTGCCCGGCACCGTGCCCGTTTCAGGTCTATCCACGTACGGCACACCCCCATGGTTTGGCCATGTGATGCGCGTCGCTAACATAGGCACAGATTCTCCGGGTCGTCGAGCTCGAGAAGACCGAGGACGTCAAGCGTCCCTACATCAAGCAACTCATCACCAAGAACCTCTCTTTCCCTCTGCCCCACCGCGTCCCCAGGATCAACACCAAGAAGATTTTCAGCGCGACGCGCCCGTCCACTTTGGCTTGAGGGGTTTCATGGTTGCGGTTGGGGTTGGCAGGTTCTTCAGGTGTTCATTAGGAAAATGGGATATCCTGCATTTGCTCTCTAGACTGAGCATGAAATGAATAAATGGTCAAGCACGGGTTTGCGGGTTTTGCGCAGAAGCCTTTCGGTTCTCTACGGTACGCGTGGTTTGCCTGTAATGGTGATGTCTGAAAGTACGTCTCTCAATCCGCTCATGGCTTTTTGAAGTGACCAAGAATGGCCGGGAACAATCTTTGCGTAGACCCCGGGTTCGCAGTAAGTCTCGGAACAGCTAGATGGGGGCACTGGCACTCCCGGTACTAGGTAGTCATGTTGGCCCCTCCGAGCATGGGGTTTCTGCAATACGAAGGTGTGTGAGGGGTATACAACCCAGATTGCTGCGGCCCTTAGTACAAATGCAGAAGCTCGAAACACATATTGAATCCGCTGTGGGCTAGATTGCAGATGTCCAATTTAAAGGTAGGGAAGGCCGTGGAGTGACTCATAACAAGTAGTCGAAATATCGGTCGACCTAAGGGCGCCAGGGTCGGATTCATATTACATCCCGTTCCTCTTACGCCTAGGTCCTCCTTCCCTCGGGCTTATCACAGACCAGCGACTCGGAGCATCTTGCTTCTCAAATCCTCCTTCCACAATATCTCTATATCTACTACCTTCTCTCTGACAGCTCGAACTTGGACACCCCAAACACCATGTCCGACCCTCTTCCAACTCCCCGTGCCGAAGTGCTACCAGTCGTGTCCCTGAACACAACCGCCCAGGGAGGAGACACGCCAGCGTCAACCTCGGCCCCCGACCCGGCGACCTTTGTCCGGGTCCGGACCACCCTCCCTAAGCTGCCGTTACCGTCCAACGCCGACCGGGTGCCGGTGACCACGGCGCGGCTGCTCCTCCGCCCCCTGGCGCAGACCGACCTGCCCGCGCTGCACGTGCTGCGCACCCAGCCCGAGGTCATGCACTGGACGGCGGTGGGGAAGGTCGACCCGGACATGGCCACGACACAGGCCCGTCTGAATCTGTTCATGCCGCCCAACGACGCCCACACGTACAACTGTGCCATCTGCCTGCGTGACACGGGGGAGTTGATTGGGGTTGGTGGTTCGCATGTTTGGAAATCGTCTCTTGGGTGGCCTGAGGTCGGGTATATGCTCCGCAGGGAGTACTGGGGGAAGGGGTTGGGGACGGAGTTTTTGAGGGGATTTTTGGAGGGGATTTGGGAGGGTTTGGAGAGGGAGGTGGTTGAGTTGGAGGTGGATTCGAGGAGTGTGAGTGGGTGTGAGGGGGGAGTGGGTGCTAATGGTGATGTTGGCAGAGAGGCGGACTCGCTGGCTGCTGAGGCTGGGGATGGTGGTGACGGGCAGAGGGTTGGCATTGTGACGGTGCCGGAGCAGCTAATCGCTATCACGGCGGAAGGGAATGGAAAGAGCCAAGCGGTCTTGGTCAAGACTGGGTTTGAGTGGTTTGTTACATGGAAAGCGCCGGATTCGGTCAAGGGGGATTCGGACGATGGGTTGGTTGATTTGCCTACATATCGATATTTCCCAGGAAGGAAAAGGGGGGGCATAAAGGGGAAGGGTTGCGACGAGTTTTGTGTCTCGGTTTAGGTGTTAGATCTCATGATGAATCTGATTGCTGCAGTTCAGGGCAGTCGGATGGTGTGCTATTGAAATACTGAGTGAGGCAGCTGGGGCGTAATTCGATCATATCGTTTTTCAGATAGATGTATTACTAGGTACCAAGGTCCGTTGACGTAGATTCCTTCCCGTTCCCCGCAGCTCTAGTCAAACAATTCAATGGTATACTACTAGTAGGATTGTATAGTAGTAGTGACGGGTTCGATGTGATACTATACTGCCCGACCTCACGATCATGAACCACGATATCACCGCTTCAAGTTCAACGAGAACTTATTGATTCCGCTGCTAGCTTTCAGATTCTGTCACGTTTCCTTAGCTCTTCAACTTCCTGGCCGGGAACTGAGGGAGAAAGGCAAATATCAAACTGCCGGCGATATCTCTCGACCTTTCAATTACGGTCCATGTTCCTGCAGCAAGGAAGCCTCTCTACGACAGGCAGCTCACGGGCTCGACTGAGTCGGAGTTCTCTCCCCCAGCCTACGGCGTATGCTTATGGCTCGCTACCTATTCACCTTCACGACACAACCGAACTCAAAGCTGTTTCTGACAATCAGCACCCACATACAACGAATCAAACAAGCTTGATAACCGGGCTAGCATACCAACATCCTGAGATGTCAACAGAGCTAACTCCTCAGTCCTCACACTATCCCTGGCTCTTCGAGAGTTTGAATTCATTCCCCCAATCAAGTATACCAGGCGAGATGTCATGCCAGCTCTCAAACCCTGGTTACCCCATTGACTTGAGCCCACTACAGTTAGCGATTCCGAGACCGCCTTGGACGGTTGGACCTGGCAGATAGGAGTCCGATGTTCGGCGGCGACACATAATGGCCAGAGGCCAATGTCTATCATGATGCAGAGAACCAGCGACATAGGGACTAGTTCAGAGTGCTAGTATATTATTGCCCTCGCCTTTGAACATCCCTTTTTTACTTACTACTCATTGCAGTAGTACTGATCGCTAGTTTTGAGGGTGAAGCAAGGAGCAACTACCCTCCAAGGTGTCGTCATCTTGTGTCAAAACATCAGCTGGCAGATTCTAGCAGAACTGACCTTAACCGTCAGTCATCTTTGCTCCATGCAAATGTACCCTATCCCTTCCGCAAGGTAATACCTTCCATATACACACGGATGCTGCATGTATCTGCATACAGCATTCCCGCTTGTCAGCAGCAGGAGCATATGGAAGAACCCCCGTTTTATTAGGCAGCCCAGTTACAAGACAAGTACCTAAAGTAGGTACATTCATGTAGTGTATGTACAGTACTAGCGTAGCCAGGCCTCCAGCTGTTTCCAAACACCAACCTCGATTTATTTCTCCATCGCAGGCATCGAACGAACAAACATCAGCCGATTGACAACCGCCAAGACCAGCTCAGGCGGACTCCCGCACGCCGTCGTAATTGTAGGCAAAGCCATGCGGGGTCCAGTGGATCTTGCTAGTTAACTGACCACTCTTCTTCAAGTGGCTGCTTGGGCGTCCTCAGAAGTTGCAGTCGAGGTCGTCAATTCTGCCTGGAATCTTGGAAAGAAACCTATCAAGCGCGCGGATGTGCCAAAAAGTTGCACGTGTCAACCGCTAAAGTATAAGCGTCATCAGGTTAGCAAACCACACCTTGGCACTTGCGGTTAGAAATGCTCTGGTTACACCCGCGTGTTGCTTCAATAAGCCTCCATGTTGGGCCTGGTTGGTTTCGCATCTTGGTACAGCGCCGCCCGCAGATGCGGCAGATACCCGACCCGAATCCTTTTAGAACAGCTGCAATTCAGCTGCAACCCAAGTGCTAGTAGTTACTAGTAGCTAATGGAAGCAGTGACAGGGTGACTCAGTCCGCCTGGGAATCGATCGATCGACTTGGAAATCACCAGTCCATTCATCCTGCTTCAATCTGCCTTTCCCCGCTACCAATGTGTACGGCTACCTGGCGCAAGGTGCCCGTTGCAGCCTGGATTGGGTAGCTGCCGCCAACTGAGTCCTCGGTTATCATACCCTGCTGCTCCTCCGGATCGGACCTTGTTACACCACTGACGGCATCCTCGCCATCGGCCTGGCAATAATGCCCGTTGGCCGCTCTTGCTCTCTCGCACCATACGTCGAGCTAGATGAAGGCCTGATCCGACAATGGCGGCTCCAGCCGGTGACGTGAAAGACGGCAAAGCCTTCTATGGCTACCTCTTCACCAAAGCACAGCCGTTTCCAGCCCCGACACCCGTTCTCGAAGCGCTACTGAAGGCAATCGCGCTGCATATTGTACGTTGTGTCTCATGGAAGCCCGGCCATCACCAGCCCGATCGACTTGCTGACTGACTACCGGCAGGAAACCGAGATCGGTGACAAGTCAGTTAGACATTTGACCCCGGCAAAGCTGGCCGTCTTCTATAAAAGCGCTGGACATGACTACGATTGTGAGCCAGGCCCTAAAGCCAGATTCCCCTTTACCAGAGACATTGCTGACAATATGCCTCACCAGCTTTCTTTGTAGAGATGCCCCCTCCAGCCATTTCGACTGTCTTTCAAGGCCTGGGCTGTCAGCATGCGCTCCTTCCAAGCGATGACGACTTCGCGACCCCTTCCATCCCGGCGCTTACCTTGAAGGGATTTGTGCGCTGGCAAACGATTCAGACGCTGCTCGACCCTCAGACGCAAGTCCCTGTGATACAATTTGCCGTCGCCAACTGGGGCCTGAAGCATCCCGACACTGGAGTCCCATTTCCCGTGGACCTCCCCAAGGAGGCATTTCCAACCGACCCTGATTCTGATACGGATCGCTGGCACCAAGAATGCGCGAGGAGGGCGCGGATGAAAGCAGCAGCTGAGGAGGAACTGCCCAAGGAGCAGTCCAAACCCGAGTCCACCGAACGCAAGTTCGCTTATTCGCATGTCCGTGTTACCCCGTCAACACCGCGCGATTACTTCGGTTCACGGCCTATCAACGTTGCCTACGTCCACGTGGCGAGCTCTCGTCCTACCCCATCGGGACGATCTCCCGAGAGGGAACGAGTGTGGGAGCGGGAAAAGGAACACTACGTTCGCCGTCAGCCGACATCTTCCTCAGACGAACATCGCCGGCGGAGCTTCTCCGACTACCCGCACTCACCGCACGAGGCCCGTCCTGCGCGAGTACCCCATTTTGTGCCGGAGCGCGGCCCTCACTCGCAGCAGCCCCGTCGGCATAGCCAGCCGCGGCACTACAGCAGCACATCTGATTCGGACGGCAGCTCCGTCAGTCCGCGGATTGTTCCTGCTGCTAGCCCTGCACGGCGCGTTCAGCGGCCCTCGAACGAGCCGCCTCCGATTGCAGTTCGCCGGGTTTATACCGGAAGCACCGAGGATGGCTCACCGCGGATCATTCGGACCACCACCACCACTATGCCCCCGCCGCCCATGCCGACTTCCTACTCCCATTCCCACGCCGCGCGCCCCACGATGCGCTCACACTCACCACGCACTTCCTCTGAGGGGGCGCGGATTCCGCCGCTGAGAGAGGATGACTCCAAGCGGCGAAGCCCCTTGTTCGATCTCAAGGAGAAGATATCCAGCTTCATCAGCCCTGTGGTTGGTGGTGCTATTGGGGGCGGTGGTGGTGATGGCCCGCGAAACGCAAGCGGCTCTCGCGGAAAGCGGGACGGGCGCGGCATTGGCGGCTCGCCGCGGCCATCGAGGGACGACGTGTTCCCGTCGTCGAGATTGAGCCGGTCATGGTCGGATATCTCCTACGAGGATACCGACTCGGAGGAGGAGGAGAGGAGGCGAAGGCGGAGACGTTCGATAGAGAGGGACAGGCTGAGGGAGAGGGACAGGGAGCGCGATAGAGAACGTGAGCGAGAGAGAGACAGGGAAAGAGAAAGAGACAGGCAGCGAAGTATGCGTGATCGCGAGCGGGATCACGACCGCCCAAGAGACAGGGACAGGCCTCACAGCGACCGCGACGACCGCATCCCCGACCGCCCCGCTGCCGCCGCGGCAGCCGCCACCCTCCACAAGCCCCACCATCGCCGCGGTGGCTCAGACGACGATCTCTCACCGCGCAGCACCCGCTGGGCCCAGCGTGGCCCGTACCTGGCCGCTGCAGACGGTTCGCATCGCCGCACGAGCAGCCACGCCGATATTGACCGCCATCGGCCCCGCGATTGGGATAGCAGGGATAGAGAAAAGGATAGGGCCCGTGACAGGGAGCGGGAGAGGGAAAGAGACAGGGACAGGGATATAGACAGAGATCTCCGGGATCGGGACCGGGATCGTGAGCGAGAGAGAGAGCGCTGGAGGAGGGAGCGGGAAAGGGACAGGGATGGGGAGAGGGATAGGGAGAGGATGCCCAGTCCGGCCGCTTCGGGCGTTACGGTCACATCCGGCGTTGGAGGCAGGAAGTATCCTGATCTCTCCTGGCCGAGGGACTAAGAGCTTCTGAAAGACGGGTTGGTGTTGGACGGGGATTTTCATTTCGCGGGTCTGTATTTCAACAGGGTTTGGATGGCATGAGGTTATGACGAGATGACTCTTTGCATGACGGACCAGTTTATGGTATAGTATGATTGATTACGGGATACTCTAGGATTTGGTTTGAGCAAAGGGAAAGGGATACATAGAGGCACGAGTTGCGGGGGTCAAGGGGCGTTACGGTTCAAAATGGGGAGGCGCGCATACACAAGGTCACTTTTTCGCAGTCTCAATTATCTCTTGCAAAGGCAGCGAGCGTGTTGCATGAAGTGAAGTGACCCAAACATGCAATTTCAGGGTATCCAAGGCTGCGTACTTGGCCCGTTCGGTTGGCGAGGGTGTAATCAAGACCGTTGGCGTCGTCAGTCGAGTTGAGTCTACGATATCCAACCGAGGCGATATCCCGCCATGACACGAAGCTGGCATTGAGATTTGAGACAGGGTTCTCCGCTCCTCCCCCCCCGCCGACAAAAGACCAAAGAGCGCGCAATCAATCTGCCCAGGACGGGCGGGCGTCGCGGTCTCCAAAGCAGGCCGGGCAGCAGCTAGCCCGGGCGGGCGACACGAGTCACGACTAGGCGGGATGGACTCGCCAGCAGCAGCACCCACCCCCCGGCACGCACCGGGGCTTCACATTTACTACTTGTGAGGTTCAAGCAAGCGAATCCGCGCCGCGATTGTTGTTTTTCTTTCCGGTGGGGGCCGCCTGTCAAGGCCCGCTTCGGCCGTCTTGGGCGGCCCAGCAGATCCCCCTTTCATCTCCGGAGTGACTCCGCCCCTCCGTAGTTAACCGCCTGCGCGTCGCGAACGGCATGACTGGTGTAGAGCAGAGTACAGTATCTCGCATCGGGATTTGAAAGCCGTACTGTACATAACGTGGCAGCGGGATGGGATGCAGACTTACACAAGGTTTTTGCGATGTTAGGGTGGGTCCGAATGGGAGCTGCCGGGACCGGGTCAGTTGTTCGGATTCAAACGTGACGTGCCCTGACCGGGCTTTCGTCCGGCCGGTCCGGTCTCGCTAAGCAACCCCGCCTCGCTCGTCCACTGCAACTCCAGGGGACCGAAGGGCCGGGAAGCGCTGCGGTGCTTAGTGTACATAGAAGTTGGATGGGTGTTTGTTACAAGTTGTGGTAGGAAGTGACACTGTTTCCAACAAGCAAACAGTGGCGTGAGCATGCGTTTTCCTGGCGCAGCATACCGAACTTTGGGGAAGATCTCCAGCGGGGTGGTTCAAAGCATGGGGGATCACATACTTCGTACACTGTACCCAAACAAAATCCCGGCTGGAACAGCTCCCAGCTACATCGTACATGGGACATCTCATTCGCTGGTAGGTATTCGTAGGTAAGTTATGCACATCATGGCGGTTCGTTCGTTGGAGGGCGGTCGCCATGACCGAGGCCGCGGGTCGATGGATGATCCAAACGGCTCCGAGAAGTGTTGATTGGCCGAGCGTCACCCTAAGCGCCATCCACACCGCCCATCAAGCCAAATTAAACGACCCCAAAGAGCTGGAGGCTTGCGGGGGATGACAGCAGCTGATGGCTCAGGCTGATTGATGGCTTGAGACGGCCGGTGGGCCACGAAAGGATAGGTATCAGTACGGACGATGTGTTGCCTCCGTCTTCTTCTCCGCTTTCTGGTGATGGAAAGGATGGAAGCATATTCCGCTCGGGCTCTTTGTCACGGCACGGGGCAGACCCAATCGAGTGGTTGGCTGAAAACGGGGCTGTCACAGGGCGAAAGCTGGTGTAAAATTATGGGGTTCAGCAAACTCCAGCCGCATCGCGATGCCGTTGCTCGCCTTTGCGCAATACTGTGGGGTTTGCCGTAGGCGGTAAAGCGACGTGATCAGCTGATGAGGTGAGCTTCACGGCCTGATCACATACAATACAACCCTTGTTTGTTTGTTAGCGCGGAACTTAGGACAGGGCTCCTAGTCCGAATTTCAAAGAGATATAGCTCAACAGCTAGAGGGAATACTTCAACGCAAAAAAAAAAAAAATAAGCATTTAGCAATGTTCAGAATGGTCGGTTTATATACCTATCATACCTGTGAGCAAAGTGGCTGTTTTTCTGTTGAGGTTTGATTTTTGAGGTTGCCCCCTGTCCTCAAGTTAGGCGCTAGCGAACAAACCAGGGGGGTATTGTACCCTGGCCATTTCTGAGTGACTAAATCCTGGGCTGTAATCCCCCGGGAGAAGGGAAGTAACGAAGGTATGAATTATCGCCAGCCATGATGATGCGTCTTTCAAGAAAGATCAAGCTGGTGTCCGGAATCGACCCGGCGTGGGGCTTGTGGTTGCAACTGATACCCTCCTTCCCACGATGTGAATCAGACCTACCTATGTAAAAAAGATGTAAACTGGCCGCAGAAACGGCCGTCAGCACGGGACAGGTGGACGCAAGATTCACAGGGTGCGAGATCTCGTGGTTGAAATGCAGCTAACGTTAGCATTCTCAGCCTGGAACGCCTGGCAGCCACCGGTTCCAGGAACACCTCAGTCAGCGACGGGACATCCACTCATTCAGCAGGTGTGTTCGTACGAAACTCGGATACCAATACGCATCAATTACTCCGTACAGTACCAAGTAATAAACGCACCCCTGCTCGGGCCCTGCAACGGCAAGCATCCTGCAAGACAGGCGGGTCCAGCCTAGAGTCGACTGTCAAGTCAAGTGATCCTTCCTGTCCATCCATGGTCGTGCAGAAGAGCATCGAGGACTCGTGGCACGCCAGCTCTCGTCCGTGTTGCATTCTTGGGGGTGCAGGGACGGCTTACCTTTTGTAACTGCTAGGTTATTGGTGGATAAGCACGCAGAAAGGCAGCGAATTCGGCCTGAGGGCGCCAAGCTTTGGGGCATGTTCCTGACCAGCGGTCGCGCCATCCTCCACCTTCCAACCATTCCACAGGCCCATGGCGGTATGCTTGCGAGTTCCTGAGCTCTCACAATTTCCATCCCCGTCCACGGTCCAGGTCCTTCAAGGCTTTTCTTCCATCTCATGTCAGGCCGCGTTCCCACCACATTTCAGGTTTAAAGTCATTGGCTAGCCGTCCGGCTGTTGTTTTTCACCCCTTTTCTCATTACTGCGTAGGACTGTAGTCAGGTACCTGCTTGAGCCCGTCTCTCTCTCGTCACCGCCAGCCTTCCGACAAAGTCGCCCCGCCGCGACCCGACAGCCGGACCTGGAGACCATCCAACCTTGTCCAAGCCACTCAGGACCGGCTTCCCGCCGCGTGTGCACCATAAGACCCCGGGATCCGCCGGTCCCATGGACCCCAACTTCTTCTTCCTCCCTGCGCACCACCTGTCCAACGCAACCTGAAACTCTTGCGCCCACCGGCTCTCTTTCGGCGCCGATCCCCAACGACAAGCGCAAAAGGGGGAACACCAGCTGCCCTTAGACGTCACCCCAACAAAACGCCAAAACCGTCGAACTCAAATCACTAGAAAAGCAACTGTAAAGCTGTAATTAGTACGCCCACGACTTTCCCCAAAAATTATCCACGGTCTGTTGGACGCACGACTACACCCGCCCTGTGTCGCTCAGCACGGCATCCCGGCCCTGCGCCGACTCAACTTACCCGACCTCCACCAAGGCTGACGGACGGCTCCTTCTCACACGCATTTTTTTTTCAAGATGAAGGGCCGCCCGGTCGATCAACTCGTGTATGAGTACATGTTCCCAAAGCCCCGGCCAGAACACCCCCAGAACTTTCACGCCTTTCTGCAAAGATATCTCATCCTCGAAGTCCGGCAAGAGACACACAGTTTCTACGGCCACCTCGACACGCCCGAAGCCAAGTACCCGGGGCTCGACTACACGCATCCGATCCACCGCATTCGCCTAAGCCGCTGGCAATGGCATCGCCGCCTCTTCCGTGCCTTTGACGCGCTGCGCCTGACGCCTGCCGAGATTGCGGGCCTGACAAAATGGGAAGGCACAAAATGGGCAAAGGAACGCTTCGAGAAGGAGCAGGGCTATCCCATACACGACACTACTGCTGATGGGTTCCCGAACTATACGGGACTCGAAGCCCGGGCCGGTCTGTCGACAGAGTCTTCGCGCCGACAACTGGAGGAAACCGAGGCCCCCCTAAGCCCACCTGAGGAGACTGCGGAGGAGGAGGTGGACGATGATGAAGGGCAGGAGGAAGAAGAGGAGGAGCAAGAAGCGGACGAGGATGAGGAGAGCGACGGGGAACTTCAGAGCGTCGGCCTGGCTTTGAATGAACGACTTCGAGAACGAGTCGCGCTGCGGAACATTTCCGGCGACATCTCGATGCCGCTAGACGAGGAGTGGGAGAACTGGCTCAAGAATGCCATAGAATCGGGGGAATTGCCGCATGTGGCGGACCAAATTGCCCGGCTCCCGGGGCAACACAGCAGGTTGACCGCAGACGACATCTTCCCGCCCCGCATGATGCTTGCTGCCAGGACTGGCAACTGGCAGGATATTCCAGACTTCCTTCACGACATGATTCGGCAGGCTCTTGAGTCCGAGGGCCGATCCGCTCCAACACTCACACAGGCCCCCTCCACAAGCGTGCCATCGTTCTCTAGATATTCCAATGGGCTCGGCACCCTCGCCAGAGTCGTACCCTATGCTTCCTATGCTCCGGAACAACGACGCCGTTACTCGGATCTTCGCCGTCCGGATGCCGATGATCGCCATGGATCGTCCCAGTCTACTACGCGGGTTCGGCAAATGGCGCAGCCAGGTGCCTAGATCCGATACTGGACCAGACTCCGGCGGCTAACAGGGGTGTCTGGAGTCTGTTCTGCGCTTGGCCGGGTTAAATGTGACTGCTATGAAGGACACCTGAGGGATCACTGAGCAAAAACGCATAGGCATTGGCCCTCTTGTTTGATTTGTATGGGTTGCCTTGTTTTTCTGGACTGCATGGATGGGGCGTGTGAGGGTGAGCGTGGAAGCTGTGCTCCCGGCTCGTGCATCTTCTTGATTACCTGGCCAAGCGAAAGATAAACAAATACAAGCAGCGAGGGAAAGCTGATGGAGAGTTGACGTGGGCATGGCATGAAGCGTGCCGTGCGGGGTGCAGGCCAGCGACCAGCCATTCATAACAATCGGGCAATGAGTTTACAAAAGGGGAAGGATCGGAGTTGACCTGATACGGAGTAGCAAGGCGAAATTCAGGGAAGGGATACCATGGGCTAGGAGTCTAGGACGGGAAAGAGTAGCTTAAAGATAAGACAATTCACTCCAACGCATCTGATCTACCAACTTCGGTTCTGTCTGTCTTGGGTGTATCTGAGCTTTGTATGTTCCGCACCCCTGATGGGCTTGGAGGTAAGGGGAAGTAGGTAAATACGCCTCATATATCCGTATTTGTTGGGAAGTTTGACCAGCTCTTGTCACTACTGGAGCACGGACAATGTGTACAAAAGCTGAGAGGGCTCTACTGCAGTCATGGTGTTCGTTATGCCACCACCTACCTAGTCAGCTTCTTGCTGGCTTTACACCTTGAGGGTCGGCCTGTAAATGATGGCTACAAGGGGCCCCTTTTCTCCTGCTGCACCTTTGTCGGTGAGCAGCCAGCAAGAAGTCACAACCGCAGAGGATATAATGACTGTCCCACGATCTATGAGTCTGTATTTGTACACATGTACAGCGTAGTTGATATGAGCCTATAAGGGAAAGAATTAGAACACAAAAAGGTGAACATCTCTATGCCATGATTGCCGACGCGTAACCGCAAAACAAATAATACACTATGCCCGCGCTGCCCGCTTGCCTAGTCATTTGTCTATATCCCCAACAACCGGGTGACTAACCGGCTTGATAGTGGTTCCTAGCAGAGGCAAGAAGATGCAGACATGTCCCCGCTGCCGACTCCTGCGCCGTTCACCGATCGGGGCCGTGGTTCGATCCGGCCGTGGTTTGATTTCCCCCCAGCTCCAGCCCCCTGGCACCTGAGATCTTAGAGCATCATGCCATCATCATGGCCGAGCCTCAGATACCATGCGCTGGACCTTTCTGGCGGCTTTTAGTTGTTCTGCTGCTGTCGGCTAGGTAGCGGGCAGGTTATTTAGCCTTCATCAGCCCCTCGACAAAGGATTCGAGGTCGAACTTAGGGTCCGTCAGGTCTTGGTTCACTGTGCATGGATGGATGGTCAGCAACCCCAACACGGCGGTCGATCGAGCCGGAACATGCGCTCCCGGGGGAATGATAACTCACGTCCTGCAGACGCTGACGTCGTCTGAGCCGCGGGCTGCTTGGACTTGGCGTAGGCTTCCTTGGCCTTGTTTATTAGGTCCTGCTTGTGCTCGTACTCCCTCTGCGCCGCCGCCTTCTTTTCCGCGGCCGTGATGCTCCGCTGGTGGTAGAAGCCGTAGAACACGCCGAGGCCGAGCGCGGAGTACCGGAGGACCTGTTGCGCGCATTTTCATGTTAGTTTTGATTTCGGTCTAGGCATGCTGATGTTTTCACGCGGGGTTGCCGGCAACTGCTCCCGGGTTTTCCCCGCGTTTCATCGCAGACAATACTGCCTGCAACGTCTGGGGGTAAACCGCGGGCAGAGGTGGCAGTTGGGCTTTGTGGATGTAGGATTTGCTGCTCTCGTGGCCCACTCACGTTGACTCCGGACGACATTGCGACTAAGTTATCTGCTGCTTCTCGCGACTGCTTGCGCCTCGGATATCGGGAGACTGGGTCGTCGAGGACGCGGGATGGCAATTGAGGGTGTCAATTGATCCCGGAGCTTGTCGTCGTCGGGGTTCGGGGGTCCGGTTCTGGTCGGTGGAATTGCGAGATTCAAGTTTTGGAAGCTCGGGATTTTTCGCGGTTTTGCTCTGCTGGCTTCCGCTTGACCCACTTCAACGTTAACTCTGCTAGAGACGGCAGCTTCCGTGTGCCTGTTTCGCACCGCGGCACGGCTAAAGCAGTTGAAAGCACCTGCCAAAGAGCAATGTCAGGTGACAAGTTGCACACCCCCCCCCCCGGGGCGCGGCTAAAGACACCTGCAGGAGACCCCTGGCCACTTCATTGGGGTCAGATCTGTAACTTAATTGAGCCTGTGCCGTTTGCTGGGGCCTGTCCCATCGCGAGCGACGCGCATGAAAGTTGAATCGAAGAGAAGAATCTGAAAGCGTCCTTGTTGATTCGACTGTACGGAGACTGTTGGTTTCTGCCCTTTCATTTCTGTTGAATGCGGCATAGTTGATTACCTGGCGATTTCGACGATCTTCACGAGCACACAGCATTGCAGCGCCGGGGCGACAGTATCTACCCCCTTCGACGACATCACCAACGACCCACTCCTAGTTCTGCGCGTCGTGTGCTGCGCGTTTTTGGTGAACGGTTCTTCGTACTCCGCGGCCTGGGACCCTGAAATGGGCCTGGAGATTTGGCAAGATGCAGCAACGCCGAGATGAGATTCTCGCAAAGAAGGCCAAGCTCGCCGAGTTGAAGCGGCAGAGAGAGCTGCGGGCGAGCCAGGCGACAGCCCGCCAGAGCATCAGCTCCAGCGAAGTTGGTCCTCCTCCCCGGCCCCCGACGGTATGACACTGACAAGTCGTCTTAGTTAATATCCCCGACACCGGGACGAGCCGACAATCGGCGCGAGATCGAGTCGCTAATCAACAGTCTGGTTGGAGAGAGCAGGCCCGTCTCCGTCTCGACAGGAGCAAATTCCCCTAGACGCGGAAGCAGGCCAAACAGCGTTCTCAGTGCCGGAGAGCTGAGCATCGGGAATAATTCCGAGTTTGCTGCCCCCGCAAACGCAAATGGGCAGGTGGCCAGCTCGCAACCCCAGGTCCTCTCTACTAGCCTTAGGACCGTCTACGAGTGCCCTCCGTCGCCGGTAAAGGAGGTCTTCTCGTATAGTAAAGGAGTTCAAACCACGGAGGAATGGACAAGCCCCAGGAAATCCCATACACTTTCAGAGTCGGAAGATGAAGAGCCACCGGTCACGGCATCGCCCAGCAAACGGCTCAGCCGAAGACAGCGAGATCGGGAGCAAGAGCTGAGGGATAGTATCCGGAAAGAGATTGAAGAGGAACTCCGAGCGGCCAAAGAGCTTGTAACCGATGGCGTGCTCAAACCGTCGGCAGCGGCCAATTTCCCCGCGCGGGCGCTCACCGCCGAAGAACTCAAGGCGGTTACGCAGTCTGAAGACTTTATGGACTTTATCGACAGGTCAACCAAGGTCATAGAGAAGGCTCTGGACCAAGAATACGACATTCTCACTGACTACACCCTCCAAGTACACGATATTGATGACGACGACGAACAACACGGCAACACAGGCGGCAAAGGCCGCCGCAAGGTCAAGGAAGTAGCCCAGTTTTACGACGAGCGGTGGTCTAAAAAGCGCATGATCAGCTCCATAGATTTCTCGCCCAAATTCAGCGAGCTGTTCCTCGCATCCTATACCAAGAACCCGACCGCTCCCCACGACCCGGACGGCATCGTCCAAGTCTGGAACCTCCACCTGCACGACCGGCCCGAATTCGTCTTCCACGCCCAGTCCGACATTCTCACCGCCAAATTCTCCCCTTTCCACCCTAACTTGATTATCGGCGGCGCCTACAGCGGCCAGGTGCTCCTGTGGGACACGCGGGCGCGTGCCGCACCCGTGCAGAAAACGCCACTCACCGGATCCGGCCACACGCACCCGGTGTATTGCGTGGACATTGTCGGCACGCAAAACGCAAACAACATCATATCATGCTCGACGGATGGCGCGGTGTGCGGGTGGACCGTCGACATGCTCGCGCAGCCGCAAGAGACCATGACGCTGATCGCCCCGCTCCCAGCAAAAGTCGAGGACCTGAGCCCCCTGTGTATGGCCTTCCCCCAGGCCGACCCCACCTTTTTCCTCGTCGGCTCCGAGGAGGGCACCATCTACCCCTGCCACCGCTACGACCGCGCCGGCGCCAAGGCCGGCGTCGACGCGCGCGTCAGCTACAAAGGCCATGCTGCGCCCGTCGTGTCAGTAGCCTTCCACCCCGCCCGCGGTCCCGTTGATCTGGGCGACCTGGTGCTCTCAGCGAGCCTGGATTGGAGCGTCAAGCTCTGGAAGGTACGCGCGCCAGCCACCACGTCGGCGGTGGTCGCTGCTGGCGGGCTGGGCGCCGCGAGCGGCGAGACGCAGGTGTCCCCGCTGCTGGACTTTGTGCGCGAGGACGTGGTCTACGACGCGGCGTGGTCTCCCGTCAAGCCGGGCGTCTTTGCGCTGGTCGACGGCGCCGGCTGGCTGGAGCTGTGGGACATTACGGTCGAGACGGAGGAGCCCGTCGCGCGCATCTCGCCCAGCCCGCGCAAGGACGGGCGCACCATGCTCAGCAAGAGCCTGAACAAGGTCGCGTGGGAGCCGACCGAGGGGAAGAGGTTGGCTACCGGCGGCATTGATGGTGCTGTCACTTTGTGTGAGGTCGGCCCGGACCTGGGCGGGAAGGAGGGGCTGAAGAATGAGGAGTGGACCATGGTCAAGAAGCTGGTGAATAAGATCGAGGCGGTGGGCGTCAATAATGCTACGGCTATGTGAAGGGATGGATATGATTGTCTTCTTTAGGGCCGGAGGGTTAGTTGGGAGTAGTGGGGACCTGTTGTACTGGCGGTTTGAGCCGTGTGATGTAGATACCTAACATAACAACTGGGTGAGCTCCTACAATCGACGGGGTTGTTTGTGGCCCTTGAACTGTCGTCCTCCGAGCACCTCTCAATCATCAACCCTAACCCTTCCCTTGCTTAAGTAAGCATCCGACTTCAAAAATAAAATACCTGTGTCGCGCTTCTTTGCGATTTTTCCACGCAAACCTTTCTCGAAGTTGAAGTGTCAACCATGGGGGGCTGCAAGCCCTCCAGTCAGACAAAGTAATGTGAGTTATTTATGGACCTTGCAAGGTATCTTCTTCAACAGCCCAGTGATGAATGATTCTTTCATGAATTCTGCAATTCTGAAGCTCCTTTTTATGAGGAGCGTTGTGGACCAAATTTCACATTCTTTCTTCCTGACGGGCACCTTTACAACAGTCACTTCTCTAGCAGAGGGTAAACATTCCAACATGTTTCAAGTCTAACAATAATATAGATCTATGTCTATCCTCACTAAAAAGCCCCGCAACGTTGGGAGACCCTCAGGTGTTTGTCGGGTAACCGGCGGCGTACCTGGCTCCTTTGGCCTCAAATTTGGCAAGCACCTCGTCAAGCTGGTCCATCTCTGCGTCGGTCAGATCAAAATGCTGCGCGTTCTCGTTGACGCGCGCGGCCGTGGTCGCCCCCGGGATCGGGATGATGGTTTTCGGCATGCCCGGTCGCCGCGACAGGCACCGCACCCACGAGAGCGCCAGCTGCGCCGGGGTGCAGCCCTTCCTCTTGGCCAGGTCGTTGACCAGGTTGAAGAGCTGCAGGTTGTTGTCGAAGTTCTCCGGGTAGAAGCGCTCAAACTGCCGCAGGTGCTCGGGCACGTCGTCTTGGCTCCGGAACTGGCCTGTCAGGATCTGTGGGGTTTGTCAGGTTAGTTAACTACAGCCTGAACAGCACACCCGTATATGTGGTCGCGGGATGGATTCGGGCAAGTGCTTACCCCCCATCCGAGAGGCGCGTACGCCACCAGCGGGATGTTGTACTGCGCACATGCGGCAGCCACGCCGTTGGTGAGAACGTCAGGGGTGAAGAGGCTGAGCTCGACCTCGACGGCCGAGATCTTGGCGTGCTTGACGGCCTCGTGGATGGTGGATGCCGACACCTCGCTCAGCGAAATGCCGCCTATCAGGCCCTGGTCGATGTACTCTTGCAAAGCGGCAAAGGTGACCTCCAGGGGCGTGTTGGGGTCGCGGCGAGCGCACTCAAAGATGTCGACCTTCTTACGGCCGTTGAGCTGCTTCAGCACGTTGTCGACGGATTTCCGGATCCCCTCCCGCGAGCCGTCGGCGTGGGGATAGGGGCTCATCCAGAAGGCGCCCTTGATGCTGAGGACGACCTTGTCGGCGTCCTCGGGATACTTCTCGAAGTACCTGTCGAGCAGGGTCATGGAGTTGTACTCGTCCGTGCCATAGAACTCTCCGCCGTTCCAAAAGATCATGCCGTTTTGGATGGCGGCACGCATAGCCTCGAAGGCCTGCTCCTGCGGAGGAGGGCTAGGGCGCCAGGTGAAGCCTGTGGAATGGTTTCAGCCTACATGTGTCTCTTGGGATTGAGCAGGCCGGAGACTCACCCATCAGGCCATAGCCAGTACGGCCGACTTCTTGTCCGTTGATCTGAGGCATGGTTGCTGAGTTCTTGGTGGATGACAATGCAATAGCAAGACTTTGAGGTATGGAAGCAGCGGTTGCCGAAGCACTGGAGTGATGGGAAGACGGGCTTGGGCATGTCGAGCCATCGTCTTATATACTTCGTCTGAAGTGGACCTCGCAACAAGCTCGGTCTCGATGCGCAACGCCCGCGCTTAAATCCGGGGCCTCGGGACAAGCTCCGTGGAATCTTTAAAGCGAACGAAAGGATTCCCCGACCATGGAACGGATGGATCAGCCGGCGGCTATGATTCCAAATCATCTTGAGTTGTACCGCACACTCGAGAACGGCGATCAAAGTGGATACTGTATAGGAGAACCTTGGTTGGTTGTCGTTGAACGGTTTACGGTTGTAAGAGAGCGACGGTCGAAGCGAGGCCTGGCTGCAGTAGCGTCGATCCTAGCGTAAATGCCCTGTGTTTTCAGTGAGTATGTGCGGTAGCTACGAAGTATAGATGTTGCAATCCTTCTCACTGTCAACAACTTACAAATGCTGAGCAGTGTTGACAGCCGACGGGCCTCATAAAGACCGAATGGCCGATGTCATCAGTCGCATGAAAAGGGATTAACGGGCTTGAGTACGAAGCTAGCCCGAAGGCTTGTTAACCCCGTTATCCCCATCGAGGACGGTGCGGAAAGGTATTGTAAGGTACTGTACTGTATGCACATGCTTGTATTGTATATACAAGTATCCATACCCTAGCTAAGCTGGCTTAGCCGCCTTTGTTGACAAGTGAATGCGATGTGGCATATGTATCAACACAACACATTTGGGCTTTCCCCTTGGTCTCATGCGGAAGATGCATTAATTAGGACAGTGGAACCGGATGTCGTTCAAGACCACAATCAGTCCCCTAGTTCAATGTTATAGCGTCGGCGACTACCAAGGTAGTCACCAGCTCAAGGGCCCACTTGCCCTTATCCGAACTCTGAGCTTACTCACTCCCGTCGTACTCTCCAGGCGGCAGTGGAGAGAGGCTGCATAGACCAAGTGGAGCTACAGCCGCAGAAATTGTTAGCCTTACCGCTTTCTAGGCGGGAGTTCAAGTCCGTAGCTTCTGTGTAAACTGTTGTTGACAGGAGTTACCGCCAGTTCTCGGAGGGTGGATCGTCGTTTGTGTGTGCCGTGTGTCCTGTGTAGGTTCCTATGCTGCCCCATCTCCAGCTGAGGTGGAGGAGCTAACTATACTTTGGGAATTTGGAATTATCGCTTGGCTTCCTCACGCCTCCTCAAACTCAAAGCCACTGCTTGTTGCCAAAGTACGAAATGTGATCACCACCGTTGCCCTTCTCGATGCTCGAGTTAGCAATAACCGACTGCACTGCTGCCACCGACTGCTCCGGCGTCTCCCCGCCCTTCCAGTGCGGTGCATACCTGATTCCATGAACTTGGTGGCTCCAGCCCCCCATACGATACTGCTACCGCTCTATCACTGCCCAGGTTTGTTAGCAATGCTACAAAGCCAATACAAGCTAAGGCCCAAGGGGAAATAGAAGTGCAATGTACGGCCACTCCACGACTCCAGGGCAAACTGAAAGGAGAAGAACCGCGTCCTTTTTGTACCAGGCGCTGAACTTGGCCATGTCCATGTTGGCGGCCGCCTTGCTAATCGAATATGGTGGCGCCGTATCATCTCGAAAGGGCACCCAACCAGATGTATACACCTCCACTGTTCATGCCTCTACTCTCTTGTCGGGTAGGTGGTATTGATTTCATCCAAGGGCGTCTGCCTGGAAATCCGCTCCAGCCGAAACTAGAGATATAGGCCGTTATGTTTGTTTTTACACCTGATTTCTCTGATTACACGGTATAAGCCGTTAGGTATACCGAATTTCAACGGAGGGAGCGAGCGCCTTCTTGGGTCCCGTGCTGCGAAGGACGCGGACCGGATTCCCAGTGCGCAGCGAGGCCCGTAGGCACTTGGTCCCCTAGCTGGGGTCGGCTAAATGGAGCGGGTCGCGGTTTCTGGAGCTGCCGTCGGCGCTGTATGGGAGTACGTCGCCGCGGTCGTCACCTAGATCGCCGGTGTACGCCGTGGCCTTGCCCGGCACGGCGGTCGGGTAGGCACCGTGCTCGACAGAGCCGTGGATGCCCTGCATGCTGTGGCCGTACCCCCCCCCCCGGGATTGAGGATCGCGACTGAGTACGTACGATAGTAAGTTAACCAAGGAGTGTTAGAGATAGTAAACGAAAAGAGAAAGACACTCATTGTGTGTTTCTGTACCGAGTGTACTTCGTACTTAGTATTCGCTGTAACCTTACGGTATTTCTGTAAAGCACACAGTGTCTAGCTAACGGTGTTTGAGACAGGGGTAAGCAACCTCGCACCAAGTGTGTAAGTGGGAAAAAAAATTCATCTTGATGGAGCAGAAACCAGAGTAAACCTCCATCAAGTGAAAGTGAGCCGCAAAGGACATTGCTCTGAACTGCCTCACACGTTGTGACTGGGATTGACTGTGCCAGCTTGGATGGCATTGTGAAAGCTGTGAACCAATTTGGTTTTATTCTTACTATTGGTGTATTGTGAAGTTTCTGGGTTTTGGTATTCTCATCCGATCTCTTATTGTTTCCTGCTCGCCACGGAGCCTATTGACCCTATTCAGACTTCAACAATGGCTCCGAACAATAGCAGGGCTGGTGTCAATAGCACTGCGGGTGCTTCTCACTCACACAATTCTAATCGTTGCGGCCGACCACTTTCTCCCAACTCTGCTCTCCGACTATTTCTTCAGCAGCAACGCCAGTTTCCGACTAAAAGACTTACTTCCTCTCAACTCGCTTTCAATCTCGACCTTCTTTCGCTTTTGTCCACAAAACGGACCAAGACCGCTTCTTCAAAGATCAACTTTATTCTCTCCTCCTCAAAACCATCTTTAGTCAAGAGCTCGAAGAGCAAATCCACCTTCTCCCAAACCTCTTTCAATCCTGACCTTCTTTCATCTTTGCTTAGAAAACGTTCCACGACCCTTTCCTCCAAAACCGACCCCATTCCCCCCTTACCAACAGAATCTCCAACCCATCTTAGCAAACTATACAGGCGCCGTGAGCGTGCTGTCTTTTTGTTTCTCTTGAGAAGATTCCTGTGGAGGAAGTCCAGGCAACCCTTCCTCAAGATGAACTTTATAAACCAGCTGCGGGCTCTTCAGGCCGACGATTCTTCGTCGGACGAAGAGTTCCCTAGCTTCGTCACTTCGGCGACGCCGCCCGACTCGGAGGACGGATCTTCCGCCTCCTCAATCTTCACTATAAATACGACCCCTGACAAGCCGGCCCGCAAGAGAAAGCACGAGGCAGACGATGCTCCCCAGTCGACCAAGAAGCCGAAAAAAGAACTCTCGACTCCGCCGCGCAATGGCGAGTCACCAGCCGCGACCGAGCCAGCACAGACACAGCTGAGCGACAAGTCCAAGAAGCGGCACTTCGATGACACGGCCCAAGCAGCCGACGGCGGGCACCAGAGCCCTGCCAAGAAGAGGAAGTCTGCCTCCCTGAAGGCCCGGGAGGCCGAGGTGCCGATGGAGTACCATGAGCGTGTCGTTTACGACATGCTCAATGACCCCACCGGTTTTGACGACCTCGTGCGTGATACCAAGAGGAAAACGCCGAATCACGTCAAGTCGTCTTTTGCGAAATGGCGCCGCCGCCAACGCCAGCCCACCCCACCTCTTGTCATGAGCGGCGCCATCAGCGTCAAACTCTCAGCGCCGAAGCCACAGTCCGCCCTGGTGGTGCCACCAATGGCCACCGGTTGGGTCCCGGGTACCTGGGCCGGCGGCTGGGCGAACGTCCCTGACACCGCCGTCTCTGCCACCGTCCCCGCCATCAAGAGCGCGTGCGCGTAGAACTCGCACACCGTTGATGACGAGGACAACAAAAGCCATGCTCAAGAGTCTGGGCCGAAGCCGGACGGAGACCCGACCAGCACCACCGCTGCGCCACTGACGCCGCGCCAGGGGTCTCCTCCGCTGTCCCCCCAGTTCTCTCTTCCTCACGCGTCTCCTTCGTGGGACTTGTTCCGGTCCTACACTCCTCCGCCGACCAGTCCTCCTTATATCTTCCCAAGCGAGGACAATCATCTGCCGTTCGTCCTGGGGGATGTCAGCGGTGACGTCTTTGACGACGACCCGCTCAGCCCCGGCGGCACACCCTCCAAGCGGAACGGCGTCTTTGCGCCTCGCCCCCCGCCGCCCTTCCGTTCGTTCCGTCGTGATCACGGATCCCCGTCGCCCATGATGAGAAAGCCCAGGGGAATGCAGGCTGCGCCGACTTGTGTCGGTGCTAGAGGTGGCGGTGGAGATGATGTTCGTGATTCTGAAGAGGCGACCACGGAGGCCGAGTACGAGCCTTCCGAAGACGGTGCGCACGGGGAGGATGACGACGGGTACCAGGCGGACTGGGACTCTGTGGAGGAGGAGGAGGAGGAGGAGGAGACGGAGGTCGAAATCGAGCCTGCCGGAGAGCCTGCAACCGGAGGTGGTACCGAGGAGGATGGGGAGGAGGAGACCGAGGCCGAAGGCGGCCCTTCATTTGAGATTGTCTTGGAGGTACCGTTTCCTGTTGGTGATGAGACGGATACGGAGCCGCCGACCGTCATCATTGCCTTGACCGACACGGAGTAGTCCGAAGATTGAGACGGTCGTTCAAAAGGAATATATAGACATCCTGGGTTGGTTGATGGTATAGTTAAGACACTTCGGTTTGATTTTGAGAGTGATTGTCTCCCCGTCTCACTACATTATAGTCCCACTATGTGATTGTAGGCACTACAGTACCCCATTCCATGTCCACCCTCAACCCTGGCAGTCCTCCAGCCTGTCATCACACACACCACATTCAAGGTACATAACCCTTTCTTGATCGGCCGCCACGTCCTCATAGTGATCAATCTTGACTGCCATCAATTGAGAAGACTATACATCTAGGAGGATCGGTGTCAGACTGGGTATATGAGTTAAGTTGCCCATCTTAATTTCAGCCCCCCAAAGGTAGGAGTGGTAGAGCGGTAGTAGCACAAGATCACCTTCCCGACTCGACGGAGGAACACATTTCGATTCAGAAATGGAGACAAGCTCCAAGAACCTCAAGGAGTAATTCCTCACAACCAGAATCGAGAAAGAGAAGGAGAAGAAGGACTTCCAGGGCTTTACGCCCGAGTACCTCCACACTCTGACACTGGAGGAGCTAGAGAAGTTTCGTGGCTGGATTGAGGAGGTGGAGAACCAGGCGCGCGCCTTCCAGTCTGTCGGTGGCTTGAGTGATGTTTCGCCAGAGAGCGTTGTCGTAACGGTTGATGTTGGGGTTCCTCGTCCGTGATCGCGCGAATTGAGTCAGCAAGTCAAGCGCTTGGTCGGTGCTTTCCAGGTTCCGATCATGATTATAGTGCCAGCTCACGAATGGGCCGAGCACGTTTGGGTGTTTCCTGATGAGCTTGACCAGTTCTTCGGTTCCCATCCAAGCGCCGCAAGGTCTAAGCCGGACAAGCATCTTGAATGCTCCCTCAAGGCTCTGTAGGTTCCGGTCGTGATTAAAGTGCCACGACACGAATGCTTCAAGGGTGTCTGGATCGTCTACCTTGACAATCACAAATGATACCTTCAAGTTGTCCGCCAAAACGGCCAGTGCGGACCCCGATGACGGTGAGATTGAGGCTTTCAACTCGATCATCGATCACAAAGAACCGGCCAAAGAAGCATGGCCGGGGGCAGGGGTGGCCGTCATGATGGTAGCCATGGTGGTGACGCTGGTCGCCAATGGTAGACTCGTCATGATCTTTCAGCAACAGCATGAATCCGTATAGGTCTCTGGGTCTCTGAGGGGTAGTCCACCATTGTTATCCTGGAGACCGGCCATGGGGGAGGGTTGCCGTTTCGCGCTCTCGAGACGTGCTTTTTTCACAGTTGTGCCACTTTGATAACGCTGTTTCGAAACGAGGGGCTTGATGGATTTTGTGAAGTCAACTTCAACCGCGCGACCAACATCAACGCTGGCACTACACTAAGAACGGGCGCTATTCCGATCCGGCCTGCAGCTTCTGTGCAGATGGGGAAGACGGGATGCATCACGTCAAGCAAAGCTGGTAGCGGTGTTTGTGGCAACTGCCACTACAATTTCGAGGGAACGCGCTGCGATCAAGACGGCAACCATCGGTTACAATGGACTTCCGTGAACCACCTCAGAGCTCTTTAGGCCGACGTGTCTTCGTAAGGAGGTGATTTCCCCTCCTTCGTCACATCTGCAAGTGTGCCGGACTTGGCTGAGCCGCTGAAGAGAGACTGCGGTTGAAGGTAGTCGTTACCAGGAGGAGGGGGAGGCTGAAACCAAGGCCGATGTCTGGCCTGATGGTGAAAAATTTCCCTGCGTTGGCACACTGAACGATTTATATGGAGGTACCGTCCGGATTTGATGGCGAGACAGAGATCGCACAAGTGCTCTTCTAACAACAGGTTAGTGCTTTGCAAATGACCATGAACAAGCGATGTTAGAAGACGGTACTCACTGATGCTTTCTTCCTTGCAATGTGCAGGGCCTGCAGGCATGGCAGCCTCAGCTCGGCTTGTCGGCGCTTTGTAAAGACCGTCAAGAATATCAAGCCATTGAAGATGAAGTCAGATACAAGTCAGAGATGCGCTGACTCGGGCATACTGCACGCCATCAAGGCAAGCAATGTCGACTGCATGCATCGTTGGGGTTGTTCAACTAAACTTTGACCCGTCATCATCCGTGTCATCAGGCCATCAGTTCGTACGGCAATGAGAAGTTGAGTGCATATCGACAAGTGGAAAACAACAGGCTAGCAGCCCGTCAGGGGGGTGCCTGCCGCTCCGGGGTGCATACCCCAACACGCTAGGTAGGCCGACCGCTCCCCACTTCCTTGGACCTCGGCAGGCGGTATCGGATCCCCGCACTCTCCCAGCCGGGAAGTCACCTCGGCGGGTGAACCGAACTGTCGTGGGAAACATCTCAACCATCTATATATAGACAAACCAAGCTCCCAGTTCCTGAGGTTTGAGCTTCCAAACCACCAATTGAGTCCATTGGACATACACACCTCACACGCCCAAGCACGTACACCACACATCACACCCATCCATCACCATGTCCGGCCCTGGCGTTGGTTTTGAGTATCCCCGGAAGGAAGTCAGCTGGAATAAGCGTGACGCCCTGCTGTTTGCCAACTCAATCGGCTGCACGGCGAACGAGCTGCACTTCCTCTATGTAAGACTTCACCAACCTGGTCCCCGGTCCATGTCTGGTCAAATACTGACATGACACACCCTCCAGGAGCTCGATCCCAACTTTTCCGTCTTCCCTACCTACCCCGTGATTCTCAGTACGCCTTCTCCGTACCATTCAGCCACCGCGCACACAGAAAAGAAAAAGCCCTGTTCCACTAACATACTTACCCACATCGCAAAGCCTTCAAGGGCACCAACCAAGACGTAATCGACTTCTACGCAGCCGAAAAATCCGTCACCATCCCCGGGGTGCCCGTGTTCGACTCGAAGCGGGTAGTAGACGGGCAGCGACTACTCCAATCATTCAAGCCGATCCCCCCGACCTCGGCGGGCCGCAAATTCGAGGTACGCACCAAGGTGCTCGGCGTGTACGACAAGGGACGGCCGGGCACCGTGGTGGAGACGCAGTCGGACCTGGTCGACGCCGGGTCGGGCGACGTCTACTCGCGTGTCATCTCGTCGTCGTTCTACGTGGCCCAGGGCAACTGGGGCGGGCCCAAGGGTCCTGCTACTGTCAATTTCCCCGCCCCGAAAGACCGCAAGCCCGACGTGGTGTTTGAGAACCAGACTACTGCCGAGACGCCGCTGCTGCATCGGCTGAATGGGGATTACAATCCGCTTCATGCTCACCCGGAGCCTGGTGAGAAGATGGGCTTTGGGGGGGTTATTATCCATGGTCTCTACTCGTGGAACTGGGCCTGTCACGGCCTGCTGCAGCACCTTGGCGGCAGTGACCCGGCCAATCTCAAGGAGTATCAGGCTAGGTTTGCCAGCCCCGTGCGGCCGGGCGACAAGCTGGTTGCGTCGGCCTGGAGGACGGGGCAGTACCAGGGCGAGTGGGAGGAGATCCGGTTCGAGGTGCATGTGGCTGGTGGCAAGGTGTGCTTGAACAATGGCAGGGCGCTGATGAAGTGCGTTGGGCCAGCCAAGGGGAAGTTGTAAGAAGAACCGGATGTTTGCTGTCAGTGATTGTATTATACAAATAAAATGAAGAGAGCCGCAGCCTTTGCCTGGGAGAAGTGTTGCAGTCAACTGTTGGCAGTACACTGGACCGACAGTGCGTCCTTTTGTTGTGAGGGAAATGACAACGGTGCTTGGATCACCTCTATTGCGCTTCGTACATACAAGTACAGTAGTTCTACAACAGGCTGAGCCCATGCGCCTATTCCCCTATTTGATTGTGCGACTTCGTCTTCTTGCACCCAGCCGGCTGCTTCTTGATCAGGGTCAGCTGATCCCCAACAACGCCGTCGCCACGGATGAAAGTCCAGGTCAGCGTCGTGGCATTATGCACCGTGACCTTGCTGAAGCCAAAGTGCTTCTGGTCCAGCACGGCCGTGATATTGAGGATCTTGCTTCCGTCGAGCGTACTGTGGCTCTCAATGTTGCCGGCCATACCGTTGACGATGTGCGTCATGGACGTGCCCGTGTTGGCCAGGTAGGTGTGCTTATCAACAACGGCTGAGCGGTCGACGGTGCCGTTGGCGCCCATGGGCCACAGCCGCTCGTACCAGTGGATGTGGCCCGACAGGTACGCGTCCACGCCGTACCGCAGCATCAAGCCCTCGAAGGCGGCCCGCACTTTGGCCTGGTAGCTCGACACTTGCGAGCTGTACATGGGCCGGTGGCTCATGGCGATGACCCAGGGCGTCTTCTTGCGGTCCACGCTCGCGAGGTCCGCCTCGAGCCACTTGTACTGCTGGTAGGCCTTGTTGTCGTTGACGCGCCCGCCCTCGATGGCGCCAAACGGCCCGCTGTCCGTCACAAACGTCTCGTCCGGTGTAGGGTGCGTCTCGTTGCCCTTGACGTCCCGCGCAAACGGCCACTCGGGGCTGCCCGCGAAGTCGGTTTCGCCGTCAATGGCGACAAAGTGCGCGAGCCCGTAGTCGAACGAGTACCAGAAGTTGCCTACGCCGCCCGTCTCGGCGCCCGGCATCCGGAAGCGGTGCTGGAAGGCAGTGAAGTTTCTGATTGTTTGTGTTAGAAGAACGGGGATTTGTCTATGGAGATTTAGGAATCAGGCCAGAAAAAAAGGACTTACCGCTGCGAGGGCGGGCAGCTGTAGTACGTCAGGTTCGACTTGGGCACCGTGGTATTCTTCTCGTTGTCATTGAGATAGGCCGTCAGCACGTTACCGGGGCCATCAAACTCGGCGCAGGTTGCCTCGTGGTTGCCAGGCAGGACCATGTAGGGCACATGCTTGGTGATATTGTTCATCCACTGCTGCCACAGGTCCCAGTTTGATTCGTAGAGCACCGCCATGTCGCCTCCCTGAGGACCACCTTGGTTGGCGTTCTCCCCATCCGGGACAGGGACCTTGTACTCGTCTGGGATGGGCCCGCCGCCCGGGAGACGGGTAGAAGTGCCGTTGTAGCACACGGGCCAGTTGTCCTCGCAGGGGAGGATGCCAGAATACCAGTCATCAGCATACGAAATGTCACCGCCGTGCCATGCAAATGCGACATCGTTGTGGGCCGCATCAAGGAGCTGCTTGTAAGTGCCACCGGCATTGGTATAGCCCATGTCATTCAGTACCGCCATACTGAACGGAGTTGAGTCGCCTGCAGCGTGGGCCGTCTTGAAACTCAGCACATCAGAGGCGGTCGTGCCATTTGCCGCCTGGATCTGGTAGTAGTACGTGGTATCAGGCTTCAGACCGTGGAGCTGGACCTCGTGAAAGAACTGGCTGCACTGGGTCACCACCACCTCGGAGCAGGGCGGTGTGCGGTCGTAGCTTATTACACGGTGCCAAGTCAGCACATGGTTGTCTCATCTCATCTTACTTGGGGACCTCATGGGCCGACATACGTGTGGCTGGTGCCGGTGGCCTTCTTGTTCAGCTTGCCCGGACTGGAACCATAATGTACGCTCGGGGCTACGCCCAAGCCAAAGGGGGTCTGGAAGTGAATGTTGATGCCCTTGGGGAGGTACGACAGGGAGATGACGTTGATGTTGTTCTTGGGGTTTGCTGTTGCAGGCTTGACGGCAGGGGGCTCGACGAGGCGGGGGAAGCCCTCTCCGTTGCCATTGACAGTCGAGTCAACCCAGTCGCCCACAGGCACATCAGGCCCGGTGTATGGGTACGCCGTGTCGACTGTTGGCAGCGCGACTCCGGGATTCCCCCCGAGCGCCAGCAACAGGGTCGTGGCCGAGGCGATAGCGGACTTCATTGCTCCCACTAAGGCACGCTACCTGACTTGGAGAGTAACCCGGCTGTGGGAGGAAAGAGAGCAGGGGCAGACATCAAGCCGAGAGGTGAGCAGGAAGGGGTCGGTCCATTATATTCTCTTTCCAATGCCTTTCGCTAACCGTCCCCCCCGGCCTTGATTCGCCCTGATGATGCTTCCGATTGCTTCTTCGACCAGCGTGCCATTGGAACAATTTCTAGGCCCACATCCCATGTCCCGTAGCTTCTTTTAGTGGTTCAACCACTACACGTGTGAAATAAGAGATCCGCATCCGAGAGTGCCGACTGTTGAATGTTGATAAGTAGCTCAGTTCGATGAGTGTCGGTCCCTGGAAGAGATCCGCATCCCCTGTGCCTGTCGCTGTTACCGTCCAATTATGCGCCAAGAGATAGCACGTGCGGGGCGCAAAGCTTGTTGACCTGCCAAGAACAGTTACCGAAAGAAGTTCAAGGGGTGGGGTTGATGCATCTTGGAGATTCTCAGGAGTTGGAAGTTTTTCCTTGAAGGACAAGGCATCTTTCCATTGAATCTAAGTGATGTTGAACTGTTGATAACTTGATACATCAGAGTTTACGGGCAGTCAGTTTGCTATACATATTTAGTACTTCTCCCTTGGCTCAACGTCACCATATTGTATTTCAATTCAGGTCCTCGTACGGAGGACTGAAGCTATCTATCTCTTTGCTAACGTTAGCCGTTCTGTAGCGATGCTCAGCAGTCCACTGTTCTACAACTCAGGACCTGCGGAGCATATCATAGCGTTGCTCATCCATAATGATGGAGGAATAGTCATAACTTCCTCTCTGTCTTCCAGTTTTTGATTTATTATCCCTTCTGTATTGAGCTTCGTATTTTCCTAAGTAATCAACCAAGGTACTTATTATGTGCAATATTCGGTTGGTTGGTTGTTCTGTCACTCTGCTGCCTGTTGGGTCAATCATGCTCGCCATTTTCGAACTCTCACACTGCACTTAGTGAAAAGAAGAATGTCCCACCCAGGTTCTTGAGAAGACCTGTGGTTTTACGTTCCCAGAGATGTCGCCCACTGCCACAATCGGCCAGCGAAGGTCATATGACGGCGCTCTATGCACGGTGAGGTACATTGGCGAAGTTGTGGGTACCACGGGCACATGGCTCGGAGTCGAATGGGATGACGCTTCGCGCGGCAAACACGACGGCCAACACAAGGGCGCCCGATATTTTTCATGTAGCGTCCCCAAGACTCAAGCATGTCCTGTCTCTGGTTGCAGCCGTCTGATATTTTGCAGGCAAATCTAAGTCCCCGACAGCTGCGTCCTTCGTCCGTCCAACACGCCCAGCCGATCCGCCCAAGACCTTCCTATCGGCGTTGCAACTCAAGTATGTCTCTGACCCGAGCACCGACCAAAACCTGCCAAAGAAGATCATCTTCTCCGGCAAGGTTGCCGAAGAGGTTGGGTTCGACAAGGTCAGCCGCAAGCAGGCTCAACTGGGCGAGCTGCAGTTCGTCATTCTGGACGACTTCCAGGTCGCCTATGCCTCGCATCCTGATGGTGTCCGGGAGGGCGCGGAGGATGGCCAACAATCTATCGGCCAGGTTTGCCCCAAAGTCAGGGAGTTGGACCTAAGCAGGAACTTGTTTGAGCGGTTTGGCACCGTGGCTGAGATTTGCTCTGAGCTCCGCTCGCTGAGGAGCCTGCGCGTGAAGTATGCCTCGCTGCGTCTATGCCTCGAATCTTGCTTCTTCAACGCTAACATAGTGATTCCTAAAGCGGAAACCGGTTCCAACATGTCCTGGAAGATGAAATCCTGGAATCGGCAGGCGATGCCTTCGCTGGCGTAGCAGAGCTTGCCCTGGAGGATACTCTTCTCGACTGGACAGAGATATGCCACATCACCGCAAGGTTTCCGTCCTTGGCCTCGCTTCATGCTGGCTCAAACCAGCTGCAGACCCTCACACCGACTTCAGCCACTGCTTTCACGTCGAACTTGGTGTCTTTGTACCTCGAATTCAACGACTTCTCCTCCCTCACCGACATTGCCCCTCTGTCCGCCATCTCAAGTCTTCGCAACCTCCTCCTTAAGGGAAACCGGATTGCAAACATTTCTCCTCCTTCCTCCTCAGTAGCTGCCCCGGTGTTTGGAACTAAACTTCATTATCTCGACATCTCCTACAACCAAGTCTCATCATGGTCCTTCGTGGATGCCCTTCGTCACTGCTTCCCGGGGCTCACCTCTCTACGATTTACCCACAATCCCATCTACGACAGTCCTGATCTCGACAACAAGGATGCCTCTACGCCCTCTCAGCAGTCCAAGGGCGTAACCAAAACTGACGAGGCATACATGCTCCTGGTTGCCCGAATGCCGGCCCTCACATCTCTCAACTTTAGTAACATCACCACGGCAGACCGTGCCGACGCCGAGATGTTCTACCTGTCCCGGATTGCTAGGCAGCTAGCAGCGGTGCCCGAGAGCGCCGAGGGCGAAGTGCTGGCGCGTCACCCCCGGTGGGCCGAGCTGTGCGAGCAGTACGGCGAGCCCGCCGTGGTGCGCCAGCGGGAGCTGAACCCGATGTTCCTCGAAGCCAGACTCATCAACGTGGAGTTTTACTTTCCTGGAGCAGGGCAGGCTGGTGCAGCGTCGGACGGAGAGGCAGCGGAAAAGAAGAGAGTGGTCCAGATTCCCAAGTCGTTTGACATTTATGCGGTCAAGGGCATTGTGGGCAAGCTGTTTGGCCTGTCTCCTCTGAAGCTGCGGTTGATATGGGAAACGGGCGAATGGGATCCTGTAGCTGGCTTTGATGAGGTCGAAGACAGCAGTGACGAGGAACAGCTCGAGGCTGAGTGGGAACGGAGAGAGGAAATGGGTGCGCCGCCCACCGATGCTCCGCATCTTGCGAGTAAGGGAGGGCGTTGGGTCAAGCGTGAGGTTGAGTTGAAAGACGGGCCTCGGCAGCTTGGATACTGTGTGGATGGACTTGAGGCTAGAGTCAGAGTCGAGAGGCGATGAGTTTCCTAGTGCCGCTACAAGCAGGAGCAATCAGTGCTTGGCAATCATGATTGTCGGTGTCCCAGGTTTGACAAGCTGTATTGTTTGTTCTGCCAACCAGAGGGGGAACGCAAACCATTATGAGTTTCGTCAACAGCTCTGGATACAAAGCTGGGTTCCGGCCTGGGATTTGAGTATGTGTCCCCTTGCCCCTTCTATTTTCGCCCGAGTATAAGTAATGCCCTTTGACCATATTGTTCCATCACGACTCTGGAACCTTCAAACAACAGATCAGTAGGCCATCATCATAACCGGCCATGGCTCCTCACCCTCAATTCTTCGTTGTCAGACCCGACATTAATAGAGAAACCAGCCAGGGGCAAGCTCACGCAATCCCAGGCCCGATCGTGCCCGTAATTGCGGTCGATGAGCTACCGGAATGGCTCGACATCGTGGGAGTCCCACGGGAGCTCTCTGTTGAGCAGACCATAGGCCTATACAACCTGGGTACTGCCAGTAAGAGCAAGGGTTCCTACACCGTCAGAATCATTCGGCAGACTCAGTTTGATACCAAGCCCTCGTTGGCGGCGGCAGAAACGGCTGCGGCGGTTGAGGTTCATTCGGCGCCAGCGGAAGCACGCGGACAACAAGGAGGCATCTCCCACCTTCCAACTCCCCCAGCTCCTGAAGCCCGCATCGTATCACCGCCACGTATCGACTCGGCAGCAGCACCGGCAGCGTCAGCTCCCACAGCACATCCAGCCGAGCGGGTGAAAGCCCACTGGAGTAAAGCCCCCAGCCACAGCATGCGCAAGGGCATCAGCAGCGACGATGATAACCACCATCACCGCAACGGCCCTACCGCTACTACTCGCACCTCCAGAGACAACGACGACAACTTGAATACAACCCCATATGCAACTACCCCCTCTCCGTCTCCGTCTCCGTCCATGCTTTCCCCCGCTGCTCAAGGTCAAACACTCACCCACCGTGACCCACAACCACTGCGCAAACCCGCCACAGCCACAACCACCCTCACCACCTCCACCATCACGACCGCTCCGACAAAGTCCCCAACCAAGCACTGCCGCCACTGGCGCAACTACGGCGTCTGCAAATGGGGCCTGCAATGCCGGTACCTACACACCATGCCGCCCACCCCCACCCTCACCCCTACGGCGGAAGCGGAGAAGCTGGGGCCGGCGGATGTGGATGTGGATGTGGATGTGGATGTGGATCTGGATGTGGATGTGGATGTGGATCTGGATGTGGATGTGGATGTGCCTAGCTGGTGGGCGCGGCTTATGATGAGCGACGCCGCCGCGGCTCCTGCTAGTGGTAGTAGTAGTGGCTTCCCTCCTTCCTCCAGCTCTGCTTCTGCTGACCATGACACCGCCATCAACTCTATCACCAGCAGTAGCAGCGGTTTGAACAGAACTGATGGTAATGGTAATCCGGTCTTTGACACGGACACGAGGGGAGACGTCAGGTGTGCGGAGGCGGCGCAGCAGCAGCAGCAGCAGCAGCAGCAGGGGGGTGTGATGGAGATGGGCATCTCGAAGGGGGTGGGAGCCAGTGGTAGTGGTGCTGGTGCTGGTGCTGGTGCTGGTGCTGGTGCTGGTGCTGGTGCTGGTGCTGGTGCTGGTGCTGGTGCTGGTGCTGGTGCTGCTTCTCGGGGTAGTGGAAGTGGAAGTGGAAGTGCAAGTGGAACCGCAATTGGAAAGAAAGAGTCTCAGCGGGTGCGGGAGGCTGCTGTTGCGATGCTGCGCGAGATGGGGTTGGGGCCATTGATGCCGCCGGGCGGCTTGCATACTAGTACCGGGCAGTACTACCACCACCATCACCATCAGCAGCAGCAGCAGCCGCACGGCAGGCAGCAGCGGTACCATCACAATCACCACAACCACCACCACCACCAACGACAACGACAACCACAACCACAACAGCAGAGGAGTGGCAAATCAGTGCCGCGCAGGGCGCGAGAGAAGGAGATGACACCCTTGTGTAAGGGGGTCGTTGGGCGGGTAGGGAATGGGCTGGGAAAGGACAAGGTGGTGAGCGGAACGGCTGTTAGGAATGCTGCTGCCGGTGGCTGTGGCGGTGCTGATCTGGTACAAGCGGCCGGGGCAACTCAGATGGTGGGTGCCATGGCGGCGGTTGAGGAGGGGTGCGCGCAGCTGGCGGTTCAGGAGGAAAGGGCTCGGATACGAAGGGGTGCGATGGCTGCCGTGCGGAACGATGCAGTTGCTAGGAAGATTGAGAAACTCGTTGATATTTAAGTCGTTGCCAGGCTAGGACAACCTCCATGGGGTTAGGGGAAATGGGCCCCCGTTTTGCTTTACGGAGGGAATACCAGCTTACCTGGCTTCCAATATCCGAGATAGAAGTCATAAGGGAATGATATGTCGTCCTTTATTGTTCCTTTCGGCTACGGGTCGGGCAAACTGTTGGCCCAGGGTATCTTTACCCCTATTGCCCGGAAATATCTGAAAATAACACATTTGGCGAAAGCCAAAGCTGGCTGAAAATGACAAACGAGAGGTCCGTTCAAAGCCATACCAGATTGTATCCCATCACGCAACGCCGGTCCACCACATAGACAACGAATGATGCTAGGAGCGCCTTCTGGCGCGATCGCACTCCTCCAGAAACCGGTAAATGCCCTCAAGTCCCTCAAAATCCTCAGAACAATGCTCCCCCGAGCTGGTCAAAACCGGCGGCGACATGCTCTCATATCCCTCCTCGTGCTCGTCCTCAGACAACAGCCAAGGGTTCTCCGCAACCTCGTCCGCGAAAAATGCCTCGTCAACATCTGACGTCGACGACCCGGAATCGCGCGACCTGAGCGAGCCACCAGGCGAGGTAATCGTGTGTTCTCGGCTCGCGTCCGGCGCAAACGGGAAGCGCAGCGCGACAGCCACCCCTGCGCTGGCATCAAAATCGGGATCCTGCCCGACGACGCCCCGCTTGACCCCCACATCGTCGCAGAGCCGCTCGACTGTCTCCGCATCCAGACCCGGGAAGCGCACCCGCAACACCCCGTCCTTCTCCAGCCGAACCGGCATGTCACCCAGCCCAGCCAGACACTTCAGATCCGTCATGACAGCCGCGAGATCCTTGAGCGCGCGCGCAAAATCGACAGACAGCACGTCGAGGAAACCCTCTGCATGGAGCGTAGCAGCCTCCTGGTCGGCCACCTTCACAGCACCCTTGCCACCCAGCGGACTAAGCGCGGTGAGGGTAGGGCTGACGCGGAAATCGACAAAGGCACCCGGGGAGGAAACTCTGCGCGGGAATGCTGCCGCGGCTTCCATACGGAGACGGGCCTCCTCCTGGAGCGCGCTCACGGCGCGGTAGCGCCTCTCGCCGTCCGGGCCGATGCCGTCATACCGCATGCGCTGGCCCGACAGCCAAAATGCGCGCATCGCCTGGCTGACGTTCTGCACCACCTGCGCGGGGGACGCGGGGGTGTGGCTGAAATAGCGGGCTCCGCCGACCCGTCCGGACCCCGGGAGGAGTGCGTACCCCCCTGCCGTGCGGGGGAGGGCGCCGCCTGTCAGGTTGGGCCGGAGCGTTGAGGCGAAGGGCGCACGTCCTGTGAGTTGGGAGACGAGGCGCGAGGTGTTGGAGATGGGGAACTTGGAGCGGTCGAAGCGGGGTTGCGCGGAGGAGGAGTTGTTGGTTCCGCTGCTGAGGAAGCGCCGGATGGCGGCGTTGAGGTTGGCTGAGGAGGAGTACCATTTGACCCCGCCGGCGCGCTTTTGCTGGCGAAGCCAGGCTGCGGGATGGATGGGCTGGCGACCGTTGTGGGCGGCGCGGACAGGGACGGGTTGGAGTTTGGCGGCATGCGGAGCGCGGGTGGCGGCTGCGAGTTTGGAGCGCAGCATCTTGGCGGCGACCTTCAAGTTGGTGCTCTTGACCAGGTGCTGGCCCATGAAACGAAGGGCGGCAGTCGCCCAAGTCCCCCCTGTGGGAGGCATGGTGTTGAGCAATTCGGTAGTCTTACTGCCCGAAAGGCCTCGTGGATGTAAAGAGGAAGGAAGGGAAGGGAGGACTCGGGTGCATCGGGATCTCATAGTGGTTGACTTATCGATATGATTGTCGCCACCGGATCTTGCAGTGTGCCACGCAAGCCTGCAGTGGCAGGTGCCAAGAAGGCTGAAGTTCCCCGGATTTATCAACCACCTGATAAGATAAAGAGAATATATCTTAAATCAGTATAAGCGCCTACGAATAACATTATTCAGAGGCAGTCCCATGGATAAATCGATATGCATTTAAGCAGCTGGCTGGTGTGTTATCTTATCGCTGCTCCACAACATCGGGCGCTTTTAATCCCCAAATTTTTCCCAAGCTCCCACAAGCTTCTTCCTCTCCATGCCCAAACGGTAAAAGTTTGTCGACAAGGTGAGCACTACTTCCATCTCTTCCAGCTGCACAGCGCAACGCTCCTGTGATGATTATCGATCAATCCAACTCTTACCAGCCCGTGGGGACTACAATTACTCTAGAATTACCCTGAGAGCATACCAACCAATCGACTTGCCCGGGCTTTGTTTTTCAGGCTGTCGCTAACATGGTATTTGCAGTGTCGAACGAGCTTGGTATGACTGTGGTCGTGCCCTTTTCAAGGGCCATTACTCAGTAACTTTCATTCAAGGTTAGTTGGCTACTGTTTTCTTCGTCCATGCAACTTCCCCTCCCAAGTGATGAACAAAAGACAAATATAGGGAATTCCTCATGCCGAATATACTATGTGGAATCATTAGTTTCAGCCTTGTCTGACTGGCTCTGTTACCTCCCGGTTGTTGATTTCTGATGTCTGCCTTACGCAGTTTCGCTAACTCTCAACCATCCAGGTATGCTCATGCTTCCCGCACAAACTTGCCAGCACCATGACGAAGTTTTGAACGAACGGGCGGACATAAGCGAAGCCTCTTCGTCCCCTCTCATCAAAAACAGGGCTGTACACCCTGTGAGAGGGGCTCGAAGAGGAATTCTTGCTGAGAATTCGTCAGCTGATCGTGCCCTCGTCAACCAATTACTTGTGCACTTCATGGAACCGAGTTTGGACTGACATTGTTCCGTAGGTAAATATCTCCCATCAGGTGCTACGTTCATGTCCCAGATCACAATGATGATCCGTTATTCACACTGTTTGATCCGCCCTTTGGGTTGGAAATGAACAATCTTACAAAAATCTGATTTAATGAGGTATGACTTCTCTTGGCTTTGTCGATAACTTGGTGCTGATTCGGATTTGCAGCCTGAACTTGATCTTCCACACCGATGTGCTGTTATAGCAAGACTTCATATCACTTTGCTAATTAGCTCGTTGGCCAGGTATCTGATGGAGTTTAGCACGATCTCCCCTAGACGAACTGTAAGTATTTGGCCTCCCTTGCCTTTTCTCATGCCTTCCGGATGATATCTCTTTCCTGCATTTTAAACTGAGTTCATCGTGACGAGACATCTTCCTTCACCTTGGAGAACTGATGAAGTGTCTTCACATCGGTTGCACAAAACCTCTGTCTGGATGAAGCTAACTGGTGCTATTTAGATACTGGTTGCTGCCAGTTGGTATACGATGACGGTCTAGTCTAGTCTAAGTTCTATAGATACTCGAATACATGAATGCTACACTTCACCCGACTCTATTTCCAGTGATATATGGGACTGAGCAGCTGCACCTATTGCCGTAGCAGTAACCTTGCGTTCCAACCCACAATGCACCGGATCAGACCCCAATCTCCATTATTACCTACCCAATCCGTCACCACGATGCCGGTTGCTGCGTCCCCAACCGTCAGCTGCCCAGGTCCCTTGCCGGGTGCCCCATGCTCCATGCACAAGTACTCGACAATAGAAGGGTTGATCTTGACGGCGATCCGGTCCGGCCAGCAGCTGGCATTGAAAAAGCTGCTTGCGCTCAGAAAATTGATGTAGAGCGGCGCCGGACCCTTTTCAACCCCCCTTTCACCTCCAACCTTGCCATCACCCCCTTCCCCTACACCCGTACTACTACTAGTGACCATCACCCCGGACGGATCCTGCAAGGGAGGATGATGATGATGATGATGATGATGCACCACCTGTGCCGCCCGTTGCAGCCCCTCCTGCACGTACTGCACCTTGCGCCGCATCCCGTCGCCGTTGATGACGCCGTAGTAGTCCTGGATGCGCACCATGCCGCTCCCGCACATGCCGTCGGCCACGTTATCCGGCCAGACGGACGCGTCGATGCCCAACTCGGAGTCCTTGTCCTTGTCCTTCGAGTTGGGGAGGTGGAAGCGCCGGACCAGGACGATGCGCCCGCGGCACTCGGCCAGCGTGGGGATTTTCGCGGCAGTGTACCAGGTAGATGGTGTGATGTAGTGCTGCGTCAGGATCCGGGCCAGGTCGGCGTCGGATCCCCGGCCCGTGCCCTCCCGCTTGAGGGAGAGCAGGATTGTTTCCGATGGGTGGGTTGTTAGAAAAGTGTAGACCGTCTCGAGGAGTGTGCTAAGGTGTTTGGGGCCTGTAAGGGACACGGGGAAGGCCGAGTGGACCAGCGCCAGTTCGGGGGGGGGACTACTACTGGTACTGGAAGGGGAGGAGGAGGAGGGCTTGTAGACGGGGCAGGAGACGCGGACGTCGAGGAAGCGCACGCCATTGTGCAGCTGCTCGAGGACGGGCACGGCCTGGCAGCGGACTGACGGGAGAGCGACGTGGTGGGTGGGCGAGTTGTGGGTGCCTGGGATGGAGAGGGACGAGAGCGCGAGGTGGTCTGGGAGGGTCGACATCCAGGAGGACAAGTTGGCAGAGCTGAAGAGGGCGAGGTGCGAGTGAGAGGAGAGATAGATGGCGGCGAATTCCTTGGTTTCTGCTTCTGCATCGTTTGCGTCGTTTAGATCTGTGGAAGGGGCACGGATGGGGTTGAGGACTATGCTCCGCGGTGACGAGCTCGGGATGTCGGCGGTGTAGCGGTGTTTGGTGCTGCTGTCTTCGAAGGTCAGGCGAATCTGCTCATGATGGCGGGTTGGATCCAGCGGGTAAAAGGGGGCGTGGTATTCCGAAAAGGGAGATATCACGGCGTCCGTGATGGTCTGCTTCGCTGATGACGGCTGCAGTTCCTCTTGCTCTCCTGGCCCGCTTGCCTCATGTGACTGCCGCTCCCCGGTGATACGGGATGTGATCTTGGACAAACGGTGCTCGTGGCCGAGACGCTCGACCAACTTGAGCTCTAAAGGGGTAATGGTCAGGTTGCGGATGGTGAGAGTCGGAGCAGCTGCCACTGACGGAGCGGCCGCAACTGGCCGAGAGAACACAAATCCCATGGCTTGCAGTTGGTGGGCAGGTGTTCCCTCTAATGTTTGAGCAAAAGGCCCCGTACACCTGCTTTGCACTGATTGCACGCTAGATTCATGATATGCCCAGATGCATGGTGGTTTACCAAATTACCAGTGCTCTCTACCTCGGGGCATACAAGGTATGCATTGGTGGCACGCAAAGTCGCAAACTCTAGAGGTACTTGGCAGGCAATTTCGGCCCATACGGTTCCTGATTGGGGGTTTTGGGGGTTAGCACAGCGGCTTGAAGGAATGAAAATGAGGTAACTGCGGGCTTATGATAGGAGGTCCAAGGGTCGATACCTTACTGAGCATGAGACGCATTGTGTCGAGAACTCGAGGGCAGTAAGAATAAAGAGGTCGAGGGTCTATCAATGAAGCCACATCAAATGCTTACATAATCGAGGCCACTCCCCGGACCTTTTAGGGGCTGTCCAAGAGGTAACGTTATGTACTGTACAGACATAATCAAGGTTCAAGGTAGGCATGTACGCAACACAAACATCATCAGAATTAGAATCTCTGTTCATCTATCTCCTTGAAGCACATGGACACTGGATGGAGCGTGTGGTCGCTGGCGTATCCTATTTGAAACTAGCGGAGTCGGCTCGCTGACGCTCGCCCGTGGGTTTTTCAAGCCAACCACCGCCGACTGTATTATTTTCCTACCAACTACTCCGTACTTCGTATACAACTATGCAATTCTACAGTAACATATACCGTTCAAGATATTCAACGCTTACTATTCAGGATATCCAACGCTTACCGTTTTGAATATCCTCCAACACTTACCGTTTAGGATATCCAACGCTTACCGTTCAGGATATCCAACGCTTACCGTTTAGGATATCCAACGTTTACCGTTCAAGATCAGGGTTCTGCTAAGGTTTTTATTTAACCAATTAATATCTTTGAAATGCACTAATAGCGACAGGGTACATAAGCGTTAGAGGTTTTGCAGGGAAATGGGCTTATTCCTTAAGAAATTGTTAAGGATGGTCTGTGTTCTACAGCCAATTTACGGGTGTTTAGCTTAACAAAATACCCGTGTTTTTGAAAGCCAGTTTGTAGTTGAACGTTCTGACTGTGTGAATGCTGGCGAGGTTGGCCCGTCCGCAGAATTCAGATCCCATCACAATATACTTACTTCTCGGCGTCTCGCAACTGACCGACAACGAGACCGCCTAAAATATGCGCCTCTATTCCCGTTGTTGATGTGCTCAACACTCACCCCTGAGATATCACCATGATTCATAACGGAACTATTGACAGAAACATAGCCTCTCATAGACTTGTTCAGACTCCAGAGCATTACTCCGTTCCAGATTATCTCCCGGAAACGAGACGGTTCACTCCAGTTAGCGATCATACTTATCACCGTGGACAGGATTACTTAGAGACGAACCAGAGAGCATCTAGGGAGTTATTAGTTTGTTTATTGAATAAACAACATGCTTGCAGTCATCCGTACATATCAGATAGATATAAATCGCATCGACAACTGGTCGTGTTGATCCCAGCAGAACCTGTGAAGATCACAGAGATGGTCAGAACCATGACTCTTCAGCAGGCTCTCGGCCTCAACATCCCGGCAGCGGGCATTGACAGCCTTCACTCGGGCAATCAAGTGGAGAGGCATGGATACCTATTGAGCACGGTTGGCCCGTCTCAATCATAAGCAAGCCGAGGCCGTCCCCGATTAACCAGGCCAATACGATTCCGGTTCGTCAATTGCTCCCATCATTTTGGGACGCTGAAGGGCCTAGAGAGATACCAAACCGAGGTTGGAGAACTGTTTGGTGGCTTGGCCGGCTTCCGCTCGAACCTTGGGGGAAAGCACTGCACACCATTTCCGCGCCAGCAGTCTGGTCCTGCGCGCAAGTTAATTCTGGGGACGCGGCATCCTTAATCATCTTGTCGCCTGTATTGAGACGGGACAAAAAGGTTTAAATGAATGGAGCACCACTCGGGTCCGAACTGCGTTGATAGCTGCCGTCAATACCTGGGCGGCTGGGCCAAGGTACGACTGAGCAACGAGCTCTACATGCCGTGGCTGCTGAACAAAGTCCTGGTATCTGGTAACGCCGTGGTCCGGGTCGGAGATCAGGTATGTTAGTCGGACGTCCGTCAAGTTGTTATTACCCTTGGGTCGGAGTTTGCTGGATAAATTCAGGTGCCAATTTGAGGTTCTGAGATGGCATTGATCTCGGGGATGAGGGAGACCTCCAACCAACGGTAGGGCAACCGCGAGGAGAGAATGGACGGCCAAAAGATGTATAAATACGCCGTCGCCGTGGAGAGAGGGATGCCATTGACAAGTCTCAACAAGCCAAGAGAGCAGTCAAGTTGAAGCAGAGCCACCTGGACTTCACTGGGTCAACGAGCTGGACAACATGCGCTTTTCAACTCTCGCCTTCACCGCGTTCGCCAGCTCGGCGCTCGCGTTCCCCTCCATCGGGTCGCTCATCTCCCGCCAGGAGCCGACATGCATGACACGTGCCGAGGCCAAGGAGATAGTCGACATCTACGTCCGCCTCATCGCCAACTACAAGGAGGAGGACTGCATCAAGTACTGCGCCGAGGACTTTGTTGACCGCTCCGACAGCATAAACACCTTCACCTTCAAGCCCCTCGGCGGGCCCACGTTTGCAACCAAGCAGATCTTCATGGAGGCGCAGGCGGTCAACATGGCCTTCCCCGTTGTCCTCGACAGCATCGACGCCGTGGATTGCGAGTCCATCGCACTGCGATGGCACGCCACCTTTGGCGCAGCCAACCTGCCCAGCCGGGGCATCACCATCATCGGAACCACCAAGCGAGAGGGTTATTGGCAAATCAAGAGCATCGACGTCGAGTTCAACAGCCTGATCTGGCTGCTCAATATGGGAGGCAACTACACCTGGGAGCCTTAGGAAAATGTGGCCGCCTGGACGGCTGGCTTTGTTGTACAATGCAGAGAGGCTGACTCGAAGGGAAAATAAGGGGGGTGGTGGCGAGTCTGGCGACATGTGCTCTGTTCAGTTGCAACCAGGGAAGCCCAGCGGTTATTAAATGCAAAGAACTTGTGTGTGGATGCGAGCGTTAGCATCGTCTCATTGCTGAGAACCCTTCCTTGATTGTACGTTACCGAGTATGCACATGATATTACCCGGGGCCCGCTCAGACGTGTTAGTTGATGAAAGCATAACTGGTGTTTGACAAGATCGAGTGGCGGTGCCATAAGAGCCCAATCGTTGAGATACCTCTGTCAAAAGCGTTATTTATCTGCGAAAACAACTTGGGTCTCCTGGTTTATGTTGTCTGTACTCTGTGGTGTAAGACAGGTGCAACATGACCTTTGAAACGGCGCGTCTCTTCTCTTAAGGTCTTTTGTTGGTAAGACAGACGGACAGAATCATTCTGCCAGCGCTTCTTTAGCAGAACGGTAAGCCAATTTCGTGCTCGACCAATCGACGGGAATTCCGGGTGGGGCTGAAGGATTCAGGTCCAGGCGAGGCCAACCTGACTTCCAGGTAAAGCTAGTGTACTCCAACTTTACTCTGTGGTGTGGGAGACTTCAGAGAATGTGTGTGGGAGAGTTTGCGCCGATTGGGGGCTGAGGGCAGATGGCTTTTTCTTGTCCTTCACTAGCATCTGATCGTGGCTTTTTCAGCGCAAAGTCGGGAAGTTGTTCAGGCGCCATTCTGAAATCCCTAACCAGGAAACCTTTCATACCCCGTACATACACTGGCAATGCTTGATGATGAGAGAGTTGTGAGAGAATCCCACTCTGCGAGAAGGGTCCACAATTTGCCGCTTAATGGTGCCTGATTTTCGACCCACTATTTACCAAATCTGGATTCAAGCTTCGATGCCCCTGACAGTGTTCCCCTTCATTTCTCCGTAGCAGGGATTCGCCATCGCAGCCCGGAAGCGCACGATTCGAGGCCTTGTGGCCCCAAGGTCCGGGCTACCCCTTCAACGGCTGGTCGGCAACATGTGCTGCCAGGATACTGCCACTTCGGGGCACAACGCTGGCCAATGGGACGTTGTGTGTTCCACCAGTTGGGGGCAGGAAGCTAAAGAATCGAGGTGTGTGTGCCGTCTCATTTGCCCTGGGGCGTAGCAAAGAGACGCAGTCATGGGTCAGCCGTGTGTCCTGAGTAAAATATTATAGGAACCGGGCAGTGTCGCAACCGAAGGTGTCTTTCCCTTCTCTTCCATTTCTCTCCCACCTCACGCGCCAGCCTCTTCCGAATTGACGTGTGTCTGCTTCATCGTGGTTTGCCAGCCGCAGCCGCAGCCGTTCTTTACATCCATACCTATATAGTCGCTCTCTCGTCGAGCCCGACGTTTACATAAGTCCCTCATTTCACCTTAGTCGCTCTTTAGCAGATTATACTACAAGGAGAAGGAGAAGAAACAGAACAGAAAAGTCAAAATGAAGTTCGCCGTCGCAGCTCTCCTCGCTCTTTCGAGCACGGCTTTCGCCCAAACCCCGGGCTTCAATGTTCTCACCAAGCCTACGCAGGGGGAGGAGGTTCCCGCCGGATCGACATACGAGATCGAGTGGCAGCCGAACGCCGAATACCCTGGCGCCATCACGATCAGCCTGCTCGGTGGAGCCACCCTTGGGACCCTGGTGCCTCTTGACGACATCGCAAGTAAGTCAATGCGCGTGCCGATCGCTAAGATCTAGCCCACTAACCAGCATCAATAGCTGGCGTCGATGGCTCGACCGGCTCCTACAGCTGGGAGGTTGATGAGTCGCTCGGCGAATTCGCAACCTATGGCATCATGATCACGCTGGAGTCCGACGCTTCCGTCTTCCAGTACAGCTTCCCCTTCAAGATCGCCGGCGGTGACGGCGGGGATTCCTCCACGACCACCACTGGCACTGGCACTGCTACTGCCACTGAGATCTCGACTGGTTCGTTCGAGACTACGACGACGACTACCGCGGGCAACCAGACCTCGACGGACATCACCTCGACTTCTGCCAGCTCTACCATCACCTCGACCATTCGCGGAAACCTTTCCACCACGGCCACTGGCGGCGCGCAGACCACCATCACCAGCCTCGTCACCCAGCCGCGACCTACCCCTACCACCACCTCCACCACTAGCGTCGTGACCAACGGTGTTGCTTCCCTGGCCGCTGGCTCGTTTGCCATGCTCGGTGGCGTCGCCATGGCTGTGCTCGCCTTGTAAGGAAGTTACTAGGTTTCGGCGCTTTGTTTAGCTTGTTCGGGTCTTGTTTTCAATCCACGGGCGGACCGGTTTCTCTCTGTATGTGGAACGAGCATGAGCGCTGACATAATGGGATGAAGTACGGAGACAGGGTGGTAGTCTGTTGTGTCATAGGAGGAAGATGTCGAAGAAAACTGCTGTTCTGAGTTGAGATACCCTTGCTATCTCTCTGAATGCCTTGCCGAATGACGTGCATCTTTTACAGTGTTGTTTCCGCTTGCCGGGCGTTCCCGGGCTGGAATGAAGATTGGCGTTGCACAGTTTCGGATGGCTACCGAATTGCATGCTGTGCTATAACGGCCCACCACTGTCACTGTCAGGTCTTCAACGGTGCCTTAGGAGTTGCGATGGTCTGAGCGTAATATGAAGCCGTCCGATCATTTCAAATCTCACTGTTGTAGAAACGAAGTCGGCCGTAACTCAACCACAGGCTTCGGAGGCTCTCGTCCATGAGGCATAAGAACCTGTTGCAAACAGCGCCGGGCATCTTCCTCTCCATCTCAAGTTCGCTCTAGACGGGGATGTGGTTGAGCACAATTTCAGAGCCGTCCTGCTGCGGATGGAGCGAGTCTAGCAAGTTTAGCACACAGACCCAACTTCTCCAAATGATGCAACCCTCGTTCCATGTCCAGTGACTCCAGTCACAGACCACATTTTGAATCCAACTCTGGAAAGGGCCAAATGGAGGGATTCCCTGGCTGAACTGCCAGTCTTTTGCGGGTAGACTTGGGACTGAGGGAGCCAGTATGTAATACCAAGCAAGGAAGCTTTCGTGCATCTGCTCCTGGTTCGATTCTTGGGCCCAATTAACTTGGCTTCTGACAGGCAGAAGCTCTGTTTTGTTCCTTGCATATTGCATATCGCTGCCGCCCAAAATGCAGCTGTCTGACTGATGCGAGCACGGTCCATCACAGCACAGGCCTGCCCAGCGGCAGCGGTGAGAGGACGGCAATGATGAGTGACAAACGCGGGGCACTAACAGCGTTATCTTTACGGTACAGTGACTGCCTGCCTGCTGCAAGATTTGCAGGCAGATCAGGTCCCCGATACAAGGACCCTGGTCGCTGAACTGTCAACAACCCCTCCCCAGGGATGCCTGCCATTCGCGACCCACAAATCTCCACGCCGGGCAAGCAACACAGAACTCGCTCACCTCTCCGCAAATTTCACGGACCGACCAACCTTCCTCCCTCCGTCTGCTGCGATCCTCCGCGCTGCGCGCTCAATCTGCTCCGCTTCGCTTCCGAATAATCCCCTGCACCTCTATTTTCGATAGTCACCGTCAAGATGAGAGGCGAGGTAAGATTGCCATTTTTGTCGCTGTTGTCCTTTCGTCTCTGGCACTGCATAAACCACACATTCGCGATCGCTTTAGCGTGCAACCCCTTTTCTATGCCGACCTGCCGCCCACCGCCCGCTGTCACGACCATGTCAACACCACAAGAGCCTACCTACACAGCGAATTGCCGATGGTTTGAGCAGGCCAAGGCCAAGCCAACTTCCTACAGCTTCCTGCCCGCGATAGTAATATCTTGCTTTCGCCCCGGGTTGCCATGGACGACCCACTTAAAGATGGCAGCTTGCCTCAGCTCGACACTACGCGAATTCACCCGGTTTTCTGTCCCGCGACCTAATGACTACATTGATGCGACACACACAAGGCAGATATTCTAACGCTGCTGCAAACAGGTTCTTCATCTCCACTTGGGCCAGGCTGGTACCCAGCTCGGTAATAGCGCCTGGGAGCTGTGAGTCCACACCGCTCTTGTTGCTTGCCGCGTCGTCTTGCTAACCAATTGTTCCCACCAGGTACCTCCTCGAGCATGGTCTCGGAGCTGATGGCCGCCCGGATCCTAATGCTAAGGACGTCGGCGATGCTGGTTCATTCGAGACCTTCTTCACTGAGACGAGTAATGGCAAATACGTCCCCCGCTCCATCTTCGTCGATCTCGACCCGTCCCCGATTGACGAGATCCGCACCGGCACTTACCGCCAGCTGTTCCACCCGGAGCTTCTGATTAGTGGGAAGGAGGATGCTGCCAACAACTACGCCCGTGGCCACTATACCATTGGCAAGGAGATGATTGACAGTGTCATTGACCGCATCCGCCGTGTCGCTGGTGAGTTCCTGTCTATGGCCTTTGCCTGTGCGCAGATCGTAGCTAATGCAAGACGCCAGACAACTGCCAGTCCCTCCAGGGCTTCCTGATCTTCCACTCCTTCGGTGGCGGTACTGGCTCTGGTTTTGGTGCCCTCCTCCTTGAGCGCCTTTCGACCGATTATGGCAAGAAGTGCAAACTCGAGTTCACCGTTTACCCGGCCCCGCGAGTTTCGACTGCCGTTGTTGAGCCCTACAACGCTGTGCTCTCTACCCACAGCACCATTGAGAACTCTGACTGTACCTTCTTGGTTGATAACGAGGCCGTGTACGACATCTGCCGCCGGAATCTGGATATCCCTCGGCCGAGCTACGAGCACCTCAACCGCCTGATCGCCCAGGTCGTCTCTTCCATCACCTCGTCTTTGCGCTTCGACGGTGCCCTGAACGTCGATCTGAACGAGTTCCAGACCAACCTGGTCCCGTACCCTCGTATCCACTACCCTCTGATCAGCTACGCCCCCGTCATCTCGGCCGCCAAGAGCCAACATGAGAGCTTCAAGGTCTCCGACCTGACCTTCCAATGTGAGTGTGCCCCATTCCCCAACTTGTTTCGTTGCCGCCAATTTCCACTCATCATCTCGTTTTGCTCCCCTTAGGCTTCGAGCCCAACAACCAGATGGTCGTCTGCGACCCCCGCAAGGGCAAGTACATGGCCGTGGCTCTGCTGTACCGCGGCGACGTGGTGCACCGCGACTGCAGTGCTGCCGTGGCCGCGCTCAAGTCCAAGGCCTCGTTCAACCTGGTTGAGTGGTGCCCGACCGGCTTCAAGATTGGCATCAACTACCAGAAGCCCGTCGCCGTGCCCACCGCTTCGCCTCAGGACGGCGGCCTCGCCTCGGTCGACCGCTCCGTCTCGATGCTCTCCAACACCACGGCCATCGCCGAGGCCTGGTCGCGCCTCGACTACAAATTTGACCTCATGTACAGCAAGCGCGCCTTTGTTCACTGGTACGTCGGCGAGGGTATGGAGGAGGGCGAGTTCAGCGAGGCCCGTGAGGACTTGGCCGCCCTGGAGAAGGACTACGAGGAGGTTGCTGCCGACTCGTTCGAGCCTGAGGAGGCCGAGGCCGAGTACTAAGCGACTCCACACACTTGGTCGCTTGATGGGTTGTTGTACCGTGACTCTCTCCGTGCTACAAAGGAGGAGATGAATGAGTTGATGGATGGTTGTTTTTCAGTTTACTGGTTGAGACTATGAAGATAATTCCCCCTTTTCCCCCAGAGCAAAGTCTGTTGTTACTGCCGTTACCTCGTCTGAAATAGTAAGATGTGGATATGGGGTTTTGGCGCTCATCGAGATGGCTGGGGAGAAGTACAATTCACTCTGTTTAGCACGCGGTTTGTAGAGAGGTTGGTGCTGATTCAACTGAGAACTTGTCTTTCTCACGCATGCTGTTTGGTAGAGCCTCGCGTGAAGGATATCGTTGCCAAGTCAAAACCAGCAGTAATTATTTGTTGACCCCCTTTCCTGTGTTTGACTGGTTTGACGCCTCTACCGAGCCAGGCGGAAAATGGTTGGCTGTCCGCTTTTGCTGCGCCAAACACAATGACCGCGATCGGTGATGATTATTATATGGTGTCAAAGAGGACACACTCACTTGCTATCGAGAGCTGATCTCTATGCTACCACGACACGGCAGGCTTTTGAATTTGATTCCATCTTGACTTTTTTTCACTTCGATCCTCCCCCGCCGGCCCCTTTCTGCGTCGCCCTCCATTTCGCGGCGCGGACCGCTCCCCTGCCCGCCGTCTTCGCCTTGGCCTTGGTCTTCGTCTTGGTCTTCTTGTGCACCTTGTCCTTGGCTCGGGGCTTGAACTTGAGGTCCTTTGGCCGGCCGTCGCGAGCGCTCGCGCGGCGGCCCTCAAACACAAAGTCCTCTGGCGCTTTGATGGCGGCGGCGATGGCCGTGGTCGTGGTCGTGGTCGTGGTCGGCCTATCCTTGTCCCTTTCGCCGTCTTCGTCATGCGGCGTCTTCATCTCGCGCCGCGCTTGCCGCTCTTTCCTCCCCGGTTTGCCGCGGGCGGCGTTGCCGACGAGCTTCTCCGCGCCGAACCGACCGAGCAGCTTGCTCGCGCGGCCGGCGAGCGTCTGCGCTTCGGCTGCGAGCTTGGGGACGTACTTGCCTGCGTCGTCCACGGTATTTTTGCTGGCGTTCTTGCCGCCGTCACCGGCGGCCTTGTTCTTTTTCTTATCCTTGCGGTCGGTTAGGGGGCCGGTCCTCTCCTTGCGGGCTTCCATCGCTCTGGCAGTCTTGTGCGGCGCCTTGCATCTGCTGACGCGCAGCTCGCGCGGAAGCATGGGAGGGAATTTCTTGCCGTTGAGCAGGATGGCGGACTCAACGTCGTTGGCGTCCTGAATGTCATTGTTAGTCGAGGATGGTTTAGATGCGGAGAGAGACATTGGAAGGATATAACTCACGTAGAATTGTACGTAGGCGATGCCTTTGCCCACGCGAGTATTGGGGTCTCGAACAACACGGACACTCTCTACTTTGCCAGCGTGCTCTCCAAACACCCGCCACAGTCCCTCCTCCACGTCCATGGGCGTCTTGGTGCGCTTTCGCTTCTCAGTTACTTGTTTGCCTTGCTCGTCCACCTTGACGTTGAGTACTGTCTCGTCGTCGACAAAGCCCAAATTGCCAACGAACACGCAGCGCCGGTGGTCAACAGGCGATGGATGAGCAACGCTGTCAACCCTAAGATGCCTATCCAGGAGCACGGTCCCGTTGAGTTGCGCCACCGCAAGTCGCGCAGCCGCGTTGGTGCTGTAGACGACATAGGCGTTTGTAGACTTTGTGGTGGCCTCCAGAACAGACTTCTTGATGTAGGCGGCGCGCTTCGGCAGAGCTGTGGTCGAAAAGGGGGTCGAGCGGAAACGTAAAGATTGAACCTTTTGCGGCGGGTCTGCTTTTTTGTCTAGGACCGATTTCAGATGATTCAAGAGAATCTTCTTCGCCTTCCGCGACGTGATTGCCTCAACAGAAACATTGCTGAGGAATACTGTGCGGTTTGCCTTTTCGAGCTCCGATGCTACAGGATCGGCTGAGAGAGATTCGTGAACGGGCAGTTCGTCAGCTGATGAGTCGTCGGCCTCGCTCTCAACCGCATCCTTTGCATTGCCTTGGATGGCGTCGCCATCTTCGCCTTCCGTAACTGGTGCTTTCTCTCTTCGACGCTTCACAGAGGGCTCCTCTTCGTTCATTAAGCGCTCGAGGTAGTTGGCCTCTAAGTCCTCGTCACCATCTCGACGCTTCCGTTTTCGCTTGCGCCCTTCGTCCTGAGACTGCCCGCGGTAGATGGATGCTTCTAAAACTTCCGCCGCTTCTACCTCATTTTCCGCGCTGGAACCGTCGCTGGCATCTTCGGCTTCAGATTCCTCGCTCGTAGAAGATGGATTCTCCTCGTCATCTGAAAGATCCTTTCCTAATTCTTCTGCGAAGTTCTCAGATCCGTCACCCGAACTTTCCTCGTCTCCCTCTTCCTCCTCGCCCCTGAGAGCTGCGCGGGGCTTTGGTCGAAGTAGCTCTGAGTACCGCGACTTGGGAGGTGCTTTGACCGCTCCAGCCTTGATATGCGTTAGCAAGGTACAACAGAACAAGCGGGTCTTGCAACTCACGCTTTCCGAGAATAAAGCTGCCAATGAAGGGTCAATGGCCTTGGATGACACTGGCAAGATGGATTTGCTATGTAGTGAACAAGTTAACGATCAATTGGTCAAGACAGGATACCAGCGGTTCATTCCATACTCTTTCGCCATCCTGAGGGAGGGTTGTGGAGGGTCTGTGCCTCCTGATGTTGTTGCTGAGGTTCCCGATCGTCTGAAAATAAACCAGCAGCGGGAGGTCCAGATGAGTGATGAGAGGACTCCGATGCAAGTGGGCAATAACCACACCTGCCCTGGGTTACTGAGATTTGAATAAAAGGTATGTCAGGTGAATCCGCCTTACAAGGTCCTGTACCAATTTATTGATACTGCGGATACTGAGAACCAGCAGCTTTCATCGACAATGTTCATCCCGCAACGAAAGAAAATGATTTTGAGCAGGGTGCAGCATATCGCCGGCCAGACTTCGCTTATCGGGTTCTTATCGGATACTGCCATGCTTCACCGCCATGCATAGCGGCAGGAAATCGGGCAGGCGGGCAGGCAAAGCGGGCAGGCAAAGCGCCCAGCACCGCTTATCCGCCCATTTTGTGTTCGCTCCCGCTGCTGTGGGCGCCGGTTTGCCAGCTTCTCCGTCACTCCCTCCACCACCAATCTTGCCGCCGTCGCCGTTTTTCCACACGACTTCTGCGGCTTGCACTTTCGGCGAACTAAGCGACGCTAAATGTTACTTCTTTGTCTACATTGGCTCGTCTCATTTCTGTCACCACATCGAACCCTATTCCGCTCTTCTGAGTCGCGCAACCTGCGGTAGCGTCCGCGTCGAAGCTGCCCGCCTTCTGGAATTTGTCCAGACCAAATTTTCGCGGTTTCCATTCTCCCCCTCATTGACGCGGCGCTACCCATCAAGCCTGAACGAGCCGCATGGTCTACGATGGCCACAGGTGGTGCCGCTCCGCCTCTGGCCCTCTCGAGCTCTCCCCCGCCTTTGCTCGACAACAGTCCCAGCAACCTCTCGAGCCCTCTCAGCGATGTTGAAGACAAAGATGCAGACGTCGAAGAGACAGATCTCGATGTGCGCGATCACGACATTGCTCACGGGATACCAAACAAAACAGGGGACATGGAGCCGGACTTCGAGGCCGCCTCCGAGTCAGACGACGAGAGCAAGCTCTCCGAGGTAGACATTAACGACTCCGAAGCTGAGACAGAACGACTCTATGATACTCCCCCAAAGAACAGCACCACGCGCGACATCACTAGCACGTTTGGCGACGACACCGGACATCGACAATTTACTGACCGCCGGGACCGAGTTTTCGAGCGCAGCCCGAGCAAGCTCCAGCAGCTACTACAGGCCGGCATTGAAGCAGATGATGCGACTAGCGCTCGCAATTCGGCTTCTGAAGCAGAGGAAGAAAACGACGATGACGTCTCAATGGCGTCCAGCGAACCGGAGCTCCACGCCGTCAAAGACTCCGAGCCTCAATCGCCCACACAGGTCAAGAACAGTCTAGCTGTGTCCCCCAGTGATCCATCGACCTCGCAACTCTCTAGAAAAGACTCAACTGAGTCTCGGAAACGGAAACGCTCCGCTCTGGCCGATAATTCCGAATCTGAACAGCCACTTAAGAAGCGGACTGGCTCGATTGACGCTACCGAGCGCGTGTTTCCGGCAGACGATATACCCATGGCTGATGACGAGGGCGTCTCAACAAACCCCCAGAGCGGGGATCACACTGCAGAGGAAGATGATAACGACGAGGTGCCAGGGGCAACCGAGGCTAAAGAAGAGCTCCCTGACTCAGTGGATGAAGAAATTGCGCTCTCAAGCAGATCTAAGAAGGTGAAACGCAGCCAAACTAAGAAACGGAAAAGCAAAAGTCCTGGACAAGCGGATGGCCAAGAAGAAGTCCCCGATGAGCCTCCTGAAGATGCCGACGTCCAAAGCCTTGAGGTGCCTACGCCGCAGGCGGAGGACGACCATGCCGAAGAAGTAGATGAGGAGGCAGAGGCTGCGCACAGGAACGAGGAAGAGCGTATGAGAGCACATTTCAACTCCTGGCCAAATGGTAGCTAATGAGATTGCAGTGGAAAGGAAAAAGGCCGCTTGGGAAGAGCTTGTGGCCATAGAGAAGCAGTTCACCAGTTTTCGGGAGCGGTAAGTGAACATCAGGGCTGAGCCAGCGGGAAAATTTTGCTGATCAACACGTAGATTATATCAGGAGCGCTTGGAGCAGCTCAATCAGGAAGAGGCTATGCTCACCGGCGATAACCCGACTCATCCTGAATACCTTGCAATGCTGCAGTGTCTCGAGGAGAGACGGGCAGAGAAAATCAGGCTCAGCAGCCTTGAGTTGCAGTTCAAATTGTCGGTCCTCCGTCGCCGGGCAGTTGCCGAGCGCGCGCAGATCATGTCGCAGTTTTATCAGGCTGTCCGCGACTCGAGAGAGAAGGCGCTTGAGGAACTGGGCCAAGAATGGTACGAAATCCAACAAGAGCGCAGACGGGCCGCCAACACAATCCCCGACTACGGGATCCGCTTCCCTGCCACGAAAGGGCAGGCTCTCAGGAATGCCGTGTCCTACAACAAGGAGGTGTCGGTGCTTGCGGGCTTTGCCAAACACGTCGGCTTCCCTGCCGCGCCTCCCATCAATGGCGCTACTGATGAGCAGTTAGAGGCTGACCTCGAAGCTATCCAAGTAAGTTGTCGTCGTCGGCTCGGATTTGCGCTGTGCGGTCAAGCTGATTCAGATCTCCAGAGCGCCCGTGATCCTATGCCCAGGCCAATAACCCATCAACTGCCGCCGTATCGCCCGGAATTTACAGCAGGGCTTGCCTTTGAACAGGGTCTTGGCACTGCCGGAGAGCAGTTCATTGAGCAGACGCCGTGGGCCAATCCCAATCACCCGGCTCACCACATGCAGCGCCAGCAGGCCCACCGCGAGGTGGCCACCTACGCCGGTCCGTTTCCGGGTCCTCGGAGGCACTCGAACATACCCGCGACACAATTCTCTTCAAGCACGTCTACTATCCTTAACGGTGATTCACCGGCTCAGGTGCAAAAGACACACTCGCCGGTGGCGCCTGAGCATTTCAAGGGCCCTAAGATGGCCCCTGAACCGCTAAGGCGAGAACCTGCCATACATGCGTCTTAGTTTTCACCCTATGTCCTTCTTCACTTGTTTCGGCGGGTTAGCGGTTATTCTTAGACTCGACGGAGTTTCAGGCATTGAGGAAATCATGGGCATGGCGGAAGGCGCTTATCATCTCTGCTTTTTGCGGCGACGAAGTGGCTATAGCTGCTTCGTCATTTGACTGGATATCAGCATGGGCGCCCGATCACAGACGGGCAACATCAGGACCGGGATACCCAGGGTCCTGGCCGCTTTATTATTTTGTGATTAACACACATGTAGGGAGTACAGCTGGGCGTATTCTCATCATTCCACTTGCGACGAGCACATTCTTGACTTCTTTGACTGTATACTATGTCCAATGGACAGAGAGATACCAGCTGCCTTTTCTGATGAGTTCTTGTGAGATATTGGGCTATAGCCTCGACGAGGGGAAGAGCGCTGTGCTGGATGCTCTCTAAGAGTATCAAATCAGATTAGATTTTCCACATTGGCCCAAAACTCCGTGTTGATCGTGATTTTGTACAAGCACCCGCTTCTTTGGTTTACATTTTGTGTTCATACATATATGGGACCTGTCTACCAGAGCCCCATTACAGGCTTGCCCAACCCCTTTCATGATTTGTTCTGGGCGGAAGCCGGAGCACTCCTTACGGGCACATCGGGCACCTTGACATCCTCGAACTCGTCTTGTCCAATAGCGTTCAGTGTGTAAGCATCTAGAAGAGAGAAAGTGATTGTTAGCCAGATATCTCTCTCTGAGCTCTCATGTCATTCCAATTCGTTGCATTGCCAGAGGTTTGGAGTCGGGGTAGCGTCCTGACTCAATCCTAGGGGATGTAGATATGAAATAATAAAACGCACAGATTGTAACAACCAATGCGGTGAGGCCGAGGCCTGTGACTGCGTTCTTGACGAGATAGGGCCGCCGCGCGCGGATCAGCGCGGGTGACTGGCGGTAGCGGTTGTCGTAGTAGGTCGACTTTTGGAATCTGCGAATCCGAGGAGCGGTTAGAAACCCGAAATGATTCCAGCTTGGAACTGGGCAAGAGGGTGGATTGTGTTCGGCTTACCCGGCCATCTTTGCGCAGAGACAACGTGCTGTGGAAGAATCGGTCCCGTCCCTGTTGAATAGGCTCACTGCCTTCGGGATGTTACGGTAGCCGGTGGGCTGAGATGGTAGCGATAAGCTTATCGATAAAATCACCAATGAGAGCACGGGCGCACATGTGTGGCATTGTGTGCCCAGTGCCCACTTGCCCTTCACGTCACTGGCTGCAGGCTTGCTTTCAGGCCCTGGTCTGGCGCGTGTGCTTGCTTGCTTCAAGTTTGTTTCTTTGCTCTCTGCAAGGCTGAAAGGACAAAGCTTCCCAGACCACCCCAAACTTCGCAACGACCATTGCCTATCCCAGGATCAGAGACAAAATGTTCACGGCCATCATACCTATTTCGTGAGCCTGTTAACGATGGAAATGACGACCTAATGCAATATTCCCCTAATTCAGCTTGAGGTGCTCCCAGCGAGTTTTGGCGGCTAGCGAGCGTCGACGTTTCGCGCCGCGCAGGATGATCAACTCTCTGGTTAAGCTCGCCCGCGGTCCGCAAAAGATCAATATCGAGACTCATTTGGTGTGTGGAGGCTATTGATCGCATTGCGAAACAATTATAATAGCGCGCTCTCGGCAAGGCGGGGGGTATCGAAGAGGAACAATTGGAAAGAAGTTGCGCCGAGAGAGAAGAGGCTGCGAGATTGTCTTCGTTTGAAAACGGCCTGCCTACCTACCTAGACTGCCTTGTCTTGTCTTTTCCTCTGCGCAACGCGCCAGAATCGCATCGGCATACGGCTCTTTGTAGATCCTCTGAGGCTTGCCTGTCACGTTTACCACATTACATTTTTTCCACCAATCTACCCATCCATCCGCATCCATACCCTCTTCCCGAGGGCGTGAGGGAGGACAAGGATGGCTACAGGCGATTCTGCCGCCTCAGCGGCCAAAGCGCTCTCTGTCGACGAACAATTAGAGCAGCTCAACACGGCTCGCAAGGTGGTTCTTGAGAATCCGGCCTACTACGACCGCATCGTCAGGGGCGTGCTACCGATCATTGGCCCTACGGCGCCGCTCAAGCTTCGGAGATGGGGTGCCGAGTTCTTGGCCGAGTCGTTGTCCACGCCTGTGTTGAAGATGGGCGAAAAGGAGAGCCTGGTGGTGTCGGTACTGGATACGCTGCGGGCGCTGCTTGACAACCCGAGCGAGGATGCCCTGGTGCTCAAGGCTAGTATCGTTGCTGCCGCCAGCGCGTATCCCGTTGCTCTGAGGTGGATGTAAGTATCTTCCTTTCTGGCTCGTGTTCAGAGGATGATCTGGAGGGTTGGACACAGCTAGGAGTGATGATGGTGCCGCTGATGGGGCTGCTGCTGATGATATGCTACGCGTTCTATCGCAGTATTTCCGTGTACTCTTTGTTTCAATGGCCCTGATGATCTCCAAGAACGCATCGAGGAGATGATGTTGCTAGATATGTTCCACTGACACGACTTCAACCCCAGGGTCCACAATTCGTATCACACGGAGAGCTGGGAGCAAATGTCGGCCATCAAGTCTAGGATACTGAATATCTGGGACGGTGCTCCGGCTCCTGTTCGACTCAGTTGCATCAAGTTCGCCCAAAGAGTTGTGCTTGCGCAGACATCATCAAATGGAACGGAGCAAAAGGTACGACGGCTGTCCCTTGGGCGATGATCGTAGCTGACCCAGGACATCCTAGTACAACGGACTCGATATCTCCCTTAACATGATACCGCCGAACCACCCCGTATTAGATCCTAGGCAACTCGAGGCAGAGGCTACTGGCCTCCTCGATAGGATGCTGGGCGTGCTGCATGACAATAGCGGGTAGGTCGCATCAATTCCGCCGCCTCGAACTGCGAGCTGACTCTATGCCATAGTGATGCCCTAGTTGTAGATGCGACCCTCAACTGCCTTTCGATCCTAATCCGAACCCGTCCAAACACGTCTGGACGGATCATCAACTCGGTTCTCAACTTCAATCCCCTGAAACTGGCCAACTCCCCCATGACACCAAAGACGAAGGTCATTGTGAAATCGATGGAGAAGACCACCCGCATGTTTATGACCCATCTTCTTAAGCGGTAGGCTTGACAGGTTCATCCCAGCAAAGTCCTTACTGACCGAGTCCAGGGATCCCAACAATCCAATGTCGGGACGTATCCAGCAGTATATCGAAAAACTGGTGCGATCAAGGGCCGAAATCTTCGATGAAGCAGGCCGCAAGAGGGCACTCGCTGATCAAACCGCCGCTGCTTATGGCGACGCCAAGAGGGTTAGAGTTGACGGCGGAACTCAACCCCTTGCAGTCCCGCCCTTGGGGCCAGGGCCGCATAGCCTTGCTGATATATTCACCCTGACCAGTAACCCTGGTCTGCAAAGCTTTGATGTTACGCAAGTGCCCGCTGATCTTGCCGCCAAGATTACTGTCAGGACATTGGCTACCTTGGACCAGCAGATTTTAGATCTGGCAGTTGGCGTAGGTTTCGCACATCCCCTAACCGGGCGTCATTTACTAACTTAGCCTAGGGTATCCGGGATCGACTTACCTCCCTCTACGCTGCTGCGGCCGCAGCGGCCGCAGCACAGCAGCCCGCAGTGATCAACGCAGCCACTGCGCCGCTCGGAGTCGATGAAGAAGACGACGACTACGAGCCAGATTTCAGCGCAGCCGAGGACACCGAGCAGATTCTCAACAAGCTTGACAATGCGCCCCCCGAAGAGCCGATAGAGCCGGCCGCAGAAACGGGCACGGCCCTTGCTCTAGGGCCATTCAAGCTTCCGTCTCCGCCTCCAATCGACCCCGAAGAGGCTGCCAAGTTCAGCCAAGTAGCAGCCGCTCGAGTCTTTGGGCCGCTAGCTACGCTCGAAGAGGGTAGCGCGCTGCGGAAGCATAAAGCCGGCATCAATCGCCTGGCTGCGAGCTCGTACGACCGCGATTCCTGGCTCACGTTGATCACCCGCCTCGCCACCCGCAGCACGGCCGGCCTGGAAGATGCAACCAGCAGCATCAAGTCCGAAGACAGCGCCACAGCCATTGACCGGCCGCGCATGTCCCTCGGCAACGCCATTCGCGAGATGCTCTACAACTACATACTCGAAGACTGGCGACGGCGCATAGAGGTAGCCGTCGCCTGGCTCTGTGAGGAGTGGTACAACGACCAGATGACCAAGAAAAGCGGGATCGACGCGCCGCTGCACTACGAGAAGTGCGCCCTACGGCTGGTGGACGGGTTCCTGAACTACATCACCGGGCAGGATAAGGTGCTGACGAGGTTTCTGGCCGAGATTCCGGAGCTGAACAGGGCGCTGCTGGGGAGGCTTAAGGTGCTCTGCGCGGACCCCGCGACGGTGCAGCTGGCGCTAACAAGCTTGCTGTATCTCGTCATGATGCGCCCCCCGGTGAGGGAGATGGCCCTGGATACTGTGGCGGCAATATGGACTGAGTGTGAGTACCCCTTCCTTGCCCCCATCCATCTAAGTGTGTGCAAAGACGCCTTGTTCTGACTGCTTGTGCTCCGGCTGTAGACGAGGATGCGCGCCCCTTGGCTGCCAAATACCTCGTCAAGTGGCGACCTGGGTGGATTGAGTCGCAGACTCGTGGTGGGGATACGGCACCTGCGAGTAATATGACGGTCACGACATGAAGGGAGAGCAAAGGCGGGACGAAGACGAAGCATCGCCTTGAGGGAAATACACAACCCTTGTTGTATTTTACTTAGATACCACGGGGCAGTATTCTGTCGGGCCCCAGGTTACGGTCACAGACATAAAGATCTGATTGGCGTGTTTTGGGCTACCTATGTTGCATCAATGGTATACACGGTTCTGCGTCGGTGCGTTGAATGAGTGCACGACTCACCGTGGGTACGTAGTCACTAGTGTACGATATAGAGGGTTATGGGTGACGCGACGCTACGCGATAATGGACGCGTCGAAAACGGTATCATTGTACCCGTTGGCTGAACCTAGCCCCTTTACGAAGGTTCAGCCAACGGGTAGACACTGGGTGCAAACAGCCTGGTCGGTGGCATAAACCATCATCTTACCCAAAAACTTGGAAATTATGAGTCCCTTTTATTTGTCCGGATGTCCCTCGTGTTACCGTCCTTTGATAACCAATAACACCAGGATTGCGTATGGCTGGGAGATTAGATTTAAGATATGGCTTTCCGTTCCTGTTAATGCTGATTGCTGTGTATGAGGTCATGTCCATCCATATACGGGCAGGAACCAACGTAGAAATACGTCGTATTTATGTGTATGGTAGAGTACCAAGGTATGCACTGTACAGTACGCAGATATTGCACGGGCTTCTCAGTCAAGCGGATAGAAATGGGATGGTTTCAGAGATAAGTTGTCCAAATGGTAAGAGAGTTCAATTGGTAAGAGGCTTCAGACTTCGTCTGTTGCAAGGAAATCCTGTCCTCAGCCAGGAACGGAGCTGCTTCCCGTCCCCTGAGCTCGGACGGAGCGGGCTGCGGGCCGAGCTCAAGGGACTAGGAAAAGGAAAATCGACGAATTCATACGGATACCGTGACCTAGCGGACCAGCAGAAATTTACTGTAACGTTTCCCACTTAGATGTAAATTACAAGACCGCTGAAAGAAGTCTTGCATGGTTGCCATAGCAGTGTGTCAGCAGCACGCGACTCGCTGACTTTACGCGTGGGCCTCCCTCCTGGCCGCCCAATCCCGCTATTTACGGAGCACCTAAGCCACCTTGTGTCACACTGGGCTGGCCCAAGGATTGTGTGTATGTTTCTTTTTTCCTCTTGCTTATGGGAATCCTGTTTACCAGCTGACCAGTAACATTGGCCTCGTACGGACACATACATACGTACAATAGGAAACGGGAAGATCATTTTGTTTGCCTACCTTGGGTAGGTAATGCTCGTTCCTGCTCTGCGCTTTTGTTCCGAAATTCCAAAGTTGTCGGTCGTACTGTTCAATACTGCAGTATTTACAGCAAGGTACCTGTAACTTTTGAGCGCCTCGCCAAGCCATTCACCTGCCGTCCCATCATCAACAGTTCTCCTCGATCAAGACTTGACCGGCCGCAGACGCAACCAAGGCTGATACACTGCTTCAGAGATGCTCTACTTTAGCTGATCGCGCATCATTCGCATATCGACAGTCTGCAGCAAAAGGCATTGAACAAGCCAAAATCCCGGCTCCCGGCTCCAGCGGGCCAGACCCGCTCTGCAGTTGATACCGTACGGGTATTTGCCTCAGGTGGTCCCAGCAACGCCATCCATTGTCTTGGATACAGGTCCCAGCCTCGCCCTCCACAGTGAGAAAATGCGCAACAAACTAGTAAAGGCACGGCCGCATTCCGAGCAGAAGCCTGTCTTCTCCATCCACCAGGATGCCGAGCAGAGTATGTCCAGTATGTCCTAGATCCTCCTTCGTGTTGCTTTTCGGAGCGCCTTCTGCAGGTCTTGAAACAGACAGCGGGAATACACATGCTGCATGATTGCAGGTGCTTGTACTTCAGTGTCTGCATTTATGTTACCAGCATTTTCCTGTTATTCCCAGTCAGCAAAATCCCAATCTTCTGGCCCAATTCATATTTCCATGGAGCGTCAGCACATTGACACATGCTTGTGGATACTCTAGGTCATTCGCCGGTGACGACCCTGTCTACAGAACCAACACCAGTCACGACACCAATCAAACAGCCGCCGAGCAACGCCTCCCGGTCTGTCCATGACCACGCCTCACATCGGCCGTCCCTCACACCTGTCTCGGAAGGCGCGATCAACTCGGCAATGTCACGAACAACAACAGCGAGCACCATAGTCAACGGCAAGACAGCGCCGGCTCCTCCTACTTCATCTCCAAACACCCGGATCCCGAACCGCATGAATTCAACCATCAGGGCAGTGCCAAGTTTCGATGAAAGGCACCAGCTCTCTGAGGAGGAATCCAGCACAGACGGGGCAGATTCACAGTCAACATCTCGAGACTCGGGTTTCGGATCAGTCAATAGCAAAGCAAGCATGTCATCCACAATATCTCAGTACCGGCCACAACCAACAGCCAACGGGTTGACCAAGATGCCGTCTACTGGGAGGTTAAAACCGCCGCCACCGCAAGACGGCAGCACCGACGGACTAGCCGGTAGACCTTTAAAATCCCGCGCGAGCTTTGTCGACCTGCCCTCCCGAGAGGCTAATATCCCCTCACTCACCGGCGACCCAGCGCCGACACAAGCAAACGACATGTCGTCACTGACGGCCACCGAAGCGCAACTGTCCAATGGCTGGGACAACTCGGTGGGCAAGGCCGGGCTGGGCAAGACGGGGCGGGTGATCAACCGGCTGGTGTCGGACAACGAGGCGCTGAAGCGGGACATACAGATTGAGCGGCTGCGGGCCGAGGAGTCGCGGCAGGCGGCGCGGCTACTCGAGGACAAGCTGGAGCGCGTCATTTCGGACTACGAATCACGGCTGCTCGAGGCCAACGTGGCCAAGACGCTACTGGCGCGCAAGGAGCGCCAGGTCGAGACGCTGCAGGACACGGTAGAACTCGAGCGCAAGCGCGCCCTCGACGCCGCCGAGAGGGAGCGCATCTGGAAGGACGAAATGGTCCAGGCCAAGGACGACGCCAAAAGGCGGATCGATGAGGCCACCAACTACGCGGCGCTCTGCGAGGGGAGGTATAACGCCATTAGCAGCCACTGGCGGGATCAGGGTGAGGAGGTCAAGAGGGCCATGGGCAAGATGCGCAAAGAAGTGGAAGATTTGGTAGAGCAGCGGAAGAAGGATGATGACAAGATTGAGACGCTCCGGGAGCTGTGCGATCAGCAGGACGGGAACATCAGGGAGTTGAAGAGGCAGAAGGAGGAGATTGAGCGGCAGTTTGAGAGGTATAAACTGCAACAGGAGGAGGCGCTGAGGGATATCAAGCGGAAGGCGGACGAACGGGAACGCGAGCAGGAACGGACGCTGCAGGAGGCGAGGGAGGTGCTGAATAAGCTGAAATGGGCGCTGAATATCAAGGCGACGATCGAATGGGCTCAGTGAGAGTGCCGGACAGTTCCCGGCTTCGCGATAGCAGGCAAGTCTTGCGGACTGCTTGACCGGGTTCTTTACTGAGCATGAGCAACGAGCGGCGGATACCACCACTCACGCTTATTTCTTTTCTCTTGTTTGTTTTTCGAAGCCTCCTTGTTACGATATGTAATGATGATACCTGGGCTCTTTTTTCCCCTGTTCTTCTTCTTTTCTTTTATTATTATTTTGTTCCTTTCCCTGGGGGGGACAGGGCGGCCACAAGCTCGGCCAAATACCCAGCAAGATTGAACAAGAACGGATGGGAGATCAAAGCGTTTGGTGTTTTCCTCTGACTGGCAAGCAAGCAAGCGTCTATGCGCATGTCGCTGTCAACATTATTCACATTTTTGCTCTCATTGCACACAACACCTTCATTCATGGTGGGATGGCCGGCTGGTCTTTCATTTGGGAAGGAGTTGATGGCGTTTGGCTACGATGAGGGGGTCTGGCAATAAAGAATTCCGGCTGTCTATCGGTATTACATACATACTCTGCATGTTAGATAATCAAAAGCTGGTGCTGCTCACAATGATTGGACTCGTTCCATTGCTCTGTGTAGTGAGGTTTCACATGACAAAGAAAAGGTATTCCGCTGTGCGATGTTCGTTCTGTTGTCCTGCTTCAGGTGTTTTGAAGGTCTGTTGATGTTCGCTGTTTGGTAAGTGGGGCAACTCTCAGGGGATCTTGCGATTCAGGGGCAGCCTCTAGAGCATTCATACTAGAAAGTCGAAGGTCTTTATGCAATGCATTTTGTGTTCCGGTTACACAGGTTGAGTGAGGACTTTGAACTGCATCCAAAGAAGAGAGTTTTGCCCTGCTTGTTCCCACATTCACCGCCTGATGTCTGAATTTGAGTTAGACTTGATGGTCCGACCACTACGTGGTTCACCATCATCGCTCCTTCCCTTCTTTCCCTCCCTGACTTAGAACTGGTTTCAGCTCTTGCAGCAAGTTTAGTTTTTAGGTGAACTGTATTGACATAGACGCGTTCTCCTCGCGAACCCTTGTAGGCCTTCTTGTTCTTTACATTTCTTCGTCCATCTTCGATACCACTTTCCCCTCATACAACCACGGCAAAAGTGTCTCAGCAGTCGATGTTTGTCCGAGCAGCTCTTCCCTTTTACATGAGAGTGCTACTAGAAATTCTGTTAAGTTTTGAGTTCATTTTCTCCTTCACCGCCGGCCCTGCTCGTGCCGAGTTCGGAGCTGGCCCTACCTCCAGGCGACGACAGACAACAACAACGACGACAAGGATAACGACACCGACTGCCGACGACGATAGAAAGCGGCTGATCTTATTTGTTGTATAACATCGACGTGGGTCCCATGAACATCAAGTTTGCTAGCGAGTTTTGCGATCTGTTGAACGAAAATCCCATCCAGCTCTTCCCATGGATTTCTCTCTCTTTTGCTTCTTTCCCACCTTGACCCGTTTTCTTCTGCTGTTATCAGTAGTCAAGCACTTCATATTCCCGTTCTTTTTGTCTTGCTTGTTTTCTAATTTAACGCGTTGTGTTATTGCTATTCTCAGTATCTTGGAAGTCCAGACTTTCCGACTAACCGATCGTACTGTTGGGTTTAGTTCAGTTGCTTGTTCTGCAGTCGCGGTTTCGCAGTCCCTCAGATGGCGCTGTCCGAGACGGCGTCTTCTAAGATGGCATCGGCCAAGATGGCCTCCTTAATCGAGTTCTATCTCACCACTCTCTGGAAATACAAGCCCACAGCCATTGAGCGAGTGATTCAGAGTCTGCCAGTGGCAGACCTGGTAGGCGGCCGTCACTTTCATTCTTGGAACTGTATGTTAACGTTCACGCAGGCCAATGTCGAGATCCTTTATGACTATGACTATCACTGGTTCAAGGTCATATGCTTCGCCCACCAGGCACAGAAGGTTCGTCAAGTCTTTGACCGCATTGTTAGAGAAATCGAAGACGAGGCCTTTGGCGACGATGGTGGCAACATTCTTGATGACAATGACCAAATCAAGGTGAGACAAATGCTTTTTTAACTGAAGTGGTAAGATGCTGATGAGAGATAGACACACTTCAACAACGAGTGGATTAGCGACGAACCCGAGCAAGCTTCGGGGGCTGTTGGCAAGACTATCGGGCCTTACAGCCTCCCCAAACGGTTTTCCAAATATCCATACAAGGCAATCTGGGACGACCTGGAACAGCAGCGAGAATCGCTCACCTTGGGAAATATCGTGAGCTCTGAGCAGCTCGTCACCATTGGAAAGCTGAGCGGAGCTGAAATATCATACAACCTCACTGGGACAATGGTGTACATTGGCGGCAATGATCAGGAGTCGATCTCCAAGGTCCAAGGAAAGCTCCGTGTCTTGCTCGCATTCAAAGTCAGTTAGCCTTTGAAAATCTCTTTTCAGGTCATTTTGCTCACCATCGTTCCAGAAACTGTTAGCCTGTCCAGTTCGGATCCAGCATGTGATCTACCCTGAGGACCATATCGAGAAACAGGCAGACAACCTGAAGGCCGAGACTCGATACCTTGCAAACATTGATCCGGTGTTGGCCTCTTCAACGCTCTTCGACAGGGCTATGGTGAAGAATAATGACCTGGAGAGCGCCTACAAAATGATGTACTCAGAAGGCGTCTCTATTCGTCTTTGCATCTGGGACCCCGAAAAGAAATTCTGGGTTTCCCTGCTTGGTCCAAGGGTCCCTGGCCGGTCAGGAAGAAAGTACAGCTTGGGAGACAGGCCTGTCATATCGACCAAACTCGTCCATGAGCTGCCCTTCTTGGCAGAGGCGTTCGTTCGACGAGATGAAATCGACCCGAACGCTCGGGTCGAGGCGTGGATGAACGACGTCACCAACCAGATTGAATCTAACTCAGAGATGCTGACCGAGCCAAAGAATGCTGCCCCTTCTACAACTGCGGAAAAGAGCCTCATTGACCGTCTCGACCCGGCACCTCAGGATCTGTCCATGAGGGGGATACATGAAGAGAAGCCTGCTACATCAAGTGAGTGTTGTCCCGAATTTGACCCCATACGTTCCTTCAATATGAGTCCTCAACCCCAGACTCCGGATTCCGTCGAAGCAAACAGTCTCGTCCTCTAACCTATATTTGAGAACCAGATGGCGCAGGAAGCTCCACCAAAGTTCCAGTAATCACTTGGAGCATGCCGCCACTCATCCCAGAGACTTCCGATGAAACCAGTTCGAACCATAGCTCTCTCTTTATGAGATACTTGCAAGCTGGTGTCAAGGACTTTGAACCTTCAGCCCAGGAGAGAGCGCGAGACCAGACAATAGCCTCCCCGCAGCAAACAGCACCTCGACAGCAGGGAGTACCCGCGCAGATTCCAGAAGCTGCAGCGTCCACCTCCCAGGTTGAACATGGCGTTTCTTCTCAACTTCCTGCTACAGACACATTCATCCAGGAGATTGAGACCGCGATGGTCGAAATGCTTGCTACGGGTCCTTACCGGCGAGGGAAGATTGAACTGAGGGCAGAGTTTGGCCGTGTCCTCCTTGGAGGGTTGGATCGTACCGCCCTAGCGTTTAACAATATTGACGAACCAAGCAATGGATGGGACAAGCTTGAGCTGCTAAATCAGCTTGGGATATATTTTGGCGAGCCCAAGGACATGATCCACTGTACGCGGATTCTGACCACCCATGGCGGCGACATGGAGGACATGATCAAGGTCAGGACCGGCCCGTCCCGGTTGTGGCAAGAGGAACCGAGCCACGCCTGGACCGTTTACTCTATTCAGTGCGCCCTCGAATTTCCGGGAAAGTTGCAAACTGAGTTCGTTGTTGACCTCCGGGATGATCCGAATTCCGAGAACCCATTTTCCTACTCCGTTCGGTCTTTGCCTGGAAAATCTGGACCACTGCCTATCTTCGTTCACGCCATTCGGCGTAACTGGGACCTGGAAATCAGATTGTCTCATGTCAACCGCGAAGGCAAAGGGAGAGCTGTGGATTTTATCGCGAAGAAGTTACTGCAGTCGCTCAGCGTTTCGTATGTTCTTGGAAGTTCTGTCCTAATCCCACAATTCAATACGCTGACACTATTCTAGACACAGCGCTGTTGGAGGACCCGAGCTCCGATTTGCAGTACCAAAGGGTCGTGGCGTTGGGATCGTCGAGGCTCGGGTGCTGACCAAGTGGCGATACCCCAGCCTGAACAACAAGAGCATTCTGGAGATTACCGAGGTTCAGCAGATGGAGCTAGGTCCTTGTACCGATCTACCGGTTGCCACACCGAACGACGAGTGGGATATCATATGTGCTAAGCCCTGGACTCAGCCAACGTCTCAGCGTATGCGCACAATGGGTGCGGTTCCACGTTGGTACGACGCCGCCGTGGTGTCTTCTGAGGCCGAGGCCTTGTTCCGCGAGAACGAGATCATGGAGCTGGGCGAAAAAGCCAAGTGGACCCCAGACGAACTCAAGGCGCGCGGCATCCTGGCCACCGTCTACGGCCCGGCGTTGTGCATGCTGAGGGAGATGGATCACATTGGGAGGAGTGACAGCAACGGCCTATCGAATACATTCGGCAAACTCCTCAAGAAGGGAAATAATTCTTCCCGCACCATTCCTGGGCTGATGCCAAACACCGCTCCTCGTACCGTGCCGGGGATGACCTCCCCCTCGCCTAGTCGTGGCAGAAGTAGACGGAGGAAAGGCGACTCGGGAGCACCCAAGCCTCAGAGCGAGTCTTCTTGACCCGGTACAAGTGGGTCTGCGGCGAAATGAACCCAAAGCGGCGGTTATGGTCACTGAAAATGGTGGTGTCCCCGAGGGTATGGCTTCATCGGAGTCCTTGGGCTCACTCTGTCTAAGCGTCAGCGTGTTTGAGGGCAGTATTGTTGGGGTATCTGATTACGCTGGTCTATCTAGCGCCTGTGGAAGGCTGACTTCGTCAAAGATAAGGATGTGCTTGGCGGAAGAAAAGGGGCCGACGGAAATGGGAGGCTTGTTGGGCAATTGAGGGCCCACCACTCTTCTGTAGCGATCAGGGCTGTCTTCTGCAGCAACTTCATCTCACTCAGGTAGCCATGTGTACTGTACAATACCGCATATTTGTTGATGTAATCGTCGACTACCATCCCACCGGGAGACGATGACAAGGCTGTTCCCGCCCGCCAAACCATCGCCGCCGCGCCTTTCCTCGCTTGACATACATGCATGTAAGTTATGACAATTCCGCTGCTTTCTCTACTCTGATCGCTATCTATATGAAGCCCGCTTTGAGTGATGATCATTCTACCTTGCTGTGCCAGGGCTCGAGATATAGCTCCTTCCTGCCTCGGCCAAAAGAATTTCCTCTCACAGAAGCCAAGAATAACCTCATATAGTGGTGAGACCAGCAAACAAAAGTATTGGAGTAACATGTGGCCAGGCTGGCTGGTTCATGAGGGGACCATTGCTTCCTGTTTCGCCATATACTCATCATGTTCCCGTGAAAGCGGTCGCGACTCTGCTCCCTTTGCCATTCCCCAGTACAACAAGGCAGTCCTGCCGTCCGTATCCAGCGAATGTTCACGGACTAGCCGCGCTAGCCCGCAGGTGCTTGAATGGTTCAGATGCCGGATGGTTGGGCTCTGGACCAGCAATTTTGTGCGGAAAAAGGCAATGGGGCTTCTTCCCTGAAAGGCTTGGAAACTCGGGCTTGAGATGGTTTCCAGTTTCTCGTGTCGGAGCCAGTTCATGAGCAGTCTAAATTGCTCTACGGCACACTGCGTTGCTTCAGGCTGGTGACTGCAAATGGAAGGGCTCACTTGGCTACCAGGGGTGAGAGCTTCCTGCAGATCCTCAAGATAATCACGGAGAGGTCTCACCAAGTCCATTATGTAGGCTTCTCTGCGCTGGTAAACGATGGCTGTATAGGTGCGTTGAAAGCTGGTTAGCACACTGCTTCTCGAATATGCAAGCTTGTGAGCCGAGGTCGAACAACGAATACTGACAGTGGACTCCAGGTGGTAGGATGCCACAGGCTCGAAAAACGGACTTGGCTACATATGCCAGGTTGAAACTGGGCACTCAGTCCAGTCAACTATCCCCTCCTCCCGGAAGTCATGATGGCAAGCACAAAAAGTTCGCGGCACATACCAGCACCGACGAAACAGATCCGGCATGCCAAACTCATAGGCGCACCAGAGATACTCCAATTGATGGCAGTACTCACTGGTGCTATCGTCCATGAGCAACGCCGTGTCGATTGGGGTGGACATCCATCCCCGCACGTATTTCGCGATTAGAGGCAGCGCCTGAAATCGGTGGCTGAGCCTGGCGATGTCCCGAAGCTCTTCAAGGCTGAAGTGATTTGGCAGCGGCTCGTTGTGCGCCGCAGCGACCAGATAATGGAACACTCGTGGTGTTGACGAAACGAGCTCAGCCACGGGGAAATGGCCGTGTGCCTTCGGCTCATACGTCCTTGCGATCAAAAAACTCCACGTGGGAAAGACCTCGTTAAGTTTATTCGCATTCACAATGGAGGCGCTCGCAATGCTGCTCTCCCATACGGATACGGTACGGGACCAACCCCCTACGATGACGAGGGTCAAGTCGCCGTCCTCAGCCCTGAACAGAATGTCGTCGACACCATGATTGTCGCCTAATGGAGGCAAGCAGGTCAATGAGGGAAATGCTTAGTGGCCAACCGCTGTCTCACATAACGCCCTGAATTTTGACAGCGGGAACCACCTGGGATTGCAAAATACTTACAAAGATATTTCGTCCATGCCTCGTCCGACACCCTCGCCGCATGGCCCGTCTGGAAACTCAGTAGGGTTGGCGGGCTTGCGGAACTGGCGAAATCTAGGCTTGAGCCCGTGGCTTCCGTCTCTGATGCGTCAACCCTGGTTCTCTTTACGTCTTGTTGGTGTCCGCCAGATGATGCTGAGTCTGGATCAGGGGTACAGCTTGAATCTTCTCTGGCGCGCTTGTCGGAACCGGAACCCGAGTCCTCTGCTGGTGCGCTGCCTCGCTCGGGTTGGGTTTGGCGGAGCATAGTGATGAATACGGTGAGATAGGGCGAGGAATGATATTATGGCGTTGCTGGGGGTGAGAAAGAGCAGGAAGGGGAGCGACTCTATGCAACAGTCAACTCACGCTGGAACAGCCAAAAGGTTTGGAATTTCCAGGTTGCTTGTTTTGCAAAGCATCACCTGGAAGGCACCACTTGTTCCTGCGTCAGCCGACTTGGACGCTACTGCTTGGCCTGGTGTTGATTTGGTGTTTCCCTTTGAGCTACTGGAAGGTGCGAGTTCCTGTCTCGATAAGCAATGTATCTCCATCGTCATTGCCAACTCACTTCTCCCTTAAACCTCGGTGTTTGTACTGCAGTCACTTCTTCAGCGACTTCGATTTTTTTTTTTTCATAGAAGAAAATACCAGTAACGCAACCTTGGAAGTAGGCGATCATACCCGAGTTACTGTCCGATTCACAGGAATATGTACACGCGAAATTCGTTAGGTACATGATGATGAAGAGACTTTCAATGCTCGGCGAGTCCAGTGGCGCCGTCGCGAGTCCAGCACCTGCCGTCTGCTGGGACGCCAGCACATACACATGAGGTACCTGGCAAAAATAAGATTCGGCGGTGAGAAGCATTGACCTGCAATAACAGTAACATCCAAATGTTCAACAGGAGAGACTTCGCAGAAAAAAGGGAGGATTGGAAGCGGTTTACTGTACACCAAACCCCTTTTCATACCCCCTATCCATTCAGGATCCCCTTGGAAACCCCATATGCCAAGACTGCAGAAACAGGGAAAATGAAAACAACAAGGTTGCATTGCATGCCCGCTTCCATTCTATTTTCACCGCAGCGGTACGAACTCACTGAGAAGGCCGTTCATCTGGGAAATGCAAGACAGTAACGCTCAGATGCATGTCGAGCACTCATCCAGCTTCCAAAGTATAGGTATAAATACTCCGTAAGCTCGCCTATTTGCACCATTGCGGCAGGGTTCCATCTCCCTTGGAGCCGCGCTTACCTCAATGATGCACCGCTACTCCATCTAGGCGAACGACAGCAGATGGCGCAATCACGACGGACTATTTCGATTTCTTGGTAACGAATTGAATCCTTATGCGCAACCCCATCTCCTACATCCAGGTCTTCGACTCTTCCCGTCTGGCCAAATTACATGCTTGTTTATGTCAATCGGTATATAGCAGCAGTAGCTGGTTGCCCTCGGCAGTAAGACCATAACTGCATGTTGTCTCAGCATCGTCCCGACGATACCTGAATATACATATAGCCTCCACAATGATGGACGACGTCGAGCAAGCCAACACTGCCTCTCCCAAGGCCGACTCCAAATCCCGGCCTGATGATGAGGCAGTCTCGATAGTCTCGGACGACAATGCAATCATCCTCAAGGGCCAGCTTGACCCGGTCTACGAGGAAAAGGCGAGGGTGCTGAACCGTGCTGTAAGCAACAATCCGAGCAAATCACACTCTGAACCATACCGCCCTAACAAGGCTTCAGATCCAGAAGATTGGCATGGGATGGTATCAATGGCAGCTCTTCGTTGTCGTCGGCTTCGGCTGGGCGTCTGACAACCTCTGGCCTATCGTCACCTCTCTCATCTTCACGCCCGTGGCCAACGAGTTTGGCCCCGCTCGTCCACCACTCCTCACCCTGAGCCAAAACATTGGCTTACTCGCGGGGGCAATTGCCTGGGGCTTTGGGTGCGACATCTTCGGCCGGAAATGGGCATTCAATCTCACCCTTGGCATCACGGCAGTCTTTGGTATGATTGCCGCCGCGTCGCCCAACTTTGCCGCCATCGGCGTGTTCGCGGCACTTTGGTCCTTCGGGGTCGGCGGGAACCTGCCTGTCGACTCGGCCATTTTCCTCGAGTTTCTGCCAGCGTCGCATCAATACTTGCTGACCGTCTTGTCGGTTGACTGGGCCATCGCACAAGTCGTGGCGACCTTGGTGGCCTGGCCGTTGCTGGCAAACTTTACCTGCCAGCAGGACCAGCAGGTTTGCCGCCGGGAAGATAACATGGGTTGGAGGTATTTCATGATTGCTATGGGCGGCATTACCATCGTCATGTTTTGCATACGCTTCTTGCTCTTTACCATCTATGAGTCGCCCAAATACCTCATGGGCAAAGGCAAGGACGAGGAAGCTGTGCGCATCGTCCATGAAGTCGCTCGGCGGAACGGGAGGCGCAGCTCTTTAACGGTGGAAGAACTGAGGGCATGCGAGCCTGAGGGTTATGTGCGACAGACAGGGGTGTCGTCGGCCGTTAAACGCCGCCTGGAGGACGTCAGGTTTGAGAAAGTCCGAGCCTTGTTCGCAACCAGAAAGCTCGCCCTGTCTACCAGCCTGATCATGATCATCTGGGGGTTGATAGGCTTGGGGTACAGTCCACGACCATCAATTATTCAACAGGAACTGACAGATGCAGGTATCCTTTATACAATGCATTCTTGCCCTACATTCAGGCCACAAGAGGAGCCGACTTTGGGGACGGGTCAACCTACCTGACATACCGGAATTCACTCATCATCGCCACGCTCGGAGTACCGGGTGCCCTGATTGGCGGATTGCTGGTTGAGGTACCTCGTTTTGGGAGAAAGGGGACGCTTGCACTGTCGACGGCAATGACAGGAGCGTTCTTGTATGCCTCGACGACGGCCCTGGACTCGCAAGCCCTCCTGGGCTGGAACTGCGCCTTCAGCTTCAGCAGCAACGTCATGTACGCCGTTCTGTATAGCTTTACCCCGGAGCTGTTCCCGACGCCGCAGAGGGGAACAGGGAACGCGCTTAGCGCGACGTGCAACCGCATCTTTGGCATCATGGCGGTAAGTAATTGCCCCCTGCCCAGATGCAATGCTGCCAAATAGTCCAAGCTGACAGACGAAACAGCCCATCATTGCCATGTTCGCCGACCTTCGGACTGCTGCACCTGTGTATACCAGCGGCGCGCTGTTTATTGCTGCGGGGCTTTTGGTTCTCGTACTACCGTTTGAGTCGAGGGGCAAGGCGGCATTGTAAGAGATTACATCTTCCTCCGTGATGATGGATGTAATCTGTAGTTGTACAGTCCACGTAGAATCTCGCGGAATTGGCGATTCATGGCAATTGGTGGCTGCCGGGTGTCAAGATATGAGCAGCATGAGTTAAAGAAATGGTGATCGGTTACGGGGCTCGCCGGGCCGTTATGTCCTTCCTGCCGGGCCGTCACCAACTGCTCAAGATCCATTTTCGCGAGATCGTACGACGGGAGCCTCCACTTTTGATGACATGTACCGTACAACTAGAACGTCTGACATGAGACCTGTCATCCATCATCCGAACCACCCTCACGCCTGAGAATTCTCCCAAATCCTAAACATCATTAAATAACAATATCATTGCCAATCATAGCAAATAATACCCCACAGAATAAAACAAAAAAGAAACAAACAATGGCCTCCGACCACCCAACCCTCGTACACCGCACCCTCCAAACCACCATTCCACTAGTGAGCTCCATAACCGCCGGCCTCTCCCTCTCCCTCTCCTTCTTCATGGTCCCCCGACTCCTCGAGGCGCCGGTGGCCGTGATGCTGCAGCAGTGGCAGTGCACCTACCGGCAGGGCGCGGTCACCATGGTCCCGCTGTGCCTCGTGTCTGGGGTGTCCTACCTCTGGCTTGCGCTGCAACATACCTCATCATCGTCGGCGGCCGGTGCGGGCATGTTGTCGTCGTGGCGCGGAAAGAGTTTCCTCGCCGCGGGGCTCCTCACGGCCGGGGTGGTCCCCTACACGGCGGCCTTCATGATGGGCACGAATCGAAGGCTGATGGAGCGCGCTGACCGGGAAGCGGCGGCCAAGGGGAAGGTGACGGAGTTCAGCGACAAGATTCTGGAGCAGGAGAAGAGTGCAAAGGCTCTGGTGGACTGGTGGGGCGTCCTGAATCTAGTGAGGGGCGTTATGTTGACTGTTGGCTCTGCGTGCGGGTTGGCGGCGGCGACGGCGACGGCGGCCTGAGTTCGTGGCTTGAGTTTGGGTGGTGGGGAGTGAAGATGCGTTGAGGGGTGATGGATTGGAGGAGCTGAGAGTTGGCTAGCTCATGAAATGGCTCTCTTCAGGGACATGCGTCTTCGCCGAGGGCTTCCGGAGTTACTAGACATTTCGAGCGGCTAGGTCTGATGGTTACCGTAGGTGTTCATTGGCCCTTTGTTCGATAGGAAGTCGATTCCGTGCCAATGATGGCTAGACCTGGATTTCATTATTGGTGTTTCGACTGTGCGGGGCGGTTGCTCCCAAGGCGAATACTCGGGGCAGCCCCAGGTCTGAGAGCATTGAAACAATGGCAAGACATGGACTGTGAAGCAATTGACAATGAAGAGACAAGATTCACCAACGGTATCGTTTATTTCATTGACACTCCATACCATAAGTGATTGATCGTTCACCCTAATAACGCTGCCCAAGCACAAGTTAATCATGCAGGGATTTGCTGAGCAGGCTTGGCTCCATGCATCAACCGAGTTGTCGGGTCGAAACCGCCTCCGCCGCTACGCCTAGTGGATACCACCTTGTCCGTTTCTGTTTCCATCTTGGGAAAGATCTATTTCCGCGAGCCACCGCTGCTTCCAGAAGATCCCGACGACGAGCCCGAGCCGTAGCCAGACGAGTAGCTGTAGCCGCTCGGGGCGGTGTAGGTCGAGCCACCGTTGCCATTGTTATAGTAGGTGCTTCCGTCGGGATTGGAGTAGTAGTACGAGCCATTACTGTGACATGGTTTGGTTGTCAGCTCAGTTCTAAATGAGGTTGATCCTGAGCGAATACTGATGGGTAAGGTAGAACTTACGCATTCGAGTAGTGGTACGAGTTGGAGCCATTGCCGTAATCGCGCGAGCACCAGTGATTGCCCTACGCCGGGTGTGCCGGTGATTTAGCACTCACGCTTTTCCAGCAGGGAATGAGCGGGAACGGTCAACGAGCTTTGGTCGATACTCACCTGGCTGTTGGTGCCGCTGCCGTTGTAAGAATACCCCTTGCCAGACATCTTGGCTGCTTTCCGTCAAGTTTTGCAAATGCGAGCAAGTCGGATAGAGAGCAAAGTGTTGGAATTCTGGTTGATGAAGTTCAGAGAATGGTGAATGGGAGGGGAAGAGGATGGGGACGGGCGAGGGGCCTATTTATTAAACTACTAGGCAAACGAAATTGGTAAGGTAGATAACGTCGAGAAAGAAGACAGGAGCAAGCGCATCTGCATAACTGCACTGAGGCCGGCAACTGCAGTGTGAGCCACAGACCATAGAGCGAGCTCCACTGACCCAAGCTTACACGTTCAATCGCCGAAACCTTCACTGTACCTATGAGACGAGTCCACGCACCTACCTAGATTAACGTAGCTGTAAACGTGTCAAGTGTGGCTGTTTGACTTGAACATGACGGGCACCTTCCTCGCATGCCGGTACTGTATGGTATGGACGTAGGCAGGCTAACAAGTCAGAGCAAACTCATCAATCCTGACTCACTCACATGCACCATTGTCCACAACAAAGTCAATGAGGGAATGCAGCATCTTCTCTATTCACAGCCGGGCTGTGGGGTATCGCTCGCGGCGCAAGTCTATCCAAGGAACTTTGGTCTATAGATTGCCCAGCTTCTCGTCCTCGAGCTCCGCCAGGTACTTTTCTGCATCCAGTGCTGCCATACAACCGGATCCTACAAAAAATTAGCATGCCTGTCGCTTGCCGAAACAAAGGGAACCACATACCTGCACTCGTAATGGCCTGCCGGTACCTCTTGTCCTGGACGTCACCAGCCGCAAACACGCCCTCCACGCTGGTGTATGTAGTCCCCGGCTTCGTCGCCACGTAACCCTCCGCGTCCGTCTCGAGCTGTCCCTTGACCAGGGCTGTCGCCGGGTCGTGGCCAATGGCGTAGAACAGCCCGTTCGCCTCGAGCGTCTCCTCCTGGCCAGTGACGACGTCCTTGACCACGAGGTGGCTCATGAGGCCCTTCTCGTCGCCCTTTGCCTCGACGGCGACCGAGTTAAACCGCACCGTAATCTTCTTGTTGGCCAGCAGCCGCTTGGCCATGATGGTGCTCGCGCGCAGCTTGTCCCGCCGCACGAGCACGGTAACGTGGCTCCCGTACTTGGTCAGGAACATGGCCTCCTCGGCGGCCGAATCGCCGCCGCCGATGACGACCAGCGGCTTGTTCCGGAAGATGGGCACGGCGCCGTCACACACGGCGCAGGCCGAGATGCCGTTCTGCCAGTACTTGTCCTCGCCGGGCAGGTGCAACCGCCGCGCCGACGCGCCCGTGGCGAGGATGACGGCGTCGGCCGTCCTCACTGTGCTGGGATCCCACTCGGTCCAGTACTGGAAGGGCCGCTTCGACAGGTCCAGCTTTGCCACCGTCTCGGTGATGATTTGTGTGCCGAAGCGCTCTGACTGCTTGCGCATCCTGTCCATGAGTTCCTGGCCCATGATGGCCTCGGGGAAGCCAGGGTAGTTCTCGACCTCGGTGGTGGTGGTGAGCTGGCCGCCGGCCGCGGTGCCGTTGGCCATGAAGCCCTCGTAGAGGACGGCTGTTGCACGAAGGCTGTTAGCATGACTTTTGGAATGCGCGGGGAGCCGGGGAGGGATTGCTCACGCTTCAGCTCGGCGCGAGCCAGGTAGACGGCCGCAGTGTGGGCGGCCGGCCCGGAGCCGATGATGACTACCCTGCTATGCATCCTCCGCTTGCTGATGGTGTGGATGTCGCACTTGTAGGGGGTGATCTCTCTGGAGAAGGTTGCGACAGCAGCGACCGACAGACCCGTGGCGCCGGAGCGGAGGGTGCGTCTTAAGTATGAGGAGAACAGTTTGGCGGCTTGTGTGGGGTTTGGTCTGGGACGGGAATTCTTCAGGCGAACGGGCAGAACTGCGAGGGCGATAAATACCTGACTAGTGTATGGGGTTTTTGTCGAACCTTCATGCCAATTCCACCGCAAGCACGTTTTAATAAGCCACCCGCGGATGCGCCCCCCTTTGTCGCGAACGTGGGGTTCAATCCCTGAAAAAAAGACGGGATGGCGGGGCTAAGTTGTCCCTGAAGATGGGTTAGGGTTACCGGACGCCGATTTCGCTAGCTATTTTTGGTATCAACTTTTAAGGGTCTCGTTGATTGATTCAAAATCCCACCTCAAACCGACTTCTCCTCGTACCGAAATATCGGCCGCCGGTTCTCGAGACGAATCTCGGTGCGTGCGCAACTGTATGACGAGTGAGATTCAAATCAGTGGCGGCTTGGCCGAGCCGTCTATAGGATTACCTGACACTTTGACCTACTCAGTACCACGTGGGCATTGGGCCATGATGCCATCGATGGCTTTGCTGCCTCTTTGGCCCTTGACCCCTGAACAGCCTCTGGCGCTTGAGGGAGAGTTACCAGAAGAAATGAGAACGATGGTATCTGGTTTGAACCAACACAGATGTACTTGGCGCACGAGACAATGCTACACAAGGATAAGCTCCTCAAGATCCTCTGGGCTACTCCGAGTGGACTTGATATCATCCCACATCCTCTCCTCCACATAGCACTCCCCGATTAGATAATGCGCCCTTTTGCTATCCGAATACTCGACGCCGTCTCCCACCTCTCGAAGCAAAAAGGGTACGCTCGCCGACGGGCAAGCATACACGGCATCGCCGACACATGCCTCAAGGGGGCCGAGACCCAGGTATCCCGTATCGGTTGCGAAAAGCCTCCGTTCATGACACCTCTCCCACATCATGACCGAGTAGCCAAACGAAGCCCGGAAATCAATCTTGTCGAACCTGGGCCCCGGTTGCTCCGTGCCGTTCTGTTCGGACTGGCCGCCCCTGACTAGTGCATCATCAACGGTCTGGTACTTACTCCTCGATGATTCGCTGTAGGTGGTGATATCCTTGTCGAAATAGTAATACCATCCGGCGCCTATATCCTGGGCGAGGACAACGTCATAAAACTGTTTCGGTGCGAGCGGGTCGTAATAGCTGGCCCTGGTGAAACCCGGAACCAGGCGCTTAGAGATATCAATCCATTCCGTGAAAGGAAGTGATTCGGGATACCGGGCATCGCAAGGACTTCCGAGTTCTGCAATCTTCCCAAGAAGGATTCCTCCCGTGTGCAATTCGTACTTGTCCGTTGTCTGGTTGCGAACCAACTGGAACGCGTGGCTCTGCGATGCGGGAGACGAGGCCTGGTCGGAGGGTAACCATGGGAGGACTTCTTTCCAGCGGTCGCGCCGGCCAAGAGAGCCTTTTTGACACCCGGTACCCAACATTGATCGTCGAGGAGGGACGGTCCAGTCCGGGACCCAGGAGGGTAGTCCGGGCGTGTTGGGTGGACCCTGCACGGCGCAGAGCAGTTGCAGGCCCCAATACGGGAGCAGGTAAGATGCGCAGTCAACAAACACTTTGGCCGTGGGGTCCGCGTAGTTTGGCTCCAGGGCAATAGGACTCCGGGAGGACGAGAGCAGGGCGAGCAAAGCGTATATTTTATCCCGTGGATCGGTCGCTTCGCATCCCCGCGAGCGACAGAGCACCTCAAACATGACGATCTGTCTGTCGAAGGGGTCAAACGGAAGCAGCCGCGGACCGTTCAGACCCTCTGAGTCTTCGTCTGTTGCTCGAGTCGGAGTCTCGTCGTTCGCTTCCAGCCTCGGCCAGAACTCCGTCTTCTTCGCCCGCGCCACGAAAGGGATGTCTAGCGTCTTGAGGGATACCTTGTTCCCGTACACATACTTCGAGGCTTCGTTAGCTGCCTGGGCGCACATGGCCCTCATACCCTCCCACGGTATTGTTTTCTCGCCGCACACAACTGTCGCCTTCCGCGCCAGCAAGGCTTCCTGAATGACCCACACGCGCCGAAACCACGGTCTGGCGAACAACTGCTTAACAGCTCTGTATAGCCGATCGCCATCGAGGCGCTCTAGAGCCGGCGACCTATTGGTGGCCGGCTCGTGGAGGTCACTGATGTATTCCATGGCTATATCACTGTCGCCACCGGCCACGCCAAGGAAGATGATTACGCATGTGGCAGCGGAAAAGATGCGGCCCATGAGACTGAGCTGGTGGTGCCGCTCCCCAAGGTTGCCTTGGTCGATACAGATGGCATCGATCCAGAGCTCGCGAGGTTCCGTAGTTCGTAGGCGGTGGAGAGCCGTGAGACAATTGGCAGTGACAGAGAACCGGGTTGTCGTCGTAGGTGTAGGTGATGAAGATGGTGACAGAACGAGAATCTCCCCTCGCTCGAGGGGGTCGCCCCAAGTGTATGAGAGGGCTTCATACGATGGCGAGGACGTCATGTCAACCACGAGAAACTCACATTCGATGGGGCCGGAGCCAGGAAGAAGGCGGATCAGTCGAATTTCGTCGACATGTCGAAGCTCTGGGCCGGGGTACGTATAAGCGCCGGAGTCGACGGATACTCTGTGTGAGGAATCGATAGCCATCATCGAGCATACTTCAGAGAACGCGGTTGTCGAATGCAATAACGAATATTTATATTCATGGATAGAGTAAGAGAGGACGGAAACTGTTAAGACGTCTGGGCTATTAGAGTGGAATGAAATGAAACTGAATGAAAACGGTGTTTAAAATTTCATTCGTAGTTGCCTAAAGATGCAAGTGGATGTCTCTCTGCATGGGCTCTTGATGCAAGAGCGGCCAAGGCCAGTGAGGCGTTGAGTGCATGTGCTGGTGCATGGCAGTGCTGCTTGGCAAGCCAGTGAGGCGATGTATGCACGAGGGTGCGGTTGTGCGGATTAAATGACAACAGAAGAGAGAACAGAACGAAATGGGAGAAAGATTGGACGTATGGATAGCGGGCAAACGTGAGATAAGTAGGTATGAATGGCCATCCATTCATGCAAGAATTCCAAACTCAGTTCCAAAGCCGGTTCACAGGGGGGAAACCGAGACGCCAATAAATGACTTCCAATTCAAGTGCAACAACTCTGTTAGTAGAAGTTGAAGTTAGCTTTTGGCAGATAAGATTCGATCTAACTCCCTCAATTGGACTTGAAAGAAGAATGGAACGTGAAACGAAAGAAGAGGAACACTGAGACCGAGAGCAACCTTCAGGGAGGCTCTTAATGTAGCCCAAATAAGTGAGCAAGTCGGCGAGGAGCGGTCAACCATAATGTCGTGGGCAGAAGCCTAGTATTGGTCACTCAGGTAGGTAGGGTATCATAGGTATACCAAGTCCTTGGTGTCCTGCTTTGGATCTTGGGAAGAATTTAGGTGCTCCTCAATCCTCATATCATCCGTCATATGCCTAGGTTCTCGTGTGTCAATGCACCCTGTCTCGGTGTCTCCTTGCAAGGTAGTTCAACTATCACCGCACATTCTGCTTTCCGATAACCTGGATAGGAGTAGTGATCTAGTGTCAATCCAAACAAATGCATCCCAGGAATGATAATAATAATTCATCCGGATCAGTTTAGTTGGTCCATAACGATCAAAATTCGCCCCTTTACAGCTTGCTTTGGGCCTCTTGAGGAATCTTGACCACCACTTTGCCCCATGTTTCCCTGCTCCCGAGAGCCTTGAGGGCGTCGGGAACAGTTTCGAGACCCACAAACTCCTTGTCCGTGAACTCGGTTGCCTTGAACTTGCCTTCGGATATCAGCTTCATGATGCCCTGCCAGACCTTGACGACCGTCTCTTTCTCGTGCACTGCATACTGTCCCCAGTGGATCCCAACCAGGCTGATGTTCTTCAGCAGGACCTTGTTCATGGCGACCTTCTCGATCGTGCCGGCGGCAAAGCCGACAATCAGGATCCGGCCGTTCCATGCGGTGCACTTTGTGCTTTTGTCGACCATGCCCACGGGGTCGTAGACAATGTCGACTCCTCTGCCCTTGGGCGTCAGCTTCTTGACATTCTCTGGCCACTTGGCATCCCGGTAGTCGACGACATGGTCGGCACCAAACGACTTGGCGACCTCGAGCTTGCGCTTAGTACCCGCTGTGGCGATAACCGTCGCGCCGAATGCTTTGGCAACTAAGGCTGCGAGTCAGTACATTGATGACAGACCCGGGGGATAGAGTGCGAACAAACCTTGAACGGCAGCAAGACCGACGCCTCCAGCGGCAGCATGCACAAGGACGTAGTCGCCCGCCTTCACCCCGGCACGGACAACCAGAGCGCCGTAGCTTGTAGGCGCTGTCACAAATAGTCCAGCTGCTTCGCAGAAACTCCATCCCTTGGGCATAGGCAGCATGCTAACCTCCTTGGCGACGGCCTTGGCCGCATATGCTCCCTGAGTCGCACCAAACACGCGGGAGCCGATGGGGAACCTGGGGTTCTTGGAGTTGGCGGGCGTGGCCAGCACGACCCCAGCGAACTCGGCGCCTGAGATCCATGGGAAGGCTTAAGGGCATGCATATTAGCGATTATTCAGCCTTTTGGAGAGCCCGAGGACGTGGTACCTACGTGGCTGGTGCTGGTATTTTCCTTGGATTTGTAATATGTCAAAGAAGTTGGTTGCCGCGGCGTGCACCTCAATCAGATACTCATCTGGCTTGGGTTTGGGGTCCGGCAGCTCGGTGACTTTGAGCTCATGGGCCCCCTGCGGATGTTAGCCAGCAAGAAGCTCGGAATGGCAAGATTGTTCTCACCTTGACGTACTGTGTCAACTGGATGCCTCTCATTCTGGATCTGACCTTAATCACGTATAAGTTATAACAGTAGGATGTCCTGCGAAAGAGCTGGATAGGCGGTTTATAACCGATGCCTGTTATCAACAAAGCCGGATTCATCCGATGAACTGCTCGGATTGTGAGGGTTAACCACGGCGGTGACCAGGCTTACACTACTTTATGTAGTCCAACCCACAAGGTGCTTCCAAGGGGCGAATCGCGGGGCCAGTTATCCGAGCCGAGGCATCTATTTGAGCACACTGATTGGCCGCTCACCTTGCCGACCTTCGGTGAACCGACGTCAATCCATCCGTCGTGGGCAATCTCGAATCGACAAAGCGAACTCAACACCTAACAGTTTTTTTGTCCACCACAGACCTGCCAAAGCAGAACCGAGGGCAGCCTATGCTCTTTCACCGTCGATTGCGATAGCAAAATCCGAAATCAGCGCCCCTCATACCCTCGAGCATACGGAAAATATCTCCTGACAACGCCAAACCAAACCTTTGAAACAAGGTCAAACCTCACCAGTGCGACAGACTAGTGCACCACCAAGACAAGATGGCGACCGCGTCGCCGCAACAAGCCTCACACACACCAACCTCCCCGCTCGCCTCACAACTCCTCTCGCACACCTACCCATCCTACACCTTCACCTTCACCCCGTTCCTCCAACGGACCTACCAGCACAGCCTCCCCGCCGATCGGCCCATCTGCAAAGCATACCAATCTGGCAACTGCCCGCTAAAATCCCACTGCCCCGAGCGGCACACGGGCCCAACCAGCAACCAAACACAGCGCGATGGCGGCGGCGGCGGTTTCGGCTCCCTAGTCTGCAAGCACTGGCTGCGCGGACTCTGCAAAAAGGGCGAAACATGCGAGTTCTTACACGAGTATAACCTGCGCAAGATGCCCGAGTGCAACTTCTTCGTGCGCAACGGCTACTGCAGCAACGGCGACGAGTGTTTGTATCTGCACATCGACCCGTCCTCGCGCCTGCCGCCGTGCCCGCACTATGACCGCGGGTTCTGCCCGCTGGGCCCGCGCTGCGACAAGAAGCACGTCCGCCGGCGGTTGTGTGTCTATTACCTCGCCGGGTTCTGCCCCGACGGCAAGGCGTGCAAGGAGGGCGCGCACCCCAGGTGGGTGCCCGACGGCGAGCTGGAGAAGCCCAAGGCTAGGGAGGAGAAGAAGAAGGATGAGGGGGCGAGTGCTGGGGGTGGGTTGGATGGAGGGGATCAGGAGCGGGAGCGGGAGAGAGAGATGCAGCAGGATCGGGCGGGAAGTCAGGGGGAGAGGGGGCATGATGGGCGGGGACATAAGGATCGGTTTGGAGGAGGAAGGGGGGGTAGGTGGAGAGGTAAAGGAGGTCGGTTCAGGGGGAGGGGGCATTAATCTTGCCGTTCTGATTAGGAGTTGCGTTTGGGGTTGCAGTATATTACTGCCTTAACCAGATATTGGTCTGTCTCTTCCAGAAGGGAGTAGGCCTGCGTAGTGAGCGAGGTGTTCCCGTGCCATTCCATGCATATCTACAAATCCACTATCTGCCACAAACCACTCTCTTCAACCCTCTTTCCAAACATTTACTTCGCTGGCCGTCGCCAGAGGCGGCACTGTGACGAACGATCCACTCCCAGTCTCTCCTTCCCCATCACTGCCTGCCGACCTAGGGCTGCCGAACGCCGAAGACCCGTTATTCCCCTGCCACATGGGCAGCTCAGCCCTCCTAATGCCCATCATCCACGCGACCAGGCCCCGCGGCACCCACCGCCCAACAAAGCCATACACACTAGCGCCTAATCCGACCCGCACCGTCCCGCTGGTGATGGACCCGTCGATCACGTCAAACACGGCGTTGTGGAATTCCCGCAGTGCTGTTCCCCGCAGCCCCTTAATCCGGCCGGCGCTGATGGCCGAGCCGGACTGGGACACAAAGTTCCGTCCGTAGACGTGGCGCGCAGCGTCGGGCCACGGAAGAGCGTCGGCGTCCTCGGGAGCGGGAAGCAGACCGTGCTGGTGGAGCAGGCGCGAGTTGGCGGCCGGGGTGAAGCCCGCAAAGTCGAAAGTGCCCAGCTGCATGTGCGTCACGGGGATATCGAGAGGCCGCAGCTCCGCCGCGAGGACCTCGGTGAAGGCCGAGAGGGCCGAGCATACTGTCGCCTCCGGGGCGTGGAAGGGCGGGTTTATGGACGAGATGATGGACGGAGTGCAGACGAGGACTTTGGGGTTTGGCCGTTCTCTGTCGGCGGGGCTCAGACGCGCGGTGAGGAGCGGGAGGAAGGCTTGGATGGTGAGGATCGGCTGAAGTAGATGGGTGTTGAAGAGATCGGCAAAGCTCGATGGGGGTATGGTGGCGATTGGAGAAGTTTGGTAATTGAGCGATGGGATGAGAATCACGGCCTTTAATGAGAGATGATGCCGCTTGCCATTGGGAATGGCGGCGTGCGGCGCCTGGAGATAGCGCGCGAAATGCTCGATGGAGTTACCGGCGCTCGGGGGCTGAGGCATGTTAGTGTGCATGCAGGTAGAGCTGGTAGGAGAACCCACATCAGTGATGTCGATGCTTAACGGCCTTATGTCGGGCCGCGACAGGTTCTGGATCATGCTTTCATCCTCATGGCTGCCGGCGACGATGAAGACTATAAAGCCCTTCCTCTCCAAGTCCAACGATAGTGATCGCGTCAGGGGCAGTGCTGGAGACCCGGCGATGACGACCACCTCCATCCGTCCTCCGCTGCGTGCCCGTTTGGCGCGACGCGATTTACGCCACAGCGCACTGCTCCTGTATGACCGGTAGGCCACGGCGCCGGTAGCCAGAACTATGAAGCCCACCAAGATCTTGTGTTTCGCGATCCAGTTCTGGGCTCGCTCCAGGGCGGATGTCGGCAGAACAACAACCGGGGCAGGCGGGGGCGGCCGTGGCCGTAATTGTTTGGGCAGCCATGGCGACGAAGCGAGTGCCTCTCTTAGTGTTTCTGCTATTTGGTCGACGTGTCGGTCAACAAAGTCGGCCACATCGCTCGAATATCTCCGGATGTCGTTTGGCAGGGATGATAACTAAAAACAGGCATTGTCACACATCAGTTTGCAGCTCGGCCATGAATCACGCGTCGCGGGGTGGAGGGTCATACCACGTCCAGAAAAGCCTGGTCGTCTGCAGACATGATGGGGATGTGAGATTTAAATATGCTTCACTGGTCTCCACAGCATCGATGAGGGGAACGGGTGATGCATTCATACAGCGGGCTCGCAGGATGGACAACAATCACACCGTCTTGAAGTTCTTTATCGGATATCAGAAGTTGATTGTTATCGTTATCGTTGGGAGACGGGATTTAAGACTTGGGTCTTGGCACCCACCACAGCAACGTCACCTCCCGTTGGCCTGTGCTTAGGCTTTTTGCATCCCCTTCAGGTGTTGATTGGCCATGTTTGTGCACAATGCACTCAAATCTTCCTAGCCAAAACCCTCAAGCGCACATAGCCAAACACCCATCCTCCCTCAGGCTGGCGACACACTACCTCCAAAACATCCACCACCTCCCTCACACATTCCTCCCTCTCCCTCTCATCCTCAATTACCTCAAAGAACTTACTCGCCATCAGCCTTACCCACCCTTCCACCCCGCCCTGGTCCGCCCTCGTGGGCCTCCACTCCCTCTCAACGCGCTCCACCTTCCACCCGCCCACCGTCTCCTCCATCATGTACCTGACCCACTCCTCGTCGGGGAAGAACCAAGGGTCTGCCTCCTCGGCGCGCGCAAGGCCCACACGTCTGCCGACCGCGCTGAGCAGCGCCGCCCGGATCTCGGACACGTTGCCAAACCCGCCCATCTCAAAGGCAAAGGTTGCCCCCGGGCACAGCGCGTTGCGCACCCCGTGGAAGACGGCCGCGCGCGTGGTCGGCGGGCGCAGGATCCAGTGCAGCGCTGCGTTGGAGAAGGCTTTGGTGAAGGAGCCTGTTTGAAGGGACGCGGTGTTGACTAGGTCCGTCGCGTCGAGGACTGGGTGGGTGAGGTCAGTTGGTGACTCTTCTCCAGTTTGGGGGTTGGAAGGGGGGAGGGGGAAAACCTGCGTTGAAAGGTGCACGTATTCTCAAGTCCGACTGAGGCCACGGACTTTTGAGCTGCGGCAATCATGGCCGGGGAGCTATCAATGCCGTGGAGGGTGCCGTTGCCCTTGGAGAGGATCTGGCCGATCTCAACGTCTAGCACACCGTCTATATGGCCAAGGTGAGTCTGTGTTGTCCTAGCATGCTGTCCACTCTGGAAAGGGGCAGTTACCTCCGCAGCCAACGTCAAGTATAATGTCGTCCTTTTGCGGATCCAGCCATTGCACAATCTTGGTAGCCAACTTAGGGACAAACGAGGCGGCATTCTGGTAGGCCTGTGCCGGGAATCAGCATATCAACTGAACTGTCGGTGCCATGTGTGTGAGAGAGGCTTACCTCTGTCGACCAATAGTCCTTACCCTGCATTATATACCGATGGGTATCTGCGAGTATGTACAATACATATACAGGAAATCACCGGAAGACTGAGACAAGCAGGATTGCCTCCGAGGTGATGCTTGTTTCATAGGACAGACTACGCCCTTATATACATCACGCCGACTGGAGTCGGCTGGACCATCACCAGCAGCCGTACGCTGTAAATGGCAGCTAGAGGTGCTAGACCCGCAACAATCCTCCTGAGCAGAGGCCGATGTCGGCGCTCTTCGTCCAGAACGGCTGCGAGTGCAGCCACTTCCACACCTTGGAGTCGATCTCTGCAACCTAATGACAGGATGATGATAGGTAGGTATTGACTTGGTAGTGTCCGTGCTGCAGTCCGCAACGGAATCAACACCCTCTCGAACCTCGACGCTCATGGCGCAAGCCTTGCCAGTGCCTCATGCCGATGCAGCCCCTTCCACACAATGGCTGGCACCCTCCTCAGACCTCAGTGTCTACCCCACCGAAGCTCCCGTGACCCTCCGGACTAGTCCAGGGTGCTTACATCTAGCAGCTGGTACTTGTCTTCGCCGAGTGCGTCCTCCAGCCGCTTCATCACAGCGAGGACCTTCTCCTCCTCCAGCCGACGTCCGACTACCTGCACACCCACAGGCAACCCATGCATGCGCTCAGCGTCGTAGTGCTTGTAGGCTCCGCGCGCAACACCATTCAGCTTCTTGATGCTGAACGACGCAGGCAGCCGGTCCAATGTCTTGTCCACGTGGGTGATGGGGAGAACACCCGCGCTATAGTCGAGCTGTGCAGCATACCAGATTAGGCGAGCGTCCTCCAAGTGAATCATAACTCCAGCGCGACTCACCATGTTGAACAAGAAGGTGTACCCGCAGCTGCTGACCGCGTCTGCCATCCCATTATGCGGCACCGCAGGCGTAGCGTTTGGTGGTGAAATAATTACATCCAACTCTTGTTGATTCCACCACTCGAACCACCTCGCCCGGTACACCTCCCTTTGGCTGACGAGCTTCCACTGCTCAAACGCCGACTGAGCCCGCCAATTCCTTATCAGGCCAGCCCAGACATGGTCCTGCCGCACGTACTTGACCCAGAGATAGTACAAATACCTGACTGGCGCCCACAACCTCGCCAACCTGCTCATCTGAGCAGCCCCGGCATCGTTCCACTCCCCAAACCGCCGGAACGACTCAAACATTTGGCACCCGTCCGCGTTGAGCAGCAGCGACGCGAGCCTCAACCCCTCGTACATATCCGGCGCATCCCGCACCTCAACCATCGTGCACCCGGACTTGCGCAACGCCTCCTCCGCCATGGCCAACGCCCTGGTGCAGGCCGGGCTCGGATCAACCACGCCATCGGTCCTGAGAACCCCGACCCGCAGCTTCGTATCCGCCGCCAAAAACTCCTTATCCACCTCGTCCCTCCACGGCAGCGGATGCACCGTGTAATCGTACTTCCAAGGCCTCATCTCCGCCAGCACCGCCCGGACAAAGTACCTCAAATCCCCCAGCGTCCGCGCCATGGGCGAGTAGACGCTCGGCACGCCCTCCTGGCCGGGCATGCTGGTGCAGATGCCCGTCTTGGGCCAGCGCCCCGTCGAGCAGCGGAGGGAGTAGCACCCGGAGAAATGGGCGGGGACGCGCACGCTACCGGCAACATCGCTGCCGATACCGATCCGCCCGCCCATGGCGAGCAGCGCCGCCTCACCGCCCGTGCTCCCGCCGGGGGAGTAGTCCGTGTTGTGCGGATTGGCGGACCGTCCCCACACGTCGTTAGCGCTCTCAAAGCTGAGCAGCGTGATAGGGCAGTTGGTCTTGACGTAGGGGACCGCACCGGCGTCCTTGAGCAGGCGCACCATGGGCCCGTCGCGCGCCGTCTTGTTGCCCACGAAGGCGCTGTACCCGACCGTCGTGTCGTAGCCGGCCACCACGACTGTGTCCTTGAGGGACACGGGCACGCCCGCCAGCGGGCCGCTGGCCAGGTTGATTTCTCCTTTTTGGGTGATTGCTTCCTCGGCTGAGGATAACATCACCTCGGTAAGGCAGTTTGTGCGCGCGTGCGCCTTGAGTGCCACCTTGCCATACGTGCGCAGCACCGAGAGCGGCGATGTGGTCCCCGAGCGGATGCCAGCCACGAGATCTTCGATGGGCCGCGCCAGGGTGGCTTTGTCCTCTTCCGTGAGCTGGCCGTGGTAGGCGGTCAAGGAACGGATGCGGGCATCACGCTCTTGTTGTTTGAAGCGGCTGGTGGTTACAATATCACATGAGTAAAATGTGAGAGGCTGGAAATTGGGATATGTGGATGTGGTGCATCTGAAATGGTTATTCTGGTTGGGACACCACTCACCAATCCCGCCGATGCTGGAGAAACTCAAAGAGGAACATTGCGGTGTAACAGACGCTATGCTGGCGTGAGTTTTTGTGATTCTGGGCCAGCGATGAAACTCATGAAGCTTGTCGATCTGGAAGTGAGTGAGCGTTATTGGTGTGCAATGTGATAAGTGATTGAGATCCAACACTAGGTAGGTACTTTGGGCCGACTGGAGTAACAATCTCACAACCACTTAAAGCATTGAAGATCGGTAAAAGAAGGTCAATGACAACGAGATAGGACCTTGCCAGGGAGGTGTCTCGGTGAATATGTACCTTCATTATGTGCCTGAGTGTACCACCTGACCGTGTAAGTGATAAGATAACTGCTTGGTCGGAGTGTGGGGAAGAGGGGGTTGGCACTCAGCAGCTCCTCAGAGTCCCCACACGCTTTGGCGGAACTCCACCGTGTTACCTAACTGTCACCCTGTTCCGAGAGGCTGGCTCGCAGCCATTGAGCCGCTTGGAGCCGATGCCTGCCAAAGTCCACTCCTATCTCATGTCAGGCACGAATAACGGCATTAACTGAAATCCATTCCAAGATTGCTGTCATGGCTGGCAATTCGTCTCTGGCACCGAATCCGAACCCAATGCCAGCCATAAACAGCAAATCCATGCCAAAAGTCGATTCGTGCAGGCCATACTGAAAACCTGCGGCATCGGGTGCAACCCCAAATCCATACCAACTCCGCCAAATGCCAGCGCGGCCAACCGACCGCCACTCATAACGAGCGTCTCTGCAAGAGAATTCAACCATCGCAAAGACCTAAGCAAGCCAGCCCCAGATATTTTCCTAGCTCCTCAATATAACGCCCTATCCTTTTCTCGTCTATCATACATGCTATTTGCTAGCCACTGTCTTAGAATGTCCAGCAGCCCCTAACTCTTGGTCTCCTCGCTGCCGGCGCCAGACTGCTGCGAACCCTCGGTGACCGGGGTGGGCGCTATCCGTCTCCGCTTGGCCTGGCTGCCGGATTCGGTCGTCTCGCTGTCGCTCGTCTCTCTCTTGGTACCCGTGGGTGCTGTAAATGAGGGTTGGGGCGTCTCTGGAGGTGTTGTAATCGGAACGCCCACAACCTTGCTCGAATGAGTCGCGGCAATGCTGGGTACTTGGCCCGCTATCAACGGCGGATTTGTCAGCACGCCCCCCTGCACAGCGCCAGGCTGCGTGACAATTGAAGAGGTCGAGTTAGACCGTGCAGGTGACCCCGACCGTAGGCCGACAAATGGCGCCGTCATCGTTGGCGGAGAAGGAGCGGTGAATGAACTGGTAGAGTCCCGATGCCTGTGGTGAGAGCCGTTTGGAAACGGGGATGGCGGGGCAAAGACCGAGGTTGGCGTTGGAGCAGGTGTGTTTTGGCTAGAAGATATGCCTATTCCCGACTGTTTTGGGGGCCCAAGTTCACCCGTGTAGACGGTGCCTAGTTCTCCGGGTGAGAATGAAAGCGTCGAGCAAAATCCGTCTGAGGATGAGATCAACAGCGTCAGGCCGTCAGCAGACCTATCTTTGGATTAGTCCTAACCCTCTAAGCACAATGGGACCGAAAAACGAACCAGGCCAGATCTGTAAAAGTGGCGCAGTGCAGGTTGCTCACGATACAGATGGGAGTGTATTGCTGCGTGTCATACAAGAAGACCGAGTCTTGGGTTGCCACGGCGTAAATCATCCGGTACGGCAGTGTGAAGACGGCCTTGGGTCCTGGAGTTTGCACACTGGTTTCTAAACTCAAGGACTTCGAGGTTGAGGAAGATGTATCTACCGGGGCCGGAGGCGGTGGAGGCTCCATAACCGACGGAGCTGGCGACGGCTTGGACAGAGGCTCGGGGAGTGATGGAATCGGCTCCTCAGCAGACGATGTATCGATAGTAATGTGCTTGGTGACAGGCGGAGATTGCCTCAGCGTGTACACAACGGGAGAGCATCTCACTGCGACCGACGGCTTCTTGTGGCCAGGCAGGTGAGCGACGGGAGGCTTGTTGATGCCACCCCGCGTGTAAATGTAGACAGTATTGATAACCTCATACGTGGGCTTTCCACCTTCCACCTGGTGTTGAGTCTGGTACTGCCCAGCAGGTGTGAGGAGGAGGCTACCGTCGGGGGTGAACGTGAGTCTCCGGAAGAAAGACGTTAGCGTCTCGTTCGCATAGAGACTTGCACTCTTCATGCCCAAGCTCGTATTATTCAGGTGCGGCTTCGGAGACGCTTCAATCGGCATAACGGCCGGCAGCGGCATTGACGGCGCAGGCGAAACTGAACGCCTTGAAGAGAAGGATGACCTCCGGCTGTGGCTGATCACGCTGGGCGGATTCATAGGAAGCGCTATGGACGTTGGGGTTCCGGGCGCTGATGGAACCGGCGAGCCCATAGCGACGCCTGGAACAGCATCTACGGCCGCAAGAACAGACCGGTAGCTGAGTTCGGGCGGCGCTGGGCTGCTGGAGGATATCCGCCGCGGCGGAAGGTCCGCTTTGGCATGGCTCGCAATTTTTGGAGGTTTGTCGTCGTGACTGTGGAGCGTGTATTGGCCATCCTTAGTCTTGAGCGAGTAGATGTGGACGGACCGATCTGATGACTGAGTTGCGATATACTCGTTCAATGGGTCCCAAGCTACACCCTGAACGTAGTGGCTGTGCTCGGCAATCTGGCGCACGAGAGTACCTGGGCAAGCATGAGAAAACGGGTGGCCGAGCGATTCCCATAAGTCAAAGCATACCTGTGCCAGAGTTGTAGATCCGTGCAACATTATCCATGCTTCCAATGATGAAAAACGAAGCATCCGGTGACCAAGCGAGATCGTATATCTCAGTCCCCAGAGACCGACACATATGCTTTATCCGCCATGTTTCCTTGTCGTCAAGGCCATCGGAGCCAAAAGCTTGATGGGGTGGCGCGTCCGAGGGAACCCATAATATAACGTTGCCATCATCACCGGCAGATGCCAGGAGTTCGCCTAAGAAGCACGTCAATACCGCCGTTGTGGATCGACACTGGAGTTATGGCTCACCCTTTGGGGCCCAGCGGACGACATTTACTGCTTGTGTGTGCTTCGAGAGCGTCGCTAAGTATTCGACCCGTCGGTCCTCGCCATCCTCTTCGATCTTCCATAACTGCCGTTGTGTTAGCGCAGGTAACAAGCGGGAACAAGGGACAAGACGCTGCACGATTTCGACAGACTTACTCGAACATTGTTGTCTCCTGCACCCGTGGCCAAGCGCCCTTTGCCATTGGGCTCGAAGTGGGCCGAGTAGATGGGGTAAGGGTTATTGTTGTCATGGTGCCAGTTCACAATCAACGGAGTGGCCTTCATTTTGAAACCGAGTTGGTTGCAAAGTGCTTGTCATAGAGGTGCAGGGAATCAGAGCTCCAGTGCGTCTTCAGTTCGCAGCTGTGGTCTTGAACGTTGCAATCGAGATTGAGTAAAGCCTTGGGAACTCGACTAATTAATGCAGCGCGTAGGGCAATCAATCGGCGGTCTATGGGGGAAGGCTGGCTTCTCGTCGGTTCGAGTTAAGGTGATGTTGGTGGAAAGTATCCGTAACTAAAACGCGGGACAATAGTGGGAGCTTGCAGCTTGTACAATACCCCAATAAAGCGCAAGCTCAAAGGGATGGAAGTTAAGGTAGGGTCAACTGCTGAGCTTAAAAAGTGCAAGCAATGAAACAAGAGTCAGGTGCACGCGCACGCGGTCGGAATACCAGGGTCAAAGCACCAAGTTTCATACACTAGGAGTGTTGTGCACACCGGCTTCGAATCCTGAAATGGGACGTGTTGAATTGCAAGTTCACGCATCCGTGAACCCCTTGAGATGAAGCGTATGATGCTAAAATGGTTAATTGATCTTTTCTGCCCACCGCGCTTCTCGCTGGAAGTCGCGTTTGGCGTCGAGAACGGGCCAATCAGATCAGCACAATGCGTCTGTGGAGACGGGACACCAGAGCATCGCTCCCGCGCCCTTGACGGCCCCGGGCTGTCACTGCCCGTCATTCGGATACAATTAGGTAGCTCCGTATCTCACTCAACACTCAACAGTCTCAACCCAGCGCTGAGCAGACAGGGCAAGAGATGACATTAAGACTTTAAAGGACGTTCAAAACTGCATTCCGTCTTCGGGGTCAAGATGGAATAGACTTTTACCTATTAACATCAACTGAAATGCGTCCATCTCTCTACGTCCGTATGTACCACCTTAGCCTCATTACGTAGCTGCTTCAAAACGACAGGGCTCTCTTCCCAGCTCACAAGTCTCAGATATGGCCTGCCCGATAGGCACTGATGCCTCCATCATTTTTTCAACGGCCAGGTTCCCGGCACATAACGGCAACCTTTCGTGGGAGCTATGTATTGAAGGCTTTGAAGCTCACAGGATTGGCGAGTGAATCGTTATCTGGCGGATCAATGCGTGTCAGCCGGAAGCCTGCAGGAGGTCAATACTACAGTAGCACAGTCCAACGGAAACTCCTCATTGACCGACTCATGGGGCCGTTCAAACCCAGCCGATTCGCCAATTGCTCTCATACTTGCGGTGACTCTCGATGCGACTCTTCGGTAGAGGCGGCGTTGGGGCTACGGGTTAAAAGACAGGTGAGTATTGCTTCTGATGAGGATATTATTCTCCCTCGACCTCTGGAACCAAGGCCTCAAGCGGTCGCATCATGCATGTACATTGTACAACAGTGGAGTACATGGTCCCTTCCTCTCGGACTCTCACCACACCTCGCAATCATGCTACAGTACTGTATGTAGCGAGATGCTCAATGAATCGGTTCACCGACACCACCTCAGACTGCCGCGAAGATGCCTGCCCTGCTGGGCTGCCAAGACTCTTGCTGTAATTACTGTAAACCATGTCAAGTTTCCGGGTCGTGCTCTGTACAGTACGTGTATTTAGATTTGTAAGTACGGTATTGTACCGTACATACAGTTACTATGAGCCTTCGATTGACAACGAGGGAATGAAACCAGGCCTCTGAACTCAACTGTAGCAATCGAGGGACGCTTCCAGGATATCATACTCGAACCCCCATGAACCTTAAAACCGTATGCAAGGTGCGTATCCGTATATAGCTGTAGACTCGGTCCTACGAGGCGGGAATCTCATAGCGCACGGCCCCGTGTCCGGTCCGACCGGGATGGATCCGTAATACCGTCGTATGGACGAGTCTGCGCCGGGGTGACGCACGCCGGAGGGATCGCTACCAGGGCAGCACACCGCTGGAATGGACCGCCACCTGCAGTTGGTAATAGTGTCGTTTGGAGATGGGCTCGGTTGGATTTGCATCGATATCGGGATCCCTACCTAGGTATCTACATATCGCGTTGCGATGTTCTCCTTTCATGGGTAGGAACGGGGGCTAATCCCGTCTCCAATGTACATACATACATACATGTAGAAGTGCCGCCGGCTTTTTGCTGACAACATAGGAAGGTCGTTTTGCCGGTTCTTTCGGGTTGACACATGGAGGTTGGGAACGCGGCACCCCGCAATGTATGAAGTGTAAAAGAGAACACTCGCATACCCTGTGACTGTCACTTCTGTTAGTGTTTTGCGGTGTGCAGCAGGGACAGCGGGTGATAACAATTACCCGAGTTTACCTACACTTTCTATACTAGGGCTGCATGCCATGCGGCCCCTCGCTCTTGCTGCTGCAGGTTTGACAGAAGACTCAACGCTCCCCACCATCCCAGAGCTCCTTCGCCGCGTGAGTCAGCTTCAAGAAAGACTCGACATGCCTATACAAGAAAAGCTTGCAAGCAACATGTGGTCCCCAGGGAATATTGGTCTTCTGTTTTCCCTCCTGAGCTCTTCAAGACAGGACCTTCATCCCATCTTTGGGAATCCACTTTCAAGATACATAAAGTATTACAATATAAATGTAAGTTGAAGGTTTGTAATCATTTGAAGAGACCAAGTACTTCGTTTGTGGATGGTTCTTCTCGCCTCTTCTTCCATCTTTCCCGGCCCCTAAATCCGACAGGATCCGATTAGATTGTGGTCCTTGTGGATTTTCACTAGGCATACCTCGTGGCAATCTCTTTTTAAACATTAATAAGAGAGCGCTCAAGAACTGCTAAACCTTTCTGATAATTCCAAGAAAAAAAAAACCGGTTCAAACGCAAGGGGAGCAGGTCGGCGCGCCGAGAAAGACTCCGCCGCCGAATCGCCCGCGCCCTATAACATTCGGCGGTATTCAGCCGGGCATTATCGCATCTGACAATGAAGAACACTGGCTCGTCGTTGACAATCATCGAGACGGGCGTCGCGCTCATTGTACTCTGCTCCATCCCCGCCGCGTCTGCTCTCGCGAAACAAGTCGGCAGGCGAGACGTGAAGCAAGACACGTACGAGGACGAAGATGGCAAGGCGACACCGGAATCGATAAAAGCCTACTCGGCCAAATTGCCCAAGATACTTGTCCTTCTGTCGGCTGCAGGTGGTTGCGCCGTCTCCATTGCCCACCTCCTGCTGCCGCTGCGAGCAGACATCTCTCCTCTGCTGAATGTGCTGCTGGGTATAGCGGCTTGGGTAAGTCAACGAACGACTGACTGACTCGTCCCTGCACTCTGCCGGAGCGCTGACCCATCCTACAGACTCTCTTGCTGCTCCAGGCTGTGGCCATAGCTTCGAGCAGGAACTCAGTCCAGGCTTATAACCTCGGCACCTACACATTCCTGTCATCTGCAGTCCTTGCCGGCATTCTCCTCATTCAGGGCACCAAGGTTGCCGAGTCTCTGCTGCACTCTTGCCCCGAGGCCTTTGCTCTCCGCGTGACTGAGTTCGTTCTCAGTCTATGCCTCGCCATCTCGGCCTTGTGCATCCCCAGGCGGCCCGATGTATTCTACAATGGCGAGTTGGTGGATAGAATGTACACTGCATCCGCCCTAAGCCGCTTCACCTTTGGCTGGCCAGTGGACATTCTCAAACTCGCCACAAGAAAGAAAGACCTGGACTTGGTCGACCTTACTCGACCTGACCATTTTACACGAGCTGCTTCTGTGTCTGCCAGTTGGAAGAAGCGTGAAAACCGTCACAGCCTCTGGCTTGACCTGATCCTGGCGCATAAGGATGCCTTTGTTCTGCAGTGGTTCCTGACCCTCTGTACCTCCGTCTTGAACTTCGCGCCGCAGTGGGTAATCCTGCAGCTGCTGCAGTTCCTCGAACGTCGCCAACCCGGTGTCAACCATGGATTGGAGGCATGGATATGGGTCGTTTGGCTCGGAGTGGCTATTATCGGGGGATCCTGGGTCGAATCTTACGTGTTTTGGTTGTCCTACTCAGACCTCCACATCCCGGTTCGCGCTCAGCTCTCTGCCCTTATCTTCGAGAAGGCGATGCGCAGGAAGGATGCCAAAGGGACCGGCAAAGCCAACAAAAAAGCCCAGGCCGACCATGCAGAACCTGCAGAGCCTGCAAACGGAGCGGCGTCTTCAGGGCAATCCGAGTCGGAAATCGACCCGGATGACTCGGAGGAACTGAAGAAGAGCAAGCAGAGCACTGTGAATCTGATCGGCGTGGACGGAAAGAGGGTTTCGGACTTTGCGGCCTTTCAGTACTTGTTCCCAGGGAGTCTCTTCAAGCTCATCGTGTCACTGGTCTTCTTGGTAAGCCTTCTCGGCTGGAAACCACTGTTGGCCGGGTTCTCTGCCATGCTCGCCATCATCCCCTTCAACGCCTACTTCTCCAAGAAGTACGCCGCATCCCAGGACCGTTTGATGAAGCTCAGAGACGAGAAAATGGAGGTCGTTACCGAAGCCCTGCAGGGAATCCGACAGATCAAGTTCTCGGCTTTGGAACCGGACTGGGAGAAGAAGATTGGTGGCGTTCGAGAACGAGAGCTTGGCGCCATTTGGAGTGTCTTCATCAATGACACGGCGCTTCTCGCTTGCTGGGTAACAAGTCCAATTCTTCTATCCGCTATCTCCCTCGCTGTATACGCAGTCGTCAACGGATCGCTGTCCCCTTCCGTGGCCTTCGTTAGTCTCGGCATTTTCAAGGGTTTGGAGATGACATTGTCTATAATTCCAGAGCTTACCACAGATGCGCTCGACGCCTGGGTTTCCGTCAAGCGTATTGAAGAATACCTCAACTCTCCAGAGGTGTCCAGGATCGCCGAGGATTCGGACGAGGTTTCCTTTGACAATGCGTCCATTGCCTGGCCTTCGGACGAAAACCTCGACGAGCAGGAGAGGTTTGTTCTCCGCCACATCAACGTCACATTCCCTAAGGGCGAGCTTTCAGTCATATCCGGCAAGACGGGAACAGGAAAGAGTCTGATGTTGGCGGCGATTCTAGGCGAAGTTGACGTATTGGGAGGGACCTTATACGTGCCGAGACCTCCGCCGCTATCCGAGCGGCATGACGACAAGGCAAACAGGGGCAATTGGATCATACCCAGCGCCATTGCCTATGTTGCGCAGATCCCTTGGATCGAGAATGCCAGCATTAGGGACAATATTCTGTTCGGCCTGCCTTTTGACGAAGAGAGGTACAATAAAACTGTCGAGGTCTGCGCCTTGAAAAAGGACCTGGAAATGCTCAGCGACGGCGAAGACACCGAAATTGGGGCAAACGGCATCAACCTCAGCGGAGGCCAGAAGTGGCGTGTCACCCTTGCCAGGGCTATCTACTCCAGAGCTGGCATCCTAGTATTGGACGATATCTTCAGTGCTGTTGACGCTCATGTCGGGCGCCACATCTTCGAGAAGTGCCTGAATGGGGAACTTGCCACAGGCCGGACGAGAATCCTGGTTACCCACCATGTTGCACTTTGCGAGCCGAAGACGAAATATCTGGTGGAACTGGGCAATGGCGGTGTATTGCACGCTGGCTTGCTCTCGGAGCTCCAGGAAGGTGGGATCCTCCAGAAGATCAAGAGTCACGAGCAGACCTTCGAGGAGATCGAAGCGGACGAGTCGGCCACTGCAGTGAATTCAGAAAGCGCCTCGGCTGCGGAGCGAGATGGTATCAGTGAAGTCGCTCCGAAGAAGGTGACGCCAAAGCCCACGGCGCGCAAGTTCGTCGAAGAAGAGGCTCGTGAGCAAGGCGCAGTGCGGAAACACATCTACGTCACCTATCTCAAAGACAGTGGAGGCTGGTTATACTGGGCATTTGCGGTTATACTGTTCGCTGTCGTCCAAGGTCTTTCGCTTGGTAAGCCGAGGACCCTCATCCGTGAGGCATCTGACTATACTGACGGCATGCAGGACGATCATGGTGGCTCAAGATCTGGACGGGGAGCTACGAGGAGCAGCGCGTCCATGCTGGTCAGACCTCCAATAGCTCAACTGAATTCGGGTACTACTATGCCGACGGTGTCCGTCAGACCTCAATCCATGCAACGACCGCACCTTCGGTAGGATTTGAGGGGACCCTAACCTTTTATCTCGGAATCTACGTCGCCCTGGCGATCGCTTCCTCCATCATCAGCACCTCGAAGTTCCTATACATGTATATTGGCTCAATCCGCGCAAGCCGCAAGCTCTTCGCCAAGCTTAACTTTACCATCCTTCGAACCCCTATCCGATGGCTCGACACGGTTCCCGTCGGCCGCATCCTCAATCGGTACACGGCTGATTTTACCATCGTCGACTCGCAGTTGACAAACTCACTAAGCTTCGGGACACATTCGTTTATGGGACTTTTGGCAGTCATTGTCGCCGGTCTCTTCGTGTCGCCATACATTGTGCTCCTCGCCGGCATTCTCCTTGTCATCTGCCTCTACTTTGCGATCCTCTACCTTAATGCAGCCCGGCCCGTCAAGCGTCTGGAGAGTACAACCAAGTCGCCCGTCTTTGAGCAGTTCGGCTCGGCGCTCACCGGCGTCGCCACCATCCGCGGCTTCGATAAGGCACAGGTCTACGTGGACCGCATGTACAGGAGAATTGATGACTATTCAACCGCGACATGGCATCTGTGGCTCTTCAACCGGTGGATGGGCTGGAGAATGGCCCTGGTGGGATCTTTCTTCTCCAGTTTCGTGGCCATCCTCATCCTTCTGACGCCCGGGATCAACGCGGCACTAGCTGGATTTGCGCTTGCGTTTGCTCTCGAGTTTTCGAGCTCCGTGATGTGGACCATTCGGTTGTATGCCGCCGTGGAGCTGAACATGAACGCTGCCGAGAGGATTATCGAGGTATGCGAATCCTTTCTGGGACAGGTCTACTTATTACTAACCCTGATGTGGCAGTACACCGAACTGCCAACCGAATCACTTGAAGGCAAGCGCCCTCCCGCCGCCTGGCCTACCGAGGGTCGGATTGAAGTCAATGACTTGGTGGTCGGTTACGCTCCCGACCTGCCGCCTGTCCTCAAGGGCCTCACCTTCAATGTCAACAGCAATGAAAGAATTGGCGTTGTCGGCCGCACCGGCGCGGGCAAGTCATCCCTGACGCTGGCCCTGTTCCGATTCCTCGAGGCACGCTCCGGCAGCATTCACATCGACGGCCTGGACATTTCAAAAATTAGGTTGCATGACCTCCGCTCACGGCTGGCCATCATCCCGCAGGTAAGCTTCATCCTCTTCCTTTTCCTTTTCTCGAAACCCACCGCTAACCGTCTTCCACTTAAATCAGGACCCGGTACTCTTTTCGGGCACTGTCCGGAGTAACCTCGATCCGTTCAACAAGCACACCGACGCTGAGCTCCGCGATTGTCTCGAGCGTGTGCACCTCGTCAGCGACGGCGACGCCTCCCATCCCGGGTCGGGCTCGTCAACCCCTGCCGTCACCGCCCCACAAACGAACAAGAAGAACACAAACATCTTCCGCGACCTCTCCTCCCACATCTCGGAAGGCGGCCTGAACCTTTCGCAGGGGCAGCGTCAGCTGCTCTGCCTCGCGCGTGCCATTGTCTCGCGGCCGCGCGTCATGGTTCTCGACGAGGCCACGTCGGCCGTTGACATGCACACCGACTCGCTCATCCAGCGGTCAATCCGCGAGGAGTTTGGCGACGCCACGCTCATCGTCATCGCGCACCGTCTGAGCACCATTGCCGACTTTGACCGTGTGCTCGTGCTCAGCGACGGGCGCGTCGCCGAGTTTGGTACGCCGAGGGAGCTGTGGGAGATGGATGACGGCAAGGGCGGTATGTTTAGGGCCATGTGCGAGGAGAGCGGCGAGAGGGACAAGTTGAGAGGGATTATCTTTGGTGAGAGGTGAGGCGACGATATATTTCTTTTTCAACGAGGGTCTTTGCAATAAAGAGGATGGATAGAAGGGAGGGAAAGGGACATTTACTGCGATGCATTTTCGCTGTTGCAGGTTACGTCTCACGGGATACGATACAGAAGATCAATGTGCATACAGCAAGTTGTAGAATAAAGCCGTTTATTGTAGAAGGCCAAGCTGTATTCATCACTATGTGCCAGGTGATGTGAAAGAGCGTCACCACGACCATGATGCTGCCTAGACTACTTTATTTGACGCGATGAAAGTAAAACCGCAAGACTTCTCGTCATATCCCTCGGCAAAGCGTCCCCATCAGAGGGTAAAAATCTAACAAATCTGCCATGCCCCAAGTACCTGTCAACGCCGATTTTTCCATCCTGACCGACCTTATGTCTCCGTGTACACGCCCATGACCGTGATTGCCGCCATTCCTAGTCCGTGTCCTGAGAGAACGTCGCAGAGAGGCGCAGAGATCATTGTAATAGGGTTGCCCCAGCCATCATGTAAGTCGTCAAATCGAAAGCCGTGAAAGTCGTCAACTCGTCAACTCGTCGTTGGGGCGCGCAGCAGAAGGCGTGCATGCAGTGGCAAGCCTCTTTCGGAGCCCTTCCATACATGAAGGCAAATGGAAAAGAGGAAGAAGAAGAGACGAATAAATGACCCATCCCTTTGCTGCCCATCTGGCAAAGTAACCCGCACTGCTGCTGTACGTGTGTCAAGCCCTCGGCAGGGACCCGCATACCGCCCTAGCCCTAATACTTGTGCAGAGCAGCGAGGGTGATCATAAAGGTGAGAAAGCAGACATAGGCCACCGAAATGACGCTGCCGAGCACCAAGATGATTTTGCGCTGTTTGCGACTGAGCCGCTCCGCCTCGCCATGCGTCAGGTACACCAGCAACGGGTCCAGCACACCGCGGTAGATGAGCGGAAAGAAAAAGGGCAGAATGAGAAGGCCGCACATGAAGAAGAAGTAGACCCAACGCTGCTGGCGCGCCTCGGGCGACAGGTAATCGTCGCCGTGGGGATCGTCGTCCCAATTAATGCCGTGGGCCTGTCCGGGGTTGTTGGACTGATGACGGTAATTGTAGTTGCGGCGAGGCTTGGGGTAGAGGCGCGGTGTGGTCCAGGCTCTGTCGGGGAGAACCGGCACGTTGGCAAGGCTCAAGGTGCTCCGCAGGGAGCTGCGAGAGATGGTAGGCCCGTCCTGGGTAGGCGGTGGGATGCGCGGGTTGGAGAACATCTCCTCGGAAGGGACCATCACGATTCTACGTTGGGTAGAAGGAAGAATGGTGGTTGGAATCCCGATTCTGGGCGATGTAGGAGAAAGATTTGTGGTCGACCGCTCAGTTTTGGTATGGGTACGAGAAGTTGTGGTCGGCTGCAGAATTTTGTTTTGGGTAAAGAGAGGAGCAGTGGTCGGCGGAAAGATTGTCGGCTGGGCAGGAGGAGAAGCCGCAGTGGGCAGGCCGACTGAGGTCGGATGGCGGCTGTGACCAGGTCGACAGTGAGCGGGGCGCGGCTTGGTGATGCTCGGCGTGGGAGGCGTGAGAAGAGTGGTTCGGCCGGTTTGCCTCCACGAACTAAGACCTATCCTAGAATTGTTCCCGGTCGTCACACCGGTGTTAAAGATCGGATCGTCCTCACCGTCCTCAATCTTCAGCGCCTGGCGCCGGGCAGCCTCCTCCAAACTAATCAGCTGAAAACTGAACAGCGTTTTGGCCGGCTGTTCCATCCTGCCCTGATCAGAGTCGTCAAAGCGCGTCGGAAAGTTGGGGAAGGAGTCTCCCGGGGAAGGGGCTGCGGGAAATCGCTTGCCTGTTTCGGCGAATACACAATCACTCTTTCTGTTAATGGACGTGTTCGGCTTCACACGCGCTTCCTCTTCACTTTCACGGCAATCGCCACCCATCTCCTCCATCTCGAACCAGCCAAACGAATCCCGAGTCCTAAAATTGGACAAGGGCTTCGCATTGTCGGAACTCTGCCGATTCTGCTCACGTTCGCCAGTGAAGCGCGACCGAATAGACGCACCGAGCCTCTCCATAATTTGGTGCGTTCTTGAAGATTTCCTGCTGTCTCCGGACGGGGGATCCGTGAAAAGGCGGGCAGCTTTATGGAGGTAGCCGTTGACACGGTGAATGCGTGGCCTGGCTGGAAAGTCCGCGGGGCAAGTATTCTTCAGGCTCTTGCACTGACGAGAGGTAGGATCAGGGTCCGGCAGCATTTCCAGTGTCGATGTAAATTGCTCGGAAGGGTGCTCGGAAGGAAGCTCCGACAGACTCTCTCCATCTGAGTAGCCTGCGAGGCTACTTCCTGCGATTTTCACTGGGAAAGTTCGTCCCAGGACAATGTCCGGGGTAAAATCACGAGGACTGTTATCCGGGCCTACACTAGTAGCGACCGTCTCCCATTCACCTGTGTCGCTTACAAGAGTTTCGGGCTGTCTCACAAGAGCAAAGCCGTCTGACTTCTGCACAGCCTGATCCTCATTGGCGGCTGGTTGCTCTGAAAAGGCCGGGAGTTGGGCGATAATCCTAGCCAACTCGACGTCGTCTTGAAGATCCACATCGGGAAGCGCATTGTCGTCCTGCGCCTCGTCGTCGACCATCTGCACCGGCGTGTTGACTGGCCCCAATGACTCCGGCGGGATTGGACGGTTGTGTTCCAGCGTCTCTGGCGAGCGATCCTCATCTGCTTCTATGTAGATGCTGCCGGTTTCGCTGAGGCCGGCCGCGCAGCGAAGAGCAACGCTAACCTCCCTTTCCCTGGATGCTTTCAGAAAGCTGGAGTAAGGGGCACGGTCGTACACAAAGGGATCCTCGTCAGAGTCAGAGGCCTGGGCCTTGGCAGAGGATTTGCCCAGAGGAACCTCGTCGTGACTAATGGAGGGTTCCTGGTGAGCTTTGGGCCGGGGATCCTCCTGGTCGCGGCGAACAGCAGTCTGATCCTCATCGCCGACAGCTTTTTCCGAATGCTTTTCAGTCTTGCAAACTTTGGTAGCATTGGCGGGCTCAAGCCAAGGTCTTTGAGCAAAACTGCCAGGTGGGGTGCACACCTGGCGCCGTTTCTGGCTCTTGGGCGGAACCGGGGGAGGGGCCAAGTTCTCACCGCACGAAAACTCTGAATTGGCCTTGGTGCTATCAGGGATTTGAGCCGACGGCAAGGACCCAGCCGATGCGGACGGCACATAACAGTTGTAGATGCTCTCAAGGCTGCTTGCCGTATTCGAAGGCTCGCCATTGGCGACCACATCTCCAGCGTTGCCCTGCACGTCGCCGTTCAGGGTATCTTCGACATCTTCGGCAGCACCATTGTGGCTGGGGGAAGCTGTCGGAGGGGCAAGGGCGGAAGAGCCAGGAACAGAATCTTCAGTGGCATTGAAGCCACCAGTACCCGGCATCGCGGGCGCGGGAAGAAACGCCAAGTCTCGCTGATTGTCAATCACGCCTTCGGACGACGCGAAAGACAGAGGTGGGCTGGGGGAGGGCGTTGGGGGAACTTGAGTTTCGTGCTCATCAGTTCCACTGCTGCCCGACGAGAGCAGCCGAGCAGTGATGGCTTGGTACGCCTCATCCAGGTTGCTGTAGAGGCGATTGGGAGAACCAGGTCCCACGTTGCTTGGACGCGGGACGGGTCTCCTGGGGTCTCTCTCATCGAGCCTCATTTTGTCGTGCTTTCTGCGATAGTGAATCAGCCATTATTCGAATTGAATGAATACAAGGCCAAAGCAGACACTCAAGAACGCTGGCCGGGAGAAAGGAGCGGCAGGGATGGTGGGGAACGGATGGTTGGACGGCATCGACTCGTCACACGCGATCGCCCGAGTGCAGAGGAGGCGCGATCATGCTCGGGTGCAGAGGAGGAGCTATCGCGACCCAGCACGGAGCAGGCCAAGCGTAGAGAAGGTGAAAGAACAGTTGGATACCAACTCGTTGGATGGCGCCGACTCGTCAGACGCAATCGCCCAAGTGCAGAGGAGGTGCTATCGCGACCCAGCACCACGAAGGCCAAGCGCAGAGAAGGTGAAAGGACAGTTGGATACCAACTCGTCACACACGATCGCTAGCCTGCAGCGGAGGCGCGATTGCGATCCAGCACAGAGAAGGCCTAGGAGAGAGGGTGAAGGGGATAGTTGGTATCCAACTTGTAACACGCGGTCGGGCCTGAGTACAGAGGAAAGGCCGCCAGCGCAGAGCAGGCCCACCCAGCGCGGAGACCGCGATGGCGACGTAATGACGACGGGAGGGCGGCAGCTCTGACAGTGGAAGGCAGAAGGTAGATGATACGATGGCGATGTGAGGGTGGTGGTGATGGGCTTACCGGTTCGAAATGGGCGATTCTTTGTAAAAGCAAGAGGAATCGGTCCCGCGATAGTGAGTTGGGAGAAGTTCAAAAGCAGAAAGAAGTTAGGGACGAGGAGGGGAGGAGGTTGGCCAGGTAGGGACGATTGTGGGCACGCAAAGATAGGGTCAGTGCCTCCAGCAATTCCTGAATTTGAGCAAGAACGGCAACCCATCTGAATTCCATCCACCGAGAACATCGCTTCGCGGGGTCACAGTCCCCCTCACTCTCTGCCTCTGCACTTGTGTCGGGCCTCCACCACCGGGAAGCCTTGAGCCAGCTCGGTCCCAAGAAGCAGTTCTCTTCCTCCAGCATGATACGTCCGTATCGCTGGCTTTAAACACACGTAAAGGGTGTCACAGCTAGCATCGAGCTTTTGAGTGAGTTGCGATCCGATCTTCACATTCAGGGGCTAGGCACTGGGGACTTTATAATGGCCTCATTCACAACGGCCTTTCTGAGAAGGCCGTTCCTTACAGCGTTAACTTAGACTGTAAGGCGTGCTTCTAAGCATAGAGTGCTCCATGAGCACAGTGTACTCTGTCCCCTTTGGAGCGACCAGATGGAATGGGAAGAGTGGACATGTGAGAGGCCTAAAGGAGGAAGTGTAAGTGTAAGTGTAAATGCCAACCAATGTAAGTGGAAAGGGGCATGAAAGCAACCTGGAAGGAGGGCTCGCTGGTTTCGCACATATTTCCACTCAACTGGCAAAATTGCGGTCCAACATCCACATCACAGCACATCTTCATGTCGCTGCGAAACAGCCCCCTCTACATCTCTCGCGAACAACGGTATCAATGCTTCGGACCACTCGGTCCTTGGGCGCCGAGGCCTTCCTCGATGAAGTTCCCATTTTGACGCGTTGGAACCGACGGGTGCGGAGCTAATCCGCGGCTTCTTGAAAATCCCTTCAATGGACATATGCTTGCCGCTGAGCCGGGGATGACTGTGAACTTTGCCCATGCCTTGGTGTGCCCTGCAGCACTCGTCCGATCTCGAGATGAACGAGTTGTCGTTGAAAGAGGCTCAAAAATAATGTCACACCCCCGTGGAATTAATAGACGGTTTTCACCCAAATGGGCTTAGCCTGATCGGCATGAGGATCGGCCTTATCGGGGCTTATCGCATGGACAATCACCCCTCAAAGAGTGAGGGGAACCCACTGAACCATTGGAGAAGCCTGAAACAAGTGGGGTTTGTGGAACCAGCCGGGAATCCCACGGTATCTGTCACCCGCTAGGCCTCTGCCAGCCAGCCTTCTTGGGGTTCCAGCCGGCCCGTCCGGAAGGGATGATTGTATAATAAGTCCTGCGCTCCGATGTGTAACGCTGAATGTGAGAATGTGGCTCTAGAACCTTGGTTCTGCGTAGTAGCGCGTTTGTTATACGATCTCTGTCTTTGATCGCACGTGCACGGAGAAACAAGGCCGAGTCCTACCATCCTTTCCTATCCTCATCGTCAACCATCCTTATCTCCATTGCTCAACCCTTTAGCATTCACTTGAAGAAAGCGGTATCAGAGCCCCCTGAACCTCGCGGCACCAGGCCACCCAGCATTCCTCTCAATATCACCTGCAAGCATGACGGCGGGTCTCGCGAGCCTGCCTGGGGAGATCCTTCTCCACATCCTCTCGTGTAAGTGACAAGACGGATACTTGGAGCATACATACACTATTCGCTCCTCAAACCCTCACTTCGTGAGCAGCATCACTTAGCTGGTACATGTATTCTACAAAGACATCCGCTAATTACCAACCCACCCGGTACTTTGCAGTCCTCGACCCGCCCGAGATCACCACGCTGCAACTCGTCTCACGTGGCTTCTGCAACCTCGCCCGCGACGACAACTTCTGGCGCACGCGCTGCCTGCAGGAATCCTCGTACCTCGAAGCCCTCGGCCGCCGACGGCGCTTCTCACGATTAGCCAAGACGGCGACCGCCGCGCGGAGTCTTCTCGGCAATGGTCGGGGTGGGAGCCTAGGCGGCGACGATAACGACAATAACATTGACACCACAGGAGGAGCGGGTGGGGGGTTATTAGGTCATGATGTGGCCAGCAGCAACAGCAGCAGCTCGGTCAGCCCGGCCTCCGCCGATGATGATGACAATAGCGCACGGGGGCGATGGACCGCGGCGGCGGGGCTCACCGAGAGCGAGAGCGCGGCCGACTCGGGCGAGCGGGAGCGTGTGCGGATCATGGCCAACTGGGACCCGTGCTTCCCCTCGGAGCCCGTATCGTGGTACGACGAGTACATTCAGCGCCACGGGCCTGTGACGGTGAATTGGTGCCAGTTTGCCTACGACACGAATCGGCAGATGCAGATGCAGATGCAGATAGACGGCGGCGGCGCGGGGGGGAGGAGGATGACGATGTCGCCTGACGAGATGATTGAGGCGCGCGGGGCGGCGCTGTATTATCCAGACTGTGGCAGGGATGGAGCCGGTGAGACGGTCCTCGCCGTGTCGCCCCTGGATGATGGCGGCGTGTGCCTGTGGGATGTTGGGGGCACGAGGGGGAAGAGGGGGGCAATTGCCGCCAGGAGCAGGCCGGGGATCCTGTTTGTGGATGGGCCGGGGGCTGATAACAGCATGCGGTCCAAGCGGATTGACTCGGGCGTTACGGAATGCGTAAGTGTGGATAGTTGGCAGCATAGGGCGTTCTTTGCCGTGCAGAATCGTAAGTGTTTACATGGACAAACCCAAAGATTTCATCAATGAGCGTGTGGGTGACGGGTGCTGACGGGAGTGAAACAGACCTCATCGAGGTGGACCTGCAGAGGTTGTCGGTCGTCGATTGCGAGTCATATCCGTGGTCCATCACAGCGCTGTCTGCCGCGAGTCCGGCAGTGCCACTCACCGTCGGGACAAGCCTTGGAATTCACCTGCATGACTACAGATCCCGCAAGCCGCTCCGGAACGAGGCCGGCGAGACGATAGACGGCTTCGATCGGATGGGCGCCAAGGACTTTTACCAGCTCAGCCTGCGCCACGTCTTTGATGACGAGCCGCTACCCCCCTACGCGCCCCTGTCCCAGCCAGGGCCGCTGAGCATCCTCCATCTCCAAGCACCTGGCCAGGAAGTGGACCTGTCGGACGACATCTACGTGGCGGGCCGATTCTCTAATATCTTGCACTACGATCGACGCAAGTTTCCCTCCATCCGAGGATCTCTCCATTCGGGGGCGAGGCTTTGCAGCATGACCTCCCTACCCTACCCCTTTTCAACGCTTGACAGCGAGCTCCGACGTAAAGGCGAGCTTTCATTGGAGCAGGTCGAAGCATCCAAGAGTGTTGCTGGGGGGAGGACCTTGATTGCCTGCGGCGAGTACAACACAAAAGGCTCCCTGGAGATCTACGGCCTATCGTCGAGCGACAGCAGCGCGGCTGGGGGCCTGCAGAATTCCACGTTCAAGAATCGCCAGACCTCATCGCAGTCCAAGCTGCTTTCTGTCGTCAACCACGGGTCGCGCATTGCCTTTTCCGATGGGTCGGGATACATCAAGTGGTTCGAGCGAGACGGCTTCACCGAGGTGCGCCGCTGCAGGATAGGGCGCAGTGAGAGACCACAGGGCCCCTCCATCTTTGCGTCCATGCCCGGCTCGGACGACCTCGCCCGGAAACTGCTCCCGCTTAGGCCAGCGGGTCATGCCAGCAACGGCCCAGCCAACGACAATGACTTGCTCTTTTGGACGGGCGACAAGCTGGGGCTGATTACCTTTTCGGCGCGGCCGGGTTTTAACGCCGAAGATTTTGAGGAGCTGGTTGATGTTCCCGATGCAGAGGCACTGGCTAGGGAGCGCGAGGAGAGGGCGTACAAGGAGAAAATGCGGCGGGCGCTGGAGAGGCAGGCTGACGATGTCCGGTTTGTGAGAAACCTCGGTCTCGGCAGCGGTATAAGGCCTGCCTCTGCGTGATTCGTTTATATCGTCGATTGTTGGATTTAATTTCAGGATCAGATAACCATGTAAACCACGACCACGCAATTTCCAGCAATTCAGAGTCAAACAGGGCGGAGTGGGCCTCTGGTTTCCTCAAGCACGTGTCACCAGGAGAATGCTTCGCTTGTCTGCTGTGCCATACCGCCCTCGTCATCTCGTGGCCAGGGGAGGGCCAACAAAGATATACATACCCCCCGTTTTGGCGTCTCGCATGCGGGATGGACTATCAAGTGGCCTTGATATGGTGCCCTGTAGTTATGCGCATGTTTTGTCGTTTCGAACCACAACGTCGCAAGACGAGTGGCTATCCTGCTTCTGAGCCACGAGACCGGCCCCCTGTGTTTACAATTGCCGCATGTTGTTGTGCCTTGTTGAGATATTCGTCAGCCCCAGCTTTGAAGTGTTGGGACATGGAGAGTGGCTGGAACCAGGACCAGCAGCACGGCCCTGGATTCCAAGGCAGCCAATCGCCTGGGCGAGCGGAAGCTTGCGGGCCAATCACGTTCAATGGGCGGAGATCTTGACGGATACGGGAGCTCACGGTGGAACCCCTCCCGGACCCGGGCCGGTCGACAGCAGCCGAACGAACAAATCGCTCTGTTTTCAATTCAGAAATGGCATGCAGGAGATCTCGAACACTTGTTCCGCCGTGCGACCCTATCCTACACTACCTTATGTATCCCTTGCAGAGGCCTGTTTAGTGTATGTATGAACACTATCGCCCTTTCTAGACAAGTTCGATGACTTATCCGGAACGCTGTCGAGGATAAAACTGCTGCAAGCTTGCATGTCGGCGCATCGCGGGTATTACCTCACTACTGTCGTGGACAAGCACCGCCGGCTCTGCAAAGACGCTCTACAGTGTATGTAAATTCTTCCATGCTTTTCGCCATGACCCAGGGCTGGCTGGAAGTTGTCTTGGCCGGCCGTCTCCCTCATGGGTCGCCACTTCGACCCCAGACCGCTCCTTCCACCGCAGCAACCGCACGGCACAGGGAGGGGGAAGCAATTGGGGGCGCGGCATTGACGCAGACAACGGGGCGCTCTTTGCTGGCTGTTGCAAACTCCAGATCCACCATCAGCGATGTCCCATGTTGCTAAGCCTGTTGGCGCCCGTCTTCTCAATTGGTTTTGCGTGTCAATAGGGGAGCCACTAAATAAACTGGGTCAGCCAACTGAAAAGCAGCTTGATGACATGGAGAGACAGCAGTGAGGCGAGCCCTTTCTGGCCTGGTTCGACCCAGCTAATCCCCAGTTTGGTCGTTGGCATTCTTGTTGTGGGCGTTCCGGGTGTGACATTTCCGTTCTCCGCCTCTTCCGAATTTTCTGTCTACCGTGGCTTGCATTTCTTCATTATGCCTAGGCTTCGAGACCCGTAGCTATGTAGAAACTCGCATCGCCCTAAAAAGCACCAACTCACACACAATTCTCTTAATGCTTGCCGCTGGACCCCTTTTCGCCTACTCTTCCTACCAGGGTCAGATTTTCTCTCATATTCAGTTTTCCTGTTTTTAGGACAGAGAACAGAGAACCCCGCCGGTTTGTTTTGTGACGCTCTCCCGCTCTCCGGCCCTCCGACTCTAGTCCCGAGCATGTCCGATGGCGCTTCCGGTTGGTGGCGGGGACGAGTACCCGCCACTCCGTCTCACCGATGGTCCGTACTACTCAGCCAAACGACGCACAGCCGATACCGTCGACCATGACCATCAAAACCACGCCCGGCACAAACGACCAAAATATGCCCAGCAGCCTCAGTATGCCGACCATGTCGCCTACAAGGCGGCAGACGAACTGCCGCCGCTTGCCCTCTACCATCCTTCCCCATGTCATTCATACCGGCATTCCTCTCCACACCCTCACCTTCCCTCCCCGGAGCCCAGCTGCGCTGCACCGGCCATGGAACGCACCGCCTCGGGCCATTCCATCCAGGCAGAAGCAACAGAGCGGTGCGGCTCTACCGAGCTTCTCGAAGACGGCGAGGCTGCCCAACGAGTCCGGGACCACTTGGCCTCGTTTCGCCGACGCAACCCGGACTCGAAGCATGAGCGCATCCTGCGCAGCATCATCAGTCCGCGCCGGCCTTGCCGCACCGGCGCCCGTTCCCAATGCTCCTCCTCATCGAGGGCTCGGGACGACGAGTACCCGCTCGACAACGACTCTCTCGAGTCCATCTTCTCTGCCGCCAACGAAATCTTCTTCAACGGTCGCCTCAGCCAGCGCGTCAGGTGGGACTGGTCCCATGAGTCGAGCACCCGGTATGAGAACCGGGTCATCGGCACGACGGCGCTACGGCGTGCGTGCAAGAGCATCCGCGGCTTTGAGACGCTGATTGTGCTCTCGTCGACCATCCTCCAAGACGAGCGCTTTAGCAGGCGGCTGCTGATCTCGACTTTTTTGCATGAGCTAATCCACAGCTATTTGTTCATTTGCTGCGGGTTCAGGGCAAGGTGGTGTGGCGGCCACACGCCCGGGTTCAGGGCCATCGCCCAGATTATTGACGACTGGGCCGGCGAGGAGAGTGGATTGTATCTCAGCCGGGTCGAGGCAGACCTTGACTTGTTCAGGCTTGACCGTGCGCCTGCCGATCAGGGGGGCGATAGCAGCTGGAGCGGTGTCTTTAGGGTGGCGGGAAAGAGCTTCACGGTCGCCGCGAACGTTTACTCTTGCTCTGGGATGGCGCCTGAGCATGACGAGTATCCTGCGACTGCAGATGTTGTCCAGACCGTCCCCAGTGGTCACGAGAGAGTGCCCTACTTGCTGAGTCGGGTCCCGCCCGGTCTTGGGCAGGCTGTTGGCACCTGGGAGATGGCGAGCTGTTATGAACACTCTGGCAGCAACGGCGGCAACAACGCTTGGTGGAGCCATCACCAAGCCGCCCGGCCCCTCTACATATATGCTGGCGATTGTTCGGCGACGCCTTACGTTTATACGAACACGAACAGCATGTTACAGAGACCTTGACGATGCCTGTGTCAACTTTCAATTTCTTTCACTTCAACATCTCTTCATTCCAGGTTTTTTGCCGCTCAAAATCTGGAGACTTCGGGGTTATTTCCCTTACTCTCAATGATGGCATTTTCTACAAGTCATATGTACAAGTCATACCCCTAGGAAGAAGGTTGTTTGCATGGCAATGGCGTCTAGATATGTATCACTGGCATATTCTACACATTGGCGGCGGAATCGGTGCGTGCATGCATCATGGCAGGAGTTTTGTTATTCTGTTGGATCCTCATTGCATGGCGATTACTTTTCAGGCATCAGAACTCAGGTTGTTGGCACTAGGTGCGGTTGGTTGGTTGAGGTGGGAGCATTTCCGTCCATCGATCCCTCTCATTCTCAAGAAGCCTCGGTTGATGCCGAGCGTCCATGTCCCGGTAGCTTTGAAGCCGTGGACTCCGAGCTATTCCCTTTGTAAGCCTTCCATTGTTTGGATAGATACCCAACTTTGTTCTATACATGTACATTGTTCCAAGATTGCATGCTAGGTTAGAATGCTGCATTACTATCAACAAATGCATCAGAGGCATGCCACAGCCCGTAGGAGGCGGGGCGTCTGCCTTTATCTACCTACATCTCCTATCCATACACAATCCTGGACATCGTGTCTCCAAACAAAACCCAACACGCCGAGAATCCAGCCAAATTACATCCTATGCTCCCCGTACAATCATTTACTCATTCCGCTCAACCACCCATCCATCCATTTCATCGCATCCCAGAACCAAACCAAACAAACCCTTTGCGCCAATTCCATACCTCGCAGACACCACCAGCCAGGAGCCCAGCTACACCCCGTCGTCCTCGCCGCTATAGACGGCATCCTTGCACAGCAACGTGATCCGTTTGAAAAATCGCCTCCACTCAAGGGGATCTCCTTTGACCTTGACAAACCGCACCTCCCACAGCTCCAATTTACTATCTCCATGGTCGCCCTCGGCAGAAGAATGATGTTGCGGAAGGCGGTACCTGTCGACCAGCACGTCCCCGTGCAGGCCCTGGTGGCGGCCGTCGAGCGTCTTAACCTTAAGGGTGGCGATGTGATCGGCGTGGGGGTTGACGGGCCGGTTGTTGGGGCCCGGGAGGGGCACGTTGAGCTGGTGGAGGGCGTCCCGGAGCATCTGCACGAGCAGCGCGGCCGGCACGTGCGAGAAGAAGCGCGTCAGCGAGTAGGCCGGCACGACGTCGCGGAACTGGCGGGCGTGCTGGGTCAGGGAGAGCGGGAGAACCCGGCTCTGCGAGAACTGCGACATGGTCGGTTCCTCGGCCAGCGATTCCAGCGCCAGGCGCGCGGCTGTTGTCGCCGGCGGCTGGGTGGACGAGAGCAACACGGCGTGGGTCGTGCCGAGCGTGCTTCGCGGCGGCGGCCGTTCCCAGTCGAAGAGCGCGTCGCTGATAGGCGTCTCGGGCTGCGTGGCCGGGATGTGCCTCGCGGACCAGTCGGTGGCGAGCTGGGAGTCAATTTCCATTGCTTCGGGCTGGGACTGGCGTTGAGAAGGAGTAGGTTCGGCGTGAAGGTCGATGCGTAAGCCCGCGAGCATCTGCGCGGCGAGCGCGACGGGGTCCGAGATCTTGCCGTCGGCGGTCAGGAGCGGGTTGCGGCGAGTGTACCAGGGATGCTGGCGAATTTGGGCAAAGGAGAAGCGCTTGTTTGCTTCGATGTTCATCATGCCGCGGAGGAGAGACAGTGCGTCCGAGGGTATCCTGGCCCACAGCGAGTCTGTGCTGCGGCCGTTGGTCCGCACGTATTCCTGGAACTCCCAACTGCCTGAGGTAGGTTCGTCCCATGGAGTGTTTCCCACCAAAAGAACGAATAAGATAACGCCGCAAGACCATATGTCGACGAGGTCGGGAGAGTACTTGGTTACCTCTGTCGAGTTCTTGTCTTGCCTGACGCACCGCAACACTTCGGGCGCGATGTAAGGGGGGCTACCACACATAGTGCTGCTCTGCTTCCTCGCGCCCTTGTGCTCGAACAGCGTCGCCATCCCAAAGTCTGCAATCTTGAGATTGCCGGCTGCCGAAAGGAGGATGTTTTCGGGCTTCAGATCTCGGTGCGCGACACCCTTGGAGTGCATATAGCTGACACCACTGATCAGCTGCAGGAAGTACAGGTGTGCAATATCCTCCTGCACGCCTACATCTGCCTCAATCTTGTCAAAGAGGTCACCGCCTTCGGCGTATTCCATAGCTATCCACCTCCATACCGCATCCTCACCCGTGGCAAACCATTCGATAATGTTGGGATGCTGCCCAACATGAGAGTGCAGTGACACCTCCATCGCAATTTGCTTTGCAGAGATGCGGCCCTGTCTGATGGCATGTTCCTTGTGTATCAGCTTCACAGCGAACACTGGAGAAGGCTGATCCAGGGGTATCGCTTTTTTGATCCTGGCGGTCTGTTAGTGTGGGGCGATTGACGTGTAAGTGTAAGTCTGGCTTGAGGAACATCTTACGATGCATACGCGCCCCTCCCAATCGTTCTGGAGATGATTCGGAAGGGGAGGTCAGTGGGAAGAGGCCCTAGTTGCGACTGTTGCATTTGTAACGTATTAGCGATGAGGTCTCAATCCAAAGCTGGTGGTATATTGTCAAGTATTCAAAAGTCCAAATGATCGATCTAAACAAAATGCCAATTTTGGCTCGACGACAACAGAAGAATACAGCAGGCGCAATCCACACAAAATTTCGGAATATTATGGAGTGTAGTAAGAAGGGAAAACGGCCTTGGAGGCAAGCATAATGTGCAGCAATAACTGGCAGAAGGAACTCACCATGGTGTTGATGACGCGTTGAGGCGCGATACGCGTCAGTTGTCAAGTCGCGTTAAAGTGATTGCGGTGGAGAGGTTTTGGTGTCTTTGGAGGGGCCATTGTTTTGTTTTATCCCCGCAGGCACCCGCGGCGGGTGATTGGCTCACACGGCTCAAGCTGAGCGTGGGGCGTGAGTCGCGGTTGCTAGGGAGGATTGAGGAAATCTATTCGTCGCCTGGCAAAGGGTGGGGCTTAAAGCCCAATCTCGACTTTATCATGTAAACATTCCAGCTCTTTATGCTCACGCCTGCCGTCACCTGTCGCCTTCTGTCGATACCTTACCAGTTCGCCCAGCTCTTGCCAGAATATCCAGTCTGACACACCTGTTCAGTGTCACAAGTGTTGGACCCCTAATAAAGTGCCAACCTTTGTTCTGCAGGTATGGACCGAATCTCTTCCGCTCTCCTTCTCCTGCGATTCAGGACCTAAAGTTGACTCGATTTCTGCTGCAGTATCTATCTTGAGGCGCATAGGCTTCTCTTATTCATTGTCATACCGCCTGACATCCCGTATTCAATCGGTTGACCTGCGTCAAGCCATCATGTCTCACATGGAGGATAGCCAAAATGCTGCTCCAGGCAGCGTCCAGGCAAACAAGCTTGGCGGCGCAAAGAAGAGCGTTGAACCTGCTCAGAATGCCGCGAAAAGGTGCGATATGTACATTTTAGATGGCCGAGCATTGTCTCCTCTAGAGGCTGATTAGAAATGCGTACAGGTTGCAAACGGAGCTTATGCAGCTCATGACCTCACCGGCTCCCGGCGTATCGGCCTTCCCTTCCGCCGACGGCAACTTGCTCTCATGGCGGGCTACTATCGAGGGTCCGGCTGACACACCATACTCCGGCTTGACCTTTAAACTCAGCTTCGAGTTTCCCTCCAACTATCCGTACTCGCCACCGACTGTTCTCTTCCGGACGCCTATCTACCACCCAAACGTGGACTTTTCAGGTCGCATTTGCCTCGACATTCTGAAGGACAAGTGGACAGCAGCGTACAATACGCAGACCGTGCTATTAAGTCTGCAGTCTCTACTCGGTGAACCCAACAAGTATGGAAACTGCCACCAATCCACGCCCCTGTTCGATTCGCTCGGCTAACCTAGACAGTACATCTCCGTTGAACGGCGAGGCAGCTGAGCTTTGGGACAAGGATCCTGCTTTGTTCAAAACCAAAGTTTTGGCTCGTCACAAGGATATCGAAGACGACTGAACGGGGTGGACAGGTTCGCGTTTTGCTTTTCTCATGGTCATGGAGAATTGGAGTCGACAAGTGGTTTGCTCTGGCTTTGGACCCCTGGAGTATTAGGCCTCCTGGTTAGCATTGCATTTCCAGGGCGGGATTGGCCCATTGATATCCCATCGTTGTCTGCAGCAAAGCAGTTTGTGAAGTACATCAGTATTGGCCGCAATGGACATTGCTTGTCCATGAGCGTATCACCCCGAGAAAACCCAATCGGTTCACTTTTCAGATCGCTCCCAAAGCAACTCCAACCCGAAAGCGCCCCGACCGTTCGTTGAAAAAGTGCCTGGTATCGAAGGTGCCGTGCGTTACGAACCCATTTATTCGTGGTAGGAAGCTAGATGCAATGCGAAACTCCGGAAAAGCCCAATGCCGCCCTGAAACCGAACCACGGCCCAATCTCGATACCCATTGTTTTGTTTTTTCTTGCTGCCAGCCTTACTCCTCCACAACGACCGTGTGCAGGCCCTTGGGGTTCTTGACGTTGACGGCCTGAACGTAGCTGTACAGCTTCTCCTTCGCGCCCTCCTCGTCATTACGTTTCCGGGAAATGCGGATGCGGAGTCTGTAGGGAACGCCCTTCACACCTTGCTCCCAGACCTTCTTGTTCAGCTGGGGGTCGAGACGGACATCTGAGGTGTTCTACAGCCGGTCTGTCAGCGTCCTGTCCATCGTCTCTATCAAATCCAGATCGACAAGGGAGTATCATCGTGTCGCATTGCCGGATAGCGCGGCGTCGGTCTCTGCAATCGAACATACCATAGCCTTGGCAGCGAACGCCTTGATCTCCTTGATGGCCCGCGGAGCCCTCTTCTTGAAGGTAACACCGTGCAGCTGCCCGTTCAATCAGCATTCCTAGCCCAAAAGCAAAGAAGCTCCGCATCACGTACTCGCTTGTGCAGGTGGATGGTGTATTCACGGGACACCACGTCGGCCATGGCCGAGCGCTGGGCCTTTCCGGAGGGCTTTTGGGACGACATTCTGAAGGCGGTTGTCAGCGGGGGCCAGTGAGGTATTGCGAATCGAATGGGACGCGGCGTTGATTATCGTGGCTACGTACTTAAAGACGTCTGGATCTCGTGCACTCGGAATCGGTTGAGTGGTGTCAAGGAGGATCGGTTTGCGCTGACTTCAATAAACCTACCTTGGGAATTTTGCACCTAGTTTTCCCCTGAATTTCCAGATGGTGCGGGCTTCAGTCCTCGCGTAACTACCCTAAAGTGGAATAGTAACACCTGCCTATGGCTTCCTTTGACACCTGGTCGCCAGCTGCCTCTTTTGCTCGTCCAGGACGGCAAGAATTTCGAGACCCGCTTCTGCAATTTAAACGGGGAACGGTACGTACCAGTAATTGAAAGGGCATGAGCGACCGCGACTCCTTAGCTCTTGACTCCAACTTCCGACTGCCTGATTCCATCATCATCATTCCTCGCACTGATGCTAAGCCTCGGTGCGCTGCGCGCACTTCACATTCTTTTCTCAGAGTCGGCACAAAAACATAATTGCCTTTTGGGAGCGTGAAATCCAATCTAATCTGATTGCTTCCACGTCAACAGCGACAGCGAGTACGTTAATACAACAAGACCAAACTTGGTCAAGCGGGTGACTTCATTGGCCAAGCACTCTTCCGAACCTACCAGCACAAGGAATTGCCCCAAAGGGACCGCTCGACTTTCCAATCGTTACTTCCCGTTCCTCCAAGCCCATCTTCATCTTCACATCAACTCTGCGAAAATGGCGGATCTTGCTGCAGCCACGCCGTCTCCACAGCCCGATCTGAATCGGAACCGTCTTCCGACTCTTTTCGAGGTCTTGAGTCGCCGGACTCTTCCTCCTGTAGACCTGTTTTCTTTCTACATCTACATGCGGGATCAGCAGCGCTCAGTTGACTATCTTGACTTTTGGTGCGTTATATTTTGATTAATCGGATGCCGGTAATTTCACTAATTGAGATCAGGCTTGATGTCGCCCAGCACATGTCGCTCTGCCGTCACTATGTCCGTGAGCTGCGTCGGTCCGTTCTTGTCGGCACTCCGGATCCGGAAAAGAGTTCGAATCGATCATCTGGAATCTTGGAACAGCTCGGAGATATGAACCACCCCGTCGCCGGCCCGTCGATGTATGCCTCAGAGAAGGAAAAGGATCAAGATGCGCAGATGTCGGCGTTCTTACGGGAGGACCGGGGCGATAACCACGAATCCCCTCACAGCAGCAGCGGGAGACAGCGCCGGCCGAGTGCCAACCTCAGCACGCCGCGCGAGGTCGCGACAGATTCGAACTCGCCTGCGCACACGGTTGCCCGACAGGACATCCGAGCCTCGGCTGAAAAGATCCTTTATACCTTCCTTATGCCGGGTGCCGAGCGCGAGATTACCCTTCCTGGCTCGATCACTCAGGAGGTCACCGCTGCCATTGAGGAAGCTGGACGAGACGATCCCGAGGTTTTCGACGTAGCTAAGGACTACGTGTTCCAGGCGATGGAGCGTGATGCGTTTCCAGGATTTCTCCGCATGAAGGCATTGGGGAATCTGATTCCACCGACGCTTACCATGCGCCTCATCATTGGGCTAGTGTCCATGTTTGGTGGTTTTTGGGCGGGTTTCGTCTTGATCTTCCTCGACGAATCTCGTATGGTACGGAACTGGGTACGTATAAGCCTCATTCTGTCCCACTGCACACAGCTGACCATTTGGTAGCTCATCCTTCCCTTCACGATTGGTGTCTACTGTCTGGCCGCGTACCAGTACTCTCTGGACCCCATACTTGCCCTGATCGGCTTCAGCGAATACACTCTATTCAACTTCTCGCGAGTGCGGGAGCCGTACGTTCGGAAGCTTCTTGTTCGACGAGCGATCATGGTTCTCACCGTGACGCTGCTCATCGATGCTGCGCTTTGCGTCCTCTTCATCCTCGTCCCGGGCAAACGCCTGTGATTGGGGGGGGGGGGGGGGAACGTCTGGCTCACAGGGAGCAATGTGGGCTGGTCTCCACTCCGCTCCCGATCCACAGCTCTCTCTCGGAGACGTTGGCATTTCCTTCTGTTTTTCTGCGTTCACTTTCTGCGACCTGATCTTCACTTCTCTCGTATGGGATCTGGCTTCTTGCGCTTTGCGCGTGGGGTTTGACGATCCTTCCACCTGAAATCTCACCTTCCCGCGACCAGATTAATCAGCTGGGTTCAGTTGAAATACGGCTACCGCGAGCAACATACTATCTCTCGCCAGAGACAAGGGAGGGTGATTTCAAAAGTCCCAACAAATCCTTCTATCACGAACGTTACGAATTTGGAAGTTTCACCGCATTCTGGAAGGGAGCGAAAGGTCATTCGCATAATCATAGAAGGGTGGGGTGGGCGATGGTTCTGCTGTGTGTTTAGATACCACCGTGTACTGTTCTATTTCTGTTGAGATTTATCTGACTGTTGGCCCCCGGCCGATGTTCGATGATTTTGATCTTTTGTTACTCTCGATGCTTACTGAGCTTTGCTATTGGGGAAAATCGGCCAGTATACAGTTATTATCCAGCTTCCCGTCCACACAGAGTCGGGGATTTGACCACTTAATGGTTTAGTCATTCTTCTTGCTAGTTTCTAGCTAGCCAGACAGATAATATTCGCAGTGCGCTGCTCACCCTTGCTTGCGTGACAAAACACTGGATGGGGTCTTTCGTATTGTCTACAACTGCTCATTACCCTCTATGCATGTTTTCGTGACATTTATTCATGATTCATCCGTTCTCCCTGATGCCCGTAAAACCTACGGAGGTACTACCTTGGGCATTTTTCATGTCTCATTTACTCCTGTAACTTCCTCTTCTTCCCACCCGGATCATCACCATCATTCGCGCCGTCTCTAGTCGCTCCGCTCTCGCCGGAGCCGCTCCCGGTCGCTGGTTCGTCGCTCTGCTCGCTGGCCCGCTTCACGGCAGATGACTGCGTCGCGGGCGCCCCAGTGCTGTTCGGGACTACGCCATCGCCTTGGGAGATTTGGAAGAGGAAACTGTTGCCGCCGCCAACCGTCAGCATGCTGTTCTTCATCATCTGGTCCGTGGTGGTGGATGTGTCTTTGGTGTTGGCGTTGCTGCCGCCGCCGGTTCCCGCACGGTTGGGACTGGGGTAGGAGGGGTTATGGAGGGAAGTCTCGTGGCGTAGGCGCAACGATGACAGCGGATTTGACAATGCCACCCCTGCGGTGGCGGCAGCAAAAATAGGTTTATAAGGTGCAGAGGAAGTCTTCCCACCCTTTTGCTCGCTCCCTAGCAGCCTGGCCATCTCGGCAGCCCGCGCGGCTTCCTGTGCGGCGCGGCGGTCGGCGCCGGTCCGCAGATTGTTCATTTGCTCTTCCAGATTCTGGAGCGTCATGTCGCATCTCTCGGCCCAGGCTTCCAGCCGCGAAAGGAGGCCGTCGATAGCCGTGGGCGCCACGTCCCGGAGCGGGGAGACGCTGTTGATCTGCACGAGAGAGTCCTTGGGGTTGAGCTGCGCTTTGAGGAGGCCGGCGTATATGGCGCTAATCACGAGTTCCTCAAGGCTTTGCCGGCTTGGGAGATCAAGCGCCCTTTGCAGGGAGGCATAGCTGAGGGTAGGATCGGCATTCGAAGTTGCGTGGGCGTCCTTCCTCGCTAGCGTTAGGAGGGAGAGCTGCCGGAGCTTGAGACGCTGAGCATCGTTCAGATCTGGCAGGCCGGGGGTAGATGTGTAAGAGGAATATGTGCCGTAGCTAAAGATCTGAAGCAGACTGAGGTATGGCGCGAACTCATCCGACGAGGCGAGAGCTTGGATTTGGGGTGCCTGGAGAAGATCGGTGAAGATGAATGTGTTTGGCGCGGAGGTCGCGCGCATAACAAGGTCGGCAGCCGCCCTCGGAGAGGTCGCCGACTTGGTGAGCGCTAGAAATGGCTAGATGGCACATTAATAGGTAGTCGCTTTATTGGAGCTCCGTCAAGAGGGAGGATGGTGGCGATGAGAAAGAGGCCGGGCAATTGAGAATGATGACCAACCTCGAGAGCATTTAGAGCTTTGACTTGCTCCATCTTGTTTCAACTAGACTGTCCCTGTCTCAACAAGTTTGGAGCGTCGCGAGGTCCAAGAAACAGCTGACGGACTGCAGAAATGACGACTTCCAAACCCACGTGTGGTTTGGTGTTACGCTCAGCCTTGCGCGTGGGGCTTCAAGTTGGGGTAAGGCTGAGCTAGTTACTTCCCATTTCCCAAGCTGGGAATCCACCTCAGTCTTAATTACACATGTAATCCGTAGTACGTACGCTCAGTATAATACGTTAACATTACCATACCACGATACCTATCTTACACAAGTCACACTTCCGAGTATGGTCCCGGTATCAATTGCCCTGCCTTATTGTACTTCCAAGTGTAGCATCACCCGGAAGCCCAGAAGTGGCTGCGGCTGTGTCACACACTGCTGATGTCGTGCTCTGGACAACGCTGCCTGCCTTGGGTTGAAGAACGTCTCCCTAAGATGCTTCCCGGCGGGGTTCCGGACCCACTATAATGGGCATTTCATTGTGGTCTTTTGTCTTCTGCTAGCGCAGAGACCTATTAGGTACTGTATGTACCTGCCTCAGAAGTGTTTGACAATCGCTCGTGTCTTTTGGCTAGCGAAACCGAGATTGTGTTAAGGATCAGCACAGGGTTCGGGCCTCGCCATCGGGAGTTAGCGGCACCCATTTCCTGCGCTAGTGCGCTGCAAGATAAGATGCGACGACGCCAGGAGAAGCACACAGTGTGTCTTGTTACCAGTAGTATGTGTCAAGTACCAGTAGTACGAGTAGGCCGTGCCGTGTCATGCTGCGGCAGTGTGCCAATATTATCGCGGAATAGTAAGAACTAAGCCCGGTAGGGTTCAACTTGGAGTACTATTGAATTTTATTTGCGTGTGACCCGGGGAGTTTACGACGGGGGGATCAAATAGATTGCTTTGTAGGATCATCTTCGGCAGTGGCCGGCGGCGGCCACGCGGTCTTACGGTTGACAATGTCATGCAGACTGTCGAACTGTCAAGCATCCATTCCCGGATGATCCGGGCGATATCTACCATTCCGCCTAACTGGCGAGGCTGGGCCGCTGAAAAGCAAGCAGCCTTGAGCACTAAGGCAGCTGCCCTGTCCGCGTTCCTGGTTACCCGAACCAACGTCTTGCTCCTCCCCATTGTAAATGGCTGATCAGCCGATTCCGTCTTTCCAGATGCATGTAGTAAACCAGAACTTTCTGCAGAAATACCAATTCGAAAAGGTATTGGACAAAGCATGTAGGTAGCTTGCTTGCAGCAGTGAAATCGGCAGTTACTACTCCGAGGCCACAGTGTCCAAAACCGTGCTACACCCCACCCGCAGACAGGGGCCGCGAACTTCGTCAAATGGACCGGGGCCGCTGACAAACTAGGATCCGCCACACATTTTGACCGAACTGGCTTATTGTCACCTTCCTCCCTTTGTATGAGCGGACGTCTATCGCTGGACTTTGTCCGCCCTGTTTTCTTCTTATGATAGCCGATTTTACGGCAGTGGCACCCTCAAGACCATTTCCAATGTTATAGCGCAGGATTTGGCTGCGACGGCGACGGCGAACTCGCGTCCAATCGATCGAGCTATCGCAAGACAACCTAGGTACAACGCATACCACGGTGGCTGCCGGCAGTCGATTTCGAGGTTGAAGTGCGGCAAGGAACAATCCGACCGGTTACGGAAAAGCTCCCTGGGCGCTACAGAATGCCTCCTCCACGGATCCAAGTCCCTGGAAGGGACAATGACGCGCTCGCTGCGCCGACGGCGCACATGGCTACAACGACGCTGAAGGTGGAAGGGATGACGTGAGTTCTCTCAGCGCATGGGTTGGACGTCCACTCTCTAACGCATAGCAGTTGTGGCGCATGCACCTCGTCAGTTGAAGCAGGCTTCAAGGGCGTTGACGGCGTCGGCAGCGTCTCTGTCAGCTTGGTCATGGAGCGAGCCGTCGTGATGCACGATCCCCAGAAAATATCCGCCGACCGGATACGAGAGATCATCGAGGACCGTGGATTTGACGCTGAGGTCTTGTCGACCGACCTACCTTCACCAATCGCCCCGCGTCCCTCGTTTGGCGCCTTCTCCATTGACGATGGTCAACCCATGATGGTTACGACAGTGGCGATAACGGGCATGACTTGTGGTGCTTGCACTTCCGCGATAGAGAGCGGTTTCAAGGATGTGGCAGGCGTAAAACACTTTAGCATATCCCTCTTGTCGGAACGAGCTGTCATCGAGCACGACCCGGCGCTCCTGGCTGCCGAGGCCATCTGTGAGATCATTGAGGACCGAGGTTTTGACGCCGAGATCGTGGAAAGCAGCGTGAAGCAACCGGAGGCCAAAGCTGGTTTCGAAGGCGTGAATACCGCTTCTACAACCGCCACCACAACTGTTGCAATAGATGGTATGACTTGCGGGGCTTGCACATCAGCCGTTGAAGAAGGGTTCAAAAACGTCAACGGTGTCCTGCGTTTCAATATCAGCTTGCTTGCAGAACGGGCAGTCATCGCACACGATCCCGCCAAACTCCCGGCGGAAAAGATAGTCGAGATCATCGAGGATAGGGGGTTTGACGCCAAGATCATTTCAACGACTCTCGATTCTATGGATCACTCCAGTGGTAGCTCGACGGCGCAATTCAAAATATATGGAAACCTTGATGCCGCCGCCGCTACGGCTCTCGAGGAAAAGCTTGCCGCACTTCCCGGAGTCAACAGCGCAAAACTTTCCCTGAGCACGTCTCGGCTGACCGTCGTGCACCTGCCCAACGTGACTGGTCTGCGGGCCATTGTCGAAACTGTGGAGACCGCTGGCTTCAATGCTCTGGTCGCCGACAATGACGACAACAACGCTCAGCTGGAGTCTCTCGCAAAGACTCGCGAAATCAACGAATGGAGGGTGGCTTTCACGGTTTCGCTCTCCTTTGCCATCCCCGTGTTCCTCATTAGCATGTTGATCCCCATGTGTTTGCCGGCTTTGGATTTCGGCTCGATCAGAATCATCCCTGGCCTCTACGTCGGCGATGTTACTTGCTTGGCGCTTACCGTACCCGTGCAATTCGGCATTGGAAAGCGGTTCTACATATCGGCATGGAAGTCTGTTAAACATGGATCGCCAACCATGGATGTCTTGGTCGTTTTGGGCACATCCTGCGCATTCTTTTTCAGCATCATTGCCATGCTCGTCTCTATCCTGTTTCCTCCTCACTCGAGGCCGAGCACACTCTTTGACACGAGCACCATGCTCATCACTTTCATTACGCTTGGGCGCTTCTTGGAAAACCGTGCCAAGGGCCAAACCTCCAAGGCGCTCTCCCGGTTGATGTCCCTTGCTCCGTCAATGGCCACAATCTATGCGGATCCCATCGCTGCCGAGAAAGCCGCCGAGGAATGGGATAATGAGACCAAACAGGAAGATTTGGCTGCGCCCCAGGATGGCAATGCCGCCGAAGAGAAAGTGATCCCTACCGAGCTCATTCAAGTGGGAGATATTGCAATCCTTCGGCCAGGAGATAAGATTCCTGCCGACGGTGTACTGGTCAGGGGGGAAACGTATGTGGATGAAAGCATGGTTACCGGCGAAGCTATGCCAGTTCAAAAGTCCAAGGGTAGCTTCTTGATTGGCGGCACTGTCAACGGCCATGGCCGAGTCGACTTCCGCGTCACGCGAGCCGGGCGCGACACCCAGCTTAGCCAGATCGTCAAGCTTGTGCAAGACGCGCAGACAAACCGCGCTCCTATTCAGCGGCTGGCCGATGTCCTTGCAGGGTACTTTGTCCCAACAATCCTGTTTCTTGGCCTACTGACCTTCTGCGTCTGGATGATTCTGAGCCACGTTCTGCCAAACCCTCCTAAAATCTTTCTGGAGGAGTCTAGTGGCGGCAAGCTCATGGTGTGCGTCAAGCTCTGCATATCTGTCATTGTCTTCGCGTGCCCATGCGCCCTTGGTCTGGCTACGCCTACCGCTGTGATGGTCGGAACGGGCGTCGGCGCAGAAAACGGCATCCTCGTTAAGGGTGGAGCAGCCCTGGAAACAACGACCAAGATCACCCAGGTTGTACTCGACAAGACGGGCACTATCACGTTTGGCAAAATGAACGTCGCCAAGGCCAATATTGTCCCGGTCTGGAAGGACAACGACTGGCGTCGGCGGCTGTGGTGGAGTCTCGTTGGTCTCGCCGAGATGGGAAGCGAGCACCCCCTCGGCAAAGCCGTACTCCGTGCTGCAAAGACGGAGCTTGGCCTTAGCCCCGAAGGAACCATTGAAGGCAGCATTGGCGATTTTACCGCAGTCGTCGGCAAGGGCATCAGCGCGCATGTCGAGCCAGCTACCACCGGCGAGAGGAAGCGGTACAAAGTTCTGATCGGGAACGTGAGCTTCCTCCGGGAGCACGACGTCAATGTCCCCGAAACAGCCGTCGCAGCTTCCGAACAAATAAATGAAGCCGCTGCCGCTGCCATCACAACCGGCCGCGCCTCCTCATCCAAACCCCCCGCCGGAACAACAAACATTTTCATTGCTATCGATGGCGTCTACTCGGGCCACCTCTGCCTCTCGGACACCATCAAACCCGGCGCGGCCGCGGCTATCGCCGTGCTCCACCGCATGGGCGTCAAAACGGCCATGGTGACGGGCGATCAGCGCAGCACGGCGCTAGCCGTCGCCGCAGCGGTCGGCATTGACGCCGACGACGTGTACGCGGGGGTCTCGCCGGACCAGAAACAGTCCATCGTCCGCAAGCTGCAAGACGCGTCGCCCAAGTCCGTGGTGGCCATGGTGGGCGACGGCATCAACGACTCGCCGGCGCTGGCCACGGCCGATGTGGGCATCGCCATGAGCTCGGGCACCGACGTCGCCATGGAGGCCGCCGACGTCGTCCTCATGCGCCCGGACCGCCTCATGGACATCCCCGCCGCCCTCCACCTCGCCAGGACCATTTTTGGCCGCATCAAGATGAACCTTGCCTGGGCGTGCATGTACAACGCCGTTGGCCTGCCTTTTGCCATGGGCGTTTTCCTTCCCCTCGGCTGGCATCTCCATCCCATGGCTGCCGGTGCCGCTATGGCGGCGAGCAGCGTCAGTGTCGTGGTCAGCAGCTTGTTCTTGAAGTGGTGGAGGAGGCCGGCGTGGATGGATGAGAAGTTGTACGATGCCAAGGGGATGCCTGTACACAGCCGCGGCGCCGGGTGGAGTGTGGTTGGCGGTGTCAGGGAGTTTGGCGAGAAAGTCTGGGAGGTGTTTGGGGGCAGTAGGAAGAGAGATGAGGGATACGTGCCGCTTGCGACGCTTGATGGTGGGGAGTCGGCGGTTTGAGAGCAAGAAGAACTTTCGTTTGTCTTGGTCCGGTGTTATTCGGGTTTGGATGGCGTAACGGCTTGAGCGATCTCACATGTGGATTTCTATCAGGGGCCTTCTTGTTCATTGTTTGTTGAATAGTCTCCTATCGATAGTAAATTCTACCTTTATGATCATTTGAATGTCCACGATGCAAGGGAGTGTCGCGCCCCAAGTGAGCGGTACTGTCACGGTGTTTGCACTACTACCGGGGTTCACGACGTGATATCGGTAGCATGACTGACAAGGACTTGCTGGATATTGGTAGTTAAATGAAGTGAAAGAAGCCCTATCAAAATGAGCAATAAGCTACTGCACAGGACACATGTCCCGAAACGTGGCGGATTGAGTAATCTTAGTAGCAACGAGGTTCTATGCACGCCCTAGATTGAGGCCATCTCCTTGCTGATCTCCTGCACGCATCCTTGGGCATTTGAATGCCCCTATATAGCCTGCTCGCCGCCGAGCAGGCGCAGAGACATACAACCCCTTCAATATTAGGCAAATGCTGTGCTGTCACTTAGACTGGTGACCTCAGCAACATCCCGTGTTAACCACGCTTTATGGCGCGACCTTTGTACAGTCCTGCTCTCCTGGAGAACTGGGTATATATTGTACCTTCTCTGTAACTGTCGGTCAGCTGCCTGTCGGGCAGCCGCACCAGCGTGCAGCGGGATACCGTCCTGGCGATGAGAATGTCCTTGTGCTCGTGTAACCAACTGCTGCTCAGCTCCCGAAGCCGGATCGGTAATCATCATCTCAAGCCGGGGCTGAGAGCAGATTCGTGGTTCGCTCAGAAATCGGGCTGGAGATAAGCCCTCATGGCTTCCAGCGCATTCCCATCGTGGGCCTTGAGCAATTCGGTGGCTCTGGGTTTGGAGAGCTCGAGCTCCTCGACCTGTACAACGGCATTGTAGTTAGCGTCGCAATCAAAGCACAACCCAATTCTTCCCCCCTCTGCTTACAAGTAAGTTGACGTCGGCCGCGTCCACCTTGACTTTCTTCGTCTCCTTCTTGTCGGCACCGCCGCCACCCAGGGCATTCATTGCGTTCTTGACGGCCTCTTGGTCGACCTCTCGGCCCGGCGCGGCCTCGTCGTCGGCGTGCGTGTCGAGCTTGGAGAGGGCGGCGGCGGCCTTGCGGTCCTCGGCCGACTTGGCCGTGGGGTGCACCTCGTCTTCGACGTCGCCCGAGGTGGCGCCCTCGACAAGGTCAGGGGGCTGTCTGTCTTCGGCCATGATAAGGGGTGTGATGGGACGTTATTGAAGAAGCTGTGAGCTTCTTGATGTGGATCACTCCTTTTCACAACGAATTGAGAACTATCCGTACAACAGCTTTCTTCAAAACGCAGCTCTTCGGGTGCGGGGGAGGGGTACTCGAATCACCACGCTAGGTCTGAATAGGCAGATAGTACAGTATACATACGGTAGCACTAACCCCTGACGCGCCTATCAGTTTCCCATCTCAGTTACTGTGTTTACAGACGCGCACGGTCCTCTCCTTTTCAGACTGTGAAGAGCTGGATTACCACCTTGTGATTGGCCAATTCAGTTCTTTCATTGTTCTCATGATCTTGACTCACTCACCTTCACCGTTCACGATGGAGCAGAGGAACAGCCCAAGTTTCTTTTCCTTCGTGGGCCGGGTTGTATACAAATACTTCGTCTGAGTCGCCGCGGAAATTCTCTCCCACTTCCTCTCACACTTCCTCTCTCACCCAATCTTGTATCGCACAATTCCGATCACTTTCGACTGGTAAACAATTCCTTCTCTTTCATCGACTGGTATACATCTTTCTCTCTCATCGTTAACGGTTGTTACACTTTACCTTTCGACTGAACTATGGAGAAGTCGATGGAGCAGTCGATGGGTGAGTCGAAGATCGACTCGATCACCAACGGTCATACGCCCGACTGGTCGCCGGACTCGTGGCGCGAGAAACCCATCAAGCAATGCCCGGAATATCCTGATCAAGATGCCCTTGCCAAGTCACTGGCAGAGCTCAAGCGTCTTCCTCCCATTGTCCACCCCCGCGAAATTGTTCTTCTCAAGCAGCTCCTTGCCGATGTAGCCCAAGGCAAAGCATTCCTCCTTCAGGGCGGAGATTGCGCGGAGCTCTTTGACTACTGTGAGCAGAACGCCATCGAGTCCAAGATCAAGCTTCTGCTTCAGATGAGTCTGGTGCTCATTTGGGGTGCCGATAAGCGTGTTGTTCGGATCGGTCGTATGGCCGGACAATACGCAAAGCCTCGTTCGAGCCCAATGGAGACCATCGACGGTCGCCAAGTCCCGTCCTTCCGAGGTGATATCCTCAATGGCTTCCATCCTGACGAGCGTGAGCTGGATCCAAACAGACTGGTTCGGTATGTATTCCCCGTCCCCTCCCCCTCCCCGTTCAGACAAGTCACTCTCTTACTAACCATTACATTCTCTAGGGCTTACCATCATTCGGCTGCTACCTTGAATTACATTAGAGCTGCCATCTCATCCGGAATTGCCGACCTTCACCGTCCGATGGATTGGGGTCTCGGCCATGTTCGTGACCCGGCCCTCAAGGCTAAGTACCAGGAGGCCGTCGACTTTCTTACAGACATGCTCCGCTTCATGCACACTATTGGAGCCGACAAGAGCGATAAATTGGGCACAGTCGACCTCTTCACCAGCCACGAGGGTTTGCTCCTTGAGTATGAGCAGTGTATGACTCGTCTCCTTGACGACCCGACTTCTGCCCTGCCGCACACTAAGAAGGATTACTACGATACTTCAGCCCACTTCCTCTGGATTGGCGATCGCACCCGCCAACTCGACCACGCCCACGTTGAGTTCTTCAGAGGCATCGCGAATCCATTGGGCGTCAAGATTGGCCCATCTACGCCTACCTCGGATCTGCTTCCGCTACTTCGCACCCTTAACCCCTCGCGTGAACCAGGCAAAGTCACGCTGATTACTCGCTACGGCGCCGGCAAGGTAGCCGAGCTGTTGCCGGCTCACATTCGCGCTGTCGAAGACAGCGAATACGCTCGCACCGTCGTCTGGCAGTGCGACCCCATGCACGGCAACACCCGTTCTGTCAGCGGTGGCATCAAGACTCGCCGCTTCAGCGACATTTTCAGCGAGCTCGAGCAGACCTTGCGTATTCACAAAGAGCAGGGCAGTTACCTGGGCGGTGTCCACCTCGAGTTGACGGGCGATGCTGTCACTGAGTGTCTTGGTGGTAGTGAGGGATTAGACGAAGACGATTTGTCCACCAACTATACTAGCTTCTGTGACCCGCGTCTGAACGAGAAGCAGGCGCTTGAGCTTGCTTTCCTGATTGCCGGTCATTACCGGCGTGAGCGGCAGGAAAAGACTGCCTAACCGGTGAGAGATATGGGAAGGCTGCCTGACCTGAGTTTGGTCTATGGTTCAGTCTTTGGTTTGGTCGATGGTTCGGCCTATGGTTCGGTCTGTGAATGGCTTGGGCATGCTCTATGGTTTGGTCTGTGAGTGGTTTGGCAATGCTCGGGATTTGCGATATGGTCATTGACAAGGAGTTCAGGAGCATTGGGCTGGTTGGATCGAGGAATATAAAAGGTCATCTGCATATCATTCAGCAGGGAGTTTGCCATTTTCTGTTCGCTGGCTCTAGGAGATACCTCTGGCTCTAGGAAACACCTCGTCTATCAACAGCTCATTTCACCATCTTCGCTTTCCAATGACATCTTTGTGCCATCCCTGATCCATACCCCGCTAACCTGCAAAGAAGACACAGGAACCACATAAATCCATGCTCACATTCGCTTTGACCTCCTCATAAGTTTGCTTTCACGCTCGCTCCGTCATCTGAAACAGCCCACAGTCACTGATGAATAGTAATAGTCTGCGCACCCTCAAACGCATCACCCGCCTCTACCGACTGCCAAGTACTGACCGATCCCGGCTCGATGCAGAGCATGTTCTTGTACCCATCCTTGGGTGCAAAGTCGCCCATGCCGGCCGCCTTATCCGCCCAGGGGTTCCACACGACCACGTTGCTGAGATTGTCGCGCGTCACCGAATATGTCGTCTCGCCGTTCTCAACGACGCAAACAGGCCCGTCAACAGGAGAATACACGCGGTCAGTCTCGCCCGTGATGGTCAACTTGCCCGATTCTTCAGTCTTTGTCTTTGCGCCATCGACCTTGTCAATGTACGAAGCCTTGTCCAGACCTGTGATTTCTACCTTGTTGATATCCTAAATGCGTGCAGGTAAATTGTGTCAGCTGGACTCTTTTGACCGCAGAGACGAAAAGCAACAGACAAAAAATCACCCACCTTGACCCGCAGATAAGTATGCATCAGAACGTGGCAGTCCCAGGGCTTGTCGTCGTCGTTGGTGGCCACGATGCTCGTCGTCAGGCTCTCGCGGCTCAGCAGGACGCTGTAGATGAGGTTGAACTTGAAGGGCCAGTGGGCGCGGGCCTGCGGGTCGAGCCCCTCAGAGCCGCTGCTCAGCCCGAAATCGAGCTTGACCGCCCCGTGGTCCGTCGCCCCTTTGCCTGGCCCCATGAGCGATTCCGACGTCGACTTGCCGAGAAACTCCCACCGCGAGGACCGCGCGAAGCCGTGCTGCGACAGCCCCGCCGTCTGAGGATGCTCGGCCTGGCTTGGTGGAGGGCCGAATACCTGTTTTATATTCTAAGTGTCAGAGTCCTGCTGATGGACCGGGTAGGTCTTGAGACCCAACACAGCAAAACGAGGGGAAGAAGAGTAAGGTCAGGGAGCAACTAACCGGAAACACCAACGGAATCCCTCCCCGGACAGGCTTGCTCCCGTCCAGCCTGGCCGCCTCGCTCACCCACAGCTTCTCGTCCCCCGCGGCATCCTTCCACGAGATGACGGTGGCGCCGTACAGCAGCACCTCGACGCTCTCGCCCGTGGGGAGCACCGCCGTCACGCGCGAGTTGTCGTCCGAGAAGGTCACGGTCGGCTGCGGCGGCAGGCCGGGCGTGGCCGCCAGCGTCGGCGGTTTGGGCTTGTTGGCGCGCTCGACCATCTTCTTTATCTTATCTTTTTCCTTGATTTTCCTTTTTCACTCTTGGAGTTGACCCTTCTTTCCCCTTGATATGCAATGGTATGATATGGGATGGTATGGTATGCGGGGGTGCTTGGATTTAGTGGGGTTGATGTTAAGCTTGGGATGGGAGGGGTTGGGATTGAGATGCGATTGAGAGAGGACAAAGGGCCTGAGCGGATGAACCCTCTTGGACGAGGCGAGGAGGGTCTTGTGGTGGTTGTTGGTGGTGCTGGTGTGCTGTGCCTTCTCCTGCTGGCGAACTGCGGGGTTATTGCACGGTACTGGAACTTATATCACGAGTGACAAAAGCCATGAAAGACTCGAGACAGTCTCTGGGGTTTCTTATACCAAACACAAAGCGATTCAGAGAGCGGAATGAATGCTAAAGTCAGGTTGCCTGTAAGTGGCAAAGTAGATCAACAAGGCCGCAGCAACAGCTTTGTCTGATGATCTTAAACTCGACTTTCATATCCAGTGAGGCGGAGGGGGAGGGGGAGGGGCTCATAGCAGCGGGGTAGAACGGGACGAAGCGGCCCCTCACCTCGGCCGACCTATCCGATTGCGTTGTTTGCGACCAAACCTCGAGTTGTCAAAGGTGCATAACCTGAAACAGCGGCAAGGTCACCGTTGGCTTCAGGTATGTGTAAGCTACCGGTGCCGTACTCGCCGTATTTTAGCACACAGAGAAGTACAGGAGAGGCCAGCCCGAGCTGATGATGTCTGCCATCAGTCAGGCATCTTAGAAGACACCAACCACGGAACCTCCAATTGCTAGATCCCAACTGCGCCTGCCTGATAGCGACTCTCTCGTGGCACTGCAGGTACCTTTCCAATTAAGATCTTGACGGTGAAACCAAGAGACTTTACTAGGTACATACTTCAAGTCCTCCCACAGGCTATGCTCATGCTTGGCAAGACGCGCCGAACAAGCGAACCATACCCCATACAGAAACCACTTGTAACGCCGTGACCTATGCAAATGATAATAAAACCATACATCTATGTCCGTCCACGCCGCTCCGCCTCATACAGTTCCCTCTTCATATCCATAAACATGTCCTCAACCTGATAGACCTCCTCCCGTGAGAGTCGCGCAGACCGCAGCTCATCAAACCCCTTCCGCAACAGGTCCATGATATTCTCGATGTGATTCGTCTTGGCCACGGCTGAATCGTGGGCTTCAAGCAAATTTTCCGTCGACTTAGCCTCCCCTTCTACTTCATTCGGCATCGGTTGCTGCACGTCAACCTGCATCGACTCCTCGGTGAGGCTCTGCACGGCCCCTGCTGATTTGCCGTACTCCTCTTGGCGCGTGTTGTGACTGAAGGATTCGAGCGCGATTTGGCACTGCACCTCCTGGTCGTCGGCCTCAACTTCCATGATCTCCCCATACTTGGATCCTGTCAAGTTTTGTTGGCTCCCCACCTCGCTCGGGCCGGAGCTCTCCACATTTGACTGCTCGGCCGAGGAGCTGGGGATCCGCTCTTCGGGAGCCTCCTCCTTGGCGTCGTCCAACCTGGCCGTTTGCGCCTGTTCGGGAAGTTGGCCCAAGGCCGTCTGATCCGCCTTTTCAGCCGAATCCTTCCGCTGCCTCTTCTGGCTGGAAGTGTCATGGACCTTTGAAGCTGCCCTCTTCCTCTTCGAGCTCCTGCGCGACTTTGACTGAGAGCTCGGGGCGTTCCCCGGCTTTTCGCTAGGCACCGGGGTTGTTCTAGTCCTTTTCGACACACCATGTTCTTCAGCTCTTGTTGGGCTTTCCGCAACTACAATGCAGTCTAGGCTCGGCGGAGTGACCTGGCTCTTGCCATCGGGGGACGCAGAGGACCGGTGATATTCCAAAGGATTTACCTTCCCAGCGTCCAATTCGACCACTAGTTTGAGCAGACTTCCGTCGTCCATATCACTAATATCGAACGAGGTATTACCCGCCACGGTGCCTTCCGCTGGAACAGGCTCTGACGGTGTGGTGGTCTTAGTGATCTCATGAGATCGCTTCGGTGTAGGCGGCAGAGGACTGGTCGGTGCATCTACAAATTCTTCGCGACCAGACTTTGGTGTGGGCGTCTCCTCAACCTGAGACTGGGGAAGCCGAGGCGAGCGCCGTGGTGTAGAAGGACCTTGCTCCACCGGGGATGCTGGTGATTCCGGGGCTCGCGTGATTTCCATGCGAGAAACCATCAAGAAGCTATCCTCAATCACTTCATCGGTGGCCGGCTGCGGCTCCGCTCCATCGCATGCGTTGACAGGATTGGAGGGCAGTCGAGGGGCGTCTTCAACCTCGGGTAGGGACACGACACTGACATAGCCGAGTCGGCTTGACGGGTCGGGAACGACGTTGCTCCCGCTTCGATTAGGCGATCCGGACACTGGTGAGGAGGAAAACTGCCATTCCTCGAGCAGGCTGTGGCTAGCGGACCTGGATCTTATTTCTGCTGCTAACGGATTCCCCCTCAGCTCAGGAGGCGATGACGGAGGGTCCGTCATGTCATGTGGTGGGAGCATTATAGGCTGGCCGCGGCGGGGAGTTGGTGTCGATGACACATAATCGTCGAACTCTCCCTCGGGTTCGGGTGTGGCGGCCTGTTGCGCACGGGTCTCCGATGGGCCAGACTCTTCCGGCTTGACCCCGGGGCTTGATCGGATTTCGGGGAAGAGACCAGTATTCTCCCGTTGGCGCTCACGGACCTCCTTTTGCCTTTCTGTTAGAACCTGAGACTCAACAGGGCTGCCTAGGCTTGGAGACGACTCGATGGCGGCGAATTGGACCTGCGAGTCGTCATGTCGAACTCGGGGTGCCGGCCGGTTGTTCACCACTGAGCCTTGTCCTAGTGATCTGCCGGGGACTCTCCTGCTTGGCACCGCAAGCTTAAGGGCAGCGGGAGACCCGGAGTGCGATGAGGCAGGCCGGGGGGTCCCCCTCCGGCTGCTGGATCTCGTTGAGGGAAGTCCGGGCAGGCTCAAATCCTCGAATGAGTCGACGAACAACGGCTGCTGCGCGGCATGTTCTGAGCTTGGAGTTTCCAACCCTGGCAACACAATTTCAGCATGAAGCCGCATCTGTAGAAGCGCCGTCTTCAGCTCCTCGGAGTAATCCAGGTACTCGATGTCTTCGAAGAGTCTGTTCCATAGAGATACGCTGGAGCTGACGATATATCGATGGCAGGACGCGAATGAGGCACGGAAAAACCGCTCCAAAGCCTGGAGTTGTTGCTCGGGTTGTTCAATGTCTAAGATCAAGTGGCGGAGTTTATCCCACAATGATTTCATCTAAGCGTATTAGTGAGAGTCATCTGATGGAGTATGGAGTACTTACTGCGGTAAACACTTGGCCGGTCTGGCTCGCGAGCAGTCGTTTACTGTCTCGAAACCAGGGGAGAAAGCCGTCCTGTAAAGCAAGCATTGCCCTGAGGAATAGTTGGCTGTTGCACCTGTCGAAGAAGCTAGATATCTCGTTGAGAAGATGAATAGACAAATCTGCATCGGCGGAGTCGAAATTGTTGTACAAGTAGTTCAGGGCCTCGCTGATGGCCCTGTAGAGATTGTCGAATGTGTCGAAGGATGACGAGCGAGAACCAGCGAGCGCCGTGCCCCAGAGCCGTTTCCGAGCAGCATCCACGGCTTGCCTGTCTCGTGGTTGCGTTGCGGCAGACACCAAATCAGTCACATATCTGACCGACTTTGCCGAGATGGTGACGGCTGGCTGAGACGTAAATTGCTCAACCAAAACCTTCGCTAGAGGCTCGATAATGAGAATGGCAGCTCCTGCGTCGCCTGTCTCTTCGCGCACGCGTTCGAAAACAGCATAGAATAGAGATTCCCAATCCTTTCGCGGGAGATTTGGCGTCGACCTAATTCCGCGCTCGAGGACCCTGACAATGTCGCGGTAGTTGTGGCCGATCGGCGTGTCGTACGCCGAGCCGTTCGACTGGTTGCTGTGTTGGTTGGGTTCGAGCCAATTCAGAATGTGCTCTGCCACCAAGCGCCACGATCCATACGGTCGCGGTGTATCCATAGGAACGGCCGAGAGAAGGTCCTCCGCAAGATCCCTCCTTGCCTTGTCTCCCTTGGAAGTGAAAAAAGGGGCGAATACAGAGCCGAAGAAGTCTGAAAAAGCCTCGTCATCTGAAACGCCTGGTGGGAGCGTCGAAAGCATCAAGAAGAGGGAGTAAACGGAAGCTTTTGCAGGCCCTTGAGCTTTGCCGGCTTTTTCTGTAAAAGGTAGAAGGCCGAGTGAGCGGATCATGACCTCCAAGTACGATCTGACGGCGGAGAGGAAGTCGACCACATTCGTTTCGGCCTCTCCACAGCTCCGCGGACCACGCCTCCAGATCTTGTGCAAGACATTCAAGGCTTCGGCGACGAACAAGGCAGTATCCTTGGAGATCTTGATCTCCTTAGCGGCTGCTGAGGCAACAGTAGAGACCAATGCCTGCCAGAGACAGTAAACATGGCTGTCGGACCGGGCAAGCGCTGGGAAGTCTTGCGCAAGGATGGGCTCGACCACCGCAAAAACCCTGGTAATGTTCCGCCGAATCCATTTCGCGTCAATTGCCGGGAGTTCCTCTGGTCTTACAAGCGGCGTCTCCACTATATGATCTACTCTCCATCTTCGTGGTGTCCCACAATCAAAGAGGCCCCTCAGCATGACGCTAGCCTGTCGTAGGTTGTCCCCAGCAGCTTCAGCCTTCGGATCCAGCATATTTGCCATCACACGCTTCACGGTGTTGTCCCAGCAGGAGTCCAGGACGGTTGAGTTTAAACTCGGCTTAAAGACGTAGTAGAACAGGTTGCAAATGCCGCCCAGGACCGTCTGCCGCAAATCCTCGAATGTTTTCCCGCTTCCCTTCCGCCTCAGCTGGCTGACGAGGGGTGTGGTCAGCGTTGAAAGATTTTTGCTCATAGCCCGGTCATCTAAATGGATGAGATAGACGAGACGGCACCAGGCGTGATTGGCAGCAATCTTTGTCGGGAAGTCCGGGCTGTTGAAGCAATTCTGGATGATATGAAGCCAAGGACCAGTATACTCCCACTTGTCCAGTGGGACGCGAAGAAGGAGGATGACGACGCTCCATATCTCGGGAACAACGGCTGATTCATGCTTGTCCTTGATCATGACCTTCAGTTTCTCTTCGTAGTACTGGATATACCTCCTGTCCTCGTGAGAAAGATTGAAGACCTCCATGACCTTCCGCGAGAGTAGCTTTTCGTGGCCGATGCTAAAGGCCGCTTCCAAGCCCAGGGAGATGGCCGCCGATCGGATGTCTCTCAGGTTGCTGAGCATGTCGGTGAACATGTCAAGCAGCCAATCTGAATGGATAACCATGTGTTGTCTGGACTGCTGGACAAGTTTCCGGTAAATGAGGACGCGAGACAAGACGATGCTCTTTCCGGATAGGTGTTCCTCGATGTTGTGCAGCGAGGATACCAGTCGACCCACCCGGTCAGAGGTCATGACTTTGGGAGAGAAGTTTTGCAGAGAAATAACCTGCATGAGACGCCTGGCGATGTCTTTCGGAGTAGACGCATCTCCAAAAGAGCGAATGCAATGGTCCAGGATGAAAACACCGAAATCGTTGGTAATGGTCGAGGCGATAGCGGGAAACCGCAGGAAAGTGTTGAGCAGGTTCAAAGCATGGTTGACGAGGGAGGTATCGAGAACGCCTTCAGGTGTTCTTGCCACGACGTCTCGCTGCATAAACTGAGTGAAGAGACTCATCTTCTCCTGCAATGCGACTCGGTCAGGCAGGTTGTTAGAAGCCTTCCAAGCCCGCGTCAGCATCAAGTAGGCGTCGACCTTGGAGTCGCGGTCGCCGCCTGCGAGCTGTTGTATTGTCGACTCCAACATGACTGCCAAATTCACATTTGTATCCTGGGCTTCTGATGCGACGCCGTCTGTAGAGCCGAGAGGATCCGGGATGTGGTTGGTGACTTTCAGGATCGACTTGACGGGCTTAGAGGCACTTCGGGGCAGCGACACGGGGGTCGGGTTCTGTTTTGGAGCCCCGCCCTCAGCATAGTCCGGAGGGTCCTTATATTCGGTTTGCCCTGAGAAGCCAACCTTCTTTCGCCTCGATGTCGAACTTGTCGTGAGCGCGGATACGGGCGACTGGAGACCGGGTGGAGTGTGCACGCTCAAGCGGGTATCGACGGAGACGAGTGGGTGTTTATCAGTCGGAGCCGGAGTGTCATGGTGAGCTTCGCGCGGTGGAGTCGGCGGTCTCGGTGGTAAGGAACCCAAGAGACTGGACAAAACAGCCGGGGATGACATTATGTTCGACTGGCCACTTGGGGAAGGGATGCAGATTGCCTGCACCCGAAGACCAGCGAACTGTCACCTGAGTTGGCAAGCGCGAAGCATCGAGGATGGAGGCTTGGAAGACAAAGACAAGGTCTATTTAGGACAACCCATAGCAGGACCCGGAAGCAAGATCGGATGGAAATCCTGCGTGGTTGTCTTATTGTGATGTGGCCAAACAGCAGCAGATGGGGGTTGATGGATGTGCTGGGAACTAGGCAATTAAGACTTTTGACGCGGTCGCGCGTTCTGCGTGACCTTAAAACACGCGTCGGATCGCGCCCCAGCGCAGCGACAGCCTGTCAGGGGGTGCCTAGACCCACACTCAGCCCCCTCTTTTCAACCGCTGCAAGTACCTGTAGGTTTGGAACTGTCAATCCGACCGGTGCAGTACTCCGTACCTGTATCCATATTCGCAGGTGCCTTCGTTTCGAGCTGCAGAGATCTGCAATCTCGATGCGGGACGATGTGAGATGACCGACGTCCAGTTGAAGAAAAGTTGGAGCTGTGGTCACGTCAGATCGGGCTGGATGCCGGAACTCGCGCCCTACCGATCCGTTATGGTTACCTGTAGCAAAGGGGACCTTTACAGACAGCTTTTACGGAGGTATAGAGGAATAAATTCAGGCCACTTCCTGCCCTTCTTCATTCAATCCGAAATACTTCGTTATGTGCTACATGCATAAATAGACTGGGACTGTCATCATCTTGTGCATCGCATCAGTTTTGTTTTCGAAACATCGAGAAGAGTGGGGCACTTAATCCAGCTAAACTCTAGGTAACTTGCACCTCACTCATACTAGACTTGACACACAAATCGATAGATAGGCTGTGAAAGCTCCGTCACCCTCTCTAGAAGCCGATCTTGACCTAATCACCAGTCCTAGCTTAGTCTCTCATGTCAAACAGCCTGATCATGGCGCAATCTGGACAGTCTGCTCCGTCTGGAACCCTGACAGGCCCTGGTCAGTACGCATCCGCCCTATCACGGTATGGCATCAAAGCTGACGGGACTCGATGGCAAGCCAAACTGGATGCTGTCACACGGCTTCTAGACAGGCTAGCAGAAGACCTCAAGTCTGCCACACTCCAACCCCAAGGTCAGTGCTATCCTGATCCTGCTCGTACCTGGAGGAACAGTATCAGCTGAAGCCTGCTGCAGAACGCGACACTGCCCTCGAGGAATTGAAAGTATATGGTCGCGATCCTCTCTATGCAGACCCTATCTTCACCAGAAGCGTGAGTGCATCACCTTTGCCTTGGCTTGTGGGCAGTGTCTAACCTGCCGCAGGGAATAGAAACTTTAGCGAGACATGCGTTTGACAGTCATTCAGAAACAACATCACGGAACGCTCTCAGGGTACTCTGTAATGCCATGCTGCTCAAACCCGAAGCACGCCAGGCCTTCGTCGACATAGGATACGAAGCCAAAGCCTGCAGCCGACTCAGGACGGAGAATCCAGACGATGAGTTCCTGCTGTCCAGGCTCATCTTCCTCACAACCTACGGTACAAGCATCAATCTACCAAGTCTGATAGAGCAACACCACGTGGCCGACTCTATTATCCAAAACCTCTCAAGGCACGCCGCCCGGTTTTCCACAGGAAAACCAGCCACGAGTCCAATGGAGGACATGGCCTTGGTAGAAACTCTGAAGCTCCTTTTCAACGTAACCCGCTTCTGCAGTGACCATACCAGCTTCTTCGACCCTGCATTACCGCACATCACGACCATCCTTTGCGCTCTTGACCTCCCAACACCACAAGCCCAAAGCCCCCTAGATCCTCCTTTCAGCCCGCTCATCAACGCGCTCATGAACCTCGACTTCAGCACCCCGACTGCCCAAGCCGCCCTCTACCCCGCCTCAACACCCACCTCCGTCGCCGACCCTCTCATCCAATTGCTCGACATCTCCATGAAACGCTACACCGACACTAACCTCGACCAACTCGTCACTCCGCTCATCTGCGTGCTCTCAATGCTCTACGACCATGCACCATCACCATCACCGTCACCGCCCAGAACTGCGGATGCGACCAGCAGCAGCGTGGACGTACGTTGCTTCGTCCAGGAGCGCCTCCTCCCCACCGAAGAAGACCGGAAAACGGTCCTCGGGCGGAGCGACACGCTGCCTTCGCGGTTGCTGCGTAACTGGACGAACCCCCTGGCGCCCGAGTTCAGGAAGCAGATTGCCCGCTTCTACTTCGCCATCTCGGGTAAGGACGTGGTACGCTTCATTGAAAACGTGGGATACGGCTACGCGAGCGGCTTCTTGTTTGAGAACAAGATTCCTCTTCCCGAAGGGGCTGCTGCCGGGGGCAGCGCGAGTGCCAGGGAAGGCGAGGCCGCCGGGGTAAGGAGGGCGGTGAATCCGATCACGGGTCAGTTCCTCGACGAGGAGAGATATCCGGATCTTCCGGAGATGACGGATGGGGAGAAGGAGCGCGAGGCTGAGAGGTTGTTTGTGCTGTTTGAGAGGTGAGTCCTGGTTTTGTTACGGCATCTTTTGGTCCCTTCTTCCCTCTGTTCTTCATATTCGATATCTTCTCCTGGTTGTCATTGCCCGTATTCTTATCTCAACTGCTGACGATCCTTGACCAGGCTGAAGCAGACGGGCGTTATGTCGGTGCAGAACCCGGTTGAAAAGGCCGTGCAGGAGGGTCGGTTCGAGGAGTTGCCTGACGACGCTGATGAAGATAGTGATGCTGTTGAGGACCTAGATTAGCCAAAACAATACCGGGTTTGTATGTAACGTTATGCCGACTTCAATGTATTCGTCTGACTTGGTTGTTCATCTAATGTTCAACAAACCCTGAAGGGACGGGAGTCGGGCAGGGGCAAACTATAACGGAGCCTCATCGGTCAGTTGAAAAGTTTTGCAATGGGTTCAAACGGCCAGGTTCCTTTCCTGTCACGATAATGGGCCTCAAAGCGAAAGATACAACTAATCCAACGTTTGCGGTGTTTGAAGCGCTCGCGATACACAATCCTTCCTGGACTCAAATGAGGGTCAGGGTTAAAGTCAATAGCAAACAATCCAAATTTGCGCTGAACTTTTGAGCGAAACTTGATGACAACTATTTGGCCAATCAAAGGTCTAGCGCATAGCTTTTGGTGGGGCGCTGTGGCTGGTGCCTCAATTTCAGTGGCTTGTACATCATCCACCGCGTCTCCGCCCTTCAGCAGAGCAGCATTCATCCATTCCTTTGCAAATTATCTGAGAGAGTTGAGGTCTTGGGTTTCCTCGGTCAAGGTAAGAGTTTTTGATCTCAAATTGACTTTATTTTCCCATTTTTGGAGATTTGAGCCTATCTAACTTTTGAACCAAGCGCTTTTGAAGGCGCAAGGTGCTCACCAAAAGCGCCTGCCAGTCGCGCATGTCAATCGCGTCCACCTGAGCTTCAGTTTCACGCGCATTGTCATTTCAAGGCATTGACTCTTCTTGGACGTCAATTAGCTGCGACATCGATAAATTCAAAATGCCCTTCGGTGAATATTTCGATGACCCAAGTCCTCCTTTGATCCAGAGCGACCTTCTTGGGTAAGTCGCGACGCGCCTCGTGCCTGCCGTTTTCCACACAGGCTCTTGAGCCCACTCGCATATCGCAGACTGGCTCAACCTTACCCCAGTTCTGCTCGTTTTCTTGCTTGTTGTACGTTGCGTTTGCCACAACGTGGCCACATCAGGAGTGTATCATTCTAATCCATGACGCATAAATTCTGGCCCTGGTCTCACAGCTCGGTCGAAAAGGGCTACTCCCGGGAACAGTCACCAATTGAAGGCGAGGGTATGGGAACGAGCGCGAGCGCAGGCCCAACTGTGGTTACGCTTGACGACCAAGCACCCGCTGGGATGTCGTCGCGTATTCCTGAGGCAGACATGGGTGTTGAGGATGAGGTGGAGGCTGAGCTCGAGGTGTCGCGCGTATCCGCGGTGACTTCATCCATCACCAGGAAACGTGGCAGACCATCGCTCTCAGGTTCAGCTACGCCCGCCAAGTTGACCACACTCAAGACTCCGCGCTCAACGAAGAGTGTTGCCACCGTGAAGAGCGCCGGCCGTAGCACCGGCCGGAAGCGCACTGCTGCAGCTATCGAGGCCGAGCCTGAGACTACACCTGAGCCTAAAGCCGAATCCGAGAGTGAGCCTGAAGCCGAGCCGGCGCGAAAGCGCGGCCGCCCTGCCCGTACTGTGGGTGCTGCTGCTAGCGCACGTCTTGCTGCTAAGGCCGCTAAGAAGCCAACTCGCGGCCGCCCAAAGTCGTCAACTGTAAGCATAGTGGCACGTTCCAGTTCCGCAGATCCACAGAATGCTCACTGTTGCAATAGTCTGCCGAGAAACCAGCAAAAGCTGGACTGCCCAGGAAAGACGCCGTTAACGGCGAGGTTCCCCAGGGCGAGTACGAAGTCGAGGCCATTGTCGACTCGGTGGTTGACGCCGATACCATGGAGCACTACTACTGTGTCAAGTGGAAGGGCTACCCAGACAGCGACAACACATGGGAGCCGAAAAAGAACCTCAAGCATGCCCTTGAGCTCGTGCGCCAATTTGATGCTAAGAAGAAGTCCCAGACGAAGAATGCTGCCAAGGAAGCCAGTGCTAAGAATGACTCCAAAGAGGAAGGGGATGAGCAGAAGCGGAGCACTACGAGGAAGCAGCCCAACGCTGTAAAACCAGTGAAAAAGGGCAAGGGTCCTGGACGACCTCGGAAACGGAGAGGCCGGGCATGATCTGTCTGTCAACCGACCTCTGTCCTTTCTCCCTGCTTCCTTGTTTCCTCTTGATGCCTCGGGCTGGATGGCTGCAAATTGCAGAGTGCGGGTTTCTTTCTCTTTTATGTGTGGTTGCAAATGATCCTAACGGAAGGAAGACATTTTCCAATTGGCTTGGAGCAGTGCAGGTGGGGATGCCCTAAAGCCTGAACAGAGGGCTTCTAATTTTTCGGTCCGGCCAGACAAGTGTTCTCTCCGCCGGGTACCTGGGGAGGATGAACGGATGCATCTGCCGAGTCCGCATGGGTTTGGACGGCTGCAAATGAGCAGTGTATGTACATGTATACATAGCGGCCGGCTACCATAGCTCGGTGAAGCGCATTAGCTTCCACTGCGACGTAGCCTTATAGCCGTCGAACCGCTCTCCCGGGCTATGATGATAGCTTGGCACTCCAATAACTACTTCATAAAGCGCAATTTGTCTCCACGAGCGCTTGATTTTCTTCCAAAATCGCGAAATCCAAATGACAGGCAACGGATATCCAAGTTGAGACACTTCGATTCCATGGACAAATATGTGGTGTTGTTGCCATGGGACAAGTGGACACTCATGCCCTCCTCGATGGAAGGATGGGTGGCAGTGTGGGGCCGAATAACAGAAGGCCGATGAGGTTTTGCTGGCCAGCGCACACTTTGTCAGCGCCTCAGATCTTTCCACATCCCCCAACGCCCAGTCCCATCTCGGCCGCCGTCGCCAAGTGAGAAAGAGCAGCTCGGGGTCAACTGATTCGGCTGCTTTCAGTCTGACAACCCACCGACAGCGAAACCGAAGAAAGCCAAAAAGCAAAGATGGACGCGCTTCGCTCTGCGCTGCAGCCCATCACGCACAACCTGCCCGGCCCGATCCGCGACCTCGGCGTGTCCATCATCGGCGACACGTGCTACAAGGCCCTGCTGCTCGACGTCGATCTCGAAAACACCGAGTGCGTCAAGCTGGCTGTCAGCAAGGCGCTGGGAATCGGAATTGTGGGCGCGTCGTCGATCGTCAAGGTGCCCCAGATCGTCAAGCTGGTGCAGTCGCAATCGGCCAGCGGCGTCTCGTTCCTCTCATACTTGCTTGAGACGAGCAGCTACCTCATCTCGCTCGCCTACAACTACCGGAATGCGTTTCCCTTCAGCACCTACGGCGAGACGGCGCTCGTGCTGGGGCAGAATGTCATCATCACGGTGCTCGTCCTTAACTACAGCGGCCGCGCCGGCATGGCCGCCCTGTTCGTCGCCGCCCTTGCCACGAGCGTCGTGACGCTCTTCAACGCAAACATCCTGGACATGCAGAAACTCAGCTACCTGCAGGTCGGCGCCGGCGCTCTGGGCGTTGCGAGCAAGATCCCCCAGATCTTGGCGATTTGGCAGGAGGGCGGCACAGGCCAGCTGAGCGCCTTTGCGGTGAGTTTCTCTAGACGTCGAGACTACAAGCAGCAGTGCGAGCTGGTTTGGGTTACGTGGTCGCTGACATTGTTGCTTCGAATACAGGTGTTCAACTACCTTCTCGGCTCGCTCACGCGCATTTTCACGACCCTGCAGGAGGTGGATGACAAGCTGATCCTGTACGGGTTTGTAGCGGGCTTCGCCCTGAACCTAGTGCTCGCACTGCAGATGGTCTACTACTGGAATGCACCTTCGGCCAAGGCCAAGGGCAAAAGAAAGGAGGTCCCGGTCGAGGCGCCGTCATCAGCTACAGCCACAGCAGTCCCGAAGAGCAAAGGCCCGACAACACGTCGTCGTGGTTAGAGCAACGACTCCGGTTTCGGACTTTAGTTTGTTATCCGGGCGGGCTGTCGATGGTGGCTGTTCTCTGTTGTAGCGGGCAATCAGAACAAACTTGCCATTGTTTTTGTAGCCACGAACATCTCGGTCGTCTCTTGTCGATGTGACACGATTGCTAACCCACAGCAAATTCTGCGCTGGCGCGAATTCTCATTACTTATAGCGCGATTCAAGGCCTGGCCGCAGCAGTCATGTGGTCGCGTGCCAGGTAACCTTCGCCAATTCCGCCTAGTGTCGGGGCCGTATCTCCATTTTGGCCAAATCCCAGGGTCGCCTGCAACCCGGAAGGTCCCCGAGCTCCCCGGAACTCCGGGAGACGAGAGAGGTGCGGTATCGCAGAAAGAGACCATGTCCATCTTTTTATGCCCGGCCGACTGTGGTCTAGACTTGCACTATCACAGGTGTATCCGTACTAGTAACGTTAACATTGACGCTTTGCGCTAAAGGCACCCTTCAACTGTTTTTACCCCACAAGACTGTGCATGTCAGTTTATCGATTCCAATCCCGAGGGCTCTTGATAAGGGTTGACGCGTTCAGGGGCCCTCCAGATTGGGCAGGTCTGGGTTACATAACCAAACTAATTGCAGAAAGATCTCACCTGCTCACAAGACCAAACCCGGAGAAGCTTGAAGAGCTCCATGGAACAGGCTCACCGCCACATGGTTGGCGATGTTTGGCTCCAGAACACACCGACAACGCATCTGACGGGCCTATCACCCGCCTATCATTGTACCTGGGGCATGTGAAATGGCTGGATCCACCAGCCGCCCGACACAGCGGTCCCCGGTGTTGAACAGATGCATTGACAACCGCCGGGGATAAAATGGAGACGGATCTGCTCGTCGTGTTCTCATCCCGTCTCTAGATGGCGCCATCGCCTCACCTCTTCTGTATTGCGTTTGCGTCAAGTGCCGTTGCGTGCTTCATCCGTTTATCCCCGCTCTCCCAGTGTTCCTGCTGTTTAAGCAGATTGACAGAAGGCATTCATCGGTTGGTGGGGGTCGACGTGTCTCATCTTTTTCGATTTCTCTTCTGAGTGGGATAAGGCAGGGCGCCACCTACGTCGTGTTTCCTACCCTGATATTGGCTCCCTTTTGGTGTACAATTTTCTTGAGAAGAATCCTACTGTTTAGCTCAGACAGTAAAACGAGCTGTTAAGGCTGTTGAGGCACATCGCCGCCGTGAGAGAAACCTGACCATCACCTACTTCCCTCGTACCTTCCCGCATAGGTATTCGACAGGAGCAGGAAACCACAAATGTCGCCAGACCTCAACTCGCTTCCACCCTCACCGGCCCCGGGCACGAGCATCCCCGTCAATCTGACGCGCAGCGGCAACACCAACGGTGTTCCCAACGGCGTCGACAAGATGCCCAACATCCTGTACATCATGGCCGACCAGCTAGCCGCTCCGCTGCTGAAGATGTACAACCCAGATTCGCAGATCCTCACGCCGAACCTGGACGCCCTTGCCGCCCGATCGGTCCAGTTCGACTCGGCCTACTGCCCGTCCCCGCTGTGCGCACCGTCCAGAATGAGCATGATCACAGGCCTGCTGCCCATGAAGATCGGAGCCTTCGACAACGCCGCCCAGATCTCGAGCGACATCCCCACCTACGCCCACTACCTCCGCCTGCGCGGGTACCATACCGTGCTCGCGGGCAAGATGCACTTCGTCGGGGACCAGCTGCACGGCTACGAGACGCGCTTGACGAGCGACATCTACCCTGGCGACTTCGGGTGGGTCGTCAACTGGGACGAGCCGGATACCAGGCTGGAGTGGTACCACAATGCGAGCTCCATCCTGCAAGCGGGCGTTTGTGTGAGGAGTAACCAGCTGGATTACGACGAGGAGGTCATGTACCGGTCAACGCAGTTCCTCTATGACCACGTCCGGGAAGGGCCGGGGGCGAGGCCGTTTTGTTTGACGGTAAGTTGCACGTGAAAACGCCAAACACTTTCCTCTTTGTAGATGGGGGTCGCATCAAAGGCCGCGTGATTGGTTGCTTTGGTGCCCCCCGCACGCACTTCTGGTGTGTGGTGTGCAAGCTGTCGTACTGCGTAATGGTACCTTGGACAAACAGTCGGGCTGACAGGCCGTGGCATCATTGGTACGGTACCCTTTAGGTCTCCCTGACGCACCCCCACGACCCCTACACCATCGAACAAAAGTACTGGGACCTCTACGAGGGCGTCGACATCGACCTGCCCAAGGTCCAGATTCCCAAGGAGGAGCAAGACCCGCACAGCAAGCGCCTCCTCAAGGTGTGCGACCTCTGGGACCAAGACTTCAGCGAGGATCAGATCAAGCGGGCGAGGAGGGCTTACTATGGCGCCGTCAGCTATGTGGACGACTGTGTTGGCAAGCTGCTCGACGTGCTCAAGCGCTGCCGGCTGGATAAGAACACCATTGTCATCTTCAGCGGCGACCACGGAGACATGCTCGGCGAAAGGGGCCTGTGGTAAGCTAGTACTCAGTCTCCTTTTCCCCAGCTGAGCCTTCTAGACCAAACGGAACTCGCCTCAATAACACTCCCGCCAGGTACAAAATGAACTACTTTGAGAACTCCGTCCGCGTGCCCCTGCTGGTCTCTTACCCGCAGTGGTTCGCTCCGCACCGCGTCTCTTCCAACGTTTCGACGCTCGACATCCTCCCCACCATGTGCGACCTGGTCGGCACTAAGCCAGCCCCCTTCCTGCCCATGGATGGCGTCTCGCTGCTACCGCACCTCGAGGGCCGCTCCGCCGACGGCCACGACGAGGTCTTTGCCGAGTACACGGGCGAGGGCACCGTCCGGCCGCTGATGATGATCCGCCGCGCCAAGTGGAAGTACGTCACTTGCCCCGCCGACGGGTCGCAGCTGTACGATCTAGAGGCGGATCCGCTGGAGCTGGTGGACCTGGTCAAGAGCGGGGCCGTGGCAAGGGACGAGAAGGTGAGGAAGGTGTTTGAGGGCTTCGAGAGGGAAGCGAGGGAGAGATGGGACTTTGACGCCATCACTAAGGAGGTGCTGCTCTCGCAGCGGAAAAGGCGCTTGGTCTGGGGTGCATTGACCAAGGGCCGGTTTACCAGTTGGGATTACAACCCCGAGGATGATGGAAGAGAGAAGTGAGTCCCTCTCCCTGGTCGACTGGGTATTTGGTCCGATGAATGGCAGGTTTGCTGACCCAGTCACAGGTATATCCGCTCGCACATTCCACTCGACGACCTCGAGCGCAGGGCGCGGTTCCCGGCGGTTGACGAGTTTGGTCGAGAGACTGGGACAGCCATCAGAGCTGATCAGGCTGGCTCTCATGGACAGTGACCGCCGTCTACTCCTGCTTCACGACGAATGGAACAGACGGTGACCGATGTAGGTATGGTGCAGTCAATTTCGGAGCTCCGAGACAACCCGGTCGGAGTTGGGCGTTTGGACCCGGGCAATTCGAGCGCTGCTTACTGTCTAGGATAATGGGGTATTATGTTTTAATCAATATCATTGTTCAGCTTGAGAAGCCCTCGCTGAGCCTGTCTTCTAGGGTGTGGCTGTCTGGCCGGCTCGTTTCATGTGAGTTGTAGGTTCCCCTCAACGGTGCGCGCAATTTATTGGGCTATTCGAGGCGTCCAGCCTCAATGACATTCATGAACATGCAAGGAAGGTGTCGAAAGTCAGCTTATCACAAACCTCCCCTCGAAAAGACTCAGAACATCCTCCAAGCCAGTGCGAACGTCTGTCCTTCGACCGAAGTCACGTTGTGGCCTCGCACAACGACGGTCGCGTCTCCCTCAGGGATCCCCTCCCACACGACCTGCTCAACATTGTTCTTCCTATCATACTCCCTGTCCGTCCGCTTGTTCTTTGCCGCGTCATCCCTTTGCTTCTTGGTCTTTGCCGGGAATTCCTTGGCCAGCTGGTTGCCATGCCGCTCAACCTTGCCCCCCGGCGCCACGACAATCAGGTCCAAATCATTCTGCAACTCCTCGCCCTTGGGGTCCGTCCAGACCAGCGTCACCTTGAGTGTCTTGCCACCCTCCTTGATGGGGATGGCAAAGCTGAACTCGTCGAATGTATTGAGGGCCCCCGTGTCCGGAGTTGGATTCTCGTCGCGGAAGCCGGCCGAGCCGTCGGCGGCTGCAAGGACTCCAGTGCTGCTGCTGCTGCCGTCCTCGGAGGTCTCAGTATCAGCGGACACGACCACAATGCTGTTGGCCGCGTCGACCCGCCCCCACCCGCTCGCCTCGTTGGGGCTCTTGCCGGCCTCGGTCGGGGTGTACTGGCCCGCGAGCTCGACGGCGCCGTTGATGAGCAGCGCCTTGATCAGCGCCGCGCTGGGCGCCCGCGTGCGCCCGTCGCGCGCCAGCGCCTCGCGCACCACGGCACAGCACCCGGCCACCAGCGGCGTCGCCATGGACGTGCCCCCGAGGAACATGAACTTGGAGTCGGCGCTGGCGCCCCACGACCCGGAGTCCCGCGTCACTAGCCTGCTGCGGGTCGAGAGGATGCAGGTCCCCGGGGCGACGACGTCGGGCTTGATGCGCCCTTCGCGGGTGGGGCCCCGGGACGAGAAGGCGGCCATGCCGTGGTCGTTGTTGGCCATGTTGTCGTGGCTCAGGGGCTGTTTCGGGTAGCCGAAGCGCGAGTACTTGACGCTGATGTCGTGGCGGAGTGATTCGGATGCGCCCACCGTGATGCAGTTCTTGGCCGCCGCCTCGGCGCCGATCTGTGAGCGGTCGACTCGTCCGTCTTGGGGTCTCCGGTCCATGCCGTCGTTGCCTGCCGCGAAGAGGATCATCATGTCGCGGTGTTTGTGGACAAAGTCGTCGATTTCCGATGACGAGTCGTTGTATTCGATCTGGAAGAAGGGGTCTGGTGATGAGCCCCAGCTGTTGGTGTGGATGCGCGCGCCATCCTTGGTGTAGGGTTTCTCAAAGAGTTCGCGGAGGTCATCTGGGATGCCCCCCAACCCGCCGCGCGCGTCGAGGAGCGACTGCACGACGAGCGTGGCTTTGGGCGCGGCGCCCTGCACCCGTTCGCCGTTGTCTGCCGTCTCATTATCGCCCAGCACGGAACCGCACACGTGTGTCCCGTGGCCGTCGGGATCGGACGAAACCCCGCTGCGACCCAGCGGGTACAGCGCCGTGACGCGCACCGTGACGTTGCCGGTGGGCCCCGGGCTGGTCTTGAAGGCGTTGCGCACTTCGGCGGGTTGGATGGAGCCGTTGTCGAACCCCAGTGTCGGCGACGCAGACGACTTGTCCGTCGCCTTCGTACTCGGTGCCGTTGACCGGGTGGACGGCTTGGTCGAGGCGCAGAATGCCACGAGCAACCGTGTTGTGCAGCTTGGCGGGATGGACCTGGTGGATGCTCTTGACCTCGTCTAGCTCGGCCACATCGGACAGGTAGCGGCGCTGCACCGTGATGCGGGCCTTGTGGCCCTGCGTCTGCAGGGAGGCCGGGTCCAGGCGTGCGGCGGCTGCAAGGCTCGATATGAGATCAGGAGTTGTGGTCACGTCTGCGTGGAACTCGACGTTAACGGCCACGGGATGCTCGGTGTTAGCTGGTGCTGGGAGCAGTCGATGGGTGGCTGAGGATGCCGGCGGGACCTCCTTCAAGCGAGACTCAATCACGAAATGCGGCTGGTAGACGTTGGCGTAGGTGATGTAGTCCAGAGCTTGAACTTCGGAGAGATCCTGGAAGAGAAGTTAGCGAGAGTATCCGTACACACTGCCTAGCCACATCATATAAGGGGCTAAACGTATGACATGTACAGTACATACCTCAGGCTCATAGAGGCAGAGATATGTGCCGTCAGACACCTTTTCCCTGATTTTGACATGCTTGTCGGCGAGCTCCTGCTTGATCTCCTTGGTCAGGGGAGCGTTGATCTGGATGAGGATGTGGTTCGAGTCCTTGGCTGTCTCCTGCACCAGTCCGAAAGCCCTCAGGGTTTCGACGGGGGCATCGGGGTCAATGGAGTTGCCGTTGATGGTGATGATTGCCATGTTTTTGCAGTGTAAGAGTGATTGGTTTCAGTTCACCTGAGTACATGTAGGTAATCCCCAAGCGGATAGATTCACATCATCCTCAACTCCCGTTCACAGAGGACACAGCAACAGACTGGATATGGGTCTGAATTTATACCTAGATATGCTATGCCTGTATCTCAGTCGCTCCTCCCTCGGTTCTTTCTGTTCTCCCGAAGCATCGGGGAAACCGAGTAATAATGGCGCACATCTCCTGCCTTGACAGGTCAAGTCTGGCCTATCATGATGTATCCCACAAATGCAGCCTTTCGGCGAAGTGAAACTCACTAAGCAACTTCCGTGATCCGTCAGCCACAGTTTACGCCAAGCAAGTCCCCCTCAACCTGGGCATCCGTGAACGTGGTATTGGTCCTGAATGCGGTTTACCTTGGGAGTTCTAGATGGGCCTATTTCTCATGAAACTTAAGGTAGTGTTCTTGAAAGCACCAGGTCTCTTGAATGAATACCTCTCTCCTACCGGACGCAACGTGCCTCCATTTCCAAGTCATAGATTGGTCGACACGTCTTGGTGATGAATCAATATGGTCATGATGAAGGCTGGAAGCCAAGATTCAGACTGTCAGCTGCCATAGGTAATCACAAAGGCTGAGCTGAGCAGCCATTACCATGGATGATGTATCACATCGATGCTACCTAAGAGACGGGGCGTTCTTGCTCGTAAAGGTCCTTTGTCGGTAAAGGGCGTCTCGGCCCGTAGTTAGTATGAAGACATGACCACTTTCAGCTCCGAAGCCGAGCCCCGATCCGGAGCAGCCTCATCAGCCGGTATGACGTCGATCCGAGGCCGGGTACCAAACCGATGGTAGCCGTCCATAACGCCCGACATGAATTTGGTATACCCACTAGTAGCCAAATGCCTTACTTAGAGGCTACTAAGGTGTGCTTCCGAGGGCTTGCAGCTTAAGCCACGATGCTTGGATCCTGGTAGTACTGGGTACTAGTTCTAGGCATTCGGTACTCCCCCTTTTCGTCCTGGAAACCGCGAGGATATGACTCGGCTCCAGCTCTCTTTCTCTCCCATACTCATGCTCTGTGTTCCTTTTCGCCCCTCGGCGTCATCGTAATTCACCTTTTCTTTCCTCCTTTTCCGCAGTCGTACAACAGCTGCAATCCAATAACCCGCCACCGCAACCATCAACCCAATCCCAACCCATGCAATGGCAAGCCATTTGGTCCCTGCAGCAGCATTCAACCCGATGGTCCTTCCGAGGGCATTGATCTTATCCTGAGCAACCCTAGCGCCGATACTCGCCAGCAGCCCCCCCAGGATAAGAAAGAGCAACGCCAACGAGACGGCGCCCAGATTTGACCAAAGTACCAGACCACTACTGACGCCGTCGTCGGGGATAAACATGCTCGTTACCGAAGCGAGAAATGTGAGGCCTGTGAATCCGACGCCCAGCGCAAACAGGACCGTCATGGCTTTGATGAGCGAGTTGAGGCTGTCCAGCGCCAACTCGACGTCCGCCGTCAGCCCCAGGTCGGAAAGGGACAGGTTGAGGTTGAGCAGCGGCCCGACGTCGAGGGTGAGGGTCTTGTTGAGGAGGGCGGGGATGGAAAATCCGACTTCTTTCATCATGATTAAATTGAAATTAGTTCGGTACTATATCACCACCACTGATGATATATGGCAGGGAGGTGGCATCCATACCTGCAAAGCCAGGGTGGCATTCCGTGACGTTGCGGCGCCCATCTTGCGTGAAATCGCCTTCACAAATCCGAAGGGCATGCAGTGAATAAAAGTCGCGAATGTGCAGCTGCTCGGCCAGGCGGTCGGCAATGTCGTTGTTGATGTCGTTGACTGCGCCGCTGGCTGCACTTCCGGCACTGGCCACCGCTGAGGCTGCCGAGTCGCACGCTTTGCCGAGAACGTTTGGGAGGTCATTGCAAATATTTCGAGTCTCAACGGTTCTGGTGGGTGTAGTGATGGTGCGAGAGGCAAGCCGGTCTATCAGATTCTTTCCGAGACCCGTGGTGTTGACCTAGATGAAGAAACGTGTCAGTTAAGACATACATGCAAGAAGTCGATAAGCAAACGGCAGACGAGGTTTGACTTGCGGCTATGATGTCGTAGTCTTCTAGGACGCCAGCATCATTCCCCGCGAGCAGGGCCAACATCAGCAAGATGAAGGCACCGAGGGAACAGAGTAGCGGGACGAGTCGGGACAGGGAAAAGCCCGCGGCCATGGTTGGTAGCGACTGGCGAGTGACCGGAAGAGAGCTCTCAGTTTTCAGTTACCTATGTGAGTCGCAATCCAGGAGCGTAATAATAGAGACATCAGTTCGGTGGGTACTTCAGGGGACAGCTATCATACCGAAGGGTAAAGAGGAAACTTTAATCTTCAGAGCAGAGACATGTTTTCTGCATGTGGTATGACGGATACTCCCTAGACACCATACACCCTTGAAATGGGGCTCATTCAAACGGTAATGTCAATGCCAGGCCGTCACTGTGTTGCTTGTTCTCGAGATACAGAGACCCAAGACAGTGAAGCAACTTGAAACACGGCAAAGCATAGCTTCAACTTCATTCAGTGCCAGGTTCCTGCACGCTTTTTTGGCCAACTGACTTTTGGTGTGAGGGTGTTTGTACGTCATGAGGTCCTGCTTGTCTGGACATGAGATGATGCACGACAATCGGGTGGACGGGGTTGGTCAGTTCCGGTGTACTGCTTGGGCTTGTCTCTGCCACAAATGGACAGAACGACGTGGTAAACCAATAGGCAGAGTTGCCCAAACGCCCAATCAAGGTATTCAGGTTGGACACCTGCATCTGGTTTCCAGGCATCTCGTGCGACCAACTCCTTCTTGGTGGTGATCGTTAGAATTGAGCGGAGCCGTTACAGCCCGTGTGTCTCAATAACATAGCTCTCAAACTGTCTTGTGGGCACCTTTCTCTCAAAGAGAATGTCCAGCTCCTCGTACGTTCGCCCCTTGGTCTCAGGCACCCTGAAGAAGGCCCATACAAAGCACAAAGCGGCAAGTCCGCCAAAGAAGAAGCCCAACTTTCCCTGCATATTGGCCTCATCCGGGTTGATCATGTACGGGATTGCGACGGTCATGATGCACCCCAGAGCGCCTTGTGCAGCTGTAGCAAAGGCGATGCTCTTCGACCGGACGCGCGTGGCGCTCGCCTCGGATATGATGACGAAGCATATGGGCCCGATGGAGATGTCGTAGAAGAAGTTCCAGACAAGCATGAGCGAAGACTCGGCCCAGGCAACGCCCGACGGCCGTCCAGGGATGCAGTCGAGGATGCCGATTATTATTTGCAGGACGATGAGGAAAAAGAGGCCTGAGTTGTAGATGGTGCGGCGGCCGTAACGGACAATCAGGGGCCATGATAGAATGGTTCCGAGGAAGCCAACGGCTGCGATGCGACGTTAGCTATCAGACCTTCCTTCAGTAGAGAGCTTCTCACCAAGGAAGCCGATGCCCATAGAGAAGGCATCCTCTTTAGAAAGTCCCGCCAGCTGAAAGAAGTAGGTGCCGTAGTTGATCAGGTAAATCCCGCTCAGCACCTGCGTGCAGTACACTCCCACGGAAATCTCGGTCCGGCGGAGGTTGACGCCCCTGAAGCAATCCCAGTACGTGCTGCCCATTTCCAGCTCCCTCTCCAGGCGGTCCGTCTCGACAATCGCAGCCAGGGTCCGCCGGACATTGACCTTCCCGGACGCCAACCGCCGCAACACGTGCTCCGCCTCGGCCAACCGCCCCTTGCGGACCAGCCACCACGGACTCTCAGGCACAAACAGCAGACCCGGCAGGATGATCAGAGACCAGAACCATTGCAGCGCAAATGGGATCGAGTACGCCCAGTGATCATGCAGCTTGCTGGTCCCCGCACAAACCCCATTCGCAAGAAGCTGGCCCATGACGAAGCAGAGGTTGACATAGCTAGTCAGAACCCCCCTGATAGCCATGGGACAGACCTCGGACGAGTACGCCGGGGCAATCACGGCGTAGCAGCCCAGAACCAACCCGCCAAGCAGCTCACCCGCAAGAAGCACGGGGAGCGACCGCGCAAAGAACTGGATGAAGATCAGTCCCGTGGTCAGCGCGACGCAGGCGCCAAACGTCCACTTGCGGCCGTACCGCTCCATGGGGTACCCGGCCACGAGCGCGCCCACGACCTGGCCCACGGGGTTGCCCATCGACAGGCCGGTTTGCCAGGACGCGGCGATGATGTATTGCCCTTCGAAGAGGTAGCCAAAGTCGGATTGGAACTGCGGCATAGCGTAGAGGTTCCCCAGCAGCTGGGGGTCGAAGGCCAGCATGATCACCCCGAGCGAGACAAAGATTGACCAGCCCATGGCGGCGGGATAGAGCCGGCATGCCTCGAGAAAGCCCAGGTTGCGTTCGAATTGGACAGCCTCGTCGAGTCCACCATCGTGATCGGTGTTGCTTGAGACATCCTTGACTATATGATTATGTCCCGTGTCGGTGTTGGTCGGTAGTGGTGCTCCCATCTTTGGTCCTGGCCCGGAACTTGAAAGGTTCAGAAGATGACGGTTGGAATTCTCAGAGGGGGGACGCTGTTGATAATGATGGGACGAGATTCCCGCATCCTCCGAGTCCGGCGAGTCGTTATCTCGAAGAAGAGGTGTCCGCTCACACGAAGACCAAACCCCGGCCGAAGCCGAAGGATGGGACACGTCGGCCATCATCCCATGTTACGGTAGTTATCCCATCTTAAGGTAGTGCTATCTATCTGGCGGCGCTTTACCCCGTCAAGAAAGACTGTGCAACTTGGAACTGCCGTGGAAGCGCACTGCCGACCTTCCCAAACGGGGATAACGTTACAGCTATCTCCGGGTTGATAGTGATACGAGGCTGCGAATTTGTTCTGACGATTCCTAGCAGCTCGGGAAGCACTCGACAGCGTGTTGGTTTGGTTGCTTTTGGGCGTGTGTGGAAGAGACTGGTTGGTTTTCGTTGGAAACCTCGAGGGTGTGGACATGGTCAGGGGTAACTCGTTCTGTCCATGACCCTGAAGTGACGTTAGACTTTAGAGACCCTGGCCCAAAAATGTTTTTTGCAGCTTTGGAATCTGCAGGGGGTATGTACAATACAACGTCAGGGCCAGGCTTTGTTAAGAGGGGTAGTTGAGAGGCCGAATTTTGGCTGTGAAAATTTGGCTGCACTAACAGATGTCCCCCCATCTCAAAGTACCGCGCCCGTGTTGAATGTTCCCATTCCAGCCCAGCACCTTCCCATGCCTGGTCCAACACTGAACCTACCAGATACCTAATCAACCATGCCCAACCTAACCGCGGCCTCTGACCCCTTCGGAATCTCAAACGGCCTCTCAACAGGCACAAGCCCCATCTCGACCAGCTCCTGCTCCGTCACCTCAGGCCTCTCGTCCAAGACCCTCTTCAAATCCCTCGCTCGTTGCGTCACATCCTCGATGCTCACAACAAGCTCCCTCGCCCAGCGCTCGCTAAGCGCGGCGGGGATTCCAATCTGAATGCTCCTATAAGGAAGTTTCTCCAAGCGGACGGTGCGCTCGGGATCCCACTGGATGCGCACCCCGGGAAGTTTCTGCTTCTGCTCCTGCATTTTTGTTGTTGTGCCTGAGGTGCCCCCTTCTAGTTCAACCTCACTTGGTGCGTTTTCCGCCGTGGGACTGCGTGAGGAAGTACTACCAGCACTAGACAAGACGCCCTGCTCCAGGAGCCAGATGAAATCGGCGTGCTTCATTTTGAGCGCCAGGATGCGCTCCTGCCCGGGGTCCTTGTACGAGTAACCCGCCCGGTAGAGCATCCACGCCCAACTCGGCTTGATCCAGGTCATGCGCGACGTGCGGAACGCGGGCGAGGCGTCGAGCTGCTGCTTCTCGACGGCTGCCGAGGCGATGGTGCGGTTGTAGGCTTGGTACACGGTGATGGTTTCGTCGTCATATGACGCGCGGATCTGTTTGTACGGTGTTGCTGCCATTTGTCTGAAGCTGTCTGGTCTCTGTGGTAGGTGAGGTGCTCCTCGGAGAGTGACAGCCTGAGAGAGACTAAGGGTTTAGGTTGAGTCTCGAGATCAATATGGAATGCCATGTAAGATGATAATCATGATTTCTACGTGTAGGTGCAGCTAGTCGGGTTTAATGTCTGGTCGTCTTATCTGAGCAGAAATCGTTGTGCTCAACTCGCCGGTGACTCAGGGGTTTAAGAGGCTGGCACTGCCCCCCTAGAATCACTCTTTCGATTTATGATAGGTTACAACCCGCATTGCCTCAATTCGGGGCTGACAGGTGCTACGGCGGATAGGGAAAAGGTATTCAATGCGGATGGGATTGGCGACAACCATCAGGATGTTCAATGGTTTGATGGATACATGCACGGGAACTGACTGGCGGCCTCCAAGGGTTTCTTGGAGGATGGCTCAAACCAATTTTAACTCCACGCCATCCTCTTCGCCCCAGTCAACCATACCGGCGCCCCACGGATCCATCCAGCCTTCCAAGAAGCACGTCTCTTGCACACAATACGTTCCCTCATTTGCAGGTCTCAGTGCCACCGGCTTAGTACATCCGTGGAGCACCCAGATCTCATCACCTGGTTCTAGCGTGCACCCCAGCGCCATCCGTCCTTCGTCGGTAACAGAAAGATAGTGTTTGTACGCAACATGATAAAGAGAGGATATAACCTCTTGGAGCTCCTCCCAACATTGGAATGTGACCACTTCTTTATTCACTCCGGATTTGGTTTCTATTCTGTCGAGGTAGAGGCGGACGACTGACATCAATATCCCTCCCAGGAGCTCAGTCTTGCTGAAGCAGCGGGCGACCAGGCCATTGTCACAATGGCCCTGGGCCAGGATTGCTGCGAGCACGGTCTGTGCTGTTGGGCGGGGCACCTGGCGTTGCGATGGTTCACAGCCCTGAACGGCCGAGGTGACATAGTGGGAGAAATCGAAGTATGTTCTTTCCATGGGGTCAATTCGGCTCCTGATACGGTCTATTCTTCGCCCATGTACAGTCAGTGTCTTTGAATCACACTTGCCGATACGAGGATACATGTTGGATCCTCCCTGGGGTTGCCGTGACAGAGCTTCTGATATCGAGAATGAACTGAGGTGCTCCTCGCGAGTAAATTCTGGTGCCCAAGTTGGCCTTCTTCTGGAGAAAGGCCAGTCTTGGTCGCGATCTCCTGCGCGACAAAGACACTCGAAAATATCCAGTCGATTAGACCCTTGAACAATTGCCTTTGCTGTGCAAACTTGGACTTCCAGTTCAGAATCTCGATAGTTTGGCTCGATTACTATGCGTGGGTCAAGGTTGAGACCCAGGAATGCGTATATACGATCTTGAGGAACCGAAGTCTGCATATTCGGCGAGATAGAGGACAGCAACTGCGTGATGCTATGGTACGGTACTGACTGAGGATCCTCTGGGAGATGCAAGCTTTTCCAGGTTCGTTGCATGATTGGCACTATTCTCCGGCCGCGGGAAGACAGGGTTATGTCGTCGGGGCCAACCGGCGGCGGCAATACCCCCTCCCTCTCAATCCAATCGATCATTCCGCATATCCAGTAGAGGCCTTCGAGAGGAATGGCCGAGATTCCAATAAGGATGCCGGAGCGTAACGGTAGAACGACTTCTTGGAAGGCCCAGGCCCGTGAAAACCAAGAGCTTCCGAGGTACTTGTAAAGTTGCCTGAGTGCCAACTGCTCATCGTCCCGATGCATGGCTATATCATGTTTCTTTATGAACACGTCGCCCAGCAGTATGGTTTGCAAGCGCTGGAAAAGATCTTCCTTTGCAGACCTCTTTCAAGGGCATCGTTTGCAATCTCGCAGACAAAGTCCAGAGAAGAGCATGCGGGTAGGTCGTCGCAACCTAACCAGACAAGCACCCGGAAGCACGACCTATAGATCTGGCCCATAATCTTCACCTGGTGGTTTCGCTTTGCGGTATCCGCCTGGTTGATGCAGACCTGGTCTACCCAGAGGTACCCTGTCGAGCAATGACGTACGGCACGATTCAATGCGCGTTCGAGATCCTCGTTGATGCGCAGTACGGTTCCGGTACTGAGTGCCAGCGAGTGGTTGAGGAGATTTGGGCCCCATACATATGAGATCGTCTCGTATGGCGGTGCATGGTCGATGGTCGTGTGGATGAGCGAGAAATCCCACTGCTGGGAGGAGTCAGAGGTGCCGGTAACTCTCAGCAAGCTGATCTCGTGCTCTTGTTGGAGCGGATGGTACTCGTAAAGAGGAAGAGAGCGGCACACCATCATGTAAGAAATTCGTTCAGTCCTGAAGAACAAACGAGCGGGAAATATTTGTTTTTTGCTCCTGCCGTGGCAAAATACGGGTCTCCTAGCCGGGGGCCCGGAGGACGGAAGGGGCGATGGAATTGGGATGGCGGTGCCTTCTAAAGGTGTGCAACTACGCGTAGCCCTGAAGCCAGTCAGGGGCTTCGTCCACCTGCAGACAATTTCCACCTTACAACCAATAGACAACCACCACGAATCCCATCACCACTTTAGCGTACGCGTACTCGGAGCCTTACTGTGATTTTCCAACAGTAGGGAAGGCTCACTGGGGCAAGTCAGACACAGCTCACCCTAGCTAAGTTTGTGGTTGTTGTATACCGGTACGCTTAACGTCCAGGGGGCCAAAGGCCAATACGATACAAAGCCGTGTAGGGACGTGCTGTGCTAGGTTTTATATACAACATAGTACTGCCCATACAGCAACTCGAGTCCAGAGGACATTTCGACGGAGTGAAACCGTCTGCAAGATATCACCCCAGCTAAGGACAGTAGCGACGACGAAAGTCCTGAACGAACCAAAATGGAATACGCCCACATTCACACACAACCAGGCTGGTGTTCCCAAAATTCTACAGCACCTTTACTTACGACTTTCGGTATCAGATTTGCAGCCAAAGTAGTAGGAAGTCCATTACCCGGCGAAAAGTATATTACTAACATATAAAGCGCCTTGGGGTAAAGATTTTCTTTCGTTGAACCCTTTCCAACATTCCCGAAGCGTCCCAAGATCTCCAGAACAGAACAGGTGGAGGTTACGGATATCAGCATCATGCAATGCATATGCCCAACCAGCCACCTGAAGCTTATTGAAACTAGTGGTCGCAGCAGATAAAGTCGTGGCCTCCTGGGCAACCCGGTTCTAGCACCCAGGCACGGTCAGTCTCTCTTTACGACAGCACATGGCATTCATTGGTTCCCCATTGCTCACTTTTGTTCGGCTTCTTGCAAGAATTCTTCCAGAGGCACTGCGTGCCCTTGCCCTGACCGTGGCAGGGCTTCACAATACAGCCCCTGATGTGGTCAGGGTCGTTGGGGCACGGCTTGTTACCCGGGGAGCCAGAGTGCGGCTGTCCGCCCCATTTGTCGCGGCAATCCTTGTAGTCGAGGCAGATGCAGTCATCGCCCCATCCGCTGGAGCAGCGACCTCCGGCCGTGGCGAAAACCGGGGCAGCGATGGCGGCAAGGAAGAGCATGGAGAGCTTCATGATGATGGCTTAGGGTGATGAAGTAGTAGCAGTAGGCTATCAAAGGTCGTAAGATAGTTTCTCAGGTAGGCTCCTGTAGTTCTCTCTGTGGAGAATGAGTTGGAACCCCAGTCTGGCACTTCTCGAGAGGTGGGATCTCTCTTTAAATAGACACTGACGAGGACATAGCTGGCCCTGCCCGGGATCGCGAAAGTTCCGATTATCGTAGTATACACGAAACGGTCACATCAAGGTGTGGTTGCCAAAGCTTCATCTTCCCGATGAAAACGCTGGCAGTAAGCTGAGGCATCTCTCAACCAGAGGACAAGATGTCCAGATCATCCGGGGCCCCGATATTTGAGCCTCAGCCCCGAGCGCCTCCGGGTCCCTGGGACCAATCGCCAAGCAAATTGAAAGTCTGTAACACACCAATTACTAGCACGGACAGTTCCTGCATTAACAATGCAGCTTGGCTGGGAGTTAGAGCACGGGAACATCATTCCGAGCGTTGAAGTGCGAGGTACACGGCAGGCATTTGGAAGAGCAACTTCAAGCGTAAGATCAGGCTACGGCCACGACCGCCATAGAGTCAGGTATCTTGACGACATGGTCATATACAATGCCATAAGAGGGACTCTTCAGCGTCCTCGTTAGATGACATTTATTATATCAGTTACGTTTGACCCTACCAGAGCAGCCTCGCCAACGTTCAATGCTTGGCAGCGGGTGTGGCTATGCTGTATACATAGGTAGGTACTCCAGATAGGTTTCAGTCCAGTCGATGCCGTACTACACTGTTGGTATCACGGGGACTATCGAGATACCTTAACTACAAGTTCTCGTGATATGGCGTACGGCTTTTCGTCTGTGACTACTAGTAATTGCTGTTGTGCTCTATAGGTACTACCTGGCAGTGTCCGGGTGCTATTTCTAGATCATTCCAGCTTGGGATATCATGAGGATGTTCTTCTCAACACCCGAACATTCCGAGGCTTACCAACAAATTAAACATGGCTCAAAACTCACTTTTTATACTCTCCGACAAATAGACAACCTGAACTTGCGGGATATGTAGGTACGGATACTCCAGTTTCCGGGTTAGGGTTCCCCTTTTTACCCCTTTTCCTGCACCTCCAATGTCCCACTCATGTTTTTCTGGCCACCTCAAGTGCCTCATCAACGAACAAGTGGAATGGAACACACCATGTAAAAATATGTCATTAACAGTTCTAGACACTTGGTTGGCCGCCAGCGAACTGGAAGAGGTTCCTCCGATATCCATGCTTGGCATCGTCACAACCACATTCAAAGGTATTTAGCCAAATCTCCAGTTCGGGGCCACTGGCCGCGTTCCACTGGACAGATCTTCACGTCTGAGACGACAGCTTCTACTGATGAGCAATGGTAATTTCTCCAGTATCAAGCAGGCTCGTGTAGAGAAACCTTGAACCTCTTCTAATCCACACACAAGCTACTCGACGCGCCTCCAAGGACAGCCACAATGCAACTACGCCGTCTTGTCTCAGTCCTATCCCTAGGTCATGTTATTACAGCATTTCAAACGCATGCAGATACACACGAAATATGCCTATCAAGTCCACTGCTACAGCATGAAGTTCACGTTGAGCAACCCATCTGCGCTGCACATACAATCCAGCCAGCACAGAACTTCATCCAGGTTGAGCCGGAGCTGTGGGATGAGAATGACGAGCGTTACATTCCTGCCAAGGACTACAAGCTCTCACCACCATGGAAAGGACCTGAGAGCTGTTTCACCGAATTTTGCATCTACTCCAACAAGGAGATAGGCGGGAGCGGCATGGTTTTGATCACAGCAGCCCGCCAGGCCTACCTCGCGGCCAAATTTCCTGTACCTGCTCAGTCAAGCATCGAACCAACGGCCTATTACGAGAAAAAAATTCCTGGGAAGGGAATTGGGCTTGTCGCCAACCGAACCATCCACAAAGGCGAGATCATCTTCCGGGCCTTGCCGGCGATGCTGATACAAGCGACGCCACATATGGACCTGGACCCGGAAGTGCGGGAGGACCTGTATCGCCAAGCGGTTGACAAACTGCCCGAATCCACCCGGGAGAAATTCATGAAACAAATGGGTGACACCATCTACGCCAAAATGGAGAAGAACGCGTTCCGCTTATACACGGATGGCGACAAGGCGCACTCGGCGCACCTGGCCAGCTATCCCGACGTTAGCAGGTTTAACCATGATTGCCGGCCCAAGTACAACTCACTTTCCCCTCGCCCCTTTCATCGATGTCATGGACTTGCTAACCTGCCATACCTACCCTTAGCCTGCACTACCGCCTGCGCAACCTAACCCACATCACGGTGGCCGTGCGGGACATCCCCGCGGGCGAGGAGCTAACCATCAGCTACATCTACGGGCAGGAAGTCAAGTCCGAGCGGCAATCCCAGCTTCGGGCATGGGGGTTTGAGTGTTCGTGCCAGCAATGCACCCTTTCCGAGGCCGACTCGGCAGCATCCGACACGCGCATCCGGCTGATCAAGGAGCTCGAGGAGGAAATCGAATCCAAAATGGCCAGCAAAGACCGCGGCGACGCAATCAGGCCCGAGATGGGCGGCAAACTGGTCGAGCTGTACCTCGCCGAGCGCCTCGACACGTACCTGGCCCCGGCCTTCACGCGTGCGGCGCTGATCTATTCCATGTTTGGGAACGAGGAAAAGGCGAGGGAGTTTGCCACTCAGGCGGCCGAGGCGTTGGTCAGGGAGTATGGCCCGGATGCGAGGGACTATGGGTCCATGAAGAGCTTGGCTGAGGATCCGAAGGGGCATTGGTCGTGGGGGATCAAGGTTGTTAGTGGAGAGGGAGTTGGAGAGGGGAGGAATAGGACAAGGGGAAAGGGGAAGTAGCATAGAAGGTGAAGGAGACTACCTACCTAACATCGGTAGGTACCTACCTACCTGGCCTAGATAATCCGGTGCTAAAAGGGACGAACAAGGCTGTGTAGGTAGCTCCGGGCCCTAAGGAGATTAAACGCTATTATTGTGCTGCAATTCACCATCTCGTGCAAATCAACAAAGACGCTCAGTGGCCAGGCAGTACTCATGTAATTTACTAGGTCACACTCAAGGCATTGCTAAGGTACTGTATTGGGTTATGTAATGGTATTCAGGTCCTACCTCTGTGTATCAATCTGAGGGTAGGTATAGGTACCTTAGGTACACTATCAAGGGTCAAGGCCAAACGCTGCTTGACAGGTATTGATGACTGATTCACCCAGTACCTAACGTAACCGGGCTCGGAATCTTTCAGAGTGCAACATCAACTCTGTCCTCCTCCTCGTCCACGAACGGGCACATACCATTCGTCTCGGTAAGTGGTGATCAAGATTCCGAACGAAATGGCTGACATTGTGAGCCGCCACAAGATGGAGATCCTTTCTCTGGCGTCGGGACCCAGATGGCGCAGGAGAGCAAAAAGTTCGGATAGAAGTGCGGAGAACCGCGCCTCCCGAGGCTGGGGAGTCCCGTCCCTCAGTGCTACGGCACTCTCATGGACATGTAGGATGCCGTACTTGACCAGATCTCCGTTGCAGAACCTGGTGGGCTCCATGTAGTCATTGCACCAGAAGCATTGCGGGCATCTATTCCCCCGGGGGTTGCGGCAGTGGTCGCAGTCGTTGTTGTTCCGGCTGACCCCGTCCACCGACAAGTCCCTGCAGTGGCAGCACCACATGTACCGCTCAGTGTTGAGCCTGCTTGACATGAGAACCTCACCACTCGTCAGCATAATGGGCTGCTTTTGCCCGTTAGCGAGCACGGTGATGTCCTTCGCGGGTTCGCCGCAGTTTGAGCAGGACAGAGAGGACGAGAGTGGGAGGTCCTCACCAAGGGCAGCGAAGATATTGACCCGGTTGTAGCTGCGGTCTCCGTAGCACCCCTTCCCGCACTGCCAGTAGGCCGCAAAGACTTGGTGGCAAAAGAGCTCCTTGAACCGGCCCAGGCGGACCTCCACGGCGATTCGGTGATTGCGGAGGTTCATGTAAACCTCGGGGGTATGGCCTAGGGGATTGGCGGAAACCCTGGGGTATGGGTCTCGCATGTGCTCTTCTTCGGAACGGACCGTGTACAAAGCCTCAAGCAACCGGTGATTCAGCACCCGCTCGGGACTACGGGGACGGGGAATATGTTCAAAGTTGGCAGAGTAGCCGTCCTCCATATAGTCCCATGCGTCGAGGCCATTCGGTCGTCCTGATGCGAGCCGGGGGTTGACATTTCCGTACGGAGGTGGCCGCGGGTCGAGGTTGTCGTAAGAAGGAAGCGACTCGGAGTCGCTCTCGTCCTGGTCTTGCGGCCGTACAGCCCGGCGTGGATGGTTGTCTCGGGTATTATCGCGTCGGCTCATGTTGGTGTTATTCAGATGACGCGTTTGAACTCTCAAATGTCAAAGCAAGAAGGGGAAAAGACAACTTGGGATTCGCTTGGGATGGTCGGCTTGATATAGGCAAAATCCGGAGTGATGGTAGAGAATAGGAGAGAATAGGTTAGTTGTTGGAATCGAGACAGCGGTATTGTACATACTGTTACTCCACGGTCGACGCTGGTTTTTGAAGCTAGAGGCCGGATCCTCGAATAGGTCATTATCTCTTTGGACCAAAGGAGAAGCCCCTTGAACAGCACTTCACAGACCCACAGATACAGGATACAGTCACGTCAGGGTGTATATACCGTACTGACGTTCAATTTCCACCCCTTAATGGTCAGGAGTATTGTACTGTCGTTCCTCACGTCCGAACGAGTCTGCTGTTAGAGTTGTTGTTTCAATCTCTGTATGGTGACTGGCCTTGAACAGTATGAACAAACTCAACAAAGTCACAAAGAGTCATTATCAACGAGGGATCTGTAACTTGTAAGGACGTTAGGTAGTAGTACAGTAGAAACCGCAAATCATGTGTTGTTCTGTATGTCCAGCACTGGCGCCAAATTCCTTCCCTTCCCTCCTAGGTACAAGGATAAAATCTCAAGCCTTCCAAAGCTCACGACACCATCCGTTATCTGTCCAGCATACTCAAATCGTTCTCGAACCCCGTCACCAGCATGTATCCAAACTTCGCTGCCTCGACACATTTCTTGGCCATATCCCCTTCTCCCAGCGCCTCGTACGCCTCCGCCAGCCTCCTGAGCGCAACCACCACATGAACCGTCATCAACGTCATGTCGCCCGAAGACGAGTACATTTTCCTCGGATCCCACTCCACACCCTTATCCTCGGGCACTATGAACCCAAAACACCTCAGCACCTTCTTTGCATACCGGATCACTTTCGCGTGGTTTTTCCTTCCCTTGTGCGCGCCAACCAGCCAGTTGCAAGGGTAAATGAGCGTCAACTTTGGTAGGCCTTCCGCGTACACGTCCGCCTCATGAAGATCCTCCAGCTGCTTCGTCAACCGTTCCACATTCCGAATCGTCGCGTCAGGGACCAAGTCCCCTTTCCCCGGCAGTTTCTTGTTGCACACCTTCTCTACCGCCATCAGCGCCTCCTTCCGCTTGGCCAGGTTTGCCTCGGGACTGCGGCGCTCCGTGACGCACAGCTTACACCCGCACTCAAACCCCCACCCTTCCAGGTACTGCCTGTTGCGCGCGTCAACCAGCGATTTTACGGGGACATACTGCTGAAAGATCTCCTCCCCTTCTTTGATGTCCCTCGTTGCGCGGCTAATGAGCATGTCGCCGACAAACGACCGCATCGAGTTGGCCACGCAGCCGTGGTTCATAGCCGCGGCGTGTACCCATAGCCCTTTCGCCTGCCTTCCCGAGGGCATGCTGGGCTTGGTATCTTCGACGGTCGACCTTGGGGAACTAAAGCAGTTCTTTGTGCGGATGCTCTCGACCAAAAAGACATCCACCACGGGCACGCCATCCACAATCATCCCTTCCATCCCACTCCGGGCATACTCCCCGCCGTACATGCCCAGCACTGGCTCGGCAAGCGACGGGTTGTCGCACAGCTGGCGGACGGTCAGCGCGTAGAGCGCCGCCGACGCCCGCCCGGGGTCGTACTGGTTGGGCATGAGCGTCGCCTTCTCGACAAAGATGATTTCGCCTGCGGCAAGGTCCCGCGCGGCGAACAGCCCCCGCCCGTGGTGCGCCGAGTCGGCCACGCGTGTGTTGCGGAGAAAAGATCCCCGGTCTAAGTGCACCGACTGCGCGGTCAGAGATGCCAGCATGGCGGGGAAGTCGTAGTTCCCAGTTTCTTCCTCGTGCAGGCGCGCCTCGCACCGGGCGTGCTCCCGTTGGATGCCGCTGTGGGACTGGTTGAGGGCGAGGGCTTTGCTTAGGAGCGAGTGGCTCGTCCTGTAGTCGCAAAGGCCGTAGGCGGCGCGGCCCGCGTTGTAGTAGGCTTTCCATTCGTGCTGCTGGGGACCGCCCGCGAGAGAGGCCAGGGCGTCGGCTTTGGCGTCGTCGTAGCGGCCGAGGACGAGGTTGGTGCCCGCGCGCTTCGTGTATATGGGGGATTGGAAGGTCGGGTCGGAGGAGCTTTCAAGTGCTTCGGTATAGCTGAGAAGGTTAACAAGATTTGTATTTTGTGATGGGAATGGGATTTTAAACTCACCAAAATACTGCTGTTGGGAAGTCTTTCTCAATGAAGGCCGTGTCACCGGCCTTTTTCCAGTCCTCCGCCGTCTTCAACAATGGGCCGAGCCTCAGCGGCTCGGGAATGATTGGGTCAGTGAATCGCAAGAGGATGACATCCGAGGGATGGTCGACGCAAATCATAAAGTCGTTCTCTGAGCCGTTCTTCTTGTAGTATGGTTCCTTCACGGCGACCACACAACCCTCGGGAACGGCTGACAAGATGGAAGAATCTGGCTGGTTGTATATGGCCAGCCGCTCGGCATTGCCGAACTGATCTTCCACAATACTCACGGCACCCGCACCGACGTACGGCGGACTGATGGCCTTGACGATGATGCCCTTCCCTCGGTGATGTGCCTCGACACAGAGATCACTTAACGGTATCTTTGTGTCGGTTAGCTAAGGTAGGTACGCCATTCTTTTCTTCTGAGTGAACTAGAGGGGAGTCGTACTATTTCAAGTTCTCTGATGGATCTTGTCGAAGCTGGGTACGCCTCGGACATAATAGGCTGCTTCACCGGCCGTGGCGCATCTGGCGATCTGTCTTGCTTGTCCAAGTGTGTCTTGTGTGTACTGATTAAGTCCTCTTTGGTCGGTCTTCGCCGGGGGACCGCAACAGACGCTTCTTTGGTTGCTGCCATGCTGGGCACGTTTCTCACAATATCAACAGCCATGCTGGCAACGGTTTCTGTGTTCTGGTACCACAGCCCAAGCTAAAAGAATATGAGGTCGACATTCGCTCGCCCCAAAGACTTGAAGTTATTGAGGGAGTGGCCATGGCATGAGGTTTGTGTTGGATATATAAACAATAAGGTGGCATTCTCGGAGGCTGGAGAGCCGCATACTATATCCAACCTAGCGGGCTGGATATATTAGCCGTTGTCCCGACTGGATGTGCGAGGGTGGGGATGCCGCGAGTTGTTCAGGGGTGTTAGCATACCTAAAGGCACAACACCGAGCTAAGGCAATCAGCAAAAGTCCCGTACCCAAATTCTTTAGTTCCCGTTTAGGAACTGAATAATAGAGCTTGAACAGACAAGTGCACGCACGTGAGGCAAAAACCAGAGAATCTCTATGCGGCCAAGACGTGCGCTGTATCTGTTAGAGAACGTAGGTGACGTTTGAGGTATCCAACACGACTCAATTCTCTCGGCGGCGGTTGCTATAATTTGCCGCCATTTATGCTGCCGACTCGGGCTGCCTAGCCGGCCTCCTCATAATAACGGTCCGCATTACCCCTTCCGGGGCCCGTCCGGCGATAGCCACGGCGTTGTCAGCCCCCCAATAACTGCCATCTTCCTTGACGACTCCCCATCTCTCCGTAACGTTGACGTCCAAAACATCAACATCTTCAAAGCCATATTTCCTATAGAGATAATAACCAACAGGGGTGGCCTCCAAGCGGCACGGAAGACCCAGGCGGTCGGCGAGCTCAATGCCCCGCCTCAGAAGGGCTGATCCTGCGCCCAGCCGCTGGCGACCCGGCTTGCAGGCGAGGAGTCCCAAAACTGTGTCGGACGTGAGTAAAGATATTAATTTGGAGCTCGCACTCGGCAAGGAGGTCCCTTACGCAATGCAGGCTCGCCTTTGGCGTGCTCGCGCTGTTTCCTGTTCATGGCGCCGATGAAGGCGTCAACGACAGCAAGGTCACAGCCCTCACCCCATACCTCTGCAGTCGCGGGAGAGTCCTTTTTCCATTCTTCCTCTGTTTGCTGTACCCGGTTGAGCTGCCACTTGGAATAGGCAACTATCTCGCCAGGCTTGTCAGCGGCAGCGGCGTCTTCCGGGAAATACTCGGCGACCCAGAGCAGAGTTTGGGGCTGTCGCGCAGCGTCGCTCTCACCATCGACCTGAGGGGAGTTGGACGGGAAGAGTCGGGTGCGGAACTTCTTCTTGGAATCTTCGGATACACCGTTGGGGTACATCAGGCGGTTCATGATGTTGTCGTCAAAGGCCCCAAAGTGGATGTCAGTGATGGCCTCGGCATCGGCCGGTGTGGCCTCGCGCACGCGGATCCGAGGATTGACGGTGGTAGCCATGTCTTTAGGAGCTCGGTCGGGTCCGAGCCAGTTAAGTGAATTGTGGAAGATCCCAACAGGCTCCCCGATCCGGACTCCAGCAGTTGAAATACCTCTCCGCTAGGCAACCGTCCCATGTCAATCATCCTTCGGCACAGGGGCTCCGCGCCCCGCTTCATCCGGGCCCGAGTGTCATGGTGTGGGACCCCGAGATCCGTTCTTCTTGGCATTGCAACCTGGGTGTATGTGAATCGGTAAGCATGGACTTGTACGGAGTAATTCAATTACATACTCCAACATGAGTCGAAACCTTGAATCTGACAGGCTAGGTGCTCACTCATGACGGGTGAAAATTCATGTCATGGAGAGAAGCTGTTGTGTAGGGTAAGAGAGTGCAATCGACAATTGCTGTAGGAGTGGTGCGAGGTTCATGTACGCAGAAAGTCAGATTTGACCAATCACCTTCCTGCTTTTGCTCAGCAGAGAACCCCACCTTCCTGAAGCTCCAGACTCCAGAGCTCCAAGCAGCAGACAGCTGCCTCAGCATCATACGACGGCTGGTTGCGTAAGGTAACCATCTCCCAATCACCATTGCGCCTGCCCTCTTTCCCTCACAAGGCCGCAATGTCGAACTTCTCAAGCCTTAGGACGTCTCTTATCATTTCAATCCCATTCATTATCATCGGATTTCTGCTCAGCCGTGCTCCGTTCCAGATGGCATCGTTTCCTCCGTCAAGGGCGGACGGCCCTATGAAGCTTATTGCTACCCCCCAATTCCAGACCAAGAAGGTCGGGAGTCTCGGTTGGCACATATCTTTTCGAAAACATGACCGCTAATGATGCTTTCTGATGTGCAGACCGACATCTTCACATCAGGAGCGACGCATATGGCTTTGCTGCGTACGTACATGGCATTCGAACGGTCGAGGCCGTCCGACTTAGGAACCCTGAAGGGCCCAGTTACTGCCATCCATTGAATAGCCGAGCTGACGACCATCAGACAACTCAATCCTCCGTGGCTACAACTCCATCTATCACCAGGCCCCGATCGTCCTCGACCAGGACAAGGCCGCCTTTGTCGGCTACTGCCTCGCCTGGTACAAGTTCGTCAAATCCCACCATGACGACGAAGAGGCGACACTGTTCACCATGATGGAGGAAGTGCTGCAAGACCAGACAATATTCGAAGAAACACACAAGGAACATGGTCAGTTGTCTCACCGCGTCACAGCCCCAGCACTACTCGCAGACTACTGACAATTTCCCCTTACCCGCACACAGAGTCATTCCTTGCTGGCCTGGCCGAATTCGAGAAGTACCTCACAGCACTAAAAAGCCCCTCCGATTTCTCGGGCGACGAACTGTTGCGCATTATGCGGGGCTTCCAAGCCGACTTTGAGAACCACTTCCACAGCGAGATCGCCACAATTGCCAAGTTCTCAGAACACCCCAACGCGCCCAAGGAGGGCACGCCCGAGAACGCAGCAGCGGCAGCCACGTTCAAGGCGTGGGGGAAGAGCACCGTCACAAAAGCCGGCGTGACCGACGTGGTGCCCTTTTTCTTGCTCAACCTGGACCGCACTGCTGAGGGGGGGATGTGGGCCAACTGGTATGTACTCTCAAAACACCCCAATCAGGTTCTTCTTCCCGAGTCAAAAGCTCCCGGTGGCAGGAATACCCGCACGGTCCTAAACCACCTGAGGATGAGGCGAGAGACTGATAATATCGCTGGACAGGCCGCCCATGCCAGCGCCGATTCGGTGGGGGCTGATCAATCTCGCGGGTTCGATACATTACGGCTGGTGGAAGTTTGCCTCTTGCAACGCTGCAGGCCAGCCTCAAGAGTTGTGGGCATTCCGGGCTGCGGATATGAAGGCGCAGCGAGAAGCCCAGGCTAAGAGCTGAGGCCAAAGACCGAATTCTCCGGTAGGGTGCGTCTGGATGTTGTGAATGTCTATGTATCATGATTCGAAGGTTGCCAGTTGGCGTTAGAGGTAGGATATCCCTTGATTCGTACGCCTGGGCCTATTTATGCAATCATTTGCCTGCTAGACCAATACCAGCTATCTTGGTTCATCTCCTCAAGTCCTCTACCTCTCCAACCGCGTGGATCAGCGGCGTTAGATGCTGCGTACAGTACATAACATTAACGCTTGCCCCGCTAAGGCACATGCATGCATAAAGCGGGGTTTACAAATGCATGTTCCAGCTATACGGTAGCAGACCTTCAACATCGGTCTGCCTGTAAATGCTTCAAATATTCCCAAATTTTGACATGACGAGATCTTCTAGAAGGCCATGTCCAACATCCGCTGCCGTCACTGTCACGCTGTTTAAATTCTGGGCTCTTGCCAGGCGTGAGCTAGCTAGGTAGACTTGGGTTTGCCTGGCCTGCACTAACTCTTCTGGAGCGTTCCGCGACTTCTCACTTATTCAAGCTGCGCATTCGCTTAATCAGCTTGACAAACTTGCCGATCATAACGTTTTCTGGTCCAGCTGGCTCAAACTCTCGAAGTATTGATCCATGACGTCCAAGACCCGTAGTGTTGGCGGCTGCTGGACGTGCCGTCTTCGGCGCAAAAAATGCGACGAAGCCCACCCAGTTTGCAACAACTGCGCGACTCTCGAGATTGACTGCCTCTACAGCAACGACAAGCCGGAATGGATGGACGGTGGTGAGCGGCAAAGGCAGAGAGCCGAGTGGCTGAAATCTGAGGTCAAAAGAAAGGCTGCCCATCGGCGAGAACGTCGTGACCTGCTCGGCATCGAGGTGAGACTGGAGTCCCTCGATGCCTCGCTCGTCGACCAAAGCGACATTGCTCGGAGCAGAGAGTCTCCTGATGCCACGCCGCCCTCGGTCGCCTCGGGTCCTTCATCGTCCGACGACAGGACACGGAATTCTACCCCAGCCTCGGACTCCAGTACGCTCCCAACAACCTCGTCGCTTTCTGTGCTGCCACCCGAGGAGCCACCTCGCGAACACATTCTTAAAGGAATGCTGCCCCAGGACAGAGATGCACATCTCACCATGATGTATCTCGATTATGTATTTCCTTTTATGTTTCCCTTCTATCGGCCTTCAGCCCTGGATGTCGGTCGAGGATGGCTTCTCGCTCTCCTTACCAAGGAAAAGGCTCTGTTTCACGCAGCCCTTGGTATGGGCGGGTATTTCTATGGAGTCATTCTCAGTAGTCAGGCCCACGACTCGGATTCATCCCATGAATGCCTTGCACGCACCCTGGAAGAGCTCCACAACCAGCAGGGACTGGCCCTTCGATGGCTGCAACATGAGATGCAGGAGATTATTACCCGTGGCGTAAAGGGCCATCTTGCCGAAGCCAGCCGCGTCATGGCGAGCATCATCCAGCTCCTGACGTGTGAGGTTGCCATCGCTAAGCCCGACAACTGGGTGATGCATCTCGGTGCCGCAACCGAGCTGTACGACGAAATCATGAAGCATCACGGTATGGGCGATCATGGGCCGTGTTTCATGATGGTTCTGCTTCAACTAGGCACCCGACCCTTTTCATGGACTCCCAAGACTCACCCATGGGGGCTGGACCAGGCCATCATGCGCTTTTTCACCGCCCAGCTCCTCTTCATAGACACAGTCGCCAGCACGACCCTGCAGCAGCCCCCACGTCTGCATCGGCACCATCAGTTTCTGCTTTGTGACTTCGACGAGGAAACGAAGAAGAAGATGAGCGACGTCGAGAAGGAACAGACCACCCCGCACATCAACCTCGAGGAGTTCGTTGGTGTGCAAAATTGGGTCATTCTCGCCATTGGCGAGATCGCTGCGCTCGATGCGTGGAAGCAGGGGATGAAGCGAGCTGGCTCGCTATCAGTCGCGCAGCTGGTTTCCCAGGCGGCAGCCATCGAGCATCGACTTCACCAATGCCTGCAAACCCTTCCGGACGCTGGCGTTAAACCTACGCATTCAGGCCTGGTACACGGGCCACGCCCGATTTTGCAATATTCCCTAGCCCCAGTGATGCATGACAGCACCTTGAACACTCGAATCTGGGCCCAGGGAGCGCTCATCTATCTCGGCGTAGTGCTGTCCGGATGGCAACCAGCAACCAGCGAAATCCGCGACTCCGTCTCACAAGCTATTGAGCTCCTGTCGAGTCTCCCGAACCCAGACAGCCTTCGCACGGTTGTGTGGCCCTTCGTCGTTGCTGGCTGCCTCGCAGCCCCTGACCAGGTGCATATTTTTCGCCAAATGGCCAATGCCATGGGATCGCCGAAGCCGTTTGGTACTCTTGGGGATGGCCTCAGCATCCTGGAGTATGTCTGGGCACATCGTTCAGAAATCGACAACAATCCGGACCAGTGGGACGTGGCAGCATGCTTTAACTGCCTCGGTCGACCGGCCCTGCTGATATGAGCTTTATATCGAGATAAGCTCGGAGACCATTGTTGATCTCGCCAACGCAGTCATGACAAGTACGACAAGAGCATGGGTTGGACTGCTCTCGGAAGCAGATGGGTATATTGCTTTCTAGATAAAGGTATGTTCCTAGTTGTTACAAAAGCGTTGCCTCCTGATTCTCTGGTCCTGACTACCCTTACCAGATTACACTCACCCTACAATACCCTGAACTCCAAAACCCCGTCAAGGCCAGTAGTAACGCCTGGTAACCCCTGGTAACGCCTGGTAACGGCAGTCTTTCCGGACAGCTCCAAGCAAGTGCAGCATTAAACAACATTGGAAGAGTCGTTCGGCGCGTTTGGCCGAGAGAACACGCCACCCAACGCTCCCCACCAGCCAGTCGCTGTCGGGCTCTTTGCGTTTGTTGGCGTCGTGGGCCGTGGCTCTGCACTTTGCCCAACCATCAAAGGCACCGGCAGCAACGACCTGCGCAGCGACTTGCGGAAGCTAGAGCGGCCAGCCGGAGTAATCGGCACATTGGCAAACTCCTGTCCTTCCGAGGCTTTCAGATGGGCATCCGTATCCCTTGGGTCCCATATCTCCAACCTTGGCACTCCGGCGGTCCGACCAGGCTTGGCGGCGGCTCTTGGCGGGTGTTCATGCTCGGGGCTGCCGGGTAGGTCATCGTCACCATAAATGGACGGGCTGTATTCGCCGTTTGAGAATCCCTTGGTGTAGAGTTCCTTCTCAAGGTGATCCAGCTCAGATTTCCGCACAGACCGGCGTGTGCTTCTTCGAGCTAAGCGCGCCTCATCGTCCGACACGCTGGCTTTCGACTGCGGCCGTGATACGGGCACAACCGGAAAGGGGGGCACAACCCCCCTCGACCAAGCCCGAGGTGTCCGAGGTGCATAGGGCCCGTTGTCATCAAGGCCTCTTGGGCCGTTATCACCAAGGCCTTTTGGCCCGATATCATCAAGGCCTCTTCGTATGCTCGGCTCTCTAGCCTCAAAAGACCCTCTTGCCGTAATACTCTCTTCCTGACCCTCAAAAGTTTCTCTCGACGTGTTCTCTTCCTTGATAACCTCAAAAGGCTGTATCAATCTACTCTCTGCTTTAGCCTCAATAGGGGGCCCTCTTTTCGCCTTCCTCCCGGCGATGAACAACATCCCCGCCGCCAGTGCGCTGACGACGAAGAGCCCGCAAACTGCAACGAAAAGCCCCCATACGGCAAACATCTCGACACAGCGGGCTCGCCCGTCACGGTGAAAAGCGATTCGGCCAAACGAGGTACCGGGAGGCGCGGTGATGATAAACTTTCCCGAGGTCCCAATAGCGGCGCAGTTGGCACTGACAAGCGGCGGTCCGAGGGCGATGACGAATACCGACATGACGGCGAGGAAGATGAGGTCAAGGGCCGAGATTGCCGCGTACGGAAGATAGCGCCGCGTGGAGCCGCTGCAGGAGAATAGCGTCCAGATGAGACCGGAAGATGTCTTAAGGCCCATGCCATGTCTTGTCAGCGTACCTCGTTGTTGAATGGCAGAAATACAACTACCAGCGAGGTGGGACTTACAAAGATGACTGCCATGATAAGCGTTGTGGGCGGGCCTTGACTTTGATCCGCGACCGCGATAAAGTAGGCGGTTAGGCCTGTGATGGTGGCAAGGATGAGGACTTGCGCTATGCGGATGCCGAGGAAGGCATGGTTGATAAAGCCCTTGTTTTGCCGGGATGATGTGGTATCGCGTAAAGGAGGCATGGTGAATGTGAATACATGTAAACAGTGGTCAGCTTTCCGACTGCATGAAGTCGAGGTAGCGAGAAAAAGAGTTGGAAATTTGATAGGTGGTTTGCATTGGGAGGTCGATGCAGGAAATATAGACCACGCCCCTCTGATGATCTGTCGTACAATGGATCAGATGACAGACACCGAGTCCCAAACACAAAGGTGATCGCTACTCAAGGCTGCGTTCTCTGTCTTGTGAGATGTGCAGGCCTGGGCACCAACTGCCGGCCACCTTTCTTCATCAGACGAAACAATGTACTTGTATTGGACACACACCGCAGGGTGGCATTTTGCGCTGTTTACGAAGTACGATGCGCAAACTTGTCTAGACAAGATGGAAGCCGAACCCCAGTTCCACGTGGCCGAGTACCGGGAAGCCGGAACTATGTGGGGCCGGGATGGACGGCCGAAAATGTGGATCACACCGTTCACACATGCAGAACGGGCCGGTCGACCCGGCCTGGGGTAGCACATGGCGTATGGACTGCGGGTGATCGGGCAGCATTTGATGGGGTTGAACGCCTAGTGTGGCCCTCGCGGGTGGCCTGGCCCTGTGCCGCAGAATCGCCTTGGTTCAGCGCAAGGGTATCAGCGCCGTCGCAAGCCTGTCATCGCGGCCACCACTCATTCGGACCTGATCAGACGGTGGGTCTGACCAAGGTTGCCATCACCCACGATTGCAAACAACACCCGCGACTCTAACTCCAATGTATACCATTACAGCATTTTGTACCGAGGCAGTATTGCCATTTCCGCATCTCAGATCTCAACTACAACGGCAGCTTTATGGTGAAAACGCGCTGAAAGAAAACACCAGTAGACCCCAAGGTAGCAAGGGTTAAAACTCCAGTCTGTAACTTCGGACTCCGTAGACGCCCGTCAAAAGTCCCAAACAGCTGTACCTTAGCCAAGCAAGTCATCAAGACCATTGCCCAGAGGCTTACTGCTGTCGGCCGGCTTCGCCGCTGACGACGGCGCGGGCGCACCCCAGATACCGGCGCTGCTCTTCTCCTTAGCGAGTTGGCCCATAGCTGGTCCAGGGCCGCCTGTCGTGTTCTTCTTGATGCCTACGCTAGCCTGGGACCACAGGGCACCAAACGCATCGCCGCCCCCGGCCGGTTTACCCACTGCAGGGCTGCCGGCCGGCTTGGGTCCTCCAAATGCCGAGTTTGCAGGCTGTTGAGACGGGGCTATGGGTACCGAAGAAAAGTAATTCGGCGTCGTCGCTTGATACCCCGCAGACTTGGGGACCTGCGAGGCTGGTGACGGGGCCGTGGTGGTTAGTGGTGTGGAGAACGCCGAGGAGTTACCAGCCAAGCCACTAATTGAGCTCGGAGGCGGGGAGATGGATGACATAGCAGCAATACCACTAATGCCCGCTTGCTGTGAGCCGGACATGGGCTTCGATGCCGCTGCTGTGATGGGCGGGGATAGCGAGGTGGTGAGCGAGGCTTGAGGGGCAGTGGACGGCGCTGCCGATTGGAAATCGTCAAATTCGTCGTCGTCATTAGCAGCACTGGCGAGCGCGGCCAGCCCGGAGCCCGCGGATGGACCAGCGAGGGGAGCAGCAGACGTAGCCGGGACAGTGGGTTCGTCAAACTCAAACAAATCCACCTCGGGCTCCTTCTTCTTCGGCGGCTCAGTGGACTTTTTGACACCAGCTCTTTGCACTGTGTCACGAGTGGTTTTTGAAGCGGCTGTCGAGGCAGCAGGTCGCTCGCCCTCGTCAAACTCATCGTACTCCTCAAACTTGTCGGCACGCGACTGCGAGGCGCGATACTCGTCAGATTGCCCCCCGAAACCGCCCCCATCGCCATAGACTCCGCCTGAGTAGCCGCCGTACGTAGAACTGCTGCCCCCGCCATAGCCAGAGTCGCTTCCGAAGCCGCCGTAACGACTCCCGCTGCCAAATCCGCTACCGCCCTGCATGCTTGTGAACTTTCCCTTGTTGGCACGCGCCTTTTTCCGTTCGGCTCGGATTCGATCAACGTCGCTCAGGAGCTCCGCAAGTTCCTTGGCACGATGACGGACGTTGACACCTTGATCCTTTCCGTTTTGGTCGATATAGTGGAATTGTCGCAGCATCTTCAGAAGCGTAATGTGCGATCGGGCATCGTCGATGACACGCTCGGAACCGTGCTTGATGAGGTACTCGAGTAGTTGCAGCGCCTTGTATATTTGCCTCCACTCCTCGGCCGACTTTTCCGTAAAGCGCCGGTAGATCATGGGCATGATTTCGTTCAGGGTTTGGCTAGCAGCAGTATCATAAGCAATCTAGCGTGGGTTCAAGCAGCCAGAGACGCTTACTAGTTAAAAGTGCCATCGGCAATCTCCTGCATCATCGTCGAGGATGCGCCCCACGGTTCGTTGTTTGTGGCTTCGCGCACCTGCGCGGTTGTAAGATCCTGGGTCCAAGGCTAGATCGTCGAGAGTGGACGGGACTACGCACCTTGGCCTCCATCTCGGTGTAATTCATGACAGCTATCCCAAAGTCAGTAAAACAGATGCATGAGCGACAGTACTATGCGCGAACCTACCATTCTGTACCTTGCGCACGCCAGCCTTGATATCGTAAAGCGTCAGGTTGGAGACCGTCTGCTTGAGGCTGTTTAAATCCATGGCGGGCAAAGTTGTGTGGCCCAAGTCGTCGCTAGGAAAGTTTACGGTTGATGATGTTGAAAGACAGGGAAGACGTTCCGGAATTATTATCAACGGGGTGTTCTTGGACCGGCCGTCTGGTATGCTTCAGGTTTGCGTTTTGTACAGTTGGTTGTCGACGGGCAGCAGCTAACACATTGCGATTTCCAGGTCCGCAATGGAGCTTCTTTGGTTAACTTTTAGGGGCTGGATGTGGGGCTCCGGGCTCCGGCCTGCCAAGAATTGCCTCTTTGCCTAAGGCCTCAAGGCAGGAACAGAACCCAATTCCATTGGGAATTGGCCTGTGCTCATTGTTGAACTGATGGTGACCGTGAGAAGAAAATTTGAGGAACTCTTGCTGTTGCTGTCTCGCACTCGCTAGTCCATCCAGTTGCACTTCAATTCACCGTGTATCTTGATCTGTATTAGTTTACCATATAAAGGATACCTTCCAAAGGTATGTAGCCTCTCTTCAACTCTGTACCCTTCAAATCCTCCTATTTTACACATCACGCCCACAGCCTGAAGCTTCCGGGCTTTCTTAAGCCTGGAAGCTCGGTTGAGCTCAAGCTTGCTTCAAACAGCAGACATTCTTTGAAGAAGCTGGTCAGCCGCTCTCTACTCCACCTAGCTTTGTCCCATGGCCTCCATCTTCTTTACCAGTTGCCGGTGGACATGCCGTACACAGCTCAGCCACCGAGGGCGGCCGCGTCGACCCGGCAGCTGGATGTTGGATTCCAATGCAGGCCACCGGGTTTCCGGGTGGGACGAGCTGCAAGGCTTCTGTCCTCATTACGAACATCGCAGCATCCCCCTCCTGCGCGGATACCTGCAAGGCCAAACTCGGCACAGCTCCGCCAATGGCAGGCCATCCGGCTAGAGGCCCCTTTACAGTACATACTCCAGCTCGATTCGCAATTGTGTTGTCGAGCCTCCACAATGCCATGGATAGCTTTCAGAATGGCTATGGTTCATATGTTGGCCCATTGGCTTTGACACACTGTTTTGAGATACGGGGAGCTGAGGAAGCCGGGCGGAGACTGCCAGACAGATCGTTCAGTGTTGCCTTGCTTGTGCGAGAGCGACCTACCTACCTACCTTACCTTGATCTTGATGGTCTTGGAAACCTCGATCCTGAGCGATCCATGTCAATTACCCCTCGATGTCCAGTCAAGGCAGCATATCCTAGGCGTGCCTACCCCCACTTGGCTTCCAAACTCTGATTGGTCTCCTCTGACGCTAACCCACTTCCTCCCAGAGCAGAAAATGATTCGACCCCTCCTACCCCGCCATTGCTTTACTTTCTCGTCTTCCTCCCTCCTTCGCAGTCTTCCATCTGCTCCATTCTCTTCGACCTGCCCGTCAACTTTCCAATCAACCATCAGAATCTCAGCCAGAGCTTTCTCTGCATCATCTGTCGACATGTCTAAATGGTAAGCATCTTGCTGTATCGGCGTTCCAAGCTCGTCCTCCATGCCCACTAACCATGTTCATAGCTACTTCGACATGGAATGGCAAGGTCCGGTTCTGGACGCCAACAACAAGCCCACGTCTGAGGTCAAGGGTAATAACTATTCTGCCCCGGTCTGCTGCAACTCAATGTTTCACAATGCCTCGTGTTGTCGACGGTTTGCTGTACTCGGTTGAGTAACAGCTAGCCTTACCTGATGCAGACCCCCTCAGAGGCCATCTCTCATTCTTCCATTACACCATTATCTCTCGCCTCTGATGGCATCGACTAAGTCTTTACAATAGTGCAGAATGGACGCATCATCTTCAACCTCTTCGATCAGGACGTCCCCAGGACCGCCACTAATTTCAGGGAGCTGTGCAAAAGACCGAAGGGCCAGGGCTACGTGGGCTCCTCCTTCCATCGCATCATCCCCGAGTTCATGCTCCAGGGCGGTGACTTCACCCGTGGCAATGTGAGCATTTGATCCTCAGATTACAAGCTATTTTCCAAGAATCGCACTAATTGTTCCAGGGTACCGGCGGCGAATGTATCTATCCGGGCGGGAAGTTCGCCGATGAGAACTTCAAGCTGAAGCACTCGCGCCCCTTTCTGCTCTCCATGGCCAATGCTGGCCCCAACACGTAAGCTTGACAACCTTGATCTGCTCGTAGCTCTTCCCCGGTAATATGCGCTGACATATCTTCTCGACAGCAATGGCTCCCAATTCTTCATCACGACCGTCAAGACGTCCTGGCTGGACGGCCGTCACGTCGTCTTTGGCGAAGTCGTCGGCGAAGAGTCCCAGAAGGTTGTAAAGGCTATCGAGGCTTGTGGCCGACGGGATGATGGCAAGGTTATCTACGAGAAGAAGCCCACCATCGTGGCCTGTGGCGAGCTCCAAGAATAAGTTTGCTTGTGCCTTGAGTGGACACATGAAGCAGGTCACGCCATGATACATCGATAGTCTCCCGACTGGGTCTGTCAGTGCGAGGACTCTGACAAAATCAAACGCAGCATGTTCCATCGCTGACCGACCCCGCGTCCACAAAATTGCACGTTTGGTCTTGTCTACTATCCGGAGTGGATTCGTCTGTTGTGAGGTTCATTACAATAACATAATAGGGGACTTCCGTAGTTTGCGGACACCTTTCCTGCGCAGGCTGTTCTAGGTCGTGCAGTAAAGGAGCAATTGCCCGAGGTTGCTAGTACAATCGCTAGTGTCATACAAAGGTACCTCAGTTGCCCCATTCGGCCGTGGCGTCTAAGACATGTCCTGCGGTCCCAGTTGGCTTTGCAAACAAACACCCCTCACTCCTCAATAGACATGCTCATGAGGAGACCATTGCGGCTGGGACGGCCACCTTAACCTGGGCCTCCAACCCCAGCCACTCCAACATGTAGACGCAGGTTTTGGGGCTTACAGGCCCGCCCTCTCCGCAGAGCTCAAAAACGGGGCACCGCCCGCACGGCATCTCGGTTAGCGCGCTGCTCGGGGGTTCTGGGCCCAGCCGGAGGGCCTTGTCCAGCCCGATGCCCGTCTCGCGCTCCTTCTGCCGCTGGTGGAACGGCACCGTGTCCTGCTTCATCGCGCGCGTCACCCGGTAACCCCGCCGTCTGTTTACCGTGATAGGCTCAACCAGCCCGTCGTACATGAGCACGTCGACCAGCTGTTGAATGTCTGCCTCGGTCAGGGTCGTGTTATTGGTTATGCCTGATTGCTGGATGAACTTGGCGATTTCGGGTACTGTCGGATACTTCTTGTAGCCTGGCGGCATGGGCAGGTAGATCATGTGGGATGACTTGGATTTTGAGCCTGTGGTGCTCGTCGGGGCAGGGGTGACCACCACGTCGTCGTCGTTGGAAATATCGGCAGCTGAGCGCTTGGTTCCCCTCGCGTCAGATCCGCTTCCATCTAGTGCTGCGGCGCCGCCGCCCCGGATCGTGCCCTTCTTCGGAGCCCTGGTCCTGCCGCCCGGCTGTCCCTGCGATGACAAATAGGCGCTGTTGGTCTTGATGTACTCGAACACAACGGCCTGCAGCTCCTCGACAAAGGCCGTGTCCAGCTCGCCGTCTGTGAACCACGGCCCGCCTGTTGCACGCTCCGAGGGCTTGAGGTTGGCAACGATGTACATCTTCTTGTTGGGATGCTCCACATTCTTCATGCTCGCAATGTAGCCCTTGGTTTCGAGGTACTTGATGCAGTTTTTGACGACTGCCTCGTGCATATTGAGTCTGTTCTTAATCGTCCGGTTCCAAATGCCGTCAGCGCCAGCCTCGTCGATTATTGAGTACACCATGACTGTCTCGTCGTCGGGCAAGGAAGTGTACCTGCGAGAGAGATGGAATCGTCAGCCTGGCCGATCTGGAAAAGAGGAATAGGGCGGCCAGGTATGACTTACTTCCTTGCATCTTCCCTGCTGCGCCATCTCCACGCAAGACCTGTGTGAGGATTTGCTGTAGCTACTAGAAGCTTGTCGTCACATAGCCCCTGGACGACTTGGATGAGAAGTGATATGTTGTTGTTGGGAATGATGTCGAGGTCCAAGAGGTCTTTTTGTGTAAACAAACGTGTTTGCGACCCATGTTGCCTGACTTCTTCATAGAGAGCATCTTTGAGGACTTGAATCTTGGCCGGGTTGGCCGAGCTGGCGTCGCTCGCCATGTCTTTGGATTGCGTTGGGCGTCGTATACGGGTTGTGTCAGAGCAAAGGATCGAAAATTGGATGTCGAAATATCGTTTGCGGTTCGATTTGGTCGTCTAAGTTTCCCGACAGCAACACCCTTTCAAATATCGGGCTGTCGTCCGCACGGCGGGTGAAGTTCAAATTTACGAGTAGGAGAGAACAGGAAAAGTCAAGTGGTAACGATAGCCTCGAGCTTTTGAATTGCCCCTCCATCACAGCCTTACGAGGCAGTGATCGCGGCGGCTGTGATTGGCTGCTCGAGACTCACTGAAAACCCCACCATACTCGGTCCACTAAGTGCAACGTTAGTGTGACCGAGCCAAACACAACCCGAGAAGTTGCACTACACTACGGATACATTGAGCATCTCTTGGTTGCTGCTAGCAGAACTCCCTCATGGTACTCCGTTTCTTCAAATCCTTGATCTTCTCTCAGAAAATGAAGCCTTTTATATCTTGATGTTCACCGACTTTATCCACTCCATCTATATACCTGCTGTCCAAGCTCACAAAATGATGCGCCATTGGGCTTGCACGTGTCTTATCTTCTCACCGAATGGAATCAGCAGTGCCATCCCAAGACCGATGACAGCGACATAGATGCCAGCCTGAGCACCGAAGCAGTTGATGTACCCAACTTGCTCTACCCACGGTATGATACCATAGAGGAATCCAAATGCTACGATGTTTTTCGAACCTGACACATGGAGATTAGCAAAGGCACGGGCTCATTTGCAGGTCAAACATACCATTGACAAGCATCAGCGCATCCGCGTTCACGGGAAGAACGCAGTCGGAGACGTACGCCATGGTGATGGTTGGGACTGCGCTGAGCGCGAAAGACACCATCCCGTAGCCAAAGAAGAGACTCGTCCAGTGCATTGTCCTCTCGACCCCGTACCCGAACACGAGGCACCCGGCTCCAGTAATAAGCAGCGGCAGGATGCACAGATACAGCCGATTCTCGGGCTGGAACACGCCGTTGTTGCGCCTGGTCCGCCAATCGCAGAACACATCGACAAGCCACCCTCCAGCATAACTGCCGGCGACGTTTCCGAGGAATCCCGGAACGTTGATCAGGCCGTTGATCATGGGCGACCAGCTATAAGGCGGGGCTTGGAGGACGAAGGGGTTGAGGATGTTGACCGCCACCGTCAGAACGAGCGCTACTGCGTACCCGAGAAACGAATAGATGACGCACGGGTAAACGAACATTGGCATTGGCCGCACAAACATCTTGAGAAGGTTCGTGTCCGGCGCGACTCCGGACCAGAGACTCAGCTCTTGGACCCAAGTCTTCTTCGGAACCGTCGGCGTCTGGTCTTCCTCGCTCTTCACTGCAGCTTTTGGCGTCTTCTCCGAGTCGACGTTACCCTCTGCATCCTCTCCTGACGACAGGACAGTCTCGCTCTCGGCGCCAGCCGCTTTCTGGTTCTCCTCACGATAGTACCGTGTCTCTGGCACAAACAGGAGCACCGTGACAAAGTTGATCGCCGTCAAGATGAAGGAGATCCACTTATGCCATCTCCAGCTCAGGCCAGTGATCACGAACCCGCATATCAGCGGCCCCAGGGTGTTTCCTCCACAGATGAAATTCATGTACACGCCCATCTTGGCTCCACGTTCATGGAGAAAGTACAGATCGTTCACAATACTCGCCCCTAGAGCCTCGGTCGACGACCCGGCAAAAGCGGCCACGATGTTGGACCACAGCAGCGACTCAAACGTGGTTGCCGCGGCGCCCCACCCAAAGCAAGCGCAGAGCAGACCGCAGGAGAACACGAAGACAGGCCGCTTGCCAAAGTAGTTTGCCAGTGGTACCCAGAAGAAGTTGAAGGCGCCGAGAACCAAGATGGGCCACAGCAGGAGGTCGCTCGTCTGGGCCATTGACTTGTCGAATTCGATCGACAGGATGTAAAACGCCGGAGCCAGGCCACCAATGCCGTAGTTGGTCAGGAAGGTGAAGGCGCACACCGACAGGAAGGCCACATGCTTCTTCCAGCGGGGCCATCGGAGAGGATCATTGGGGTCTGTGGCCGAGGGCTGCGGGAAGAGGACCAGAGAAGAGGATTCCGGGCTCGAGGCATTGCGGAGTTGGACTGTGCCCTCCGTCTTGTCCAGTTCGTGCAGGGTATGCAGGCGCATCTTGCTGAAGGGCCTCGGATGGGACAGGATGTACGAGGTTGAGAAGTCGCCAGAGGGTAAGGATGGGGGAGGAGGGTCAACGGCTGCGCCCGGTGAGCTTGATGTCCTCTGCAGAGAGAGTGCTCACAAGACTGCCAGGGATCCCAAAATTCTGGTGTGCGCAGCGACCGTTTATATTGTCATGAATGCTCAAGAGGCTTGATTCAGCCGCCGTAGGCTTGCATTTGACAATTGCCGGAGGTCCGTGGCGACAAGCTTTCCCGATCCGGCGGTAGGCCAGATCAGGCGGCGATTGCCGTGCGCCGACTCCAGGGAACGCACATTCGTTAGACTCGAAGCATGCAAGGCGCCGCCAGTGGCGTCTTTTTTGTTGATGCTTAGGGCATTGACCGTCAAAACATATCCATGAGGCGTGAAGGCACCTTACGCTTCAATCAGCTAACCTTACTTCAGGTTTCACCCGAAGCGAAGGGTGGAAGCACTATCGAGGGCCGCTTCCGGATGTGCTCCGTCGGCGAGCTCTCTTAGTGGCCGGATTGGATCTGTGTGACAAGCCGGCGCATATTCAATCCGTCGGGTTGCGCCGTTGGGTTCAATCCAAGCAGCGGAAGCTGGCTCTCCCCGCCAACGTGGCACGACATGTCTTGCAAGCTCAGAGAGCATTAGTGAGTGGCTACAAGCAACAAAACGATCTGTCCTGTGCTTCTGCTATGCAGCCGTGAGTGTGCTGAGTATAGGTGTACGGAAGAACTTCCGTATCATGATACAGTGGAAGATGCCCGGCCGGTTGGACAATGCTAACATCTAAGTCGGAATTGAGGAATACAAGACAAAAAGATTGGTGCGGCATATTAATTGTAATCATATCATTCAAAGTTTAAGCGCTGGCTGGACGAAATTGTTAACCACTGAGCTCAATGGCTGGAAACCAAAGTGATTGATGTCAAATCAGCTCGTATTTCTTTTACCTTTACAGATAACAGGGCCCTGAATGTTCCAATTGAAGTGCTTATGCTACATTTGGTGCGACTTAACATGCAATACGGATAGTGAACGTGGGTCCACACGACTTGTGATTCAGGGGCCTTTCACAAGGTTCAAGGCCTTCAAGGTGGTTCCCTCCCCCTGTAGGGAAAAGCGAGGTTCTTCGCTAAACTTATGGTTAAGGCTATTGCCTGCCTCCTATAGTTGTATGTAAATAGGCAGGTAGTTACCGCTCGACGGCCGTGGGAGAAATCATTGGTTTATTCATGACTTACGCCCACCTGTCTACACGTTTACCGTCACCGTATGGCGATGTCAAACGTGAATTTCATGGGAGTACTCCGTACCTCCGTACCATGATGGCTTCGTATCCGCTCAGCTGGAAACCATACCCGATCCTTATTAGTGCTCACAATTAACGTTAAAACTTAACACAGCTGAGTTAGACCGGTGGAGACACTGTCAAGGGAAGCCATAATCTTAAAAGCGCTAAATCATTACATTGAAATACAAAAGGACGAGCTTGACCCCATCAGCGCCCCCAGTCCGTTCTCCTTTCACAACACCAGTCTTTCGTCCAGTCAGGCATTAACTGCAGTCATTCTTTTAGGCGAGCCCGGCGGTAGTCGCTCTTTTATCTATCCTCCGCCGCTGCGCCGACCACTTCACACTAGTAAATCACTAAGATGCGTGGCTTTTCCATCTTTGCCCTTGCGGCGCCTCTCGTCGCCGCCATTCAGCTCACCGAACCGACGTTGAACTCAACCCTGGTCCAGGGTGAGACCTACAGTGTCAAATGGACTAGTGTCGACACGGATCCCACCACTTTCAGCCTGTTCCTCGTCGATTTCGTCAATTGGCCTCCCTTCTACACTCTGGTCGCCTCGAATCTCCAGACATCGGCCGGTGAGGTTCAGGTCCACGTATGTCACGCTCGCAGTTCACCAGCTATGTAATTGACTTGACACTGACATGTGCGTGAAGATGCCCTGTGGTTTGCACAGCTCGTGGGGCTACCAGTTGTAAGCAGCCATCCCCTTGTCTCCTCCATCCACGAGAAAGGGGCGGGGGACTCTACACTACATGCATGTGGGCAGTTCTGACCCTGTCAACCAGCAACGCCATCAACGGCACCAACGTCTACGTCATATACGCGCAGACACCCAGATTCTTCGTCCAAGATGGTGCCTGCACCGATCCCCAGCCCGGTCCCGGCCCTCTCCCAGACGGCGGCGAGATTCAGACGTGCCAGCCTGTCACCGTAACCGCTGCCGTCACCAGCACCATCACCGTTTCGCACTCTGCCTGCACCGCCTCGTCCTCAGATCTCGGCACAGCGGCGGCCCCTAGCACCACTGTCGCTCCCTCCTCAACCAAGTCCTCATGCCGGTCCAAGTCCACCAGCAGCCTGACTCCCGTCGAGACTTCCACCACCAGCAGCCTGACCCCCGTCGAGACTTCCACCACCAGCAGCTTAGCTCCAGTTGAGACTCCTGTCGCTGAAGAGGGTTCTGACTCGGAGGGCGAGGGAGACGATGGTACTGGCAATGGTGAGGACGAAGGTGAAGAGACCGATTCCGCCTCTGACTCTGACTCGGAAAGTGAGAGCGCTTAGGAGGCGGATGAAGCTGGGGAGAGTGAATCCTAACCCTAACAAAATCTTTTTTAGTATGTAGGATAGATTGATTCATACCAGACCACAAAGCTCTTCACTCTTGTAGGAGTCGAGCCGTCGTCACAACCTGGAAGGCTTCCTTGTCTGGTGTTCACCCTTGTCCCTATGCATCGACTTGTAATAGGAGCTCGCAACCCCGATCGGCAGCACGTTCCACTAATGGATACAGCTCTCAAACGTGGCTTGCAATGCTGTGTACCTTGGTCAATAACTTGAACGAACAAAAACGCTCTTTCCAGCTCACAGAGGCTACTTACGCTGGACAACACCGAAGAGAAAGTCCCTCCGGAATGACTGATAGTCAAAGTCCTTAGTCTTTCAACCGTTAACAGCCGAATTCAGCGAGGTTAGGGATAGGCTTTGGGGTAGGCTTAGGTACCGAATCCCTCCCAGGAAATTCACACCGTAAACAACGTCTCAGTGCATCGCCGTACAGCTCTCCCTCAGCCAAGTAAACCTCATCTAGGAGCTGGTTGGCGACTTCATAATCACTCAACGGCGCCGCGACCGAGGCGGCTTGAGATGACAACGGGAGACCGCCCTCACTTGCCGGTCTGCGAGCTTCATTGGAGATTTGCTCAAACGTCTGACCAAGGCAGAGCTCGAGAAGCAGAATGCCCAGATTGAATAGGGTTCTGTTGCGGATCTGGCCGGTCCCAAAGCCGGGGGCAGTTCCCTCGAGTGGTACATCAGCAGAGCTCTGCTTGAAGACGTGGGAGATGCTGGGGTGGACGTCGAGAACAACCGCGCGATTGGCCTTTCCCTCTGTGCGGAGAAAGACGTGGAGGTCATCCTTGACACCCCAGCCTGATTCGAACCATGATGTACCGCATAGGTAGAGCGCCGCCCAGCTGACAGCGGCGGCGATCTCGAATCTGTGTCGCCGCGACAGCGCGAAACCTGAACCGCTCGGCTGTTGCCTCCTCGAGTTTTGGAGCAGTGATTTGAGAGGATATACCGCTGGCTCGGTATCAGTGGCGCTATCTTTCGACACTCTGACAACGAATCGATTACCCTCTCGCTCGAGCTGGATCACGCCATACTGCGGCGCTATACTGTCGTTGATGAAGCGACACATGCAGGGGATTTGAGGATGTCGCGCCGCATAACGGCTGCTAGTTAGCTCGGAACGGGGAGCAGCCGCTGGCGAATTCTCAACAATGTCCACGCGCTTATTCGGTCGAAAAGAAAGAAGCTTAATTCGGCTTCTTGGCTTCAGATTTACCGCGGCCAATGGAGGGGAGAACTGAGGAGATGCCTGTGCACTGTGTGCAGATATTTGCTGGGACAGTTGTTCCACAACTTGCACTGGAGCTTTCAGCATGCCGTCGTCCTGGTCTCTTTCAACATTGACCGAGACCAGCTGCAAGGATGCGGCGCTCCCGCGAAAGCTCAATTTGACTCTTCCTGAAGACGCGGTTCGTTCCAGGTGCCAGGCAAGGCGGATCAAGGCACGGTGTTCCGAGCAGTTGCAAGTCCAGCCAGTATTCTGGAATGCCTCCTTTATAAGGCCCAGGTCCTTTCGAATACTCTCGCATTGTTGGGGAGTCAGCCGGACTAAAACCTTCGCGCCCGCAGACGGGCTTTGTTCCTCGGGGAAAGGGATCTCGGGTCTCTCAACAATACGCCGAAGCCCAGCGTTCCAGTAGTCCAAGTCCCTGATAAGTTCGTCTCTTCTTCTCCTGCTAAAACTTCGCTTAACCCGACGCCATTCCCAATCGATTCTGTCGGGAAGGGCATCTGACCAGTTTGGCTGGGTGGGGCACCGGAGTCAGCATGCATGCCTTGGAGCAAGAGGGTACGGCCCGTGCCTGCCCTAAAAAATCGGGCACACCTAGCGCGACGCTTGAACGGACCTTGCCTTGATAATCGACATCGAGGTTTCGCATCAACCTCTCCAACGACTTCCTCATCTCCTCCAGGATTTCCATGAAGATATCGCACTTCCCCGGGTAAACTTCCTGCAACCTGGCTCTGAGCTCTTTCTCTGTTGGCCTAGTTAACCCCAAGTGAGACATAGTGGCGTCGAGCTGCTCCTGTTGCAGAAAGACGTGCGATCGGATGCGCTTCAAGGTAGACTCGTACTTCCAATAGTCCTTTACGGGCTTCAAACACCGCTGGTAATTATCCAGCGCGTACAACGCGACAGGAAGTGCGCTAAAGATAAACGAAGATATGTCCATGGTTGAGACCTGCCCTGAGGACTCTGAGTCGACCCCGGATTCACTGAAGATGTCAACCCATGGAATATTCAAGGACGGTACTATTCTCGCCGCTTTAGGTGTAGGAGAGGAGATTGTTATCAAAACTTACCCCGCACAGCCTGGAAGGTGAGCTCCTCAAATAGTCGGTCGCACCGACTTTTCACGAGTTGACCTCAGCGACTTGAACAGCCGGGCGAATTGGTCTGGTACGAAGGACAGTACAGTACGTAGCCGGCCCATTGCCAGGGCAGGGAGTGTTCACGACGGAAACGACGGGAAGCTCGAATGTTCGATGCAAAGCTTCGATTGGGTCATCGCCCGTTTGCAGTCAGGAACCATGTCATTGGGAATCCGCAGGACCAGCTTGTCACAGCAGCATCGATGCAGTCAAACATGAGATTTCGCGGCAACCTGAAGGTCAAACGCCCCCGCACAAAGGCGATTGGCCCAGAAGACGGATGCTACTGTATCATCGTAGCCGCCCAGGCACCCAATTCGCCGCTGCGGCATATCTGACTGGCTTATTAGGTATCTGTGCCTAATATTTGTTCAGGCCATTGAGCCCTGCCATTATCGCAGGTCTTGGGTATGCCAATTCCTACCTTTGATCCCATCAGGCCATTACGTTAACACCAACCACAGAGACGTCAGGCGAATATACCTTGATAACGCGATCAAGGCATGCCGTCCTGTCGAGCCCCTGGGTCGATAAATGATTCATCCCGTCCGAGCAGAATGGATGCTATTTGGGAGGCAGAGCTTGGTCCCTTGCGAGGGAAATCCGAAAGGGAACAGACCGAGTCTCTATCGGAACTCTTCCACAGATGCCTGGATCTGTATTCAGAGCTGTATCTTGCCCTAGGAAAGGAGAAATGCCGGCCGGTGGAACTGAATCAGGTCAGCATTGAGAAGGCCGGCGATGAGTACGGCCGCCTTCGGCTTTGGGGTATCCAAACTAGGGCTACACTTCCAGCTCACGCGAGAGGCTCTCTAGACGACACGCTAAGGCACGACCAAACGCTTCGAGCCAATGTCGCTGACATGTTTCGGTTATTGGCGGATCAACTGGCTCTCGGTACGAAAGACTGGCGGTCGTCCCTTTTAGCAGTGGGTTGGAGTTCACTGACAGAAACTACTACTAGCACTCTCTGTGGTTGAAAAAGCAACCGACGGCTCTACGGAACCGGACATGGATTCAGACGGCAGTCTTGTTTCTGACAGCGACGACTCAGAGTCATCTAGTGACTCCGCTATCGACGACAACACCGGAGTCGGCGCCATTCGCGATAAGGCGCCGAGATCGAAGGGGAAAGTACCGAAAATATCGGTTCTGATGTCTCACGTCTATGAGCAAGTTGGCTTGCTATACCATCTCTCTCTGCTGTTGCGCCGCCCGGCTGTGGTGGGTAGATATCTCAAGTCCTCGATCAAGGACAAGACGATCTCTCCTTTTGCCCAATATGACTACAACCACGTCCAAGAAAAATTTCACTCCTGGCGGCGGATGGCCGAGCTCGACTTGGCTGAGAGGGATGATTCCGCAGATCACGAAGTCTCCAGTAAACAATCAACCGCACCATCACTTGTTACCCCAGAATTAGGCGACGGGAGCGACTCAACTATCAGCGAAAGTGACATTGAGTTACGGCGTAGCATGGAATCTAATGAGAAATCGTTTACTTTGATATGCCGCTTAGCCAGAGCAAACACAAGGCGAAGGGAACAACTGAGGTACTGGGCCGGTCACCCCCCAGTAGATACTCCTCAGCCAGGATTCAGTACTTCTATTTCTCCAGCGAGGAAGGGAACGACTCCAGCAAGACCTCAGCCGGCCCTTACTTCAGAGCAGAGAAACCAAGCAGGAACTGCACAAGACTCGGACCCCGCTGAGGCCAAGTCCCTCGACCAAAGCGAATCCAGATCACTCTTCTCTACCCCAACCGCGGCTACATTCTCTACGGCGGCTGTTTCTGGAATCGACGGCACCCAAACTGTCGCAGGACCACCACGTACGATATATGCGGAGACGGTGGTTGCTACCGGCCAGCGATCCACGCGAGTACCAGATCCTCCATACGTGGCTTCCGGAGCCACGCAGTTCGAATGTCCTCTGTGTCACAGTTCTTTGCAAGTGGTTGTCATGAGAGACAGGAACGCATGGAAGTGAGTGCCATCCCGCTAAGAATGCTCGACACCTTGTAAAGACGTATACTAAAAGAGACGCTACTATGCATTAGACGACATGTGTTTAGGGATCTTAGGCCATATGTTTGTACATATGACAATTGCCTCAGCGGCGATAAATTATACGCAACGCGTCACGAATGGATATACCACGAGGTTCGCCCCATAATCGTGAACAAAGGGAGTGAAAGGAATCAAACTAAGGCCCTCTCAGATGCAGGTGCACTTACGGCAATGGACTTGCCAGAGATGCGACGAGACCTTCGAGACCAAAGACTTAATGGCGAGCCATTTACGGACAAGCCATCCAGAATCCTGGACCAGTCAACAACTTTCCGTTCTTCTTGATATGAGCGAAAGGCCGCTTGATGAGACCCGGATAGTCCCATGTCCCATTTGCCCCAACGAGTTGTATCTCAACAAGCTCCTAACTCATCTGGCCGAGCATATGGAAGAGATATCTCTATTCGTACTACCACCAGCTTCCGAGGAAGAAGATGACGATGATGGTTCTCATGTGATGCGAATCAGCCTGAACGGCGATAAGCCTAACTCGGACCCAGCCATGTCGGACATTGCTAGCCTGAGCTTCTCAGCACCGGACGTTACAGAGAGACCTCTGGAATACCAGCAGACCCTCCAAGGGCTCACTGACTCGACACCGCCGGACAGCTTTGCCAAGGCCGCTGCATGGGATGTGGACGCGGACGAACGGCAAATAAATTCATTGACACTTTCTGAGCACACAAGCAATGTTACGGGTGTGTCTTTCGCACCGAACAGTCGTCTTCTAGCCTCAAGTTCCGATGATGTTACCGTCCGACTCTGGGACACGACAACAGGTGCTCTATTACATACCCTTACAGACCATACCAACGCTGCCACTTCGGTAGCATTCTCCACAGATGGGAGGCTATTAGCCTCGGGTTCATGGGATAAGGCAATCCGGCTCTGGGACCCAACAACGGGTGC